AGAGAGAGAGAGAGAGAGCGAGGTGGCCTGTTTTTGTTGTAATATAATGTAAAACGTTTGTTATCTGATCCTCACCACACACGCAAAACGCAACCAGCCTTAAGATCAAGATTTGGTTTTTAATATAGAACAACAATGACCTTATTGTATACGTGTTGGGTGTTTGCACCAGTTGAGCGAGCTTGATGCTTTGATGCCGATGATTATATGCTGATCATGAACGTGCAGCGTGACGCGTGATTCCAAAGTGCCAACATCGCAAAACGCAAAACGCGATCAAACCTCCTAGAAGTCGCTCCTTGAAATTTGGGAAATGTCCGGTGAACGTAGTTGTTTGTTCCATTGCAGCCCGGACCTGTAAAAAAGGAACAAGCAAAGAAAAAGAAAGGCACGTAAAGAGAGTGTGAGCAGATTTCGACTTTTGCAAAGAGGTTTCTACTAAATGACGATATACGTATTTTCATAATGCTTTTTAATGTTTAGTTTCCGTAATGCCGTTTAATGGTCTATATTTTTGTAGGCTTGTTTGCTTTACTGGCACTCAAGCCTTGACAATACGACACCATTTTCGTAATGCCGTTTAATTGTCTATATTTTTGTAGGCTTGTTTGCTTTACTGGCACTCAAGCCTCGACAATACGACACCAATTGTTTCAATGGCATCGTACTATTCGATAGCTTTCCACTACTACCATCAAGCAGCGCAACCTGCACAACACTCTTCTCGTCATCACCTTTACCAAATGTAACTGCCAGATATGTATGTTTCGCTCTGGCATTGGTGACAGCCTTATCAAAGTCATCAATAGCCTTGTAATCTACATCCACTGATACCTTCACATCAGCCAGCTCCAACCGTATACGTTCGGCATACTTTGATTCAGAAGCTGGCAGGACGACAACCTGATACGGCGACAGATAATATGGCAGTGCACCATTATTAAGATATAGCAAGATACCTAAAAAGCGTTCAATGCCACCAACGATGCTACGATGAATGACTACTGGTGTAGCGATGGGTTTACTAGGATCATCGTTCTGGTATGTGCATTTCATTTGCTGGGGAAGTATTATATCGACTTGGATGCTTCCTATTTGTATTATTTGGTTGGCGAGTTTTATGCTGAATGTTACTGACGGGCCGTATATGTTTGGTGAATCGTTTTTGGTATATTTGGTGTTGGCGAGTGCTTTTGTGACGGATGATGCCAGACTAGTCCATAAGTCTGATGTGTTTCCTGGTGGTCGAGTTAAGGAAGCGGTAATGGTGGCATCAAGCTGAAAGAGCTTGTATATGTATGAAGCGGATTCGACGATTTGGGCGACTTCGGATTCTACTTGGTCTGGTCTGCAGAATACGTGGCCTGATATTAAAGAGCAAGGATTTAGTTGACAACTGCGCATGGAGAGGATGAAAAATGGAGACAAGCTCTCTCTGGTAATTTACCGTCATCACATGTGGTCTTTCTCGTCTTGAATAGACCATTCTTGTCTGTTTCCGACGCATCTCGATAGATATGATTTACAGCAAAGTCAATGAATCGTAATGGCTAAAGAGACAGCAAAACAAGATGTGCGTGAGGATGTGATGTTCGTAACCATATTCTGTAGGGTTACGGCTTTTTTGTGAGCACACCCCCAGGTAAACTGACCAATTCTTTATGGGATCGAGCTCTGTTCTTGTAAAGCAGAGTATGAGCTGGACATCCAAAGGGTTTCAGAGCAAAGACCTCCTTCTCGACATCCAGTGTAAACATGTTCTAAAGGACAAAAAAAGGTCAAGAGAATAAAGATCTAAATGCATTGGTTTCACAGACAGTCATATATATGTGAATGACTACGACCGCAAGCATTCAGAAGGTTACCTTGACATCAGCATGTCCAGTCTCAGCAAACAGCTTTGAGTTAAACATGAGTGGGGTCACCACTTCATGATATCCACGAGCTTTCGCTTCCGTTTGCAGTAATTCGACGAGAGCTACATGAGCTCTTGCACCCGGCATGAGCATGAAGGCAAAACCAGGAGACAAGTCATTGAAAAAGTAGAGCGACTGTTGGTTCCTGTCTTTGGTTTGCAGGCCGGTATAGTCGATGGTGTCGATGGGAGCTTGACATAGATATCCAGGTATTTTGGGTTCGGCAACCTTTGAAAGGGTTGAGTGCGATCCCCAGCCATTGGTCCATGGATCCATGGTTGAGTGTGAGAAGACTATGGTCAAATGTTGGCGAATTGTGAGGGTCGAGTGCCAAGACACCAAGTAAAGAGTAAAGATTCTCAAATTTCAATGAGAATAAAGATGAATGCAAAAGCTAGCAGACTTGATTGAAGGCTTGCAAATGTCAAAGTCAACAGTAAACAAAAAAATCGAAAACCGGCGACTCATCCCCAACTGATGGGACCTTACCTAGATTTTGAAGAATCGAATGTAGTAATAGACGTGTCAAGAAGACTTGGGCAGGCCCGGTAGTCTTCGCTTCGTGGCTGATGCAGTAAAGTCAAGGGAATGCTAGAAACGTAAATCGAGTAAGTGCTCAGAGCAGGACGTAATTTCATTTAATCTTGAAGAGATCTCGGACTTATGACGCGTAAAAACACGTAAATATCTGGACTGTTGACTGTGGTAAGTATGAATGCTGTTTTCTCTCGTGTTCTCCTCGCACGAATCACGAATCTCGCAAGACATTTAGTTATTGTTGCTGACAAGACTGCTGCATCAAGGACACTCAGGTTCCAAGATCATTGAAACAGGTAACGGCTTGGAATGAACTCTGGTCTTGCATTGCTCATTAACCTGAGACTTTTTTTGTGGTCATCAAATTGATGTCTTGTTTGCGATCAAGTTCCTCAGAGTCTAAGCTAACCTTCATTCCATGACTTATTCTTCTGTAGCGTCCTCAATCTCTTTTGGCTTGTTCTTCTCGTCAACCACTGGTTGACTCTCATCAACATTGGCACTCCACCACACAGCTCCGCAAACCACAAGGATACTCTCAGTCAATAAAGTCTCCTCTTCAATCGCTCAACCCGCTATTGTACGTGCACTTGAAATATGTCCAAGTTTGTCACGGAGGCTTCATTGGAAGCTGCAAAGGCTGAACGAGTAAAACTCGGGCTGCCAGAGCCTACTGCTCCACAGAACTACGATCCACGAACTCTATACGAGCGATTACAGGAACAAAAGACCAAAAAGGATGATGAGGTACAGTGAGAGTTGTTGTACTGGTTGACGTGGCATTCAAAGCAGACTAACCCCATGGTCTCATTTCTAGTTTCAGGAAATGACTCGATTCAGTGAGAAACTACTCCTCAGTTCATATGCAGATACTCATAATTCCATCCGTGACTGATTTCAATCACACCTCTAGGCAACCTGATCAAAAGACTAGACGAGGACGAAGTGGACTTTTTACTACAAAGCAACATCGAAAACAGCAACACCAAACGACAAATACACGATCAAGATAAAGAAGAGTTAGAAAAGTTTAGACAGGAAGCTGGCTCTGGTCCATTAGAAGAGACTATACCCGTTGCTTCTGTAGTGCGAGAGATTGCTTCGGTTGTTGGTATACAGCCTAGTGCTAGCAGTACTGGAAGTGTGAAGGGACGAGTTATACAGCAGCATAAAAAGCAGTCGTTAGAAGGTGTTGTGAGGAAACGTAAGGGGATAGAGACTGGTGATGAGTCTGCGGACAAGAAGAGTGAAGAGCCAGCTGCAAAGAAGAAAGCAATAGCGACTAGTGCTGCACAGAAGCCCCCAGTGGCAAAAGGATTGAGTCTGTTGGGAGCTTATGATTCTGATGATGAAGACTCGTAGTGGGATGTGTAAATACTTGAATCTTTTTTCTTTTTTGCATGCTCATAGGAATGTAAGATAATGGACACTATGAATAATAATATAAATCATGAATGCTAACGCGTCGGCATCGCGTAATACGCTGCAAAGTTGCGTCACAGCACTCTCATTTCTCAAAAGCCAAGAACAGAGTAAATTGAGGGAGATCAGAGAGACGGACATTTGAAAACAAGTTACTTCTTGAAAACGCATAAATATCTTTACATGTGCCATGCTAGCTAGTTCATCATCAAGCTTCATGAGCCCACCATTATCATCATCAACCAACTCGCAGCAGCAGCATCACAATGTAATCAACGAGGAAACGAACGCTAGTGTGAATCGGGCCAACATCATATCTAAATTGACATTTCAACTGGTACAGCATACGCTTGGACATGCTCATCAGGATAGATCTGGTATGGATCTAGTTTGTTAAGAGAACGATATTAAAATTGGTGTTTGGATTTTTGGGGTTGGATGGAGCTGTATGAGGAGGAGCTATTGCAACTTGAAATTATTTAACAGTCTTGGTCTTTTATTTGGATTTAGACCATGTTCATCAATATGCTATGAGGATATTAGCAAGGTATGCACAAAAACAGCCATTCAAGATCGACTGTAACGCTTTTAAGCTAACCCAGAAGTTTTGCTATTTTCTAGTCGGTTGACTGTTCCAAGTTCGCATGATGTCTTCAAATTAGTTGATACGATGAAGAAAAATTGTAAGATCGCAACATTCATCTTAAGCAATATGGGGTTTTGTGCTCAATCAGTTATCCCTCAATATTAGTGGCAAAGAGAGACAATCGTCCTGAGAAGGCTGCTGAACTAGGAACTTTGGTTACAAAGCTATCCATCAAAGTAATAACTCGTGCGATGTGGATTGGTGATGATTATGAACTGACTTCTCGCACAACTATCCACAGAAAGTACCACAGGACAAGTGGTCTGTTCTGTATTTTCTCAACTCGCTGAGTGACAAGTTGGTCTTTTCACATCTGGATGGTGCTTCGTCTACGGCAGTAAGGTCGACGTTGCAGTTGAATAAAACATGTACCCTGGGAAGGTTTGCCTTTTTTACGCTGACATCATTCTCGGTAGCGTGATGAACCATGGATTCCATCGTCTCATATTATGGCTCCTCAAAAAGACATTCCACCGACATCTGCTGCTGCTCCCAGATTACAATCATATTCACCAACTCGAACGAAACAATCGAAAGGTAGCTCTTCTCCGAATCGACAACGAGCTGATATATATTATTCGTCTACAAGGGCTATTCGAGGTAAACAGAGGGCTCGAAACAACACGTGAAGCAGCAGAGGAAAACACATGAAAGTACCAGCCTATTCAGAACAGCAGCACTGAAACGTCTTCCTTTTCTAGAGGTCGATTTGGTTCGAGATATGATTTACGTCTTTCAAGGAATTGATGGCAAATTCGTCAAGTTTGATATATCACAAGATACGTATGTGGTTGATCCAGATGTGAGTTGGATGTCGTTGATCATATTTTCGTATTTATGGGCACCTTTTTTTTACGCGTTTCGCTTTTAGGTCGGAATTCCACAACCAACACAAGATATTCTCACGAAGTTATCTGAATTGGGATATCTATATCGACGAATACAAGAGTTTTTGGATTCAAGTAAACTAGACACTTCGATTGGGTTGGTTGGACAGGTATAAAAGAATGTGTCATCGAGTCGCTCGCCAACACTTAACAACCCCTTCACATGATTTCCTTAGAGTTTATGTTCAGCTCTATTCCAAGAACTGACTGATTATCATCGTCTGGTGGCTATTCTGGAGGGACAATTGAATATACCTGATGCATCAAGCATTCCCTCATTCTTTGTGGCATCTGGGTTGTCATTACGACGACTTGTTATTTGGACGCATGAGCCGTTACAGAGGCTGCGTATGATGGGTGTCATTGCTGATTTGTGTTCAGGTATCTCGGTGTTTTCTTCCACTTTTTGCTGTCATATGGGTATTTGCAGATCTCAAATTCTAACAAATAGGTCATCGTGGAGGGGCACTGATATCGCTTATATACAATTACATCAATCATGGTGATCCGTTCGTACAGCAGTTTATAAATCACCTTCTTGTGGAGGTGAGTCTTGGGAGATGCACAGCGCGGTTTTATTGGTAGTCACCAATTCGATGTCCCCTGGTTATAGGTTTCACGACCATTTTATGAAATGTTGACACGATGGATTTATGAAGGCGAAATTGATGATCCATTCAATGAATTCTTTGTCATGGCTGATCCAAGTGCTGATGATCAGAATCTATGGAGGTCAAAGTATTCTGTGAGACAAGACATGCTTCCCAGTTATATACCCAAAGCTGTTGCTCGAAAGGTAAAATAAAAAACCTAACAAATGAAACGATTCATGCGTTTCGTTGCTGATGCCTCTCGTTTCTACTTAGATCTATTTGATCGGAAAGTCTCTCAACTTTATACGGATCAGTTGTAAAGATTCGACGTTTGTCGTGTCCAACAAAGGAATTCATGGCTCGCAAGGTAGTCCAGCAATCAGCCATTAATTGAGGCCATAAGACATTTTTTTGCCGGTCTCGTCGGAAGCTGATTTATTTTCAACAAAACTGCAGGATTAGAATATGGAGATCTACACGCTTTAGAAACAATAGTAGAATCAGTCTATACCATCACCAGCAAAACTTTGTTGGACATTCTCTTCAATCGATACAAGCTCATGGAACACTTTGCTGCTCTCAAGAGATTCTTGTTGTTGGGTCAAGGAGACTTTGTGCAATATCTGATGGACTCATTAGGGTATGTCTCTATTTGATGCAGGCTTTTTCAGCAGTGATCTCATTCAACTAATTGTATTACATAGATCGAGTTTATCCAAACCAGCTAGCACCTTGTATCGACACAATCTGACTGGTACATTAGAAGCTGCCATACGATTATCAAATGCTCAATATGATGATGTTGATGTGCTAAAGAGATTGGATGTCAAGATCTTGGAGGTATACCATGACTTACAAAGTTCTTTTTGTTTTGTCGAGATGTAAATTGTAAGCCGTCGTATCATTAATCGATAGGTCTCGCCTGGTGATTTGGGATGGGACGTGTTTACATTGGAGTATCATGTGGATCCACCGATAAGCACTGTATTCACGCCACAAACTATGCATCAGTATGGCAAACTCTTTACATTCCTATGGAGGCTGAAACGAGTAGAACATGCTTTATCTTCAGCTTGGAGACAGCAAATGACACGAGCTCAATTGTTTCGCCAGGTCGAAGGTATTCATTGTGCAGGACGATTTTTTTTAAGTCTTTCTCATCAGAAATCTGCATTTAGGAATTGCCGCTGATTTCCATTATTCAAACGTGATTTGGTCGGAAATGATTCATTTCACGTATCAGTTGCAGTATTACATTCTGTTTGAGGTGAGGCTAGCTCTCACTGTGAAAGCTGTTTATCTTCGTGACCGAGATTTTTTTCGTGTTCCTTCCAGGTGTTGGAGTGCTCTTGGGATGAGCTAGTCAGTTTCATCAACAAGAAATCCGGAGACCTGGATTTACTGGTTCAAGCACACAACAAGTACCTTAATGGTATCATTACGAAAGGGCTGTTGGCGTCTGGATCCTATACTCCGTCAAATGTGAGGCATTTATACTTTCGGATAAAAGGTTCTTTTCTTGTGGAAGACCTGGCACTCATTTTCTTCTTTCAACTAGCAAAACTTGTTTCCAAGGCTTATGAAGTTGTTTGATACGATACTTCAGTTCCGAGTTGCTCGAGTAAGATCTGGGCCCTTGACCTTTGAATTTGTATTTGGGGTCCTTGAATCTCGCATTAATCAACCAATTGATTCTCTAGGACATGCTGTATCATCATGCTATGACAGAATTAAGGCTAAAACAAGTTGAAAATCAAGGCACATACAAAAAGAATTTGGAGGTGAGTGTGGAGCCAAGCAAAAAACATTCAGACTGCATGAAACATTAGTTTGAATCTCTTCCAACAATAGGGTCGTGTTGGGCTAAGTGAATCGGATGACAAACCTCCACCACCTTCACAATCAACAACATCCAGTACAGAAAATACTTTACAGACTGTTCGACAGAATATGAAGGATATCGCGATACTATTTCGGGTATGTGTACGAATTGCCATTCGGGCTCTTCTTATTTTTTCGCATATGGCAGGTGTTGACTACTAACGTCATATTTCAACAGGACGAATTGTCTGCCTTGATCACCATGATATCCAAGCACCCTGATACTAGTTTACGATTCTTGAGTTTCAGACTCAATTTTAATGAGTTTTATTCGGAGCAGTGATGAAATATAGATTATGCTTTGATCTGTTAAAATCTCGGAAATGGTTTGTTGCTGGATTTTGGTTTTGTCTAGTCAAGAAATCGTATCAAGAACGGGTTGTGTCGTAAAAAAGTTTTGATCTGGAGTAAATATTGCGGTTGATGGGGTCCTTTTTCGTTCGGTGTGAGGAAGCAGTTAGAATGACGGGAAAAGGACAACTACGTTGTTTGATCTTACTTTTGCACTGTGAAGAACACTGCAGCGTTCTCCATATATGGTCCGAAATCGCACATTGTTTGACAAGGAACAAAATATTCGAACATTGAACTATCTGGAAGTGACTGACGTATTGTATCTTGATTGTCAGCAACACCAACGACGTGAAGAACACTGTTCAACAGAATAAAAGAATAACGCCACATACACCACTATTCGCCAGAGCCAAGTTTCGGAGTAGGGAACAATGCTTGGGATTAGTGAACAATGGGCAAAGGAGTTGAGTGTCGATACACAAATCTTGTAATGAGCGGTGAGCAGGAATTACGCACCTTGCCATGAAGACATTTTACAATCAGTTTCTTTTGGCAAGTCTGCAAATTGGGACGACGACGATTCCTCAAAACACGTCTTACATATCAACACGAGTGGGTAGAGGCAAAGAAAATGAAATCTTATTGATCAAAATGGTTTTGTTGCATGTTCCTTCTTTTTGACTGCTCCCTAAAGAGCCAAAAAACCTGCCACGAGGCACTCAATTAATGACTGCTACTAGGCATAGCACTCATAATAGAGCCCTCAAAACGTAAATCCCATCCAATAGCTTCTCCAAATTTAGGTAGATTTTCAGCTACAGACACGACATCCTTGTCACCACGACCACTCAAACACAAGACGATATCTTGGTTTGCTGGTAATGTGGCAGCTAGTTTCATGATATGATAGATGGCATGTGCGGTTTCTAATGCTGGAATGATACCTAAGGAGGTGAAGCGTGTCAATGGTGTATATGGTGTGTTGTGATAAGTCTTGGGTTCATTTCTCGTGCGCCATTGTATCTTGTATCTTTTTTTTGCGCGTCTCCATCTTTTCCTTCTAGGGAAGCTCACCTTCTAATTCACACATCTTGCGGAAACCAATCATGGATTCTTTGTCAGTCACTGCAACGTATTCAGCACGTCCTGTATCCTTCATCCAAGCGTGTTCAGGTCCTACACCTGGGTAATCGAGACCCTATTAAACGCAGTGTTATGAAGCTGTACGGAGAAAAGTTTTGTTCCGTGCAGTGCGAAAAAAGCTGAAACCTCTACAACTTACAGCACTGATACTATGTGTTTCAATAATCTGACCATGTTCATCTTGCATGAGATATGTTCTCGTACCATGTAACACACCAGGACGACCAGCACTCAATGTTGCAGAGTGTCGTCCAGTTTCAACACCTAAAATTTTCAAAAGAAGAAAACGTTGAGCATCATGGACCAAAAAACACACAGAAGATGGCTTATAACACTAGGGATTGTCTTACCATCACCAGCAGCTTCAACACCAACAATACGCACAGACTTGTCCTCCACAAAGGGATGGAACATGCCAATCGCATTTGATCCACCACCCACACAAGCAACAACAGCATCAGGCAATTTCCCAATAGTAGCCATCAATTGCTCACGAGTTTCCCGTCCAATAACGGACTGGAACTCTCGTACCATCAATGGGAACGGATGTGGTCCAATAGCAGATCCGATAATATAATGAGTAGTATCAACATTCGTCACCCAATCTCTCATGGCTTGGTTTATAGCATCTTTTAATGTTTTTGATCCAGAATCAACGGCAACGACCCTAGCACCCAATAAACGAATACGGAAGACGTTAAGTGCTTGTCTTCGTACATCTTCTGATCCCATGTATATGATACACTCCATTCCGAATTTGGCACAGACTGTGGCGGTCGCTACCCCGTGTTGTCCTGCTCCTGTTTCTGCAATGATACGCTTTTTGCCTAAGCGACGGGCTAATAGGACTTGCCCTAATGCATTGTTGATTTTGTGGGAACCTGTGTGGTTCAAGTCTTCACGTTTCAGCCAGATTCGTGCACCACCTTTATGTTCGTATGAGTTAGCGAGTTAGTCGCAAAAAAGAACCCGAATTGACCAACAACTCATACCGGCTTCTTTGGTCATTCTCTCTGCAACATGTAATGACGATGGTCGTCCCATAAACTGATAATGTGACTTGAACTCTTCCCAGAATGCTGGATCACTTTTAGCTTGCACAAACGCCTGGGGGTTTTCGGAGAGAGGACGAGATGAGTACAGGTCAACGACAGACATTTTTGATCACAGCTTGAAATTTCCCATTCAATCCATCATTTACCTTTTCAATCTCATCTAAACAATCCACTAATGATTCAGGTGCATACTGACCACCGAATTGTCCAAATCGATCGTCAAGAATGTGTTTGGGAAGGGCCTATACTCAAGAATCATATGAGCTTTTTTTCTCTTCTTTAAGTACGAATTCGCTTACATGATGTTCAGTAACATGTCCGTTACTCGAAGGTATTGAAGGTGTGACTGCTGTTGCGGTTGTTCCATTGGCATGAGCTAAAAAAATTCATCCGGTCAAACTCGTCATGATCAAACTAGCTCAGCATTTGCTAGTCGCATACGTTTTGTACTATTGAAACCAGTCACATATTGAGCATATTCTTTCACTTTCTGAGCCCTCTCGCTCTTGCCTAAAACGTTGTACTATGAGCACCATATAGGAGACGACAAATACGACATAGATGACATCCATACATACCAGCCTTGTCAAGCGTAGTAATAATCTGCGATCCAATAACAACGCCATCAGCATGTAAGGCGACGGATTCAAATTGTTCTCTTGTAGCAACACCAAATCCAACAGCTAATGGCACATTAGTGTATTTCCGAATACGAGCCAAGATGTTTGGTAGTTCGACATTGACTTGAGATCTTGCACCTGTCACGCCCATTGTAGATACCACATAAATGAATGCGTCAGCGACTGATGCGAGGGATTGTATTCTGGCTTCGGTAGTTGATGGGGCAATCATTGGAACGTAACTTAGTCTATTCAACAAGAAGAGACGATGAGAAAGAGAGATCAAGTTCCAACGACCCAATAACGTCCTTGACGAATTCATACCCCTTCTCCACACATAAATCCCTGAAACGAACAGACTCTTCAGGCGGTAAATCAACAACAATAAATCCAGAAATTCCAACATTTTTACAATCATCCAATAGTTTTGCTTCTCCGTAATTCAAAAATGGGTTGTAGTATCCCATAAGTATGACAGGCACTGTTAGGCCTTTGGAGCGAGCTTCACCAGTGTATGCTATACATTTCTCGAGATCGGTTCCATTCATTAATGCTCTCTAATGTGCGTGAAAGATTCAGTCAGAAATGCTGAGAGTTTTAAGACTTTCTTTTTTGCTGGTGATCTTACATGCCCAGAGTCTTGAATTGTTGGACCATCAGCTATTGGATCTGAGAATGGCACACCTATCGAGTGCAGATTGTGAGTTGTGATTAGCTCAACCAAAACACAAGCTTGCACAGACAATACAGAACCCACCCAGCTCAATGATATCAGCTCCTCCTTGTTGCAGAGCCAGCAAGACATCTACAGTATCTTCAGCTTCAGGGAATCCAGCGGTGACAAAGGCCACAAACGCAGGTTCTAAGTTAATGTACAGCAACAGTAGTTTAGTATGACGTGGTTGAAGTTTTTTTGATGTTTCCCGATTTGATCAATTTGACTTGAAACAATGTCGATCAAACAAAGGCATAGAAGTAATCATTCAGATATCCAACTAAACTATCATTGGCCTCTCCCAGTCTTTCTTCCTTGTTCATAAAATCATTGCTCACAAAATATCCCAACTCCGCTTGTGCTTGGCTTTTCATGATGAAGAGACATGCCATCGCTTTCTCAACAAGAAAATAGCTATGTGGCGAACTTACTTTGCTCTGCCTTCGCCTTTCTAAACGTCTCTGTAAGTGCTGCTGACATAGTTTCTCTTGTCTTAATTTGAAGCGAGTCAAACGAAAACACGATCTTATCGGCTATTACATTCGTGCGTTCCGAAAAACATATATATATATATGACATCTGACCTAATTGCAAGTCGTATTCTTTGCTCCTTGTTTGAAATGCACTCTTTTTACATACAAGAAAACTACTCTTCATCCAACACAACCAGCCTAGGTGCAATATTCATAGCCATCAACTCCTGGAAGAGAAGTTTGGCGGCGTATGGTATAAACACCTTTGAGACCTACATAAATAACTCGCGTGTCAGTTTCATACCAAAAATTGCTTCTCCACCATTGAAAACACTTACTTGAGTAGTATTTCGACAACTTCGACATTCAAACTTGTTAGTCTTAAGATTTGCAATAGCAATCAGACCACATATATCACAAACGTGTAATTGATATGCATCCGACGCATCGAATAATCGTTCCTATAATAAGCAATTTGGTGAACCAACATGCAAAGGAGGTCTCACTAAAACGAGGTATTGTCGCGACCTTGCGACGCGGTGAATCCATACCTTCAAGAACTGAGCAGCACCATGAGAAATCATACAATCACGTTCCATCTCACCGAAACGTAAACCACCATCACGAGCACGACCTTCCGTTGGTTGACGTGTCAGCATTGTAACAGGACCACGACCTCGAGAGTGAATCTAATTTCATAGCAGTGACACGTTTGAGCTTTCCTTGGTTGACCAATGTTGACGAAACAAGTGCTTGTAAATGATTGCAACACTGAAGTTCTATCGGTACTCACCTTATCGTCAACCATATGCTTAAGACGCTGATAAAAAGTCGGTCCAGTAAAAACTTGAGCTTCTAGTTTACGCCCAGTATGTCCATGGAACAAGACTTCAAATCCTCGCTTCTGGAATCCATATTCTTCCAATTCACGTGATATGTCAGCTACAGTCGTATCGGTAAACGGTGTAGCATCTCCTTCCTTTCCTCGTAATGCTCCAACTTTTGATAACAGACACTCAACCAAGTGACCAATAGTCATACGTGATGGAATGGCATGTGGATTTATAATGAGGTCTGGTGCAATGCCTTGTGCAGTGAAGGGCATGTCTTCTTGACGATATGTCATACCAACAGTGCCCTTTTGACCGTGACGACTAAAATATGAAAACCAGGATTTTGTAAGAGGCAAAAAAGCACAAATGCATAATGTTGATTACTTACGAAGCAAACTTGTCTCCTATCTGAGGCACACGCATAGAACGTACTCGGACCTTAACAAACTTGTATCCACTATTGTTCTCCGTCACCATAACTTGATCAACAAAACCAGTCTCGGCTGCCCGGAGTGATGTCGATATATCACGTTTGGTTTGTTGAGTTTTGCCAGCAGCTTGTCCAGCCTCTTCAGCAGACAGAGGCATGGTCTGTTGAAGTCGAGGGTTTGTGAGTAGTAGTAGAAGTTGAGCAGTAGTTCTCGATAAACTTCAAACCCAACTGATCACCCCAACTTACCTTTCCAATAAGTATATCATCACCAATAACAGTTTCGCCAACAGCGATTATACCATCATCCTCCAACTTGTTATATGACCCATGCTTCATTCTCAGAGTGGTCTCTCGAGTAGGTTTCTCAATCGTTTCACTCAAGTTGGAACGACCAACCTTCTTTTCCTGATCAATGTATGTTCGATAAAACATGGATCGGAAGAGACCACGATCAATCGATGACTAGTTTTGAGATCAAACAGAGTCAGAAATCAGATACAACGTTTTCACAAAAAAAATAAGCTAGCAGAGAAACAAAATGGAACATACTTGATTCATGATCATCGAGTCTTCTTGATTGTATCCACCATAACAAGCGATGCACACAATAGCATTCTGACCAGCTGGCAACTCAACAAACTTGAGATATTGCATGGCTCGTGTCACACCCAGTGGTTTTTGAGGCTACCGGCAAAGAAGGGTAAGATTCGCACTAAACAGCGCTGTATACGTTGAACACTCACATAAAACAAGACGTTCATCATAGTATCCATTCTCAACTAAACAGGAAGCTTAGTCAGAACAAAAAACCAAAAAAATCTTTTGTGGCACATTCATAGCTGACCTGGTAATTACTCAAGAACACTCCCATAGCTTGTTTACCCATAGCAGATTGATATGTGTTACGAGGAGACTAGAAAGATTCCAGAAATTTGAGAATCCTGAGAAATTGAATTTTCATCGAATCTCAAACATACCTGATTGTGATCTGGGAAAGGGATGATACTAGCACAAACTCCCAATATCATACTTGGATGAATTTCGCAATGACTGTATCGATGTACGTTCAATTCAATCTGATCAATTTGTTCCAATTGCTTTCGATGTGTAATCAGATCAGATGGGAACATGCAAACTAGACATGAGCAAAAAACGAAGAAGTTGTTAGATGGAGCAATTTCAAGTGAAACTAAGCAGTAACTTACTCATGACGGTTTCTTCTTCTTCTGTATCAAGCAATTCAACAACACCATCCTTCAAAAACATTTCCCATTCAAAGATCTAGAAAACGGAGCAAAATCATCAATCAGCTTTCAAGAAGCAAAAAAAGCTCCGGAAAGATATTGAATCTCTCAAAGACGTAACACATACCGGAGGCTCCTCTCTTTCCTCCTCTGGAATACTGTCATCTGGCTTCTCTAATGACTTTTTAAAGGTGCGAACTAGAGACGGACTCAGTTCCCACTTGAGTTTTTGAGCGTCATCATCAACCACAAAGAGTGGCCTTTGAATACGTCCTGCATCAGAGAATACACGAATCTCCTTATCTCTGACATCCCAAATAACGGAAATCTCGGCAGATATATCACCACCTCGTCGGAGATCTTTTAAATACTTTACAATCTGCGCCGGATCTCGATGAATACCAATCCATGATCCATTCAAGAATATTTTACTAGATCCTTCAATCTGGTTTGCCGATATATCGGCAAATCGTTCCATGGATACCTCATCCAAGAATTCGACAATGGGTTGGGTTGGTGTTCCAACAGATATGGTAGCCATAAGCGATAGATTCTTTACAAGACCACAAGCTTGGCCTTCTGGAGTTTCAGCAGGACAGACCATACCCCAATGAGTGTTGTGAAGTTGACGTGGTCGAGCGAGTTTACCATCACGACCAATGGGAGTATTTAGACGACGCAAGTGCGATAGAGTGGATACATATGTGTATCGATTCAGCACTTGAGAGACACCTGCACGTGCTTGCATAGCCTTTGCTTGATCACCCCAATTACCAGTTGCTAGGGCATATCGTAACCCATTTGTGATGGTGGCACCTCGAAGACCACCAATGATTCTCACATCAACACCCGATTTTGAGTCAAGAGTCTTGAGAATGAAGAGTCAATTGACATCCAAAAAAAGAAGACGGAACGCCGGGGTAATGACTTACTTTAGTAAGATGTTTGCTCAAATCCTTGGTGACCTTTTGGAAGTAGAGACGGAAGAGACCAGCTAATAATGGACCAGCCAAGTCCAATCTCTTTTTTCCAAAATGATCACGATCATCTGTCTCTCGGCGTTCCATAGCAGCTAGCAGTAATCGATGAATCATATATCCAAAGAAATAAGCCTTCTTTGTCATTTGGGATGATTGCATGGCAACGTGAGGAAGGAATTCCTTTACAAGAATGTCTTGAGCGTACCTACAATGCCATAGGGTGAGAAATCTTGCAAAGAATGACTGCATTTTACAGCAAGTATGTCCATTGCTCTATGTTTACTTTGTTCTCTTGTCTCGAGTGTAATTGGCAGCTTGGCCACGAGCTGCAATATGCAATAGAGCTACAGTCTGGTCTTGAATCGAAAAGGATTCTTCAATACATGGCTAAAAACAAGGATTGTCAGAAAGCTTAATGTGATGACGAGGCAAGCATATTCTCACCTTGAGATATTCGAGCATTTGAGAATCGTTAAAATCGTAACACTATGAAACAATGCAGGTTAGGACATTCAATCCAACTTGACAGAACACACGCGGAATACTTGCAATATGGGAGAGGATGTCAGCATCAGGTATGATATTCATGGCTCGAAACACGACAAATATAGGAAGGTCGGTTTTGATGTAGGGCATTGACGTATGGATGACTTTGCCACCAATGCTCTGTTGAAATAAAATGAAGATACTGCGTTAGTTCATGCTTATCGTGATTGCCATCATCATCATTTTACCATCTTTTTTCTGCCCTTTTCTCCAGGTGAGGTTAGTTTGAGCATAGTGGCACTAGCCTTCTTGTGCCCATCAGACAACTGACTACGTATTTCGGCAGTGAATGACACTGCAGATCCTGGTGCTTTCTGGAAGACATAGACTTGATTGGTAGCCATTCGTTCTTGAGCGATCAGCACCTTTTCCGATCCATTGATGACAAAGTATCCTCCCTTCAAACGAAGTCCATGGGTGAGCAGCGAAAAAAGCGAAGGAACAGATGCCAAATGAAGACGCTTACAGGATCAGGAGGACACTCTCCGACAGCTTCCATAGTCTCCACTTCCATTTCGTCCAACCAGCAATACTTTGATCGCAACCTATGTAGAATGCAATGTTCAGCTTCTTCGTTCGCCAAACGGAACAACGAAAGCTACTAATCGCTTACATGATGGGAACATAACCAAGGCTTATCTTTTCATAAAAACCATCGTCAGGTAGTGGCTCTTCAATCCACGACGCTGGATCAGCCTTGTCTGCTGTGTTGTTGGTGAGAGTAAACAGTTGAGTCTTTACATCGACCATCAATGATGCTGCGTATCTAGATATTCAAATCGAAAAGTTATCAATGACTATGATATAATAAATTTCGGCAAGATTTTCAACATACGTTAAGTCACGAAGTCTTGCATCTTGAGGATATAGCTCCCGATCGGCACCATCGCCTTCTCTATGCCTTGGTTTGGACATGGCGACCTGACCAAATGATACGACATACTTTCTCTAATCGATGAGAAACAAACGTTCAGAGTCGTTTTGTCAGAATTCAATACTAGAGTCCATCAGTGCAATCAGATAGATGGCGCCCTGTTAAATGGCATATAAAGCGACTTACGGTGACATCTTCTTCATCACCAGTATGCTGGGCGTTTGTCTGTACAGTCACTTTGCCAGTTTCGTCGACGATTTCCTGGATTGTGTTTTCGACAAATTCGTTAAATGAGGAGAGTTGTTGACGGACCAGTCCTCCAGCCGAGTTGAAAAAGCAAGATATAATGGACCAGCATTCTTCTTGAGTGATTGGAGCTACTTCCTCCTCTATTGAAAGTAGTGTATGAGTTTGGGATGTTTGGTAATTGCATTTTGCTTGAAGCTTTTGCTTGTCTTGTTTGTTCAATGTCCATGAAGGCAATGGTGGCCTTACCATCAAGATCAATGATGTCGTCGTCGTCCATGACAGCATTCGCTCTTTCTCATGCGACTCTCTCTTTGGCAACTTTGTGAAGAGTGAAAGCGCAAGGAAATCAAGATCGAGGCCAGTACTGCCCATGGACCCGATTTGTGATAAAGATCTCATAATTTAAATTCAAATAGATTTAGGCAGATTAATCCACTGGTCACCGCGCACTTGGCCATAAAGGCTGCATGTCGATCACAGCAGCTTTAATACCTAGTCTTTTCGCGTCATTAGATATCACTACTGCCTTAATGCGTTAGACTACGCGGATCTTGCCAGCGTGTCTTGTTGAGACCATTGGTCTTTGTCAGACCATTGCGCATCTTGTCGACCAACTTTTCCAAACTGACGACGATGACGACGAAGATGGACAAAAAACGGCCAGTACCAAAGTCTTTCACAAATAAGAACTCTAAAAAGAAGAAGACAGCCGTCGAAAATGTGAAACAGAAGCGCATCAGTGATGTTTTCTCATTCAAGGGTGACGGTTCTGAACCTGACATTCCTCAACCCATTGGCATCCCCAAACCTGTCGAAAATGTACCCAGGCTCATCTCTGAACTAGTCGTCAGAGGTGTGCCAGTTGCCTATCCATTCAAGGTGTGGTAGATCAAGAGGGAACGGTCGCTGACGTTGGATCCAACACACATGCAGCAGTCGCTGATGTTGGATCAAACACACATGCAGCTGTCGCTGATGCCAATCCTTTCTCTCCCAACTCTGTATTAGCCTTATCCGTCGCAGGTTGCAATGACTGCAAAGATCATCTCGGCATTGCAACTGTCTCAGAATGCTCTATTGGAGAGGTATTTCACCACAAACTGCTATCGATCTCGACCTCTTTGAGCTCATACAATCACTTATATCTACAGCCCAACTGGTACTGGCAAGACATTGGCACTACTTGTCTCAGTTCTTGCATGGCGTGAAGCTGACAAGACACGTCAGATACAAGAATGGAATGCATTGCATGCCAAAATGGAACAAGAATCAATCGAGGCCGAGGCTGCTGCTGGTCCTTCATCACCTTTAAAGAAAGACAACCAACCACCCAAACGCAGAGAACCTATACAGATTGCAATGGATGACGATGATGACAATGACTTTGTCACCCAGAAACCCCGTAAAGTACCTCAACATGAAAATGTTGTAGATCCTTTACCTCCTCTTCCTGTAATCAAAGCAGTCGCACCCAAGAATCAGGAACCACTCAAACTCAAACTCCCAAAGATTTACTTTACAAGTCGTACCCAAAAACAGTTACAACAGGTCATCAAAGAATTGAAGAATAATGTCACATATCGACCAAAGATGGCAATATTGGGCAGTCGTGAACATATGTGCATCAATGTAAGCGGATGTTTTCAAACGCAAAGTTTGAGCTCTGTTTCATTGCTACTCTGTTTCATTGCTACGTCAGCTATGAGATTTGCTACCTACTGCTAACCACTTTTCTTATTGATGAAACTAGCCTACAGTAAAACGTGCAGAAAACAAGAATGAAAAGTGCGATGAGGTGGTCACATCCGATTCATGTAAATTCTTCCACGGCGTCAGGAATCTACGAGCAAATCCAGTCCTTTCATCGGGCATATGGGACATCGAAGACATTGTAAGCATCGGAACTCGCAGAACTGGGTGTCCTTACTTTACTGCAAGAGCCTTTGCCGAAACAGCAGATATTGTATTTGCTCCTTATAACTACTTGAGTACGTGGCCAACATAAAAGAATCGATATCATATCACCAAACATATTAAAATCATTCCATACTTATTCATTTATTTATTTAGTTAATCCGCTGATTCGTCAAGCCCTGGAAATCGACTTGGAAGGAGCTATTGTCATTATAGACGAAGCACACAACACTGAAGATGCTGCTGCTGATTCAGGAAGTGTCGAGCTTACAGAAGATGCTCTCAAGACTGCTGAAGATGACGTGAGTTCATAGGCGCTCATTGAATAGTCTTTTCTCGGATTTTGTATGTAACTTTTCGCTCACTATTTGTAGTTGACCGAGTTGAGTACATCAGGGCATCTACACGAAGAATATGCAAAGCTACTCCATGTAGTCCAATCTTTCAGAAATTGGTTAGCAGGGAGTGACCAAATCGATTTCAACGTAACGGATTTCGACCGATCTCTGAAAATCCATTCTGGACGAGAGGCTGTCAAAATCTTTGAACGAATTGGACTAATAAAAGGCAGTGAATTAGCCTTGAAGGAAGCTTTACAAAGGATTATGAGTGAACAAAGACGTGAGCTCGATATTCTCACCCTCAGCACTTTTGTTGCTCAGTCAATACGAGCTTTGATCATGGTTATGGGATACTTGTTTTCGGAAGATTCTGTTGATGGTAGGATCTTGCGTTTCTATCTCAGTTATTTGTCTTACAATGAAACCTTTATCCCACAGACTTCAAGATGGTCATTTGCAAGAAACCGTACAGGCATGCTTCTAGTAAGACTCTATATTCCGTATGATTCTCCTTCTCTTCTTACACTCTTACCCAATCTACAATCTGGAAATAGCTCCAAGTCGAACAGTACAATACTCAGTAGGATTCTGGTGTTTGAACCCAGCCGTCATCTTTCAAGAGATAACAAACTCGGCCAGGTCTGTGATTTTGACCAGTGGAACTTTGAGCCCTTTGAATTCTTTCGCTAGTGAATTGGGTGGCGTGTTTGATCAGAGGTTGGAGGCTACACATGTGATTGCCAATGACTCGGTAAGATTTGCAGCAGATAGACCAGAAACGCAAAGGTCTTAGAAAATTCTTCAAACTTATATAGGTTTGGGTTGGTGTTGTACCAAGTGGACCAAATGGAAAGGCAATTCATGGCGTATACAAGAATTTGGATTGCTTCGAGTGAGTCAAGTTACTTCCTTTGTCTTAAAATGACTGTCTTTTTTTGGATTAACACTCGTTTCCACAGATATCAAGATGAAGTTGGACAATCCTTGTTGAATTTCATGAGCCTAATCCCTGAGGGCATGTTGGCATTCTTGCCAAGCTATTCCGCGCTGGATAAATTAATGAATAGATGGAAGTCAACTGGAGTCTTGAAGGAAATGGAGAAGCTGAAGAAAGTCTTTACAGGTTTGTCCCGTTCTCTTATATTTTCGTGTCAGGGTTTCTATTTTCCAAACAAGAATACGTTTGACTGTAGAGCCAAAAGCAACTGGGCGTGGAGAATTCGAACAAGTCATGCAAAGCTACGAAAATAGCATTCAGGCTGGCCATGGAGGTTTCATTTTGTGTGTTTACCGTGGAAAGATGAGCGAAGGAATTGATTTCTCAGGTATGCTTGAGCTTAATTCGTCTTCACACCTTCCAAGCTCACACACCTCAAACTCCTGAACATAGATAGTAAAGCTAGAGCAGTCATTGCTATTGGAATTCCGTATCCAAATACTAAAGACATCAAAATCCAACAAAAACGACTCTACAATGATCAAAAATCAAAAGTCAAAAATCTACTGACTGGTGGTGAATGGTATGAGATACAAGCCTGGAGAGCGGTCAATCAAGCTCTTGGCAGGTGTATAAGACATCGCAATGATTGGGGTAAATTTCTATCTTTTGTTTGTCAGCATTGTGATTTTTAGCAAGCTGATTCTTTCCTCCACGAACCGATCTAGGTGCCATAATATTACTTGACCAACGATTTACCAACAACAAGGCTCGAGAATCACTTTCCAAGTGGATTCGAACCAAAAGCACCATCCGAAATGACTTTGCCTCATCTGAGCAATCTTTGCGGGAATTCTTTCAACGACGAACCGCTCCACCTTTACAAGTAAAACACGAGCAATTGGCTGTAGATAGCACTATAATCCATATGGAAATGCCACCGCAAAATATGGATATAGGACCAAGGCAGAATATGTGGTTGCCCGAGGCTGATACAACTATAGTCAAGATGGAAATGCTGCAAAAGATGGAGATAGAACCAAGGCAGAACATATTGTTGGCCAAGTCGAATCATGTTGTGGTGTCTGATCAGATTGAAGATACGACAACTCCCAATCAAAATACTCTCACAAGACGAATCAGTGACCACCCAGCAACTGCTTCTTCTGAAAATTCGCCTATAGTAGCATTAAAGAAATTGTTTGCAGAAGGTCAAAATGAAATTGCTGGAAGGTCATTGAGTAATATGAATGCTCATCAGCCTTTGATATCAGATTCATCTTCGCATGCTCTGATGGTGAGTTTATATGTGTCATGCTTGAAGAAATAGTCTAACAAGTTTCATTCATAGGCAAATCAACCCGTAGACGACTCTCCACTTCCTGTACACTGCATACAATGTAATGCAAGCTTGGGTGTCGCTGTCGGACTGACGACTAACGAAGCAGCCAAACTTGGGATGCAGTTCTTACTTGACAGAACTGGTCCCATTATGAAGGTCAACGGACCTAAACTTGGTCTCACAAACAGCACAATCAAACATACTGTTGTAGAGGATGGTATGCTCTTGATGGTTGCTGTCTGTGCATGTGGTGAACGAGTTGGGTAAGCAAGGTTATCTGGAAGAATGCGCTACCTGGGGATCTCGTCTGATTGTTTCTCTCTACATAGCATTCAAGTGGCAGGTGTCACGACACTGGATGTGCCATCACGACTTGGTGCTCTCTATGTTGTAGTTCCAGATCAGATGGAAACGGCTCCTCCGCCTCCTTTGCCACCATCACCGAATAGTCCCAAGAGGATCCACAAGGAGTTTTCATTTTCACAGTTTGACGATATTGTTGTAGATGGTTATTAGTTGTTAGATACTTGGTGATTTGTGGTTAAGTCAAATAATTCAAATGATGGTGATTTGTGGTAAAGTGAAATGTTTAAAAGGATGGAGCAAAAGATGGAAGAAACATATGTACATAGTTTTGCATCCATAATAGAGATTACATGATTTCGCATGCGTCAATGCTACGTATAAAATCTACAGATTTCTATTTCAGACGAGAATTGTATCAAACTAACAGAAGTACTTCGCGTTCGTCTCGTTCAAAACTCGAAACTTACACCGATCATTCGAGAACGAGCCCAGAGAGGCAACTGAAGGGCGCCATCGCCTGGAGAGTGACGTAAACAAGAACCTGCCTTACCGGCGCGGGCCTTGCCTCTCTGTTCGTTGACGTAGAAATGGTTTTGACAACGTCCAAATTTGTTTTCACTTTCGAGGTTTGAGGAATGTTGGACCGGTCTCGAGCCAATTTCGAAGGCTATATCGATTTATGGAATGCTGGATATGCATGGATGCTGCTTGCTGAGTTGCAAAATCGCTCACGATGCACCAAATACAGACAGACCTAAATATTTAGTGAGTGGTTTGCAAAAGGCAGCCCAACACCACACCACCCATCACTTTATTCGAATGATTCTACAGTTCTATCTTCTTCTCATTTTCTCTCCTACTTCTCCTAGTACCTTTAGGTTACTGTATGTAGTGGTCACTAGAAAAATTCGAGAGCCGATAACACGTATTGGAATTGTAGAAATATATTTCGCGGTGTCGTCTTTGCAGTTCGAATCCATTTCAAGTCGTGAAACGCCTGCTTTATTGCTTCTGAAATTGCAAGATAATCATGAACATATAGGTTGGAGGTGAATGCTAATTTTACGGTGCAGGAGAGCATCATACAAAGCAATATCGTCTATATCCGCTTTTAAATCACGTCCCCTCATCGTTGGTAGCCTGCTTACTTTTCAAACAAGAATCAAACAACCAATTTCTGGACCAGTGCCAACCACTCCTGGACGATTTGCAGCATTTGCTTCATTAAACAATAGTCAGTTATCCGATATGGCATCTGGATCTTCTCATACCAGGGATGCATTCAGAATTTTTCGAACATCTGAAGGAAGATTGCTCATCGAGAGGCCATTACGAGTGACAAAGAACCAGGCCGAAGCTACTCAATTTCTGGTATTTGATACGGATGGGAGTGCATCTGTTAGAGGTCAGTTGGAATACGTGCATCGTCGACGCCAAAATTCAAAATTTCAATATTATATAGCACGACGCGATGTTTATCCTACAGACACTGGAGCTATTGCCTCAATATCAGAGGCGTTTGGTATTGTTGGAGTGCTTAATCTCGCATTTGGTAAGCCTGATTGCGACTTGAACAATCCACTCGCAAATACGGGGGAATAGGGGACAAGCCCTGGATTGATTTAAATATTGTGATCAAACCTTTCTGTTGTTCTAAGCTCCCTTATCATCGTTTCTGAAGTGGCCGTTTTATACAAATTTAGCCAGTTACTTGTTGGTCATCTCTGCCAGATCTCTAGCTGCTACTTTGCAATCACACAAAGTGTATCGTATCATAGCTGGTAACATTCTAGTCATTGGAAAAGGCCCTATAAACACCTTAGATAAATATCAACCGCCCCAATCAGCTCCTGAAGACTTGGCCAAGTTTTTAGCGGATCAGGAAGTCTTGCAAGATATATCTCAATTGCTCAACTGTGGTCACTTGTATTATTCTAGCTCCTACGACATTACTCACTCCTTACAACACAATTATCTGTCGACGAATAAGAAGGCAGTCAACACCATCATTGACGATCGGTATTGGTTTAACAAGCACCTACAATCTCCATTATTGGCATCGTCATCGACATCCGATTATAGTCCATGGGTTTTAAAAGTCATGTGTGGATTTGCTGGAACTGTAGACATCAAAGTCCCATCAACAGCAACTGCACCTGTATCAGGCAAACAGAACTCACGACTCTTTCAATCATACACTATAACCCTCTTGTCTCGGCTAAGCACTAGACGTGTCGGCACACGATATGTACGACGTGGTCTCGATTTAGATGGTAACGCAGCCAACTCGGTCGAATCAGAACAAATCACCTTCCCTGCCGACTTTATCAACGATAAAATGATTGCATCATATGTGCAAACACGTGGCTCCAAACCTGGTTTATGGTCTCAAGAGTTGGATTTGAGTTATCGACCTGAAATCAGAATGGTGCATATTGAAAAGCCTCCTGCTGCTGAAAGTATTCAACGTCATTTCGAGGATTTGAAGAAACAGTATGTTGGTGAACAGACTATTGGTGGTGGTGTTAACTCTGGTAAAGTGCTGATGCTCAACTTGTTGGATGATCGTGGATTTGAAGCTCGACTTACCAAGGTTTGTCGTATAAGTTTTCTTTGGTGACTCTGAGCAGGCATCTCATCGTCTACCTTCTAATTCAGGCTTATGAGGAAGCGGTTGGAATGTATGGTGATGAGAAGAAATTTGTGTACGAAGGTTTTCCAGTCAATCGGTGAGATACATTCCGTACGATTATCACATATTTTACCCTTCGTCGTCGTTGAACTCGCTTCTTGTACAGGTACTGTCGTGGTATGAATTACAAGAACATGGACTTGTTGGTGGACCGGGTAAAGTCCGATGTGGCTGGGATGGGAGCTTTTGTCGCTGAGGGTGATGTGCCTTCACTAGCAAGTGGTGGTTCTCTTCGAATCATTAAATTGCAAACCGGAATTACCAGAGTCTCTTGCCTCGACTCCCTGGATCGCACCAATTTGACTCTCACAATCTTGGCTCGACATATATTGGCGTCCCAGCTATATAGCATATTAGAGTCACCATCAACAGCGTCGTCCAAGGACCCACCATTGTATATACGTGAAGCAATAACCATTAGTATTCGAGATATTACAAATATGTGGGCAGATTCAGGAGATGCTGCTTCATTGGTATATGCAGGAACGAGAGCTTTGCGAGCTGATGTCACAAGGACGGGCAAACGTCAAAAGATTAAAGGGTCGCTTGATGATGGACTGAATGCCGTTACTCGATAGTAAGTGCGGGATAGAAATGCATCTAGCTGCAGTTATCTCGACCTTAATTCCCGCTCACTCTGAACATTCATTCTCTTCGATCATACCAGTTATTTAAATAATTTCGTTGATGGCCGTCGTCAAGATGCTCTGGTAATAAAAAAAGATTTTAAGACTTTGAATCTTGGAAAATTTTGACCAAGTAGTTTTGATTTAGGACTTGTGGACTGGTCGAGCCAACTCAGAAGATGTAGCTGAATATGCCACAACACACGTATCACAGCAAGTACAAAGATTGGCACATCCATTCTTTATAAAATCTGGACCAGGAGCATGGATGCCCAACATCTTGTCTGACTTTTTGGAGCCATTGCTTCAAGCTAGTCAGGAATATTCTCAAACATTGAACCAACGAGGCAATGCATTATCACTATCTGCATGGAGAAAACCCCACTTTGCTCCAGATGACGAGCTATCACGAAAACCATTATCATATCCAGCATTTATGGTCACAGTCTTGAAGTTGTATGCTCCAGCAAGGATTCAGTCGGCCTTTGACTTTATGATCGCAATAGTGGTTTTCTTGTTAGTGGCCACTATCAGTCGAGTCTTTGCTATACCGGGTATTCTTATAGCAGACAAGTCGAGATTCTCGAGGGAATATAAGAAAATACGGGAATTGGGAGCTACCCCGTCGACGGTCAGTGTTGCCAGTAGCAGTAAAAAGTAGTTATCATTATAGAAGTTTGTATTGTAGTAAAGACTGTCAATGGTTGTAAGAAACACGTATATGCACGTTTATATGATATTCATTCGTTTCCTTTTTTGTGCTGTACTTCTATTCCTCACCACATCCGTTTCTTGTGACGCAGCTGCAATTATGTATCGACCCAAGCACTATCAAATCGAGAAATCTGAAGCAATAGCAGTAGCCCAAGCATCGTCATTAGCTACTCTTATTACAGTGAATCGAGATGGAGAGCCAATCGCATCACACTTGCCGATGCTTGTCAAAGAATCTGCAAATGGACAAGTAACACTTATAGGACACCTGGCGAGAGCTAACCCGCAATGGAAGCCCTTCTATCCTCTTCGAAACGTGCTGGTTATTATGCAGCCTGATGCTTCATCAGCGTACATTTCACCAACGTGGTTCAAAGGTTTGCAACCAAACAGCACATCACCGCATACGGTCATATCAGGAATTGTTTCGCTAATTATCGATTCTTTAGAGACAAAACCATCAACGCACAACGTAGTCCCGACATGGAATTATGTTTCTGTGCATATGTGGGGACAAATGATAGTGGTCCACGCACCTGAGGATGTAAAAGCAATCGTGAGGGAGCTAACGGATCATCATGAACACGGAAGATCTAAACCGTGGAGTATCGATGATGCACCTGCTGAATATATTTCCATGATGCTGGATGGTATTGTTGGAATCACGATAACTGTGGAAAGGATTGAGGGAGTCAAGAAAGTGTCGCAAAATAAAGGTGACGTTGATTATAAAGGTGTTATAGAAGGGCTGGAGAGCGAGGGAGCTAGTAAGCCTGGTGCGCTTGGTGTTGCTGCGGAGATGAGGAAGCTGAGACCAAAGATCTAGAATTGTAATTCATATGTGAAAAACTGCTACTACTAGATATTATTTTTCTCCAACTACTGGGACTAATTTATTTTCTCAAAAACGGGATTTCTTATAAAGACGTACAGGTTATAATGTAAGCGAAAAATATTCAATCTTGTAAGCACAAAAAATCACCAAAAAGGTACAGAGGGTTGAGTGTATGCCGAGCGATTACTCGACGAGAGGATATAGATTTAAGGATATAATAGGGCTGTCTAGTCGGCTAAAGAAAAGAAGAAAGTCCAGTCAGTCATAAGCATTACCCAAAACATAACACCAAATTTCATGCCAACTCAGTCCAACTGGCATATTTCACTTGATGAGCACTACCAAAACAAAGATCGCCTACCATTTTCAGAATCGAATCATTGGTCGAATCAGCTTTACAAGATAACAGGCTCCAGCACCAACAGCAAAAGCACAACCCAACAGTTTAAATATAGTCCATGCCACAGACGGTTTGCTTGACGCTGTATTCTTCTTGACTCGTCCAGTCTTTCGGGTTCGAGATGCCTTCCTTCTCTTTATTCCTTCAGCAGCTGTAGCAGCCGATGCAGCAGCGGCAGATGCAGCAGCGGCAGCAGCAAGAGAAGCAGCATTGTTTGGTGGCGACGATGGTGATGGCAAGTGAGTGAGACTTGCATGACTAGTTGTTGTGGTAAAGCTCGATTCCATTATCAAGGATGCTGTTGGAGATAGTATAGGAGATTCGTCACCGCGGAAGGAAGTACGTGATGATGGTCGTTCTGGTATATTGTTGAGTGCTCGTTGTAGTGCTTCAGCTGGTGTCAATAGAGTATTTGGTGGTGGTGTTGATGGTGAGGTGACTATGTCTGCTAGTTTTACATATGGGTATTCGTGTGTCACATTTGATGATAACCTAGTGAAACGCAATGTTTGAACGATATTAAGAACGTACGTACGTTGTTACGGCCATCACTGTGTCCTCATGAAAAACACCGGATTTCATAGATTCAACACTTACGCAGCGAGAGTCTCTTCCGAAAATCCATAATGATTACGTTGAGAATGAGTAGGACTACTTGGAGCATTCCCAACCAAACCACCAAAGGATGTATGTATACGAGAAGGCACAGGAGTCGCCAAGTTGGGATCTAGTGACTGTGCTCGACTACTAGTACTACTATTATTATTTTGACCAGTTGGCTGATTTGAATGAGTGAAGTGATGTCCATGTAGCAAGAAGTGAGCTTCAATTTCTGCAGGTGTTGGAGTGATTGTTCGTTCGTTCATTGATTCGTCGTGTAGGCCGAGTTCTTGTCTAGTGATTTCAACCCACGACCCTAAATAATTTGTAAATAAAATCATGAGTATGTGTCTTCTAGCCTTGTGCCTACTGGTTGATGTGAAGCAGAGGTTGCTGGGTGGGGCATTATTAAACTCTTGTAAACAAAACTGAGCAAGGTCAACAAGTGTGGCAAAGAGATCAATGATGGCCGATCAATTGAATGCTGTCTTCAAACATGATGAAATCCGAATCTCAATGTACTTTTCAATGCAGAGTAATATGTGCTTGTGATTGCACCATAGTTGGAGTCATCTTCATAGAGAGCGAGCAGGAGACTTACATTCAAGTGCAGCTCTTTGCTCGTCATCTTGAATATCAGGTACATTAGCATCCGAGTCTACAGTAGGGACTACATCCTCGCTATTCCTTGATTCCATGTTCCTCTTGTTTGTTGTTGGATTCGGCATTCTGTGCGATAAGACCGTACGCTCTACCAAAAGCTGATTTGGTAGGTTAGAAAACAGATCAAGGGCAATTCACAAGCATAATACCGTACTATGAAGTTTGTCCCTCTCGTTTCGTATATTGAATATTTGTTGCGATTGATTTGTTGTGTGTGAAAGTTGGCGTGGACGGAACTGTACCGACGGTTTGGCACACAGGCTGATTAGAGACACTATGCCGTTCAGAGCACCCTCTTTTCTCGCTTCGGTCTTCTTGATCGCTGAAAATGAAATGGAACGGCAACTCTACATCACACGACTTGGATTCCGTTCACGTGATAATTTTTGGTGATTTGGGAGGCGCATTTGGCGATGATTCGCGTTATTTGCCATCGTTTTCATTGTTTCTGAATGCTATGCACATGTTGGATCGTGTCAACATTGTATATTTCGCGAATGCTGCTGTCAAGATCGTATTTTTCTCAGTTTACAAACAATACATCCTGTCACTCAAGTGTTTCTGCCTCTTCCTCAACATCTCCAGCCTATTCCTCTTTGTTCTCGTCATCTTGAGCCTCGACTAACAAACTTGGGCAAATTTCTACCATTAAGTTCTTTCATTCTTGTCTGGCTCTTCAAACGACTCACGCGAGCAACTTTGTGAATTGAGTCGAAAGGTCCTTCTAAACAGCGAAATTCTCCTCCAAACAATATAATGGCATTGGCGATGTGCGTGGGTTCAGCTTACTGTTTCACACAGGTAAAATTGCACACGCCTACATACCACTGAATCCCTTCAAACTCAGGACGATCTTGATACTGTGGAGCGAGAGCTGTGAAAACCTTGCCGATCGTTGTTTGAAAGCAAGATCGTAGTCTCGAGTCGAAACGTTCAAACCCAGAATTATTCCTAGGCAAAGTCGAAATTTAAATGGTCCTTCGTTATTTCTTTGATGAATACGACCCATGTCAAATACTTTAAAACACAGAGCGGCAGTAAGTGTCGTTGCATCAGAGGAATGACTGCTGCGCAAAGTGCCATGTATGTTGACTTGCTTGAAATCAGTACTCTTGATTCGACTTCAAGAGGAAAACTAAAACTAGCAGCACACGAACTGCTTGTTACATCATAATTGTCACTTGGTCGTCACCCAATGCAGGCGTCAACTGCCAGTGTTGACTCAATTCTACGAACAGCCTCTCAAGCCATTCTAGACTTTTCCTACTAGAACGGATACCATTGCATGATGTCAGAAAAGTGATTTGGCATTGCTGTCTCCGAAGGGTTTACCTCTTGCACTTTTCTTGACTGTGTTGAGTTTGTGAGCGTTGGACAATGGTAGGTCTTGTCTGACGTTGATGCATTTTATTATTCTAGCTCTCCCGAGTTCCTTAGTAGGGACTGAGCAGACTAGTCCATCATCCATTTTAGCGATTAGCGACCAAATCCCAGCATGAAATCATGTTTTATACTGTGAAATATAATCACACAGTCAGAGAAAGTGAGGAGATGCAGCCAGGTGGATTCTTGTAACTTACAGCTTGCAGTATCCAAGAGCATGCCCAAACTCCTCATCAAAATCCCAATTTTAAGTGCTTAATGCGCTGAATAACTCATACTATACATATCAGATGAGAAATACATCCTTTTTGGCTTAGGCATTTTATTCGGATTTCATTTTATTGGGATTTATAGTCCGTCCGATTTTTTGGCTCATGCATTCTATTTGGATTATAGCCCTTATAGTCCGTCCGGTTTACATTTGCTGGAGGGAGGCTGCAACTAGTGTATGTGCCTTTCTCTCGTCTCTTCATTTCATGAGCTGTAACGTCGTATGGTGCAGCGGATAGCACATCAGGCTTCGGTCCTGAGGGTCGTAGGTTCAAATCCTGCTACGATCGTTTCTTTTTGTGATGCAAGTAAACTACGTTAAAGAGATGAGCAGTAGCGACAATCCGTTTTTTAAAATTTTGAAAACATTGCTTCACAGCAAATGTATAGTCACTGAAAGCCCCAGTGGCAAATACGCTCAAAGAGTCATGAGCGTTTAGATGCTCCAAGCAGCACCCAGACGCTGGAGTGTGGCAACTTCTTTGTAAAGGACGAGAAGTTGTGGAACGTTTTTTATGGAATGATTGTATTTTCCAATTAGAAATGATTTCGTGCTTTGACTTGGTCGATAATGCACCAAGATTTGTCGGGTTCTAGGCCCTTCTAACGAGACGCACCTTCACACAAGAGGTTGAGCGAGCAAAAGGACTTCCGAGTAATCAGTGTAACTACTCTCCACTCGTACATCATTCGAAACTGGTATGAATCGCTTTATCAACTAACCTGATGTTGCCAACACGCGAATGTTTTGGTGCATAATCAAAATAAACAACGTTGTTTATACAAAATGTACATCCTTTCAATTGTGGATTTGTTCCTCTTCTTCTATCTCTGCAACCTGTCCGTCTTCCAATTGTCCGTCCTTCTCATTCTCACCCCTCATCAATAGAGTCTGGGCAACTTTGTTGGCATTTTTCTTTTTCAATCTTTTCATACTCTTCTGACGCTCCATATGAAGAGCTCTGTGGGTTGGACGGCCTTTATCAACAACCAGCTTCTTCCTCTTACCATCATGACAACTATGGCAGGTGCGTGAGTTCACATCTTTGTAAAAGCTAAACACAATCAAAAACAAGGATCTAATTACATACCATTGAATCCATTCAAACTCGGGACGATCCTGATAATGGTGGAAGAGAGCTGTACAAAACCTGCCCTATTATCATGAAAATACAAGTCATTAACATCGTAGATCAAGCTTTCCTAACTCCTGAATACTTACACCAATCTCAAATGACCCAAAACACAAATCAGCAGTAAGTCTCTTGATATTGGGTAGATGATTCTTGAGCAAATCTTTGCCATGCACGTCGAGAGCAATTCCTGATATATGAAGACCTTCCCATCGACCACCGTCTGCCTGAATCAACTGAAATATGGCTCGTTTCGTGACTTTTGTATGTGATATATCCAGTTCATTCAGATGCGGCAACAAACCGACAAGTGCTACTGCTTGTTCAGGAGTGACGTTCGGATTATGAGATATATTTAGATACTTTAATTTCGGAACGAGGAAGGAGAAGGTTGGGCCTCCAACTTGTATTATGGCGGGGTTGTCAGCCAAGTCGAGTGCTGTGAGGTTGGGGAATAGACGGCGAAGATGTCCAAAGCTCTTGGCATCCAGACGATGACATTCCCGCATATATAAGGAGGTGATGGTTGGGAAGGGGCCCTTTAATTTCTTGAATATCAAGTTGAAGTGGAAGACACTGAGGTATTCGCTTCCGTTAAGATTTAGGGTCTGTAGATTTGTGCAATATTTTAAGACGTATAGTATAGCATCCCAATAGAGTTTTTGGCTTGTTAATCGTAGTTTGACAGTGGTGGCGTGCTGACCAGCTAGTTTGATCAATCTTCTCATATCGTGGCGTGGGACCGACTGGTTCTTCGGTCGTAACTAGGTTACATTTGGAGGGCAAGTTTAGAGAGTCGCATAGAGACTCGAGATTGCAAGTGACACGAACATACCATGAATCGCAAGTCCATAGTGCCCCAGAACTTGGGACCCAGCACTTCAGGATATACCAACGAGCTGAGGACTTTGCATGACCTTCCAACTCTGCAATGCAAACAGATGGTTTAAACAAGAGTCTTGATGATTTAAAGTGCCAGCTAACCTTGAGAGTGAAGTTGTATCGAGATATTGAAAGATAGAACAGCAGACCTCCAAAGGCAGGATCTTGACGTGCGAGTTTTGGTCTGGATGGAACAATCCTTGATGTAGTTCCGTCAATGGAGCATCGAGCGACTTCAAAGCTGATTGCTCGTAATGGATTTGTTCTGCGAACATGAATAAAAATTGGTGTGTCAGCATTGGGGCATTGCACATGTTGGCAAAGTGCTGAAATGTTGCAAATGTGGCTACCTCTATGTTTGTTTATTTTGGTCCTTCTGATGATTTTTCGGCCACGACTCCTTGTCAGGTTTGGATATGGAGCACCTGTGATGTCCTTGGACTGCTCTTCCTCATCGGCTTGTACATTTTCTGCGACATGTTCTTCTTCAACCTCGTCAACTATGATTTTCTTGGGTTTCTGATGATTGACGACCTTGGCAACTATCGGAGTAGCAGTCAATTGAGCTGGCGCCCTATTTTTCGGCTGGCTGGGCAGTTGAGGCCTGCCTATTACTGCTGAAAAGACGTTTCCCATCAGCTCAGTTGTGTGCGAAGTGATGCCGACGTTGAAAGCACCAGATTGAAGATGGCAACGTAAACCAAATCAGTTCTGTCTTGATCTGTACTCTATTTAGTACTGAAAATTCAATTTCGACAGCGATGAACGCTTAAATTTGGACTCGACAAAAGCGAGTAAAAATGTGAGTTTGCTAATTGGAAGTCAGCTCCACAAGCAGAGAAAGGTTCCGAACGTGTATTTCGGTTTGATCTCAATGAAATCGCGTTCTTGATGTATTCGTATTCATTTTTCCAACACTGAGCTTGCATCCACTGCGCCTACTCGCTCCAATTCTGAAACACATCTGAAACTCAAGCGATGCGATGACATTATCCAGATCGGACAACAGGATGAAAGCAAAGGAGGCCCAGAAGGCAAGTCTCTTAAGGCATTTCTTCCCATTTATCAACAGCAATCCACCACCTAAAGCGACTGGCAGTCAAAAATCTGTACTAATACAAATCTCCATTCTCAGGGACTCCTCGCTCACCCTGACAGCGATTCAGCTCGAGATTCATTCACTTCTGCTCTCATCGCAGACCTCCAAAACTCGGACTTTGCTTCTCATTTCTGGGAACGATTTGTCGATGATTTAGCTCCTGATGCTCTGTTCGTATTTACTGCTTCAAATGCCAAACAGGCAAAGGAAGCTTTGAAAGCTGCTTTAAACTCTTGCTTCAAGTGCTACTCCTGTTATAATCGTGCTAGGCGTGCCTTTGTCAACAAATACACCACCTTGTTCGGTCAAGAGGACATGGACATATTTGTCGATCGCCTTAGACGCTGGTCGGCAAGCAAGCATCTTGCTGCTCTTATCACTGACTCAATGTAAAGCCTCGTTCACTTGCCATTTGTAGGTTTGTTGACCGTTTCCATCAACTCACTATAGATCAGAGGCAATTGTACGTGAACTCGTGGCATATCCTGATGTTCTTATGTGGAAGGACTTGGATCAGGCTTTGGTCAACAACAAACAGTGGCAACAACACGTCAAATCACTATCTCCAGGAGTCGTAGTATTAGCCTTCCATTCAAATATCCAGCTGCGAGATTGGGCCGTCAGTATTGTCAAGGAGGGTGGCTCTATAGACTCTGAAGGTCTCAATACTACTTGTAGAGAATTGTGTAGTGTAATGCAATCATTCGCCACACAGTCTGGATACAATATCACCCATAGTCACAAGTAAGACTCTTGTTCAACTTGATACTTAAGGTACTCGTCGCTCAATCATCATTGATGTCAATAGGGAACTCGCTGAATCTCTAGGAACTGTACTATCTGTCACTTCGCTGTCCAAGCTGGTTTTTGACGGCACACAAAAAGCAAAGACTTTCCAAACTGTATTGGCAAATCTGCTAAAGTCATTTATAGAATCACGTGAACGCGCCAAGTCGTGCTTGCCTGGTTTGCAACACGTATTGGTCGATATGTTGGCGTCACCAAACGAATCGCTGGTCGGTGAAGCAACAGCTTTTTTGACATATGCTACCGACAAGACCACTCTAGTAGAATCTTTATCCATGATCAACGTTGGTACCCTAGCTAACCTCACCGCCGCATTAACATCAATTGCCTTACAGCCAAAATACCTGCAAAAAGTCATGCTTGTATATAGTTTACTTGTAGGAGCCATCACAGCTGCTCCTCAGGATAACATGTGGAGGTATATGTGGGGGTTGGGTGATGAATTGCTCAAAACTGTATACTTTTCTTCGAAGCATATGGGAGGAAGTTGGGAGTCGAATGCAGAAAAGACTGCAATCTTGACTTTATTCGCAAATCTGGAGTCGGTTAACTCAAAGACGGATGTCCCTGTCATGGACCTGTCTGAAAGTGTACAGGTTGCTTTGGGATTTGTGAAGTCCAGACAACTCATGATTCAGCAAAGGGCAACGGATTTGTCTTTATTGCTGTTGAATGTTTGTAGAGCAAGGAAATGTCTGAACGAGGAAATACTAGAATTTGTAGACAAAGTACTTGACAAGACATCTCCGAATCAAAAGGATAGACTCAATGCTTGGCTCAAAGTCAATGATACTCGACCAAAAGCCGAACTTGTATATAAAAAGCCCATAGTTTTAGATTTCGATCTGCATCTGGAATCTATGGAAGGTGGCTTTGGGGTCGCTCGCCAACAATTGTCCACCAAAATGAATAGAGAAGTGAATAGTCAAGTAAAAAGTCAACCTAACACCCAATCCAATAATCCAACAAATGAATCTGGACAGTCTCAAGCACCACCCAATCCAAATGTAAATATCGGCAACACCCCCATCCCTCATAGCACAACCTCGGATACATCCTTTCCACAAGTTCCAAAGACACTCCCTCCTTACAGACCTCCATCAATCAACGGTGCCGAGCTGGATGCTGTATTCCACAATCGACGTCCACTGCCTAATGGATTCAGTATCAACAACAGTCGACCCAAGTCAAATGGAGTAAAGAAACCCATAATCGGAAAGCATAGCAAACTATCTCAAATACGTGCCGAAGTTGGTCAGACCATCAAACCTGGACATGGTAATATGAAGCCTAAAGGACCTCATACCACCGTCACAATCACATCTAATCGATCTCCATCACCTGAAGAAGACAGTGATGGATCTGGTGAAAAGCAAGCGGTAAAACCTAGACGTACAATGCAACTCATTGACGATCATCAACCAGGATCTAGAATACGTAGGGTGCAAGGACTTGATAAACCCGTTAAACCGCAGCCATTACGAACTGTCGAAGAATTGGATCGCATCGTCCTCAACTTTAATACCAGCAAATTTGATATCAACCAATTACTCGACGAACTACGTGAGATACCAATTACCTTTGAGAGTAGTGCTGAGTATGTAAATACATTTGAACGTATGTTGATACTTGAGTGTTGGGAACAGTATCAGCAGACTCTTGCTGAGCAAGAGGATCAACCTGGCGAAGAATTTTCTTGTGATGTACTTGCTGTTAGTCAAGTTGATGACTTTACTGGTAGACAATATGTTTTTTTTTTGTGTTTTGGTGAATAATAGCTCACATTTTTTTTTCCGTAACAATTGCAGACATCCAATTCAAGCGAACTGGAAAGATGGCGCCAGACGAGATTGTACGTCTAGTCAGTGGTGAAACCAAGACTCAGGTTTTAGGTAAAGTCACTGAGAGAAAGAGAGACAAGCAGTCGACATTGGTGGTTGTCAGGTATTCCCAATAGACCGTACTGTCCTTTTTTCGCGGTTGATAAAACTCAATCCCATTCATTTATAGGATTTCGAATCGCACTGGCGATGAATCTCTCGCCAAATCTTTGAGACCAAATAGTGTTTGGCAATGCACTAGATTGTTCTCTCTCACAACAGCATATCGAGAATACAAGGCCTTGTCTCGACTACCAATGTATCCTCTGCGTGGACGTATATTGAAGCCATCCCCACCAGAAGTTTCATCAGCATCCGCGCGATCTGGATTGCAAAACGCATTGCATCTGAATGCACCTCAGACCGCTGCTGTAGATGGTGCTTTGAGTACAAGACAGGGATTTATCTTGGTTCAAGGACCACCTGGAACTGGAAAGTCTACTACGTTGTTGGGTCTAGTTGGTGCACTGCAACGTCCCAAGAAGATTCTGATTTGTACGCCATCCAATGCAGCTGCTGACGAGTGTAAGTGTTTGTCAACGCATTTGGCAGATGCGGTATGTTCTTTTGCTGACCCGTCGACAATTTTGTGACTAGTGACACGACGATTGATGAAGGGCACTTATGATACATATGGTCGATTCACTCAAATGAACCTTCTTCGAGTAGGAGTGACAGACGCAATTGCGTCTGATGTTACACCTGTAACTCTAGAAGCCATGGTAAATAATGTCATGAAGGATAGAGGTCAAAGCTATCTTCCAGAAGCTGAGAAGGTACTTCTTGAACGTCAACAAATGGAACAAGCTGAAGTCATTGTCAGTACCTTGTCGTTTGCTGGATTGGAAACTACTTTTCATCATGAATTGAAGTTTACGGATGTTATCATTGACGAAGCGTGTCAGGCTGTTGAATTGTCAACTTTGATTCCACTACGCTTTTGTGTAAGTAAAGTTATGTTTTCTTAAGGTTTTTTTCGCAAGGACTGAAATTTTACTCGTTTGGTCACAGACTCGTCGAGTGTTTCTCTTTGGAGATCCAAATCAGTTACCAGCTACTGTCTTGTCCATGAGTGCCAAGGAGTTTTCATATTCTCGCTCATTGTTTGAGAGAATGATGGCGAACTCATCCCCTCATCTATTGAGTATTCAGGTGTGAATGAGCTACGCAAAATATCTGTTGAAGCTAACACAGAATCACTTTCCTAGTACCGAATGCATCCTGAGATATCAAGAATCCCTTCGATCCTCTTTTATCAAGGCCATCTCAAAGATGCTCCCGAAATGGCCGAAAAATGTAAAGCACCATGGCATCACGATCCACTCCTCCCACCGTATAGATTCTATGATTGTCATTCAGGACGAGAGGAAAACTCATCAAACAAGTCCAAATTTAATATGGCTGAAGCTCAAGCCTGTGTTGATTTGGTGAAACGCTTGTTTATATCAGCCCCGAAAGAAAAATTCAGTGGTAAAATTGGCATTATATCGTATTATTCATCACAATTGTCTAAAATCAAGACTGCATTGACTCGCGCATTTGGAACTGATGCTTTGGGACATGTTGCTGTTGGTACTGTTGATTCGTATCAGGGGCAAGAGAGGGATGTGATTATATTGTCTTGTGTCAGGTATGCGGCCGTATCAGCATCCATTTTTTGGCTTTCGTATGCAACAAAAAGCATGATTCGTATCTCACAATGCATATCTTACTTTTCTTAGAGCACAATCTCGAGGCATTGGCTTTGTAAGCGATGCTAAACGTATCAATGTGTCTCTTACTCGTGCACGTAAGAGTCTGTTTATCGTAGGATCTGGAGATACGTTACGAAATGATGATATGTGGAAGAAACTCATCGATGACAGTTATGAAAGGCATTGTTTTGCCTCCGTAAGTAATATCACTATTCCCAAAACTGTTCAGCCTAATTGGTGAACATGGAAAACAAAACATAAAACCTGTAGAGTCAATACGACAAAAAATGTTTAAGTCATTAAAAAACAATAGAAACTTTGTATATAAATGAAACCAATTAATAACATTGATGCATGATGCGTATAATTCAGACTTGTTCTTGTTTCTGGCGGCCGACCCCCCCCCCCCCCCCGGGGGGCATTGTCAATTATCCAACACTTCAAAAACACAGCTGGAAAACAGATCCAAGCTAATTGAAACCGCTTTTGATGCAAAACACTAAGCAAGACTATCATGGTTGCTGAATGCAACAAGACAAAACCAGCAGCTTTGAGTTTCGAGACTGTAGCGGCAGAACATAGCACGAGAAGCGAGGATGTTATCCCGTGGAAGCATAAATTTGATCAGTTAGGGACTGTCGTCTCTGCCCCTCATAAACCAGTTCAAAAAAAGGATACTTTGACATTTGTGAAACAAGGTTGTTTAGCTCTCGGATTCGTCGTAGAGTGTGTATAAGGATCAGCCGAACCACCCAACAGAGCTCATACAATAGTCAGTCTTACCAAATCTCTGAAGTTCCTGACGCCATAACCCATTCTTAAAACCAAGACATAATCAAACTATTGAGACAGTCTCCAGAATCACAAGTTACAAGAACCATTTGGTTGATTGACATGTGCCATCTAGGCAGCATCACTTCTGACAATCCCACAATTGAGACTGCCACCAGAAGTACAAGTGATACGACCCATGGTGGAGTATATCCTGGGTGATGCGGCAAGACTTCATTATGTGCTCTGGTACGACTTCCAGCCAATTCTAGAGATGCCAGAAACCAGTACGGTGCTTGCAGATATTGTCAGCAAAGCTGACTTTACTGAATATAGCAGGATCAACAGCCATCATAGCGAACGAGACATAGCCTAACCGAATGGGTAGTTGAGAGCTCGTTGAGATCAATACAACGATAGCTGGCTCGCAACGAGTTTGTGATTGGATGTGTACTCACTAAGCAAGACCATTCCTTGCGACTCTCTACTCTACTCGACAGACAGCAAGGCACACAATGCGCTCGCTGAGCACACGAGAAGGATGGCGTAGTTTCTGAACCTGTTGGTAGTAGGGTGCCAATTCCTCGGTTCGATAAATGAATGTTTTTACTTTCTGCGCTTCTGAAGCATGGGTCGTTCTGCACATTTAAGGAGAATATTCGGTAGCATATTATCGAACCCCCCACTGAAGCGAAAACTTGCCGAGACAAGCCGCCCCTTTCTCTTCCGGCCAATTCTTGATGGTCAAAGTAGCTCATAACATGATTGCCTTTTCAGCTGATGTTAGGAAGGCTTTCAACAGTACACATCCAAACAGTTTGCAGTTGCCTGTAAGATAAACCAAGCACTGGCATTCTGTAAATATCCTGGACCAGAATTTGAAGCTTGATCTAACCATGATCAATGCAAGCAACTTTATTTAGAAATGGACCATCAATCTCAATGAGCAAGTACCCACTGCAACCCCTTCCCGGCCATAAACGGCACAACAGACCTCCTCACCCCATCATCATCCACAAACTCAATCTCATTCTCCACAATCAGTGCATCAGCTCCCTCCTTCTTAACCAATGTGATCATTCCCGAATTAGTAGCAGCACGCAATCCATAAAACTTTCTTCCGTTTTCACATGCGAAAGCTTTCAGCTTGTCTATTGCTCCGAAGGAGTCTAGTGTGGTTGCTGTATATGCGGCGACATGTGCACCTGTAAAGACACCAGCTACAGCTGTGCCTGATTCTTTTAGGTGTTTGGCGTGTGGAGCTGAATCAGTTCCGAGGAAGAAGCGTGGGTGTCCTATACAGATGACAAGTTTGTGAGCTAGATGTCTTGTGTTTGAGCATCCATCAACGCGCTCAAGCATTTTTTCTTTGTCGTTACCTTCTCGAATAACGTCCTGTAATGCTTTACGATCATGAGGGTATTTAGCAACTGGTTTACAAAAGTTGTGACATTGTCCGGCCCAGTTGTCTACGGTGAGAACGAGATGGTGTACTGTGATTGTGCAGCCAACTGTGTCGCCAAGAGACTTGACCTGGATTGAAAGGTTTCATGAGCATTTAACGGCTCCTTTTTGGCCAGAAATATAAGACCCTAAACCGTTCACATCTCCAAAACAACTACATACCATTTCTACAGCTGCTCTAGTTGTAGCATGCTCCAAAACAATCCTGAGACGTGGGAAATCGTGATGTAGCTGTTTTAGGTGTTCTAGAAACATTTCTTCAGCGTTTAACACGCATATGCCCTATTGGGTTAGAGCATATCGTCAGTAAAGTTGAAATTCATCGATTTGTGTGATTATGCCTGTACAATAAATGGGTCTTTTTGTGCTTTTACCTTTGCATCATCGCTTGGAACTTCACCGTGTAGATTCAGAATCATGCCCACTTCTTCCATAACCTGGAAGACAGGATAATACGTTGTATAACTCTCTATTCCACTATCACTGTTTGTTGTTACGCCTCTTGGATAGGATTTGACACCTAGCACATACACAAATAATAGTCAATGTTTGAATGTGTGATATGCAGACTAAGATCTTCTTCCCCGTACCAACAATTCCAGCTTTATGAGCCTTTCGTATCTCATCAGTGGTCAAATCAGGCCCCAAATACAAGGTCATCAGAAATTCAATGTTTGGACAAATGGCTTGCAATTGTGACTTATAGTGTAGTGCTTGTTCTGTGTTTGATATTGGAGGCTTCAAATTGGGCTAATTAAGATATAATCACGTTAGTACATGCTGTCGTAGCTTGACAAGTGGAGTTGCAAAAACTAAATGTACCATCACAAGTGCAGTTCCTACTCCACTAGAGGGAAGTAGTTCAGTTACGGTCTTCATGAGCGCGCCTTGCCGTAAATGGACGTGGAAGTCATCTACAGGTGGGATCTGGATGGTGTTTGTCATGGCTGTATATGTGCTTGTTTATTGGTGTTGAAAAACACCAAGATACGCAATTAGGCAGCTTGTGCAGTGTGAAAGGTTACTGACAGCATCATCTTGAAATTTTATAAAATTTGAATCCACGCGTCCAGTTGGCAGCGTACGCTTATTAGTCTTTACTTCAAGACACACTCAAACCACAAAAAGTCAGCTAGCTTTCCAATATTAAGAGGAGGGGTTTTCGCAATGGCTAAACTACCTCGTTTCTTTCATGGCGTCTATTTGGTAAGCTTACACCTATTAGCAGTCCGTTTGAACCTGCATTCCCTACACAATTGCTAACACAATTTCCATTTTTTGTATCAAGTTGATTCTCTGCCTCATCTTCTCGTTTGTCTTTAATGGAATCTTCTTGGGACGCTTCTACCAACCGGCAACTTATGAATCCAACTTGAACGTGTACGTCTGCTCGAATGTCACCTCAGTTGAATGTCCGACATCTCACCAAGCATTTCTTGGTGGTTGACCAACCCCCAAACCTTAAAATGTTTTACGTGATCTAAAATGCAATTCTCTTATATTGCAATGTAGGATTCTCCTGGACCTGGACCAAGGATCAATCTCTGCTCAAATCATAAACTTGATCAACACTGCCAACGCAAGTGGTACTCCTGCTCTACCAACACTTGTGCTATATTCAGGACCAGGAGTATATGCAGATTTACAAGCAGCATCGTAAGTTCACCGGTTGAATGTAGTTGACCAATGTTGGGGGAACAGTTGACTTCACGGCAACCCCATATTTCACCATTCGTGACTAAAGAGGAAATATATCGCCGTGTTTCCTAACATTGATTTCCTCATCTTGACAGTGATGCAGTTGCCCGTGGCGATGCTTGGGGAGCTGTAGTAATTAGTCCCGACCTGACAACGAACGTTCTGAACGCATACACAAGTGCTACCCTCATATCATACACTCCACAACAAGCCATACACGTAATCATTGACGGAGGACGAGATTCCGACAACATACAAAAGTATGTCTTGTCGCCCATACTCACCATGCTATCAACAGTCGAAAATGGCATGACACAGTACCTGGTTACGACACAAGTGGTACCTCAGTTAAAAGCTGCTGCAACAACCAACTCAACCCCCGCTGTTGCAGCTCTTGCTCAAACACATCCGGAATTTATTTCTATGCCTATTGGACATACTGTTTCGAATCTCTCTCCAACGACAAATGTCCCAGTAGCAAACTTGATCTTCACATTCTCCATGTCTCTGATGATTGGGTTTGCTGGAGTTGCTGCACACAACACCATTAGGTATGAAAAGACGGTTTTTTAGTAAGAGAGTATAGAGACCTTTCATGGTTAGCCAGCACCATGCACAGATCTAGTAGCAAATACGTGTTATGGCTCAAACGATTTGTCGCTAACGTCTTGTAATTCAATCAAGGTTGACGAAATCTGAATTCGGACGAGTTCCAACAGCAGCAGTAGTCTTTGCTCATTTACTCTGGCTTGTAGCTTGTAAGCAATCATTTTCTTTTGTAGAGGAGGCAACGCATCTGATCGTATCGTCCCTCGTAGACGCCTTGATTGTCGGCGCAACAATCCCAGCAGCTCTCAGTGCTTTAATGATGCCATTCCCAGACGTGAAAGCTTGGATATTCTTCTGGCTGACATGCGCTTTTGGATTCTTACAGTACTCGTACACATTTATGGTGTTTGGACTCTTGTTTGGAGATGATAACCTGCTGTTTTGGTACTTGTTGGTCTACGTCTGTGAGTATTGTACTGGGCTTTCTGTCAAGCTGAGCACACCCTACTGAGTTTGATAGCTAACGTGGTATTATACTTTTGCCAGTCAATGCGACTGCTACCTTTGGAATCATCGAATTGAGTGCACCATTCTACAAATGGAGCATCGCAGCCCCGTAAGCACAATTCGCGTATACCATCTCCACTCAATTCACCTTCTAATATCCATTCTCCTCCAGAATGTGGCATATAAACGCAGCATGCCGCAATTTCCTCTTTAATTCTTATAACCGTCTTCTATTCAACCTACTCATCATCCTCGCCTGGCTGGTTGGCAGCTTTGTAGTCTACTTGGTCATCTTGCTCTTCCGTAACCGTAGCTCCAAGATCCGTGACTCAAAACTAATTGTCGAGATTTCAGAAATCAACGACAAGCTTGAACACCAGGGGTTGACAGCTCATGTTGAGCAATTGGATTAAAAGACTCATTTATAAAATGATGCACCTCCTTATAATGCTGCTCTCACTTTCTTCTAATGCTGGAACCAAAAAAACTCATAATATACCCATAATACGGTTAATAAAAACTCAAGTACAACCCTTATACCTGGCGGATGGTCTTATTGTCGCGTGAAAAGTGAGGTGAAGCGTGATCCGGCCTGCGATCGCTAACGGATTTCAAGCGCAAAGCTCCTCTTGTTATAAGATGTCAATACAGCACGAAGGAGGAAGCTCCAGTGGCAGCACGGGCTCTGCCACCGACTTTAGTACATCACAAGATGACGGATCAGCCACTCAAGCCCTCTTCTCATCGCTGAAAATCGATCCAGTCGATCAGCTCGTTCTGTCTCCAAGACAGCGCTGTCCAAGCTGCAATGGCTCTTACAAGATGTACTGCCCGGCCTGCTACGTGGGATTTTCTGAAAACGTTCCACATGTTGATCTGCCCATACGTGTTGAAATGTAATTGTCATCAACAATCAAACTGAATCAGCATCAGTGTTTTTTTTTTGTTCGATCAAGCTCAAGTTCTCACATCAAACCTTTCACTAGATGGCGACACGCAGGTGAAATAGAAGCCAAATCAACAGTTGCACATGCTCTCATTGTGTCAAAGGAATACGTGACGCTGCATACGGGGTTCAAGTGCAGGCTGGGATTTACAAATACGCAAGATCAACCGTCAGAGGATCTGATATCAGATAGCTTGTTGTTGTTTCCATCTGAGGTAATGGCGATGACGATCCTGTCGAGTTACCACGCTCATCTATGACGTGTTCGACCCCTCTCAAACCTCACCCGTCGCTTAATCATAGACAATGTCTTTCTAAACCAGGACGCTGATTTCTTTCTCAAATTTCCATACAGGACGCTGTACCGCTATCAGAAATACCACGCAACTCCTTCTCAAGGCTCATTGTAATTGATGGGACGTGGAGTCAGGCAAAGACAATGTCCAAAGATCCAAGCTTTGCAAAATTTAGACGTGTCAAGATCCAAGGTATGTAACAAGCAACTGCGACGAATAAAATGATATGGAGTAGTACAAAATTTCTCTTCTTGGTAGAGCATCAAACACATTTCTGGCGACATCAGACTTTAAGCAAGAACTTTCTCGCTACCATCGAAGCAATGTAAGAAAGCGAGAAGGCCCTATTTGAACAATGGACTCGAGCTCATTGCCAGAACTTGATCTTGTAGATACTACTTCTTTGTTGACTATTTCGATGCATACTAGAGTCTCAATCCTGGCCAAGTCAGGATACCGTATGATGGTATGTGAGAAAAAAAACCAGGTAACACTACTTAAGATGGAAAGAACCCCTGCTGACATCAAACATTTATCTTGTAGGACGATACGACAACCTCCTCTTCTACTTCAAAGCCCAATACGAAACCATCCAAAACATGTACAAAGACCAACCTGAAAAGAGGTCGCGAAGGCTTCTTCAATGCCTAGAAGATCACTGAAAAGCACGCTGATACGAAATTTTAAAAAATGTACATAAAAAAACATCTGTATCAAAAAAAGCTAATACATCTATCTACATAATGCGAGAACCCGCACGATCGAGATCCTCTATCATTTCAATTAGCATTGGATTCTCATCAAATGGAATGAATTTGTCCATAACCTCTACTGGTACCGCCTCGCCCCAAGGTTTGACTAGCACTGCCCTCTTACCAGAACCTCCAGACCCGATAGCGACAGACAATAACTTTGTTACGGCTGCTTCATATTCTGGAGTGGGTCGAGATGGCCTTGGCAGGTCATCTGGAGGATATAATTTTACTGGTCCTGGTGATGGTGATGCTGTTGCGGCTTTCCTTTGTGCTGTTTTGTTACTTGCTCGTTTCGCTGTGGGTGCTGAAACTTTCTGTACTGGTTGAGGTACAGCTTTTACAGGTTTTACAGGTGGTTCTGTAGATGGCTTATTGGCAGCATCTTCTGGTTTAGGTGACTTTACTATATGCGATTGCGGAGTAGTAGAGACTGCTGGTGATTGAGCTCGTACATGTGATGATTTAAGTGGCCTGGCTGGTGTTTTAGGTGATACTTCTGGTGATTTAGATGGTATTTCTGGTGATTTAGGAAGCAGTACTGGTGACTTGGGAGATGCTTCTATAGGTGGCGTATACATGACAACATCGGCGTCTGGAGTAGCCTTAGTACGAGCTCTTTTAGCGAGAGGATGGCCATTTTGCATGGGTATATCAACGTCCATCATAACAGCGTCTGAGGGTTTGCTACTACTGCTGCTAGACGATACCTGTTTTAACGGCGATGAGGCTCTCTTGGCAGCTGGAGGTGGTTCTGGTACTACTAACCCCATCTCGTCAACAAATATACGATTTCTTAGAGCTCGTGGCGATGTTAATGCAGCTACTACATCTGCCAGTTTCTCTTGTTGTTTTTCTTGCTCTCGAAGAGCTTGTTTCTCCGCTCTCCTCTTAGCGATAACTTCTGCAGCCGCGACTGCTTCTGTTTCAGCTACAGCTAGAGCAGCATCTTCTATAGTTTCCTTTCGTATACGTTCTTCAACACGTGCAATACGTTCGGCATCTTCGGTTGGATCCACAAACCCTGCTGAAGGTCCATATGCCATCATTTGAGGAGCGAATGGCACATCCAAAATACCGGTATCGCCGCGTGTATGCCAGTGACTGACTCTTTCGGCCAATTGTTGGAAAACATACTCAAATCTCTTTTGGAGACGTTGAGCAGTTTTATAATAGACGGTGTCCTTTTGATTATATATCATACAGTTTGAGCAAATCAAATTGACATCAGCCTAAGCGTGAGTTCAGTGTTAGTATTTGCAAAACTTACTAGCAAAAACACACTTCATGGTTTGACACGTCAAGACTTGCCTCGAAGCTAGCAATAGAACGATATTCATAATTATCAATTTTCTTCTCTATGGTCGAGAAATCCATTGGGACTTTGATAACATCGTAATAATCTGGCACATCAACAGCACGAACTGGGATATGGAAGAATTGATAGCTGTCAAACCTTAAACAAAAGGAGGGCGTCAAGATCCACATTTCTTAAGAGAGATTTGATTGCCCATGTAGTATTTACCTCCTCATGTCTTCCAGGACTGACCGGAAGGTCTTTGTTAGCGGATAAAACATGTTCTCGAAGTATTCCTTTTGCACTTGAGCTTGTCGTAACTTTTCACGTTCGCGTTTACGAACCATCTCAGCCAGTATTCGGGCACGTTCCAAGTCTTTTCGAATGTACGTCAAGACTTCATAACGCTGGGCCTTGATCTTTTCATCTTCCTTGTGTGCCGAAGCATTTGCAGTCCATGGCTAGAGGTATGAATCGAAATTGTTAGCTATAGAGATCAAAAGCCTGCTGAATATGAGAGGCAACCCCCGACTAAGACGCCAGCACAAACCTCTAAATGAAGTCTCTTCAGCAAGGGTGCTCCTCTCCTCGATTCACGTTTAAGACTCCAATAACGAGCCACATCTTCAATAAAGACATTCTTCTTTCTGAAGTTGACTTTGATGACTTCGTTCATAACAATAGTAAGAATATAGGCAGGAATGACCGGAGCTTTGGGCATAAAGTCTGTACTATGTGCTTGAGCAGACTTTGAAGCGTTTGAGGGTGCAAATCGTTTACCACCTTTACGATCAGTTGGAGGAGCTGACATGGTGTCGTCATCTTCGACTATACGTCGCGCCTTGCCTTTACTCCGGCGACGTTTTTTGACTTCTTGCTCGTCATCTTCCTGTCCATGATCATGACCGTGATGAGAATAACCATGGTTTGCGGCTTCATCCATGGCAAGTTCTTCTTGGATCTGAGTGATTCGAGCCTCAATATCAAACTCGTCTCGATGTTCACGCTAGAGGAGCAGACAAAAACTTAGACGTAGCTTCCAATTATCACTCTTCTTAACATTGACTTACAGGAGTGTGCTTGTCACAAAATGTCTTGGTCAAATTGTCATCATAAGTAGGATTATGAGACTTCATCTTCATATACAACTTGGCTTTTTGAGCGCAAGTGACATGATATGCAATGTAACAGTTCTTTGACGCACACTGTATACATGCACCTTTCTTCCGTTTGCATATGTAACAGGTCTATACGATTGTGGATGATTTTAGGTAAGATGCTTAGCAAATTTTCAAGAGTAACTCAAAGAAACAACATAAGCCCTCACCAGCTTCCATCGACTCTTGGGAATCTTGTCAATATTATCTACAGGCTCCATATACGTTGGGTTGCGAAAGCCAACTTCAGGTATAAACAAGGAACAGAGCACATGAGCCCATCTATTAGTGACTGTCTGTTTGAAGGCTCCACCTTCATTTGGACAAAAAACACAAGACTAGAATGGAAGGGTTAGTCAATGTCATAGTAAACAAAAAACAACCTGCGAAAGTTGTCAAATACCACAGGTGTTTCAGGACTTATCATGCACTTTCGACAAAGATACTGTCCTTCAGGAATGAATGGTATACCATAGCAATCTTGATGTACGGCAAGATTGCAACCATCACAAAAGACAATTGCATTACTATTTTCAGCTTCACCATCATCACAAACAGCACACGTTATATCTTCCGGGTACTCCATCTCAGTTTTGATTTCTTTGACCAGATCTTTCGTCTAGACGGGGAAAGAATATGTCAGTATACTCTGAAACATGTGTAGTGAGCCGCGATCATATACCAAGTCAAACCACTCCTTCTCGAATCGATCCATGATAAGTTCAAAAAAAGCTTCGGTAACATCCTGCGCACCATCTGCGCGTCTTTCTTGATTGTACGCGAGGAGCCATGACTTATCTAAAGTGTGAAAGCGCAGTTTAATCTGAAGCAACGAAGCAGTCTGGCGACGGTTACAAGCTTTACCTTGCTCATCCATATCATATTCGACTCTTTCAGCCAGTTCATCTTCTGAGGGTTCTAAATGAAGTGAGGTTTAGATAGACGGAAGGGTAGATAGACGGATGTACCTTTCAATATAACGTACCAATGTAATGAATGTAATTTCCACGATACGAGACTCTGCTTGGACGTGGTTCGATATACCTGTCGTTATCTAACGGTGTAGGCACATATACTTTGCGAAAGCTGGGTTTCGGTACTGGTTTGAGTATGTTGATGTTGAGTGGTGGTATTACGGTTGGTTCACCAACCCCTAAAAAGTCATCTCGTAGGGGTAACACGCCGTCGATTTCCTGCACATCACTATTTGAGCTTTCACCCATTCTGATATCTCCATCGGCTGACTTTGCGGGAGATGGTGTTCTTTTATTCGTATGTCGTCCTCGATTTGTTGCGTGCTCTGGAATATCAGCTTCTTTTATCCCGCCATCCTGATCAGACACCTTCTTTCCTGCTCCAACACTAGGATCCCGATTCTCACCGGCAGCTCTAGGGAATTTAAGTAGAGGTAATGGTCGTTTGGGGTTTAGATCGGGCCAAGTTTCGGTGAACGCTCTTTCTTCTAACGGTCGATCAGATCCATGATGGTCGAGATCACTTGCCAATGATCCAGGAGAGCCGTAATGTGCTTCTTCAGGTTGGACTGAAGTGGAAACTCGTCGTCTTCGTTGCGCTGCAGGTAGTTTCTCTTTCTTTTTTCTAACAGTGCGAGTCGGAGATCTACTCTTGCTTTCACGGCGAGGCTTTCTTTGTCGTTTGGCAGGAGGTTCTGCCGTTGGTTGGCCTGGAGTACTGGGTTCATCATCATCAATTATCCTACGCTTTGTGATTTTGGCGAATCTTCCATGGGATCTAGGAAGCAACGCAGCTCTATTACGATTAAGTTAGTATTTTAATATAGATAAAGTGAGTATCAACGTAGTTGCCTTTGTTTTCGTGGTTTGATGGAGATGTCATCTTCAGAGTCCTGAACGATTTGAGTGTCGTCGTCCATGAATATAGTAGTGGAGGGACACTCAGTATATAGATTTGCAATAGACGGTAGGCCTATATAAAGCGATATAGGTCAGTCCTGTTAGAAGGGCAGGCAAGTCATCGGGCTGGATGACTGCTGCTCCCTTCCAACAAAACAACACGAGAGTGGATTTACCTACAGCAAGAAGCTTGTGAGAAGCAGACACAAGGTGCTCCCAGCGACCGGGCAGACAACTAGCTAGTATCCTTCTCCAAGTGCGTTTGCTACGGAGAATGATTGAAATCGTTTGTAATGACAGACTCGGCAAGAAAGTTCGTGTTAAGTGCAAGTAAGTCATCCACTATTACGTGAAGCAAGCCTTGTAATGATTTCAAATGCGTATTCTGACGAGATATTCTGCTCTTCAAACGCTAGTCCGGACGACACGATCGGAGACTTGAAGAAATTAATCGCTGCTCAAACTGGCACAAAAGCTGAAAAGATCGTCCTAAAGAAGTGGTATGCCTACAGACGCTTTCGAAGATGCTATGATCTTAACAATGTCTCTGTCGCTTGTCCTGACCTCCTCGTTTGCTTAGGTACACTGTCTACAAGGACCACATTACACTCGATGATTGTAGGTTTGCAAGGGAATATTGGACCCATTGAAAAGGACATTTTATCTCACGTTCTTTGCATATAGATGAGATACACGATGGAATGAACTTGGAGCTCTACTACCAGTAATTTGTGTCTGGTTTCCTCTTGTCGGTTGCTTTCTGGAGTCTTAAAGCTGAGACTCTACGGATTCACGCTGCTGTGTCATAAATAATTCAGAATGATCATGTTTTGGTTTTGCATATTCCAATATAAATATTCAATTGCAGGCTTGAATGAAAGTTCTAGTTGGACGATTCCAGGAACACCCCGTGAGTTGGTATGTGTACAGTGATTTGTTCCATCGGAAGAGAAAGCATTCTCAGGACGACTGCTGTCGAGTGAGTCAGTTATCCGGTCAAAGGAGTGCAGAATGGTTCGATCGCCACAGTGTTTTCACCGACACAGATTGGAACCACAAACGCGACGGCCAACTGGCTTATAAGACATCAACGGCTAGTGAACACTTCGCATGTTGCCTTCAAATAACGCGTTCAAAGGACGTGGTTGGCAAGATTGGGCACCTTGGTCCAAATTGATTCACCACACGTGCAGAAATGGTCTTTCACACCCAAATGTATCGAAATAATAAATTACATAGCTTCCATCCCTCTCACGGACTCCCTAGTTGATTTCCTCCGTTTTCTCGCCTTTCCGTTCCTAACTGAGCATTTCTTGCATGCTCAAACTTCCAATCCAATAAGCTACATAACAGACAGAACAAAGATAGTGCAGAGACCAAAAGCCATGAGACTAGCATACATATCACGAGCTAGTACTGAGGAAGTTCGGGCCCGTCCGCAATCTGAAGATGTTGCTGAGGAAAGGCAAACTCTTCTCAGAGGCTACGTCGTATACTATGTAGCGATGATCACGTTATATTCTACACTCGGCTCAGGAGCCACTTGCAAAGAATTCGAATACTTCCCGGCCCCACACCGTGTGGTAGTCAACACTCCCAAAAACAGCAACATCAACATCGACAACATCCACACCACAATCGAAGGCAATGACACCAGCACAGCAGCAACACTAGCAATAGTAGTAGTAGTCAGCCAACTTCCAGTATCTCCACCCTCGTCACACAAAGCAACAGTCACAGCATCCCACCAAACTTGATAATCGACGTATTACCATCAGTCTTGGAACCGATTAAATATACTACAAACACTCTTATGGACAACCAAAATACGGCAACCGTGAAATCATTAGTGTCAGATCCTACAGACAGCCAAAATCTTTTGTCCAATAGAACCGATGTTGAAAAAGTCGCTGAAATGGCTGCTCAGATTGAGGATGCCATATTTGGACTTGAAGAAAAGGCCGTTGAAGAAAGTGCTCCAGTCAAGAAAGCCGCTCCAGTCGAAGCTGTCGTTGAAGAGTCAGTTGAAGAAGTCACTGCTCTCGTAGAAGAAACTACTCCAGTCGAAATGTCAGTTGTTGAAGCTGCTTTAGTGGAGGCTACTGTCGAAGAACCAGCAATTGAGGAAGTTGCCCCACCAGTTGACGGATTCTGTACTCCAACAGATGAACAGAATGCCGTTGAAGAAGAAACAACTCTAGTTGTAAGTCAGCTCCGTAGTTCTGCATGGTTTAGATCCGTTCTCAAACTTTGTGTCATAGGCTGAGCAAGGTTTGAGCATTGGTGCCATTGCTTTTGTTGCTGGTCTTGGAGGTCTCACCACCGCTGCTGTTGGAATAGCTGGTGACTCTGGTCACGTTGACGCTGGTCCAGTCGAAGAAGCTGCTGCTCCAGTAAGTTGATTATTTTGTAAAGTGTCTCTGTTGATATTGTCTGAGACGATTCCAATAGGCTGTTGATGAGAAGACTGTTGAAAAAGTGGCTCCAGGCAAAGAAGATGCTGCTCCAGTAGAGAAGTGGTTTGCTTCTGAAGGCCAAGAAAGAGGAGAAGCTGCTCCTGTAATCAACGAAAAGACGGTTGAAGAGGTTGCCACACCGATTGATGTTGCTCCTCTCTTGGTAAGGATTCCTTTGGTCATGCAATCAAGTTAAAGATACCAATTTTAAGTTGAATTCACATTGAATAGATTCAAAAGAAAAAGACGTTTAAGACCAGGCTATTATCTATGTTTAAGTGGTGCTACGTCAAAAAGGGCCCTCAATCAAAAAGTAGCGTCAATTCTTCAAATCAGACTACAAGCAAAACCTCTTTCTACACAATCTTAAAGTAAAACAACTCCTACATAAGACAAAACTAAAGTAAAAATGTTTGGATGTCTAAAATATATAGTACTGGCACATAGAAAGACATACCTGCCTTCCTTGCTGCCTTCGTTCGAAACCAAAAACCACGCGCTCAAAATGAAATTGCCGCTAAGTACCAAAGTACGTACAACTCTCGATAGTATTGGTGACAAGAGCATAAGTAGAGTGCCCAGAGAGCGTTCACGCAAGTCTTTGAGAGAATCTTGCGGCTCCAAATACTGTCTTTGTCCGGTAGGATCTGAGTTTATTGGAAGTGCGCCAATAAATGACTTTGACGTGTACCCTCTTCGTGCACAGTACCTGGACATTTGGAACACTATTTTTACATTTCATCCATGACTTCAAACAGTATTTTAGGCTACTCGCATACAGACCTATGTGTGTCTCGTTGTTTGAAAAATGTAGTTCATATTTCATTCCTGATTCATACAAAGGGACCAAAAATTGCAACAAGAACATCAACTGATGGACTAATGGACGACAACTTGTGTCTGAATAATCTTTTGAATGCTACTCAATTCACATTCCACTCACGAAAATGCCAGCTGCGGATCCTAGAGACACCCAAAACCCGAGTCCGAAGTTCGTCTAGCAGTCAATGTCCACTACGTGAGTCGAGCAAGCGAGACTCTGGTCAACCACATCGGCCAAGTGGACGTATGAATTGCGCGAGATAATGATTCACTGACATGTTTGATAGCATGTATTGATCGCCATGCTGATGGGCAAGTTATCTGGACAGACACTGACAGAGTGCTCACTACTTCCCACTATAGACTCGTCACTCCAACACCAGACACCGTGGAAGCGATAGTCTAACCGGAACCGATGCCCTGCCTCTATCAGGCTTCGCTCTCGAAATGAACTAAAGCTTGAAGGCGCTTGGTAGCTAGGTAGGCCAAAAATCATGATAATTCCTCGTCTGGGCTCGCGCCAAGGAGAAGACACAGAGCATTATACTGATTCGGGATCCTATTTTGAAGGCTATTCAGAGTGGGAAATGCATTCGATTTCTAGCACTGTCGTTTACAACCGCCCGCCGATTGATGTTGAGCACGTTGATAAATATTTCATGAAGGACGTACCATTGAATAAGAAAAAGCTATACAAGATTGCAGAAATAGAGCGAATTCCATTTCACTTTCCGTAAGCCCATACAGCACGGCGAAACAAGTGATCGCGAGCAGAGTCAACTATCCACCAGTTTTTTGCCTAGATGAACATCATCCACGGTCAATTCAAATTATTTGAGCTGCTTAAAATTAATGAAGTATTGCGTCTCTGAGAGACCGTGTTGAATGCGCGAACTTACCTGCAAAACTCTTAAAACTTTGCAAACTACAGCACCCAGTTCCATTGCTTCACAGGATTGATATCGAGTAGAGGGATATCGCAAACATGTTGACACATGTGGATACAAGGCCAGATGGTCCTTCCTCATCAGATCCTTCCACCTCCAGTCAGCAGGCACGAGTAGCAGCATCTCTGGTCGCTCCTCTTACAATCAAGGAAGACCATGTTCCCAGATTGGTCATCTCGAAAATGGTCCTAGTTAATTTCAAATCTTATGCTGGGCGAATCGAAGTCGGTCCTTTCCATAAAGTATGCTCATTTGCTAAAACATACATTCATATTCGTTGAACAATATTATGACACACAGTTCAACACACACTGATGAGAGAATCTGAACTGTAAACTGACCTTTATTTTCCACTAGTCATTTACATCTGTTGTCGGACCTAATGGATCTGGAAAGTCGAATGTCATTGATGCTCTGCTGTTTGTGTTTGGATTCAAGGCCAAAAAGATGCGTCAAGGAAAACTATCGGAGCTCATTCACAACTCTTCTGAATTCCAAGATTTGGAGAGTTGTTCGGTCGAAGTCCATTTTCAAGAAATCAAGGACTTGGTCAGTTGAAGTCCAGCTACCAATCGTTTATTCAACCATTGACCCATCTACTCTATACTTAGCCTGGACCTGATGCCTTCGAAGTCATACCCAATTCTACTCTGATTGTCTCTCGACAGGCTGATAAAAACAATTCAAACACGTATCGAGTCAATGGCAGGACCAGCAGCTACAAGGAAGTCACCACTATGCTCAAAAAGTTTGGAGTTGACTTGGATCACAAGAGATTCTTGATTCTACAGGTAAATAAACACGATATTATGTGGATGACCATGTTCGGTCTTATTCAAATTGTGCTCCATAATAGGGCGAAGTTGAATCAATCGCTCAAATGAAGCCAAAGGCTCAAACCGAACATGAGGACGGCTTATTGGAATATCTGGAAGATATTATCGGTACCTCAGTGTACAAACAACCTATAGAAGATGCCAATGTAAAGCTAGAACAGATGAATGAAGAAAGATCTGAAAAGTTGAATCGAGTGAAGTTGGTCGAGAAGGACAAGAAAGCTCTAGAGGTTTGTCTTGGTTTGTCGAACCATGTCAGCACAAGTGATTAAATCTTGAACTCTGTCTAGGGCAAGAAAGATGAAGCCTTAGGGTTTCTCAAGATGCAAAATGCTCTTGCAAAGCGAAAGAATGAACTCTTTCAATTGCAAATTTCTGACTTGGAGAGTGATATAGAGACATTGCACGTCACCATGGTATGTATCTTGTAGTCCAAAATTCGCGATAGTCGTAATGAAGCTGAATCAGAAGCGGATTGTAGGGAGAATTGCAAACAACTTTGGATGCTCAACGAGCAAAGTATGCTGACTTGGACAAGGAAGTTAATGAACTTGAACCAAAGGCTGCTGCAATGACTGCTGAGCATGAGGTATTTCTCGGCCTTCTCGCTTTCTGGTTCAGTTTGCTGACCCAAGCTTCGTGTAGGCAATGCGCAAGAAAACCTCTGAAGTAGAAAAGGAATTGGCCAAGTTTGATCGAGCTGAAGTCGAGTGCCAAGAGAAATCAAAACATCTGAAAGACAAAGAAAAGAAACTGACGAAAGCCATCAAATCCGTAAGTAGGTACGTCGCTGTGTTGATGTGTCAATTGGCTCTCAACTCTCAATAAAATAGGAAATCTTGACTCGCTCTGAACATGAGACTTGGATAAATAACTTTGAAGCTGATATCGACAAGCAGAACAAGGAAGCAGAGCAATTAAATCAGAGGTTGCAGCAGGAGCAAACAGAGCTCGACAACATTCGGGATGGACTTCGAGGTATACTAGATGCAGACTTTACTCCTCTTCGAGATGATCTGAACTTGTCCACCACATCTTTTTAGACAAAACTGCTGGTTTCCAACAAGAGATTGATACCAAAATGCAAGAACTAGCACCATGGCAGACAAAGATCAATACTTCGCAAGCAGCTTTACATGTAGCCCAGCAAGAGCATAAATTATTGACTGAAAAGACTAATGCTGCAGCCACTCGTGTATCAGATGCTGAGAAAGTATTGGCTCAACACGTGGCGGGAGTACGAGTCAAGGTAACGAACCATTGCATGTAAAAGTCAAATTCGAAAGACTAAAGATTCTGTTCAAACACAGGAAACTGCTCTGGTCGATTCACAGACAGCTCTGACATCAAACAAGCACCGCGTGACGGAATTCGCTGACTTGCTCAAAGATATCGTGTCAGACGAAGAGCAAAAGAGGAAGAGTTTGGCGACTTCTCGACAAAAAGTAGAAGAATCTCGAGCTTTGATGCAGCAGTCTCAGTCAAAATCAAATGTTTTGACTAGTCTATTCAAGGAGAGAGACTCGAAACGTATACCTGGCATTCGTGTACGTGGCATGTAATTGTTGGAATGAGAATTTAGAGTTGGCGCTGTACAGGCTAACAACCTACTGTTCTTAGGGTCGTTTGGGTGACCTGGGCGTGATTGATGACAAGTACGATATCGCTGTCACCAATGCGTGTAAACACTTGGATTGTGTTCTCAGCGACACTCTCGTCGATTCTGAAAAAGGTGTAGAACACTTGAAGAAAACCAATGCAGGACGAGCCACGTTTATATCCCTCAACAAGATCCCCGAATATGCTGTTGAGATGGAACCGATCAAAACACCTGAAGATGTACCACGACTCTTTGATCTTATTCGACCCAAAGATGCCAAGGCCAGAATCGCCTTTTATCACTCTCTAAAAAACACTCTAGTCGTAAAGGATCTTGATCAAGGCAACCGTATCAACAGCGGTCAACAACGACATCGTATTGTCACTCTCACTGGACAACTTATTGAGCTCAGTGGAGCCATGACTGGTAGTGGTGCGAGACAGCCTAAACGTGGTGGTATGAGCTCAAAGTTTAAGGGAGACAATGTCTCACCTGAGCATTTGGCTGCTCTGCAACAGAAACAGACTACCAATGAAGCTGAATGGAAAACGGCTGTAGAAAATAAACGTCTCGCTGAATCAGAACTTGAGAAACTTCAAAATGAAATGCCGGCTCTAGAGCTTGCCATTTCCAAAGCTACTATGGATGTAGATTCAGTCAAAAAGATGGTTGTTGATGCTCAGAAGCATCTAAAAACTCTCCAGTAAGTTTCAATGCAAACTACGCTGACAAGTCAAAAACGAAGACTGACTTGGGATCGATTTGAAGGTCTGAAGACAACAAGGCAGATCAGAATGATGTTATTCGTATAAAGCAGCTCGACACCGATATCCAGAACCACAAAAAGGAATTAGCAAATTTGAAAACCTCTTCCTCGGCCATCGAAGCTGCCATACAAAAGCTTCAAGAGAAGATCTTAGAAGTTGGTGGTGTTCGACTCAAGAGTCAAAAGGCCAAAGTTGACTCTGTACAGATGCAAATTGACATGGCATCAGATCGACTCACCAAGACAGCAGCAGAACGTACAACCCGAGAACGAAATTTGGTAAAAGTGCAAAAGAGTATTGCCAAGAAGGAAGAAGAGCTCGCTGAAGCTGCTGAGGAATTGGCTGTCGTCGTCAAAGATTTGGAATCTCATTCGGCGTCCGCTGTTGAACTTCGCGGGAAGGTTGCTGAAGCGAAGGAGGTACGGTTCAAGTGATTGACATGGATTTCAACTCATTTTTAACCATTTTCCGTGATACACTATAGGCATTGGAAGCCAAGACTGAAGAGCTTGCTGATATCAAGAAATTACTTAATGAGAAGACCAAAGTGGTCAACAAGATGCGGTCTGAAGAGGTATGTGTCGGTAATGTACTCACTTTTGGTTCAAGGTCCCAACACTACTTATCCAACGACAGGTTGAATTCAAAGCTCAAGTAGATGAGTGCAAACTCAAGCTGAAGGGCAATCAGAATGGAATCGCGTATTATAGGAAGGAATTGAATTCGTTGAAGCTGCAACCCACTGGGTATGATCGCGAACCATCAATAAATTCACAGAATCGGCTGTTTAACCCCTGATCATGAGTGCTAAAATCCCCTTTGGCTTAGATTTGAAGATGACGATGAGCCAGAAGATTCGCTGGACATACTCACTGTTGAACAGCTGGAGGCATTGGACGTGAAACAAATCAAGAAAGAAGTAGAGGCACTGACTGGTAAGATGCAATTCGAAGGCACTCATGAAATTGTAAGTCAATATACAACTCGACTCTTTTTTTTGCAGAGAAAATAACTGCTGCCAAGCCCAATCTATCCGTGTTGAATGAATACAGACAACGTTTGCACGATTACTTGGCTCGAGCCAAAGACTTGGAAGACTTTACTGCTCGACGTGATGCAGCCAAGACCGAGTATGATGATCTTCGAAAGAAAAGGTTGGACGACTTTATGGCTGGATTCAATCTCATTTCACTCAAGCTCAAGGAGATGTATCAGGTTTGAACAAAAAAGCCTGACTGTCGAGGCAATGACTGTTGGAGTTTTTTTCCTCACACGCTGTTTCCAATCTAGATGATTACTATGGGCGGTAATGCAGAACTTGAGCTTGTGGACAGTCTTGATCCCTTCTCAGAAGGCATACTGTTCAGTGTGATGCCACCCAAGAAGAGTTGGAAGAACATTTCAAACTTGTCTGGTGGTGAAAAGGTAACAAAAGCAGCTATATTGAACGATTAACTCAATGCCTCACCATTCTTCATCATCATCACAAACTTAGACATTGAGCTCTCTGGCACTTGTCTTTGCCCTTCATCACTTCAAACCCACACCACTGTACGTGATGGACGAAATCGATGCAGCTCTGGATTTCAGGAATGTGTCAATAGTCGCCAATTACATCAAGGAGAGAACCAAGAATGCTCAGTTCGTGATTATCAGTCTTCGAAACAATATGTTTGAGCTTGCAGATCGTCTGGTTGGTATATACAAGACTGATGATACCACCAAGAGTATCACAATCAATCCTGGTATGGTTGAGGTCTAGAATCGTTTGTATATATGTTATTCGTGGTATCGTGGCAAGTATATACAGTTAATACATTCATCATCAAGCAAAAGTCATGAAAGGAGGATGTAGTCTCCTGGGAAAGCTTGAGAATTCGTGTCTTGCGTAAACTTTGAACAACAAGGCGTATTTGCAATGAAGCTCTATCGTAGATCCTCAGCACATCTGATCTATGATAGATCTATCACGACCAGCACTTTCTTGGAGCAAATTGCGTCCTTGCCACGTCTTACATCGCGTTACTTTCTAGCTCTATAACCCACCTGCCGTTGAAAACACGTCCCATCATACACATCCTTTCACCAACAATCTCTTTTGCCCAAAACAAACCTATCAGCTTCAAGCCAAACAACAAGGGAAGCAGGAGATATTAGAGCGCTGGCGACTCTAGACGAGCCTCGGCTGCCACGGCAAGAAGCAACAGAGACCACACCGCTTATCTTAACGAATGGAAATGCCAACATTCATCACACCAAGGCTGAATCCTTCTACACCAAGGTCCAATCCTTTTACAGCAAGATCCAATCCCTATTAAGCAACAAGAGCGTGTATGGACTATTTCTGATATTGGTTATCGTGGTATGTTGCAGCATATCGGTGAATCTGGATTTGCAATATTTTTAAACATTAACCATCGGGTTGTTCAACTTTTGTTAGGTGCTATGGACGAGTAGCTCATTCGTAACTCAGCATATCTATGAGTCTGGATTTGCCAAACCTGTGAGGGCCCAGCACTAAACTTTGGTGGTCATTGAACTCTTCTATTAACACTTCGATCTATCATAGTATTTCCTTACATATGCAAACACCGCATCCTTCGCCCTGTATTTGATTCCGGCCATCTGGATGAGACAGCGGCGGAAGAAGCAGCTTGCAATTGTGGAGAATGGAGTAATACCATCATCCACGTCACCGACGTCACCTACTGATATAGAAGTAGATGTGCACGATGATGATGGGTTAGAGCCTATGGGGATATGGCAAACGGCGAGAATATCGGTCATGTTCTCGCTGTTGTGGTTTGCTGCAAACTGTAAGTTTCATTGAGGCGTGTGACATGGTGTCCTTTTTTTGTCGTTAATACATTCTGATATTCTAATTTACTATACAGTAACGCAAGCAGCATCTCTAAAATTCACTGAAGTCGGGACATCAACAGTATGTTCCTCGACGAGTGGGCTATTTACATATCTGATTGGACTTGCTTTTCGGATACCGGGCGAGCATTTCTCGGGGTTGAGATCTCTTGGAGTGCTGAGTAGTCTGTTTGGAGTTGCGCTTGTATCTCTGGGTAGGGTTTGGGAGTGGAAGTTGTGTCGTTCGAGTTCTCGCTGAAACATGAAGATTTAAGTCCTGTTCTTTTTTTAGCGGATACGCCATTTGGAGAGATACCCGAGCAAGATGAGATTATTGGTGATAGTTTAGCTCTTTTTGGAGCGTTTGCGTATGGTACGTCGTGGTTGGCATAAGCAAAAAGAAATCGACAGAATTGTGGATTGCTCTCGCATATCAGCTTCGATCACCATTTTCAGCAACATCTCTAGCAAATGACACTCAAACTCATCTTCACGTAGCCGTATACTCAATCCTCCTAAAACGAGCAGGCTCAAAAAACAAGATTGACCCATTCTTCTTTTTCGGATTTGTCGGACTCTTTTCCATAATTATCTACTCTCCCGTATTCATAGTCTTGCACGTAACTCAACTCGAGGTCTTTGAATGGCCGTCGCCTATAATATTGGTCTATATAGTCTTTAATTCGTTTCTGGGGACTTTTCTATCGGACTATGTGTGGATGCAGGCTGTTTTGGTCACTAGGTAGGATTTTATTGAAATCTTTGGATGTTGTGGTTTGGTTGCGCTCTTTATTTTGGCTCCTCTACCAATTTACGACAACTCAATACAACTTTTTCAATCTTTTACAGTGCTACAGAGGTGACGGTCGGCTTAACGCTTACTATACCCTTGGCTAGTCTTGGTGATATCGTAATACAGGGTAGGGAACTGTCTTTAATGTATATAGGAGGTACGTTGTAAGAGAACTTGCCAAACAGCCAAACATGGCAAACCTACACGTTGTTTCTGCCATTGCGAGACAAAAATATTGAATTCCTCTAACGCTATTTTGTCACTCCCAGGCGCGGCTCTCTGTGTTTTAGGGTTCACAGCAGTCGCAAAAATATGACTTTATACCTTTCTATTGAATTATTTGTTGACCGGAAACTCTCCGTAGCTGAAGAATGTCACAACAATAATGCTATTTATTTGTCATTTGTTTGGGTCATATCTGTTTGCACTTTTTCATTAGAAACACAATTGCATTTGTACTATATCTCGTTGTTCACATATATATATAGCACAAACAAGGATTTGATGAGACTCATTTAACACACTAAAGTTTACATTTTGTGTTTTGTGCTATCATTTCTGTCTTTACATGAGCACGCCAGGTCATCTCTTCCGCAAAAGTCCAGTGTGCGAAATAAAGGTCCAGCTTTTTTGCAATGCGCAATTTATGAAGGCACCTCGGCAAGGATGCGATCCAATTGCTCCTTTCTCCATTTCTAAAAGTTGAAGTTTGGTGAGTCATTTGAGCAAAAAACAGACCATGCAATCTGTAAATAACATAAATGACTGCAACGTACAGGATCACGTGTAGCAATATAGAATTTGCCTCCCTCACTCATCCATGACACGCTAAATGAGATGGGCAAAGAAGTTTGAGGAATTTGGAACTAAGTTCAGGTCATCAGCAACAAGGAAAATTACGGCCCGATTGCACCCCATATTATGCATTCACACATACCTCTCCCGACCAAAGACGTACTCCTTATTTTTAAGAATGGACTCAATACTGTCCATGTTACGCAACGTGAGGTTACGATCTGCCGGAATGAAGCTCTTGAGTGAAATCACTTTGGCGTGATCCTTCAAGTCTAAAAATAGCTGCAAAATCTTTTGATTAAGTTCAGCTGTGAATGCATAACTATTAATATGAGAAACAATGACGATTGTTAACGATGTGCATACGGAGACGGTATCTTGACGACTTGCATTAAACGCAAGGAGCTTTCTTTGCGTACTTGTTCACTAGAATAACATCCGCTCGTTGAACGAATTTAATTGTTTCTGGATCTTCCAACATATTGCCCTGTTTCAAAGTTATCTTGCCACAAGGTTTACCATAATACCTAAATGTGTTGTTGAATGTTAGTGAGGGAGCAAAACTAGAGCCATATATGAGAAGTTCAAGCTTGGGAAAGTGCGAAGCGATTCATGCACGAGACCCCATCCCCGTTCATCTTCTACATTAGGTTTTCACAAACCAGAAATAGACTTATAGCAAAGCAGTGCACTAGACAAAATCGAATCCTCAACTCAAAATGAGCACAATGCGAACACTCACCTCATCCTCTTCAGAAACTCGACTCTCTGCATCTCAGCCAATTTACTCGGATTGTCCATAACCTCAATACCAAAGCATTCAGCCAAAGTCTGTGCAGCAACCTGCAACACGACATTGCCAATCCCAGATCCCAAATCCAAAAAGACATGATGTGGTTTAATATCAGCTTCTTTAATCAGCATTGTCACAAACTCATGCTTGATTTCACCATAGACGTTCGACGTCCAGCTAATGTACTTGTTCAAGCCTTCCGAATGTAGAGCTACGACTCGACCGTATGCCTGTTCGAGCGCATGGACTACAAGTTCTTCGTGGGCGGCAGGACCCGACCGTTCAGCGAGTGTGAAGGTGTGCTGCTCTCGGAGTGCTTGTAGGGCTATATTATATTCCTTGACTGATGATATCAGTAGGTTTGTGTCACTGTTGGCGTAAGCTTTTAATATGTTGCCGAGGAGAGAGTTTGGGACTGTCTCGTTCTGCTTTCTCTTGAAGCCGAATGAGACTTGGTTTTTCATGGGGATGCAATGCCGAGTAATCACTTGTATAGTAGACATAAAGTCCAATAGTGGATGAATGTTATCCTCCTTGTCAGTTGTTACAATTGGGAAACTAGCAGGACCAAAAACGTTTAAGTTTCCAGCCATATGAGCGTTGTTCCAGATGGCTCGAAACCACGGACACTAGTTATTTGCGTGCAAATTGAACGAGAGTTTACCATTCCCGAGCACCCATTCCAGGATAATGCAATTCAACACACTCGTACGGCTTTCCAGGTTCAATATCTGGCCCTAAAAACAAGATATCCAATCAATTTGCAACCCGATTTGTATGTCTCCAATCAACAATTCGTGTTGCATGCGGCTGTGATGCTAGCTTACATGGTATGAAGGTACCAGCAGGCGCAGTCTTCACATGCTCGAGCAGCAATTCACAGTTTCCTAGTTGCTCATCAGGGGGAGGAGTCCACCGATGATCTTGCACAGATGCCACACTCTCATCTGTGAGTGATGGTGTCTCTTCGCCAGTTCTTGCCCGTTTCTGCGCAAAACAAGTATTAGCTAATCCGTGACAACAATCGCATTATGCGATTTTATATGTACATACAATAGGTGGTGGTGCACTGCCAGTCCTTCTCCTTGACGTGCCAGAAGCAGCCGACTATAGGTGTTGAGCGTTGGTCTGGGTTTTATGACTTGACGGACTGTGCTTTCCAACAAGAAACACAACATGCCGGCAATTGCGATAAGGAATAGAAGATACGTGCCTCATCACGTTTACGATCAACATGATCCTTTCCAGAATCCAGTTTCTCCTTTCGTAGAGCATTTATAGCAGGTGACTTTGTGCGTAGTGGTTTTGAGGATGACGAGTTTGCAGAGGAAGGTCTTTTTAAATTATTACTGATAATCTGTTTTGAAGGTTGTGGTGGCAATGGATTGGGAGGAATGGGATTTGAAGACGGAGTGATGGTGTTTGTAGATGACATTGTGTTGTTGTTGATGACGCCGGGTGACTGCCGACCAGGGACAATTCTGTAGTATACGACCCGTTTCTGGGGCAGAGGCAGTACATTTGGATCACCTTTAGCCAGGCGAGGGAGAGAAGAGCGTCTTTGGATGTGTTTATCCATGTTTTCTTGATGATCAACATCCATGTGTAGCTGTTTGTCGGGCTGCAATGGGTCGATCGGTGCCATGAGCATAATGCGTGCAGATGAGCTATGAAATGCAAACAATGAATTAGATGCCAAATGGCCTAATGATGTGCGATGAATGCTGCTAAACTTTTGATGTTTTGGAGCTTGAAAGGAAAGACAGGCGGGCGTCGCAATTGGGCGGTCAAACATGCGGAATAGTGATTATAAATGATTTTTATGTATTGACGCGTAAAATAATCGAATATTTTAGTGTGCCACGAGGGCCTAGCGACTCTATGATGCTGTTGTCTTCAGACACACAAAACTGTCGAAACCAGAGATATGGCTCCGACGTGGAAATGGACGGGTGGATTCGTGAATGGTATACACATAGATGTAGCTGCATCTTGAGATTTTTGACTATTTGACTAACTGTCTTCTATCTTCTAGCCTTCTATGCTCAGGTTTTTGTCAACTTTGAACACTACGTTTGGCCATCAAGCACTCAATTTTTATATCGCTGTTTAGTGGCAAGCATATCGGACCCATGGCCTGAAAAAGACAATGTATCAGATGCTCATCATGGACTATGCAAGAGCTGGCACTCTGGTTGGCAAAGATTCATTCGGAAACGAATACTATGAAGACAAGAATGACGTGGCTGGTGTGTCCAGACTGGTGTTGCTGTCATTCAGATGTATCAGGTCATCATACTGAATGCGCTCTATATTGCCTAGGTCGAGACAGATGGGTCATGTACGCGAAATGGAATTACGATCCTACTCAAATACCCCCTGAATGGTACGTTGACACATATCAACACATACGTAACACCAATATTGACTCAACCAACACTACAGGCATCAATGGATGCAACATGTAATCGACGAAACACCAACCAAAGTTCCACCGATCGAGCCCATCTACAGACAACCATACAGTGAAAGCTTGACTGGTACCACTTCTGCATTCAAAACGTATTCTACCACTACCCAGAAGATTCATTCTTGGCAGCCAAGTGTGAAACCACGAGCAACAGTCTAAAAGTCATAATACACATTGAACTATTGAACTATGGGATGGCCGGCATGTTCATGATTTACCTATTCCTGTAAACTTAGCGCGATTGACACGTCCAGGCGCCAGAGCTTCTCGACATGTATTATAAGGCGTTGTTTGACTCGTGACATCTTTACATTCCTTTGCAGAACTCTTTACCGCAACAAAAACAACATTGTCAAGCAAACATGGCCAGTTCAGCAGCAGGAGCGTCAAGGAAGAAGGTCTTGCTCAAAGTCATCATATTGGGAGACTCGGGGTATGTCTCTTCCCTCTCTTGCTCTCCTATTCTCGTCTAGTTTGATTATCTCCATTTCCAAATGAAAAAACCAAACATATAAATTTGAATTGCCTGCGTTCAATTCTTTTGATACCAATGACGGGGATCTTGCCTTTGAAATCATCATTACATTAATCGATGTACTGATTCCGTACTCTACTCTCCTAGTGTCGGAAAGACGTCCTTGATGAATCAATATGTCAACAAAAAGTTTAGCAATCAGTACAAGGCAACCATTGGAGCTGACTTTCTCACAAAGGAAGTGATGGTCGATGATAGGCTCGTCACTATGCAGGTAATCCTTGGTTGTTTTTGCCTGTTGTGTGTGTTGGAAGAGAGTTATGGATATTTCCGCACGTATTGGCATTATAAGGAGATAGTTCATATTATTGATTCTGTGAAGAGGCATCGATTTTATTCGTGCTTGTTCAAGGAAAATAACACTCACTTTCGCCCTACCAAACAATCTCTATAAATGACTCTTCAATTCTCCCTAACACCACACGCAGTTTCCTCACACCACAACTCTCCTATCTTAGATCTGGGATACGGCAGGACAAGAACGCTTCCAATCTCTCGGTGTTGCATTCTATCGAGGCGCTGACTGCTGTGTACTCGTATTCGATGTCAACAATGTAAAGAGCTTTGAGACCCTAGAATCATGGAGAGACGAATTCTTGTTGCAAGCTTCACCAAGAGATACCGAAAACTTTCCTTTTGTCGTGTTGGGAAACAAGATTGATATGGAGGAATCGAAACGTCAGGTAAAACATAGGTTGTTCTGGAAGAGAGACGCTTCGTGCTTTTAGTCGTGCTGTATTCGTTAGCACTCGATACAAACTACTGCATAATGATACTCAGATCCAATTCATTTTATATAGGTGTCTCAAAAACGCGCCATGACATGGTGTCAACAAAAGGGAAACATTCCTGTAAGCGCAAAAAAACCAATCTGGTAGCGAATGGGATAGGCCTACTCATTTAACCTCCATCATGATCATCTACAATCTAGTACTTTGAGACCAGTGCCAAAGAAGCCATCAATGTCGAACAAGCATTCCAAACAATTGCCAAGAAGGCTCTGTCACAAGAGACTGATGTCGAATTGTAAGCCATCAGATAGCTTGTCTCTTCGCCTTTTTTTTGGTTATCCATTACTAATCCCATTTTCTATCCTTTAGATACAGTGACTTCCCAGACCCAATCAGAATCACTAATGAAGCTACGAAAGCAGACTTATATGGCTGTAGTTGCTAGAAAGCAGCAACACAAATACCACCCAACACAACCTCACACCACCCATCATATTTGTTGCAAAACGAGGACTCATTAGAAGAGAAAGATTGTTGAAGTCCCCCCAGTGATTGGAAAGGAGAAAATGATTAAAAAGTGCACACCCCAGATTATATTTGTTTTGTTCTCTCCCCTGATTGTAAGATATTATTAAAGGATGTTTGTTTGTTTTGCAGTGTGAACTATGACACATCATCTAGGAAAACTTGTGGAGTTTTGTTTTGGTTGAAAAGTTGTTTAATGCGAAAGAGGGGTTCTCTGTACAACTCCGTATAATTGCGAAACATTGCATAGCTCTCATGTCAACCCATAAGCTTAGATAGATCAGCAGGTGGATATTTCTGTTGAGCCCAAGTCATTAGCCTTTTTATGGACTGGATCCATTTCCTTTGCGTTTCATCATTCAATGCATGAGCAATTTGAGACGAAAAGATCTTTTCACGACCACTACGTTCATGAATACCTAGTACCAACAGAAAAATTAGTGTCTCCAAACAGCAAAAAAAAAGCGGATTGGCATAATCAATGTGGGTGTCTGAAAACTCACCAACCATAGTAACACCAATAGGCCACGGCGCATTCCCAATACTCATTCTCAAATACACATCATTAGCAGTCTGATACTCTCTCTCCTGCACCCAATGACATATCTCTGCAATTTTGGCCTCAACATCCAACGGCACCTCTCTCTTTTTCAACCCCTTAAAAAACGGCTTCATGTACTCGAGCGACTGGTTCATTGTCGCGATCTGCATCCTCCCTTGCCCGGACGACTTCCATTCATCACCTCTTCCCTTCAGATCCGACTCCCACTCATTCAGCATGCGTGTCAAGTACATACGGACAAGACGACGACACGTGTCTGGCTCACGTTCGTATAATTCAAGACTTATTGATGTTGTGTCTACTTGTACTGCGTCTTCATCTACATCCAGTTTCTTGCGTTTGCGTGCTGCGTCGTCGTCAGTGGTCCCCCCCTTTGACAGTAACGCAGACGTGAGCTCCTTATTCGTAGTCTCCATTGCCTTTCTCCAGTCATTGCCCTGGCCCTCATGACCACGACGTTCGTCAAGATGGGATTCAACTGTGCGTAGGCGTTTATATCGTTCTTTATCGGATTCGGCAAAGAGTCGGATTGGTTGCTCAATGGCTCGTAGTCGACGTATGATTTCGTCTTCGGTGAGTGTGTATTCGGCGTCGTTGGGATCTGTGTTGTCTGGTACGTTGCTGGAGGTGCCGGGGGCAGACTTTGAAGCGAGGGATTGTTGTTGTATGCCTTGTTTGAGGAGACGTTCTTGGTCTTTTCGCTCCTGCTCTTGTCGATACTAGTATTTGAAAGAGGTATTATGAATAAGTGGGAATGCTAATGCGGATTTAAACAATGAAATGATCTTCTTTTGTACAAAACCTCATCTTGTCGTAACCGTTCCAAATCACCACGTTTAATGTACTTTTTATCCGTGACGCCCAGCTTTTGGGCAGTTTCTTCGCGCTCCTTGCGCTTCCTCTCGATCTCTCGTTTGAGTAAATCTCCCATTATCTAGGTTGGAAATGTTGCAATGTTAGCTCTTCGTCTCTTTCACAGTTTCAACTTTGCAAAACAACTGGAAAAACAAGACAATGCCGTAAGTTGACGTCTGAAAGAAGCAAGCAGCTTACCAGTATATGTGACTAACTTGATATTTCCTATTCGCAATTACAGCAAAGTCAAACGCAGCAAGACAAAACCAGCTCCTGAAGGATGGGAACTAATCCAACCCACACTCGACGAATTAGCAGCTAAAATGCGCGAAGGTACGAAATATTCGATCTTGGATGATTTACGTGCATCTCATTCCATCGCTTGCATGCTATGCTACACGCAATGTCGTTCACACATCTCATGAATCTAACACAATCCAAACACACGTACAGCTGAGAACGAGCCACATGAAGGCAAACGCAAAGTCGAAAGCTTGTGGAGTGTCTTCCGAATCCACCATCAACGATCACGATACATTTACGAAATCTACTACAAACGACACCAAATATCAAAGGAATTGTACGAGTACTGTCTGGATCAAGGATATGCTGATGGGAATCTCATTGCAAAATGGCGAAAGGTGTGTATAGGCTGCTGAAGGTTGTCACAGCTCTGTCTTTGGAGTGACGACCAGCATAAAAAAACACACCTTGTAGATGGTATCGTACGTTTTGTTTTTAACTCACGCGAGTATTGCATTTACAGGCCGGATATGAAAAGCTATGCTGTTTGAGATGCATTCAATCAAAGGATACCAACTTTGGAACTGCTTGTGTTTGTCGTGTACCAAAAGACAAGTTGGAAGAAGGTCGTGTCATTGAATGTTTGCACTGCGGGTAGGTTTGCTAGTTTAAACTCCAACGTTTCTCTTGGTCATATTAACAATCAATGTCTCATTTTGCTTAGTTGTCGTGGTTGCTCTTCTGGTGATTAATCGTTCTCCGTCAACTCAGATTTTCTTTTTTTGCATTTTCCACAACATTAAAAAACACACACACTTTGTAACTATGCTTTTCTTGGCCGACATGAACGTATCTTGTAATGAGTTAAAAAGTGCTGAGGGGTTATTATACATGTTAGCACAAACAAGCAGGACCTGTAAGAATTCATATCATTCCACTGCTTAATGATGCTTGTCCAAATCCATCAAAGTCGGAGCAAACAGGTCTATACTCTCCAAAAATGTAGGATCTGTCGTTGTCTCTGTCGTCAATCCTGCTGTTGCTGACGTCGGCAATCCAAAGCTATGAGCGTCAAGCGGAAGCGTATACTGAGGTATTCTAGCCGTAGCATCAAGCACTAACGGCATACTTGGTGGCGGTGTACCTATACTAGATCCAGGAGCAGCTATAGACATACTAGCAGCTCTTACTCGTACTGACTGCATCAAATCCCGCATCAAATCAGGAGGCCTAGGCAGCAGCGGCATACCTATTATAATGGATAAGTTCTTTTATAGAAATTCATGATTTACTTACAGTACTGAAACTCTGTAATGGAATGTCTAGTACCTCTAGTCCAGTTCTTGTGCTTTGCAGCAGCTGAATCATTGTTACTATTGCTAGCAGCTGCCTCAGCTGCCGCTTTTTCTTTAGCTTCCACATCTCCTGGCTGTGGATGTGAGTTCCTAACATGGGTCTGCATATTGTCCTTTCGATAAAAGGCTTTACCGCATCCTTCTATGGGACATGTGAATGGTTTTGTAGCTGCGTGTTGAGTCGTCATGTGGGCTTTAAGTGATACCAGTTTAGGGAAGGATTTGCCACATCCTTCAAATGTACATATAGATGGTTCGGGATGCTGTGATACTCTATGAATGTTTAGCTTTTCCTGAGATGTGAAGGCTTTGAAGCAGTTGGGTACGGTACAATACAGTCTTATGGTATGGCCTTCTTTGATGTGGCGATTCAATTGGGTTGTTTCCGTAAATGTCTAAAAAAAAGCAGCAAAAAAGCGATGAAATTACGTGATATGAAGAAATTGTAAATTTCCAAGAATGATTCTCGATTTAAGACATACCTTATAACACCCCTGCACAGTACAAAAATGCCACTGTACACGAACAAGACCAAGTCGTTTAGCCAACGCTCTCAACTCTTGTGTTGGATACGATTCGACCATAGACGTGATCAAACGATGCTTTACCGGCGAATCCTGTTCGCCAGCCATAGAATCCAACCACCGTAACAATTCTCCAGCTAGAGCTTCACCAGGAGTTTGTCCGACCTCTTGAGCAGATATACCCTCCTCTTCGGATTCAGCACCGCTAGTAACGTCATTCAATTCTGTTCTACTACTACCCTGTGATATAGATGGAGTTGGCGAAGCTAATGTAGTTGGTGCGGCTGAAGAGTGGTTTGACGACTCAGATGATGCATATGTGTTTGTGTCCCGATATGACAGGTAGTTGGTCATTGGGTATGGAATATTGGGTATCATCACATCGTAATCTTCTTCGAATTTAAAGTACTCACTGCCGTCCTCAATAGCATCTAGCAAATCTATACCATCTATCGGTGTAGTCATTCTTAAATCCATTGGTAGTGGGCTATCAACCATATCAGCCATAATCGAATCATGCGGTGGTTGAATAAATGGTGGCTGAATGAAATTTTGGCCAGGATGAGCAGGCCACATTTGCGGTTGTTGTAACATGACCGTAGAGTTGAAATTACTGTAATTGCGATTACGAGGTAAGGATGATATTCCATCGACAGGTTTCTCCAGTATTGGTCGTTCAATGCGGAATCGATCTGTTAATTCGGCTAATACATCACGGCGTATGGCCTTCTCATCCGTATTCGACATTTTGAAGCCAGCTGCAGCTAGAGATTCTGCTTGTTGACGAATCAAATCTTCCAAGTTTCGTAGAATCGTCTTTGTAATTTCTACTGTACAGTTTCGACGACGCTGTACACCAATTGAGTTTGGCACTGCTCGTGTCTTTTGGGGTCCGGCGTTGGCATTTGCTTCTGCCACTAAATGAAATGGGTGAGAAACGAGAGCAAAAAACTCTTCAACACATAGGATCAATGTGCCGAAATCCGCACTACTACACTCACATCTGGCAGACTCGACCATCTCAGCCTCTTTAGCTTCAGCAGCAACCTGTCTCCCATAATTAATCTTGCGTGCCTTTTGCGGCCGAGGCTTAATATTTCCACTAATAATATCGAGCGTCTGATCCCATCGTTCAGCAGACAAGGGCTCATATCCTTCAACAAGAGCTTGAGCAGCTGGATGACGTTTCTTTGTGGATTTGCCTTTAACTGCTGTACTATTAGAATACTGAGGCACGGGCGGTGGTCGTTCGGCAGATGATTGATGCAGAAGTCCACCATTTGTAGACAAGAAACCGTTTGGTATATGATGTGCGTGATGAGGATGTTGGACGAATGAGTAGCCTTCTACGAGTGCCTGAGCGGCTGGATGTCTAGGATTGTGGGGCTGCTGTTGCTGCTGTATTTGCGGTACGATATTATAGTTATAATTGTAAGTTTGTGGTGTAATAGGCTGGTGATGTAAATCTAATGACGGAGGCTTGGGTGGTGTCCGTGTTATTGCATGAAGAGTCGGACTGCTAGAGATGATACTACTACTGGGAAGTGAATTATTACTTTGGCTGACCGGCACCGTTCCAATACTTGACTTCCTTCTTGCCGTAGTAGCTTTAGATATAGCTCGTGGAGGTGCACCGTGCATTGACGATACAGGTAGCTGTCCTTGCTGCATAGACGTTTGATGTGGCAAGATGGTGGGGATCTGAGCAAAAATGTCTAGAAAGTGCGGTTGCTGATGTGGCAGCACATCATAAAACATCGATGACTGTCCTGCCACTATATTTGGTGGCATGGTACCATCAAACGGAGAGGACACAGAATTATTTGCCAGCTGGATATTGTTTGTACCGGGTGCTTCTCCTGTTTGATTTACCACTACAATATTTGGTTGATGACCGTTGATGAGCGATGAAGAGAGGCCACCCGCCAAATCAAGTGGATACGATCCATTAGCATTGTCAAAGTTCCTATGAATTTCTCCTCCAAAGTCCTCTAGAAGTGACCTGTCCTCCATTCTTGGCAAAGTTTGATTTGGCAATCTAAAGTGTCAAGATACGACCGGACTGCCCAGTGAAAAGTTAGTCAAAGACTTGATTCTCGAATTGTTGAGCAAGGTATTCACGGTACAAGGTGCCTTCCTACCTGTTTCGCTGATGTACCATCTGCTCACAAAACGAAAGCTTGATCTATACCCGTGCCGTCCATACTGCGAAACTTGTGCGAAACAACAATGGAACGCGTTATCATGTAGAAGAAGGATGTTGCAGCAAATATAGACAGATCTATTTTTTCCAGTTTCCAGTTTAAATTTTTTTGAAGGTCTCAGCAAAGCTATATTTTACCAGTTCAACTACCAGCGAGCTAACTACATTGCTAGACGTTCAATCTATGACTATTACATCAGCTCCTGTCGATTTGCCAGCAGCCTTCCCTACTGCAGCGTCTCCACCACCATTAGTAGGAATACTACCATTATTTTCACTGGCAGCTGCCGATGAAGCGATAGTAACTGTAGGCTGCTGCTTCTGAGCAACAAGACGGAACGAACTGACATCATCGTCTGATATCACACCCGTCTCGGCCGCACTCAAATCATACTTCGGCCTGGCTCTCCTACTAGTTTTAACAGCATCATCCCCATTTCTTTTAACATCGTCGACATTGTCCTCTCCATCTTCTTCAACAACAGCAGCTTCTTGTTGATAAATATTATCACCGTCTGTGGTTTCATCGATTTGCATATTATCGTCAACACCATTCTGGTCTTCCACCTCTCCATTCTGTTGATGTTCTTCCTGTTGGATGGCTCCTTCACCATCTTCTGCTTTTACTTCGTCATCTACTTCTTTGATATCATCTTCGCCTTCATCAGATGGTGTAGAGTCGTCTGACGACTCTTCGCCGTCACTGTCAAAGTGACGCCGTGACGTCCAAATATGATAATCTTGACTATCATAGGCTTCAGAATCCGACAATAGATATTGCCCTACAAATGGGCGATCATCGAGATCTACACCAACTGGTTGGGGTTCCTTTTCTGACATTGTCGAGTAGTGGATCCAGACTGATTCTTCGTGACGGCCCATGTACTCTGCTAGACTATCAGCAATTGGACCTTCGATTGGACATTAAACGAAGTCACTTCACGAGTTCACTGTCATAAACTGTATCTACATGACATTCCTTACCTCCAGATTTACACCTCCCATATCGATCATCCCTTTGAATTACAGAATTGATTCGTTTCTTCATACTTGGCACCAGTACATGCGAGCGCTTAGCGAATGGTAAAGTGTTAACCTTGTTCTTACAAAGCAGCAATGTCCAAAACAACAAGATTATGCCGGGCTTACATCTTTGTACCAAGTCCCAAAGTATGAAGTTACTGCTGGCGCGACGGGTTCAGTCATCAACAGAGACATTCCTACAGCTTTACTTGAAATATTTCGATGTCGAACTAAATTTGCTACTGCCCAAGCACCAATACCAGCACCAATCAAATACATCTTTTTACATTGTCCATTCCTGACGACAAAACACTACCATCAGAAGATACTGACTTATGCTGGCAACACAAATGAGGACGTTACCTGATATAAAGATCCCAAAGATCCCTTAACACCCTTCCCACAGCATCTCGAGCTTCAGCATCCTAGATAAACAAGTCATGTTAAAAAAATCTAAGCAAAAAGAACGAGAGAATCCAAGAAGCACATACAGGCCTGTCATAGTCATCATTATAGAAATCCTCCTTTGCAATATTTACATCAACAATAGCATTTTGAGATTGATTGAATAAATCTAACAATCGGCATATGGCATCTCCAACATATGTTTCGTTCATGTCAACAGCATTGCTGCTGCTCTTGAGAACACTTCGAACCAAATCCCAACTAAATATTCGTATCTAGGTTTAGACGAAGCGTATTTTTTCCAGGCCAATTCTTTAATACTTGCCAATCATGTACCATCACGACAAGAATATCATCATGATTTTCAAAGTTGGGACTATGTGAAGCAAGAAGGGTTTGAGATTTTTTGCATCTTGCACCCCCATAGCATCATGCAGTGCTTACGTTGTATACACTTGAATTTTATCTCTGTCCTTCCAAGATTCAAGCTTCGGTCGTGGCTCTTCATCGTCAAGTAACTCCATCTTGTAATCAACTCGCAACTTGTTGGCAAAGTATACCTTCAAGATATCTGCGACAGCAGACAAACGAAGCGCCTGGGGTTAGAGATTGATAGTGACATACGCTATTTCTAGGCACTCACCAGATATCTTCACGAGATCTAGGTTGGTGTTGGTGTCTACAGGGTTTCATCAATGAAGCAATCAGCCTTCTTCGTAAACGCAAGCTAACAAATCCGACTGTAAACGCAGGTTAATACCCTGTCTTCTGGCGACGTATTTCGGGGTAGCTAACGATTTCCAATATCTACTTTGTATCCTGACTACTTCGTCAACCACTTCTACACAACCTTCCCATGCAGAATTTCGTTCAGCGATATATTGTCTGTCAAGTCCACGGATTTCTGCTTCAGATTGTGTTGGTGTTGGTGGATGGCCCAGTAACACCTCGCATATTGCCGACACAGATTTCGCTATAGATCGAATATTGTAGCCTCCCTACAAACAAAATTTCTGGATGAGCAAAACACCGTTCCTACGTTGAATCAAAATTTGTCCAATTTTAGGTGTTCGACGATGTACCTCCAGAGCTAGTACAAGCTTGCCTCTAGCAAGACTGCACAACTGGTATGCCATATTTGCAAATCCTCCGGGAGTAACGCAACATCCACCTAATGGATCACCCTCTGCACAATCAAATCCAGCACTGATGATGACAAAGTCTGGATCGAATTCACGAGCGATGGGCATGATTACACGGTGGAAAGCATGCATATACTCTCTATCTCCCATATCTCCACCAGGCCATGGAATGTTGATGTTGCTAGGAAATATCGTTCAATCTCACATCAACATCGTGCCGTTGAACAAAAACTTACAATCCTTCGGCCCGAGGTCCGCCCACATAATTGGCAAATCCGTCATCATCAGCAAGAACACGAGGGAAAAAGTAGTCATTGCTAGCCTCTCCCTTCCTGCCATATCGATGAAGAGAAACGTACATAATATTTGGATCATTATAAAATTCGTGTTGGGTACCATTTCCTAATCGGTAGAGATTTAGTTCGCTGCGAGACGGTTGTATCAGAGGAAACACAGGAGGACTGGTCTACCGTGATGAACATCCCAATCAAGAATCAGAATCTTTTTGACTCCGTGAGTTCTCTGCATGTGTCTAGCAGCAACTGCGACATTGTTGAAGAGACAAAAACCCCTATTAAATCAAGTTTCAATATACTTGAAGGACAGAGAGGCAAAAGAAGTGGAACCTATGCACTCATACATTGGTTCGTCATGCTCAGCGTGGTGGCCCGGCGGCCTAGTGATGAATGTGTTCAGCATGGGCCTTTGAACTGCAGTCACTTACAATGTTCCATACCTGACTATAGCAAATCCGTTTTGACACTCTCCCTTCCATACAGCTTCGCACACGGCAATGACTCCCGCACAACTCACAGTAGCAGCTAAATCACTATTCGGACTTAAATATACGTCTCTGTATTTTCTAGCTTTCGCATGTGCTTCAGGCATCTCTAATTCTAACAATTGAAAATGTTAGTGAACAAAATAAGGATGGTTGATAATGGACCCGTGCTTACCATGCAACCCTTCTACCCAATTAATCCATTCCGGATCATGCACTCCCGAGCTCAATATTTCATTCTGCAGTAATCCAGCTCGCCTATCTTCATCTAGAAAGATACGTTTACACCATCCAGCCTTCATTCTACGTTCCGCATCTTCATTCGACGAATCCTGGTCCATCAAAGCCAGATAATCAGTATCTTCTTCATGTTCAATGATGGCTCTCTTTTCTAATAATTTGAGGGTATAGCTCAACCTCTCTGGTCTTTCAGGATGCCCATTCTTGTCTTCACTGGCCATAATATAATGGTCGAGCATGCGTTGATCATAGAATATTGCGGTTGGACGTTTGGCGGCGAGTTTCGTTTCATCATTTGGGATTGGATCTAGGTCGTCAGTCTCGAACAGATGGTATTTGCCGTGCTCTGGGTGTAGAGGGTGAGGGTCGCCAAGAGGTCGTGAGCCTAGGTATTCTGATGCAACATCAGAACTATAGGAATCATCATCTAGACCTGAGTCGTCGTCTACATTCATTCCTAAAATGGTCTGCTCAAAGGAGGAGGTGTCTATGATATTATTGGTAGTGGTATTGTTGATGTCGAGCTGTTCTTCATTGTTGTTGGCAGCAGGAGTGCTGTTTCTGCTCGATGGCGAGGCTATACGTTGTTTCTTAGCAGGAGGTATATCATCATCTTCGACATCTGCCGCTCTTTTCTGAGCTAAATCGTCAATTTCACTATCAAAGTTTGGATTGACGTCTTCCCAGCCGTTTTCGTCCATGAGCTTATACTTAAATTATAATATTGTATGGCGCGTCACGTCACCTCCTAGCTAACGGAGAGTGCTTGTTTAATAGGTTTGGTTGGTTTGTCTGAGTTTGACCACAAACAACCTTTTTTGAAGTGTGAAAGGCAGTTCTTTACATGTGGCACCACGTGCGCGCGCGTGTATTGTTGTATTGTTTTGAATCTCTCCAGGGTTCTGAGTTGTATTTGAACTGAATTTGACTCAATCATCCAAAACCTTTTTGACGCCTTCGCGCTGCGGTTCGTTAGGCCAACGTGCGGTACGTTACATAACTCGTCAACGTTGTACTCAACAATATCAATCTCTGGGAGTCTCAAATGAGGTCGTTAATTATAAACGGCAGATGTATTGTCTCAATACATGCGTAACAGACCGTAGAGCAATTAAAGTCCAGGTACTGATAAGTTCTCACTTCACAACTAGGTCCCGTTGTCCAGAGTCCTATTGGTAAAAAAAGATGTGTCAGTCACAACACCAAGTATGTTGGAAAGGCCTATATACTTCTCTTACCAGTTTCCCAAAACGATTGAGGAATACATCTCCTGATAGTCAAATTATAGCATCGTAATAATGCTTCGTTGGTTGGAATGTTGGGGTGGTGGCGGAAAGGACTGGTCTTGGAAAATAGTTAAATTAGCATCGCTTTTTGCTTCCCGGCGACTACGGGACCACTACCACTTTCCTCTCCCTCACATTGACCTTTTGAGATCGTCGAGGCCTGGTGGTTGTACCTAGGCTGTGACCGTCACGTCGTCGAGTATCCTGTGCTGTACGTGTATGACAGCCACAATTTAAGAAAGCATTGGGAGGGCCTTGGGAAGGATGGGATTGGGAATGGATGAGATGGAAATGTTTGGTCGGGATGGCTAGGGCAGGAGTGGTTTGGTGGTTGGAAATGGTTTGGGAATGGATTGTTGGAATTAGTGAATGTTAATGTTGGGAGAAATGGTCTTTGCCCGGCAGCATACGATACAGTCCTTCCTAAGATTAAATCAATGAATACTACTTAGTTCTCTATCCTTGACAAGCATGTTGCGATCAAAACACAAAATAGAACGAGTTTGTTACCTTTTGATCTCTACGAGAATTGCAAGATGCGTAATCCAGATGCCTTCTTAACGTGGCACTTCATACCATCGTGACTCCCTCTTTGTTTCTCTCTCCTCTCTTGGCTGTCTCCTACAGCTCCCTCTTCCTGATTTTGTGACAATAGTGAACACAGCGAAGCACTTGGTGAAAGCCTCCTAAAATCACGTAACTGATCGTTACATTTTACATTTTTTGAATCATCAAGTAAGGCTGGTTTGTTACTTGTGTAAGCCCAATTGCCACAACAAGCTGCTTAGTGGCGAAACTCATGTTGAATTATTGTTGAACCAAATCGACAGCTAGGGTCCGCGTACGTAGAATATCGTTTACTTAAGAGATATGTGTCGTGCCGCGCATATTCTCTCAACCAAACTCTGATTGATGGTCGAGCTTGGCGTCGTCGCTTCGCATTCTCTAAATCCTTCAAACCAAGGATGTCTGAACTCAAGCAAAGGAAGACTCCAACAGCCGAGAAGATCGAAGGCGAATCTTCAAAAGACAAGACTAAGCGACTTAAGAAGCAAGCTGGTCGAGATTCTTCTGCTTTGCTGACCATCTTTCAGGTGCTCATCTTTTGTGTACTTTTGACACTTGCTATCTCCCAGTAAGTCGCAAACATGATATCATATAATCTCAGTACTTTAATACTTGTACCCTGTTATAGTGTCTCCACTAGAACTCCTCTTTTTGGTGTTGAGTTACCAACACTCAATCAAGTCTATCGCAAGTTTGTTCCTGTACGTCAGAGTTGACCTACTTTTGCAAGGAGAAACTCTCGCTTATTGTATTTAATCTCGTAGGCGAAAGGTCGAGTCTTCAAACCAGAAGAATTGAAGCTTTATGATGGATCTGATCCAACCAAACCCATCTATTTGGCAATTGTGGGAAAGGTTTATGATGTCAGTGCTGGCCGAAGGCACTATGGTCCTGACGGTTCCTGTAAGTTCGCAAAACGTGTACAGTTCTCAAGTCGAAGTGTCTGTCAAGCCGCACGACTAATCAACGGTGTCTTTGAACATAGATGCATTCTTTGCAGGACGTGACGCAGGGCGAGCCTACGTAACAGGCTGTTTCCAGACTCATCTCACTCATGATATGCGAGGTTTGAGCGAGGAACAGCTCAAGTCATTGGATACTTGGCAGAACTTCTACAGGGACCATAAGGAGTACTTTTATGTTGGTGAGATTGATTATCCACCGATTGACCCCAATAGCCCAATCCCGCCTCCCTGTACCGATCCTTGATCCTGATAAAACTGATGTATTTTTGATGTTGGGATGATGATGTATTTTAACTTACATACTATACGGTTGTTGCTAAAGTTTACTGTTGAAAGCTGTTTTACATATGAGAGTGATTCTATTACTTCAAGTAACAGAGAGACCGTGTACTGAATGGCAGGCTTTTACTATTTACTTGGCCTAGACAAGAAAAAACCAATGATAATCGTGTTAGTCTGCGGATGGCTTGTGAATTTAAAATCGATCAAAACAGTCAACAAAGCTTACGATACGACTTCTTCGAAGCACTGTCCCTCGTCCTGACTCACGACCAACAACAGGCAAAGGAGGCAGTGCTGGATTCTTTGGAATGCTGCGGACTGAGATCATTGTAGAAGCCATATGTTCATCGTCAAATACACTGACTCCGCTCACACCACCACTACTAACCACAGTACTCATGCTATTACTACTATTGGTACGTGATCTCAATGCTCGAGCTGGTGAGCTGGCTCCTGACGAGTTGACTGATGTCGAAGGTGTCGAGTACCCCGAGCTTGACTTCACAACTTGAACAACGTCACCACTTTCCCCCTTCATTGCTGTGTCTGGTGGTGGACAAGCAAACAATACAAGCAACCTTTCAGCCTCAGTCGTCCAGTGTGGTACACATAAACGATATTCCAACGGCACCTTTCCATCATTCTTATCCACCATTTTACGCCTCACTACATACGAGTCAAAGTACGGACCACCACAAAAAGAGCACTTTTTGGCTGATGCCAAGTAGTGTTTGAGTTCTTCATGCATGACTTCATATATAGGTAGTTGGTTTCGGATTATAACTCGAGCTGCTAGTTCTTTTAATGATGGAGGATTATATGACTTGTCGAGTTCTATATCGGATAGTAGTGGACAGTTGTCGAGTCGTAGCTTTCTCAAATATTTGAGTCGGCCTATTTCGGCTGGAAGTATTGATAGTGGGTTTTCAGACAAGTCGAGATTGACGAGTGTTTTGAGTTGTCCGATTTCTTGTGGTAGAGACTTTAGTTGATTTGATTCGAGCGACAATGTGGTAAGCTTTGCAAGCTCTCCAATTGTAGCAGGAATTGATGTGAGTTGATTATCGGATGCTCGGAATTCTACAAGTTTTGTGAGGTAGCATATAGTATCTGGCAGCGACGTAAGCTTATTTTTGGCAACAGACAATAGCATCAAGTTTCGCATATATCCGATTTCGGGGGGAATGGAGGTCAAGTCGTTGCAGCATCTAAAGAGCAAGTAACATAAGAATTTTTAGAACAACTGCGTTCTCGTGTTTAGCTGACTTGTCGTTCAGCAGCCAAAAGAAAGGAGCCGGAACCGATTCAATCATAAAGGCGATAAAGACTTACAGCTGAAGAGTAGTAGTATTTGATAATAAGCCCATGTTGGCAGATATTTTCACCAGACCTTGAGAGCAGAGACCAATTGTAGCCATGGAAGTGAGTTGACCAAATGTAATAGCTCGTACTCGTTTCCTGACGACTTCCTTTCCCGTCTTTCCAAATCCTTTACGACCGTATGGTTTGCGTAGACTCGAATCACTCGGACCTACAGCAACAGTACCAGCACCGAGTTTTTGCAAGCGAGCGACATCCAAAGCAGCAGCAGCTCCTCGTCTGGCACGGCTAGGTTCTATAGCTATGACGTAACCTTCTTCTTCATCAATAACAACCAAGTCCTCATCAATATCATCATCTCCTCCGTTGGTTATATGTACAACTTCGTGAGCAGCGGTTATTTCGTCGTTTATGGAATGAGTTGGTGAGATTCGATTGTGAGTATGGGATACGGTTGGAAGGGTGGTTGTATTGGCACCAGTAATAATAATGTTGTTGGCTGCTTCTTCAGTGGCAACGGCTGCGGCATGTGCTGTAGGGAAATCCTCTCGAGCATAAGCGAAATGGACATTTGCATACTCCTTTGATATGGTATTGCCCATCCTGGAGTCCTATAGAGAGGTTTCACCGTCCTAAGTAAGCGAACTTGTCAGCTCAGTCGTCACCAAAGTTGATTTGTTCGTTCTTAAAGATTCAAAGCAATTGGGCAAGAAGCAAGCAAAGGAGAGCTGAGGTTAAGCAGCAGATCGAGCTATTACCTTCAACGATGATCCTGTCCTCTCGTCTCCCTGCTTTACTCAAGAACAGCCGTTGAAATTGCTTAAACCTTGATGGAACCAATCAACGAATTTCGTTTTTTCGAACGAGCAGTTTCCGGTCTGTGCAACAATTTTATGGGTGTGAATACGTGCAAACTACCATGCGAATCGTTTTCAGTTGTATTCGCTGCGATACACCAAACGTTAAATAAGATTCCTAAAATGTTTTACGCAAATGCTCGGTTCAATAATGTAGTCTTGTCTCCAATGAGACTTTCCTAATTCAAAATCAAATTGGTTGGCTTCTCTGCGTACTCGTCTTTTGCTTACTGTTGTGTTAAACGTACTAATTGCTTCTCCCTCTCTCCAAGTTTGATCTTGGCCAAAGTGATGTCCTATACAGTTAAATTGCGTTAAATTCCAGCTTTTTCCTTCCTCTGGATCATCGGGGACATATGTCTTACAGGTGGAAGATCTTGATAACTCTTCAGCAGTCTGAGATCACTCTCATAAGCTCTCTGAATTGCATCTAGCTCTCGTTCTAGGTCTTGAACAACTGGAACACGGACAGATTCCTCTTCTTCCGTCCAGTCTCTCTATAATTTCAAGTTAACCCGAGTGATCAACTGTGATTTGAAGAGGGTAAAACATGACCTGTCGTTTTCAGCTTACCTGTAGTTCTTCCAGTCGTTCTGTATACTCTTCAGATTTCTGATGCAAAAGTAATACATTGTGTTCCCATGTTGAGGCTGTCTGCTGCTCAGTATCACGTTTAGATTGATGAGAGCTCGTCCACCTAGTTAAACCGTTGGAAGACGATTGTTTAGTCTCGAAGTTCGAATGTGCATGCGCTCTCGCATGCCTTGTAAGATAGTCCAAATCAGCGTCTAGATTCTTTAAATTCTTTTCCAAGTCACTCCGTAAATGGGACAACCGTGAAATCGATTCTTGTATTGACTCTTCTTCCATCATTAGATTCAATAGGGCAGTTTCATAGCTAATGAAGATGTATATGTGAAGTGCATACACTATCAATTCAGATCTTCCATAGTAGGAATAGAGGGCGTACCTGCCAACTTGGACTTCCGTCAAAGATAGTGAGTTTGCCAATGAAGAAAGCAGCTCGAGGTTTAATTGAGCAGGCTTTGAAAGTTTTGTAGTATTAAATCCAGTACCATTTATGATATTCAGAAGTTTGTCGCCTAAAAGGTTGAATGTGAGCATCCTGTTCAGAGCTGTGGATGTAAACAAGAATGTTGTAGTTACCTGCTGAACGCAATTGCGTAGCGGTATATGATGACGCTTTAAGCATACTTTTGATAGCCCAATACGATTGGATATTGAAATAAGTAAGAGCTCTCTTGATCGTCTACTTGTTGATTGACTGTGTTCTAGATCCAAATGACTGTCCGTTGAATAGTTCCTGGTCGAATTCCTTTCAGCTAGTACTGAATCAGGAATCTTACAAGCCTTTGGTGAGCTATTGCCTGTGTTTTTATTTCTGTGCCTCTGCGAACTGCCGTTCAAGCGAATGGCCAAGTGAAACATACAACAATCAAAGGCCACTGATGAAATTGTATTTTCATTTTTTATGTTGTAGGGAGTTATATTGACTTGACTGATTGTAATTTGAGCTGGTAAATGGTGAGTAGTCCCTCCACTGGAATGCTCGTAGCAGGAATCTACCAACCACACTTTCTGATCGTGGCCGAGACCTCCAGACTGGTTTCAAGCAAACTTCAGCGAAAAAACCCCTCCCTTCAATATGCTCCGTTCACTCCGTTCTGGGATTTTGATTCTTCCATTGATTGTAGATTTTGGACTTTGGGAAAAAATGTTGTGCGGCGACTTAAGACTGCACTATTCGAAACTTCAGGGTGATCAAGCAGTTGTCCGCAGCTTACTTACATCATTTACATAGTGATCGCATCGCTAGACGTCATTCTCGTGGATTGGTTTGAGAGTTTCAAAGCCTTAGTAATCTCGAATTCCTCATTTTTTACGACTCAAAAACCTACAAATCGACATTCAATCTTGAAAATGAAAGTCGAGATCGTACCCGCCGAGGGTGGCTACATAAGAGGCCGTCCTGGGCTTACTAAAGCTTATATCGTTGGATCCGTATTGTTGAAGTCTGAGCATAATGGATCTATGAAATCAGCCATCACTTCGGTGAAGATTACTTTTTCCGGAACAGTAGAGACGTAAGTACTCATGTTCTAGTATCGATCACAGATCATAGGCCGCCTGCTGCCGCTTTGATGGGATGATGCATCGAGATTTCCGTTATCTATTTGACATGTGAAACTAAAGGTTCATACAGTTTAACATTGACTAATCTAATATTTCTTCTTCTGCATCGATTAGTGACATTAATATCTCTGGTAGCGGAAACAATAGCCAAAGTCTAGGCCTAAGGTCCCACAAGTCTCAAAATGCCATAATCTCACTGTCGCAAGAATTGCCCGTTGGATTTGTTGGACACTACAGAAATGTCGAGATCCCATTTGAATTTGAATTGCCTGATGATCCGCTTAACGATGATCGTTGGGTCCTTCCCGTGTCTTGTGGATTTGGTGTGCAAGGTAAGCGACTTTTCATCTTTTATCACATGCTAGCGATCGCATCTAAGCGACGGGAGAGTTCAACTTTAATCACATGCCCGCGATCTCATCTTCTCTTTCATATACAGGTGTCTATAGGTTCGGTGTTAAATACACACTTTCAGCAAAACCAAACTACACTACACCTGCTCTTGCTCGTGTTTCTTCCTCGGGATCTGTTAACTCGCTTGGCTCAATATCATCGTCTATATCGTCATTATCATCATCACCTCTGAACGACAAGCTTCATTTTGGTACCGAAACTGTGCCCGTCGAATTACATTATTATAATCCAGCAATCCTTCTCAAATTAATCCAGTCGTATGACGATGAGGTCCATCACCATTTGCTAGGGCCGTTTCGAGCAGATGTATCTGTATCCTCAACTGTCTTGGGGCGTACTGATCCTATTTTTGTAAAGATGACGTTGACTCCAATTCACGCAGTTGATGCTGCTATTATTCACACTGAGGGTATGTCGTTCGGTCATTTCGACTAGGTTTTATTCACCCTCTGACCTCATATCTTTATTTTCGCACGTAGTATCTTTAAAGGAGTATCATATAGTGAACTCTGGTAAAAGGCGGTATCAAAGCACGAGGCATCTGATTTCATCCACTTTCCCGGACCTTAATAAGGGCGACACTGGGCAACAAACCCTCAGAGCTAAATTATATGTGCCAAGAGATGCTTGCACGTCTGAAGATATACCATTCTCCCCTATGCCGAGTACTGAAGCCTCGTCTGAGGCATCCTCTAGTGTACGCAGCTCAGAAACCGAGTCAATACATAGCAATCATAGCCACTCTACAGTGTCAAGTACCGCTCGAAGGCCCTTCCTGTCATTCAATAGTCATACTGATGATGAAAGTCACCCACTTACAGCACTAGGTATGTTTCGCTTAATGCAGCCTGGTGTCTTTTCCATTGTGGGACCTAGTACACTAACAAAACCTACATTTTCCTCAGGATTTAGTAGCAATTGCTCCTTTGAAGTATCTCATTTTTTAAAGTACACTGTGATGGCTAAGGTATGTCAGATTCCTACACGCATTTCCCCCCTAGTTTCCAACCGTGATGCTAATACTTTCTTACAATCAAGCTCGATAACGTGATTAAAGGATTTTCTTGGGAGTATCCCGTTATGATAAGCTCGGTCAAACAATCTCAGGTCTTTGACTTGTTAGAAAATGACTGTGATTTGATACCGCCGCAGTCTTATGAGAAGGCCTCTGGCAATCTGCTGGCCACCACTCATACCCCAGTATGGCAACAAATGGGTACCAAATGCTGATCGCATTAGTTGTCTAGTCATCTGATATTTATTGCTGCACCGGCAGAATATAGAGCATCTGAACATATAGTAGACAATTAGAAGTGTATACATGAATAGAGGAGGTAGCCAATAGGAACTAGCGTCTGTCGTCGTTGTTTGTCGTGGACGCCATCTGCCCCTTTTCGTGCTCCGCTTTGGGTGATCTAATGACGAACGAGGGATAGAATACGATCTTTAACGCGACACTACACTATGCTTTCGTCTGTACGGTAGTTTGTCGCGAGAAAGACTAGTAGTTTCTGCCTTCCAGTCTTTTTTTTGCAAAAAAGAGTTGGCAGGAAAATTCGCACAGATTTACGAATGAGCAAGCAGAGAAAGACTCAATCTGGCGGCCAGAGCTTCTTACCTAGAGGTTTAGCAGCAGAAGGTGGCATATTGGGAAACAGACAACAAGCCGAACCAAAAATAGCAGACAAAATGGAAGCGACTGCCGAATCACTCCCTCATGCCAATGGAACAAATGGATTGACTAGCAGAGACTATTACTTTGACTCGTATGCACACTTTGGTAGGTCAATCTCTCTTCAATCTTGCTGTACAATTTCGTAAAAGTCGACCTCCATAATTTTTTTTTTTGCTGGCCTCGAAACTTTTTCAAATTTTTTCGCTGATCTTGCCAAGTCATTATGAACTAATTAATGATTAATTTTTATTTTACATTAGGAATCCATGAAGAAATGCTAAAAGATGAAGTCCGAACATGCGCCTATCGCAACGCCATGTATCAAAACACACACTTGTTCAAGGACAAGGTTGTTTTGGATGTGGGTTGTGGAACAGCCATCCTATGCATGTTTGCCGCCAAATCAGGAGCCAAACTAGTCATTGGTGTCGACATGGCCGATATAGTAGATCAAGCTCGTCTCATCGTAGCAGACAATAACTTGTCAGACAAGATTGTCCTCATCAAGGGTAAAATGGAAGAAGTCGTGCTTCCCGTCCCCAAAGTAGACATTATCATCTCCGAATGGATGGGATACTGTCTCTTGTATGAATCCATGTTAAATACCGTATTATATGCCCGTGATCGCTACTTGGCTCCCAATGGTCTCATCTTCCCTGATCAAGCCACCATGTATATCTCTGCTATTGAAGATGGTGAATACAAGGAAGAAAAGATTGGATTCTGGGATAATGTATATGGATTCTCTATGGCTCGTATCAAGGAATTGGCTTTGCGAGAACCCTTGGTGGATACTGTTGATCCCAAGGCTGTAGTCACTGCACCGTCAGCATTTAAACAGATTGATTTATATACAGTTACGCTGGAAGAACTTGCTTTTGAGTCTCCCTTCTCTTTGAGGGCCCTCAGGGATGACTATGTCCATGCATTTGTAGTATACTTTGATATTCGCTTTGGAGCCTGTCACAAACCTCTCCGTTTCTCTACTGGACCTCATGGTAAGCATGATCAGACGCGAAGAAGAAGGACTTCTATTGCTTGCATGTCATCAGGTTTTTTGTGCATCGACACGTCACTCGAGGCTCACTCTCACCCCTTTACAACAGCACCATACACTCATTGGAAGCAAACCGTGTTTTATACTCCAGATTATATGACCGTCAAACAGAATGAAACCATCACAGGCACTTTCAGGTGTTCTCCGAACTCGAAAAATGTTCGTGACTTGGACATTGAAATAGAATATGCCTTCGACGGTGCCTGTGGCCGATCGCAAGGTAAGCATAATTATCGCATGTGCTAAACAAAGTGTACATATTTTGCACGTGTAGAAGCAAGGATGTAATTTTGCTGTTTTTAAAGTAATTTTGCAGTTGATAAGGAATATAAAGGCACGCATTTGCTCGCAATTTTCAATTTTCATCATGGTCCAGTGCTACTAGTTCTGTTTCCTCTCTTGTTGTAGCTCGTAGCAATGCGAGGAGCATTCCAGAAGAACAAACTCCTTTTTCTCGCTGTGTTGGTCCAAAAAAGAATTGACACGTTGACGTCGGGAAAATCACAGTTTTCTAACAACGAACAAAAGGAGAGACGTTGAATCCGCATATAGCAGTGATCAAAACAGTCCCAAGCTTGCTCTAGCGCTCGAGACAGCACAAACTTGTAAGCTTTTTGCTGCAGATGGTTGCATCTGTTTTTTGAATTCTGTGCTTGGAACTCTTAAACTAAACTGTCAAAGCAGTTATAAGCTGGTTGAGTGCTGACAATCTTGCTATTACACTATCTGCAGGACAATGGATACTACTGACGATTCGTTGCTTTCGTCCATAATCAAAGAAGAGGATGGAGTGTTGAAACTTTCCGATCAATTCCTGTATGGAGAGTATGGAAATGCTATGAACAACATGAACATGAATGTCCGAGGAGATACTGAAGAAGCAGGTAGGCATTAAGCTTTTGATTTGAGTTGAATCACGGGCTTGTCAAATCTCAAAGAAACCACATCGAATATGAGGGTGCAACTTTAAACTATACTTCCACTCTCCTTTTAGATGTACCGTTCCTGTTTCAAGTGCCAAGCTCGCCGTCTGAAATGAGTGAACTTACAACATCAACACCACCACCCTTCATGCAAAACATGTTGACGCCACCCAACGATACTTTACTATCTGATTTCAACGAAATACCTCACGTTGAACTACCTCAGCCAAAGAAACGAGGGCCTCGACCTGGTGGTAAACGTAAGAAACTATCGTCTGAAGAAAAGGAAACCAAAGCGCAAGTCAGGTAAGATGCCGTATGTGTGCGTCTTTTCAAATTCGTCAGATTTTTGGTATGAGAAAAGAAAAGGTCTCATGCTAATCAACTCGTTTTTAGGATGCTGAGGAACCGAACTGCTGCTCAAGAGTCTCGCGATAAACGTAAACAGTATTTGGAGGGACTTGAAGATGAGAATCGCAAACTACGACAGCAGAATGCTGACTTGGCTGAACGATTGGTTGAATCTGAGGTAATTGATTGATTCTTCATTCTCTTGTTTTTCTTCTAGGCGACTGAAACAACATCCTCAAACTATAGTCTGAAAAGCAATCATTACGAGCTCAAGTAGAGTTCCTGACTGCTCAAATGGGTGCTCAAATGGGTACTCGACCAATGGCATCAACATCCTTCCATAATAGCCGTAGTGGATCTCCAGCAGTCACCTCGCTATTCAGCAACCTTCTCTTCCCATCTACATCTCAACAACCACAAGTCACGACTAGCACCACATATTCCACTAGCACTAGCACCGTATCATTATCTGACCTTCTGGGCTTCACATCCGCTGACTCCTTGGCTACCTCGCTGGCTTCTCAGCTAAAGCAAACGACGACTACACGAACAACCACCACAGTTACTACAACGGCTCCATCAGCTCAAAAGGATTGGATGTCATATGCATGGTCCTACCTCTTTGACTCCAAGAAACCACGACAATTAACTGCTCCAACACCCGTCGAGCATGTCGAACAGGATATCGTACCAGCTGGTTTATATAGTGCTAAGCTCAACAGCAATAGCGGTGGTACTGAGAATTTGGCACCGGCAGCAGCATCGAAGAGTGCCAAACCCATGGTATTACCTCAATCTATGATGGGTGCATTGAAGCAAAGGCCTTTGATGGGTGTTAAGACGTTCAACCGTCAATAAAGGTGACACTCAGTTAGTCGTGATATCTTTTCTTTGCAGCTCAAACTCAATTATAGTTCAAGTAAAAGCTTGTGTATATAAATCTAGTTGTAACTCTCACGAATGTGTGTAGTCACGGCCTCAATTGTGCTCTTTCTGTGAGTTGGTTGCGAGGACGTTGAAGTACGCGTTGCAAGAGCAGCCCAGCAGAACAAGGCGATACAAGACTACAGTCTACAGAGGATTTTGATCTCGGCAGACAAAATTGGGCCTGAAGTGTACAGTGCCTTCAAATTACGCGTTGAAAGGCCATGGTTGGCAAGATTGGGCAACTTGTGCAAACTGAATCGCCACACGTGCAGAAATCGTCTAGCTTCATTCTCTCGACACGTCTCCCTTATTGATTTCCGCCGGTTTCTCGGCTTGATTTCATTTAGTGAGGCGTTCACTTCTTCCCAAGTTCAAACTTCCGAACCAACTAGCTATAATAAGAGGTAGACCAAACCAGGGACAAGTAAAGAGATGCAGGAGCATGAGAATATCGTATCAGTCACGAGCTAGTGCTGACATCGTCAGGGCTCGTCCTCCAACTGAAGATGTAGCTCAAGAAAGTGAACTTGGTCAGAGGCACGTATTGTACTATGTACTAAGTATCGTACTATATAGCAGTGTGCACCTTGTTCTCGTCGCTCGGCTGTGGAGCCTCATCCGAAGTTTTCGAATACTACCCTGCTGCTCCATATCGTGTGGTCATCACTTTCAACACCACCAACAGCACCAACATCAACATTGACACCACACCTGAATCCAATGACACCTTCAACAATACCAGTAATAATAGTAACAGAAGTAACAATAGTAGTAGTCAAAACATATCCACGGGAAGCCATGATAGCAACAGCATCCTGCCACAAACGAGGTATCGGCATCTGCCTCGGAACACCCTACAGCTCCTAGCTTCCCTCTTACATTCAGCCAAAATAACAATCATAAAGCAGCTACGGAAGGTACTGCCTTGTCGGAGTCATCAAATACCAAGGTCGTAGTAAAAGTTGGAGAAAAGACTGAAGATGCTGCTCATAAAAAAGATATCGTTTCTGAAGTTGAAGCATATAGAACTACTAGCACATAGAAAAGACATACCTGCCTTCGTTCGAAACGTTTTGATGCTTCAACCAAAACCACACGTCGAAATGAAATTGCCGCAAAGCACGGCCCTTGATAGCACCAATGATACATCCACCAAGTAAACATCGATGTCGCGCCCTTAATAGTCGCGAGGAAACGTCTGTCGTCCTAGGCACCATCTTTGTAGTGTGTAATTTCAGTTGATTGGAATTGCGCCAATGAACAAGTTTTTTGACTTGTGCCCTTTTTCGTGCACAGCAGCAAGACGTCCGGAAAACAATCAAGCCACGTTCAGAAACGTTTGAAAGAAGTGCAAATCGCTCTATTAGCCAAACTTGCACCAGTTTTCGCTTAAACAATGTACTCCATTCTACTTTCACACCAAGTGACTACACTTTCATCTTTGCGGTCTGATTTAATACCTACTCATGGCCACTTTGCATCCACGAACCATTTACCTCCCACCGCAAAAAACACCAAATGCACCAGTTTTGAAACTGGTTGACAGTCTATGTAGAGACGAGTCTCAAATTTCGTTCAGCCAGACACCACTGAGCACACGATTTCAGTCCTAGCTGGTGCTCTGCCTCGACAAATCCGACCACATTACGAGACATTGGGCCGAAACTTCTAATAAGCAGGGAGAAAGGAGAGCGAGTTTCCTCAATTTCAGACACGTAGCAAAGAGAACAGGAAGAGGCAGATCCAGCACTGGTGGAGAGGATGATCCTGATCTATTATAACCACATATGATGGAGTTACATGCTTGTGTTGGTTTCAATTTTGATGTCTTTCATTCTGTCAAGTTTGATCCAAGAGATTCGATAAAAACGTACCATACGCGTCAAAGTTATATATTACATCGTGAGTCTCCACGTTTGCAAAGCTGCTCGTCAACACGTCAGACAGTCAGGCGCTTCTCGCTTTTCTCATTTCAGAACCCAACCCTAGGAAGAAACAGGTGTGAGCTTGCAGACACTCGATTGAATACCTTGTGGAGGCATTCCATAGAAGCAAAAGCGACACATTAATCACATTTAAATGACCCGTAAGTCGCAGATTAGTTGTTGCTGCTCTGGAAGATGCTTTTTTCTCTTGAAACAAAACAACATCTTGTTGATGGTCGATCACACGGAAGGAATTGCATAGAAAGAAGGCCATAGCCCGATTTCAAATCCTAGTTTAAATGATTATATCTCTATGGATATTACATTTGCATTAAGAAAAGCACGACGGCCACAAACATTAACACTTTGTTTGTAGGTGGAAACCAACGTGATTTAGCTAGAGCAAAAGCTGAAAAGAAGAAGGCTGACTCTGATAAAGGCAAGCGCTCAGATGGACTAGATTTCAAGTCTGCTAAAGAAAGGTCAGTGTAGTGTAATGTGAAATCGGATGGTGGTGGATCCATGTGGGGTCAAACCTTTATTATTACCATTTAAAGCCGCAAGAATATCTCGTTTGCATGTGCTCACTACTATGCAATTGTACTTTAGGGATGCTGCCATCATGAGGTACAACGAATAAACAAAAAAATCATTTCACCAACAACTTATTCATAATGATGATCCCGGCTGACACCTTCCTTTCCCATGTAGAGACAAACAGTTGGCAAAAGAAAAATTAGCAGCAGAAGCCGCTGCGGCTGGAGCTAGTGGCTCAAAGAAATAATCGTCTGCAACGACGTAGTGAAATTTCTTGTCGATACTCCATACACTCACCAGGAAAAGAGGCAATCAGAACGTAAAAGAATACTAGTGTTTTATTATAAAAAGTCATGTGTGGAAATCAAAATGCATCTGTATTCTCCTTCTTCAACAATCCGTCCATTTCTGTGTGTTTGGATTCTCTTCAATGCCATGACTGGCCTCTCCCTATCTCTAGCTCGCACAGGACTCTCTCCCTACTCAATCCCTATGTAAAATCCACCCAAACCAAAAACCACATCTCTCGCTATGTTTCTTTTGATTGGCGGGTTGTAATGAGGTACTGTTGTATATTGTCACTTGTTTACAACTGCTTAAGTGTTACCAAAAAGGGGGCTTGTTATATGAGGGTTCTTTTTCATAAGGTTATTGTCCTGATAGTCGTGAGAATCCACCGTCCGGACTGCTTCTAGAGGAGGAAATACGTGATGGGGCTTCCAATGAGAGACGTGGCGAAGCAGCAAAACTTTCTGTATGTATATGGATTGGAGCCTGCTCCTGTTGACTTTCTTTTTCTTTAGCCTTGACTTCTTTGATGGCGTTCAGAATCTTGCGACGAGATCCAAATGTTCTGACACCTAATTCTTTCAGGTCTGATTCCGTCTGTTGGGAAAGAAAAGAGCAATGTTATAAGATGGGATTGAACTGTTTTTCAAAAATACGCTCTGCTTACCAATTCAAGCATCATTTTGAAATCAATATCCTGACTCATGAAGACTGGAGCATATTTGGAACAATTGATAGATTCAAGCAGCATTTTGATTTCTAAGTAGCATTGCGTTGAGAATTTGCGTTTTGAGCTCAAAGAAGTGAGTCTATTTACTTACTACTATTGCCAGAGAATCCGTCCAACTTGAACATTTGGTCAATCATTTCAGTGTTCATGACTGCCTCACTCTCTTCTTCTGATTCAGTATCTGATGATGAGACTTCTGCTTGATGGAAGGAATCTCGTAGAGTGCTTCGAGGTCGAATACGAGAGATCTGATTGAAGAGGAGGACATCGAGAGATGTTAATGTGTATGCAGAGACGCATCGAGAGAAACTGATGTAACAGAGAAAAAAAGGCACACACCTTTTCAAGCAGACCAGCAGAAGCGACTGCATCCATAGACTTGGACAAGGACATGCCACAAAATTCACCATTGGGAACCTTGGCCACTGACTCGACTTCGGTATCCAAAGCATCGAATTGCATGCCACCATATGCGGTATTTTCGGAACCATATTGAGCTCGGTTTGCAGAGGTTGGAAGCATGGCCATGAGAGCGCCATCGGTGTGAGCAAATATAGGCATTGCGATGGTGCTATGGTTCTGTGTAAAGTATGTGGTCGAGTGGTCAGCAGTTTGATAATTGGAACTGAATGCGAAAAAGAGAGCAATAAGTTGCAAACTCTACCTTCATTAGATCCGGTGCATCCCAAACAGTCTTTGGCCGAGGTCTGCCTCCATTTTCCGGTGTAGTATCACTTCGTTGGAAGGAATGACTACGTCTCATAGAGTGTTGTTCTGCAGTTGTCACAACACCTCCAGCCCCACTAGGCACAAACGGTTTGGCATCTACGAAAGCGTGTAGATCTGGTAGGGAGTGAACACTTGGTAGAGTTCTACCGTTTGGTCCTTTGGCGGCTGAAGATTTTGGAGATGATGATGATGAGATACCGAGATCGAAGTGGTTTGCGTTACCACGTGCAAACAAGTTATATCCATTGATGGAGTTACTGGTTGATATTTGTTCAGTTATAGTGCTTGCAGTCGCGACAGGTGCAAGAAGTTTGGAGTCAAAGTGTCGGAAGGAGTCGTAGCTGGTGGTTGTTGGCAGCTTTGCGTATGAGGAGGATCGTGTTGCTGGTGCTGGCTGGTGTTTCAGTGGAACCTAGTAATCGACAGTGAAAATGTTAGGATCTCTCAACCAAAAAAACCATTAAAGGGCGATTCATGCCTGTTTTGAGGTCAAGAAATCAGTGACGACACGTTGAGCGGCATTCAGGATTTCTGGAGGCACCATATAATGATACAGAATGATTCTGCAATCAGATGGTTCATCCAGTTCCCGCGGCATATGATACAAGAGTTCGATTCCATGTTCTCGGTGAAGTCGTTGTATGACACTTTCACCAAACTCTGGCTCTGGGAGCACTTTTCGGGCAGCAGGTGAAGCAGGAATAGTGAACTCGTACATGTCTGGCATGAAGGCTATTATCCTCTGCTTGGCGTGTTCGACAGCGTCTTCCATACCAATTATAGTCCACAGATCGCTACTGCTCTCACGATCAGGGATGATGACATCTACGCTTGTATCGGCTTGGATTTCCATAAGGTTGCGGCCGCGAGGACCAATAACCATACGTTGGAAATGTCGAGGTACAAATATGGCGGAGGTGTAATCGACTCGTTCGTTCAATGTAACCAATTCCATGACTGATGCCTTCAATTCACCGAGGTTCATTGCGTTCTTGGCTGGAGTTCGTGCGATTACGTTATCCTCGTTGTCAAAGTAGCCTCCCATTGTCAAGAATTCATCAGCGTTTGAGAATTTTACGTAGACTCCATACTTTTTCATGATTCGTTGGATGTTTTTACCACCGACTCCAATAATGCGTTTATGGAAGATCTCTGGTACATGGAATGAGATTTCCGCTGGTAGTTCGTCTTCTAATAGCTGAAGTCCTTCCAATGCTCGTGCTGGTGATACGTGATAGATATCGACCAACATGTTGAAGCCGTTGTATTGTTCTTCGAAGTTAAACCGAACACCAGATGCTTTCAGAATCTTGTTGGTTTTACCGTTCTTCTTTCCAAGAATGAACTCCTTGTGTTCTAATGCCAATTCAAGTTGGAATTTCGTGTCTCGTATGAGAGGCTACAAAGAGGCAAAGACTTTAGTTGCGACACTTGGTACAAACTATCCAACAAATTTTAAGTTACCTGAATGACTTCATAATCACTGAGTATGCGGAATGAGTCCTTTACAGCAGGCTCCACACCATAGATTTCCATAACACCACGTCTAAACACGACATCTGCTCGCGCAATACGAGAAGCAAAACTTATTTTATCGTTGATGGCACTCAATACAGCAGGTTTGAAACCAGTTGGTGATGTGGAGTTCGAAGGTGCTGGGTAAGGGTTCGTTTGGGTGGTGGGGAGTGGTGATATTTGTATACATGCAATGTAGAGCTCAGTAGCCTATTGAAAGCGAGGGAGGATCAACATTATGTCATTGTGCCTGCGATTTTCGTATTATGTTTGCACATACCAGGTGCATCAAAGCTTTGATTGCTCGCTCCACATATACACGATTATCACCAGTCACGACGACGACATTGCTTGCGGCACCGAGAGATGGTAGCTGAAGATATACACCATTATCATACATAATTTTTATCAGGCTGTCACGACGATATAGCAACATCCAATCCAGCCGACGAGGTAAACATTGGACGGTCCGTGATATGACGATGAGTGCCTAAAAGTATGAGAAGCATATCGTGAGCATGAAGAGCAAAGGCGGAACACAGTTGCTGGTCAATTGACAGCTACCTTTTGTCGAGCTTCATTCACCAATGCTTCCTTTGCTTTGGAAATACCCAATGAAGTTCCTGTAATCCAGATGGTTCCGGCATCAAAATCGAGTTCAGGTGTTGAGCGATCCTCTGCCTTTGGTGGCATGCGTGATATGGGTGAGGGTAACATGATATTTGTCAATGTTTTTCTCATAATTCTTTCCAAGACTTCTCGTTTTCGACCAGCTACAATATAATGTAACCTCGGATCGATTTCCATACATTCGGATATGAGTCCAGCCTGTGATGAGGTATAAATCAATTTCAAGTTGTCGGATGCCCAAAAAACAGCACCTCCACCATCACCGCCTGACCAAAACACACTCTCACGTGCAAATTAGGAGCAACTTACTGCTTCGTCCAAGAGGATGACGGTCTTGACCCTAGCCTTTTCAACAGCTTCCAGTACACCCACTATTTCTATAATCTCTACATTTGTTCCAGTCAAAGCTCTAGCAGCTTGTGGTGGTTCGTCTCCAGTATGACCATAACATGTAATTCGAACCCCAGCCTCCTTCATGATTTCATCTAGACCACGGCTAAACGAAGCTCGAAGCGCGGTTCCTTTGCTTGTCAAGACGAGACTAGTACTGGTCGTGACAAATACACGATACTAGAAAGTAGAGAAAATCAGTCTGCGTGTTTTTCAGAGGCAAAGCATCTAAGCAGAGTCTAGACTTACTTCAGAAATACTCTTTCGTAATAAATGTCCACGGGTAGATATGACCTGAGGAGTTGGTCCGTTAACCGTAATGGAGCAAATCACTTCATAACAATTGGGATCATGAGTTGGATTCATCACACTTTCGCTGACTGAGACTGGACATCGGTACAGGCGACCTGCTTCAGCAGCAAGACGAGAAATATGTTCAGAGATTTGATGGTGTCGAGCTGTTAGCGATGCTGTTGAAATATCCCAGTCGTAAACTCGAACTGGGTAGTAGAAAGCAGAGCACTGGGTAATGTCCATGGCTTCTCTCGGACAGGCAACCTTCCCAAGACAGGGGAATACGCGCCCTAGTTCAAGTAGTAGTCCACCTAAAGTTGTCTACTTTGCCACCACCGCAGTCTGTGAAGAAAATTGAGTTTTACGTGTTGGTATGGGTTGAACGAAAGACTCCCCAATCACACGGTTTTTGGAACTTAAAACAACGCTAAAGAGAGCTCGGACGAAGCGCAGATTTGCGTTTGGAGTCATCTTTTAAAATTTCAACGTCCATTTCGACCGAGAAGATTCAAACCTGCGCCTGTCGTCACGTGGTGTGAATGCTATGGATGCGACTCTATTTCCTATTAATGGCCTCTACATATTCAAAGTGTTTACGATATAGTATCATCAAGTCATCCATAACTATTTGTGATTTACAACGAGGTGTTACCAATTTTGTTGGATGTTTTTGATCAGAAACCAAACTGGTAATTACCTTTTGTAGAATACGGTGGATTCCTGTAATACACTCTCTGCAAAAAGTCCATCATTGCACCTGTAGCCATAACAGCTTCCTCGACTGGTAGTGTATCCCAGTACGCATTGTCTACTGCAAATGGGTTTTCGGGAGAAGGTATCAGAATCAAGGATAGCACCTCCGTTACGAGATCATATAGCTTGACGTCTTTGTATGAAATGTGTCAGTTTGTGCGTTGAACAATCGACTATGACAGACGCGTCAATTACCTTCTGTAGCCCATGCAGTTGTTGAATTCAATTTTAATGGTGTATCACTTTCCAGCTTTTGATCTTCTCGTACTTTGATGAGTCGTTTCTGATTTGATCGTATCTGATCGTATTAAGAGGAGTTGAAAGTTAGATCATGCAACAAAGTAGGTAAAGTACGCGTTTGTAGGTCAGTGTGACGTACCCACACAAAAGGACGATTGTATTTCGCGTAACATGCAATCAAGAAGGCTGTCTTGCTCGAATCTCGTTCTAGTTCACGATCACATGGACTGGCTGGTGGATTCTGGCCGGCTGCGAAATCCAGTAGCCTGTATATCACGACGAGTTTTAGGTCAGTCTCAATATGTCTGCCAGGTTCAAGTCAATTCCAACTTACAAATGACGCGTTCTTGCAGAGAGCTGCTCTCTAGGTCTAAAAGATATACAATAAGCATGATGTGAGCCAACCAATAGATGGAAGAGTTGAAGATCAAATTTACGCTGTTCTTGCAAGATCCAAAGTACTTGATGCGCGACTTAGAACGCGACTTTTCGAGTCTCCAGCATTGTAAACTCTCAAAAGTAATTCTTCTCGTCCTCTTAGATACGTTTCAAAATACAGAAATCCCTATATTGGGAGAAGTTTGATGTTCATGAGCAATGTTGATGTAAAACTAACGGGGTCATCTTACGCGTAAGCATCCTAATTGCACAAATTCAGCGAGTAAAAGATTTAATTTACTTGGTTCTCTCTGGTTTGCATTAGTGCGAGGTGAGCTATCTTAAACCCAATACCAAAAAACACTGAAGTTCCCAGCTAACCTTTGGGGATGTAGACATCCTGAGCTCCTACACGATCTAAGAATACCTGGACACGGCCGTTCTTGATGCAGAAAATCAACTTTACCCCTCTGAAATGTGTTTAAAGGTGAATCTTCGTGACGGACTGTTTCGCAGTTTTAAAAAGAGGTATGTTCTAACTATATTTAACGCGAGCAATCCTATTTTTAATACAATTCTACAGAAGCATACAGCATACGTGTTTATGACACGTCCTTTGATTGTGATATGATAAATTGTGGGAAATGTTTGTGGTCGAGATGTTGTGGAAGGTTTTCCCAAGCATCCTATACATGTAAAAGGTCAGTTCTGGCTTATTTTCTCTCTTATACTTAAACACACGATACATACTTGAAGATTCACAGGGAGTGGAGGATTGTAAGACAACTTCAATGACAATCCAACAGACCAAAAGTAATCACGCCTCAATCGCAATTGATCATCTTCTAGCCTTTTGAATGCAGCCATAGTGTCCATATCTGCCATTTCTTCATCATTGAGGTTCAGCATGGAAGACAATGATGAGCGAATCATTCGGTTTGTTTTTCGTTCACCGTCAAGAGATTTTTGGATGGCGTCAAAGTTTGGATCTTTGGCCATTAGGTGATGTGGAGATACATGGGATATATTCATGTTTGTTTGTGCGGTTTTTGACGGTAGATGGAAGAGACGTGTTGCTGGGATTGATTGTTTTGTCGGAGTTGATGAGAAGATGACTCCTTCCTTGACGAGGGCATAAGTTATAGATAATTTGGGTCCAGACATCACTAAATAAATACCATGTGTGATTAATGCAGGAAACGGTACGCATCAGATGCGCAAGATCAAGATTACCTGCTCCTTCCAAGACTTTGCCAGCTTTATGAAAGTACAAGACTGTGAGGGGATACAAGCCAGGCGAGCCGAGTTTTATAGATCCTTCCACTTCATTGTAGTAATGCTAAGAGAAGATTTGAACTTGGTATCGCTGCATCAAACATGACAAGCTATTGCATACCGTTCCGTCGTTTTTAGCCACAGTTTTGCCCGCTATGTAGAGAATAGATCCATCATTCGAGCCCAGAGAGAATGAGTATTTCCCAGGCTCAGTGATTTGCAATATGCCAGTGAACCTTATAGCAAAGTTGCCACTGTGCAGTTCTGTGACTTGTTGCTCAAAGTTCTCATCAATGAAGACCTTTGAGAGTGACGGGGGCAGTATTAGTTAGGGATGCGCACCGAGGAATGCAACAAGTACAAGATCTTGACCTCATCAGCAATTCCCAACAACTCTGGAGATAACTAAATTTTCGAAAAAAAAGGGTGATGGTTTTAGCAAATCGTTTGTTTCAAATGTTGACATTGATGGTCTGCAAACAAGCGACGAAAGGGTTACAACTGCAAAGTCCGGCAAGTTATCGAAGGATCCACTGTAATATTCAAAGCAAATGCCTGGCGATAGTTCCGCAGACGACGTCAAGACTGAGAAGTTGCCGAGAGTGAGCGATGATGGAGCAATGACCGACGTAGGGCGCTGATTGTTTGCCAACATGATGACAGTCGGTATAATTGTAGGTAAGAGCTTACAGCTGCCAGAACTGATAGGCCTACACAAAGAACTGTTGATGTTGGGGGAAAATGGAGAAATCCAATTTGGCGACGGAAGCGAGCATCTGGAGACACCCAGGGAGGTTCAAAAGAACAATGATTTACGTGTTATTACATGTTTTGAGCCCTATAAAGCTTGTCCTTGCAGAGTTGAATATGAAAATATCAATCAAATCACGAGAATGGTAATCATTCCCTCAAGTCACTAAAATACTCAAGAACGCTAGGAGATGGACGCAGATCAAATTGCCACGGCATTTCATACGCGCTGGCATCCTGCAAACACTAGCAAGACACCTCATACAAGCTTTGATGCGCTGGCTGCCTTGCAGTTTCTCGACCAGTTTGAAGACTTGGCATCTCCTGATGACGTCGATGCTATACGCTGCGAAGTAAGAGCTAGATGTCATCTTGTAATGCGCAATCAGCCATATCTCAATTCGTCATCACTCTTTTATCAAGGTTAGGGACATGTACGAACAAACAGCATTCAATGGTCAATCAAGTGAATCGCTGTCAAGTCGCATAAAGCAAGCTGCAAGAGCAAGGAATCCAAGTAAGAGAAGCACTTCCGAAGCTTCTCTTTCTGTCGACGATCTACTCAACATGGTCTGTGATCACTCTCTACAAGCCTGTAAGGCATACAGGTGTAGGAGCTCACACTTACACGCTTCTAGATGACAATACTGCCAGATCCAGCCATTCCAGAGTTTCCTCGTTTGTCAAAAAATGTAATAGACAAGGCTTTATCGAAACGTGTCGATGAAAGTATGTGATCTTCGACTATGTCTAGTAACAAGGCTCCACTCTCTAAATTTGGCTTGAATGATAGCACGTGTTATAGCTCGCTCAGGCTCTTTACCTCGAATGAAGACCTTTGTTCCGCCAATGATAATGCAACAATACCAAGTCACAGCATCAAGAACTGCTCCAGGACAAGAAGCACCACTAAAAGTTAACAAGTCTGTACAAACTGATTCTCCTGAAAAGGTCAAGAACGAATCTCGGCCGAAACGCAAGAATAGACATCCAAGTCCAGATAGTGAGAATGAAGACGTAGAACCATTGTCAAAGAAGCCTTCTTTTGCAACATTTGCAACAGCTAGAGACGTGTTGGTAAGACCACGTTTTCGTATTCACGCTTGTATCCTCTGAAGTTTGACCATCACATCCATCTTTTCTTAGGCAGTGGAAATGGAAAAGACCAACACTCGAAAGGATTCCAATGATGAAGATATACTCGAAACAATGACAAGAACAAAATCAGAGGCAAATAGTATACCTGCTATAACAAAATCGAAAAAATTTGTTCCTCCACTCATGAATGGCGATGGAGCACCCACTAAGAAGTATGTGCTTTTCAATTGAGATCTCCTCTGAGGTTTAAAGAGGCATACTGATGACAGACTCCTCTTTTAACAGGAAAGCCAAAGACGAACCTGTCGATGAACGACTACGAAACATTGAAAAGAGAATGTTGGATATGATCCTCAACGAAGTCTTAGAAAAGGCACCTACTGTGTCATGGGATGATATCGCAGGTCTGGAGCATTCCAAGTTGGCTATAAAGGAAGCTGTAGTATGGCCCATGCTACGTCCTGATATTTTCAAGGGGATTCGAGGTCCACCCAAAGGATTATTGTTGTTTGGACCACCTGTGAGAAAACGTCACTGCGGAATCTCGTTTTTTGGTTGAAGTTAGCTTCTTTGGAATCTGATCTCAAATCGCAAATATTTAGGGAACTGGTGATTTTCCTTGGCTTTTTTTGTTGACTCTCAACTAATAGAGAACAAGAATAGGTAAAACGTTGATTGGGAAATGTATCGCTTCTCAAGTCAAGGCTACTTTTCTGAGTATATCTGCCTCATCACTTACCTCGAAATGGATTGGTGAAGGAGAAAAGATGATGAGAGCTCTATTTGCTGTAGCTCGTGTTCATCAACCTTCAATCATCTTTGGTATGGGTTGCACGCTCAAGGTTTTTTTTGCGAACTTTCTCAACCCGTTTCTGATATTGGCAAATGTAGTGGATGAGGTGGACTCGCTGCTCACTCAGAGGCAGGATGGAGAGAATGAAGCAACTCGACGAATCAAGACAGAGTTCTTGGTTCAATTTGATGGTATGGGTTGTGCGAGGTCGTCGTCAACGTGAGCACTAATGGAGACCCAATTTATTTGGCAGGCTGCGGAACTGATAGTGAAGATCGAGTGCTGGTAGTCGGAGCAACGAATAGGCCTAGTGAGATTGATGAAGCTGCTAGGAGGAGGTTTCGAAAGAAGTTGTAAGCATTGCAGCTTTTTGACAAATTATAACTACCTCAATAACCGTTTTTTTGTGTCAAAAGATACATACCCTTACCAGAAGCTGAAGGCAGAAGACACATTATTCGCAACTTGTTGAAGAATCAAGAGCATTCGTTAGATGAAGAACAAATGCAAGATATTGTTGCTCGAACTGAGGGTTACAGTGGGTCTGATATGGATGGACTTGTTCGAGAGGCTGCTCTAGGTGAGAGGTTTCGATTTGCATGTTAGCGATTGCCCAGTCTCAAAGTTTTTGACACCAATCATTTATATCCAGGTCCTGTTCGAGAGATCATCGACATACAAAATGTAGAGCTCAAGGATGTTCGGCCAGTCACTTTTGAAGACTTCATTGATGCACTCACGCAAGTAAAGAAAAGTGTAGCAGAACGAGAGCTTGAATCCTATCTGAAGTTTGATGACGAATATGGAGCGAAAAGTGGTAATAGTAAAACGACCACCGCTTTGTAAATGTTTAATTTTCAATATCGTAACTTATGAAAACACGAGAGGAATAGACTTCGCATAATAGATGGACACATATATACTGGTATGCTGCCTGACTTATGTTTATAATTTTATATATACTATGTGATCTTACAGTCACTCGTCACATTTATACTGGTCTGCTGCTTGATTTATGTTTATATGTTTTACATATACTATGTGATCTTATAGTTGCTGGTCATCACACCCGCCATAACTTGACTACTTCTGGCCCTTGAGAGAGCTTGCCAAGTATTCTGGAACCGTTATAGGCTTACGTTCGAGCACCCTCTCCAACGTGGGATCTACAGCAGCAAATTCTCCTGCTCGACTAGCAGCAAACATGCCCACAAACGTCTTGGCCTGTACTTTCGGCAACCCCTTCACCGACAAATCCTTGTCATACTCCTTGTTGACTGTACTGGCTGTGCTGAATAGTGTGACTTCAACTACCAAGTACTGATCTCCCAACACAATCAGGACATCTGCCAGTTCCGCCACTAAAACACGTGGGTAAGTACGAAAGTCAGCGCTACCATCAACGAGAGAGTACAAACTATTCCAGCCTTCCCATGCTAAAAGGAAAAATTAGAATTCAAAGTCAACATCAACACTATGGCATGTAGCAACATGAAATCAACCAAAGACTTACTCCTTCTAAGGTTATGGTATCTGTGACGTTTCCGCAAGTGTTTTCCCATCCTTCGAGGTAAGTTTGAAGACGTAGAGGTTTAGCTAGTGAGGCAAGAGCCTGCGTCATGTAGAAGAGGCCCTACAAGCAAGAGAGGGAGGTAAGATGTCGAGATACCAATTTTGTAGCCTAGGCTTCAAGGGCTCCTACCAATGACGAGCCATTCCTTCTTTTACCTCCACGGGGATATAATAGTCGCTATTCAAAAAAGTGTGTCCTAAAAGGGAAGCCTTGGACCCTGGCAAAGGCGAAATTGATCATGAATTTGAGCCAGGCGCATGCATTGAGACTTTATGATATTTAATATGCGTTGTTTACCTCATAGAAATCATTGAACAATCCATCAACTTGCCATCGGAAGTTAAGCCTATCAACAGAGCCTACTGCAACCGTATCTGAGGTATCTAATCTGCATCTTCTCACCTACGGCACGCTCTCTAATTGGCTCTTTTTGTTTTGCTGGCAGAGGAGCTATTGTGCGCAGCAAACGTTTGGATTATGCCAATTGTTCAATTCAACGTAGATCCTGGACGTAGAGACGCATTACCCGTCAATGTGAGTTGCATGAGTCGGACTGCTACATTTAAAACCGGAAACCAGATCTAACGGGCAGTATTTGTTCTGAAAGCTTTATTTCACAGTTAAAACCCAAACGCAATTAACTAGAAACAATGAACTAGAAACAATAAGCAACATCTGCGAACAAAAATATCTGCAACACCTGACACTGAGAAAAGCATTGATTGAGCGTTCGCCAGTTCTAATGGGTTGAGAGAGTTCGTTCTTCGGTGCTTGGAAATTGGTGAGGGCTCATCATGTAAACATTGAGCCCGCCCACTAGTAAACCACCGGTAATTGTTCAAAAGAAATGGCCAAAAGGGTTCCAAAAGGCGTGGTATCTATTTGATCAAAAACTGATGGTTGTCAGTAAGGTCTGACGTTTGTGAGAATGTGTGTCAGCAAATAATGTATTATTTTGTGTGATCAGAATGTTTTTGTTTTTGGTAAGTTTGGGTATCCGTCATAATTCATCGGAAGCAGAACTGATTAAGGTTTTTCATCATATCACGATTTCAGTCCATTGTATTTTGTCTTTGCAACTTACCATGAATTCAGTGCAAGTGTTCCAGCATTGGTAGCAGTGCATTCAACGTTCGAACTCCATGACACTTGAAATCCCAATATCAAACCAATCTTGTATTCTCCAAATCGAACAAAGAAAACAAGACCTGAGGAAAAAAAGGCAGGGTTAGACAGGTGCTCTAAAGCGTCCATTATCATTTCACGAGCTCCCAATAAGATGTTCATAGTCTCAGTTGGTGGTGCATGTTAAAATATCCACACATAAGTTTCGGAAATGTTCTTTGGTGAAGAACTTGAACTCATCATCGACAAGAAACACATCCATCCAAACTCCACGCTTTGTTTGGGTTAACCCCAGATAATAGCATCACTCAAAACGTACCTTAAAACTCGAATAGACGGTCCAAAACAGTCCAAGGAGACTGCGTCCGAAAAAAATTGAAGGCAAAAAAAATTCAGTTTAATGTATGGTAGGAGGTATGTCAAACATGAGGAATCTCTTCGGAGACAAGTGCATCAGATACGAGGAATTCATATTATCAGCAGATTAACCGTATCAATGGTTTATGACTGGGATGATTTGGTTGTCTTCATCTGCGACCAGAAAAATTACAAAAGCGCTGCATCCTGGAGCAGACTCGACAGGAAGATACTAGGAATTCAAGATTTGCTTACCTGCGGTTGGCTTGCGAATGCTCCTCCACGTCTCCAACACCTCGCGAGCTGTGAAAGAGAACAAACGCGAGCGAGCAACCAAGCTGCAGAAAAAAAATCCCCAGTAGTTCGGGTGGAGGCATCATGCGGTTAAAAACCCAAGTCACGTACAGTAGCTTGTTTTGGCTAATAGGAAGCTAGTTCATGTTACCTCAGTGACCTCAGTGCTCTCATACATATAGCAACACAGATTTCTGACCAAACAACATGAGAAACCCATACATTCGACCGGTGATTATCGTCCATACGATCCAACGTTCATTGCCAGTTGAGGATCTACGCCCCAACGGACCTTTGTCATAAGAAAGACCATCTGGTCGACTTGAACTGGAAGCGGCGTTTATCAGAGACCTTCAATCTAGAGTTTCTGGTATAATTAATGCGTTTTGAGTTGAGAATCATCGAATGGTCCAACTCTCAGCCGCTGGTTAAGGTGTAATACGATTGACATTAGGTTGGCAAGTACTGGTTCTGCAAAAACACTCCTCAAGTCACAGCTCCAGCACCAGCTCGTCGCAGGAAAGTACAGTCTGATGTGCCTACTTGCAGTCATCATGAAACCCCTCAATCATTGAATAGGAAGCGTGTGCATATTTTTCATTTTGGTTATGAGATCAAACCACGATCACAACTCCTTCCTACGTGGCAGCAGACACGATAGTGGCCATCTTTGTTTCCTTTTACATGATGACTGTCTCAAAATTTAGGAAGAAACGGCTCATCGTTGAGCTGAAGACGTTTGCGTCAGCTTCTTTTTCACGATAGCCACACCTCTGCAATTTAGCACCACTACCTTTCCAAGAAGTAGTTGCATAGCTTCTTCTACTATTGGATCGCCACGCTGGTTTTTCCTTGGCCCTTCTACTACAAATTTGGACTTCAATCTCCCTACAAAGATACGAGATGTCAGCATTCTGTTTAACATGAATTTTGAGCTAGCCTCCTAAATTCATCTAGAATTTATTAAAACACATCAGTTGAATGATACGCATCGGGTGCATTAACTTTTGCATCCCAGTCACTTCGTATGAAATTCGAACTTCAAGCGGCATTTGTCGCCACTGATTTTTGTTCATTAAAGTCAGTTTCCAAACATGAGCAGACACGTAAGATGAGAGTATTTACCCATTTTTAATTACAATAATATGATTTAGGACACACTTTTGGAAAACGCACCCAAACTGCACCTCGCACCCAGCGCCCTTAGGCGCCCCACCCTTTTATGACGTGCGTGCCGCAGAACAGACACACACGACGCTTCAACTTGAAGGCAGAATCAATTTGCAGATATAAGAGAAGTGTAATAATCAAAAAAAAAATACTTGCAACTACTACAAAACCAAACCACCCTAAACCCCGAATAATATCATAGACCATTCCAGAATTCTAAAGCTCGTTTCCTGACAATGTGCGAGATGGAATCCCATCGCAAATTTTTTCCACCACTACTACGACTAGGCTCTTGCTTTTGGTAGACACTGTTCCAAACAGTACGGTATTGGCTGATGACGGTACTGATTTCCTTATCAACGATATCCCAAGACTCGATCACACTCTTCTTGAGTTGTGACAAGGTCTTGACCAATAGCCTATATATAAACTCGATTATCTTTTCGGAGTTCCATTCCGCACTTGGCGAAGCCTTTCCTACGATAATCAAGCTACGTTCCATAACGGTTCCATATAAATCATTGGCGCCGACCGTGAGTGCATTGGTTATAGTAGATAGAGTATCGGCGGATGTGGATTGGGTCGTTGAGATCATCTTGTTGACACCGCGTCTAATGTTGCTAGCGGTTTTCTTCCATTCTCCAGATGTTGTTGATACGACATTGTTTACACTGTGCTGGATGGTTTTGGCAGTAGTGGGTATTACGTCCTTTGTCATGTGATTGTATAGTGTCATGGCATGGGCGTGGTATTGGACTGATATTCTATTTATTTTAGTCATGGCTTCGTCCTGGAGATGAGATACCTGCTGCTGTAAGATGGTGGCTTGTTCCTGTAGATGAGATACATGTTGTTGTATAAGGATGGCTTGTTCTTTGGCGAGTTCCGTGAGAGCCGTTATGTGAGTGGTTGTGGTTGACGAATCGTCGGCTTTTTCTTCTACTGTTATTGGTTCTATGATTGTTATAAATGGCCTGCCTACTACTACTGATGATGGTACTGATGATGCTGCTGCTGTTGTTGCGACTGATGATGGTTGATCTTCTTTATGTCGTGGTATGATGACAGTTGTATCGTTTCGGCCTTTTGAAGCCTTCTTCCAAAGCATCCAAGCTGAAGATAACTTTGGTCCTGTATACATGGTTGACAATGACGTGTGCTTTGACCTTTCCAGGACATCACCAGTTGGTTTATGATCAGCAAAGGCAATGTGACGGCTATTGACACCAGTACATGCTGTTATGTTGGAGCCACTTTTCATACATAGCGTAGCGTTACAATCAAGCCTTCTACGTGGAATGACTTGACCGAACGTACTGTTGTTGTTTGATGGCGTTTGAGTGTACAGTGCCTTGATCAACTCGTGTCCAAGTCCGAGAATTATGGCGGCAGCAACGAGACCGAGTAATATCAATATTATGCCATCTGCCTGTGACATGAATGCAGCGATACGACCGATGCTACCTTGTACCACGTTTTTCTTCCGGGGTGACTTGCCTCGTTTGTCATCAGCAGTTGGACTAGATGACGATGAAGACAGGCGTTCACGAGCGTGGCGGATGTCAGCTTCAGTAATTCTGGCCAAGGATTTCAAAGTTGGTTGAATGGAGAGGTGCAAGGGTTCCTGTAATGGAGGAGCTTGTTCTGCAACCGGTTCCTCATCGTCAGAGCCGTCCGATTGCTGACTATGCAATGATGCCCATTCGATATCATCTAATATATCATAGTCCTTCACGAAAGAGTGAGCTTGAAGGGCAAGAAAATGACAACAAGATTACAATGTTTCTGAAGCGTTGCTTTGCTGCCAGGAGGGCGTACGTACCAATAACAATTCGACCTCGTCATCCATTTCTTTAGTATTCATGATATCTCGGCCTGTTACTTATTCTTGGAAACCTTCCTCGCCTCCACAAATCAAGTTTTTTCGATTGCTACGAGTTAATCATCTGACGCAAATTGTAGTGTTGTTTTCAGGAAGAGACCAGGTTGTAGGCGAGACCAGGACGTGATTTCGATGTAAAATGTATTTAATGCTCATTTCTCACGCTATTCACATACATGCTGTTGAAGAGCTCGCTCAAATCCTTGGTTGACTTGAGTTCGTGTCCTGTGCGCCTCGCCTACTTTCAAGTCGAAGCCTAGAATAGTCAAAACAGCGATTGATTCCTTGAAATGCGTCATACATTTTGTTTCCTTGTGCACGAAACCTCGAAGACCGCCCTGATCTGGACCTGATTCATTTGTTAACTAAAACCACGAGACGCTGCCAAACTTCACTTTCGACGGCCGATTACAACATTCGATAGCTCGGATCCCTTGCAGCAATCTTGATATTCTGATATATATTCTAACCGAACTGCTGTCTCTAGGCAAGTTTCACTCTCAAAAGCCCATACACTTTTCGACCTTTTTGAGTTTTTGAGAATGATTTGATCTGACCTGTTTTCGTTTACATTATAGGCTCGCATAGCTAATTATACACATCTCAAAGCTTGTCTAATCATACATGAACATGAACGGCAAGAAAGACATCGTGGTGGAAGAACTTCATCAAAATGTACATTTCAGGTGCGATCTAAACCAAATGTTCTGCTCAGACGACTACCGGAATCGTTCTTTTCAAACAAATTTTCAACCTGTAGGTGCGATCTGCATACCCACATCTTACCCAAGAGGCTGCCAAATCTTGCTGCAAAGTATGGGTATGGAGGATGGGTCTCCATGGTCGAAACTGAGAAAGGAATTCGTATGGAAATCGACGGAAAACCATTCAGAAACATTGAGTGTAACTGCTATGATGCTGATCAACGAATTGTGGAGTGTGATCAATTGAACGTGCACACTCAAGTGGTGAGTTTGGTTTGTGATTGTCACAGCTGGCTTGATCCGTTAGAATGTTGCTGTTTCAGATTCCATATCGATTAAATGTTGATCTGTTGTGAACATTGCTTGTTCAGATTCCATATTGATGAAATGCTGCTCCTTTAGCTGTCGACTGTTCCAGTAATGTTCAGCTACTGGGCAAAACCGGCAGATGCTAATGATCTTGCCAAGTGAGTCTGCGAAACTTGAAACTCTATTCGAATATTGTGACTCTGACGGCACTCTTTTTCGTGCAAAAGGTACCTAAATGATAATATTGCCTTCACCTGCGCTCAAAACCCAAAGCGCTTCATCGGTCTAGCCACAATACCAATGCAAGCTCCTCAACTTGCCATTGAAGAGCTGCAGCGATGTGTCAACGAACTAGGTTTCAAGGGCATTCAGATTGGCTCTCATGTCAATGATTGGAACCTCGACGCCGAAGAACTCGAACCTATATGGACTGCTTGTGAAGAATTGGACGTTGCAGTGTTTATTCACCCCTGGGATATGGACGGATCCAAACGAAATTCAAAGTATTGGTTTCCATGGTTGATTGGCATGCCATGCGAAACTACCATGGCTATATCCTCGTTGATATTTGGTGGCGTGCTAGAACGACATCCAAAACTGCGAGTCTGCTTGTCTCATGGTGGAGGATCATTCCCTTATACTATGGGTCGTATTGAGCACGGATGGCGAGTAAGTCAATGGCCCATGCACGGGTTTTTTTTGTTGCTCTTAAATGTCGGATTCAACCTTCCACAAATTGCTTCATTAATCTGCGGGGCATTCTCTTAGGTCCGTCCTGACCTGTTCCCAACTAAAATACAAAACCCGTTGAGCTACATACCTCGTATATATTGTGACTCGTTAGTGCATGACGCCGATGCTCTCGAATTCCTGGTCAAGAAGTTTGGTGCTAAGCGTCTCATGTTGGGATCTGATTATCCCTTCCCATGTAAGTTCAGTTCAAATTGCAAACTTGAAATTCTAGTTTGCTGACTCACGTTATGCTATAGTGGGTGAACATGAGCCAGGACAATTAGTCGAATCTGTCACATTTCTGTCTCGAGAAGATAAAGCCTCTATTCTTGGTCTGAATGCACTGGAATTCTTGGGTCTTGATGTTGCTGATTATATGCCAACCAAAATAGCAACGACACATCCTCTAGCTCTCATCAAAGACTTGAAGGAGAAGCTGCTGATCAAGGAGAACGACTTGAAGGATAATTTGTATATCAAAGACGAACAAGGTGCAAACGCTGTAGCATAAGAAAGGGATACTATTTCAGAAAATAACGTCATTTTCATTATTTGTATTATTGGAAAGTGCTCTATTTTGAGATTGTTTTAAATAGCCTGTAAAACTACAAAGAGTATATACGAGGAATTATCTATATGCAACTTGTGTGTTGATGAGTTTGACGTTGTCCACGGCGTTGCTAGTGACATTGATGATTCACCCTGCTTTATGGGACATCACGTCCTTTGTATACGTGCAGCCAATACAATATCCTTTCCAAACTGTCTGTATATGACGTCCTCTAGCTTTGGCATGAGAAGTTCGTCGGAGCTACCTGTTCGATCCAACCCCATAACATGAACACCATTCCCCACATACAGAGGAGCAATAGTCACTATAGCGGTATCCACTACATGAGGATGATGCACCAGCATCGTCCTTATAACACTAGCACCTCCTTCAATCATGATAGACTTTATCCCATACGTGTTCTTCAGCACGTCCAATACAGATGGCAGATCTAGACGCCCGTCGATGACCGGACATGGTAGCATCACAGCACCTCCAGATTCCAATTCCACGACACGTTGCCTGTTATTGATCAAGTTTTGCGTATCCGTGACAATTATAGGGTTCCTAGCCATTAGTGTACATTCTACAGGCGTCCTGAGCCTCGTATCGAGAAGAATAGGGCGCGGATGCTTATAATTTACAATATCACTAATCTTGTCACCGTTTGACAAATACTCGACCAAACGTACAGTCAATGATGGATTATCGTTCAGCACAGTTCCGATGCCTACTAGTATACCATCGTGTAGAGCCCGTAAGGCATGTGTCATGATGAATGATTCTCGTCCGGAGAGTGCTAGTTGGCGTCCATTTGGACCGGATATGAGGCCGTCGAGCGAAGATGCGTAGGTTAGTGTTATTGTTGGGCGAGACTGTGCCGGTGGGATGGAGTTTAGGATTGGGAGTAGGAAGGTATATGCTTCTCGTTCTGTGTCGTTCATTTCTTAGGAGTTTTATATCGGTTGCAACGGTGTTGTCAATGACTGTCGTGATGTTCAAATTTGGAGGTATTTTGGAATTTGGAAGGCAACTATTGATGTTTCCAGGCGGTAGAAGGACGGGAAACGTGTATAATTCGTCTTTACATGATATAGATGGAAGTAAGCCTGATTCCAATACGTGACTCGCTTCATTCTCGTGAAAGGTCCAATTAGCAAAAGATTCATCATACCTTCGTTTCTTTGAAAGCTCTTGACCTCCAGGCTTTCTCTATAGGGAGAGAGTGGGTGGCCTGTGATCTCTGCCACCATGACAGAACTGCAGATCGTCAATACTGGCTCTGATAGTGAAGAGATGCCAGCTCAAACTGAGCAAACACCAGACTTGATAGATGTTGACGATGAAAGAACAGCTCTGCTCATAGATCATTCACAGTATAATGGCGACGAGCCGCCGCCTTATTTCGCTTTTGATGATGCACAATCTTTAGGTATGTAGTAGGAAGGGGCTCCGTGTCAGCAGCTGACATTTAAACCAATGTTTTTGAAACAACTTGCCAGCAAGTGAGATCTAATGTCATTATGATTGGCTGAAGCACGCTTCCCCCGTACATGGTTTTAGAACTTTCAAGAGCAGGCCCATGATGAAGATCACAACACTGACACCTCTACGTTTTTCATACGATATAGAACCGTTACCCAACTACAATGAGCTATCTAGACTGCTACCATCTGGACGACCACTAAACAGATTCCAACTCTTCCGAAAATTCCTATCAGAGTACTGCTTTGACGTCACTCAGCTTCTAATGCTGCTACTCGTAACGGGATGTGCTCTAATAGTCGTAGCTCTAGCACTGCTGCCACTCTTAACTCATTGGTTTGACGCCGCTGTGCCGTTTACTCCGGCTTTCCCACCGTTTGACTATATACATCCACCACAATCGCTACCAGTACATTTCGAGCCTGCAGTTCTTGGTTTTGGATATTGCCATCACGAGAATCAAGTAATTGCTGTAGCTGCTCCGATATCGATAGACTCGTCAACATATAATACTATAAGAATAGAAGCTACAGGTCGAGGATGGATGAAGATCCATATCGCTGATACCGATGATATCTCTGATATACAGGTCGAGCCACATTTCCACATCTCCGAAATCGAACTGGAAAAGAATGTAAATGTCATGCTCCGGAATCTACCACCTCGGTATGATGTGATGCTACATACGCCAATATTAGACGAGACGAGTAGTGATTGTTATACCACGAATGTAAAAGTGACTATACCACTACGCCACTCGTTGGGAAACGTTAAGCTCGTCTTAAATGTGCCGCATATACATATTGATGCTGACTTTAAGGGCTCTTCAAGCTTTGAGTCTGTTGAAATCCTGGCCTTGTCAATGAATATATTTGTAAGTGATGTGGCTGATAATTGGCCGACTTAGAAACGCCATCCAAGTTCTGAGTCCTCTCTTTGTTTCTGCTATAGAATCTGCCATCATCTGTAGTCGACCTCGTATCAACAGACACCATCTATGGAGTAGCTGGCTCTTTCAGTCATGTATCTATGCTAAACGTCACATCACGGCACGATGTCGATATCACCGGTATCGATTTCGACTCGGCTTCAAACTCACATATCGGAATCAGAGCAGGAAACAGAGTATCTCTAGCTGTCAACTCCAGCTATAGTGGAAGAATAGATATGGAATCTTCGGGTTGGATTGTAGTAGATGATGTTGCTCTACATCATTATGAAGGTGCTCGTGGCGATGGTAACAGCACTCTTCAAATAGCTTCAGGTGATGCTGGTGTTTCGCTTACTTGGCAGGATTCTCAATAAGCATGATGCTTGTGGTGGATTGGACTTCTTGGAAAAACAAGTGTATATATGAAATTGCTCTGGTATCTATCTATCTCTCCCTCATTTCACGTTCATGTGGAGTAAGTTATATTAATGATGTTTATTTCGTCAAATAAGATTTGCATTCGTTACAACCTCGAAAGAATTCGAATGTTAAATCAACGATTTAACCCGATTAAGTCTGATGCTTCGGAGTTGCCTTGTAGCCTACGAAAAGAGATCACTGTAGAATGCAATCGCTTGGCGTTCTTGATTGCGAAAGACCCTATGGGAGAAGCCCAGCTTTCTACTAGAACTGGCTCTCTCATAAGAGGGCAAAGACGGTAATGATGTAGTCGTCTCCAGCACACATGGCCCTTGTCTAATCCGTATTGCTGGGTGCGCTGCATCAACCCTACGTGTATCGCTAGATGTCTTGAAACTCTGTACTTGCTTCGCTAGATGTCTTGAAACTCTGTACTTGCTAAGGTGTGGATGTGAGTGGATGGAGCCAACATCATCGGTACCGACGGTATTGCAGGCTCCTACCTAGAAGTAGTTTCGACAGATTATTGGGGCTTATCCACATTCTCAAACAATGTAGTGGAATATCCATAAGGATCTGAACATCTTCCTCGGGGTTAACGTCCTAGTTGACAGCTGGCGGGATTGCCAGTACTTCACGGCGGTGGGCAGGGAGGAAGATGTAAATGACTTGCCAATGAATGCAGCAAAGTCCACTTGAGCGGTGTGTCTGTTTGTTTCCTTCGCCATAAGGTCTGGTAGATACAGCATCATGGCTTAGTCAGATTCAAACACAATGTTGACGTTCAAGTCATAACACAAAGGTAAGCGGTCCTTGATATCGTCCATGTACTCATAGTACCGAATCAATTGAAATCAATGCATACGTACACCTGCTTTTTTCCCACGTGTATTCTGGTCAACCGGTAACAACTCAGTATGTATGTTTGGATGGGTGTTCTGATTTTGAAGCGAATGGGTTGTTGCATTGAGGGTAGAGGGGGCTGTGAATTCCGAAAGAATGTCGCGTTGAATTCGACAAGGGATTTTTTTGCTTTGGAGTGTTCGAAGAATACACGTTATTCCAAATATCATGCAGGTCGGACGTATCATTGATGTGAATGTTGGATGTACTGCTACCAATGCGGCAGACTGAATTGAATTTAATGGTGATCGCAGTGATCAAAATAACGCTTGACACACCAAAGACTGTACTCTCGTTTTTGTGAAATGACGAGCCATCAATCGTCAGTTCTACTTTCGAAGAAATATTAAGGATTCTGAAACTTGCCCAGGAACGCATGATTGTCTGATTGCGAAAACAAATCGTGGAATGCTTGTCCCTGACAACTGCCATTTCTTGATTTATGACGGTGAGTTTGCCTTCCCAATGTTACAGAGTCGCATCCTGTTCTAACTAGCGATTGTCGACTTCTGATGCATTTGTCACCGGCCGGTGTTTGTATCCCGTTTACGGCTGAATCAACAAAAGGCCAGCGTGAATACAAGATATGTGCAGCTCATACTACTTCTTTGTTCTTTGTGAGTTTTCACTATATTTAGAGCGATGACCCTCCTGGAATACAATTTCTCTACTCGACTGGCTTCTCATTCTGATTTAGCAGCTTCTCTCGCCTGTATTTCCTTCCATCGTTCAGCAAATGGATCTCTCTTTGGCCATTGCAAGAATGGTGCTCTCTTTATCTTGTCTTCATAAGGTTTGCTTTCCTGTTCTCTCATGTTTCGTCCGGTGAAATCAATAGCAGCCAATCCAGCAGCTACCATGGGAGCATAAAAGCATACTGAGCGTAGTGATTGTGCTAAATTGTAGGAATCGGATATTAGATTTGAGACGCTGAAGCTATTCTGCTTCATAGGGGATGCTGTTTTTTTGGCACGTTACCTCGAATACCAATTAAAGCACCAGCAACAAACCCACCCACGCCAGTATTAATATAGTCATCCTTTTCTCGTACTTGAGCTGATATACAGACTGTGCCATATGTCAATGCACCAATACTTCCTATTCATTGCAAAACGTTTGATGTTTAACAAAAATATCCAAAATCCCAATGTTTTAGCATTTCCTTATATGACATTAGAAGAGACATACCAACCACACCGCCCATACGACCCATCATGGGTAGAGATTCTCTAAACGGAAGCCCAGTCCACCATCCAGAACCAGCTGCCATCAAAGCACCAAACCCAACACCATAAACTCCAGATTTTAAGGCTTCTGATGCACAGCTTGCTTCCATCAGGTCTTCTGCCAGGAGCATACGCTGGTAATCGGGCACATACAGCCATTGGCTGCTGTTTGAAGAAGCCATGGTTGACACACTTACAATTGTGGGAGGCGAAAGTCCACATACAAGGGAATTCAATATTCTAGAGAGGAGTTTTTGGCGCGTCGTGATAATGATAGTGAGATACGCAAGAATCTATTTTTACAGCGTTTATATGGTACAAGGAAGGCGATGATGGTGTTTAAGACATTGAAAGCAACAATTCCTGAGTCCTCTCTCTAACTTCTGCATCAAGCAACTTATGGACGTGATGACACCCGTCTTTTGCTCGATTCACTACAGATTCAAACACGTCCAAGTGTAGACGCGTCTCCATCTACGGTGAGGTTTGTGGTAAGCAAAACGACCAGTTGTATAAGAAGCATGAGCAACTTACTCCAAGCGAGATGACCTTTCCTGACTTGGGCAATACTGCAACAGTAACTGTAGGCACATCAGCAGATTCCTCAATGTAATTTAAATCTAGCAAGAATAGATGGTTTTAAGATCAAACAAAAAACTTTGGCTGTCCCACGTGTACTGACCAAGAATAGCAGCGTCATTAGCCCACCCAGCCGAACATGCACAGACATATTCAGACATTTCTATACCAGCATCCAAGATAGCCAATGTGGCTGCATTAATAGCAGCATGCAAACTTCCACCATCTACTTGCAACAACTGAATATAGATGGCGATTTCAGCACCCTTGTATTTGGTTGTCTCGATGACTGTTTCGAATGTCTTTTTGATAATGTTGGCGACTTCTTGGTTTCTCCTATTGTTTGAAATAGAATGAATTGAGCAAAAACGAGCCTGGAATTCACGTATTTTGTCGTTTACCGATCAAGCCTTGATGCCTTTCGACGTTCGCCGAGACTGAAACTTGCGACGTTGTATTTGACAGTGATGAATGCACGATCGTACATGACTTCTCCACGTTGGTGTTGACTAGGCTGATGTGTTTGGAGATTGGTGTGAGTAAAAAAAGGGCACCGAGTGATAGATGCTTAAGGACAAGCACGTCAATACACGTATTTCAACTCCATAGGCTCAAAGAATTCAATCTAACTTGAAAACGTCGACATGATATACCTCTCTTGGACCATAAACAGCAGCAATCAATTTCGTGTTGCCATGTTGCAAGTAAGCCGACCCATCAGCGGTACTGAACACACCCATTCGACATGAAATACGTCGTAATTCAGTGGGACGTCTTCCATCCGTACGTAATCCTAGTACAAAACGATGGTGGTTTAGCATATTGTTATTACGTATGCGCAAAACAGTGAAATATACATGAAACGTCACGCTGAAAAGCAGGATTAAGCGTTACTACGTGACTGCATACCTTCTGGACTGACTATCTCTTGTCGCCGTGAACCCATATTCGTGTATTCTGAATTGGAGTTCCCTCCCGTGATTTCCACCTGCAAGAAAAAACACAGTTTTGCCTTATAAACGAAGAATGGGATTAAAAACTATGACAACGGAAGACGATGCTCGAGGCCATGGTATGGATGTCGACGAAGCAGAGTCGTCTTCGGATAGCCATATGGTAGGGATTGCTCTCAATGACCCAAAATTGTATTTCAAAAAACAATTTTTAACACCTGTCTCAAACCATAGACGCCAGAGCCTGAATATACAGTGAGAAAGAGGGTAGCTCCAGCTCGTAACCGTAGTGTGAGTACTACCATATTCTTTCCCTGTTGCCGCGTATGAAAGTGGGTCTCAACTACATCATCAAAATCTTGTTCATTAGCCATCACTCCCAGCAAAGACCCAGACTAGAAGAAGAACAAAAGCTTCATCGTTGAGCATCGAAACCAAAGCTGATGGCGTATCAATGACTCGATCTGCTTCCTCTACTTCCCTCGCCATCAAAAAGACGCTAAAATCATCAAACGAGACCGCCGATAAAAGGTCAAGGTCTGTCGATACTGAAAGGAATAACCTCTACGTCTTGGCCGGCCCAGGAAGACCTGCTCGTGTACAGAAACCTACCGCACCCCCTGCTCCTTATGTCGCTCCAAAACTATCGTCTGAAATGGAGGAAAGGCGACAAAAACTGAGCGAACTTGCCGCATTCAATGTCAAGGTATGTGTCAAGGCGGAGCGTGGGCTCTGGTTTCAGTTGCTACGAAAGATTTGGTATATGACCTGTTTTGGAAATCATGTGACTTACATTATTCTTATGCACGTGTTTAGAGACTACTTGGTCGAGAACACACCTTATTCGATCTGCTGATTGCTGCCGAGATACAAGCGTAAGTGTGCACTAGATGCTTTATCTGCTATACTCCGACTAACCACAGTCCATAATATAGACCTCATTTGATGCGACAGCCTCTGTTATCAACATCAACTTCGCAATCACAATCGCAAAACTCACCACAGGAAAATTGGGCGACCTTAATATCAGCAACCGATCAAGGTTTGTTTGATAAGAATCATGTAATAGTTGAATGATTGTTTGCTAAACAAAGCTTCATATCTTCTTAGCACGTATCCGTGAGCACACACCAAACTCACCAGTACGTAATGATTTGTCTGGTGATACAAACTAGCGTAGGATTAACCAATTCAACATATAGAGCTCTGCTAGTGGGAGTAGCCCAGACACACTGAATCGTTAACAATTATTACAAAAGTTTGCATCCTAAAAGAACAAGTCACAGCTGCTCATAATAAGCTTCAAAAGAACGTTGGAGGAAAAACAAAAGGGTTTTATAGAAAAATTAGAGATGGAGTAAGGAGGAGAGAGACTTTTGGTTTCAAATGGTGTATTTAGCTCTAGTTGCTGTATCTTTAAGCTAGAAGAATATAGCGGCTTTTGCAAATACTGTTTTGGGGGGTTGCAGAGTACTAGTTGTTTCATGACGTGTGGATAGCTCGCTTTATATGACGCGAAACGCGAATCGGCGGTTTCGAAAGTCGTGGCTGTCATTCATGGTAGTGTTATGGTGTTTTCCATCGCATTCAAGGTCTACTTGCAACCAGTTGGAACAACGGAAGCTAGAAGGATAACGGTCGACGTAACTGCTCATGGGAGCTTCAATTCCTTTGAAACACAGTTAGTTCTAGAGGCGCAATGTCTGGACGACAGCAGGAAACCAAGATCACGATCTTGAAGAAACCCGAAGCTATGACAATGGCATCAGGCTCCAATAGTAGCTCGACGCTGGACAAGTCGACTTTGGACACAGTTCATGTAAGTTTTCTCTTTTCTTTCGCTCATCAAAGTCACCAACTTGTCTGACATTGAACACGCACTATAGCAAGAGCTTCCAGCACGGAGATCATACAGCTCAGCTCTACTCAGTGCACCTTCTTCGGTATGTGGAATTTGCAATTGATTTCAAATCTGTCTCTCTTTGACTTGTATTCGTTTCCTAGAGCGCGAACGTCGGAACGTCGACCAAGCTTAATGATGACGCCCAGACGCAGACAATTTCAGCTTCTCCGAAACCTAATTCCGTGGTTTCAAATGACTATAAAGGCAAGAAGAAGGCTCCAATAGTCAGAGCACCAATGCTACCGCAAGTAGTAAAGAGTAAACCCAAACCGTCCAAGGTCTTCACGATTGCTGACTTGCTGGATACGTCAATTGCGTCGGTATGTTTCACATGAGTTGCTGGAATGGTTTATTCAAATTGCATGTTTAGCCGAGCTTGTTTTTTTGGTTGTAGGCATCGTCATCGTCCACATCAGCAATTAGAATACGTGCATCCGCAATACCTCCTACCACTATACGACATGCTCCAAAACAACTTAAAACACCCAATCCTTCTATACCAACAACCACATCCGCTACTGTTCCTTCTGTGAAAATGCGAGGAATTCAGCGGGCTCAGCCGAAACAGAAGAAACTGTCACGTATAAAGCAGCTAATCGTTATCTCACGTAATGCTCGAAAGGATATGATGAAGGATCGTGCTGCTGCTTATGCTGCTGTCAAGCCATTGTCAGATGAATGGCAAGATATTGTAGAATCTGGTGATGCGACTATTTCTGCTGATGCAGATCACGTCGAAAACCCAGCAGTTGTTATTAAGTCAAGCGAAGACGTACTTGTAGTAGATCCTGTAGTTTCTGAGCCAGTGGCGGCTGAACAACCTACCGTGGAGATAGCTGCACGAAGAGATGTGGTGCCAACTGGTAGTAGTAGCAGTCAGGCTAGCCCCACGACGGAGCCAAACGTCATGAAAGCAACAAGTACTTTGAAATGGAATGTGAATGCACCTGAATTCACATTCGATGCACTTTTATCTACATCAACCAAACTCAGTCGTTTGAACGCCAAGTATCAGTCGCCGGCAGTGAGGTGGGCTTTGGAAAGAGTGGAGCCTAGTGATCGCGGTGAAGCTCGCAGGTATTATATGTATGGTCAAAATTGCGTGTACAAACTAGCTCATCATGTTTGCGTATTTAGCTACGTGCCTCAAATCGTTACTGAAGATTTGGATAATGCTGTCAAGGCTTTATTGCAAAAGCTACAATTCTTCCAGAATCGACAGAGGGAGAATAATCCTGTCAAGGTAAAGCCACCAATGTCCTGCTGACGAAAAAAGCATAACTGGAATATTAAAGTACTACCCATCTCTCTTGCAGGCTCGACGACGTGTTTTATTTGGCCTGCGAGAAGTGTTGAGGAATGTACAAAGGGGTAAAATACGATGTGTCATTATGGCCAAGAATATTGAACCGACTGCTGGCAATGGTAACCTAACCAGACGACTTCCACTCAGTGAATTTTTCAATTTTTCAATTTTTTTCAATCGCTCATCCCTTCGTTCTCCTCTTTTAGATGGAGGTCTTGACGTCATCCTCCAATTGATACTAGACGAATGTCACGAAAGACAAATCCCAGTCGTGTATTCATTGACTAGACGCCTCCTCAGTATCGCTGCTTTCCAACACCGTCTTGTAGGTGTATCATGTGTCGGCATTCTCTTCGCTGACGGCGCTGAAGACCAAATGAAACGAATGCTGGAATTGGCTGATTCGGCACACCAGCAACACGTTACCGAGTTTTGTTACAATCACGAAAAGCTAAACAAGCTTCATAATAATCGTAATGAGACTCCGTTGTGGATTGCGGCATGGAATGGGTATCATGATGTTAAATTTGTTGAAGAGTGTGTTATGAATCAGGGGTGGGATGTTGATGAGGTTGATTGCAGGAATGGGGATAGCCCGTTGTTGGTTGCTGCTCGACGAGGTCATGGGACATTCATCTGTAACTTGTTACGAGTTTGTCGAGACTTGGATGTAAATGTATCATCGTTCGCTGGAGAGACTGCTACTTTACTATGTGCAATGAAGGGATGCCATGTCGGTCTGAAAGCAATCTTGGATTTTGCTCAGCCTAATATCGGTTTGATGACTCGAATCTTGACGAAATCGAACGCATCTAAACTGACTCCGTTGATTGCTGCGTGTCGGAAAGGACACGAGTCGTGTGTCAATTATATAATCGAGTATGCTACGAAGTGGAAGATTGATGTTGGAGTCGATAGTGTTAGTGACTTGGACGGGTGTTGTGCTATGTTATATGCACCGCCATATCCTAATATCCTTAAAGTGCTACTCGCGAATGGAGCAGATTGGAATATCCGTCATCCAACAACTCAATCGACGTTACTCATACTAGCTGCTCAAGTCGGCAACGCTGCAGCGCTCCGTCATCTACTAGTCGTGTCTCAGCGTATCGAAACTATTGCACCCAAGCCATGGATGACAAAGGAAAAGGCCACAATGGTCCATAAACCGAATACCGAATATGTAGAATCTACGGATTGTTTAGGACGAACTGCATTTTGGTGGGCATGTTATGGAGCGCATGAGGAAGTCGCGCGGGCTTTGATAAAGTCTGGATGTAATGTGCAGGCTAGTGATTTGTCTGGTGTTAAACCTATCGATGTCGTTGGTGCAGCGAGTCGTAGAGCAGAATCTGCATTTAATGTGGCGACAAGGGAGGCTAGTAAGGATGCTGATGGTACTGAACAGGGTAGTCATAGTAGTGGAGATGACAGCGACGACGAGGATGATGAGAAGAAGAAGATGCGGAAAAAGAAGAAGAAGAAACGAGCTACGCCAGATCCAGTCGAAGTGATACGCGAGTTGATTGAACGTGTGATTAGTCCACCGCCACCCGTAGTAGTTCAATCATCTGAAGGCAAAGAAACTGCAGGAACCTCAACTAGTGGTAAACAACCTCGTGCTCCGAAAAAGAAGAAGGCTGATCCGAAATTAGTCGTGTTTGATCCATTGAATGCTAAAACTAATAACAGGAAGGGTTCTGAAGGAGGAGGTAGTGGTGGTGGTGGTGGTGGTGGTGGTGGTGGTGGTGGTGGTGGTGGTGGTAGCAGTAGCAAGTCTGGAGCTCATTCTAAAAAGCGTTAGCATGAAGGGTGGTGCCATTTTTTGCGCTCACGCAACAAACATTGTAGATAAGGATACAAATTGCTCAGAGGTTTTGTAAAATAACCTGATTATTTTAAGTAAAAGTTGATCTCTTCGCATGCAAGAATGGTTTTCTACTTTTCCTTCTTGTTAGGTTTGGCACCACTATACTTTTCCTTCAGTACATCCTTCTTCTCAATATACTGATCAGACAGATTCTTCATCATAGCAAGATATATCTGGTCTTGGCGCTCACGGGCGTGCGCGCGCTGCCATCCAAAGCCCCATACTTCGGTCCTAGAACAAGACAGATACGTCAGGAAACTCTAACGAAAAAACTACACACACTAATCAAATACCTCTTAGGAAACAAAATCATCATATCTGTCAAAGTCCTCTCCAGCGTACTCCTAAACTCTCTAACTCGAGTCTCCCTACACTTCAAATTCCCACTAATGGAAAACTTGATCCCATCATTCCCAATAGCATAATTAATTCCATATCCATCTTCATACACGGGTCCAAATCCACCATAAAACCAGTCACCAGGCGACATGTTTGACGATGATAAACGATATTTGGATGTTAATGCGAATGCTGGGTCACTGAAGAAGGGTGGTGAGGATGATTGTTCAGATGCGTCCATCATGGCTCGTAAACCGAGGAAATGACGATCAATTCCATTGCCGGTTGATGCATCTTTTTGGTATTTACGGTGTGTGGCTATGGCTGTTGCAAAGTCTCGGCGTTTGTCTGCATACTATGAGACCAACAAATGTAGATCGTGAATCCCTATGTGTTTATGGACAGGTATGTCAAACATGCTCTTACCAGCACATCATCATTATCGAAATTACAAGCAAACTGCCATGATTCTTTGGACAGACTTCGTATGGTCTCTGTCCTACCATGTAGGAAGGAACGAGTAGAAGCAGATTCATAGACAGCTGTTGGGTCTTGATGCATTCGTCTCCATGCTAGTTGTAGTGCCATTTGAACAAAGGAATCAGGAGCAGTTTTGGCTAAGAATACCGGATGAGAAAAAATAGTGAATGACTCTTCCAGCAATTTCAATTTGAACTGCATGACATACCAACTTCCTTGATATAACGACCTCCATAGATATCATAATGTAACAAGACACTGGAAGTGTTGTCAATTAATTCCTTACAAATCTTGCCAGCAGACTCGATAGCTTGCATCACTGATGGAGTCGTCTGCCATTCTAACTTTTGGATTGGTGGTAGAGCCGCAGATGAAACATTGGCCGGATCAGCAGCGGGTTCACTAGGATCCATGCATTTTGAGCTTTGAGTTTTTTTTGTTTGTTAGACAAGACGACGCTTACTTTGACAAGATAAAGTCCATGAATCGACCCGGTATTACAGCATCTGCAGGTGTGTGCTGTCCGAAAAGACTATGTAAGCATCAAAATGGAGGGCCAGCGACTTTTTGCCTGCACTATCATACCTCTCCATTAACACCAGCACGACCAGAATTAGCAACCACAATTTCAATAGCCTTGTCAAAGTATCGATTGTGTGCATCCATACCATGGAAGATTTGATGATGAGACGCATCTAAGTTTTGTGATGTGGAATAGTCATCGAGACATAGCACAAATAGAGCTTGCTTGATAGTTTCAAAATTTTGCTTGTTTTGTGGTGATGTTTCTACTAATTGCGTGTATGCCTAAATGTTTTAAGAGAGATAAAAGATTATGTGAATAAAATCGCTGAATATCTTTCGGGATATCATTTCAGGTGACATGCGGGATTTTCTACCTTGAACCACACATCTCGATCACCACCAGTCAATACACCAATAGGAGGTTGCGATGAGTCGTCCAAGCTTTGCTGTCCGACAACAAACAGCTGCCTGAATTAACAAAAAACTGGACTTAGCAACAGAGCGGTCAAAAAAATATGAATTCTAGATTTAACCTCATGAGTTCCTTGACAGGCACGCGTTCACCACTTGCAGTATATACATCCACACGATACATTTGATCTCGACACATGACGATAATGTGTTTACCAGTGGCAGGATACTGAGTCAATATTTCATCTATTGGAGCGCCAGGCATTCTGGTAGCTCCAAATTGATTCTTATATTGGTTCATGCACATTGGTGTTCGTGAACCATCTTTAGCTTTTGTAGAGTCGATTGATAGTGTTTGACTAGAATAAACATATAGGTGTAAGTCACCATCCAATTGAAGTACACTTCGTTTTTTGGTTGCAACTCACTTGTCTATAGATTCCTTGAATGTGAGTGTGTTTTGAATGAGACCAGCGGCTCTCTGTATTTGGAAGGCGGATAATACACCTTTTGGTGGTGGTTTGGATAGTAGTTCTGGCGGTTGACCTGGATGATCTCTGAACTGGCACCACCAATTCACATTGATCATGCTTGGATACCTCCACATCAGGTAGGCATATTTTAACCAAATCTCTTCCAGCCACGAGTTCTAGGTACGTAATGAGTGGTTTAGAATGCATTGCTCGCGGATCTTTGAAAAAGTAACTTTTTTGTTTATTTTTGCTGTATCAGGGCCAAGTGTCCAATCACCCAACATACAGGTTGTGTTTTTTCGTATTCAATGAGTCTGCTTTGCAAAGTAGTGCCGAGTCCATCCGGCTTGCAAAAGTCCTGTACGATCTGATTTAGATTATTGTATTGATCTGAACCCTTTGGGTGGAATGGCTCGAAGGAAGCCAGATATTTTGATGTTGATTCAGCGAGTGATGGGATGGGCAGACGAGGAACCTTGGATTGCTGAGAGAAGGTCTTGACCGTGTTATTAACGGATGAAGTAGAAGCCAGACCACTAATACAATAAGATCCTTTGTAAGCTCCAATAGAGATGCAATAAAATCAAGTTGGTAGAACAGCCATCTTCACGTTAATGCAAAAGGATTACCGGCATGAATGCGATAATTTGACGTGAGTGACGCGTAGATACACGTCCCTGGCGCTCCTCTTCATCGTGTCTCGTATACACTCCTCAACCTCGTGTTATTTTTATTTTCACAAAATTACTTATAGATGAACGACAATGCCGCATCCCCCGTAGTCGAGTCGTCAAAGTCAGTGATGGAGTTGGACATGTCTGCTGGACTGGAGATTCTAGGCGCAAAGAATCCCTCAGTGGTCTCCTCGTGTGCAATACACGCAGGATACACATTTGGCGTAATTCCATTGCTTCAGCCAGCTTATGCTACTACAAGTGTCACTACCGCTGCTGCTGCCAGTGTAGGCCAGCCGTTCCAACCTCATGATCTGATCATTGCAAACGCTGGTATGTGTCATGCGATGATTTCTGTCATGTCTCCTTGTTTGACGTTTCAAGCTAAGCTTCACGAACTGACCGTCAACTCACCCATAGATTGGTCTCAGTTCTTTGTAACTGGCCTCACAATTCCTCAAGAGGTCGAATCTACAGAGACAGAGCCTCGTCGACGTGCGGAAATCCTCATCCAACAACAGGTCGCTTGGAGCACTCATATTGGAATACCTGCAATCACATTCCCATTCCCGTCTACTCCTACTCTCTCCTTGAACTATGCTCGTACCATCAACGCTACCTTGTCGGCTCTGACCTGGACTCAAGTACGCGATGTTGGTCACAAAGTGTCATTCTTCCAATGCTAACGCCGTTTATCCAGGCATGGTTTACTGTGCCACTACGAGCTGAAGGGGTCGATGATACTTGGATGGTTTGGAATGCTGTCCACACTATGGCAGAGTTCAATACAAAGTTGAGCATCCGTAAGTCACCGTTTCCTCCAGCTGCAACCAAAACACATACACGCTCAAGCTTCTGGTTGAAATTGTAGTTCTGGAACTCACTCCTGAGCTACCGGATGAAGCATCACTGAATCGGTGGTTGGCTGAACCTGTTTCTGCAGTTCGAATTCCTGCTGCAGTTTTCCTGACAAACAGCAAACAGTTTCCAGTGCTCAGTAAAAAGCATCAAGCATTCGTTCGTAAATTGATGCTGGCAAGTCTCTCCTGCTTGGCGTGACGTAGCCCCATGTCACGACATCTGACAGTGCTGATCTTTACATAGCACAATGTACAGTTCATCGTGTCATTGCCTACAGAAGACCCAATACATCCAGAAGGAGGTCTACAAGCATATCAACTCTATTTGAACCATCTGAATCGATCCATGCCTCAATTGGGTATCGTCGATCAATTCGCAAAAGGATATCACGAGTACGATCATTACTACGATTATTTTTACGATTGCGACGATGTTGATGATAACGTGTCGTATTTGGTCAGTCATTTCTTTGGCCCTGACTTTGGCCCTGACTACCTATTTGTACGTAGCTATCTGCAATCACCATTACAACCGCTCATGGACAACCTCGAGTCATCAACATATGCTGTGTTTGAACAAGATCCAATAAAGTACAAGGAATACGAAAATGTGTGTACTTCAATTGACTCCCTGTCTCTTTTTTTATCGCATTTGACGAAACTGATTCTTCTCCATCTCTGTAGGCAATTCGAGAAGCTTTGCTAGATATGATGCAAACTGATTCTAGGATGTATGCACGTGTCTTCGTTTTCAATGATCGTTTGACATTCATTCGTTCTGCCATTGTAGAGTCATTATGGTTGTTGGAGCTGGCCGAGGACCATTAGTTACGAGAGCTCTAAATGCTGCCAGAGCAGCTAAAAGGAATGTTCATGTGTATGCAGTCGAGAAGAATCCAAATGCTATGGTGACGTGAGTATGGATGAACCCGGACTTGAAGGAAGTGGTGGTTAAATGAACTTGGTTTATATAGATTACGAGTCAAGGAGCAAACTGAATGGAATGGACAAGTCACAGTCGTGTATGGTGATATGAGAAATTGGAAGGCACCTGAGAAGGTTAGTGTATTTTCAGATGTTGCAATGACATGGATCAAAAAAAATGTTCTAATCTGTTTTTTTTTCTCCAACAGGCTGATATTTTGGTCAGTGAATTATTGGGATCCTTTGGTGACAATGAGCTTTCTCCTGAATGTTTGGATGGAGCTCAAGGCTTCCTTAAAGGTACGGATTTCACTGTTCTCGACAAATGCGAAAAAAAACCGGTGTCGTAAGACCTCGTATGATATCTTAGATGGTGGAATCAGCATTCCAAGTCACTATTCTACCTTTATCGCTCCACTACAATCGTTTAAGCTCCATCACGAAGTGTCTGTATTCAAGGACTTGGCTCATATTGAGACTCCTTATGTGGTCAAATTTAAAGCTGCCAATGAACTTGGTAGGTGCCGTTGGCTTCTCACTTTTTTGTATTCTTTTATTACTCATTCTCTCGATTCATTATATAGCAAACTCCCAAGAATTGTGGTCATTTGAACATCCCAATCGAGGCATTATGGATATTGAGCCAGGTACGGTCATGTGAATGAACGAAAGCAAAAAGGCCATGTATAACTTGTACCGTATGCTAGATTCTCCAACATTCAACTCCCACAACACACGATATGCCTTCAGAAAGTTTAAAATCGAAAAGAATGCGCTCATGGTAAGAACTTGAAACTTTGAACTCTAAAGTCTCGAAGACGTGTGATCTTCTGATTTCTATTTCTGGATCATAGCATGGCATTGCAGGATACTTTGAAACTACATTATACAAGCACGTCAAGCTAAGCATAAGACCTCAAACTTATTCGACTGGAATGCTGAGTTGGTTTCCCATATTCTTTCCCATCAAGGTGTGATTCCCATAGTTTTATGGGTTTTTTGGTTGCTCCAAGTGATGAGCGGTCACTCTAACACCACTCTCTCTACTAGACACCCATTCTATTGCTCGAAGGCACTGAAGTTGAACTCCACTTTTGGAGAATGACAGACACACGAAAAGTGTGGTACGAGTGGACGGTAGTCCCCAACTCTTGCACTCAATCAACGGCAGTCAACATACATAACAGCGGTGGAAGAAGTTATAAGATTGGCTTGTAGAGAAGGCTCGTTATAAGATTGCCTTGTAGAGATGGCTCGTTATGGAGAGGGTGGATTTTTATATAGTTTGCATTTGCAATCTTTTTATCGCATATGAAAGCATTTTGCTGATAATAAATAAGCTCGCATGCGAACTTGTAGAATGATAGTCCGGTTTCTGTGCTGCACAAGTTGGTATTACGTGTTTGCGTCACTTGTCAATTCAAAACACTTGACCGACCTTGCGCATTGATGAAAACAACCATGATTGTCCCATTAATATTAGGTGTCATAGGCTTAGTTCACGCTGATGTGCATCCATTTACAGCACAGGTACGAACAACATTTATGCTAGAACGACTTCAAATTCACGCTTTCAGATTTCCAGGATTTGGTCAAATTGAATTACGTGTCTGCTCCAGTGGTCTATGGCAAACTAGCTGCATTTTCGGTCTCTCACTACGATATAGAATCAAACAACAAATTCTCCTATTTATCCTTGCTCGATCTTACATCAAAATCAATCCTCAATTTAACGGACATCGAGACACACCCAAAAGCCAGCTCCCCCTTCTTCATCAATGAACAATGGCTCGCATTCTCATCTGATAACGGAAGCTTATATTATTTGGATGTAATCAATCCTCAAGAGCCGAGACTACTCGCTCCAGAACTTCAAGACTATGATGTGTCGAATTTCAAATATTACGACGGTCATCTCGTATTCTCAGCACAAGTGCACAAAGATACCGGAGAAATGATTCGTAAAGATGAACCGAAAGGACGATTGGATAGTGGTGTTTTGTATGAGCAGCTTATGGTCAGACATTGGGATGCGTATATTGATCCATCTAAACTCACGCAGTTGTGGACTGTGAGTGTTGATGTATCTCAATATGACGTTCATGTAACGTCTCAGCCTGTAAATTTGATGAAGGATACAGGATTGCAGACGCCCGTGGCGCCGTTTGGTGGGACAGGTGAGGACAATTATCAAATGTTACAGGGATCGCTTTTTTCTCATTGTTCGAAATAGGTGATTTCGATATATCACCTGATGGCTCGGAGCTGGCATTTACTGCAAAGGTTCCTGGTCGTGATGAGGCTTGGAATACGAATACAGATATTTACATTGGTAGGGAACGAAGACCATCTTTCAATAGAAATCAATTTTTTGATTCCTCGTTTTGTGGTTTGAGAAAACTCATTTGGATTCCTGTCAAACAGTTTCCATGTCTGGAAATGGCTCGCCAGTATCTATTTCTGCAAAGAACTTGGGTGCTGATCACAGGTTTGTGGAGGCAGCAAAATTAATGAGATACAAATAGGTGACGTATGTCAGGTCTTACAACTCTCTCCCTCAGCCCACTATACTCTCCAGACAGAAAATATCTAGCCTGGTTACAAATGCAAACACCTCAGTACGAATCCGATCTAAACAAACTCGTGCTCCTCGACAGAAAAACCGGGAAATTATCAGTCTTTACCAAAAAGTGGGATCGATCAATCCAATCCATGATCTTCTCGTCAGATTCGAAGTCCGTTATTGTTACATCTGAAGATCTAGGATTGGTGAAAATCTACAAAATCGATATCGAGTCAGGCTCAGTCACACTGGTACATGGTTTGCACGCTTCAGGTGGTCTCCAATACGTTGATGATGAAGTGGAAGGACCATATCTTGTGTTTGAACGAAGCTCTGCTATTGCGCCACCTGAGATTTACAAGCTGCTTTTGAACTCGAGTAAAGGGTCTGGAAGTGATGAAGCTCAACAATTGACATCCTTCAATTATGAAGCCATGACTCAAGTCTTGTTGAGTGAGCCTGAATCGTTTACGTTCAAGGGGTATGATAGTGTTGATGTGTCGGGGTGGATGTTTAAGCCTAGTAGTTTTAACCCGATGTCTACATATCCTGTTGCGTTTTTGATACATGGAGGTAAAAAAGCGGCTGATGCCTATTACTGAAAGTTTGTTCCAAAGCTGCAAACTCATTTTCCTTCTCATGTAGGTCCTGAAGGCGCATGGGATGATTCTTGGAGTCAACGTTGGAATTATCAGATCTTTGCCTCTGCTGGTGTAAGCTCTATAATCTGTTTGATTTTTAGTATTCATTCCCAAAGGTTTGAAGGTTGACATTCTTTAATTGAAATTTGCACTTTAGTTTGTGGTGGTGGCTATAAATCCACGAGGATCTACTGGCTATGGAATAGCATTTGAGCGAGGAATTTTGAATAGTTGGGGGCTAGCACCATATCAGGATCTCATGATGGGATTGGATCATGTTCTTGAAAAGCACCTATTCACAGATCCTTCGCGTGTCGTTGCTTTGGGAGCGAGCTTTGGAGGTAAAACAAAAAAGGGGTCAAACTTGGACAAGAATGTAGCTCATTATGACTTTGGTGCCAGCTTAAACACCTCTCTCTTCATTTCCATAGGATACATGATAAATTGGATCAATGGACATACAGACCGCTTCAAAGCACTTGTCTGTCATGACGGAATCTTTGATACTAGGGCTGCATACTATACTACAGAAGAGTTGTAAGAAAAGTTGCATCCTCTTGCATTTCCTACATTTTTTGGTGTGATATGTAACTGGACAAACTCTACTAGATGGTTTCCTGAATACGAGTTTGGAGGCCCCGAATATGAAAAGCCTCAAAGTTACGATGAATGGAATCCATCAAAGTTTGTCAAAAATTGGAAGACTCCCACTTTGGTGATTCACAGTGAACTGGATTATCGATTGACTATGGGAGAAGGTTGGCAAGATGTTATGGCGACGTCTAAAAGCACGCCTTAACCTGCTTCTGTGTGTCTCTTAGGAATTGGAGCCTTCACGGCATTGCAAAAGCTCAAAGTACCAAGCAAGTTGCTCTACTTTCCTGATGAGAACCACTGGGTACGCAAGCCAAGTAATTCGATTAGATGGAATGAAGAGGTTTTGAAATGGATTTTGCAATGGACCGAGAAGAAGGGAGATGAAATAGTGATGGAACAGTAGACCACGTCTCCACGATCATATTCGTTGAGGAAGTGTTGAAATGGATTTTTGCAATGGATTGAGAAGAAGGGAGATGAAATAGTGATGGGACAGCAAACCCCGTGTTCACGATCATATTCGTTGAAGAAGTGTTGAAATGGATTCTGCAATGGACCGCGAAGAGAAGAATAGTGATGTTCACGATCATATTCGCAATTACAATAGCAAAGAACTATCAAGCTGTCTAAATTTGTGTTAAGCGACACGTCTGCTCTTGCTAGTTCCTCCCCTTCTGCGTTTTGGTGTCCCTTCAACTCCGTTGTTTTTTTTCTTTGTTTCTCAAATCACAAGCGAGTCTGCTTTTGTAGAATCAGAGATATAGTGAAGGTGAGTGCTTCGCAGACTTCGTAGAAGTCATTCTCTGGACAGTTTGAGCATCAATGAAGGATGTCCGAGTCATCGAACGATACTCCTGTATCTGACATGTCCTCAACGGCCTCTGTCGAGAAGAAAAACCATCATCAGACTAACATGTCGCAAATCGACAATTCCAGGCATTTGCTTGGCTAAACAGTGCTCGGATCTATCGCATCACTTGCAGGCTTGCTATGGACAACCAAGTAAGCCTTGAATTAGTCCACATCAAACCTCCCTTCGTCCTCACTTTTTGACAAACCGACACCCCCTTTTCGCAATAGTATGAAGCCGATACTGACACTGACGCCACTGATGGCATCCTGAGACAGATACTGAACAGTGTCAACAATGGCCTGACTGGTTCAGGAGCTCCACAATTACTCGACTATTCTGCACAGGACTCGACAACCAGTGAAGGAAACTCAAACACTATTGATATGCACTTGAATGAGAAACGAAGTGGGAAACGGTCCTCTTCTTCGCAGCATCATACGGGAGAGAATGGAGTCCTTGCTCAGGATCATGACGATGATGCGGACGATGAAGATTATGACGATGGAGAGGGCCATGGTGCTAAACGTCAGAGGACGGGTGATGGTACTACTGGTGGTGAGTTAGCATTCTGTTATACTCTATAATGGTCTGCTAACCGAACTGATTTACTCTAGATGCTGAACGACCACGATACTCTGTTGGAATGAAATATCAGGCTGACGATGACAAACCATTCGCATGCGAATATCCGAATTGCACCAAGAAATACAAAAAATTGAATGGGTTGCTTTATCATCATCAGACAGCTCACAGTATGCGTGGTTTGGCTGGTGATGAAAAGCCTTTCAAATGCCCGAAGCCTGGCTGTGAAAAGGCTTACAAGAATTCGAACGGATTGGGTAAGTGTCGTTTGAAGGGTTTTTCGCATTTGGAAAACATAACGCTAACGTTACATATATGTTTTTTTTTAGCATATCATATTGAAAAGAATCATGGAATTGAAGCTGAAACCCCTACTGTCATTGTGCCTCCCGCACGTCGTCAAAGGTTGGAACGACCTGAAGGAGAACATCCATTTGCTTGTGTGAGTGTCTAAAAACAACTCGGCTGCGTTTACTTGGGATGTTTTTGAAGCTGACCTTACACATATTCTATAGCCATATCCCGGATGTGACAAGGCATACAAAAACCCAAACGGATTGGCATACCACTTGACATCTACAAAAAAGACTCCTGCTCATGAAGCAAGGGAAAGTGATGATTTGTATAATTGTCATGTCCTTGGATGTGCCAAATCGTATCGAACGGCCCCTGCTCTGGCTCTTCACTATGGGAAATATCATCCAGAGTTACGCGGAACGCCTGGTATCGCTGATGCATTGAGATTGGAACCTGGTACTGGGGATGAAGAAGTGGGAGTTTATGGTCAGCACAATCAACAGCAACAACAACAGCAGCAGCACCAGCAGAATATGGGGATAGATGGTGACGGTGACTTGTTGTAAACGTCGGTAAAGAATATTATAAAGGCATCAGTACAAACAAATAGAAATCTCATTCATCATAGTCTTGCAGCGATACAGTAAACGCTAGATGGATTTTTGTCGAGGAAATCAGATTAACACGACGCGTTTTCCTTTTTTCTTTCGCAATGTGTGCAAATGTTTCCTTCCTCTTTGATTTTCAACAACACTTCCAAACATCAATCATTTGAATCCAGAAGTTCAAGCGGAGCGAGTAGATTATATACCTCATTATTATCTAGTATAAGTACATAAGCTATTAATATCCATGTAAGTCGTTCATCTGAATCGGCCTCAAAGACAAGACACTGCGCAGAAGTTGCATATTATTTTAGCATTTGAAACAAAGTAGATGGAATGAACCAACACGATCAATCTTTTCATAAATTATAGGGCATCAGCTGCAATACAATTAGCCAATCCAAAGGCTGATGTGGCCAGACGTGGTCAAGCATTGCAATTGACCATCAATGCAGCATTGGGATTGCAAGATGTCTTGCGTAGTAACTTGGGTCCAAAGGGAACCATCAAGATGTATGGAAATTCGCATTCGTCTTATTATATTGTTATTGAATTATATTTTAATCATTTCATTTGACACGTAGGTTGGTTAGTGGGTCTCTTGAAATCAAGTTGACAAAGGATGGAAAAGTATTGTTGAATGAAATGGTATGCAGAACGGATAGATCTAGTGAACGATTTCGTGAAATCCAAGGCAATACTAAATGGATTTTCATTTCTTTTACCTAGCAAATTCAAAATCCTACCGCTTCTATGATTGCTCGTGCAGCTACCGCTCAAGACGAAGTTACTGGTGATGGAACAACATCCAACGTCATATTAATTGGTGAATTGCTTAAACAAGCCGAACGATACATCTCGGAAGGACTGCATCCAAGAATCATCACTGAAGGTTTTGAATTGGCCAAAGTTGAATCTCTCAAGGTATTGACGAAACGTCTGGTAATTTGTTCCATCCGCTTTCCCATAACACACTCTTCCGCTTCCACACGCAGTTCTTGGAATCATTCAAAATGGAAAAGACAATGGATCGTGAAACACTCATCAATGTCGCTCGTTCATCTCTTCGAACTAAAGTTCGTCCTGAATTGGCTGATACCTTGACTGGTGCTGTTGTCGATGCCGTCATGTGCATTCATACGCCTGGAGAACCTATTGATTTGCACATGGTGGAAATCATGAAGATGATGCACAAGGCTGATACCGATACTCGTTTGGTTCGTGGATTGGTCTTGGATCACGGTGCTCGTCACCCTGATATGCCCAAACGAGTTGAAGATGCCCATATCTTGACTCTCAATGTCAGTTTGGAGTATGAAAAGAGGTATGTTCTGGAGACACCAGTGGTTAAGACAACATTTTTGTTGCTCACCTTCAACCATTTTCTCATCCCTCATTTTAGTGAAATCAACTCTGGATTCTTCTACAGTAGCGCTGAACAACGTGAAAAGCTGGTTGAATCAGAACGACGATTTGTTGATGCCAAACTTGCCAAGATTGTAGAGTTCAAAAACATGGTTTGTGAAGGCAACAAGAAGGGCTTTGTCATCATCAACCAAAAGGGTATTGATCCCTTGTCACTTGACGTTTTGGCAAAGCACAATATTGTCGCTTTGCGTCGAGCCAAGAGGAGAAATATGGAGCGGTAAGCATTCATAGGTCATTTTGGCTTTTTTGCTTGCTTCGTACATCTAAGACATATCTGATTTTCTTACTCTATCTAACGTAGACTACAATTGTGTTGTGGAGGTACCGCTCAAAACTCTGTCGAAGAATTAAAAGTAGAAGAGTTGGGTCATGCTGGATTGGTATATGAGCAAGTGTTAGGAGAGGAAAAGTTCACCTTTGTAGAAGATGTAGCCACACCTCGTTCAGTTACCATCTTGGTCACTGGTAAGTTTGGTGTCGGTTGTCTGGCACTGACTTGGTGGCGCATTACAAATGAAGCTCATTCATTTTTCTCCTTTTTTAGGTCCCAACGGTCACACTATAAATCAGATCAATGATGCCATTCGTGATGGTCTACGTGCCGTTAAGAACGCTATTGAAGATAAATATGTAGTTCCAGGAGCAGGAGCCTTCCAGATCGCGCTTGCCGCACATCTCATCAAATTCAAGGACACCGTTAAAGGACGTGCCAAGATGGGAGTAGCTGCCTTTGCTGAATCTATGCTTGTCATTCCCAAGATTTTGGCACAAAATGGTGGATTTGATGCTCAAGATACCATTGTTAGTCTGCAAGAAGAGTATGCAGCTGGACATCTTGTTGGAGTTGACTTGAAGACTGGTGAACCCATGGATCCTGTAGCTGAAGGTGTTTGGGATTGTTATCGCGTACATCGTCATCTCTTGCATTCATGGTATGCATCATTGATCTTTTGCTATAGTTTTTTGCGATTGCCTTCATCCAATTGTAACACGGTCTATTCTAGCACGGTCATTGCCTGTAACTTGCTCTTGGTCGATGAAATGATGCGCGCTGGCAGATCCAGTTTGAGAAGTAGCTCAGTTGTGGATTAGATGCCTTTGTGTTTATATATTATAGGATAAAAAGCCTTCTTTTGTACAGACTTTAAAAAATCAAGTCGAATAAAACTCTGCACTGCATTAGAAATTTATGCGAAGTCAATGAGTGCTTTATTTACAGTCGTGCCTTACATGTTATGTGTTCTATGGCTTGCCAGTTCTATTGAGATCTGACAGGCCGTTACGATATGGATCGTCTCTACCGGCGTATTTTCTCTCGTCTGGAATACGGACAGATGATCGTGGAGAAGTGCCTGAAGACTGCTGCACATTCCTCCTAGCACCTGTACCCGACGACGATGCAGCAGCCGATGACGACGCTGTAGTGGTAGCAGCAGCATACGGTCTCGCGGCTACATTCCGATTGACTGGTGGTGGACTGAGTGCGTAAGATCCCGCAGAAGACACCTGATTATCGGAGACAGGATGCGCAAAACTATGCATTCCCGACATGCGTTCATGGAAATCCGACAAATTCTTTGACAAGTGATCTAGTTTCGACATTAAGCCTCCAACATCGATTTGTCGTTTAGCGAATTTTGAAGAGTTTTCTTGATCTCGTTTTGCGAAATCGTCTTCTGAGCCTGCTGGTCCGTGTCTAAACTCCAAAAAGAGATTGAGAAACTTGATGATGGGCAGTGCATCTTGTTTGGCTTACACTCGTTGTAAGCCTTCATCAACAGCCAAGTGTTCGAGGGCTAAGTTTACTTGTTCTCGCCTTAGAGCATCTAGTTCTTGGAAGAGGGTATCTGCCTCCCGACCTTGAGTAAGAATGATATTGAATTAGAAGTAGAGACTTAGACAAGAAAAGACAGAGAAATGGAGGTCCTGAAGCCGTTTGACATGAATCCACAGATACACACCAAATGGTCTCATGTTGGAGAGAGAGTCTTCGAGATACAGTAGAGCTTCCTTGTGAGCCTGAGCTAGATACAGGCAATTGCAGGGGTTAGCAGTCTCCTTCTTGCGATCCACATAGAATGGATCGCTGCAGACTTGAAGTATACCTCTATCGTTGGTCAACACATCTTTCCGTTGAGTATTAGACATTATCGGAAGCTATGAGCTTTGACCTTGTCTTTTTTGAATCAATATCGTCCAACTTGGATAGAGAGACGGAGCTGCGCGAAGTATGCAACAGCCTGGAATTCTGAAATAGCTGCTTGTTTGACTGTTTGCATTAGAACATTAGGGCTCAAGTGCGAGAATGGGAAAAGACGTGTCGATTAATGAGTAAGTTCTTTCAAATCTATATCTGTTCTATCTTTCATGCATTTGTGTCTGTGCTCCGTGTTTGCCACGACATCAAGTTTTGACATCGTCTTCGTTTAGCTGCAATCATTCAAGGAGTTCACTCATCTGCAAGTGAAGCATGTAAGCTCTACAAGATGCACGACACCCAATATCTGCTTTTGGAATCAATGACTAAAGTAAATACCTGAATGCATGTCGCGCTTTGTAGCAATGCTTCAAATCGGCAACAGCTCAGCAGAGAAATTCGCAGACATGAGGCCTCAGATACAGAAACTGGGTGCTTTGATACCTGAAGATCAGTATTATCGTTACAATGTCATGTTCATGTACACACTTCAACAAGGTGAGCCAAAAAAAGCTAACAGATCGCCAGTTGAACGTGCAGCTAACACTTTGTGCTCTTCTTAGCTGTATTTCTGTCTGCTATAACAATCTATCTGCAACATGAACGTCTGGCTACCATACCGGAAATTGAAGCGATGCTTGGAGGTCAGAGAGCAGAAAGTGGGAAAGCAATTTGCATTCAAAGAATAGCTGACTGTTTGGTTACTTCTAGTTCCAGTCAGTTTACGAGGAGACGTCTCGCATTTCCACATTCCTATTGAAGACTTGTTGCTTGGAATGGTGTCTATGACTGGAGAACTCGTAAGAGAGGGGTCCTACGTTGTAGCCCGAGGCTTTCTTGGTTTTCCCAAATATCTCTTGACTTTAGGCGCGTCTTGCAGTGAATTGCGTCACGCATGGCAACTTTTCCAGGCCATTGAGGTAAAACTGCATGTTCTACGTTAAAGGAGCTTCGAGATCTAAGTCCAACTTTGAAACCAACCTTAGGATTTCAAAATTCGTCACTGAATTGTACAGTGGCTTCCAATTGCTCAACCTCAAGAACGATTCTCTCCGAAAACGTTTCGATTCAATGAAGTATGATATCAAGAAGGTATACCGTCTTACAAACTTGCACCAACCGATTCGCAATCAAACTCCTAACAAGCACCTCCCGATAGATCGAGGAGGTAGTTTTCGATGTCACCTTACGAGGTCTTGCTACGCCACAGAACTCATAAAGAGAATGGCTTGTTGCTAAGCTGTACTGTAGTTCATCGCATCTTGCAAATATACAAAATCTCAGTATCAAGCATTGGTTGCGTTGTAGTGTATTCGCGAACAGTCAGGAGTACCATACAGAATCAAATTCAGATAATGTCCTGAATAACTTGATGCCTGGTCTGCGTTTCGTCTCCTCTGGTTGGTTTGCGGCAGAGTAATAACTTTTTCGCCAGCGTGGGCCAACACCTTCAAGGACACTCGGAGTCATCCTACACAGTCTCCAGGCTCTCATACTTTCCAATTTGACAATGGGGTACTAGAGATCGCTGCTACGCATTCACGTAAGCCGCGTTGCTGCGACGGAAGTTATTCGGAGAACACATTTGACCCCGGTTACGTTCAAGGTTGCAGGCATTTTTGCTGTTCAAATTTTCTGTTCTGTTTAGAGCTTCCAGTAAGTCGGGAAGCCAATATGGGAGACCGCAACATCGAAGCTGTGTCGAAATTTCCAGCTGCTACTCGCCGTGATTCATCTGAATCATTCCGGGCAGTCCGTAGAGCAAGCACCACGGTCAAAAACCATTTGGTATCCGCTGTATTCGCTAATGGTGCTATTGATGATGAAGCCGACGATGCGTCTTCAGAAGAGGAGGGCGTGAGATCCTCCAAACTGAAAGCTAAACCTGCTGCAAGACACGAACACGCAACTTTCAAGAAAAGCAACAATGATACTGATGATGTTGACGACGATGATGATGCTGAGCTAGGACGCATCGTATCAACGAGTCGAGACTGTAGCTCTGAACCTGCCGCACCACTGGCTGCTGGTGCTACTGCTTCTCGAGGATCCTCTAGATCTTCTTTTAATTCGCGAAATGCTAATGCCAGAGAGGCAAGGCACAATCGAGATTAATCAATGCATACTTTGCTCATTGTTCTCCTTGTCCTTCTCTAGTTGTCGGAATCGTTAGTGTTGAAGCTTTTACAAATGCGGTATCTGATCTTGGCCATCATTACCAATGGAGTTATACTGTGGGCAATTCTGTGTATGGGATCGACTGGATTGACAATACCACTCGGGGGGATTGTCCAGACCATCGGACCAGTCCTTGTTGAAACAGCGTTATTATTGACAAACATCTTGACTGTGGACGCTATGCAAGACGGTAATCCGAATGTCTTTCCCTTCCTGAGACTGTGGTTTTAAGCTTACAACACCGAAATGATTTTGAATTATTTTAATCTATGGAACTAGGTGCGGCTGCATATTTTGGGTATCTATTCGCTAGCAAGGCTGGATATTCGTTAGCTGTGTGTGGGTTTAGCCAAGCGGGAGCATCTTCGAAATGGAGTTTCTGTAACAATCTCAGCTTGAGCTCAAAGTGCCGCAAATTCCTGTCTCGATTGTCCGTACTATTTGCTCTTGCTGAGGCACTCAAGTTAATGACCGTCATAACAGCTACCTCGTTGTGAGATTACTGCAGCATAAACGTCGATTGTGACTTTCGCGGTGCCTTTGACTGACTTGGTTTTTCATAGTGCTTTTGAATTTATTAGAGCAGACGATGGATTGGTGGATTGTATTACATTCGAAATGATTGAAGGAAACCAAGTGGATCGGTGAGATGCTAATATTCTGTCTCGTCTGAAATTTTTGACAATTTCACACAAAACCGTGATCTTATAGGACCTTCCCAACTCTTGATTACATACAGGGGGTTACCGACAACATTTTTGGTGCTGCTGTCGGTGTCCTTCGAAGTGAAGTCCCTGGCGTTAATGTCACCCAAGCGATCATGTCTCCACAAGTATGTATTGATGTGCTTTTTCGATGCGCTCGATGAGTAAACTGATATTTGGGTGTTGCAAAGATGCTGGGGAATGTAATTGATGGAGAGACTATGATCGGTTAGTTACTAATTATCAACAAGTATTCGAGCTACATCATTTTCTTTTTCACACTGATTTTCCTGCCAGGCGATGGATTCGTCACCAACATCTCAACTTCTTGTGACTGTTGGTCTGCTACGACCGCTGGATTTGCTTTATCCGGAATGACTTCCGGAAACATCGCCACAATGCTTTCGCACTACCAGAGCCTCGCTTCTCAGAAGATTCTTGGAATGAGTTCGCTTGTTGAAAGCAATGATTCAACTGTTACGGTCACCTCAATACTGTCTGCTGGATGGAGAGTCTGTGGGGGAGCTAACGATACACAATACGCCGAAATATGTGTTTCTACATTCAGTGATCACCACCAAGCAACAGTCCTCAATGAATTTATGACTGGTATTACCACAAATAGATGCTGTTGTCCTTGAAAGTGATGCGAAGTATTGAATATTTTTGAAACTAGATGGTAGTATCAACTCTGTTACATTAAGGGCAGTCTCCATCCTCGAAGTTGGTCTTCCCGCAGATCTTACTTGGGTTGCCACTGCCATGAAGACAATTTTAGGCGGCACTATCTCTGACATGAATCTAAGACCAACTGTGGCTTCACAGATTAATTCTATGCTTGGTAAGACGGAGTGACTAGTTCCTACTGAAAATGTTTTTCTAACTTGCATTCTCCGAACGCTTTCCGCCATTAGGCTGGGGTTCTTCAGACGGAATGGGTCAGTTTTCACTAAGATTTACAGTTTTGACGTACCATTGGTATTAAATATTAGTGCTAACTCTCCATCGGCTTCTTTCGTTAGGTATCGATGCGAATTTACTGGAGGCCGGAGTGGAGGTTAGTATTGCTGATTTTGGGTATTGACGCTAAATGCCAACCCTTTCCAACCTCAAACAGACGATGATGGCTGTACTTCTTCGAGGAGGCATGCTGAGGACATATGGGCAGCACGGCAACTCTTGGTATGGCAAACACAAAGAAAACTAAGAATTGTTTTTGGTTTCTTTGCGTTTTGCTAACTTTTACGCCAAAAAAAGTCCTCTTAACAAGGCCCTGGACTCACAGAGCAAAATTTTCTTGCAATCCTATGGAGCTAGTGTTGCTCAAGTGCAGGTTGTCATACAACTGATCTTGCTGTTTATGTGCATAATCGCATTCTTGCCCTGGTTGCTCTCGGACGTAAGGCCCTTGTCCTCACTTTTTTGACCGTTTGTCCTTCAAGTAATCATGTTTGCACTAGGTTCCTATTGGACCTGGTGTCAGGTTTGTTCGAGAATCGGAATACTTTACGACACTGCTGGCAAACTCACCGCACTTGACGGCCGATATGGTCAACTTTGGTGAGTTGTTTAATCTGCAGAAAGCACTTCCCTCGGTATTTAGAGAATAGCAGTGCAATACTAACTAACCTTCGCACTTTAAATCAATCGTACAGGAAACTCGCCCACGTACTCGTTATGGCAGAGTCTCGACATCATTGCACGTATTGGTGAAGGATTATCGACGCTTGATCAAGAGATAGGAACAATTGTGATAGACGTTCCTAAACATGTTCGGGCCTTCAAGAACGGAAGGAGATTCCGGTGAGGTTGTTGCCAATTGATAAGAAAAATCATATACATATAGCTTCTTTCATCAACTTTTGTGCTTTTCTCGAGTTCGTGATTCATCGTTCGAATCGAGTACATCAAGTATCAATTGGAATAAGTAGGGGGATAACTGGGGCTGATCGTACCCCGTTGGCGTTTACTAGAGGTTTGCGGCACTAAATTCTACAGCTGTGACTGTAGCAGGCTATGCAGGGCTAATCCCCTAAAAGTGTGATGAGATGAGCAAGACTCGTAAGATCGCTCGGTAGTTGCCATGCTTGTCGCTGTATTCGAAGCCCTTGCGTTTAGCTTTTCGCCTTACCAACAGTTGCACTCCAGCTACCTAGAACTCTTATGCAAGTGTCGAACTAGAGAACTCATGAGCTATGAGGGGTCGCCATCTACGCATTCACATATCGTCTGGCATGGACGGAGAATAAAACAAGATTCCGGCTAGAAGATTAAACCAGGGTTGACTTGAGGAGGTTTTGAGGGTGATTGACATATGCTTAAAAAAATTATTTCGAATTTATAAGACTACAAAATTCTGGAAATCAATTGATATCGGGATCAAAACCAGTCACAGATCTCGCTCAATCCAAAAAAAATGGCGACCAAAATTATAACAATGCCGAAGGCCTTTCGCCATTTTCAGCAAACCGTCCCCTTCAAGAAAGGCAGACGATTCAATTGAGTTTGAACTGTTTGATAGCGAAGCATTTCGTATCAGGATGGCCAAAAGAAATTCTTGGAAGATTCTGTTCGATTCGTTCGTTACGCGGTCTAACGCGATACTCGTTATTATTGACGCAGATCACATTATATCGCTGAGTTCAGTTGCTTGCGGTAAGAAACTACCAGATATAACTTCCACGTAGAATTTGAAATAGATTTGATGTCTCACGCTGTGTCATTTCTGCGCACACATTATGTCCTTGTTTGCCCCGTTGCCAAAATATTTAAATTTACCCAAAATCTAACTGTCGGAAGTTTATTTTAATAGGGAAGCGAGGCTAAGGATTGCTGCGTTGAATCTTATGAATGGCCTCTTTTCGAACCAGTGCCTGGCGGAATCTTTGGACGCTAACTAGCTAAGCAACTTCTGATTGTCACCGGTTCCATCTTATTTTCGCTGTTGAGAACCGCAATGAATCCCAATACTGGGAATGCTCACTTTGACGGATTAAATTCTAATGACCGAAGAACCTCCTCCGGTCTTCGAAGGGAGTCATCTCCAGCACAAACATCTCGGAGGGGTAGTATAGCTCAAGATTTGAAGAAGAACCTGAGTAATATGATCTTTGCTAATGGAGCCATTGACGATGATGCCAATGATGACGCCGATGAAAGTGGTGGTAACGTTAGATGGAACAAGCAAGACGAAAATGCCAGAAGTATGGAACGCAACCAAAATGCCAGAAGTATGGAACGCAACCCGATCTCACGTATCGCAATTGAGGTGGATGATGGTAACAACAATATCAACAGAATCAATGAGTCTGATGAGCGTAGTATTCCTTCGTCAATGGCAGAGATTGTCCCTACCAACTTTGCCAAAGAATTCGGCAAGAATTTTGCTTCTAGGTAACGTGATGGATTTCCTGAGATTTGGACATTGTTTGCTACCTACGTGGATTGTTGAGTCCGTGTTGATGGGGCGGGCACTTTGCTAACATCGTTCATTGTTCAACACACAGAGGATCATCACGCTCTTCCTTCAATACCAGAAATGGAAACGCCCGTGAACTTTCGGAAACTTTGGTGCTAAAGCTCATGGAGATGAAATTTCTCATTTTGGCTATAGCTTTGAATTTACTGCTGCTATGGGTTGCCGTCAATATGGGAACTGGACTTGTTCTTCCTATTGGATATGACCTGATGGGAACCATTGGACCTGTCGTTGTTGAAATCAGTTTGCTTCTCACCAACGTATTAACAATTACAGCAATGAATGACGCCGCCGCCGCGTATTATGGGTATGCTTTATGAAAAATTCAAGTTTATATTAGTAGACCCGAAACTGGGTAGTCTAAGCTTATTTAAAACGTACTCCTAGTTATCTATTCATCAGCAAAGCTGGTTATTCTCTAGCTGTGTGCGGATTTGCACAAGGTATGCTGACTTCATTACAGAGCGCACCCTCTTGTACATATGTTGACATCAATGCTTGCAATTAGCCGGAGCTGTGTCAAAATGGAGTTTCTGTAACAATCTGAGCTTGAGTTCCAAGTGTCGAAAGTTTTTGTCTAGACTTTCTTTGCTATTCGCTCTGGCAGAAGCCCTAAAGCTCACAACCGTTATTGCTGCCACATCTCTGTAAGTGACGCAAGTAGTTAGAGTGTTGAGGTCGTGTCTAATATATTTTTGTAGCGTTTTGGAAGTTATCAGACAAGATGATGGTCTAGTAGACTGCATAACCTTTGAACAGATCCCAGGAGACCAATCTGACCGCACGTATCCGACTGTGGATTATACTCAAGGCCTCGCAGGTGCTTTATTCTTATTTGGGGTTTTTTTGCAACGCGATAACTAACACAACCAATTCTTAGAACTCGTGTTTGGTTCGGGATTGGGAGTTCTTCGTTCTGAAGTGGGCGGCGTCAATATCACTACATCAGTAGTATCTCCACAGGTGTGTTTGATTTGGTCTCTATTTTGATAAAACCGTCGTTGAACAGTTTATGTTGGCCCATTTCAGATGCTTGGAAATGTGGCATCGGGTGAAACTATGGTCGGGGATGGATTTGCAACGAACATCTCCACTAGCTGTGACTGTTTTGCTGCTTCTCCAACTGGGTTTGCTTTATCCGGAATGACTGCTGGCAGCATCACCTCAGCTTATGCCCAGTATTCAAATATGTCAACAAATCGGATAACGGGACTCGTTTCACTTGTCGAAAACACCACGACGGCGGTCACCGTAACGTCAGTATTTTCTCCCGGGTGGCACTTATGCGGCGGTGCAACAGATAACCAATACGCAGAGATATGTGTTACTACTCTTTCGGACCATACTATGGCAACAGTTGTAGTGGAATTCATGACTGGTACGTTGTCATGAAAATCTTGACTCGCGCCACAAACCCGATTTGACTGACTTTGCAACGGTTCCACCAAAATACAGATGGCTATACGGCAAGTGTAGCAACTCGTGCTGTGTCAATTCGAGAGCTTGGAGAACCAGCAGATATAAATTGGGTAGCTCAGGCTATGAAGGCAATACTTGGCGGAACCTTGACTTCTTTAAATTTCAGACCTACGATACCTGGAGCCCTATCACCTCTACTCTGGTACCTTTAGTTTTGAAACCGACCTCAAAACATTTTATTGATTTAAATTCAAACCGTAGGTGGACGTCGTCGGACTTGATGAGTCTAGATGCAAACCTTTTAGAAGCTGGAATGGAGGTATGCACACGCGAAGTGCAAAGATTGAATTCATTGGGATTCTCACAATGTCCGTTTTACAGACTCTATTTGTCATGTTCCTAAGAGCTGGTATTCAAAGAACCTACAACTCGCATGGCAACTCTTGTGTAGGTGCCATCACTTAGGTCGATTTCTGCATTTCATCGATGTTGCCTCTAATTTCTAATTTTCACGACAGCCTCTCAATAAGGGAGTTGTCGACAAGGTCCGTGTACGTATGCAGCCACAGGGGGTTGACATTGCTATTGCTCTATTTGCAATACAGCTGTTCTTGCTGATTATATGTATCGTCGCATTCTTGCCTTGGTTACTTTCTAACGTAAGGCCTGCGCCTCACTGTTTTTGGAAGTGTATGTCGTCAAAGTAATCATTCTTTTTCCAGGTTCCAATCGGACCCGGTGTGAGATTTGTGCGGGAGGAGGCGTATTTCACTACCTTGCTCACCAAATCGCCTCACTTGACTGCCGATATGGTCAATTTTGGTGAGTTCAAACTGAAGTGAATCAAGTAGAAATGAACAAAAGCAGCCGCTGATTGTTGCTTTGAAAATAGGAAATTCTCCAACATACTCGTTATGGCAGAGTCTGGACCTCGTTGCAAGGATCGGGGAAGGAATTTCAACTCTTGAAGCAGAGATCGGAACAATAGTAATCGACAGACCTAAGCATGTTCGAGCGCTCAAGAATGGCAGAAGGTTCAACTAGAAGGTCGAGATGAATATTGGAGCTGATTCTTCGTCGATGTGGTTGGCCAACTGCAATCATAGACAATGCATATCTAACCAAGTATTCAATAACATGCAAAAATGAAACGATCTGAATAATAAATAGCACATGAAGGTCTGTCTGATCAAAGCAGCCTCATTTTGCGTCCTTGACAAAATATTTCATTCACTTAGAACAACGCGACTGCACTTGCGAGTTGCTTATAGCACTTCACGGACAATGCACGATCGACTTTCGGCGAGAACCTGCCGAACGCCGCCTTGGCACCTAAATTTTAAATCTCCGAGTGTGGTCTCTCCGAGTGTGGTCTGCCAAAACCCACAAGCTCACTGGGGGGTTCTTGAACGAAAAACAATAAGTCGGAAAATGAATTTGGCCTCGACTGAACATGGTATGGAATTTTGTTTCATCCTATACTCGCTTTATCGTATGCTGCTCAACGCATCTAAATAGTGGGTATCAAACTCGAGAACGCAACGAGCACAGAAGTCAAACCACAGTCAAATAACTCTGCAATAGCTATACCTGATGATGTGAAGCCTCTCAGAGCTGCTATACGAGGGTCCTCGCTGAAGAATACTGCGGATGGCCAAGATGAGGAGCGATTGACATTACCACGCCGTGCCTCTCTTGTGCAATCTCGACTCAAGTTGAAGGCAGTTTCTCATTCATGCATATCGTTTGCCGAGCAAGATGCGCCCGATCATCACCATTTCTCTATGGCAGTGCCGCCAGTGCGAGCCACTCCAAATGATGACAGTGGTTCTACTTGCCCTGAAAGGGCCAATGATCAAGATGAAATACCCAACAGAGAGACGTCTCAGATCTACCATCATATTGCTTCGGTTGTCACGCCGGGCTTTTTGAGTCAATCGGCGAGCAGGAGCTCATTTACTACATCTACCAACGCCCAAGAGATATGTGAAACACTCTTTATGAAATTACTGGCTATGAAAAACTGCATCCTTGCACTTGTCATCAATTCTGGTCTCTTGTGGCTCACAATTATGTTGTCTGTGGGGCTTCCAGTCCAACTTTCGTCGAGGGCCGTTGAAACTTTTGGGCCGGTAGTGGTGGAAATCTGTCTTTTGATTTCCAACCTCGTCACCATCCTGGCTATGGATGACGCTCTGGCCATTTTCTTTGGGAGGTTGTTTGTGTCTCCACAAGGATATTCGTTGGCCATCTGTGGATTCGCTCAGGCGTCGACATTTTCCAAGTGGCAGTTCTGCTCCAACCTCAGTTTGAACTCCCGAGCTCGAAAGTTTCTGTCTAGACTCTCTTTGGCTTGGATGCTGGCAGAAATTTTCAAGCTTACAACGGTTATAACGGCCACATCGATTTCGTACAAGGAGATAACTCAGACGTCAGGATCGGTTGATTGCATCGTCTACAATCAAGACGGAATCTTAAGTGATCGTGAATACCCCACTTTTGCTTATGAACAGGGCTTAGCTGAGTTGGTGTTTGGAAGTGGTATGCCATCGTTGGGTTTGGTTCCAGTTGTTTAACCTTCAAGCAAAATACATGACATGAAACATGAGCACTCACGCACTACTCTACGCAGGTCTGGGAGTGATGCGCTCAGAAGTGGCTGGAGTCAACGTTACTACGAGGTGGTATAGAACAGCTCAATTCATTCTTCAATTCATGACGCTCATCACATCCACCACCCTCGTAGTTTCGTAAGCCCTCAAATCTACGCCGCCCTCTCGTCGTCCGAAACTGTCACAGGACCGGGTTTCGTTACAACCATCAGCACCAGTTGTGATTGTTTCCCTGCCAGTACATCAGGATTTACTCGTGCCAATGTGACTGCCTCAAATGTAGCAGCATTTTACTCGCTCTACCACGGGCAAGTGACTCAAGGAGCTCTTTCGCTTATCTCCTTGGTGGAGCACGATGATACCGCCGTGTATATCACGTCTACAATGACCGGATTTCCTGTCTGTGGTGGTGCCAATTCGTCACAGGTGCGTTTGCAGAACTTATCAATCTGGACTGATGAAATAAGGTTAAATCATTACGTGTTCTAACGCTCGTATTCGTCACCAAACCTCTTGCAGTTGTCGATGGTGTGCAGTTCCACCCTCTTTGAGCATCAGTTTGCTACGTTACAAATGACGTACATGTCTGACGGTAGCTCCGCTTCGAGTGCGATGCAGGCAGCATCGGTAACTGAAATACTTGGACCAGCAAACGTTACGTGGTTATATCAAGCCATGATGGCAATTATGCATGGACCATTATCTGCTCTTAATTTGCAACCGACTATACCGGGTGCTTTGTCGCCAGTCCTCTGGTAAGTGCTTGAAGCTTGTGGTTTAATTGGATCATGCCCTGCAAAGTTTGAAAGTGTATTAATTTTGATGCTCGTGTTAGGTGGACAAGCGCTGATTTAATGCAAGTACAGTGTCGTCAAATCTCAAAATGTTAAGTATTTTGCTCATTGTTGTTGGCCTTTTAGGTCTATAAACGCCAATCTAGTCGAAGCGGGAATTGAAACTTTAGTATGTCACGGACCACTTAACCGAAAAGTACAACTTATTTACCTTCTCGTTGCGTTTTTAGCTCTCCATTCTCATTCGAGGAGGAATACAGGTATACAATCAGTTGCTCCAATGTCTGTTGTAACAAGGCTACTTTTAATCTGCCCACATGCTGAATCCATCTTCTCCTTAGCGCACGTATTCATCTCACGGATCAGGCTGTATCTTATCTGGCAATGTCGCTGGAGTCACAGTATCCTTGACTTCCTATGGTGTTCGCATGGCCTACTGCATGTTCGCCATTCAGTTGTTGCTATGTTTGTGCTGTGTCGTGGCATTTGTGCCTTGGCTACTGTCCAGCGTAAGAATCTGAAACATTTTATGACGTGCAAAACATTGTGATTAACTTGATTTGATCTGCTCTAGAGTCCCATCTCTCCCGGTGTTCGTGCGGTAAGAGATGAAGCATATTTCATGACTTTATTGAGTGGTGCCGGATTGCTGTCTGGGTTTGGATTATTTGGAAATAGGTACTAGCCAGCTAGTTGTGGTATTTTGAGGATTGTGATGCTGACTCAATTTTTACGTAGCCCGACGTATACCATATGGCAAAATCTTGACGTTGTAGCAAGGATAGGGGAGAGCATGCAAACGATCGAAGATGAAGTGGGAAAGATTTCTCTTGACAAAGTGAAGCTAGTCAGACCATTGAAGAACGGACGGAAATATACATGAGATCTCATGAATTTCGTAAAGTAGTTGATTCTGTGATGTAGCAGCAGTTGATCAACCGTTGTTGTAAATGAAGGAGTCAGTAGAATAGACCTGTGAATATTTGGAGTACAAACAACTTGCATCTCGATAAAGAATGAGGCGAGCTTTTGATGTTTCTATGATTGCGTGTTTTTCTTGTTGTCCTTCAGTCAATTTTCACAACTAGGTCATTTCACACCAAGAAAAGACGTGATTACTGATTCTGAATATCCAAGATCGATTTGCATCTCACAATTCTGGTTCAATACTCGTAGTCGGCAGGCAGCAGATGTTCCAAACCGGCACGATCGTGTCAAAAATGATGAATCTGATTTTAGAGTGGACATCCATTCGTCAAACTTCAGCGAAGAAATCCACTTAACCAAAGCTCCCAATCAGTCCAAAAATCGCCTGTTCTCATGGTGCTCCTGAAACATTTTGCACAGCAGCACAGTTAATATGGATTTTGTAAAGCAGGCCAAGAAGGCGTTAGATTCCTTTCCACTGCATGTGTATCCACCTGTATATACGCCTCCAGATCCCAATGCTACTCCTGAACTGTGGGTCTTCCCAACCAGGTCGTCAGCTCCAGTTGTGCGAGGAGATGGATTTGTTTCGTTGGATGTAGAATGTATCAAGTACCAGGTAAAGAAACACTCATTCCATATATTGATGTACTGCAAGACTCTAACAAGATGGATTCATCTAGGCTTTGGCTGCCTTCAGCAATTACTCGTGTCAAATTCAACCCACATTTCATTTCGATGCTGCTCCTAATGGTAAATCATGAAGAACCACCATGTCTTGAGAAGTCATTGATTAAATCTGTTTCATAAGGACGATTGCCGTTTTTGGTAACTCCAACTGGGCAGATTCTTGGAGGACGTGACATTGAACGAGAGATTAAAAAGCAGGTTGGGACGAAAACACATTCAACAAAAGGGTTACCTTGGCGAATATGAGCTGAAAGGATTCCCTTGTAGGCTGGAGATATCGACAGACGTCTATCGCCCTCAGAACTTGGAGATTGCAGGACGTACGCTTCTCTAGTCGAGGCGAAAATAACACTTGCCCTGGTAAAGTGCTTGCCATGACCTGAACACATCTTGCAACGTTTCGCTAATACCTATATTCATGTACTCCTGCAGATGTACAGTCTGTGGATGGAGGAGGACCATCTTAATCAAGTCACGAAACCAGTCCATTCGTCATTCTACCCAACATCAATAACTTTGCCTGTGGTTGGAGCACTGCCGATTCTAGGAAACTGGGTATCGAGCTCTATAAGGAATAGGATGACTACGTGGATACAGAGTCGACGCCCTGGTTTGAGGACGGATGAGGTATGGTAAAACCAATCTTGGTTATGGACTCAAGAGGTGTGATCAATCTTAATACATATATCATAGCTTTACGAGGAAGCCCGAGTTGCTCTAGCTGCCCTGTCAACCCGTCTTGGCTCGTCTCTATACTTTTTTGGAACAAAGTAAATAATATTCATCATATGCCAGTGCCATTAAGATAACAGATTCTCCCATACTGACTCATTTCCATTAGGCCTACAACATTGGACACTGTAGTGTTTGCGTCTCTGCACATTATCTTATCAATCAAGACTCCCAAAGACGAACTATTCATCGCCGTCCAAAAACATGACAACCTCGTTCAGTACACACGACGAGTCTGGAACACTTTCTTCGTTCCAAGTGATCGTCCCACTGTTAGGTAAAACGGAATATGGCAAATGTATAATCTCTGAAAAATTACTCATGCAAAAGCTTGTACAACAAGACAAGACCTCTAGAAAACAAAAATACATTTATTTACATCTAATTGCGGCCCTGGAAGAACGATTTGAGTTTCATGAAGTGCTCCTCCTCACTCTTCACCCTACATGTTCGTGAAAAATCATTGTTGGAACATGAATTGAACCTGGACTCTTGAGTGAGAACTTACCCAACAGCAAAGGTAATGACAAAACATACTACACCCACGCTAATGTGGGCGATAAGATGTCGTATACTTGAAATACCAATATTTCCTTCAGACCATACTGTGATGACCCAGCTGACACCACACAAGACCCAAAACGTCAGGTTTCTTGGCACGAGCGTCTTCAAGCTCCAGATACGCTCCAACGAAGGATCATCGACCTTTTTAGACATATCGTGGATATATCCTTTGATGAATGCGGATGACATATAAATCCTCATACCGACATTAACCATATTGGCAAATATCAGACCCACAGCACCCCATTTCATCCAACCTACGAATACCCAGCCACTGGCAAAGAATATCAGCCATAGAGCTATCATTTGAAGAGTCTGGGCGTGAAGGAGTTTTTCGGAGGCTACACTTTGCATGAAGCCTTCAGTGATACCGTTTACACCCATGAACGGGACAAACAGACAGAAGGCTGCAAAAGCAAGTGGTGCAGATGTTAGAATCCACTGTCGGCCTCCCAGTATCGATACTAATGCTGATGAGTAGGTTGTTCCAAAGAAGATGAAAGCCATCCCAATGATTATGTGTGTTTTGAGTAGTAGTACTACAATTGATATGACGGAGCGTATTGACTTCGCTTGCTCTATCATTTGAATGCATTAGCGACTTCATAATCAGTGTTTCTGTGTTACAATGAAGCCACAACTTACGGCTAGTCCCGGTGTTCAAGGTTTTCGAGAAGTAGTTACGCATAGTCTCCTCAATTGGTGAAAAGAGAATACGAGCAATGAGTGATCCTGCAATTGAAAACGTCAGCTTGCTGCCACTGTTTTTTGTCCACTGTTTTTTGTTGAACCACAGTCAAAAACATCCTACCATAGTTTAGTACGTATGCATAGACGCCCATATCGTCAGCACTGGCCATCCCAACCAATACAATCTTGTCTCCTTCTGTGAGAAGGTGTTTGATTATGGATTGCATAGCAAAGGCGAAAGACAGCTGAAGCATGTTATAATCCAAGTACTTGTTTGATCTGACAGGTCGGTTTCAAGCAAAGTTAGAAAGAGTTGTTGATAAATGTTCAGAAAAGTTAGCAACAACGTGGCAGAACATACTCAAGTTTTTTAGGAGTAAGAAACTTGCCAACACTGTACCAATAGGACGACAGAAGGACTAGACCATTAACACTCTGAGCTGCTGCGAAGGCGATGATAGCCGAACCTTCAGTGATAGAGCCGTACAATGAAAGGCCGTATATGATAGCCAGTGTCGCCAGTGACTTGATCACACAAGCAGTAGCCTCAGCTCTGACACGGACATTATATTGGAGCTTGAGTTGAGTGACGACATACATTGGCTCACTCAGGAGCTCCAGGAAGGCACCGAAACAGTATAGACCTACAGCGACATACATATGCTGACGATGGAGAGCTACCTGCGATACTAATACGATCAGGATGAGAGTACATCCCGCTGCAATACTGACATATGACATATTAACTACACGTTGCAAAACTTTATCCTTGTCTGACTCGGTTGACTTGTCTGATGTTGATGAAGACGACGACGAAGCACGGAGTGTAGCCATGCGCACAGCTTCTCGTGACAGGAAGAGAATGGTAGATAATATCAGTTCGAGCTCGACGGATACCACGCCCAGTACACGTGAAGAAGTGAGCCGGAGCAAGATCAGGTTGAGTATAAAGGATGCAGCCCGAGTGGATAATTGTAACAATACTAGATATCCTGCGCCTTGTAGTGATGCGCTCAAGGTCTTGTCAGTGTCATCTTTGGCCTCAACTTTGCGGCCGATCCTCTCCTGCGACATGCTCCTCTCTTTAAATTTCCTGGTCATTATACTAGCTCCTGTTTTAGGCTATAGAGTAGGATGGCTATGGCTCGAATTGATGTCGGTATGATCCTTGAATTTCTTTGAGGGAGTGGTCTTGATCCTGTAACTGATCTAACGATTATTAGGTTCAGTGAGTGTTGGGAGTAATTGGAGTTCATGGTTTGGTCTTTAATAACCTTAATTTTTTCAAAGAATATGGAGCAAGAACTATCGCAGCTTGGTCAATGTACTACCCTCTATTAGTCACTTCATGCACATCACATTAAATCCGCAAAATATCATTTTTGACCACCCTTCACTACCTAGTGTTGGAGACTTCCAGTCTGTCTGAAAAGCCTGAAATTTTATTGAAACGTGCCAAAATATACGAGACCATAGGCGATTATCAACATGCCTTTGACGATGTTCGTCTGGTTCTATCGTTGGACAAGACCAACACTGATGCCCTCAAAACCGCTCAACAACTGGTTCGATTAACTGCCGAAAAACAATCATCATCTCCCGTTGGTACCATATCGAGTATGCTACTACTAATATCTGGTGGTAGTGGTGACGATCAAACGGAAGACTCGGCTAGAAGTCACGGTCAAAACCGCGAGGTCATTGAACGATTAATATCAGCATCACAAGATCCTAGTGGTGCTGCTACTATTGGACGTGAAGGTGGCGTCGAACTATTGATGCCAGTCACCGTCAGTAATAAAACACCATCGTCGACACATCAAGCACAAATACTACAGATTCTAGTAAACCTCACGCAATTGCCTGAACTCGCATCCCGCATATTATCGTATATAGATTCCTCGACTGTGACCACTTGGATGAACTCGAACGACTCGCCAACTATTCAACACGCAGCAGATTTATTGGGCAACAGTGTCTTGCAATCCCTATCAACGCTCAAAGACCAACCAAAACTACGAGACTCGGCTGTCACTGCAGTTAGAGCTCTAGCAAAACTCGCTGTAGAGTTTAGTAAAGACGAGCCTTCTCGAGTCGCAGGTGTAAAAGGTCTGATTACCGCCATTGGTGATGAAGATTCAGCCGTCATGTTTATGAATAGCAACGAGTTTGTAGACTTGCTGGCATGTGTCTCTGATCGTAAAATCAGTATACGTCAACTGATTCCCGTAGCTCTCGCCCGATTCTTGGATACCACATCAGCCAAACGAGAAGATGAGCTGCAGGCCCTTCTACATCGACTTATATCAAAATGGGTAGAATCAGATGTAAAGGGTGACAAGGCTCGAGGGCTCCTGGCATTATCAGCCGTATTTCAAGCCAAGTCTAGTATCGGTAGTAGCATACTCTTGAAGCAAGGCTTTGTCGAAGATCTGATGGAAGTCATTGAATTTGAGGGTGAAGATGTTCAACTGGCTGTAGTTGAAACTCTCTCTAGTAGCTGTGCTGATAAAGCATGTCGCACACTAGTTGCTGCCCGATGTGCTGCATTCCTGTTGACATTAGGAGGTCATCAGAATGCGCAACTACGAACAGTGGCCTCGGTAGCGCTCATTAAATGTATGTCAGCTGATAAAGAATTGGAGAAACAAATGCTCCAACAGGCAGATCGATCAGTCATGGCCTTTGCCAATGTCATTCAGAATAAACAGGTGGATGAGACTCTGAAACTAAATGCCGTAGAAGCCCTAGCATTCCTGTCTACTCACGGAGTGGTCAAGGATCTTATAATAACGAATTCGAGTCTTCTCAAATCGATGTTTAATATGGCATCAGCAACTGATAAAAAAGCAGTGCAATTCGGAATCGCATCGACCCTCATGAATATAACAGTATTCAGACGTAAATTTACAGATGAAGAAAAGCAGATACTCAAGCTACGAGCTATGGCTGAACAAACGGGAGAACCAATAGTAGATCCACTTGATGAGGATACTGCCGTTGAGAGGCGGTGTGTTGCTTTGGCCAAAGAAGGAGCCGTCAGTGCTCTAGTTGCTTTAGCAAATGGTAGTTCACCTGCTCTACGAGAAATGGTAGCTCAGACCTTTTTAAGTATGGCTAGGGATAAGAGTCTGAGAGGTATCATAGTCCAGCAAGGTGGTGTCAAAAGTCTCATCACTCTGACTGGTGAAGGGACTTCCGAAAGCATAGCACATGCAGCTCAAGCTCTAGCTAAAGTAGCTATTACTAGTGATCCACACGTATCGTTTCCTGGTCAACGGGCCGCCGAATTGGTAAGACCTCTAGTAAGTTTATGTGGGTCTGAGTCAGAACTATGTCAATTTGAAGCCCTGATGGCTTTAACGAATCTAGCTTCTATTGATGATGATATTCGTGGTCGTATAGTAGCAGCAAAGGGTGTCGCTGCAATGGAGAATCTACAATTCTCTGATAATATCATGGTCCGACGTGCAGCCACGGAAGCACTATGTAATATGGTATTTGAACCCTCAGTATATACTGCCTATGCGGTGGCATCCGCTTCCTCTAAACTCCGAATGTTCATTGCCTTGTCTGATTCCGAGGATTTTGAGACTCGTCGAGCGGCATCAGGTGCTCTAGCCATCTTGTCTCAACATCCCACGGCATGTAAGAACATATCTATAGAAGGGCGTGGCCCAGAGATCGTAGTGACCACTATTGGTGAATCATGTGAAGTAGAAGTACAGTTACGAGGAGTCGAGTTGGTGAAGAATATGGCATCGTGTGGTAATAGGGATGTGGTGTCCAGTATCGTAGAAAAGGGTGCTATAGACAAGGTGAAGAAGTTGCTCGCATCGCCAAATCAAGCAGTATCACGTGGTGCTGCAGGTGCTTTGAAGGCATTTCGTGACGCTGGGGTCTCTCTAGTGTGATCGAACCTCAAAAATGTAATGTTTTGTATTTAGCAGTGGATATAGAGTATATATGAAGAAGATGGATCAAAATTAATATAAATAATTGCAGCAATTATAACTATGACGCGTTTAACTAGTGATTCTATGAATCCGCTACATCTTGTCACGTTTCCTTCATTTACATTCACAAAACGGCAACTTCACAAAGGACGACCAGAAGCGATGGACACCAGCCCAAGTAGGCTCAGTACTTCTGGAGACAGGCCTGACACCGATGGTAAGCAATGAACTACCAGGATCTACCCTCATTTTAGTTATATCGACATTGGAACAGCATTCAACAATTTTCGAAGCGCCCGCGTGGGGTTGTAACTACGTGATGACAAGGCAGTAAGCAAGATTACAGTATCTAATAGCATTTAAAACACATAGCACATGGTCGTTTCAAGCTCGTCAAGAATGCCAACTCACCAACAGCAAGAAATGCTGAATGGATGGATCGTGAGCGGGAAAAACTACAGGCATACGAATATCTCTGTCGTATTGGAGAGGCAAAAGAGTATGTGTTCTGCATCTTATTAGATAATATCAGACATCTATGGGTGATCTTGCCCTTGGTCAAATGGAATGGTCTGAAAACTACACAAAACCAACACCGACAAATATTTCTAGTTGGATTGAAGCCTGTACTCATGACTCTATTGGAGATATCGAACATCTGGAAGAAGAATTGAGGAATGGTATTGCGCTAGCACGTCTAGCAAAGACCTTTGCTCCTGATGTCGTCAAGAAGATCTTTGAGGTATGGTAGCTCGCTATTGGTTGATGATCAGACTGCTTATCTCTATTTGTTATAGGACACTCGAAAACTACAATTCAGACATTCAGACAACATCAACTACCTATATGCAGCCATGCGAAAAGTTGGATTGCCAGAGGTGAATTCAAGAATGACGGATGACCCCAAAACAGGTTACTGACTGTAAATCTTCATCTAGGTCTTCTTCTTCGAGTTGACTGATCTATACGAAAAGAAGAATATTCCAAAAGTCATCTACTGTATTCACGCTCTCGCGTATGTGTTGATTTCAGTAAAAATGATCAGCAGCAGGTGTTTCACCTCGTCTCTCTCATATAGACACTTGCTATACAAACAAGGATTAGCACCCTCTATCAAAGATCTTGTCGGCAAACTACAATTCACAGGTAACGTACCCTAGTCTGTTCGTAGTTTCGCAAGGACGTTTTATTGACACGTGCTTGAAGATGAGGTGTTGGATCAAACACAAGCCTCTTTGAGCGCTGCTGGTGTACCAATGCCACAGTTTGGAAATATTGCAAATGCTCTGGCTGAAGAGTTGAATGAAGTTTCGCCTGCTGAGAGTAAGTTATTGGAAAGCAGTATCAATAGGCATGTCTCACCTTTCTTTTGTGCCTCAGAACGGGAAAAGTTCCTCGAAGAACCAGCAACAATTCAGAAGATCATCAAAACCCAATCTGTTGTTAGAGGTTGGTTGGCTCGCCGTCAAGTAGAGAAATGTAAGAGCTGATTCAAAAAAACAGGCACGCAGAATCGAGGATGACTGACACAACACTAATCACAGTACGGCAAGCACACAAGGCTCAACAGCAATGGTACAAGGATCACTCAAAGGACATCGCAAAACTGCAAGCTATGTGGAAAGCAAAGAAGGCTTTCAAGAGTTATCAGGATCAAAAAGCACACCTCAAAGCAATAGAACCTGGTGTCATCAAGGTTAACTTTAAGATGGCGATACGAAGATGACCACGAATAACACCTTTCTTGTTGATCAGATTCAAGCAACATTCAGAGGTCATATGGGCAGGAAAGAATATATAAACCGTCTCAAATTCTTGAAGGATCAAGTTGGTGCCATCGTCAAGATCCAATCTATGTTCCGTGCCAAACGTGCCGTCCGTGCTTACAAGAGTCTTGGTGAGTATCGCCTGGTTGTAGCTTAGCCTTTCTTGGTCTCTCTCCGGTCTTGACATTACGTTCGTCGTTTCCACAGAAGATACCAACCCCCCTGTCAAGACTGTACAAAACTTTGTTCATTTGCTCGATGACTCCAACACTGACTTTGAAGAAGAGATTGGTAAGACCTTGGGGTATACATTTCTTGTCTCGCCCATCTTCTGACCCTTCACTCTGTTTTTAGAATTGGATAAACTGAGGCAATTGGTAGTCAAACGTATTCGTGAAAATCTTACCACAGAAACCCAATTGACTGAACTTGATGTCAAAATCGCTCTATTGGTCAAAAATCGTATTTCGCTGGACGAAGTGTTGAAACATACGACCAAGCAGAAAAAGAGAGAGTTAGAGAATGTTGCCGAAGCAACCAGCCATTCTGAACAAGGAATATCGTTAAAGAGTCTGGATAAAGATACCCGTGCCAAGTTGGAAAACTATCAACAACTCTTTTACCTTTTACAAACGACACCCACCTACTTGGCCAATGTCATGTTCTTATTGAACAAGAAGAGTGGATCTACAGTCACCAAGTTCTTGGAGAACGTAGTCTTGACGTTGTATGGATATGCTCAAAACACTCGTGAAGAATACCTGTTACTCAATCTGATCAAGGTATTCATACTGGAGCCACTCATTGTTTTAAGCAAATACTCACATGAACCTTTTTATAGGCTGCCATCAAAGTGGAAATAGAAGACTTGAACGAAGTCAGTGAATTCTGGAGAGCCAATCCATTATTCATCAAGTTGGTGTTGCATTACACTCGTGGTGCCAAAGAACGTCAATACCTTCGAGAATTGTTGCAACCTCTAGTTAAGAAGATTCTAGATGACGCCACTCTTGACTTGGAATCAGATCCAACTTCTGTAAGGAATTCGGGTGTGCTTATCAGCGTTTTTGGTGCATGTGATTGACATTGCATACTTTCTTGCTTTAGATCTACAAAGCAATCATTCGAGATGAAGAAAGTAGGACGGGTGAGGCTTCCAAACGTCCCTATGAAGTGCCACCTGCTCAAGCTGCAGCCGATGAGGAAGTGAAGAAAGTGCAAGCTGCTCGTAGGTTCATTTGTCACTCAACTCTTATTTTGGTCTGTAAATCAACGTCGTCTTGTTTACTAGACACCGACAAGCTTATTGAAATCACAAGCGTGTTTATGGATGCTATTATGAATCAGCTCAAGAAGATGCCATTCGGTATTCGATACATTGCCCAGCAGATGAAGAATTCGCTCAAGGTTAGAGGATGAAGCTATTCAATCCAGATTTCCTGGTTCTCACGATTGATCCCTTCTTCGCCTCGCAGGACAAATTTCCAACAACTGATGGTGATGAGATGATTCGCATTGTCGGCAACTTGATATACTACCGTTACATGAACCCTGCCATCATGTAGGTCAAAGGTCATCAGTTTTAAAATTGGTATTTCTTTGCTGACCTATTCTTTCTAGTGCTCCTGAAGCTTTCGATGTCATTGAATCTACGATCTCACCCATCCAACGAAAGAACTTGGCCGAAGTAGCTAAAACACTTCACACCATCTCTGTCAACAAGCCACCTACAGCCTCCGGTGATTTGGACCCCAATACCATCAAGTTGAATGAATACATTGCCACAGCCGGAAAGAAGTTTGCCTCCTTCTTTGCCGAAGGTACGTTGGATACAGCATTGCCAGGCGCTTTCAGATACTAACTTTGCAACATTTCTAGCCGCAAACGTGGTTTCCGCTGAAGAACAATTTGGCATTGACGAGTTTGTTGATCTTTCGATGACCAAACGGCCAGTGATTTATATATCTCCCAACGAAATCTTCCAAGTACATGCCACCTTGGTCGAGAATTTAGACTTCTTGGCACCAAAACCCGATGACCAATTACGTCAAATACTCAGTGATTTGGGAGCAGTACCACCAGTTAGAGAAGACGCCCCTGTACAGTGTACTGAAATACTATTGACTTTGAACAATCGAATGGCCAAGATTGAAGGTATACATAAAAGGACGACAGTCACTTTGCACGATGTCACTAACTTGCCCTCTAATTAGACGAAGATGCGTCGATCAAACGTCTCTTCATGGAAACCAAACGACACATTCTCGCTATTGTTCGTATACAGTCTGGCAAGAATTTACTTGAGCTATTGGAGAAGCCTGTTACTGAGGTCGAAGAAGACTTGTATCGGGAGCTCTTAGATGCAAATGCCAAACGATTAGCAGAGAAGGCAGCCATTGCTAACCGAGGATCACCAATCAGTGGAGATATTCAGAATTCACCATCTCGGGACTTTACTCGTGAGGGTAATCTTGGATCAAACTGGAATCTGAAAAATGCGGCTGGTGACAAGTAAGGATCCGGAATCTTCCTTTTAGTAGCATTGACACTTTTCGTAGACTGAGGTTCTCTTTTTTCCTAGCGTGACATTTACCGAACTCAAACGTGTCACCCTTGAAAACTTGGGTAAACTGGAAGCAGCCAAGTTGGTATCTCGAAAGACATGCTTCCAAGATATGCTCAACTCCATTGCCAAGGACATGCTCAACAAGCACAAACGAACAGTACAACGCAAGAAGGATTTACAAGGATTGCGTCAAACTCTGAAAAATGTCGAAGAAAAGTCTACCTATCTTGGTGACCAAAAGCAAGCATTTATGGATTACATTGACGCTTGTATGGGCAAGCTTACTGAAAACAAGGGCAAGAGGTACAAGCAGCGGTTGACCTGATGCTTCATATACTTGAGGTGTTTTATACTGTACTTACCATCACCTTTGCACACACAATAGCAAACCAAAGAGCAAACCAATGATGTTCTCTCGACAATGGACGCATACACGAGACCTACAAAAGGCTGGCAAAATGCCTCAATTCGGTTCATTCAAATACACAGCTGGTGAATTGCACAAGAAGGGTGTCCTCATCTCAGTGGATGAATACTCTCCCAAGCAGTAACGTACCCGTCTCCCACTATAACGGGATATTATGGATTTTAATGACTCTTTGTCTTCTTAGATATGGTCAAATCAATCTCATCATTTCGTCTGACGAAGTTGGAGTGTTTACTGTCGAAGCCAGCTTTTTGGGCGTCAAGATGCCTGAAAAGTTAGAGCTACGGCTAGAAGACTTGCTACAACAACAGTACAACGGTGTGAATGTAAGTTCTGGTGTAGTGATTACGGAGGCTGTATTGTTGTCATTTTGGTCGTCATTCTGACATTTGATTCTGAAAATAGGTCATGGCCTTATTCGACTATGCCAAAGTCAATGTCAACTTGCTTATTTATCTACTCAACAAGAAGTTTTTCGTTTAGTCAACGATTTTACAACAACAATGTTTACAACGCTAGAGTACACACCACCATATATATCTCACGACATTTTACTAATCCGCTTTGTATAAAGAACCATACGCTTTCCCACAAAGAACTTTGTATTTGCTACACTTGTCGGCTTGTGCGTGTTGGCTAATGCCAGTCCATGTATTGAAGTGACCACACTTTACGACTAATACTACGTCCACGTAATCTATCAAACTTTCAATTCCGGAATATTGTAATATAGCTTCAGCGACTCAGGGTTTGCTAGTGCTCCAGAGGGAGCGACTGATTCTCCACTGATAATTCTCTTTACTGCTACCTCTACTTTCTTGCCCGTTAACGTATGAGGAATATCTGCAATAGGCAGTATGAATGCAGGCACATGTCTAGCTGAAAGCAATTTCCTGATTCGTTCCTTGATGTCGGATACCAGTTTTTGATTGAATTCTTGGCCTGTTCCCATTTTGAGGAACATCACGACACGTTCATCGTCACCAAGCTTCTGTCCGACCTGAAGTGTATGCGAGATAGAGTGGTGTCAATGAGTGCCAAAAACAGGAGACGAGATGGGCAAAAGACGTTACCACTAACGAGTCAGCAACCTGAGGATAGTTTTCAACTAGTCAAGTATGCAAGAAATTATCAGCATATTGCAGATGTATATGCACATGTTTGTTTCTTGTTACTAGTATCAAGTTGCTGTGACGTACGAATGTTGTAGAGTTCCGCACTTCCGAATCTCACACCGCCTGGATTCAGTGTGCCGTCACTAGTATGAATTTTCAAGTTCGTAGATTAGCGGAGGTCTTTCAGAGCGTTGAGCAAAAACACTGCCTGAATGGAGAGCAATGGATATAACTACCTTCTCCCCAACATGGTAATCCCTCCAGTTTCAGAATTGATGAACATGAAATCACCATGATACCAGACGCCTGACAAAACGGAAACGAGAAGCGAGATTATTCGGTTGGTATGATGCGTTCATTTAGTTTCTTTACCTTCAAACTTTGAAAAGTATGCTCCAGTATATTTGGATCCATCCTTATCGTCCCAAAAGTACACGGGCATTACTGGGAATGGTTCAATGCACATCATGTCGCCTACGGAGAAAAAGTCGACTACGTGCATACAGAATGGTCGTCCAATTCTGAAACATACCGGTCTCATCTACAACAGGTTTACCACTCTCATCCCATGCCTCAACCTAAAGAAAAGTCACATTTGTCGTTATGCGGTGATATATACCTGCCTCGTTGTGCTGGTCACCTTCATTCCAAGTCCCCTACACTGGACCTCTCCGCGGTACACAGGTAGCGCAATATTGTGCGCACCAAACAGCGAACAGATATCTGTCCCTCCCGTTATGCTTGCCAACATGGCAGTTGGGCTAATGCATTGATATACATAGTCGAATGATTCGGGTTTGAGCGGTGATCCAGTTGAGTATATCGAATCCAAAGTTTTAAGCGAGTATTTCGAATTGGGGATGATCTTGTTTTCTTGCAGTGTTTGTATGTATTTCGCCGATGTTCCGAATTTCGTTATGCCGAATCGGTCGACGAGGCTAAAGAGTACCTCTGGTGTTGGTTTAAATGGTGAACCATCGAAACACACGACCGTGGCACCTTCAAGAGAGAGGAGATGAGAATAAAACAGCACGAATCTGGTCAGAAACTGGGATTCTTACCCGTTGCTAGACCAGATACCAACCAATTCCACATCATCCAGCCTGTGGTGGTGTAGTAAAAGTAGACATCGTTTCTCGTCATGCCGCCGTGTATTATATGTTCCTTCAGGTGTTGAATTAGTATTCCACCCGCAGAGTGGACTATACATTTGGGTTTGCCGGTTGTTCCGCTTGAGCTATTCGATAAAGACGGCGGTAAGAGGAGACGCAAACACAATTGAATTGTGGTTGCAAGACGAGAGCAAAAGCGTATTTACGCAGCCGTACTATAGAATAACCAGTGGATGATTGAATGGGAGTTGCTCAAACTTGAGCTCTGCAACTTTATCTTGTTTTTGGAGGAAATCATTCCAATTTATGCTACGAGTTGGGGTAACGCCAAGGAAAAGTTAGAGTTTCAGCTTAAATTTTATGAGAACCCAATCAATCTCGTTGTTTTGCTTGGTGTGAACCAATTAGCTCACCAGTTTGGTATGCCGGCCATATCGAACTTGGTATCAGACACAAATGGAATGACAACGACTTTTTGTAAATTTGATAGACCAGCTGCGACCTGTTTGAGTTTCTCCATATGATCCCAGACCTTTCCATTGTAGCAGACAGCATTGACAGACACAAGAAGCTTGGGGTTGACTTGATCAAACCTCTCCAAAACACCCAGCACTCCAAAGTCAGGACTCGCACTAGTCCATATTGCACCAATCTATGTCAACATGATAAAAAGAGTCAGATTTGTGAGCATACTCTCACTGTTTTGTATAGAAATGTGGGTTGAATCTTACCGACGTAGCAGCCAAAAATGCTACAACATTCTCAATGCAATTGCTGCAATAACCGGCAACTACGTCGCCTGCGACAACACCAGCTTTACGCATTGCGCTTGCAGCCATAGTGACTTGATTGTATAGCTCGGCGTATGTTAATTTAGAAACATCACCGTTTTCACCAGTTCCAATCAACGCATCACGGTCGTCCTTGTATCTCAAGAGATTTTGAGCAAAGTTGAGACGTGCGCCAGAAAACCACAGTGGGATCTTGTTCATTGGTATTCCCTTTTGTAGAATCTCTGTTGGTGGCAAGAAAGACACAATCTCCGTGAACTAGGTTGACAATGTTGAAAGTGAGTATTGAGAATGTTGAAAGTGCGACACAATTCCATGATTGTTGTTTTTTTGTCCCCAAAATGTCTTTTGTCAAATGCATGTGCTTTTTCGGTTGACGCACTAACCTCCCAGACAGAGGCCCAAAAGTCTTCTATGGATGTTACAGACCATTTCCACAATTCGTAGTAATTTGCTACGCGTAAGTGCGCCTGTTAGCTTGAGTCAATACAGCAGCAGGTCAAGTGAGACAACATTACCAAGTTTCAAGTCATGCCTGTCATTGACAAACCTGATGAAACGATGTATTGACGTGTTGTCAGATGGTGGTTTCCATAGACACTTTGGGGTAGGTAGCTTTGGCATTCTCTCTTTAGCGTTGAGGTTGTAGTGTTGCAAGGGAAGCAGAGCGTGGAGATTGAAAGTCCGGCCGATCGTTCAGTAGTTTGCTACTATAAAATCACGATAATATCAATAAAAGAGTCAAATAATTTCGCTGGTCCCTTCGTGTCCTCGATTGTGTTTCAGACTTGCGTTCATCCAACACCACATCAAACCAGCATTATTATTACCAAGAGAAACAGACAAGATGTTGTACGGCTATACTCCTCCAGTGCGTCGATTCGGTCGAAATCTCAAGACTCTGGACGATAAAGGCAACACCATCATGGTATGAGTGCATTAGTGAACGAGGCGAATGATAATGACCAATGCCATCTTACAAGCCCCCCTTTGACCTTTAATGATATAGACCAAGGAATACCTAAAGCAATTGTGCAAGGAGCAAAAGCTCTACCAAACTCCAGAGTTAAATGACAAGATATACCTACATTTCAAAGGTAACTTCAACACCACATTGATATTTACATAGAACGACGTGATGAAAGGAATTTTACACCATGTCCCCAGTGGATCAATCAGAAGCACGCTGAATGAATCAACCTGCTGCTTGTTTCTGCACTGATCTGCTCGAGATCCACGTGTACAGTCAATTGGTCATTGAGTCTTCTCTTTTGCATGAAACCTTAACACAATACTACTCGCGCTTAACTCACTTGCTTACAATCATTCTATCTGTAATCGTATACTAGGATTCACAAAGATTGAACATCTGGAAGCATACACTGGACTACGTTCATTATGGCTAGAAGGAAATGGAATTGGAAAGATTGAAAATATAGGTATGATAGTTTGACACCAGTACCCTGAACCAAAGTTTGACCCTCTATTGTTTGCACTTTCCCATTTGACACTAAGTTCATGCTTTCATAGACACGTTGGTCGAGTTACGCTGCTTGTACGTTCCCGATTGCTATGTCGACCATTTTTACCTTCCTTTTGATATCGTAACAAATCCTCGTTCTTGTCGCATTAGATACCTGCAACAAAATTGTATCGAAGAGATTGAGAATCTAGACAAACTCGTTCAACTGGATACGATCAACTTGAGCAACAATCTAGTAAAACATATCTCTGGTCTGGACAACCTACCAGCCTTGAGGACCCTTCAGCTCTCCCATAACTTTATACGCACTGCTGATGATTTGAGACACTTGGCTAACTGTCATTTCATCTCGTAAGTCATTTGTGGATGTTGTTTGTATGAATCTGCTTTTTTTGCGGTAAGTCCTAGTGCTGACTGTTACCAAACAAATGATTAGAATTCTGGACTTGTCCAACAACAAGATTGAAGATCCTGACATTGTAGAGGTGTTTGAAGTTATGGAAAACCTGGTGAGGTCCTTCTCTACAACGAAGCCAAAACGAAAAGATTCTGCACGGGATCACAATAACACCATTTCATATAGGCTGTTCTCAACTTGATGGCAAACCCAGTAACAAGTAAAATCCAAAACTATCGTAAAACACTCATTTCAAGATGTAAAGGTTTGACCTATTTGGATGATCGACCAGTCTTTGACAAGGAACGTTTAGCTACCGAAGCATGGTATGAAGGCACAAATAACCAGCAGAAACGAAGGCAAAACAAGTCTCTTAACTTTTCGAATACTAGGGCTCGCGGTGGTATAGAAGCTGAACGAGAAGAACGTCAAAGACAGCGTGATGAAGATCGTGATCAGAATATGAGAAATTTTGAAGGTACGGAAAAACCCATCTGTTGGATGTATCATTGTAGTCAAACTCACCTCGTTGTGCATTAGCTCTCAGACGATTACAGGAAGAGGCACGAGCCCGGCGTCGTGAAAACGGAGCACTGGTTGAACCCATCTTTTCTCCAGAACTATCTCGCTTCCGTGACGAAATGTTGTCCAAAGTCGACGAACCGCAACACGATGACGATAATAACGAAGAAGAAGAAATGCCACAACCTGATATGGCACCCGCTGCAGAGACCTGGGATCGTCCTCCTCCAATGCTTACGGCCAATACAGGCGCTACATTGCAAGAGATTGATGACGGTGCAGAGGAAGAAAAGGACGATGATCAAGTCCCACTTTTGGAAACCGTGACCGCTCAATCTGAAGTAGACGAGACATCACCATCTGTAGAAGACAAAGGTAAAGCAGCAGCTGTAGATGAAGACACATCAGACGACGAAGTACACAACGACAACGCTATGAAAATATCAGCCATAGACGATATAGGTGACTACAATAACGAAGGCGACGACGAAGGATTCATCCCATCTCCACTAACTGATCCGATCCTGTCTCAAGGATACCAACTCCTACCAGCTCAAAAGGAAGCCGATCGAGATGTAATCCACGAAATTGTAAAACAGTCAGCACATACTCTTGCCGAGGAGGAATCAGACCTATCATCTCCATTGATTAAAACCTCGAGAGACAGCTCGGTACTGGTCGACATGAAAAAAGACGTGAATGATAATTATGTAACTGATGAAATGGATGCCTTTGCATCTTCTAGATCTAGGTCGAATACAGACGAAGAAGATGATGAACAGGTTGATGAAATCCCATTAAAGGCTGTGGCATCAACGTCATCAATGTCAAAACCATATGTACCACCGGTATCAGCCATTCCTGCTACACGAGTATGGGAGCGAGTCTTGTATGACAATGATGATGATTTTCGTCGACGTGAGGACGATGAGTCGTCTGTAGATGAAGAAGCTGAAGTATATCCCGCTAGGGACTCTGCTACGACTTTGATTGGCGACGAGCCTGTAGTGTTTGCTAGTGGTAGTAATAGTAAAATTAGTGCTGTTGGTGAAGACTTGACTGCTCACAAAGTAATCCAGATGGTGGAGGGTGAAGGGGGAATTAACAAAGATAGCAAGATACGTAAAGTTGCTATAGTTGAGGTTGATTCATCTGACGATGAAGAGTGATTCAAAACAGACAGCATTTTTGCCGTGGATTTTGTGTTGTATATATATAAGCTTGTAATAAAACGAAACGCAACAAGTAAACTACCTCGTACATCTCGAGTGTGCAGCTATTCAAATAATATCGAAGCAGGTCATGCTTCACCAGTCAAGGCACCCAGCTTTACATGATGAAGATCAACAGCAGCATCTGCACGTCGATCATACCAATCTCCAGTCTAAAGATTCAAGAAAGTTCCAATGTCAACAACAACCAACAAACCCCGTACAGCATTTGGTAATAATGCCAACAGAGGCTGACCTTGAGAGGCGAATTGATTCGATCCTTTTGACCAAAGTAGGCTCGCAAAGCATGCTCACAAACTTCATTGGCACGTTGAGTTGCCAATTCTGATGCAAATGATGACGTGATTTGCAATAGAAAGTGAATGTCAAGGACGAGATGTTGCACTCCTGTAACAAATACCAAAGAAGAAAAAAAATGAGCATAGGTGGTAACTGAAAACTTAGGATGCATCCTCGTTTACCTGCAAATCCAAATCGTCTTGGTCCTTTATCAGTTTCCCAAAATCGTTCTAACAATCGGTGTTATACAAATCCAAAACAGGATCCACACATTCCAGACTAAATTGCAAACTCACTCTCAGACATTGTAGAAAACACCAAGTCCAGTAACGACACCAGTAAATCATGTCGACTAAGAGGCGATTGAAATGCGTTCGACACGCGGTTCATTTCGTAAATCATCTAAAAAGTCAACTGAGCATCAAAACCATCCAACGAACAAAAAAGTGTAAATCTGTATTAAATGTAATACCTTGACCATACTCTCAGAAGGCAATGCGTCTTCTAGAATACCTCCATTCTAACGCAACCAAATGTGAATGTGTTTTTCTCTTCATGAACAGGTCGTGATTGCACTCACACTTGAAAACAGTTCTGGTTGGGCATAGTCATACTCCGATTCAACCAAACGTAAAGTTATTGAACGAATCACTCGTTCACGTATAACTCGTAATTCATCTAGACAGACACGATAAATATGCGTTAAAGGAGACCACTTCCAGAGACATTTTTCAATTTATACCCCCTTTTTTTACCTCGAAGCTTGGTTTGCATGTCATCCAGTTCCGGTGTTGGCCTTTCGAAACGTTGCTGTTTGCAGCGGGAAGGATTAATTTGGTCCAAAAAGATGAAATTGTTGCAGCATTTTAATCATACCCCAAGCTGCGATGCTACTTTAGGTAGCAATGTTTCCACCACGACCACAGCATTTGTTAATAATGTGATTTTCTAACCGTACAAAGTGAATATTTCATCGAAACAAATTCCGCTTCTTTTCTCCTATCTGATGATGCACTGAAATTCAACCCACCTGATAAATGTTGAGCTTGCTTGCATCGCTCAGCACTTTCAACCCCACAACATATGTCGTAAAGATACCTCCCAGACACCAAATCACTTTGCTATATAACTGGATTCGGAAAAGATATTACTTTTCTAATTTTCCTCTTTTGCTCCTACCAAAACAAACCAAACCAAATAACTAACCTGCATGGAAATAACACCACTGACATCACTAGCAAATTCCGTCAAGAGCAACCAAAACTCAAACAGAGATATGCTGACATTGGCTGTGAGGTCATCTGCAGCAACAAAAAAGTGTTAGGAGCTGCTAGAACCTTGATCAACGACCAAGCTGATATCTTACGTGTATCCATCTCCATGCTTATAACAGCAGGAGACTCACAAGCAACAATCTCAAACTTGTCAGCCTTCATAAATTTGGTGACTCGTTGCTGACAGACTTGGAAGTGCGATTCAATCGCTCGAAGCACACCATTGTGAAAGAGTCGCTCTAGTAAGAATCCTAGATCTAGTCCAACTTCTCGCAGCTGGAGATGATGTTTCACGTTGGGAAGGTTTTTTGTTTCCGTCAACTTCTTGAAGGGGACTCACTTGACGAACTTGCTCCATTGAAGTCTGTACGCATTCCGAAATCACAGTGAAGGGTTGATTGGAATCAAAGACCTGAAGTCTGAATATCTCTACAAAGACCTCAATCTCTGATTTGACCCATTTCATGAATCCTAGATCAATACGTAGAGGTGAGGGAACCTTGAAGCCAAAAAACAATGCTGTAAACTCGAAGGATTACCGGAAGCCATGGCAGGTTCTGAGAACGACGTCCCATACCAATCACATGTATTTCGAATTTGACGAAACATTGTCTCTGCCAGTTCTGTGATGTATCCTGATATTTGTCCATCAAATCTCAGCAACCTAAAGCACGCGAAAAAGACTAAGAACAACGAAACGTGGGAACATGGAGGAATACGACATCGTACCGTATCTTATGTCTAATAGCGGCACTTCTAGCCGATAAGAACCCATCTCGAGCCTGATTGAATCGTTTTAGCAACGAGGTATTCGAGAGAGTCGAAACTATGACATACTACTGACCTCTTCTGAAAGACCTAGACGCTGCAACCACGAAATATCATTTCTCACTTGGGTCTTGGTCAAGAGCGGATTTGCCAAATCTCGACTAATGATTGCTTGTAGTCGAACTGTGCGTTCATCAACTGCATTCCGTGCAGAGAGGACGCGGATCGTATCCACACTGGTTGTGTTCAGTAAAGTTTGGGCTGAAAAGAAGATTGGCAAGAAAGAAATGTGATCGTTCCTTGGGATGCCACATACCATGCTCGATGAGCTTGACGGCTTCTTCGAAATCACGATGAGCAATAGATACATCAAGTTCATCAGGTACTTCAAGGAGCCATTTCAGATCAGCAGGACCAAGTTCTTCACGTATCTGACGTGGAGTTTGAGCTTGGATGGTTGGTGTAAGTGGCTCATTGTAAGCCGGCACAGCGATCTAGATTCAAAATAATTCAGTCCTTGCATTCATCAAACAGAGTAGTTCTTTCTGCCTGATTACATTGCTAGCGCTCTCTAAAGTAGTAAATGTTAGAACAAAGAAGGACTAATTGTCTTGAACTTGTCAAAACTTTAACCAGACGCTCATCTTGCCTTGTTTCTCACGAGTTTTACGCCTAGCATCAATCATATCATCTGTGCCTCGTTTGATACCAGCCATCCAACTTCTCTTGTCATCAGCCGACTCGGCTCGATACATATTGACATCTGGTCGTTTCACGATTTGAAAGGTCTTTGGCGAATCTAGTATTGAAAGTGTCAAACAAATACAGCACCATGTAAAGCATGAAGATGCAAATTCATTACCTGATTCTGATACATCCATGACAGAAATTTCTGCCAAACCCCAGCATCGATCAACAACTAGACGTGTCTTTCCTGTAATCAAATTCTTCTTTTTCGTAGCAACGACTAGTGCGTCATTGAAGAGGAAAAATTGCACCGGGGTTTTCTGCTTGAATGTGCTTGGCTGCACTTCGTAAAAGTTGGATCGAGTACCATCGCGTAGCAATCTTCGACCATTGATTGATGGAAGTGCTTTCTGAATAAATATTGAAGATGAGTGAAAAAGAAAGATCCAACTGTCATAAAGGATGTACGCCTACCTCTAGACCTTCCACATTCTCATACACCTCAGTCAGAAGAGCTTTACGCATTTCAGATAGCTCGTCCACGCTGCCGCCCAACTGATTTGTCGAGTCTGATATCTTGGCCATTGAGGCACCATACTCTGCTCCAACTAGCATGTTTTGATTGAAAAGGTGTGGTAAAGAACCAACCAAAAAAACAAAGCACCGGTATCATCAAGCATGAGCAAACTCTTACCATCTTGAGGCCTCACACTATTATCATTCTCACGATCCTTGAGCGATTCATTCAAATCCTTCAATTCGTTAAGCAGACCACGTAGAATGAGGAGATCAGCTTCCAACTGTGATATTTCCTTTGATATAATGACAAACTCGTTGTAGTTTCGATGAACGTTCCGTTGTAGATCAGCAGCGGCAGAGCCCTTGCCTTCTGCGAGAATGGCATGTAGAGTACGTATTGAGTCTTCAGTTCCACCAGTCAACGAAGATGATACAACTATGGGCAAAATGTGTCAGCAATGTGTGTGATGGTTGATCAGAGATGATGCAAGGGCATTTTTACATTCATTTGGACTGAACGATTCATCAGCAAATCGTTGAATCTCTAGATTGGTGACTTTCTTGACTTGTTCTGCAAGTTGATCTCTTCCTTTAAGAGGCTGCAAAACAGGAGATGTTTGGAGTTGTCAAGTATATAGGTCAGAATAGCTAGATCCAAGAGGAATATGTCAAGCCGCACTTACCGAGTGACGTTTCGATACAGATCCACGTCCATAGTCCTCTGCCATCGTGTTGCTTCGACATACAGCGCTTGTACGAAAGTTGATGATAGATGAAGGAAGAATAGAGAGGTTGGGTCACAAATAACATTGCACAATATAGGAATTTTTAAATTTTAAAGCTGCGACTGCTGCGACGTGAGCCAAGCGTGCGATTCTTTGGCAAATCACGTACACAGAGCATCAACAATGTGACTCGTCCCTTTAGCTCGACTCAAGCCTGAAAGACATACTCTAGATAGATATATTGAGTTTAAGCAGCGAATGACACGTTAATATACGCCAATACATAGCGGCATATTGAGGTGTTTGGCACCGAGTTGTCCTTCCTCGCATTTCAAGCAACGTGTTATTCTGCTCGGAGAGACGGACAGACTGACGATTAGGCAAGAGGAGGCATACAAGATACAAGTAGTACCATATTATTTAATATTCTAGCAGTCAACCGATAATTGGACACTATCCGTATACGCAGAGAGCACAACCAGAGATGGCAACTCCGTTACCCCCAGCTGTCCCAGGGAGGAGAGCTGGACGGCCGACTCCTCGTATAGTCCTGCCTCCCAATTCCGCTGCAGTATCAATCGCGTCCCTCAATGGAATAGACCCTGAAGACTCTCCTTCCGGTCAGGTCGTCTCCAAAATGGACGAATTGACTATCGACAAACTACCAAAGGGAGAGGGCGAATGGGGAAAAGATATCAAGCTGGACGACTTACTCATACTAGATGAACTGGGCGCTGGAAACGGGGGCACGGTAAACAAGGTCTTGCATCGCCCAACAAATACTATTATGGCACGAAAGGTGTGTGTGCTTAATATTGATGTGCTATATCGAGTTGGTGGATTGCTAGATATCAATTGTCATTGATGATGCTATTTTGATTGGATTTCTTTGTCTTGTTTTGACAAAACATCGTCGCATAATGACGTCAACCAAAAACACCACCAAATTCCAACAAACAACTCGCATCACGTTCACAACTAATCCCCTATCTCATCACTAGATCATACACGTCGAAGCCAAGCAATCAGTCAGGAAACAAATATTACGTGAATTGCAAATCATGCACAAATGCAACTCCCCATACATAGTTAAATTCTATGGTGCCTTCCTGAATGAAGGTGATATCTCAATTTGCATGGAGTACATGGACTGTGGCTCCCTAGATCATCTATACAAACACGTCGGGCCAATACCGGAAAATGTTGTTGGAAAAATCACTTATGCCGTCTTGCAAGGATTGGTTTACCTGTATGATACTCATCGAATCATTCATCGAGGTGACGTGTTATTTATTGATTGTTAAACGTGCCAAGCTTGTGTGATGTTGTACTTGGTGTGTACGTGTCACTGACATGCTCTCATAGATGTGAAGCCAAGTAATATTTTGGTTGACAGCACTGGAAACATCAAGATTGCTGATTTCGGTGTCAGTGGACAACTAATCAACTCTGTCGCTCACACTTTTGTTGGCACTTCGGCATACATGTCGGTAAGTGTAGTTTTGATTGAATGCTCAGGTCATACTGACACATGTTGTTTTTCTGCCGCGCATACGTACGCGCTATTTCAGACACGATTAAACTTACCACTTCCTTATCCATACCCAGCCTGAGAGAATACAAGGTGGAAAGTACTCGGTACCGTCAGATATTTGGAGTTTAGGAATCACCATCATGGAGCTGGCTCTTGGCAGATTCCCATTCCCTGCGGACGAAAAGCCTTTGACTGTTTTCGAGTTATTGGAATACATTGTACATGAAGAAGCCCCTACGTTACCAAAAGGAAAGTTTTCAGATGATTTGGAAAAGTTTGTGGCGAAATGGTGAGTGGAAAGAGACTGTGGTTTTCTTCATGCCAAGTCAACCGAAATTGACATTACCTTCGAAAACCAAATCTAGTCTAATAAAAGATCATGGTAAAAGGCCAAGCCCTTCGGATTTGCTGGTATGTCATCCACTCCCCTAACTGTTTTTTTTTTCTCGTCTAACCTGTCCCTTCTTGCTCTCAGAATGATCCATTTGTGTCCAAGGCATCCCAGTCAACTGTCGACCTGAAGGCTTGGGCTGTATCTACACTGAAAGTTTCTTCATAGATTACTGTCTCGACACATCGTCATCCACAGTGTTTAAAGAGTCTTCTACTGCTGGCTGCATCTCAGAAATACTACCAAGTGAACATGGAAGTACTTTTTTTAAACACATGTAGTCACCCTTCGTAAATATTGCATAATTAAAACCCCTTTAATTTTCATGAATGTCTTGCTGTTTATGTTGGTGTTTCTTGAGCATCTTTGTACGCCTTGCCAATGACCTTTTTTCGCTGTATGTTCATCACTCACACATGCAGTGTCTCAATTGAGCTTTGAGATGTCAGCAAACGCGCGACAGAAAACCCAAAGATTTATACGACAACGAGAGCCCCAGAGAGCACCCAAACCGAGAAATCAGAAAGCCGACATGACTTGTCTAAGTCATTGTGCTAACACGTTGGCCCATTCAGATGCATCGCTCTATGTAGCCTCAACGACTGATATTCTCGATTCAGGTGTCTCCAGGGTAGTCATTGCCTTGTTTTGGAGGGTTATTCTTTTAAAATGGATTGATTTCACTTTTGGTGGGGTGCACAAGCTTCAATAGTACCCTTCAAGTCAAGTATCTGATCCCTTACAGAGAACCCTGAAGCACCATGACGTTTCGAAAAGACTTGCAAGGATACGACAAAGTATTCCAAAGCAAAGACTGGGGCATTGAGTTTGTCGACCCTGTGACCTTGAAGGATGAACTCGCTCTTTCAAAGCACACAACCCAGCAGTCGCTATTATTTAACTGTGAGAGAAGGCGGTGGAGTCACGTCATGGTGATTCAGAGTATTCTGTATCTGGGTATGTGTGAATGATTCCAATGATTTCAGAGCAAGGGCAAAATGGGTTTGGAGCAGCATTCAAATTTCTGCGACTGCGAGAGCCCCAGAGACACAATCAAACGGAGTATCAGCAAAATGCTCCACGAGCATCGATGCATCGCTCAATCTGGTATAAAGTGTTTGAGGGCTCTCCAGGACATTCACAGCCTTTCAGTGGCTGGACAGCCTCCACTTACTGATTGAATATCAATGAATTTGCACTCTTTGGCGGATTGTAAGTGACACTGGATATTGATATTTTTGGTCGATTTGAGTAAAAGGAATAGATCGCAAAAAAAAAGGAAATTCAAAGATTCTGGATGACGATGATGAAGAGAGCCCTGAAACATCCAGTGACCCCTGCAAGACTCAAAGCACATTCAAATCTCGGGAGCCGGCGACCTGCCCTCCGTAAACTATATTGCAATCCAAGCTAGATTCCATGGCCAGACCCCAAACAAGTCGGTAAGATGACTCGCTCTACACGACTCTGCCAACACAAATGAAGTACTTATACATACTATCAGTTATGTTGGGAGGTGCTTAAGACACTTGTACCAGAGTAAACGAGTTTTAGGGCATTCATCATCGGGTCAAGAGTAAAATTCGTGTCTCTAAGCGAAGCGAGGCGATCCTAGTAGTAGCAGCACCGTCGCAATGAGGGAGTTGATGATGCAAAACGCCACCAACACAGTATCTTAATACTTCATAATCAGTCAATGACTGCAACAAGTATAAGCTTCCTCGTTTGTCGATGTTATCTCGACTGTGAATGGCGGCGTCCACCCACTTCGGTAAGTTCTATACCGCTTAACCATCAAGATGACGATGTCCAGCATTATAAGCAGCCATAACATAAGAAAAAGGTTTGCTTTGGTCCCAGCTCCGAGCCTAGGCTAATTTATCCAACAGAGCTTTAAAACAATATGTGTGATGTTTGAGTTGTTGATGACTACCCAAATTTCTCGTCCAGACTTCGAACCAAGCAGCATCAGTGCGAGACCTGATTACCTTGATATTGTCTGACCTTGATATTGTACGCAATGTCTTCAAGCTTGATTATTGGTAATGCTGATTCCATTTTGCGAGATTTCAAGGCGAGGAGGCGAGCTGAAATATACTGATTTAACGAGACAAGGCTGTGAATGGGATTCTGTATATGGTTAGGCTTCTTGTAAACGACGAAACAAACATTCAAGCTCTGCTAGATGTTGACATTGTTTACAGCTTCGAGATGAGCTCATCACAAGGAGGAGGAGGCAAGAAGCGACCCCATGATGGTCCCGTTCAAGGCTCTAGCAATAGTGGCAATAGGCCCAACAAGCGAGGTGTGGTCTTTTCTCAAAGTTTTGACTTTTTTAAAGTACAGACATTTCAACTGATTTCTCTTCCCCACACGCATTTTTCTCTAGCAAAGCAAGAGATGCAAGTTCAACCATCAAGCTCAAATCGTAATCAGTCGGGATCAGGTTCGCCACAAGTCAATGTGTCACTCCCATCAACACTACTAAAAATGTTCCTTGGACAATAGCTATGGCAGGAGCTCCTCGCAACATTGATGTCACTGCTTTTGCAGAGGTATATTTACGTCACATTCACCAAAGAACTCCAACAAACCTGCTTCGTGTACCTAAACTCGATCTTTGCAACAGTCTCGAGCCTTTGAGATCCGAACAATGGAGCAAGCTCTCTCAAACGCAACGTATGTTTTGGTTTTACTGTCACTAGCGTCAGCATTACTCGACTTGGGGCTTATAGCTTATATTTATGCTCGTTATTAGAGAATTCACTGGCAAGCAACGTGTGTACCAGACTTTACCTCGTCATATGCGTAGACGAGCAGCTTCACATAACGTCAAGCGGTTGCCAAGACGTGTACAGCAACGTGCAAAAGCTGTGGTAAATAAAATGTTTTCGTTGAAGTAATTTGTGAAGCGGACCAACTAAGGCTCACATCTTCGTATATAGGAAGCGAATGAAGCTCCTCGCAAAGAAAGAAAGCCATCAAAGCGAAGGAAGAAGATCGTCAAATCTCGACAGGACGAATATAAACGTCGTCAAGGTGTGTATAGGAATTTCTTGGCTTTTGTTTTTTTAAGTTTTTCAACATTTATTACAATCTATTAGTGACAAAACGATGGCTTGAAACGCACATTTGGCATGCAAAACGGATGAAGATGATTGAAATATGGGGTTATAGATTGGTAAGTGTGTTGAAAAGAAAATCTTGGCCTTTGTTTGCATCGACTGACGTGAATGTCGGTTTTAAGGCCGAACATCCAAATGACAAGAGTCTGCGTTCAGCTTTCCGGGCAGGAAACACTCAATGTGTTATTCACGACGCGTCGTATACCGGAACCATCGAATTGTCTGGATCATTAACTAATATCAAAGCTTTGCTTTTGCATTTGATTGATCCGTCAACGGTTCCTGTTAGCTCAGCTAGGTATGTAACAAATATTGTGATTCGTTTTTTGTTCTCCCGGTCTTCTTAGTCAAAAGCACTTACTAACAGATATACGAGTGGCATACGCTCTGGAGATTCATTTCTACATCGTGTCGACCAATATCCATTTGGAGCACTCTGCCCAGTCAAATTCTTGTGGAAACCAGACACCAATGCCAATGAGGCGACTTTGAGAACTCTTTGGCTGTTTGTACATCCGTCAGCTTTCAACGATGCTCTGGAGGAAGTCACTATAGCTGTCTCTCATGCTGAAGGTAGGGGAAAAAAGCGTAAATGGTAAAGGATGATATTCTCACTTATCGTTTCACGTAGGCATTGCTGTGAAACGATTGGATACAGAGCTTGTTCGATTCGAGCTCAGTGGGCCTCGTTCTCACGCTATATTGCAACAAGTGTTGAAAATCCCCTTGGACTTGAACCAATCTGCTTCGGTTTTGGTTTGTGATGTTTTGATTGGATAATCAACAATTTACTTTCAAGGGTTGATTCATTCTCTCGTTTAGCTATGGAACGATTTGCTTCATTTGCGTACTCCAGTATCGCTACCACCATCAGTTGTTGTTGGGTTGGCGGTTGATGATCCTAGGCTCAGGTGTGTCCCCTGACTCCGGCTGCTTTTTTTGCTTGTTCTCTCGAATTTCTAATCATCGTCTCTCTTTCTCAGCTTTCCTCCTCGAATGCCTTCTCGCACTGATATGGTACCCCTATCTGCACAAGCCAAGATTGAATCTCATTTGGTGAATTGGCCAAATAATGTCCCCATGTCTGATATTTGGGATGAATCTATACGTCAACGTGTTGGTACGGAGAGAGCGTCAGAAGCAGATTTGAATACCAGAAGATCACAGGTATGAAGCAGATGCCATTTTTGTCCTTTATCTTCGGGTTTTTTGGTGGTGATGAACATACTTGACACAAAACTATAGAACTTGATCCCTGGAACCCGTCTGAAATCAACCGATCAAGATGCTCTAATTCCTATACTTTTGATTCAACGATCGGCTGCCCATCAGACTCAGGAATCTGTAGCTTTGCAATCATCTCGTGGTTTGGCGGATGGTTGGGACGTTATTCTGCCCAAGGAATGGGGTCATGCTTTTTGGAAGTCGTTCATCTTTGCCGGAGCTCGCGCTGGAGGTCAGCACATACTTTTCACACAAAAAAAAAACACCTTTGTTGTTCGATCCAGAATTGACTTCATTGGCCTTAGGTCTCCGCGAACGACACAATGCACATTTTGAATCCGGATTACCTCATTTTCCATACGAGTATCCAGAAACGCACGCTGGACGATCGTATAGTATGGGCATACAGCTAAAGGAACAAGGGAAATGGTCTCGACGACCGCCTGCAAAACGAGTAAATTATAGCAAACTCAAAGTACCATCTCCCTTCCGTGCACCTTTTGAAACACTTGTCAAATCACCTTTCGGAAAGGCGTCATCTCTAAAAAAAAACGCTGTTGTTATAGAGAAGGAAGAAGAACAAGACGTAGCTGAAGCAGTTTTGGAAGAGGTTGATGCTGCTATAATGATGGGTATGGGGATGGAAGTAGATTTAAATGCAGCTCTGAATTCAGATGATGATAATAGTGTGCAGGAAGATGATGAAATGGTTGAAGACGAAGCTTTTGAAGGAGATGACAAACGAGAAGTCACAAACGATGTCGAAGAAATGGTAAAAGATGATGACACTGAGGAACTACCAGTCGAAGAAATATTCGATATCCAAGATGAATCTCCACTTCCATTTTGGATACCATCCAGCAAACCGCTTTTACGTAAAATCCAGACTGCTCTAGCGTCCTCACCAACTCTAGAAGCTCTCGAAACAGAACTGTCGAATGCAATCACTACCTTCCGTACATCTCGTAATTTATCACCAATTCCACCACCATTACGCGTATCTTCCATCCTTCAAACCCCACCATTGTTATTGGATTCGATGCTAGTCCGTGTTCGAATTGATATGATGGGACAGGGTCATCCAGTCGATAATGCTATCTTGTTTATGGCTAGTCAAGAGGATTACACTTTTTGGATGAATGAAGCCAAGAAGCAAGATTGGGAAAAGCAGCTTCTTGGAGGAAGTGGTGGTCGTGTGGTGAGTTCAAACACTCTTTAGATCCATGACATCTTCTGATTTTTCTCGTCTGTGCTTAGGATATGATTCCATCCGATGCAGCCATTGCAGGATACATCATCACCGCTCACTTTTCGCTCTCTCAAGCTAAGGGAATGGGGCTTGGATGTTGTACCATGAAGTCGCTTTGGCAGATCAAACAAGACGTGAAAAAGTAGGAACATGGGGCACTGGTGGCATGAGTGGTTTGAAACTCACTGACAGACCTTTGGCCGCTAGGTATGGACGCCAACACGACAACTTCATACTCGTGAGAAATCCAACTGGACGTGTTTGCCGCCCAGCTACTTTTAGTCTCGTTGCTTGAAGACGATAATAGAAAAGCTTCCTGGTGACTTCATTTGTTCAGGTTAATGGCTTCTTTTTGCGAGCGAAAGCTCATTACAGAACACGATGGTTGACACTATTTAAGCTTGTTCCGTGTTCTCGATTCTCGAACGTGCAAAACGCGTCGCCGTCAGTGTCGAGAGATCGAGAACGTCCTGTTTGGTCGACGCGATATTGCAATCCATTCAAATTATCGTTCCAAGAATGGTCATTCAGTTGGAGCTGCGAGACAAATTAGAGGAGCTGAATCATGCACTCGGGACCCTAACTAGCAGGTTAGCTTTCCTCATCGTCCCTTTGTTCCCTTGTTGTCTTGTAAGCTGAAACGTTTTGAAAACTCTAGCATTTCGTATACAGAGATCTCGCAAGCAGTGCATCGGAGACGAGAATACGCTAAAGAAGAGCACCTATTTGCTCAAGATTTACTTAAATTCATGCAGGAGCAAGTACGTTGAAACTTCGCCATTGTTAAAATCACCAACATTGCAGCCGACCAACGATTCTATTTTTGTCCTTTCTAGCTTGAAGGACTAAATGTGATATTGAAAGAATCGAGGACTATGGACGAAATTGATGCTTCCAGGCATGCTGAATTGAAACGTGCTGTGTCGTCAAGATCACGACAAGTTCAAGAATACGAGCAAGAGGTGGATGTACGTGTGGTTTTTGATCGTCTTAAAACATAACATGTTTCGATGATGAAATTATTGCTGTCTTTGGCATTCGTACGCCGTTACTTCGGTTTTTTTTGGTAATGATCTTTATGTTAGAGTCTTCGTGCACCAGAAATGACAATAAGTGCTAGATTAATACGGCCACCGGTACCAGATAATTCAATATTGACCAGGCTACGTAGCATCTCAGAGCAGTATCTCTCTAGAAGGTATTCAGGACCCTCTGACGACGTGTTCTCACGGCTTACTGATACCACACCTTCAATCTTAGTGAAATTCAATTGATTTTGATTCTGATACTTTATCTCTACGTGGCATTTTGTATATCCAGTGAGTCGTCCTATCGGACGTCAGTGCCAACCTGATGTGGAATGTACCCCTTTGCAACTGTAAAAAGAATCATACCCCAAATGTCCATAGTCTGCATCAGAAGTGTATGTAAATCGTAATAATAATATACATGTGGAATGTAATGAAAGCGGCGGTCCAAAACAAATTGGACCATATATAATGCATCTTAAGCTCCATTAATTTGCTTGACAAGCTTGCTAATATTCGTATCAAAGAGCTCAATACGTATAGGCATTTCGGGATTATAAAAGGGGTTCTTCATGACGAAATCCGAGTATAGCTCATACATTCTCCTTAGAATGAGTTCACAGTTTGGTTGTCCTGGATCAGTAAACAGCAGGAATTTCGTTCCTATTGATTTGCAAGATTTAGCATATAGCAAAACCAGCGGAAGCTGTTCTTTTGTACCAGTAAGGGTTTGGAAGCACGTTGCTTTGAATGTGTCTCCTTCTAGTAATTCGATGCCACTCGAGTTTGGTTGTGGTGATATTTTGGATGCGATAGCGTGGACTCTACATATTAAATATGCAAGAAGCAATTAGATTCCGATTTTTCTTGAGGTTTGGTCATCTTCGAGCGAAAAAAACGAGTTGAAACTTGCCCATGAAAAGTACCAGCCAAGACCAGGTATTCGTTACTAGTCAGTTTTGCAAGACGACCCTCGCCATAATCCTTTTGATAAATCAAGCCTCCAGCCTTGTTTATTATATACAGCGACAGCAACATCTCTACTTTTGATGTTTTGTTGATTGCGAGCTGGGCAGCTTTAGAGGATTCAAAAGTACGTGTGGAACGTGTTTATGGATTTTCATACAGCTATGACGCGCTAATACGCCTCGTTCTATTCTCAATTCGGCTCGCAGTCTTCGGAGATGACTTGGACTCGTAGCATCATCTCAAAACCCCATTTTGCAGCTGGATCTGTGAATGGTGAAAGCGACAAAGCTAACCGAGAGCCTCTCTCTGGCGGTAAGCCTCAGGAAATGGTATTACTCCTGCTGAACACTTCTGCTCTCAGGCGCTTACTTGCTTGTTGTCCATTTCCGGTTTTGTTGTGGTGATTTAAAGTCAGTGGTTATGTCCTTGAAACTAACTATTCCCCTCTTGATTCAGCTTGCAGGAATCTTTGACTTCATACGGATAGACTCTGTACTCTCTCCCTCTTTCCTTCTCTCCCGCAACCAACATTCGCTGATGATGAAGAATGCCCTGAAACTCTGTTGTGCTTTTGTGAGCCTCAAGCACCTCCTAGCACCAGGTAATATTTCTACCATTATGGTGTTGGCAGAGTTGGTGGAGCGAGTCATCTTACCGGCTTGTTTGGGGTCTCGCCGTGCTGTCTAATAAAGATTGCATGCCGGTTTACGGAGGGCAAATTATGCCAGCTCCTGAGATTTGAGAATGTTTGAGTCTCGCATGGGTCAATGGGTGTTTCAGGGCTCTCTTCATCATCAGCTGTATACTTGGGATGTATGTTTTGCTTACACAAATCCACCAATTAAAACGTGGTCAGTCTTCCCCTTTAATCCTCCAAAGATTGTCAACCACCATCAAATAAGATCGAGAATGCCCTGAAGCTCCATGATTTGAGAGGTGATATCTTCTCACCCACCCGACACGTCTGGATCGAAAGAGCATTCGTGTAGCACTGCATGAGCGAGTCATCATCCAGTCTTTAATCGGGTGCCCGAGATCATCGCGAGAACTCTCCCGACATTGGGAGTGAAGAGCTCACGTCTCTGACGTGGATGCTTCAGGGTTCTCTCTGTCGCCATGAGAACTCTTTACCTTTTTCGGGCATTAATTTCAGAATGCCGTGGAACTCCTTGATTGGAATATGACTAACATACTCACCTCGTGCACACACACGGGTTCCACGTCGAACTGCAAGCTGGGTCTGGACGAGCGAGTCATCTTCCAGCCCTACGAAGAAGCGTAAGAGCCTTCACATATTGATGTGTTGCTCTTACGTGATGTCGAGTAGAGAGTTTTGTTTTGACATAAATACTTCAGGGATGGGTGTTAATGGGTCAAAGTGTTCGCTGCAGCGACTTGGACAAGTCATGTCCGCTTTTTTGATATCTCAGGTTGCGTAATCTTGGAGCTCGCTTCAAGCTCACATGTTTTCCCTGGTTTCATGTAGAAGCTTTGCATGTACCTCAGATTCAGAATGCCCTGAAGCACCATGATGAGACTCCTTCATCTCCATCCCCTCGGCCGTGGTGATGTCCACCCGGATAGCCGAGATTTGAGATATGGTGTTTGTATATTGAACGACCGAGTTCATCTTTCGAGGTACTCAGGGCCCACCAACTGCCTCACCTCCAGCTGCGCAAGATCTTGCATTGGGCGTTACCTGGGTACTGAAAGATTGTTCTACTTGGAGTAGTCGTGCTGCTCGACTAGGCAAGGCACTTGACGTACACCGTACCGCAGGTAAATCGTTTGTTCTTGCAAGTCTTACATGGCTCGAGATGTATGATGAGGCTCTTCGAAACGTCATGGTGCTTTAGGGGGGCCCTTTGTAATCGATCAGATACATTTATTCGCTTTTGATGCTACACACCTCACCAAAAACTGAAAGCATTTGCTTTCATCTCGAGCATTTGTCCCGCAAACGTTCGGAGCGAGAATATCTGCCGTCGGCTACAAAGAGCGATGCATTCGAATGGGTCAATGTGTTTAGCTCTAACTACTTGGACAAGTAACGTTTGCTTTTCTGATGTCTCAGTTGAGTCTTCTTCTGGGCTCTCATTGTGTGGTCATCTCTCTTGTATGTCTTCTGGCTATGTCTCGACCTAGTTGAACTGAATCTCGTTCTGACTGTGTAAACACAATCAAATTCTTGTGTTGTTGGTGATGGGATATATTCGCAAAACATGAATTTCTTTACTACACAATAATATAACCGTTTTCAAAGGAACCTTCGATCTCAATATCTATATGTTTTTCTTCCCGTTCATCTTCTTGTGGTTTTTACTTGATGTTTGCAGCAGATTGGGTGTTTTCTGGTTTTTATTTGAGAATGCTTCTTTTTTACGGATTGAAAACGATTCAAGACAAATTGGGGTGTAGCTTAGGATACGGTGTTGTAGTAGTGTGTTTTGTTTCGTTGTTTGTGTGAGGTTTCATGTAATTAGAAAATTGTGAATGTGTAGTACTAAAAAAGATATCACAATTTCCTGATTGGTTTATAAAGCAAATATATGATTTTGGAAAGGAGTAGTAGTAGTTTTAGCATTGGCATGCGCCGGCAGCTGTGGGTGGTGATGCGATATTGACATTGTCTTTGGCTCCCTGCGGTCGTGCATCACTGTTTGAATCAATCAAACGCTTCTTGATATCCCTGTATAGGAGAATGTAAAATTTGCGTTAATGCCCAAAAAAACTTGACTATGAACATTTATGGGACTTGTCCTTTACCTGGCCAGAGAGAAGAATGCTTCTTCGACTCCGATATTGGATTTTGCAGATGTTTCCAGGAATTTGATTTGATATTCATCAGCCAATGTTTGTCCTTGTTCTTTTGAAATGACCTGCACAAAAAAAGAACATCCAGACATCAGAACATGAATTGAATCAAAGGCAAGCAACATTGCTCAATCAATATACCTTCTTCTCTAACATATCGCACTTGTTTCCCACCAAAATCTTGTTCACACCATCACTTGCATGTTGTTCAATGTTTCGGATCCAGTTGCGAATGTCTGATTGGGGAGTGCTAAGATTAGCATAGGTAATAGGTGGGATCTAATCAAGTGTCACTACACTGATCACTCACTGTTGAAGGAACGCTCGTCTGTCACGTCATAGACTAGCAAGATACCCATGGCACCTCGATAGTATGCTAATGACATTGATAGTTGTGAATTGGTACGTCATCTCGTATATCGGGTGACTGAACGCCACCATTCTGATGATAATAGCTCATTTGAGGAGAACCAAACACCGAAAAAACCAACGTATCTATGTTGATTATTACCTGTGGTGATGGTCCTGAAACGTTCTTGGCCAGCGGTATCCCATATCTGAAGTTTGATTCTCTTTCCGTCGAGTTCAATGGTTCTAATCTTAAAGTCGATACCAATGGTTGTGATGAAGGAGGGTGTGAAGGAATCATCAGAGAACCGTAGGAGCAGACAGCTCTTTCCGACACCTGTGTATAGACAGGACAATATAAGTGAATTGCTCTTTCTGTGATATATCTGATAGCATATGAATATGGGGCAAAATGCTAGCTAGTCTATATCGAGACCGCGTGTTGTTTGGAAGGGGAATCTTGTGATGAAGATAAATGGCAATGTGTTTGTGTAGAGTCAAACCAACGAGAGAAGGGGAGGTGGAATAGTAGGATAATAATGGTATAATCAAATCAAGAATAGGCTCTCTTCTTCTATGCAGGATTTCGTACTTCACAACGCACATTTTCCCCACCCAAAACACGATAATCTCAAACAGCCACCACATCAATTGAAATAGGGCACCTACCCGAGTCGCCAATAAGTAATAGTTTGATGAGATAATCATAGCTGGCCGATTTTGAGGTCGTCATGATTGCCTTATAAGATCCTCTGTTTGAATTTCAATACCAGGACTCGAGTTCAAATGGGGACGAAGGTTTCGTATGTAGGAAATGCGTTGAAACTTTTTAAAGGAAGCCAGAAGGAGGTCTGATCTATATTGATTCATGAGTCTTACGAGTCTGGATTATTCTGAATGTAGTAGCTTCGTGTTTGATTCCATTCGTGACAAATATGTGATGACGACGTGATTTTCTATCTTTTGAGGGCTTAGTATCGAGTAGATCACTGTATAAACACTATTTACGAGCGCGATTGATTACACTATGAGACGCGACATTGTCCTTCTCCCAACGTGTATCTCAGTTTTTGTCCTTCGCTTTCACCAGCACAACTTGACCCACATTGCAGAGGCCGGTAAGACCGTTCATTGATAGCCCGTCATGACCGCAGCATTGCTACATCTCGAGGTATGCTCTCTGCTCTTTCGAACTCATAGTTAGCATTCAACAAACTGACACACAAACTGCACCATTCCTTTTGACAGGATTATCTGGACAGTATGTCGTTATGTCAATTTACTGCTTCCATGAACCAAAGCTGACTTTCTATTCACCAGCAATCGAGTCGCTGCCATTGGAACTCAGTAGGAACTTTACTCTGCTACGAGAACTCGATGCCATGGCTCAGGGTATCTTAGCACACACTATGATCAAACAGCCACTCATTCTAAGTAACCGCATCTGTATACATTAGACAACACTGGCAAAGTCGAAAAGGAAATCAAGGACTTTCTCGCAAACCTCCATACCCTCTCTGTCGACCAACGAGAGAATGCTCTGGCCCGAATCGCCGTCTCTTTCAAAGAATCCCTCAAACATGGCGAAGAGAAGGTCGCTCTCGCTGTACAAACTTATGATATGGTGGATCGGCACATTCGTCGTCTCGATGAAGACTTGAGCAAGTTTGAAGAAGAACAAATGACTGGTCCTAAACTTATGGTTGAACGAAAGGATTCTGATCCACAGAGGACTATAGGTATTATAATATTGTGCTCTGTATCTATAAGGCGTCTGAAATTTGTGTTCTCTTATAGTGGATCCAGGTCAAGCAGTAACCCCAGCAAAGAGTACGTATTATGTAGCTCTCCGAATCCTTTTTTTTTGTTCACCTTGCTCGAAATCATCGATTCTAGAGAGGAGATTGAATGTCAAGGAACCGGAAGGTATGCCCGCTTGCTCTCCTTTGAAAAAAGAGCGTCTCTCAACAGCTGATCAGATTATCATGTAGTGGTCATACCTCCTCCACAACCAAAACCCAAAATGAATCGCGCCACTGAGAAACCAGTCAGGGAAGCTGTAAAGAAGGCGTAAGTCCCGAAATTCGATCAATGAGGAAAAGTAAGCAGATTCATAATTGCATCTCAATCAACTTAGTGCTGAAGTCAAGAGTGCAGCAGCTTCTTCCGGCCAAGGATTGGCTCCATTGGATTTACCTATTGATCCTAATGAACCATTATATTGTGTCTGTAATCAAGTCTCGTATGGAAACATGATTGGTATGTGCTGCCTTCGACAATGCGTTTGCTATAGCTTCTCATCTTTCTTTCCCCTCATAGCGGTATGAAATTTTCTGTTTGGCGATGTTGAGACATTCTGCATACGATACTGACTGAACCTCTAATTCTCTGAATGCATTCAAAGTGTGATAATGATGATGTACGTTTTCTACCTGTCGACACGTTATGATGCATTTGGTATCCTTTGTGCTTACAACTCTTCTCAAATGTAGTGCCAAATCGAGTGGTTTCATTTGGGTTGTGTGGGTCTATCTGCAACGCCAAAGGGGAAGTGGTATTGTCCAGCTGTAAGAACTCTGTGATTTTGACGACTTGTCAAGCAGCTATTGATTTATCGATTTCATCTAGTGCACAGCACAGCTTAAACGCTAGTCGTCAATACTATAAATTTGCCATTATTTGATTGTACATTTCTTGCTTTTACATGGAACTTTTGCTCAATACGATCGCGTGTCGGTGCAAAGATGTTGTGGGTGCTCAGCATTAGAGCGACGCGGTATAAACTCTGATCGTGTGACAAATGACGATAGATGTCTTTTCTTGCCCTTTCCGGTCGTTATGTTTGTTTCTTTCCCTTCGTCCTTTGGTCTTCAACATTCCTCGGACAAGCAACCTAATCACTTCGCCGTACAATCGTAATAGCTAGAAAGTAGTCGCAGACATCCTGTAAAGCGCTCTTCATTGCAATCAACTCTTGAAAATATGGTTCTCACGGTAAGCTTCGCCCCGCATTATCAAAGCAATTGACAGTTGCAAGTGGTTCAGTAAAATTAGCTGTCCAAGTAGCATAAGGAGTGATCAAAGAACACTATATCATTGATACTGACTTTTAACCTCACCTTCGTTTTAGGACTTTTACAATCACGATGCCGGGAGCTGGGCTAGCAACGTACATCTTATGGGATCTTTTGACGATTGGACTAAAGTATAAATCGTGTTAAAAGAGCACCAAACGATTGATGCTGACATGTAAACTCATTTAGGGAGTTGCTGCGACCAAGAAAGGTGGTAGCTTTATGGCGAGTGTCGACTGCAAACCTGGGACTGAAGTTACTTTCAGATGGGTCGTTGATGGCCAGTGGTTGGTACGTCCCTGGATTTTCTGATATATTTGCAATGTACTGGATGTTATTTACTAGATTATACAAACTCCGAAGCTGATTGGCAGCTTGGTCACCTCAGAGCCTTGATTTTATAATCCCAACACTAACGTTCATTTACAACCCATATAGAACTCTAGCAACTACCCAGCTCGTCCGGATGGCTATAATTGGAACATGTATAGAACTATAGAGCCAGAGACTGTGGATTTACCACCTCTCACTGGTCCAATCGTTGCTTCTACCCTTTTGGCTTCTTCCATTGCACCAGCCTCCACAACTTCGGTACGGTTCAAGTCTATAGGCGTAATTATGCATCATTACGAACGCTTTACATTTGTTTATAGGCTACGACAGTTTCAACTACTCCTGTTGGTTCTCCACTAGCCTCCAAATCTACAGTATGTGAACTTGAAGATTGAGATAATTAAGTAGACTGCTGCGGATGATGAATGTCATAATGGTTACGAGGGTGTCCGACATCTGTTTACTCACAAATATCTACTTTTTTCTAGACAGCGGCTAGTCAATCAGAACCCACGGCATTGCCACCACTCACCGCTCCAATCGTCGCTTCTACCAACTTGGCTTCTTCCATTGCACCAGCTGCCAAACCTTTGGTAAGTTTCAAGCTTATGTGTGTGATTGTGGATGATGATCAACGCTTTATTTTGTACACAGGCAACCACAGTTTCAACTACCAAGTTTGGTTCTGCTGGTTCGACTGCTGCACCTGCAACATCTACAGTACGTCTGATGATGCATCATTGTTCTCAATGTTGTTTTACTGACATGTTTCCACTTTGTAGGCCACGAAAAGCGAACCAGAAGCCGTTGTATTGCCACCCCTTACAGCTCCAATTGTTGCTTCTACCAATTTGGCTTCTTCCATTACACCACCTGCCAAAACTATGGTATGCGTGGCGATCAGATTGTTGTCGCGGCCACCACCGCCGCCGCGCAAACAGCGAGCATCTTATATCTAACACAGTTCTGTCCCGTATAGGTTACAGCACCTTCAACCGCCTCCGTTGGATCTGCTGCCTCTACTGCCAAAGTCCCCACCTCATCCTCGTCATCCTCATCGTTGCCTCATCATCAATCTGGTGTTGAAGCGACATTAGAAAAGGCCAAGGAAGTAGTACACGAGATTTCTGATAAGATCCATCCAAAGAAAAAGGAAGGTGATAAGGCTGCCAAGAAGAGCGGAGGTGGAGGACTTTTCAAGAAAATGTCTACTATCTTCCACAAGGACAAGAAAACAACAACAGATGCCAGCACCGAGAAGAAGTAATACAAGAAACAAACCGCAGTGTGTATTAGCAACAAGGGGATTAGTCGTTAGATTTGGGATTTTTTTCTGTAAAAAAACTGTCGCAAAATGTGCACATTTGTCTTTAAAGCTTAAAATAAAAGAAAGAGGTGATCTCGTAGCAAATTGCTGGTCCAGTGGCTTTCAACGCTAATTGTGAGAACGGAAGTTCCATCTCGCAGCCTCTCTGACGTGAATTTCGCGTTCGGTCATCGTTACAAATTTAAGACGCGGCGTTACACACCGTCGTTCCCCCTCCTCGTTTTGCTGGTTGTTATCTCGGAAGCCGTGAAAGTGGTTGCTTCTGGGACTTTTTGTAAAAACACCATTTTCAACGTGTTGAAGATGGCATGTACCCATGCAAACAGTGATTCGATTCGACTGGAAGCGCTGCAAGATCACTTCAAGGCAGTCGGCTCCAACGACCATTTCAAATGCTCCTTTTCGTTATGTTTGTCCAAAGAAGGTGTTCTTGTTTGTTTGACCTGTGGTGTATTGGCTTGCAGCAGGTATGAAATTACTCTGTCTTAAATTGGAAAAGAATTCAATTATGATTGATTTGCTTCATCGGTCTCTTTGTTTCACATTCATATTGTAATCAAAATTCGAAAAATCCACCCCGGTCAAAATTACTTTACATATGTGTTGATGTTAGGGCTGTGAAAGGACACGCTCTGGCTCATTTTGAAGAGACTGGACATCCTCTTGTATTTGATATTGAACAGAAAATGTCTTATTGGTAATTAAATTTGCACGTCCAATTTTCGGTATGAAGTCGATGATTTGTCGTTGACCTTACACCTCGCTTTTTAGTTACAAGTGTGACGAGTTTGCTTATATTGGAGATAAAGAGCAAGAAATTGATGTCATACGTCAGAAATTGACGGGAGAGCCTACTTCTGATGGTGCAACGCCTGCAGCGTAATTATCTTCTTTGCGTCATTCCAACAGTGAGGTCGATTGCACCTCTGACGCACTAACATCATATACATTTAGAGATGCAGCATCATCATCACAAGGGAAACCAAAAAGTAAAAGGAAACGAGCAACCCAAAAATATCATCACGTCACAGGTCTCTCAAATCTCGGCAACACATGTTTCATGAATGTAGTCCTACAATCTCTCTTCCATACCGTCCTATTCCGCAGATACTGTATAGACGCACCACCATGGCCACTCTCACCCGAAACTCCGATAATAACAACTCAGCCATTGCCACCAACATCACACACGTCGCCATCACCAACACGAACCACACGATCATCAGTCGCATCGAAACGAGAACAATCCATCATGAATGAATTCTGTGACTTGATTCGAGATATGTGGGGAACACAATCTCATGCATTGAGTCCAGACGCATTCTTGAGTGCTATATGGAAGAGTGTGCCAATGTTTAGAGGGTATCAACAACAGGATGCACAAGAGTTTATTCGGTACCTGCTTGATCGTATCAATACGGATTTGTCGAGGAAGAATAAGAGGACGATTATCAATCGGGTCTTTCAGGGGACATTGTTCAATGAGGTAGCCATCGTTGACTCTACCATCCATCACATGTCCTATGGCTTTTTTTTGCTCATCAACTTGTATCATAGGTCCGATGTCTTAAATGTGGTCAAGTGTCAACGAAAGAAGATCCATTCCTGGACTTGTCGTTGCCAATCCCTGAACGATTTGTGGAACGGAAGAACAAGGTTGAGCAACGAGTAAGTCCATGTCAGCTAAAAAAACCGCCATCTTTATCATTATATCTAACGTTGTGTCCTAGGCCGATCCATGTACACTAGATGGTAGGATTGCGATGTGATTGATGTTTTCGATTGCCACTGCTAAACAGCTTTTACACAGATTGTCTACGAGCCTTTACGGATATCGAAGAGTTGACGGAATCAGAAAAGTATATGTGCCCTCATTGCAAGACATTGGAAAGAGCAGAAAAGAAACTTAGTGTGCTTGGATTGCCACCTGTAAGTTCGATGACTTTTGAATTGATGTCACTCGCAAAAAAACCAACGTCATTTAAAAACACCCTTAGGTATTATGTCTTCACTTGAAACGGTTCAAATTCACTCGCCACATCCGCTGTAAAATCGATACATATGTACGATTTCCCATCACCGACTTCAATATCGCACCATATACACGAAATGGAGTATTGGGTGATGCTAAGCCAGTATGGTATGACTTGTATGCAGTAATCGTCCATCATGGGTCATCTGGATCTGGTCATTTCCTTGCCTTCACTTGGTCGCCTGAAAATTCCTCATGGTTCCAAATGAACGATGGATCAGCAAAGGCAACCTCACCAGAGGATGTGGCCCAACAACAGGCCTATATGCTGTTTTATAGTCGAAGAAATCATCAAGAAGTACTTGAAACTCCAGAAGAGATCAACCCAACCTCATCAACAACCACACCTTCACGCATAAACGGTCGTATCAATAGCAGCAGCAGTAGTAGTAGTCCGAAAGCAGGGAGATACAACGGAAAGGATGTAATCGAAATAGATATGGACCCCTCACGACAACCATCACCAAGCAACGGGATATCTGCTATGGATGGAGTATCAACCATGAATGGATCATCACCAATCAGCCCAAGTCGAGAACTTCGCATCCGTACTGGAGTCGCAGCACCAGCTCCTAGTGGAGTCTTGGGTGCGCCTATTCCAATAGACTCGGATGATGAAGAGCAATCAACATCAACTCGTCAAAGACGCAAAGTCATTCGCCGTGCATAAATCGTAACTTATTGTATCAAGGCACGACATAGCATAAAGGAAAGTGTTTGAAAACACAACGTAGTCTGCTCGCAACGCGTTTCTTGTGTCTCGCGAGCAAGTTCGTCCTGTTTTGATCTGGTTGAAGTATAGCCGTCCACCAAGACACATCAAACAATGGCAGACGACGGCGCATTGAAGCGTTCTCGATGGGCTCTTGATGGCGATGATGAGGACGACACGAAAGAATCCACCGTCAAGAAGCGTAGCAAAAAGACCAAAAAACAGGACAAGGGAAAACAACATCAAGAACTACGACAACGAGTAGAGTCTCCTGCAACTCCAATAATACCTATAGAGCATCCTATAAATTCTCGAACTAACGATACCTCTACTGTACAAGATGAAACAGCTCAACCGACATTGCAGACGGAAGCTACATCTGGTGAACAAGATACCGTAACTGATTACGACGAATTACAGGACTTTGAACCACCACTCAAATGGATGAGAGTGCATATTGATATGGGAAATGATGATGCTGATACTTCGCAGCAGCCTCAGCAAGGATCTGACGATGCTGGTGAAGATGCAAGTATAATGGTCGTGGACACTAATAACGCCAGTAAAACAGGAGCACTCGCAGACTCGCCGATATACCAACCTGCTCCCATCCCAGACGAATTCCCTGAATCTCCCGACTCACCACTCGACGACTCAGAAGATGTCTTGCCTGGAGCTCCTGATCGTACACCACCTCCAACCTTACTACCACACCATCACGCTCCAACCACTATAACAAAGACACCTGCTGGACCACTTATCGCGGGATGTCGATCGGTAGATGCGTATGAGAAACTGAATCGGATTGAGGAGGGTGCGTATGGTGTTGTGTATAGAGCTAGGGATAAAGTGAGTGGAGAAATTGTTGCGCTCAAGAAGCTGAAGCTTGATAAAGAAAAAATGGGGTTTCCGGTTACGTCGTTGCGTGAGATTCATACCTTGTTGTTGTCGAAACATGTTAATATTGTGGATGTGAAGGAGATTGTGGTGTCGAATAATTTGCAAAAGTGAGTCCTGTAATGGCATCCATAGCCTTCTGTTAATATTTTTTTCCTTGCTCAATTTCTCACTTCTGATTTCTATTTTCGCCAACCTAGCATATTCATCGTAATGGAATTCGTCGAACATGATCTCAAAGCTCTAATGGAATCCATGCGAGAACCATTCCTACAATCTGAAATAAAGACTCTCATGCAACAAATCCTGTCTGCTGCTGCATGCCTACACTCGAACTGGATTATTCATCGAGATTTGAAAACTTCGAACTTGCTCATGAATAATCGAGGAATGATTAAAGTCGCTGATTTTGGACTTGCCAGGCGGTTTGGTGAGCCTTTAGGGAATATGACTCAGTTGGTTGTTACCTTGTGGTATAGGTAGGTCTTCGAGTCACTTTTTTTTGGTGCGATACCTGATTTATTGTTATGAACTAGGGCTCCAGAGTTGCTCTTAGGAGCCAAAGAATACACAACTGCTATAGATATGTGGTCGATTGGTTGTATATTTGGTGAGATTGTGAATAAGGAACCATTGTTGCCTGGACGTGGTGATATGGATCAGTTGACCAAGGTAAAGTTTTGGGTGAGCAAAACACCTTTGCTTACCACAGTGCATGACTTATTCAGCCTCTTCCAATTCTAACGTTAGATATTCAAACTACTTGGAACACCCACTGAAGAGCTATGGCCTGGTTTGAAAGAGTTACCAGTCACCAAAACGATCGTATTGCCATCGTATCCGTAAGTAATTACTAGGTTATACATGCTCATCTGCCCTCTCTGTCTTTTGCTCATTGTCTCTGGTTCTTAGATATGCTCAACTACGGTCTCGCTTTCCTTATTTGACTGAGAATGGACTGGATCTCATGTCCGGACTGTTGGTTTATGACCCATCAAAGAGGCTTACAGCTGAGCAAGCATTGAAGCATCCGTTCTTTTCGTGCGTAATTTGTCGTGACGTTTATTCATTTTGTGGTCTCAGAATACTCAGTTTTTTTAATCGTCCTCTTTATAGTGAACATCCACCACCAAAACCAACTGAACTATTTCCAACCTTCCCATCCAAGGGTCTTGGTGAGAAAAAGAGACGGGTCGCATCACCTTCGGCTCCTGTAGCTGGTCATGGGCTAGTAGAAGACGCAGATGAAGCTGAATTGAAGGCCCAATTAGGAGTCAGCAACACTTTCAAGAGCACTGGATTTAGACTTAATTTTAAAAAGTGAAAAGAACACGTGTATAATTTCTAGCATGCCGAGTGTAAATACAAAAGCTTTATAATCTTACAGTTTACAATCTATCGTGTTGTTATGAGGAGGATTTGGGAGGAAGAGGACGTTTCTCAAGTATTTTGTCCACAAGACCGAATTTGACTGCCTATATTGCAGTAAAGTTATGAATACATTAGAAGTAAAAAGATAGTAGAATCTGACTTCCTACAGTTACCTTCTCAGGAGTCATAAAATAGTCACGGTCTACAGCTTTCTCTACGGGTCGAAGTATATGCGTTGTTAGATGTCTACGACAACCGAGTTCTTTTGCCATACTTACCAACACTTTCTAAAGACTGTCCTGTGTGCTTGACATACAACTTGTTCAGTCGCTCTCGTGTATCTAGGATTTCTTGAGCATGTATTGCTATGTCGGCGGCTTGGCCTGCAGCGCCACCTTTTAAGCAAAAGTTGTGTTAGTTCCTCCCGGCCCTCCACGAGATCATCTTTCGTTCCAGTTTAGACTGTTCTTACCAGACGGTTGATGAATCATCAGTCGCGAGTTTCCCAAACATGCCCTTTGCCCCGGCTCGCCTCCAGTTAACAGGAGCGATCCCATTGAGCATGCTTGACCAATGCAAACCGTATGCACAGGGGATGAAATATACTGCATCTGTTTGTGTGTGGTGAATTGTCAGAAAGGGTGATCGCTGATTTCGTCTTTAAGGATTCATGAGGTGCGATTGTAATTGATACTTGCTGTATCATATATAGCCTAACAGTAGGGGAAAAAAGAAAATCTCTGAGCTGTCTGTAGTAAGATGTACAACCGCCGCCGTATCGTCTTCATCAGCATCATCGCATACCATGCCAGCAGTGACACTTCCTCCAGGTGAATTGATGTAAAAATGAATGGGCTTTTCAGAATTCTCTGCTTCAAGAAACAAGAATTGAGCAGTCACCACTGCAGAGACAGCGTCATTGACTTCTCCAGTTAACATGACGATGCGTTCTTTTAATAGCCGTGAAAAGATATCAAAGACCCGTTCTCCCCTTGGCTACGAGTTTAAATTGTGTGAGCCTTTCTGTGAGTGTGCCAGATGTTGATGTTGGCGAGATTTCTTACAGATGACTCGATCACATAAGGGATGCCTAAGGCTACTGGCTCCAAGACACGTTTAGATGTAGTATAGAGCAAATTTGGGACCTGCACAACGAAGTGAGTTGATGAGATTTACAATATTGCGATTGTGCAAATCGAGGCTGATGAGCTGATTATGAGAGCTTACGATGTTCGCACTAATGGATCTAGATGGCAATGCGGATGTCTGCCTACGGACCGATGCGAGAGCTCTATTCATCATGGTGGGATTCTGCCTCTGCGGTTTATTGCAAAAAATTGAAGTGAAGAATAGAATATAAACGGTCTATCTTACGGAGTTTGGCTGTATTCTGAATTCATTTAGAGCATGTCGTACAATTTGATATTTCAGATTTGATTCAAAACTTTACAGTGCGTTACATACCTGTTGGAGCAAGCGTGAGACCGCGCCTCCTACGACCACCCGTCCCCTAATCTCACTCCGAAACTGGTCAGGCTTATCTAGGTATCGTGGTATCGTGCCGTGGATCTCTCGAGCCTGCCGCTTGTGTGTGTATACTTTCAGGTGATTTCGACTCAAATATTGGTATGGGATTATTTCGACGCGGCTAACACAATAAGGAAAGAGATGGCGCACGTGATTCGACGCGGGCAGATGGTGTGCCCTTCTAGCTAACATTGTTGAATTTTATTTTCTTGAATATGTTCTATCAAAAACAAAAGAAAGCACTATCTTTATTATCTTACACGTGGGACGGTTTGCTTATCCGTCAAATACTAATCATTCATGGATCTCCTATATCTCTCTCCTGTTTATATTAAGGCTTTCTGCCTCTTTAATTGCAACGTCATGTTGTCTCTTCTATGCAATAGACAATGCCTTCTGAGCAAAATACCGCACATCTCCATCCGAGTCCTCTGCCAATTTACGTAAGCTAGCGTGGATCTGTTCACCACAAGCAGCCATGAGTCCTGCGTCCTTCTTTACAAGTGGCAACAAGACCTCGAATGATTTGGCAACATTGAAGCGAATGTTGGGGATGGGATCACTGGCCAAAGTAGATACAGTGGGAATAATAGATTCACGTAATACTTCAGGAGTGACTGCTCCAGACAAAGTCTGTTCAAGAGAAGGGAGTGAATTTCGGTTACATCAAGAAAAAGAAAAAACGCATCAACCGAGACATACCGTTAACGCAAAGATCGTCGTCATTCTGTACAAGTAGTTGGCGTGTTGTGCCATAGCCAAAACCTTCGGAATGATGGTAGCCTTGGCCCATTCAACTCCAAAGACTTCAGTTAATTTTCGAAGATTGGTGGTGGCGGCTTCACGAATGGAAAAGACACAATCGCCCAACCATGACATGCAGAGATTGCCCAGTTTTTCATCAAAGAATGCAACACCCTATAAATCACAAGAATTAATACGCAAGACCACCTCCCAAGGAATATTGACTTGGGTCTGGCCACTTACCAATTGACTGGCAAGGAGAGGAGTGTTTTCGATGATGGCCAATCGTACACGCCATTGCTTGTCTTCAGCCAATTCGACAATAGCCGGTAACAAGGATTGGGATAGGAGTTCAATGCCGATAACTATTATAGATTCAACATGAGATTTTCTGGCAGAAGTCAGCATCGCAACATCCAGCAATTTACCTTCATTGACACGGTCCAACTTGGAAATAATATTTAATCGCACTTCAGAAGCTTCGTCTTTAAGAAGTTGCAAGAATAATGGCAGGAGGTGTTCGATGGTGCTACATAGAACGAATCAGTTATTGTTCTTTCGGATCGGCTGTAAGCGTCCTTTTGCTGGCGTACTTGTCTTTGCCAAGAAGGGGAGCCAGTCCACTGATTTGGGTGGCCAACGAACCACGGACATGTTGAGAAGCATCGGTTACAAGATCTTTAACACATGGCATAACTTCCTTCAAGATTGACTCCAAATCAATCATTGCACAGAATCCTAGCGAAAAAAATGGGAATTACGAAAGTTAAAACCAAAACAAGCGAACTGTTGCTGCTCCAAAATTACCTGGAACTTGCGTCGCGGCGGCTGTTCTGACTTCAGCTTCATTATCCTTGAGCAAGTGAACATAGGCACCAATTAATTCTTCACGAACAATGTCCATGCCAACGGCTTTGCTCAACTATTTGAATGAAAGAGATATTCTAGCATTTCATCCCGTTAAAGAGCAACGCCGAAAACATCAATTACCGGGACAAGCTTGTCAGCAACCATGTAACGAACTCTCCACGACTTGTCTGATGACAGATTTCGTAGAGTTTGTAAAAGATGGGTCTTGCTCTCTTCGTGTGTAAACACTTCAGCAATAGCAATCAATGCTTCCACTGTCAATAGTCGGACAGAGTCCTAACAGTGACAAATGTCTCATTATCCAATACTTAGCAGATTTTTTTTTGCGAGTATGACGAACCTGTTCGTCTTGAGCTAAAGTATTGAAGAGAGGCAACATCTCACTCATTACATGCTCCTTTGATACTTTTTTGGTAAGTTTCTACATAACCGGAGATGTCAGTTTCGGGTAATGATGATCTCTCCTGTGTTGATTTACATACTGCGAGATGGGTAGCAGCAGCACGTCGGACCATTGGGGTATCGTCATGTCCCAATTGCGCAAATAATCTAAGAAGACAGACGACAAAAATCAGGAAACAGTCCATTATAATTTCAGGAACCTCAACTGATTACCTTCGTAATTCATCTTGACTTGCATGACTAGCCAATGGATAGACTGGAGCATACAATCCACATGCACTGGTACGACTCGTAAACCAGTCACCAACAGTCAATCGTTTCAGCATGGGGAGGTAGTGTTCTTCGACTTGTGCTTGACTCAACACGACAACAATTTTGCCAATGGAATCGACAGCCTTGCAGATTTAAAAAAGGTTGAGATCAAGGCACACAGTATCAGTACCGAATATGTGATTTTACCTTGTCTCTGACAACAGTTTCTTCTACAGCAGCCAGAGTTTCCAATGGGGTCAAGAGCATATGGCCAAATGGCGGTCCCCCAACATAGTCAACAAAGCTGCCTAGTTCTTCAGCTAGAGCTTGTAGTACTTCATCTTCATCATCAATAGATTCTATGAATAAATATAAAATTATAGAGATTAGTACTCTTTATTCAATTGATACAGTCGCGCTCCGAGAACCATTCTTCTCCCACAATTGATGTTTGTTTCGTGCTTTCTCGATTATGACGATGGATTTCATAGGAAGAGCAAAATTAATGTAGATAACAAATATTTTACATACCATCCAAGAAGGGAATCAGTTCATCACGAGTTCTGTCTGGTCCCAATGCCAATGCGATGGTCGATAATCGTCGAATGGCATTCAACCTCAATGCAACATCATCATGCTTGAGTTCGTCAATCAAGACTGCGATTGGATATAGGCTATCATCATTGTTACCGTCCGTCTCCATCATTTATATAATATTACTATGTCCTGCTCGAGTAAATTTATGCTTTCCGTGGGTTCAATGACAAGAGTACAAATGTGAACAAATAGAGAATGAACACCACATTTCTGGACCTTCACACGGCAAGATCGCACTATTACGTGTAATGTATATTGAAATAATGCATGAACGAATATCTATACAAGTCCACTTTGGCTCCCGAGATTCCTTTGCTTGCTCCTCGCCCAAGGCTTCACTACTGCTTCCTGCTGTTCTTGACCTGGACCTAAAGATCCACGACCTTCCGATGCTTGACGAGATGCGGTACTCTCTGTTTGACGCGTCGACAACGCTGGATTGCTCCTGTTCAAAGCATCATCAACCTCACTTGTTGACGGTTGAGGGAGTTTGCCCTCCCAAATACTTAATTCCCGCTGACCATCTCGCATCTTCTTGATCTCGTCCGGTCTGAGAGGTGCAGCACACTGATAAATCATAACAGTTGTTGGTTAGCATTTGTGACTGAATGCAATCGTCTGAAGGCATCTTTCTTTACCATTGGGCAAGATCCCGTTTGAGAGATCAGTGTTGATAGACGTGAATAGAGTCCAGGAAATCGACACTTGGGACATAGCGACCACTCATGAACAAGCATGTGTTGACCCTGCATGAATTGTGACAGTTTTCGACGTTAGCCATCAAGAGGCCAGCGACAAAACCGACACATTGAAAGACTTACCGTTGCAATACAATATGGCAGCGTATTCTTGCACTCTGGACAATCCAGAGACGTTTCTGGCACTGTCGTCGAACAGAACGGACAGCGTGTACATGGCTCGTCGACTTCTTCTGTCTCTGGACGCCTGCACAAAAACACGTTACAACCATAAGCAGGCGCTTAACACCAATAAAGACCAACCGACATGCCTGACAATCCCTTCAATCTTCTTCTTGTGCTTGTCTTCAATCTTGTCCCGATTTTCAGGCCTCATTAGAATAGCAGCGTGTTCAAATGCAGACTTTTTCATCCCTGACCGGTAACATTCAATGACTGTAGACACCAGAATGGGTATAGCGTGTTCAGGGAATAGCGATATATGAGAAGCGACTCGTATTAGGAGTCTAGCAGCAGCAGAATGGTCTTCAGACTTGACCAAAATCTAAGGCAGAAAAGCTCACATTAAATACTAATATGTAGTTTCACTGCTCATGCAAGAAACAAACCTTGACCAATAGATAACTGTGAAGTAACATCAACATTCGATCCAACTCGGCAGGAGCTTTGACGGATTTGGATCTTAAAATAAGGTGATATCCCAACAGCATGTCATGAGCAGCTCGATAGTTTCCTGTAAATCAAACTGTTAACTCATTGTTGTCATGGGATGTTTTTGCACAATAAACCTCACCTCGCTCTTGTTCTCGCTTAGCAATAATAACGGCACTACGACCGGCTTCACGATATTGACCCAGCGACGTGTAGAGTTGGAATACGTACTTGGCATCCTGCAAGAGAGTGAATACTGGTTCGTCAACGCGAAAAAAATGCCCCGCTGGGATGGGTTACCATACCTTCGGCAGTCCATCACGTTCACCCATCAAGTAATCCACCAACTGAAGTGTCAAAGCATCATTCTTGGCCAGTCCAACACACTCAATGGCTGCATCAATAGCTTCATTTGCAGGAGTGGGAGGAGCTTGCAAGAAACAATGCAATGCACGTGGGTATTGCGCTGCGCGCATAAGATATCGACCAGCAGAGTAGAAGGACCTTTTGGATTCAAAGTATGCAGCAATGGTTGACACTAAAGTAGTGCATCAGTGTGAGGACCGAAAAACACGAGAGCCAAAAAAATCAATGGGCGGTAGAGCAAGAAATTACAAAGCTCTGGAGTTGCTTGATCTTGAAGCAGTTCTGCATATTGATCCATAACATCGTGTTTCTAGACGAGCCAAAATTGTGAGTAAATCTTTCTGGGCTGATTCATAAATGGCGTTCTGAGCCACATACCTGAGCAATTTCGAAAGCTTCATTCTTCATATCAGCTAGTAAACAAAACTCAATGACAGACTTGTAATCTCCAATGCCTCGGAAATGATTGGCCAATATCAAAGCGGCATCTTTAGACCGTGTTTTCCGAACCAATTCCGTTGCCTAAAAGTGCAAAGTTGAGACAAAACAAGAACAGCAGGCGCTGCGCGTGATAGTCGTACCCGAGCAATATCTCGTAACTTCTCAACACATAGCCTCACTGCAGCACCATAATCCATTGTCTTTTCGTATGCATCCACGGCTTCTGGATACTTGCCCTCCGCTACGAGTATTCAAAATGTGAGTGGTAGCATCTCAAACCGTGATTTTGATTATACGTACTCTCTTTGGCTTTCGCGAATGCCGACCATAGCTTGCCGTTGCTCGATCCAGCTTTAGGGAGGATACTGGCAACACGATTCCAAGCTTTGGCTAAACGATGAGCATGATGGTTGGAAGCCACATACAAAAAATCGTTTAGACCACAATCGCTATACCTCTGGTGAAAGCATCAGCAGCTTCTTCCCATCTCTCAGCACGTTCCCATAACTCTCCTTCTTGCAACGCGAGACTAACCCCACTACTGTCCTGTCGTTCGCGTAATATCAAAGCACATTCAGCCAGCAGATTTGGATCATCGGTGTCTGCGACCATCGCTAGTCCTTTGCCAATATCACCGGTTCGTAGTGTTTCTCTCAAGACACCAGCGGAGCATGAGACTTGATGTAATTCCAATTCCAAAGTTGTACCACTGAAAGTGTCTGAGGTTGTAAGGGCATTATGGTAGTATTTTAAAGCTTCTGAGTGCTTTCCTAAAAGCAAAAAAAAGTCATTAAAAATCCTCCAAAATGCTGCGAGGAGCTCAAACCTACCTTCAGATTCCAACTGCTGAGCATACATCTTGGACAGTGTAGTGACTTCAGCCGGTGCAAGTTTTCCAGCTAGCTTCAAAGCTCGATCCCACTGCTTCAAAGATCGACGTAAGTCCAATGCAGCAACAGGTTCTGGTGAATCCAAAAAGTACTCTTGGGCCAGATCGTACTCTTCAAAGAAGCTTGCTACATGACCACACAAGGTCTTGATGTTCTCAATAAATACAAAGCCTTCAATCTTGGCCACATTCTCAAAGTCGCTCAATGCATCACGGTAAATGCGTAAAGCTGTCGGTAAATCAAGGGCGCTCATGGCTGCGTCAGCAAGCATCTCCCATGGTTTTCGATCAGTAAGAATGCCCAATAGGCACCATATGTCTACCAAAAAAAATGGTTTCAATGAGCCAATATTTCAGAGAGAGAAAAGGCGCAGTGATATTGTCACATAATCGCTCACCGGCCATCTTTCCAACCGCATACAGCATTTGCAAGGCACGACCAGCATCTTCTGCAGGCAGAGACGGGAAATCCGCTGGCATTGGCGTTTGATGACTAGTCAAAGGTATGATAAACAATCGTCCACTTGGTGTCAAACACGACACAACTCCATCCAACATCAACAGTGGTTTCAAACCATATGGAAGCTTTGTACGTCCCACCATCAGACATTGTGGTCCACGCAGTGTTGTAGAAACAAACGTATAGGTGTATAGATTCTGATCATCCCAGGCACAAAAGGCATTTGCAGGAGGTGTTGGTTGTGAGTCCCATAGAAATCCGAGAAGCTTGCTTGCTAAAGCGAGTTGTTAGGGTACTCCCCAGCGATGTCAGCGAAATAATGTCGTACCGGCGTTGGTTGGAATATCGCAAGGCAAGCCTGTGAGAGGATTAATGATACCGGCGGATCCATCGTCACTCAAGTATATGACTTTAGCGCCTTCTTTGGTTTGCGGATATACACCTAAGACAGAGCTCTAAAAGGTACGCGTTACAACTTGCATCACGTTTTTTTTGCTGGCACATCTTTGGCCACTTTCAAACTCACCGATGCATGTATCTCATGTACCACTCGCCACTCTTCAAATCCAGCCATCCTGACACATCCTCTTGAATCTCCATATACGACGAAATCATTTGCCAGTGCAGCACATGTTATTTTGGCTGACTTTGATTGTTGAGAATCCGGAAAGACATGTTCCAAAGATGCCGGTGAGTCGGTAACCGATTCCCCATCAATGGAATGAACAATAAACTGCCCAGTGGCCAGCAGGGACCCAGCGTATCGAGCATTAAGATACAACCCTACAACCGGTGCGCTGTAGTGCTGTGAAAAAAATTGTTGTCGTGCGAGTCGTTTGAAGAAGCGAGACTTTCTCCACTCACTCTATGCGACACAAGAGCCGTATCAAGGACATTGGAAGGATTAGGGAATGACTTTCCAAACTTGACTTGAGCATTGACCTTGTCCAGAGAGCCCAGTTGGTAGAATCGAGTGTTGTTCTCATATGCAACCCCAGTCTATTTTTAAAGCAAGTGGTGGGTTCACTGACTTTTTTCGCGATGAAGAAGTCGCGATGAATAAGTTTCCCTTACATGTGCAGGACCCAAAGCTACCACAGTTGGTTCAACTTCTAGCTCTTGTTTCCCACAAATAGATGAGGTAGAGATACCCGAAACTCCAGTTCGTAACTTGGTTTGATCAGCAACGGTTATTTCTTGTAGTGAGCTCATAAATGCCTGGAAAAATTGGAATTCAACGACTTTGCAAAGATAGGAAAAGAAAGGAACGTAAATCGTACGATGTTGTTTCAATTTACGTACGATGTTGTTTCCGCAAACACTGGCTAACAATGGCAGTCTTGCGAGATAGCTGTACGTGCTGCCAGTCTTGGTTCCAACCGTAACAAATTGTCCATCATCAGAAAAAGAAAGTGAATTCAACTGTCCCCTTTCCTCTTCTAAATTAACGATAGCTTCCGTGACCTTTGAAGGTGAAAAAAATCGTGAGCTGGGTCTTGCTATTATCTGGTGCATCCACCATTGTGCCCTTCAATATACCATAACGTCCGCCAGATCATGCAATTTGATGCAATCGTCTCCACAAGTACCAGCCTTGTTGAGAGCAATTGACACAGCCAGATCAGCTATACCGTCCTTGTGATCGCGAGTCACTCCAATTTCTTGTCCAAGATCTGCCTTGCCTAGAAAAGCACAATGTGCATGAGGAGCAGAAGTTGTCAACCTGCTGCAAAATTTAAAGGTATACTTGTTGAGACTGCAACCATATTTCCAGAAGAGAAGCCAACTAGAATCGTCCCATCTCCAAACCAATCATACGTGACAATATCCCCGTAGCGAGGTTGAAATCCCAGCTCAATAGGAGAGTTCAAATTACTCTCTGCAAATAAGAATATCTTTTTCGCACCAACAATCATTGCGAGTGTTGGCTCTGCGATATTGCCATTGATTCGTGCCATAAACCATAGCGGTCTTCTGGGTCTTCCTTTCAAGGCCACATGCGTAATGTTCTCTCCGTTGAAATTCCACATCGATAACTAGATCAGAAGAGGTGTCAGTCAACATGAACGTTTTTTGCAATTGGTCTTGTACACAATTTTACGGTAGAGTCATCTGCGCCAATAGTGAGAACGTTGGAGGCATTCCAGCATCCACACACGATGTCCTTGGAGTGTATGGTTTGCAATGGTAAATTTCTGCCATTTTTGCGATCGTGCAATAGGATGCTGCCTTTGCGATCAGCGACAACGACCTGTCAAACGGAAAAATGAAGTGATCAGTCAAGGTGCTGCTTTGAAGTCGTGAAAATAAAGTTACTCGGTTTCCATCGTTCGACCAGCATAAGAATGAGACTCCTCGAAGTCCCGATTCAATCGACGAGTTTTGGTGTCTGTCGAGAGAAGACCATATGCACACGCTGCCAGAGCGATCACAGGCTGCTGCCAGGAGACTTCCATCTGGAGACCATTCGAGTGCAGAACAAACGCTAAACAGTACGTGATCTTGTGTGAGCCTCTCTGGTGTTAAAGTCCATTGGGTGAAAATCCAATCCCACCTCTGAAGTAGGAAACTGTCGACGATAGATCCCTGGCGATCAATTAATTGCACGATTTTGTTGACTCTTTAAAGAAAGTATGAGGTCAGGTGATGTGATTCTGCAATGTTGTATGTTTTAAGTTGATGACTTGCCCGACTACAGCCAAGAACTGACTGGATCTAGCCTGCCATTGGAATTTCACGATTCCTGCACCATGTTGGCGTGGACCCGTGGTATGGATTCTCTATATGGAGGGTCAGCCTTGTCTAGAACTATTCCCAAACAAGTGTCGTTGGTTTTCCACTTGCCTTCAACATTGGAGTGCTCTGTGATATTCACGTGAATGTAAAGGGGAAAATAATGTTGAAATTTGAATAAAGTGTCGTCTCATCTACTACTATTCATCAGACTTCATTTCTCAAACTTTGCCACTATATTTATAGAGTGGAACGTGAGATTAGGACGCTTACAGGCCGCTAATTTGCTCCAAGTCACTTGTAGACACTTTTAAAAGGTGGTTGTCACGTTTGTAGATGAAAGTATCCCTTCCATCTACACCGCAACAGTAAACTAATCTGAATGTTCCTTACGTTCTCGACCAGATATGCCATCACACACCATCCACGGTGATGATTCAGACGACGACTTTCAGAAACCGCATCATCCTGCTAGGCTTAAATCCTCTCATGCTACAAACAAGGGAACGAAGCGAATCTCCCCAGTCAAACCAACAACATCAGAGCTGAATGCTCCCTTTAGATTCAGTAAACGCCGTGACGATCGGAACATCTCATCATGGAAGTCATCTGGAACTGCTAAAACAACTGGTGCATCTTCCAGCGGTATACGACCTTGCGTATATTCGAATGACAAGCAGTCACTGATTACAATGCTATCCATCTAGAACATGGCTCCGTCTCAACCAATATTCCTCCCATCCATATACTGGATAGTCCTCGACCAGTCGAATCACCTCTCTTTCGACACACACCATCGACTCACCCAACGAATAATCAATTTGGGGCGGAGTGTACCAACATGCCAACCATTTGTGTTGCACCTACACCCGAACCTAGTCATATTGCAGCCGTGGCATCGCAGCCAGGCCCAAGACTGGAATTGAGTAGTAAAGAGACTAGAGCAGATCACGTCGCGGTGAGTAACATGGTGATGGGATACGCTGTACCTGCACCAACAACGAATAATGAACCGATATCTATAACTTCAACACCATTACAAGAGGTCAATCCCAATTCTGTGCTAGCAGACAGCCCGGTACGAATAAATTTCCCTCCAATAGCCATATATAGTGATGCAGAAGCCACGCCATTTATACCACGTAGAAAACGACATAATCGTATTATAGAAAGCCCTGCTACAGCCGAAAAACCACTCAACCTTAGACCACAACAGCTGATGCACGGTGCAGTCAACCTCTCCTCACCAGACATGAGTCAACCAGTACGCATGCCTGGCAGACGCAGAAGGATGGGTATGGGTCCTGTTGCCGACACAGTAAACAAATCAACAGTAAACGAATCAGTCTCAATTGATTTAATCTCGCCAGAGGCTGATCAAGAGCTTAAACGTCTAAGAAGGATAAACTTCGACTCACCCGACCCGTCAATGAAGAATGTAAATGCAGCTCCTGAAGACACCGAAACTCATAGACAGCCGACACCACGTCTGGATAGACTAATAAACAGAAGAGCTCGTGGTCGGGCTGTCGCTCGTCCACCGCCAAGGCAACGATCGACCCCAGTCCTTTCACGAAACGATCCCGACAACGAGTCAAAAAAACGTCGTAAATTAGGGCCGAAAAGAGTTAAACGCTTCGTATCAGCTGCAAATCCCTTTATAGAGAATGAAGCTGAGGAAACAGACTCTGATGGAGAAGGCGGTCATACTGCGAGAGCACGACGTGAAATAGATGGTGATTCAGATCCTGAACTAAACCAGGACTTGGAAGGCTTCGTTTGTGGTGACGATGAAATAGAATTACATCCGTCAGCCAATCCCGATATGGCAGCTCATCATCCCGCTGCAACCCAAGCCATTGCCATGTACCACAATAGTGTTATGAGAGGTAGTCGTCGACGTAGAAATGCAGCAGACTCTCGTGCAGGTCAATATTATCGTCTGGAAGAAATGCTGGATTTTGATGATTGGGAGGCACAAGAGATTGATGAAGCGCAACTAGACGCAGCTGGTGCTTCTTTTGTAGTAGATGATGATGGAGCAGGATATGCTGATGATTCCAACTCGAGTCGCAACAGTCAAGAAATAGATGCAGAAGAAGCAGAAGAAGTATACGAACACGTCGGAGACCATGTTGAGGACTCCATCCCAGACGATGATGACGATGATGACTTTGTAAACCAACGTCCAGCTAGGTCAAGGGTGGTTGCTCTATCTCGTCAGCGACCAGGACAAAACACTAGGCCTTCCACCTCTACGACTAGTAATAGCAGCATCAGGGCGGCTACATCTAGAACCAGTAATGACAACAACAGGCCGTCCATCGCTAATAACAGTAATTCTGCCATTATTGGAGCCAGCAACAACAACATACATAACGCCCAGTTCGGAAATACCATCCGTAATCCTACTACGAATACTTCGATGAATCATAATCGACATAATAATGCAACTGTCGAATACCATCCCACACCAGAGCAGCTAACTCTTGAATTTGCCGATATGATTGACGACGATGAATTCCAGCTTGATGACTAGATGTATATTTGAAAGCAAATGGCTGTAGTAGTTTTGCAAGATGATAAAACGTCGCCCAATAATAATTTTGGCCTTAAGAAAGAATGAGACAGTTGTAAACTTTTTTTTGGGGCACTTGAAGCGATTTTGTGTTCTTAGCTATGGTTTTCAAACAGGTGGTACAAATTTCGGCATTCTAGTTTTGACTAGTTTTGAGGTATGATTTCGGGCTCTACGATCTTTCCACCCATCTTCAACAGGAAGTTGTCCTCAACTTTGCCACCTCCAATAAAGTCATGAGGGAACTACCAAAAGAGCACAAAAAAGCAATCGTCAAGTTGATACGATATGGGAGCCTCCAAATACTAGTATTGTAACAATCAAGGAAAGCGAAACTTACCCCAATATCAAATTCAGAGGCAGTTTCCATCGCCGCGACTTGAGCATCAGTCAACTTGGAGACAAGTTCCAATGCCTTGATGTTATCAGCCAAATGAGTAGATTTGCGACCACCCAAAATTGGGAATGTCTGGGTTTCCTTCTTGATCACATATGCGATACATACTACAGAAGGAAACGGATTCAGTCACTCGCAACAGCAGCTAAAAAATCTCAGGAGATATAGAGAATGTCACATACTTTGCTGACGAGTTGCACCAACTTCCTTGGCAACCTTGTCAACTGCAGCAAGAACTTGCTCACGAACTCTCTTCTTGTTTTCAGAGTCGGGACGGAAAGCAGCACGACCCTTTCCGGCATCGGTTTGTTCTGCGGTTTTTGATGCTCCTGCCATCATAACAGACCATGCTGAGTAAAAGACGCAAAAAAGGTTAAAATCCAAATCACAGATTCAAACTAGCAGCGTCCTGTTTGAGTCGACTCTGTTTCAACTTACGAGCTAAAGCCATTCCAAAAGCTCGACACATAGGAATGATATCACTAAATGATGACACAGATTTTGTTAGAACTGTCGAATGCATTGATGGTATGTAAGTGAGGAAGGCTTTACCGTTCAAATTCTCGTTCAGCGAGATTCCATTTGCCTTGGTAAATTACGAATGGTGCCAAACCATTTTCACGAGCATAGGTGTTGGCAGCAGAGACGACCCATGCAGGTGTGTCAGATATACCCAAATACAAGACTTTGCCAGATTTTACCAAGTGATTGAGTGATTGCCTAAGGATAAAAGAGGACAACGTCAAAAACAAGGAAAAACGATTGCAAGAACAAGGGGATCTGTCAAAGGGGTCTCACAAACTTACATGAGCTCATGGATGTTGGTAGTGTAGTCCCCTGTCAAAAAGAGTCAAAGTCTTGTGAGTAATTAAGTCACCAAAAAAATCCAAGCGTGTCGAGATACATACACCAATGTACATAGAGAATATCAATATAATCAGTTTGGAGTTTTGCCAAAGAGTCACGAAGTGAAAGGTGGAGACTCTTTGAGTGATTTCCAGTAGAGTTGATGGCAATTTTGGGAGTGTTTTTGGGGTATAAGGTCGTGAACTTGGTAGCAATGACCATCTGGTTGAGACGTTGATATGTCAGGTCAGCGGAAGGGATTGTTGACAACCCAAAATCACCACAGAGATAGGACACGTCAAAACACACCTCATCACGGTTTCCGCGAGCCTTCATCCATTCACCGACCCATTGTTCAGATTCACCAGCTTGATAGTTGTTTGCAGTGTCGATAAAGTTTCCGCCAGCTTCATAGAAGGTATCCATGATCTTGAATGACTCTTCCTTGGTACATTCTCCCATAAATGCTCCCCAGCTTTCTCCAAACTGTAATAAAACAGGAAATCGATCTAATGAGAATGCTGCGACGAAGCTCAACCTTGCGATGATGCATCGAACAACAGCAAGGTGGCAAATAGACTTCGTCCAAAATATTGACAATCAGAATAGCTTACATTCATAGCACCCAAACATAGAGGACTGACACGGACTCCAGCAGTTTTGGACAAGATTTTGTAGTGTGCCAATGGTCCTTGAGGAGTTTTTGCTTGGAAGATAGACATCTTTTGCGTATTGTCGTTGCTTGACAAGAGTTGGAGATGAAATTTGGGTGTTTTAGATACAAGAGTTGCTTCGTGTAGCGTGGAGAGCTTTTCGTATCAACCGTTTATGCTTTTATTAGAAATGGAGCTTGGACCCGTTTGCCCCCAGGGCAACCAAAGTCAAGTCACCAAGTGAACTTGCAACGACGTGTCTCGGAAGGAAGAAGCCGGCTGACACCTATCGATCATCGATAATCGATGTGATAAGAGTTGCAATGGCATACTCTCCTGATCTAGTGGTGCTCAGTTTCGAAAGAGTCTTGAAGGAACGATTGCGGCGGAACCGACCAACTTCCAATTCCAATTATTTTCTCAAATTCCGAGTATTAATGATACCTGTATCGATCGAATACCAACTTTAGAGTGCAATCTAAATCATTAATGACAAGTCATCGTTATATTTGTTGCTCTGTTTCTTATTCAGAAGCGCTAAATCAATGGTACAGATTCTCTTGTTCTGAATGTCGCCATTTTGGCGACATTCTCAAAGATGAGAAATGACTTCCGGTGGTTGTTCGATATGTCCACCGCCTCGTAGAATTAAGTTATCGGCGATCTTGCCAGCACCAACTACACGTACAAGGCAAAGCGGTTAGAATCATGATTCAATTAACAACACAACAAAAGCTTTCGTGTTGTCAATCAAAAATTTCGTACCGAAATCATGTGGGAATCCAATATCAAAGTCTGAAGCAGCTTCCAAGTCTTTCATGTGCTTTGCTGTCAACTTGGACACAAAGGACAATCCCAACATGTTGGAAGCTAAGTGAGTCGCTTTACGACCGCCAAGAATTGGGAAGGTTTGGGGCTCCTTCTTGATGCAATAGGCGATGCAAACTAGGAAACAAGATTTGGTGAGCAAATCATAGTAACCAATAAGGGCTGCACAATAAAGCCAGATTCGTCCTTACCTTGTTGACGGGTAGCACCAAGCTCTTTAGCAACCACATCAATAGCGGCCAAGACGTTTTTAATTGTCTCATTCTTTCTGGCAGATCTGGGGAAAATGTGTTCACGACCCTTTCCAGCGTCGTTTTGTTCCTCGGTTTTGGTAGTTCCGGCCATCAGCACAGACCATGCTATTGTTGAGAAAAGTTAGTCCACAAAGAGCGTTCTTCGATCAATTTTTAGCTTACGGGCTAGAGCCATTCCAAAGGCTCGAACCATAGGGAGAATATCACTAAGAGGGCGACGAAGCTTTAGAATTCATAATCGGATGGCAGGTTATTGCATTTGGAAAGCTTACCGTTCAAATTCTCGTTCGGCAAGATTCCATTTTCCTTGGTAGATTACGAACGGAGCCAAAGCGTGCTCTCGAGCATAGGTGTTGGCGGCAGCGACTACCCAAGCAGGCATATCACTGGCCCCCAGATACAAGACCTTGCCGGATCTGACCAGATGGTTGAGAGATTGCATGAGCTCATGAATGTTGGTAGTGTAGTCCCCTATTGAATACAAGAGACATGTTGAGCTATATTTTAGAATGTGGGCCTCTACTTACTCACTAAAGTGTACAAGCTGTTTCCCAGTACTTACACCAATGCACGTAGAGAATGTCAATGTAATCAGTCTGCAACTTCTTAAGAGAGTCACGAACAGACATGTGGAGAGATTTTGCCTGATTTCCAGTATAGTTGATAGCGATTTTTGGAGAATCGTTGGGGTACAAGGATGTGTACTTGGTCGCAATGACCATCTATCAACGTACATTGTGTGAAACACTCTGACAAACGAGCTTTTGTGAGACTGAACTGGATTTCAAACCTGATCACGGTTTTTTCTTGCAGACATCCAGTCACCGACCCATTCTTCAGACTGTCCCATCTGGTAACTGTTTGCAGTATCAATAAAGTTTCCACCGGCTTCCCAAAAGGTGTCCATGATCTTGAATGCTTCTTCCTTGGTACATTTTCCGAGACGAGCTTCATGGGCGGTACCAAACTAGCAAATATTTAGTAGTTAGTACGTAGAATTTTCAACAGCTCTATGCTGGAATGTCCCAAATCAAATGTTACTCAAAACACGCAAACAGCAATTGGGAGCGTGGAGCACCATATACATACATTCATGGCACCCAAACAGAGCTGAGAAACTCTGACTCCAGCAGTCTTGGATAATATCTTGTATTTATCCATCTCACTTCGAGGCTGCTTGAATGTGAACATTGTTGCTTGTCTTTCGGTGCGGTTTGTAGGTGACTACAGGCAGATGAGTAGACCAGAGAGCACGATTGATATCCGAGTTTATTGCACCAGCGTCACTTGAGGGTTATTTGGGACAATATTCAAGGAATCCAAGGTTTTGTTCAGCTTTGAGAAAAGGGCAAGAAACACGTCGTCCGGCCTCAGTAATAGCCCATATCCGCACGTGAAGAAAGCACGTGTAAAATTAGCCTTGGTGAGTTGTGCTTAAGTATTCCAGGGTTACTTGTTTGGCCCAACGACTTCACACTTCCTCTCACACAGAAATCAGAAATTCTCAATTTTCAAGCTCTCAGTAGCCTCTCGAAGCTAGGACTCCAGGACAAGGTCGGAGACAAGAGCTGCTTCATGCCTGCCACTCGTGAGTCATGCCATGATCACTCTACCCTCCTTCTCCTTACTCACAACCTCGTCTTTCACTCATGCTCTGCGAAATACTTGGGCTTGCTACCAAATTACTGAACCGTGAAGGAGAAAAGTACTGGTCGCATACACTCTTTACCACGCTGAAAACCAAGTCTACCCTTCGTCCTCCTCACAATTGCTCTCACTACTACCAAACTTCCGTCTCATGAACCTTCAACAACCAAACATCTAGTTTCCGAATTGACAGAGCCAAGCAGTCTTTTCAGACTTTGGAACATTACCTCGCACTGTTGGCATGCATGAGAAAGCATTTCTGTTTTCATTTTCAGTCTTCCGCTAGTTTTCGGTGCAAAAATGAATGAAGGCGCATAGCGTGGCCATGTTGAAAGAAGCCTGATTTGGTCGATATTTGAGACAATCCTAACATCCTCTGACACCTCATACCATTTCTAGAAGCCTTTTGAACTATATTTGTGGTTTCCATCACAGGTTGCTACTGAAACATGTTTGTTTCCCACTTTTGGATGGAGCTTGCTGGACCAATCAGGTTCCATTTCCTCAGCGCCTTTCCTTAGCAGTAGCAAGAGGCTACTCTGAGGTACTGAAACACCAGAAGAGCTCTACTCTGGTGGTCCATCGTCTCTTTGACTGTTTGACGAACTCCCTATCAAGTAACTGAGAATTACCCCTTTGTGTTTTGGTGGTAGTTCCAGTTGGGCCTAAAGAACTGAAAACCACCTGTCTCTGTTTCGGCTTTGGGGACATTTTATGGTGGAGATTTAAAAGCTAGGTAAGCATCTCGATTTGGTCTGTTTACTGTCTCAATATTGTGTGGACAGACGGGGTGTGGTGGTTCAGCCGTAGCTTCATGGTCAGATGGTTTCGACGCTCATACGAGGCTATACGCAAAAGACGCCCACTCCAGGTTTCGACATGTTTTACCATAGTCCTAAAAACACTCCCCAGAGTTGAGTTGCTAGTGGCTGCTCGGTGAGTAGTCATGAAACACTGTTGGGAATGTAGCCATAGCCGGTTCCAAGCCCGGAAAATACAGAGGATCTCCCATGCCAACTTTCAACACGATGAATTGTCAAGATGTACCTACACCTCTTATGAACACTTGAAACCGTTTCTTCGTATCTCCACCTTTGATTTCGACCTGCAATTGACTGCTGCGTAAACGTCAAGTATACTCAAGCAGCAAGTAAAAGGGGGACCTACGTCAATCACACGTCATGGTTTCAATTGAGGCTCGAATCAACTTGATTCTCCCTTTACTACCACATCTCAACTCTCATCTACAGTCAGACGTTACTGGTTTCTTAATATTACAAGCAAGTTCTCTTTTGAGACATCGGATTTAAGGTTCGACGAAGAGTTGATTTAGAGTTGATGTCTGTGTCAGTAATTGGAACCCGAAGCGAATATAGGCGATCAAAACATCAGGACCAGCCTTATTGCGATCACCGCATTCAATCCATCGAAAGCAGGCCGAGTGCATCTAAACCATATCTATAGAATAATATTTGTTGTTATTGACGTTTTATGTAGTCTCGTTCCTCCACGAACCTAACAAACAAAACAACATAATGAGACGCGAACATACTCCTCTAGGATTTAAGGAAACCAGCCGGTCACCGCTAACGTTTAAATCAGAATCATGTAACTCGATCATTACCATACGAGTTTTAGATGAGAATATTGTTCATGTCAGACATTTACCACCTGCACCAGCTAAAGCCTTGCCAGTGACACACAGTATTGCAACTGGAGATATTCCAGTCACAGGACGCTTACGAGACGACATACCGAAGGGCTTTGAGTGTCCTGTACCCAGCATCTCTCATAATGAGAATGTATATACCGTGGCAACATCAGAGGTCACTATCAAAGTGTCGATACAGGATGAAGGAGATCTGACAATATCGTGGTCTGGAGTCAATGAGAAAATGCCATTTTTAGAGGATCTAAATCATCGAGCTTACGCGTATGATAAAGGTGGAAATGGTGTTTGGCACCACGTAAGACGCCAGCCTGATGATTTACACTATGGATTGGGAGAACGCAGCTCGCTACTACTTAATCGAAGACGATTTCGACTAGAGTGTCTAGATGCATTGGGCTACTTGGCTGATAGTGGCGATCCACTTTACAAGTTCAACCCAATATATATCACACTCAATAAAACAACTATGGCTACCTACGGTGTATTTTATGACAATCTGTCAACCGGATATATAGATTTTGGATGCGAACAAGATGCCTTTTGGGGTGATTACAGAGCTTATTATGCATCGCAGGGTGCACTTGACTATTATATTGTATATGGTGGGAATCAGGGCAATATGGAACGTGTTATTGAAGGATTTACAAAGCTGGTTGGATTACCTCAAGTACCGCCTAAATATGCTTTTGGATATTTGGCTAGTTCCATGGGATATGCCGAGTCGGATGACGCACAACAACTGTTGGAAGCATTTCCTGACTTGTGTCGCAAGCATTCAATTCCTTGTGATTTAATTCATCTATCATCTGGCTATACAGGTATCTCGTTGTGGCTTCTACCGTAATGCCAGAAAAACCGTATTACTAAAGTGGTCGAATTTTCTCTATAGTGGACGAAATAACTGGTGCACGAAACGTTTTCACTTGGAATAGGTCGGTCATCCATTGGGCACGTTTCCGAGTTCATGTGTTGGTCTAAAAGAAAAGAAATATTTTCTGTGTAGGAAGCGATTCCCGAATCCACAACGACTTTTTGCAAATCTACGTAATGCTGGCATTAGAGTTACTGCCAACATCAAGCCATGGCTTCTATCTCAGCATCCCATGTATTCAGCTGTAGCTGCAGCCAAAGGATTTGTATGGGATTGTGATGAGGATGCTCCTAGTGTCATGAGATTTTGGTCGGCTGGAGGTGGAGATCACGCTAACGGATCTTACTTTGACTTCACATCGAAAGGCGGATGGGACTTTTGGTCTCAGGGTGTCGCATCGCTTCTAGACATGGGGATTGAGAGTATATGGAATGATAATAATGAATTCGGTATAAACGATGACATGCACACATATGCACTTAAATCACTAGGAAGTAGTAAAACACCCGTTGGACTAGCAGGTCGCACTCTACAAACCTTCTTGATGGCAAAATGCTCGTATGATACCATGGTATCCAAGTTTCCAAATCGGCGACCATTTTTGGTAACTCGGTCTGGTTCGCCTGGCATTCATCGATATGTATCCATGTCTTGGTCGGGAGATAATACAACGTCTTGGTCGACTCTGAAACATAATATAGCTACGGGTTTAGGAGCTGGATTATCACTGTTACCGTTTTATGGACATGATATTGGTGGATTTGTAGGTCCTCGACCATCACCTGAATTATTTGTCAGATGGGTGCAGAATGGAATCTTTCATCCGCGATTTACCATTCATTCGTGGAAGGACGAGGGGATAACAGAACCGTGGATGTATCCAGAGGTGTGAAAACTCAAAAGCGATCTTTTTTTGCTCGACCACAATATTCTGCACCTTGCTTTTCCAGTTTGCCTCGGCCAATTTCTTTCAACTGACTGATTCGCCATGTTTTCCAGGTTTTACCAATTGTGCGAGACGCCATTCAGTTTCGATATAAATTGCTACCACATCTCTACACACTGGCCCATGAAGCTAATCGTACGGGGCATCCCGTAATACGACCACTCGTATACCACTTCCCTAAAGATCCGTATTGTCAATCTGCATCGTTTGAATTCATGTTAGGACCATTCCTTCTCATAGCCTCAGTATTAGAAGAAGCTGCTGTATCCAGACAAGTGCATCTTCCATTTGGTGTAGACTGGTGCTGTATTTGGAGTGGTATGTGGTATAAAGGTGGTAGCGATGTCGTTGTAAATGTACCATTAGAACAACATGGTGCAGTCTTTGCACGATCTGGTAGTCTAATACCCACTGGAGGTTTAATGAACTATGTTGGTGAGAAGGCTGATACTGAACGTCTTATTTACGTCTATATTGGCGCTCAAGACTATGGGCGTTGGGAGTATATCATGATGGACGATCAAGGTGAAAATGTAGATGGGAGATTAAGCATGGTCGCCGTTTATGCTGAATGCGACGAAGGTGATAATGTTGTCAGAGTCGGTGTAGATGTGCTGGTTGATGCTGGTGTTGGTATAGCTTATTCCAGGGTATGGTTCGTTTTGCCTCACGGAGATAGCAGGACTATGGTTCCTATCGGGACTGATGCAGGACAACGTACAGGAGACGATGGCCGTACCCATGTGGGCGTTCGAATCCTCCGACAGCTGTCAGATCTGTAAACGTTTAAAGCACAGCGTGGAGAAATTGTGTATGAGGACTGTTTCAATAGAACAGTGTGTATTGAATCCTGCTTCTACTATAATTCTATATATAATAATGCAAAGTGATAATAACATAAATCTAGTCCTTTTTGGTAATGACTAAAGCATCCCCTGGCTGAAAGAAGTCAAGAGTGTTCAGTGCTCTTTGCTTCTTGTTGATCGGTATTGTTCTTTCACCATTATGCCGCCCAACACCGAAATCACCCTCGGGTACGTCATCCAACTCTTCCCGTATTTGCTGTATCGTCTGTTCTATTGATTGCTTATCCACCCAAACTGAGCCAAGCAAGAACTCGTCGTCTCTCTTCCCATTGTACACCAGTAAATCTCGTCGTGTGGATGATGTTGATGCTATGGTGGTCGAATCGGCAGCTGGACTAGTCCAAGTCGTACTCGCAGGAGGTAGAGCGCTTGGACTATCTCCAGGAAGACTCCAAGCTTTTGATAAATCTGGTTCTCGAATATATGTAGGAACAAAGCCAGGAGCTTCTGGTGTTGCAATTTCGGGTTTGGCTTCTTCAACTGATACTACATAAGCATAAAATCAGCTTGCTGCAAGCACAACGACGACGAGCCAATCAAGACATACGGCCAAATAGTTTTCTGACATCAGCATTCTTGGCTAAATCAGCAGCAGTTTGGCCTTTCAAGTTGGCTAGGGTTGCATCAGCTCCATTTTGTAGCAAGATTGTGCAAATTTGAGCATATCCTCGGTGACTAGCCCTATTACAAAGCACGCGTCAAGCGACCAAGGGGGAAAGTTTCGACACATCATCAGAAACAAAACATGTGTTTGAGCCTATAGCCACATTACCAGTGCAGTGCAGTCCATTGATTCATGCGATTCTGCGCATTGACTTTGACTCCGTTTTGGATGTAATGTATGGCTGCTTTCGCGTTTCCACTAGCAGCTGCCTCTCGAAGAGCCTATAAATGGCATGAAAGAGGTTTAGCTTGATGTTGTGGTGTTTTGCCCCAAGATACTGAAAAAGTGACCATTGAACCACAGATCCAACAGATCGTTCTTGAAATTTACAGAACGTACCTCTTCAGATTCCTGAGCGAGATTCATTCTTTACAACGAAAAAAAGATCAAGCTTGACAACTTGTACAAGATGGGCAAGAGAAAGAGAAGCAAGGTCGAGGATTTTCAGGTATGTCTGAGTTCAGAGAGCTGCCTCCACTGCGCTTACTGTTTCAGTTGTCTCGAAATCTAACCCAACAAGCTTGTTTTTCTTGTGTAGAAACCCAAGCTGCGGGTAGGGAAGAGGAAGCCTCATGCTGAGAATCAGACCGATACATCCTTCAAGTCAAAGTGTAAGACCGTGATCTTGCCTTCTGTCTCTTCCGATGCATGTCAAAGTAACTGACTTTTCAAAACATCAACATCCCAACAACAGCCATTGTCGTCCCTGCACAATCTATCAGTGAAGACAAGACCCATCAAGTCACAAGCTCCCGTAATCAATCAATCAACGAACTTATACAGCAACTACACCATTTCAATTCTCTAGCCAAACGAGGTAAAACCTCTCGACTCTGCTTCGTCGATACAGCAGGAGCTTGACCCAATTCCATGAAATAGATGCTATTGCCGGTCTTCGAGACATATTGAAAAATCGCAGACAAGGGTTTGAACTGTACCTCAGCCCTGTCTTACAAGGCTTGTGCAGATTGCTCATTGACGAGGTGGACAATTGAGAACGTTATGGCAACTTCCTAAACCAACAGCACTAACTTCAAACATTGTTTATCTAGAACAACTCGGTGCGAAGTGGTACTATTACATTGATTCAAGATATCTTGACTCAGTTTCGCGAGGTATGTAGACACGTGTCATAGCATTTGTCGAGTCGCTTTGTTAATCACGATACATTTCGCAGGAGGGATTCAGACCAAATGCATCTCTGGCAGTATCATTCGCTCTGTCTGGAATGACACATCTTATAGAAGACGTACGAATAGATGCATTCAAGTTCTTAGTGATCTTATTCAGAATGGTACCAGGCACAATGTATACATTTCACTCTCGTCTACTTCCTCAATTTGTGCTTATGCTTGGAGGTGGTTCTGATAGTCGCAAAGGTGTGTGTTAAATACTAAATCTGACGGCGGTATTCTTGTAATTAAGCCCTTGCTCGTCTTTTTGCAGACTCTGCTGTCAGAGCCCTGACTGGAAGTAAACAGGTACATATCATATAATTTACTTGTAATTTCTGCGACGAGGCTCATATGGCGTTTTTCGTGTAGTTTCGATTGGAATTGGTGACAGCGACTCATGCTTTTCTGGGCATATGTCTCGTTCCACCAAAGACAAAGCTAAAGGACTTCATTCCTTCTGGGGATATCTATGTTCCAGGGTCCCCTTGTTTCTCTCCCACGTCACGTCCGAACTCTCCCATGTCACCTACGTACTCTCCTACGTCTCCTACATATTCCCCTAATTCTCCTACCTACCACCCGTCGTCGTGGAAGGCTGATGAGGAGGCAAGTCCATTCTCCCACTATTACGTCTCTTGTGTTAAGCATTAATCTTTCTTTATCCAGACCCATGCATCCATGACAGTCGACAATGACATATTATATAGCACAACCGAACAACCAATGAATGCATTTGTTGGTAGTGCAGCACCAGAACGTGCAAACACTATTCAACTAAAGACCGCCTCATCGTATACAGAACCTGCCAGAATGTTAGACGACTATAAGACTGACACGATGCGAGATACTCAAAAGCTTGCAAATGCTATTGTGCCATCGTTGATAGATATATGGATTGAAGCGGCCCCAGATGTATTTACAGGTGTATCAGTCAACTTTTCGCCGGCCTTGACGACTCTCAGCAAGGTCTTGGATATCCTGGACTTGTTATCTCAATACATTGTACGTATTCTCGTTGAACTTCAACGGTTTCTCATCTGACTCGTTTTACATCTGTGCAGAATAAACAGCAACAAAAAGAAATCACAGATACTTTTAGTACCAGCAAACTGCTTATGGAGATTAGTGCTTGGTACACAAAAATGCTTAGTCTACTCACAAAACACGTTGGTCCGTATTTTCCGTTTATAGCTCATTACTCTGGCAATATGAAGGTCTGTGCTTTCGAGTCTTTGAACACTAGACCCTCATGTTGACATTTTTTCCCTGCCTTGGCAGACTCATTCTGGAAACTTTATAAGACTCGTAAATATGGATACTAAATTTGTATCGGTTGCCTCCACTCTATGCTTCTCTGTCGCTTCTCCTGCAGAGGAATTGCTAGTATGGCGTGCAAAAGCTATTCAACATTTGACTTTTGTACTCGCGTCAGATAATCGAGGCAAGGTACAAGACAACCAGATACAAGCAGTATATGCTATTGGACAATCTCTCTGGAAGCATTTGAATCCTTCTGAGAGTTTGCAGCTTGTGCAGGTAAGGCAATACGGAACACTGATGTGTGCTTGGCTTTGCTCGCCCACTGACCCGTTTTCTTGGGAAATCAGGCGGTTGTAGATGACAATACAGAGTCCGCAATTGAATCGAGCAGATTTAGCTCGAGTCTCTCTTTTCTTGCAGACTCTGTGACAGAAGTAAGTTGTCAACAAAGAACACGCCACCCTACAACATGACAATCAACTGATGTTGGCCACTTTATATAGCTCGCTAAAGTTTTCGGAAAAGGCGGCGGCTTTATATTTTCGTCCTATGAACCAATGGAAGCCTTCCTCGTCGCATACGTCAAGTCTCTCAATAAAAGATTCAGTGAGCTAGAAAAATGTCCTTTCGGAGTGGTGAGTGGGACACTCGTGCCCGAATTCGATGTTACTTACCCACATCTGATTGTTTTGGCATGGTAGCTTTCGTCTGTATTGAAAATTTGGAATTGTATCTCCGTCATCTCAAAACCTCCACAAAATCCTCCCAACTACTTCCAATGGTTCCAACTTCGAGACGAGCTTCTTGCCGATATTTATGACTCACTTCGTCCCTTCTTCTCGCAAACCGATGCAGCTACTGGCAGTGAGTGACAAGCAAACCCAGTGTTCTGTTGTCATGACTTGGTGCTTAACCTCATCCTTCCATTACCACATGTTTAGAAATTCGATTCGGCCCCTTTATCAAACAGTGGTCAACAGATCAAAATTCATTATTACAGTTCTTGATTACAACTTCGAAAATGTTGCCTCTTCCTCTACAACAAGCCATTGCCGATTGTCTACGTCAACCATGTATCGCTGTCTCCACTGTCGGTTCTTACCTAACAGCCTTTCAACGAAATGGTTTGTTGGGTGGATGGCTTATCTTAAAACGACAAGACTATATAAACCTCGTAGTTTCCGTATTGCTCGTTGGATATTCTAAGACTGAATTGGATGCCTTGCAGACCAAGGATGTGAAAACCAGTCGATTCGGCGGGTGTACAGCAACTCCATCACAACCACGACTTGTCGAAAAGGATCCTAGTAGATATATTGGATTTGAAACTACCAAAGATATTTCCCTGCCAGCTGATGCTCTTGGATTTCCACGTGGTCCTGGATCAAAGGAAGTGGTTGATTATATCCTCAAGAATACACAGGATGGTCACAAACTGCATGGATGTAAGCTAGAGCTATGTGTCGCTGAGAAAGTTTGTGTGTACGCAAGACGGAGTGAGCTAGTTTCGGTAAGCATATGTTGTAATTCTTACGCTTTTGTTGCCGCAAGCAGCGGTTCTTTGGAATTGGATTGTTTAACAGGAACCATTTCTCGATTACTTCAGAGAGGATTAAGTGATCTTGCCATCTCTGATGTTGTTCTCGACCACTTGTCGCCAGTTATTACTCGTATCTTGGTGAGTGCTTGTGGTGCGAAGAAGTGTCTTCCATCGAATCTGTGTCGAGAAACGTTTTGGCTGACCGTTCTCCTTTCTTTTGCAGACTGGCACATTTCCAGTGGACTTGTTTTTCTCCATTGCCTTGGTTGTAGGGAAGCTGCTTCCTGTCGGTGCTTGGGAGAACTGGGAAGGAACCGAAATTCTTGTCCAACTCGTTGCCAAGGCGGCTGTAGCTGCAGCTGTAGTCTCGGTGACTGAAGATAGTGCCGAAGTGTGTATCGACTACTTTGCAATTGTGAAGAACTGAAATGTGTCAGAGCTATAATAATAGTAACGTTCTGTTTTTTTCTTCTTGACTAGGTCAATCATGATCTAGAATTTGTTGTCAAGGGTGTATCTGGTGTGGCTGCAGTATCACCAATGTTTCGGGCCGCATTTATGAAAAATGTCCAAGAATATTTAAATCAACGTAAGACAGAGTTGTGATCTTTTACGCTGCAGCTAGCTTACCAGTCACTTTTTACCAACGCGACAGGAAAATTATCTAAACACATTGCAGAAGGACTTGTGAAAATTGTTCGTGATGTGTTTCTCCAACCGCTATTCAGGGTCTTGTTATTGCATGATGAAGCTTCGTTTGTCGCCTTGACAGATATAGTCCAACGACCAATAACCACGACAGCTTGAGAAGGACAATACCATGTTCTTTGCCATTTGCTTTGTTTATCCTTTGCATAATAATTCCCTGAGTTTTAGAATACTGAAAGGCAATGTAACCAAGCTTTGTCAAACTGTTTTCTTGTCGTTGAGCTCGTTATATTTCATTTGTTATATACATCGAGACAAGTAAAAGCATTCATATACACAAAAAAATGGTTGCATAGAAAAATGTTTGCACAGAATTGATTCCATAGTATGCCTGTGTCGCAAAACAAATTCCCAGAACGTTAGTGGAGAGCACTTCACTTTTTCAGCCTCGGTTTCGCGCTATTACCACCATACGCCCCAATCATTTTAGCTTGATTCGCAAGCGACGGCGTTGGTCTCGATGGACCAGTAGCAGGACCAGGCATACCAGGCCGTTGCTGCTGCTGTTGTTGACCAGCAACAGGCAAGCTGGATGGTGGTGTTGGTAGACCAGGTCCAGGAGTCATACGACCTGATCCAGGATTTGGCGTTGCTGAAGACGGTGTACCACCACCACTACTGCTCGAACCAGTAGGTGCGACTTTGGCTAAGGGTACATCGGCGACAAGATTGTTTTTCTCGATTGCGTAAAAGCCTTTGAGATGGGCTAGGTAGTAGTCTACCGCTGTTGCGTTTCCGATCGGATACCTTGTGTGAAATGCAAGATTTGGTAAGATCCTGGATGATTTTTTTTGCTGTTGAGTTTGCATACTTGAGAGTCATCCCATTGCCAGTGCTAGTTCCTTCAACATTACCAGCTCTGAATACAGCTTCATAGTCTGTTGGGCTGTTTTCATATATGTTCATGATGGTATACACTTTGCCTTAGTATATATGTGTGAATGTGAGTGAAGGTGCAGATGCGAGAGGGCTTCATGCAGATCGATAGTTTTTTCTTACCTTTTTCGGACTCACGTTCCCACCGCACAGTACGAACAAGCTTCTTGCCAGCATTCAGATGAAGCTTTTGTCCTGTTTAAAAGAAATAGACGAATAAGATTGGTTGGTGAGTCAAAACATTCTAATCCTTTTCACCAGTTTTGTTTCTCCCTCTGACTTACGTTTGCTCTTTTGTTTTGTATCGACACCAGCCAGCAATTCCATATCAGCCATTGTCTTCTTCTTCCTCCAATCTTCAATGTATGAGAATCGCGAGAACCTGTTATGGAAGGAGGATGTGAGGACTGACCAAAAACGATGAGTGTGATAGAAATAAACCTTGGGTGGAATTCATGCCGCTAATGAAACACAAAGGGTTAATCATACATTGATACATGACCACACAAACGGACAAACTCCTACATCTTCTTTGAACATTAATAATTTACTGCTCTCCTTCTTCTTCTTTGTCTCCTCCTCTTCGACTTCAGCCCAATTTCGCTTCCTTTTCGGCCTCACCAGAAACTTTTGTTCATTGAATGCGATCTGGTTTGCCAGCCTTACAACTTTGGTTGATGGATCCAAACAAAGTGGTGGTTCAGTGCGAGGCTGCGAGAAAAAAGTCAGTACTGAATGAATCTGTTGAGAGAGAAGGTTTTTTGTTCTGTATCTGATTCTTTACCAAGATGGCAGCTTCAACCCTCGTAGCGAAATCCATAGTCCAAGGTGTAGCCTCGCCATTCTCATTGGTAGATGGGTTTGTTGCACTTAATGAAGACATGGTACTCCAAAGAGTCTGCATTGTGGGCCGTAATTCTATGCTGAATATTTGTGGTGCGATTGGTTCTGGTGCTGGGGATGCTACTGGTGGTGCACCACCGTTAGCATCTAATGTGGTGGTAGTAGGGAATGTAGGAGTGATTGGAGTATGAGCCGCAACTGCTGGGGGAGCAGTTACAGGTCGAACTCCTAGTCGATGATCGTGGATACGAGCCACCACCATTCCTAGAAAGGACGGGTGAGAATGTTGGTGGTGGTGTTGGATGCGAAGTTGACTCAAGAAAGGGTACCATTGTGGAAGTTGTCAGCATATTTGAGGACATCGGGCGTCAACTGCTGTTTGTTTACAGCCTGGATGAAGGGCTGTTTGGGTAGAGAGTAGTTCAATGAGCAAAAAAAAGCAGATGATCAATTGCACAAGCATACATTCAATGGACCATTATACTGATATGTAGCATCCTAGAAGAAATAAAGCATATTGGCATTTAGGCCAGTTTAAACAATCACGTAGGCGATAGTTAAAAAGTAGGCCACACTTCGATAATTGACCAAACACCACCAAGACACTAGCTGAAGAGCTGAAGAACAAGTAGGAAGCGACATACCGAGTTCTGTATGTTGAAGTGAGTAGGATGTAGATGAATGGTCATTCCGGGGGCAGCAGTTGGGAATTTAGGTGGTTTTAAAGATATTCTCAATCTTGGAATGGGCGCAACAGCCCCACTAGTAGCATTGCTGGATGGAGGCGTTGGCTGATTGGAAGTGGGCGTAGGCGGCTCCATGGTGCTCATCCTTGCTTGCTCCAAGTGGTTCCACCTCCGGTCCCAGAGAGTGTGTGGGACCAGATTGAAAATAGTCCCATTATGAAAAGGCAAGGACCACGAGGACCCAACCAATAAGACGTGATTTAAGTGTATCAGTGCATTTATGAAATATAAATACACGTGTCGGCCCTGCCTCTTTTGCTAGTTTGATATCTTGAAAGCCTTCAAATTTGTCAACAACGCAGTCCACTAACAACGTCCCAATTCATATCAGGCTCGACTGTTTTCTTTGGTGATCCATACATTGTCGACACTGACACAATCTGGAATACTTTTACCGCCTTGTTAATATCACAGTTGAGGCATCAAGATGAGTGCACCACCAAGGTATTTGAGTATTTGGAGTTTTCTTTTGCATTCCTTATCCTATGAGTACGTACAAACTAAATTCTACTTTTTTTTAGGGGCCTGACTACCTTCATTGCTGATCTGCGGAACTGTACGTGAACTTACACGGCAACGCCAACATCAAATCTCACAGCATTCCACTTGCAACTTACAGGTCGAGCAAGAGAAGCTGAAGAAAAGAGAATAAACAAGGAATTGGCTAATATTCGCGCCAAATTCAAAGGTATCTCTTGGACAGTGACACGTAATCTAAATCGTTGACACCATCACAAACACCCTCACCATGTTAGATGGGAATATGAGCGGATACCAAAAGAAGAAATACGTCTGCAAACTGCTCTACATTTACATTCTGGGCTGGGATATAGATATAGGGCATATGGAAGCAATCAATCTACTGGCCTCTACGAAATACTCGGAAAAGCAAATTGTATACGGACATGTTTGTATATATTTCTTTTTGCCACGGAGTCTAACTGTTCATTTCATAGGGATACTTGGCAGTCACGCTTCTCCTGACTGAAAACAGTGATTTGCTGCGTATGGTCGTCAACTCTATTCGAAAAGATCTAGAAGATCTGAATGAAATATTCAATTGTTTGGCATTACATGCTATTGCCAACATTGGTGGTCGTGAAATGGCAGAGTCTTTGACGAATGATGTTGTCAAGTTACTTGTTTCCAGGTTTGTGTGAATGTTTTGATATCGTGCGCAAAAAAACGAGTAGCTGACCAGATCCGTATTCTAGCACTTCGAGTAACTTTGTCAAGAAGAAGGCCGCTCTGTGTTTATTGAGATTGTTTAGAAAGCATCAAGAAATCATGCCTACTACAGATTGGGCTTCTCGAGTCATTGGAGCTATGGACGATCATGATATGGTATATAACTCAAAAAAAGCCACTTCGACCACACAAACTATCAGCACGAAGCGATCTGAATTCAATTTCTACCTACAGGGTGTCGCTTTATCAGTGACTACATTGGTATTGGCATTGGCGCAACAATACCCAGAAGCATATTCTGCATGTGTTCCTAAAGCAATCAATCGACTGCATAGAGTGAGTTCTTGCAGTGTTTCTTCTATTATCAAATAAGTCATTAACTCAACACTGAATTAGGTCATTGTGGATGGTGAATGTGGCATGGAGTATATTTATTACAAGGTCCCAGTTCCATGGCTTCAAGTAAAGTTGCTTCGTCTGCTCCAATACTTTCCACCAACAGGTTGAATTACCAGTCCTTTATTTTTTTCCAAAGAATACTAATGCGTCTCAAAACTCCACATCAGAGGATCGAACTCTTAGATCAAAATTAGTCGCCATCTTATCAAACATAATCAACAACACCCAAGAAATACCCAAAAACGTACAACACAACAATGCTACAAACGCCATCCTTTTTGAAGCTATATCATTAGCCATTCACATCGACCCCGAATCAGATCTCGTCACGCAATCAGCTGTGCAACTAGGTCGTTTCATCTCCTCCAAAGAAACCAATATTCGATATCTAGGGCTGGAAACCATGGCCCATCTAGCTGGATTTGCCGATTCTTTGGATGCCATTAAGAAACATCAGGATACCGTTATTCAGTCATTAAAGGATAAAGATATCAGTGTGAGACGACGAGCACTGGATTTGTTGTATAGTATGTGTGATCATACCAACTCGAGAGTAGTTGTGTCGGAGTTGTTATTGTATCTCTCTATTGCTGACTATGCTATAAGGGAAGAAATGGTGTTGAAGATTGCTATCTTGACTGAAAAGTTTGCCACAGAGTGAGTGATTGCTACTTTCCTTGTGCAGATTTTTTTTGTTGATGTCTACACTGACGTTTTCGGCACTAAAATATTCAAACGCTTCTTATTAATAGCTACTCGTGGTATGTAGACATCATCTTGCAACTAATCACAATTGCCGGAGACCATGTCAGTGATGACATCTGGTATCGTGTCGTGCAAATAGTAACAAATGTAGAAGAGCTACAAGAGTATGCTGCCAAGACAGTACTGAATACTCTAAAGTCACCAACATGCCATGAAAACGCTCTCAAAGTCGGAGGATATATACTGGGCGAGTTTGGTCATTTGATTGCAAACCAACCAGGTTGTTCGCCTCCCGAACAATTCGCTGCTCTACACTCCAAATTTGGTGTGTGCCCAGTAGCAACCAGAGCCCTACTATTGACCACATATCTTAAATTCGTAAATCTTTTCCCCGAAATCAAGAATGATGTTGGTCGAGTCTTCCAACAATATCGATTCGTAATTGATGTAGAACTACAACAACGGGCTTGTGAATATCTTGCTATAGCTTCGCTGCCAACCGATGAGCTGCTTGTCACTGTATGTGAAGAGATGCCACCCTTCCCTGAACGAGAATCAGCACTATTATCTCGTTTACAAAAGACGATGGGAGATACGGAAGACAAACGAACTTGGGCTATCGGTGGTAGAGATGCCAACAAGACTATGCAGCTTGTGAGGCGAGTTGAAAAGAGACGGCTATCGACTACTCAACAGAATGGTGCTGGTGCTCCTGGTGCAATCCCGAATAGTAATGGTCATGGTGGTAGTACCGAGTCGGATTTAATTGGCCTGTCTCTTGTTGCTGGAGGTGCTGGTGGTTATAATAACGGCAGTCTCTCGACGGCTATTGGACCGTCGAGACAGGTGTTGGATGAAATGTTTAACAAGTTGGTGGTTGGTGCATCGGGGATCTTGTATGAGGATTCAGTTCTCCAGGTATGTATGGGTTGAAGCTGAACGTCTTGATACCATTGGGTTTGTATAGAAGTCTTGTTTTTTTTCGCTCACATCGTGAAAAATTCTGGTATCTAGATTGGGTTGAAATCAGAGTACCACAACCAACTTGGTCGTATTGCCTTGTTCTTTGGAAACAAGTCAACCAGTCCCATAGCCAATTTAGTGACTGACATTGCAGTCTCGAATGAAGTCAAGATCTCCCTGATTCAACCAATAGCTAGTATCATACCACCTGCATCTCAATTCAATCAGGTTTGTATACCATTCTTCTTCGCCTTTCTGTGCTTGATGAATTGACGCCACATCGGTTCTTCTAGATGTACAACATCGAATGTCTGAAAGCAATAACATCAACACCAGAACTCCACGTATCATATAGCACATCAGCAGGCCCAAACCGTCTCGCACTATCTTTACCGATCGTCCTATCGAAATTCCTATCACCAGTCGACATGTCAAACACAGATTTCTTTGGACGATGGAAACAAATCGGTGGGCCACCACAAGAAGCGCAAGTGATATTTAAAACCCAAAAGCCGATAGATCTAGTAGCTGTGAAAAATGTCTTGTCTGGAATCAAGGTTGTGAATCTGGATGGTATTGATCCGAATCCAAAGAACATGGTGGGAGCCTTAATTTATAATTGTACAGAGTTGGGTAAAGTTGGGACATTGTTAAGGTTGGAGCCTAATTTGGAACAGCAGGTACGGAAAGAGCAAAAAAAAAGCTATGTCACAAAGAATGATTCAATGATCAAAACACAACAATGATTTATGATAATGTATTAATGCAACGTTTATATGATAGATGTTCCGACTGACTATACGAAGCACCAATGAAACCGTCACCACCAGTATACGAGACTTTTTGCAACAAATAATCATGAGAATATAAAAAACCATCAGCTTTTAGCTGGATAACTCCTAGCACCAAAGATCTTGGAACCAACTCGTACATTGGTAGAACCAGCTTTAGTTGCATTCTCGAAATCATCCGACATTCCCATACTCAATTCAAGTGTTGATAGTCTATCTTTCAGTGATTCCAGTATCTTGTCTCGGCAGGATTGTAAAGTCTATATTTTGTCATAATTATGTGTTCGAGCAGAATAGAATAAGAGGGAAATAGTAAAGAATTGCATTGGGATGTGAGATGATCATATTCTTTTGTCCCCGTAAATGTGCTGATGAGTAAGGCCGCTTACCACAAAATCAGGATTTGGATCCTTGTCTCCATTCTCTGGCGCTCCGATTGTCATAAGTCCAGCTAGTTTCAGTTTCGGGCATTTGTCCAGGATGTGAGTTGCCACGTCCAACACTTCGGCGGGTTCTATACCACCTTTGGCTAGTATTGATAATCATGAGTTGAAAGTCAGACTATCGTGAGAGGGTCCTTTTTTCGCATCGCGAAAAACAATTACATTCTTCACCACTGGTATTCACTTGCATAAATACTTGTAACGGTGTCGTCCTTGCGTCGAGCACCTTGTTCATTGCATCTGCCTTTTTGATCCCGTCTACCGAAAAAATAAAAAAATAAAATGTTACATATTCTGTGCAAACAAATCCAATGACAGTGCTGGATTGATGTCAACGCACCAATAGTTTCTAACATGTATAAGTTAGGTATAGCTGCCAGGATCTTGGACTTGTTTGATTGCAAATGTCCTGTGTTTGCAACCGTTAGTTAGCGTGCTGCTTGTCGAAGTAGTTGTGTGTAGGTAGTGCATTACCAATGAAGTGCCATTGAATGTCTCGTGGAAGCTAAAAGAAACCGAAGTCGGTCGGTCACTATTTGCAACAGAACGATCATGTTCTTACGATGGCAGCCTTTTCTTGCAGCTCATTGACCTAGATTCATCGAAACATGAATTCATAAGCTTATATGTTCAGAATATCGAAGCCTTGCAACCTGTTGATCACGTACGTACTAGCAAAAAAATTTATGTCAACACTATGCTATAACTTACAAAAGCTCAAATCATACTCCACCCTTACATTTTCACCAAAATGACGATGCCCAGCATCATAAGCAGCCATGAGATCCGATAATGGTTTTGTTTTGCTCACAGCTACAAGCCTAGGCTATAACATCATAAAGAGCGTTAAAACTCTAACATGACTTTTGATGTCGTTGATGACTACCTGGGTTTCTCGTCCAGCTTTCAAACAAGCAGCATCAATACGAGTCTTGATTTCCTTTATATTGTCTGATATCTCTGCGAGACGAGCTTCATCGACCACAATGTCCTCAAGCTTGATTATTGGTTTCGCTGATTCCATTTTGCGAGATTTGGACACGAGGAAGCGAGTTGATATATGTTGATTTGCACGATACAGGGCTTGAGATGAGATCCTATGAGATGTTAGGCTTCTAGTACACGACGAAACAAACATTCAGCAAGCTCCGTGACGTCTTTCGTGAATTGAGGATTGTGATCGCCGCGACGCGTCATAGTGGCAAGCAGCTCTCTTGACTTTGAGAACTTGAATACATTTTGAGAGCTTTTGCCGTTTCTTTTATCACAACACGTCAAAGGTCATCGAAAAGAATGCTATATACTCATATTATTAGATGAATTGCAGCACACACGTCAGCAGTGCGTGAGCTAGATAGATCGCCAGAACTGGTACATGTATGTAACCAAACTCTGTATGAACCTCTTCAAATTTCAGCGTAACCGCTTCCAAAGCGCTGTGGTGGCAAAGAACTAAAGAACTCAAGGCTCCTAATCGAACCTAGCAATCCATTCAGTTCTGACGCGACATGTAAGCCAAAAAGAGCATCCTACGCCTTGAAAATCTAATTCAGATCGTATTCGTCGTGATTCCAAAGAAGCGATCGCTGATTGCATAGGTAGGAAACGGTTAACTGGTAAAATGTGCTTGGCAGCAGGAGATATGATTTGGATGAGAGGGAAAAGTCTATTGATTTGAGGTCTGATTTAACCGAAGCTTTCAAATACTGCTGTAATTTTAGTTTTTTGGTTCTTTTGTTTGGAAGTGCCTTCACTTGTTACTATTGCTCTTGCTGTTCATGCTCTGTCTTTTCGGCCCCAACGCAACATCCACCTCCACACGCCTCTGTACGATACTTTTGATTTCTTTTTCTTGCCACACTATGCAATTCAGTGGTATGTTAGCATTTTTGACGAGAGATGAAACGGTTTGCTTGCGAAATTACATACTTCTGATACTTCATCGTTTCTCACCACTACAGCAGCCTCAACAAAACCCATATCAGGCAAATCTCGAATTGAGGAGTTAATCTTGACCAGTAAGTTGTCTCAAGATGAGTACAAATGATAGCTATTGTCGTTCAGGTTGTCGCGAACCGGTGGCGCAGCTGACGAGCACAATTTTTGCGTTGGGCTTTTTAAATTTCTATGATATTGGTTTTGCCATATTAAATTAATGATGCATATGCAAAGTGTTAAGAAATAACAATATATAAACAATATCAAAAGGGTGCAGCCTTTCATGATGGCAATTTACTCGGGGCTGGCATATTCGACACAGTTAAGGTAGGTACCCCTTCCATTCCAGGTCGTTTAGGTTTAAAGTCAATAACTTTGATACCAGGTCCTGCACCTGTACCAGCTCCAGCTCCACCTCCTGCTGAACTACTGCTATTAGCCGTCTCAACATTCACAGTATCATCCTGAGCAAGTCGTAACTCTAGAGATTTGACCTGTTTATCAAAAGCCAATGCTAAACCCTGAGCTTCTCTATGCCGATCTTCCAGAAGACTCAATCCAAAAGCAACTTTACGTTTCCTTTCTTCGAGTCCGCCACGAGTTGATTCTAGCTTTTCTCGAGTCAGCCTATCAATCATCTTGTTGACATCTTTAGCGGCTGATTGAGCTAGACCTAGATTTGCGACACGGGAATTTAATGAGCTCTCGATAGATGTAAATTTCGTGGTGGCCTCTGTGTGGAGTGGTGTCAAGTCATTCGTCACGGCATTAGATAATGAATCCGTCTTTTTACGTAGAGCTGTGACGATACGACGGAATTCTCGTACTGATGAGACGGATATGACACTACGTTGTCTCGACGGTTTCGTATCACTTTCAGGCGGCGATGCCATGGGTAGATCTGGAGCAGCTATAGGTAGTGCTGAAGGCCTGGCTGGAAGAGCTGGCGGTTTAGGTCGAGGTGGTATCGGTATAGTTGGTTCATCCTTTTCAGGTACATACTCGCCAGCATATATTACAGCTGGATTTATTTCATCTAGTGATCGTGTCCTTCTGAGTGGTCGTCGAGCTGACCGATGCGGGCGAAGTGCTTGGATTTGATGCAACACTTCCTCAGACATGGTCAGTTTGGTAGCTGAATCAGCCAGGGCGTGCTGTAGACGCTTTACAGGTGATGGACCTCGATGATGGTGGTGCTTGACGTTACTATTACTGTTACTGGAATTACTGGGTTGGCTGTTGCTACTGTTGTTTTCACCAAGTCCACCGTCTGCTAAGGCATTATCACCGATTTCTGTACCGGAATTATTTCCCGCCAACAGTTTTGCAGTATTTGATCGTACATTCTTGACTGCATTTCTGGCATTTCTAACTACTCCTACAGCCATCTTTGCTGGAGCTCGTAGTGCAGCGGCTCCTTTCGATGAGAAGGACGGATTTTCTTCTCCATCAGATATAGGATCAGTGACGACAGATATACCGGTTTGAGTAGTGAGACTGCTAGACGTGTCACCGCGATTCACGGCATGTTTGTGATGCTGACCAGCCGAGTAAGATGAAGCGGTGGTTGCCATGGTAGACATGGTTTCAGTTCGACGAGGGTCTTTGCTACTATTATTATCCCATCGTTTTGCAACAGGTGTATCTGCTGTCCCTTGTGTGGTGGATTCACTAGCTGCCATACTAGTAGACGAGTTGGGCGAATCTGTAACAGCACTAGTGAGAATCGCCGAAGCAACTAGACCACCAGGGGTCTGTGGTCGTTCAGCTGGATGCTGTCGATCTCGTTCTTCACGCTCCTTTTGCTTTTCTTTCTTGCGTACTTTCTCGATTTTGCGAGAAGATTTCGAAGGTATACCGGTGTAAACATACTGTACGATTTGATTGATATCATTGTCCCATTCATTGTTACCAGCAGCTGCTAGAATATCTTTACCGCCATCTTGGAGAGACAGGTTACGTCTATGAGAGGGTTTCTGGGGCCTGTTTAAACCAGTGGGTAAACCTGTTATATCTTCTAGCTTGTGGAGAACATCGACCACAGGAGCCACAAACGCCGGTGGCTGCACTGCAGCTTTAGCAGCAGCCAGAGTATCTATACGATGTCGAGTAGCTTCGTCTAGCAATCCAGACAACGGCAATCCATGTTGTCTCTGAAATGCTTCCAATTGATTTCGAAATGCCATGGGTTCTAGATATGGATCTCGAGTATTGACTCCAGCTCCTGTATTCAATTTATATCTCAGACGAGCCATTGCGCCCAAAACAGCCGAGAGTAGAGCTGGATCACACCATCGGCCTTCTTCAACATAATATTCGTCGACTTGACCCATTTCATGGTGGAATTGTTGAAGAGCTCGTATTGTCATGTCACACACAAGTCCGTCTAGCCACCTCTCGTCTTTCAGCATACCGAGAAAGAAGAGGGCTCGTTGCACTGTTCTTGCTAGGGTAATAACAGCAGCGTTTATAGGTGTAGCTGACGGATCAATCGAATAAAGCTGAAAGAACCTAGAAGATGAGAGAATCAGCGAGTCAGAGGCCATTTCGATCATTGTTTGAAAACAGCTCTCCATACTTGTCAGCAATAACTTGTGTCGGGGGTCTACAGGTGAGAATAGTTCGTTCCCCACAACTAAAGCGACGGAGATTCACGTTTACATATAAATTCTCCACATTAGCTTCAAAGTCACCATCTGGTAGTGCAACACATTGTACAGCCGCTGATCCAAACGTTTCAACAGATCCACATACAGCAATACCCAGCGGTGTCCGCTTCATGACAATACCATATTGCAATCCATCCCTTTCATATTCACTAAAGATCCGTTGAACTACGCCCAAATCACCAGCTGTCGGTCCAAACTGCAGAATTGCTACTTTTACAGTTTGTGATGGATCTCCAGTATAGCATAGGAAGGTCTTTGCGATATGGTCACGGGAAGTAAGCCAATCGAGCTGTACGTAGAGGGTATACTGAGCTAAAGATGCTCTCGGTTCGATGAGGGAGACCTGGTTTTTGAAATTATTGGATAGGTTCGCTGCACTAGCCCGTTCTGCGGATAACAGCCTCTTCCCGGCATTCGATGGACTCGTTTGCATATGCGATATAATAAATTAGTCACCAGTATGCTGTTGGGTTGTGTTTTCATGAGAGACCACCAGTGTAAATGAAGCAAGCTGAAACACGTCACAGCAACCTGAAACAGTTTTTAGTCACGTCGAAGCTGCTCGCATCTCGCGTCTGTTCTTTCTCCAAATCGCATTTGACGGTGCTCAGTTGAATTCGATCAGTGGTGGAAGTGTAAGTTCGCGTCTAACTCTGAAGTCGATCTCTTCTTTTGTTTCGAAGGTCAAGGAGATCTGGCAAACTCATACTACCATCATGAGTACATCTTATTTATTTATTGTGTTCAGATGCTCTAGACTGGCTTTCATGCGCCGAATGCGGTCGTGAGAAATCGTCACCACCGCGACCTCACATCTACCAGCAATGATAACGCAATTGAGCTCCATCGTTACGAATCCGATTCAAAGTGCCAAAAGAGACCGCGTTTGAAGTGTTAAAGGAAGTTTGATGTTGGCATCGCCTGATGGGCGAGCAGACTAGAATTGTGGGCGATAGGGAAGGTCTATCCTACGAAGTATCTATGGTAATTTTGACGCCAACTCGGGCTCCAAAAGTTGAATCAGTACCTTCTCTGGGTGTTTGGACGTACGTCAGCTTCTCCTGCTGTTTGAGTGACTTGGCTGAAAAATACTTGAGTTTACGCAGCATTCAATTGCAGGTCGAAGAACAACGTTCGAGGTAGGAGGAGGAGGTGAAAGTGTTCAGCGTTTCTTTAAGTAAAACATTGAGTTTCTGCCTAGTCTGTATTGCCTATGTTATCAAGAAAGAGACGCAGACTTTCCCAATTCTTGGCGGTCGCAAGGCTTCTCACTTGGCTGACAATATCAAGGCCTTAGAGCTCGTCTCGAAATTGACTGATGCTCAAATCCACGAGATGGAAGCTGCGTCTGAATTTGATATTGGAGTAAGTGTCGTGACCGTGCTCAAATCAGCTGGAATCAATGCCTGTACTTACGGCTTACTCAATATCTCGTCTCCCATCTTTCTAGTTCCCTCATGATTTTGTTGGAGCTGGCAAGTTAGAAGACAATCCCTGGCTGAAACTGGGTGGAATAGTTGCCCAACCAGAAGGTGTCATTCCTCAAAACTAGGATTACCGCCTGTGACGTTCCCCAGGTCTGCGAGTGCTATAAATTGTATACAGCTTGTAAAAGTCAATACAAATAGATTATAGCACAAACAAGCTCTGCACGTAGTCCTAATAGATCGCTCGCAGTAGAAAGAGCTTATTTGGCTCCAAGAAAAGAAGGAGTCGGTAGTCAAGCAAGAGATGTCTGAGTCTAGAGATCTTCGGAACGATCTGTGTTTTGTCTTGAGACACCTCCGAGAGTATCGTTGATGTGTCGTTTCTGAGGTTATATCCCTGATGTCATCACATTAAGTGAATATACCAAGCCAGTAACTCCTAATGTCACGTATTGTGATTCTCAAGTGGGCTAGTAATCTTATTGTTTTTGCAATTTTCAGCGACTGCACCAAAAGATGGTTCAAATACAAGTCAAACAAGCCGAGGACGGTAAGAATCCTTTACATTCCACCTACAATGTATAACTTGCTCTTGATCTTTCAACTTACTTGGGTCATTCTAGCATTATTTCTATTTGAAACAACAGCGAAAACTCCAATCTCTGAACTACTTGAAGAGATAGTTAAGCTATGTAATCGACGCCTTCAACTGCTATCTGTCATCCAAGGTAATTCTGCTTGCCCGTAGTTACTACTGTTGGCCCAATTGAAAGAACATCAACATCTGAATTTTATACATGTAGAACTGAAGAGAGTCATTCACACCGGACCAATGCAGATAATTCCATCTGACAATGCGGATGAGGATGATGAAGATGAGGAAGGACAAGAACCTAAATTGTCACCGCCAGAAGAAAAGGATCGTGGTATGCTCATTTCGAATACAGGCATTTTGTTGGATCTGCTGATTGTTCGCTCTGTACTTTAGAGTTGCTCGAAAAAGTCGCTGCAAATTCAGAAGCTGTGGTATCCAAGGTATTGTCGTTGCGGGATCTCTCCCTAAATTGTCAAGAGATCGTTGACAAAACTTTCGAAACCTAGGACTTGATACCAAAAGGACATGTTTTGACACTAGAGAAACTGAACGAGGCCTTTTCGGATGTAACGGAAGTGTGTATGGGTGTGTTTCCATCTGGATTGCCGGCTTGGGAGCCCCTACGGATGGTGTTGGAAGGGAATATTTCAGACCTTAATTTGAATGTATGCTCGAAGCGTAGTATCCACCTTTTTTGTTGCAAATCTTTACCTCGTTGTACTATTAGGGCAAACTGGTCGCATCAGACACATCACTCTGGTGGGCTAGTAAAGAACTGCAAGTGGATAAGAAGCTTTCAGATTATGTGGGTGTGAATGAAAAGACAAAGATTGTGGCCAAGTTGCAAAAGGTTGGTGCAAAAAAGCCCTACGATCAAAATCCTGCATAGACTCAAAATCTCTCTGCAATATTAGAAAGGCAGCAGTGCTCCGGTCAAGGAAGCTCCGTTGGATGAAATGGGACAGAGAAATCTCATGGCTTACTATTACCGCAAGCAAGAAGAACACAAGAAACTAATGGAGAATGAAGATGACGAGTACCTATCTTCTACATGGGCAGACTCGAAATCGTTGAAATCTGCATTTAATGGGATGGCGTCGATCTCACTCGGGCCTCGTAAATAAGCGTGTTTGAATATTTATAAAATGTATACATTATTCAATATGACTTGTATCTGAAATTCTTCAGACCCGTGTTTTGATTGTTGTTTTCAATGCACCACACCACTAGAAGTTTCAGCGATGGGAGGATATATAATAGCATCCCCGAATGAGATCAAGCAATTACAAGAAGCAGAGGCACGCAACTCACGTATTGCTCGACTCAAGCAGGTGCGCGGTGCTCAAGATCAAAATGTCTAGCATAATGAGTTTAACTTTTTGTTGTTTTTGAAATTTAGGTTAGAGAGCAGGAGAGGATACTAGCCGTAGGAAGGAGATCTAACTATAGAACTATTGCGGATGAAGCGTGGCATGATGTTGCTGAAGTATTACAGGTGAGAGATCTTGTTATCAAGAAATTCAATCATTTTATCTTTTATGGAAACGATTTTTTTGGCATTCACTAGGAGTCATGGTCGTCAAAGAGGATACATGATTTACATGAATTGGAAGCTCTCAAGTCGAAATTGATGCTGCAGCTTGGGTTTTCTCATCGTCAAGCTGAACAAGTTTCTGCTCAACAAGTTAGTGTTATTTTGCAGTAACCTGACTGTTTTGCCAATACTGCAAATTTATTTACGTATATTAATTCGATTGTATACAGATAATTATGCGACAAGAACTCATTGATATGACGCTGAAACGACAGACTGAGGAAGCAGAAAGAGGAAATTATGCCTTGACAATGGTAATTTGTGGTCAAATTGAAGCTTTTTTGGCCTAAATTATGAACAGAACTGACGCAAATCGAAAACATAACAGGTGGAATTAGAGCGTCAGAAACTCCTCGAACCAATCCACCAACAACAGCAACTCCGTACATCAATCTACACCCACGAACGTCAACGAGCTTCCAAAATGGCTGAAAAGCATCGATATAAACTCCTACATAGTGCTATTGACGTTGACCTTACTGCTCACGAGCGACCTCATCACACACGACCGTCTACACAAGCATCGAAAACGGCATATGATGATACAATGTACCATCGAGATTATGTTGTTACGAAGGTGGATAATACTAGTTTTGCAGGTGATGCGAGGTATAGAGTGAATGCTATGGAAGCAGCTCCGAGAGCTTCTGCTATTGCTCAAGAGATGTGGGAAAGGCATGCTGAGAGGAGGGCACAGTATGCTGGTGTTGCTAAGGAGAGATATGTGGATGCTATGCATGATGTTCAGATGGAAAAGGTGAGACAAGTGACCTGTAGAACATCGGCAAGTAAAGGTTTCTTGGCTAAACCTACTCATTTTTTGTCCGAAAATAGCAAAAGCAACGCATGTATGGTTTGCTCGAAGAATTGCAAAAGGACTACATACGTGAGAAGCAGTTACAGCCTAGAAAAGAAACGGTGGATTCTAGAGTCCGTCTTGAGAATATTGAAAAGACTTTTGAGAAGAATTTTGGGATATATTTGGGGTGAATGACCTTTGGTCTTATGTGTTATGTAGCATTTTCTTGTACTTGTAATAAACAGCAACTCACACATACCAAAAAAAAGCGATGGTACGACCCAACCAAAAGTCCGATTGACGCATTCAAAATTTGAGAGAAGCACAGCAAGAAATGTGGAGGGAGACACAGTTGAATGGACGTCACTTACGTGCATAGAGCTAAACTTGTTACTATGATGCGTTGATTGATGGCGATGTGCTGTTGTAATTCATAATTATTCTGTTGGTTTTGGTCGAAACTCAACGACCAGTTGTGTGTATACCCTTTACGACTTCCCTACCATCTTTCCTCCCATCACTGCAATGCTGGAGAAGATCTAAACCGCATTCTTTACGTGCCCAATGACATAATGGCAAGCAAACAGAACAGATCAAATGCTGTTCTCCTCAGCGTGTTGGACACACTAGGAGTTAGGACGCGCCTTGGTGGTGCCGCACTCTGAAACGCCAGCGTTGACTTGCTCACATTTGACAGCTGATGCCATCATTTTGACAGCTAAAGACATGACCCATTTCTACATTTCTTACAACCAAACAAATTGCATTGCTCAGCTCAGCAATTAAAAGTACCACTTCAGGACTACACCACTCTCATTGGGCCTACAAGGAACCTTAGAAGAACATTCGCTACATGAAGAACACGAAATGGGCTGTCACAATGTTGACAGTTCTGCTGTGGGCAGCTGGAATCTTTGCTGCTGGAAGTGCTCGCTCCTCCAAATATGGCACTTCGATCCATACTGGCAAGGTACCATCCCTCTCGTCAACGTTCAACTTGAAATTTCCATCATGCCTGACGACATTTCAAATGCTTACATCCGTTTTGATGATTGTAGACGCTCCAGGAACTCGTAGATAATGGCTTACGGATTGCCATGATAGTTGGTTCTTCTGGCAAAAAATACTCGCCGGCCTATGAAGTCTCTGCTATCGCAATGTCAACCACCTTCTTCCCAGTTACTGAGGCTGAAGGAATTATTTCTACATTTGGTAATGATGGTTTTGGACGAGCTACAGATGACTTGTATGTGGCTTTCGTTGGAGACCCACACTTGAGACTCTTCCAACTTGCCAAATGTGTTGGTGGTGAATCTGAACGAATCTTGAAAATTGGGTCGACTGTTGAATATCAACCATCGTCTGGAGCACCATTTCACATTGGGAGTTCTTTGACAAAGGTAAGTATTTATTCTGTTGTCTTGGTTGCGTCTTTTGGCATATGAAAGCACAATTGACACCTGTCAAAATTATAGAGCTGGCAGAAGTTTAACTTTGTACAAAATACTGCTCTGGACAATGTACGTGACTCATTCAAGCACGGATATATAATATGTGTTGAAGCGTCATCCATTTCTTATCAGAGTTGGAAATATGAATTGGCTCAAGCATACCGAGGCAATGACTGGATTACTATTTATAAACCAAAGTATTCAACAATCAACATTGCTACTTCTGCTCCCTCTGGTAACGAAAATGCCAAGCCTCTCTACAGCAAAATTTGTAACATGAAACCTTACTCACAAAATCGTTTAGCTCCTGTAACAGGAGGTTTCTTTGGCACACTATTTGGTGGTTATTCTCAACCGTCTGCTCCTCCAGCTACTGATTATGGCTTCTATGAACCATCAGCTCCTACCGCTTCATATGAACCATCTGCCGTACAAGACTCTTGGTCTTGGTGGTCTTCGCCTGTCAAACCCAAAATCAAGTATGAGCAGGCAAGCGAAAATAATTCTAGTATTGATTCTATTATGTTGACTAGCAAATGGTAATCCCAAACACTCTTCCAACAATCCTAGACTCTGAAGAAGCTTTACGATGATGGGCTCTATGGATCTCTAGTATTCGCACCGACAGATGAAGCAGCTGCTTGGATGCCAGGAGAACCATTTACCTTAACTGCATTTGCAGTTCCCAAAGACTATTATACTGTCAAGCGGGTCCTTGACAAGATTGACGGTATCTCCGGTCTTGTCCCTGGCATTCGCTTTATTACCATCAAGGGTGATACACAGGGAAGACTGTTTGAGCTCAAGAAATATGGTGGTGACTGGGTTATTGACCGTGTAGAAGACAAGGGGATGGAAGGGGCACCATTCGAGCTAGAAGGTCGTCTTAAACAGGGTGATTTGAAGCACGCTTACTTTGCGTATAATGAGTTCAAGTTTGTGCCTTGGTATACTGCCGAAAAAGTAAGCTCCCGTTTGGTTAATATTCACAAACGTGACGAAGAGTAAATGGCGAGTAACTCGTTTGCAATATAGGGATATGTCAAAACAGCAGTCTTTGGAACCAAAACGGTTCCTGTATCATTTGTGCAAGGAATTTATTATGATTCGGTAATAGATCTCTTTTCTATGCCCGTTGGATCGTGGTCATAGGCATCATGACGTTGGTTTTTATCTTACAAGGATATACACTAGTTGCCTTTGTACTCAATAGAAGTCTTATATTCGATGCAAACCCACTCTGATCTTTGTACTCTGAGACTGTTGATGCCAGTTTCGTCGAATACTTTTTCATGGCAGAGTGCGAGTTGAATTTCCTTACGAAGAACAAATCACTTATGCATGACAAGACGTGCTGAAAGCGTTCACACTTGACTGGCCAACGGTAGAAATTACCATTCAATGAACGTAAAAAATCCTCAAACAAGGTTTGCTTAATCTCAAATTGTGTTTCGTACATTCAGATGATGAGGTAAATAGTACTTTTTATATCGTTCCAGAAATAACAGCCATAAAATTACTCATAGCCAACACAAAGTTTTTCCTTCGATCCATTTCCAGCACGATTCGTTCCACGGCTTCGTTCTTGATTGCTTTAGCCGCCTTCTTCTCACAGGCATAGCACTTGATTCCATCGAAACTTTCTGCCTTGCGTTCGTCGAGTGGTGTCTTGGAAAATGTGTGGCCGCATGGGACTAGGATCATGGGGTGCTCGAAACGTTCGAGGGTTAAGGGACACATGCATGCAGTCTATGTTGGAGAGAGGAGAGATGTGTTACAAGATTGTATTGCAACGGAGCCAAAAAATGACAGAGGGGTTGAGCCGATGCGAATTGTATACCTCGAGTGCCTCTTCCATCATCAAGAACTCTTCTAAGCGCGCTCGAAGATCACGTTCGACCGTTTTCAGCTAATTTGGTTGAGTGTAATGGGTTAAACGAATAACAGGACCGTAATAACCAACAGATGTATCAACCTTTTCTGATCGTATATCCACCGTATGCTTGGATAGAGTGGCAATCTTCGCCTTCATGGTGGCAACCAAGTCTTCCTTGTCTGTTACATTTGTAGATGAAAAAGTAAAAGTTAGCAAAACGGCAACAAATCAAACGTTCCGAACGCAAAAGGTGCAAACTTTTCAAGCCACTAACCCATCAAAGCTTGTTTATAAGTCTTAACATCAGCCTGCAAAAGCGCTTCTCTAGCAGCCCATCTCTTTTCCATCTCGGCCAACATTTCAGGATCAATTCCCACAGACCCATTCGTATCATGCACAATCTTGACTTGTTCAGCAGCCAACTCAAGTTGATGCTGCTGTTGTTCGGCTGCACTTGTAGCTTGTTTGTCGTGCAACTGTTTTTCTCGTTCTTCTTCGGCTTGACGGTGTTGTTGTTCGAGTACGGATTGTTGTTCGAGTGATTTGGCGAGCTTGATACGTTCCTCGGCCAGTTTTCGTTCGTAGTCGTCTTTTTGGTCTCGTTGCTGGGTAAATAAGACAGGGTTCGATCACAGAAACACCGGTCAGCGTCAACAAAAAAAGAATACAGAAAGCGACCATTGCTAACCTTTAAGCCCATTTCAAATATCTCTCCTTCCTTTTCTCGAATGGTGTCCTCCAAGCTCTTGATTCGTCCAAGCAGTTCTGTTCTTGTGCCTTGCAAAACCTTGACTTCGTCTTGAGTAAAGTGATTCTGTCTCTACAGCCAAATGATTTGATATTTGTATCAGAGACGGAATAGGGTAAAAGCAAAGCGAATCTTTCGATGCATACTATGGATAATTGAGCAGCTTGTCTCGCTTCTTGAAGTTCCACATTCATCTTTGCAATGACCTTTTGTTGATCTTCGTATCGACTTGAAAATGTTTGTATTTGCTCAGAAAGCTCTCGATTCTTGTTGGTTAGGGTTCTAGAAGAAATGTGTAAAGTTAGACGGAAGCCTGACACACAAAACAACTTCATCGCGGGATGGTCAATATTTTGACAAATATGCATACGTGACTTTTCCTTGCAGCAATTTATTCTCTTCACCCTTTGCAGTCTCTGCTTGTTTAGCTCTAGCAACGACATCTTGTGCTTGAGACACTTCCTGAGCCAATTCTCGGTACTTTTTTTCAGCAGATAGAGCAGCGACTCTCATTTCATCCAACTCGAATTCTAGAGATCCTAGCTTGTGATTCCACGTAGTACTTTCACGTTCCATTGCAGCTATTTGTTGCGTCTGATGTTCCCTTGCCAACACAAGTTCCTCGTTGGACCTATTCGGGCAAAAGGATACACCTGAGAGACCCAGCAGAGGACGCTGAAATCCATTGGCCAACACCATACTTTTTCAGATCTTGTTGAGCAGCGACCATATCTTGCAACAGGGTCTGCAAATCAGCAGTAGACTGAATAGCACGCGTCCGTCTCTCAATCTCAGTAGAGAGCGATGCAGCTAAAGCCGACACATTTTTATCCACGACAGTTATAGACTGCAATCGCTTCTGGTACTGGGATATCTTATCATCACGTTCTCGTATCGACGCTAAAAATGAGATGAATGTTTGATTCATGGTGATGAAGTGACGCAAATGCCACAATAAGTTGGATCAAATTGGGTGAGGATACCTTTGGTAGTATTGAATTCCTGCTTTATGACATCCATTTGGCTCTTGAGACGCTCGATCTCGACATCTTTGTCTAATCAGATAAACGCGTTAATATATTTGTAGCAGCGTTTGAAGAAGCTTCAAAGATGATACATGCCATGGCACGTTGAGTTTAACTTCGAAATGATATCCTGGAGCACGGCGACGACCGGCAATCCCTCTATTCGCCGTTCTCCCATAATCTTCGATCGCAGCGAGTCAGAACAACAGACAAACCAAAAAGATGGACGACACCGACTCAGATATCGATGTGCCTCTACCAAAGTTCACGTCTTCGGCCGGCTCGAATAATAACAGATCGAGAAACTTGACCGGAGCGTCCCGAGGGCAGAGTGGTGCTATGAATGCTAGTCCTGAAGCTATCAAATTGTGGAGGTCACTAACTGTTCCTGAACCAACTGGTAATATATAATATTCCCTGATTTTTCACCGGTCTCCTTTTCTGTTTCATTGCTTGTTCTTTGGTTATTCCACCTGATTTTGCATCAAATTCTCATGTACATTTCTACCATGTTTAGATACCCACACCATTCAGGCATCATTTGTAAGACATGCTACACAGACATTGGTATGTAATCGCTACTTGTTTATCGCTCTACTTTATATCCTATTTCTTAACGCGATTTCCGCATATCATACGTTATAGGCAAGGAGCTCGTTCAGTATGTTGATGAATGTCAAGCTGATAAACAAGCGGTCAGCCTGACGTTGAGTCAAATACCTTTCACTTCTCATATAGATATGGACACGTTTGCTGCATATCAAGCCACTGCATACAGGTCAGACCTTAACTTTGATTTGTCCCTGACCACCAAAACTTTGTCTTCTTACTCGGCCAACATACACATGTCAATAGTGTGCGAGACAGACTCATTGAACGATGGAATCGAACACAACAGCATTTCACTTCAAAGGATCCCAAACGTATTTATGTAAGTACGCAAAAAAAGAACCTTGAAGCACAGAATACTGACACGTCAGAAACCTTACCACCTTCCTTAATAGTACTTGTCATTGGAATTCTTACTCGGTCGAACATTTGATTCAGCAATCCTGAATCTAAACATGAAGGACAACTATTCTGGTGCTTTGAAAGATCTTGGATTTCGTGTAGAAGACCTTATCGCTGAAGAAGTTGATGCTGCACTTGGAAATGGTGGTTTGGGACGACTTGCGGCTTGTTATATGGGTATGATAAGCTTGAAAGATTGATGTTGGCCCTGTCTGCCATCTTCGATTTGTGTGCAGTGCAGAACATTGTTTTTACAAGATTGTCCTTGATTCGTAGATTCGCTGGCTACTTTGGACTTACCTGTTAGTCATTCTCCTGTACTGCCTTCTTGTTTTTCCTCATGCTCACATCGTCGTCACTGATAGGCATGGGGTTATGGTATCAGATATACATATGGTATTTTCCAACAACGAATCATTGATGGCTATCAAGTCGAGGTAACCATTCAGTACCTCTCATACTCTCTTTTCTTGTCCAACTACGACCGTCCACTGACGTCTGATAAACTTTTGTTTAAAATAGTTTCCTGATTATTGGCTGAATTTCGGAAACCCTTGGGAGGTCGAACGATTGGATGTTTCATATGACGTCCGTTTCCGTGGATATGTCAACAAACTTCAAGCATCTGATGGTTCTGCACGATACTCTTGGGAGGTGCGTTATAAAATCTGAGTCCTTTTGTTCGCCCTCGACTCACGCACACTTACTGACAGGGCGGTGAAAAAGTAATTGCTGTTGCATACGACTATCCCATACCAGGATTTGGCACCAACAACACGATCAATATCCGATTGTGGAGTGCCAAACCAACTCGTGAATTCGATTTTGCAAGTTTCAATGACGGAAACTATGACAAGTCTGTCGAAGAGCAAAAGGCTGCTGAGAACATTACCTCTGTGTTGGTATGTAGCGCAATTGGACCATTCTAACAGGCTATTTCTTTTTGCTCTGAGTATCCACACACCAACGATTCTTCCCCGCTAGTATCCAAACGACAACCACATGGTTGGAAAAATCCTACGTCTAAAACAGCAATATTTTTTCGTCTGCGCAACGCTCCAAGACATTATCCGTCGATTCAAAAAATCGCATCGTCCATGGTCTCAATTCTCGGATCAAGTATCCATTCAATTGAATGATACCCATCCTACTCTCAGTATTGTTGAATTGCAACGTATCTTGATTGATGAAGAGGGTTTGACATGGGATGAAGCTTGGGGTATTGTGACAAAGACTTTCTCGTTTACAAATCATACGGTTTTGCCTGAAGCTTTGGAGAAGTGGGCCGTGCCTCTTTTACAGGACTTGTTGCCGAGACACTTGTTGATTATTTATGATATCAATTTGGTAACGATGAGATCAATTGCTTGATATCAATGGAGCATTGTTTTCGCTCACTTATTTTATCATGGATTTTTTTAGTACTTCTTGCAAAGTGTTGAAAAGGTCTTCCCTGGTGATCGTGATCGTTTACGCCGAATGTCCATTATTGAAGAGGTATGGTTTGTTCCGTCTACTTTACATTTATTCGCTCTTTGCTCCTTTTTTTGACATCCTTGTTTCTTTAGGGACATCCTCAACATGTCCGCATGGCGTTCTTGGCTGTTGTTGGATCGCACACCGTGAATGGTGTCGCAGGTAAGCTGGGTCTTCCAATCGTATCTTGCTCGCCGCTCCTTTTTTGCGCCCATTTCTGATTTCAGAAAACTTTCTTGTGCTAAAATCAAATATAATATCTCTTAGCCTTACATTCAGAACTCATCAAGACCATGGTAAGTTTCGTCTGCAGTCGTTAAAATCATTGCAAGCGGAAAACTAAGTCAAACCCGATATTCTTATCAGATCTTCTCAGACTTTGTTGAATTCTTTGGCAACCCACGATTCACCAATGTCACAAACGGTATCACTCCTCGAAGGTACGTACATACTAGAAATGTTTGTGCTTATTTGTGTTCAGATACAGCACGGTTGGGTTTGAACACGAAAATCGTTCGCATAGATGGCTTCACCAAGCAAACCCTAAACTCAGTACCTTGATCACAAACAAGTTGGGTGGTTTACACTGGCTCAAGGTATGGTTGTCTTCGACACTTCGTGTTGCACGAACTGCTTTCTTTTTTGTTCGCCATCCCATATTTTTCAACTCTTGTAGCATCTCGATGAACTAAGCGCTTTGAAGAAATATTGTGATGATCCAGCATTTCAAAAGGAGTGGATGGATATCAAGCGATTCAACAAGGTGATTACAAACGAGCATTTCCGTTTTTTGGTTGCTCAATCCAACAAGTATATTTTAATTTTGTTGACATAGATGCGATTGGCCAAAACCATCAAACAAACGTGTGGTGTGGACGTATCCGCAGATGCTCTGTTTGACATCCAGGTAAAAAAGAGCCGTCCGGAAAACAGAACAACGTTTTGTTGAGATCATGACTTGTTGCAACGTCATCCTCGTGCTAACTTCCGTTTTCTGTTAGTGCAAACGTTTACACGAATACAAGCGTCAATTTATGAACATCCTGTCAATTATTTTCAGATACCAGCGATTGAAAGCCATGACCAAGAGTGAAATCAAGAATGAAGTACCACGAGTACATATATTTGCTGGAAAGAGTGCACCTGGATACTATATTGCCAAGCTGGTTATTAAGTATGTGTTGTGAAATGAGTGAGATATGGTTTCAATGATCATTTACGATTTACGATATTTTTAGGCTGATCAACAGTGTTGGTGATGTTGTGAACAAGGATACTGATACTAGAGACTACCTCAAGGTACTTCCGATTCCGGTGTTGGTCGTTTTTTACCTTTTGGCTGATTTACAAATTTCTTTTTCGTTCCTTAGGTTGTCTTTATTCCCAACTACAACGTCAGTATCGCCGAAATCATGATTCCTGCCTCAGATATCTCGCAACACATCTCAACTGCTGGAACTGAAGCATCTGGAACATCCAACATGAAATTCGTGTTGAATGGAGGCTTGATTTTGGGTACTGTTGATGGGGCCAATATTGAAATAGGAGAGGAAGTTGGACCTGATAATATCTGGTTGTTTGGTGTTTTGGCTCATGAAGTGGATGATATTCGACATGCACAGACGTGAGTGCATTCATTCTTGCATTCATACGGTTTTTTGCGTTGGTTCCAAGCTTGAGTTGATCTTTGGCCTTGTAGGTATCAATTGGTAGAAATGGATCCATCATTAAAGAGTGTAATCCAGAGTATACAACATGGTGACTTTGGAGATTCAGTCATTTTCGAGCCTTTGTTGGGTGAGTGTTAGAGGGGTCAGAAATCTTCATGGTTGACAGATATAGATCATACTCAATGCGGATTTTTTGTCCTTAGCTACCCTAACTACTGGTCATGATTTTTACTTGATCAGCAAGGACTTTGAATCATGTATGTGCAGCTGTACTTTAGAATTTGCCACTTTTTTGTTTTGTTTGCTCGACCTGAAGCTAAATTCTTCTCAAAAGACTTGGATGCTCAAAAGAAAGTGGATCTAGCTTTCAAGGATCGAACTACATGGGCGAGGAAATCAATCAATGCAGCTGCTGCTATGGTAAGAAACATGTCTGTGGTGGTTGGAAAAACAAAAAAAGGAAAGGTCTGCCAGCGTTAATCCTCTGATTGCTTCCAGGGCAAATTCTCGGCGGATCGAAGTATCCAAGAATATGCTACACGTATTTGGCATGCTGGTCCCGTCACTGTCCCAGAATGATCCCTCTTGTGTGTAGAAAAAATGCGATCAACAACGAAAAAACTCTTTTTACAAAACTCAAAATGATCCAACAAAACATAACAAGAAACACCCCCAAGTCTCATTTTAAAAAGTGTCTTCTTGTTATTAGAAAGCATTGCCTGATCTGAAAAGGGAAAAATACAAAACATCTCTAGAAAACATATTTGGTGTGATTATTGACATCGTTTATGGCTTACGTTTATACCTTTTTGGATTGGTCTATTTTGGATATGTGTGCTTCTAGAATATTGTGGTTGACGATTTGTCCTTGTGTAGTAGGTACGCTGGCTACTCAGCCTTATCCCGGCCATTCTCAGTCATACTGCTATCCGTTTTCTTTTGCAAAAAGCCCATATTGTCGTCACTGATAGGCATGGGTTCATGGTATCAGGTATGCTTACAGTATTGTACAAGAACGAATCATGATGGGTATCCGCTCGAAATGGCTACACCACCACCGAATTATTAAGAATCCCGGTTGGTTCGTTCCATCGCAATATAGTGCGTCTTTTCTGACAGACCCAGCTTATCGAACCCACGGTAGTTTGAAGAATCCTTGGGGTGTCGAATGATTAAACGTTTAAATGACGTTCGTTTCACTTCATGCACGAACTCTTGGGAGGTGCTCATAAAGGTCTCGTGGTTCGTTTTTTGCCCTTGACTTCACTCAATTCAGTTATGAGTGAATAAATCAATTGCTGCTGCAACTATCCCATTGCTACCAGGATGTGGAACAAAGAACACCTGGAGTGCTCAAAGGAACGCAGTGAATTCCATTTTGCCAGTTTTAAATGACCGTCTATTATGACAAGTCGGTTGAAGAGAGAAGAGTACCGGGGATGTGTTGGTATATCGCTCATACAATATTGTTATTTAAGGCCATTGTTGCTCTCAACAGTGACACTACAAAATCTGTTGGCTTACAAGTGTTCTCTATGTACAATGGTTTCTTTACAAACTCTAAATGTCTAATTATTATCCGGTGCTGAAAAAAGACAGATCTGCGACGCAGTGATCATGCTGTCCAATGTCAAACACGATGCTGGGCAATATTGAGAGCTGGCGATAATGATTTGAGATCATGAAAATCTCCAATTGCTAAACCAGCTAGACCTAAATACGAATGTAGCAAATCTGAAAATTTAAGGTGGTTAAACGATGGAGAGAAAACAACTCGTTTGAATCAGCGCTATGGTTACCCGGATATGACTGAGGCTCCTTCCCAAAGCCTCCCATCTGAGATTCAGTAGTAGCCAGAAAACGTTCATTGGCTGCCTTATCAACAAAGTGGTAGGCGTCTAGTAGTTTTAGTGATGCGCCAATCCAGAATGAGTAGCCTAAACAATGGGAGGTCAGCATATATGCAAAAAAACACCACTTCATCCGCGAAGCAACACCGACAAGTATCAAGTGGTTTATTGGGCCTTCCGTTAAATCCAGAGAGTTGACGAAACAGTAACCACCGTATTGTCGCATCTCGTATCTTTGGAGATGACAGCACTTGAGGTATGGCACTCATGAGTGATAGTGATGCTATAGCACAGTATGTTGAACCACCGTGAGATTCTAGGTTCGGGGATTGTGCGAATCCACCGTCAAAGTTCTATAATACTGCTGATGAGAAACAAGTGTCTGAATCGGCGTGCAAAACAAGGAAGAAAATTGCAACCTGGCTATTCAGTATGAATGACACGGCAGCTTGTTGATTTACACCCCGCCAGTCGTTAAGGAAAGTGCTTACGGCACATGCACAGTACAAGAACCGCATATCGGATTCACGGCTTCCCAAGTATGGCACAAAGCTATTTGCGATTTCAACTTGGCGTGTCAGATCAAGCGAAAAAACCAAATACCTAGTCTGGCTAATACCTTCCATCAGGTTGCTGCAACTTTTTCAGCGTCACCACAATGTTTTCCTTGTTAACGCGACTCATGTCATCATCCAGTATTCTTAAACATGCCAATGCAGTATAAGTCATTGCGATATGGCCCATCTCTTGAGTTGTATACACCCTTTTAGTAGTGTCGAACGAAGCTCCGGTGAATGTCGAGCCTTTGAAGCCTCCACAAACCGTGTCATTTTGAGCATCTTAATATGAATTCTCGTTAGAAATGGGCTTTTGGTTTGGATCTGACAGGTCTGGGTACCTCCAATGACTTGGCAAGCGTAAATCCAGTTGATGCATCGTTCTTTACGTGATTTCAGGGCGGGCGTGTCGATTTCACCTAGTAAATCCAGTGCAGCCAAGCAGAAATAGAGTAATGTCATCCTATTTTCCGTGTTTTACTGATTAGTATAGGTGCAAAAACACGTTCTTCAAAACATCGCGACTGAATTGATTTTTCGTACCTATTTGAGTCAGCCGACGTGTACTGAAACGATAGCGTGTCGACACAGTATACGAAATATCTGACAGTCTTATTCCGATCGGTTAGTACGGTATTGTTGCTGCTCATCATAATAGCTTAAACAATAGTGGACCGTTGCGCAACAGCTGGAATTGTTTAGAGCGAATAAGGAGAACGCTTCCAGCGATGAGTATCTGGACAGGTACGTGAAGACGTTATGAACTCTCCTTAATTCTTTGTCTTAGTCTGTTCATGCTATCGTCGAGCTATACGCTAAAACGGCACATTCCGAACTGTTCAATAGCGAAAAAGGACGGCGCAAATGGCATCGAAGGTAATTACTATATGGATTATGCCGCTGGTTGACTTCCATTTCCCCTTGGTTTCCTCCGCCGGAATGAGGCTGGGTGGACATGAATTTTATCATCAAACACGAGCAACATGTTGTTTGGAAGCACATTTAACAATATGTACCCTAGATATGGTGTTGCTATCAAAGGTCACGGACGATCAAATCGTAGAGAACTTGAGGAAACGGTATGGAGTTTCTCGTCCGTTGAAAAGATAGTCACTGCCAGTTCCACGTAAGCATCGAGCTAACCACAATCTTTCTTATATGACCAGGTCGATGGCAGATCTCATGTTCACGTATGTTGCTGTTACTTTGAAACAATCCGCAGTCTTGTTACTGAATGGGCTTTGATCAATAGATATATAGGTCCTGTACTTGTCGCAGGTAAAAACATCGACATGAACCCAATCCGATACGACGTGATCATTGATACATTTTCCCATCTAGTGAACCCATACAAGAAACTCCCATACTTTACAGAAAAGGAAATCGACACTTATCGTGGCGCAAATGCTTACGAGCACATGCCTCACATATGGGCTGTAGCTGACAAGATGTATGTGCCAAAAAAAGAAAGAATTACCGCGTAATACCAACAAAGATCTAAATATGGTTGTTATTAGGTTTCAAAACATGGTCAGCGAAGGTGAAAATCAATGTGTCATCATCTCTGGTGAATCAGGTGCTGGAAAGACTGAATGTGCTAAACTGATTATGAATTACATTGCTGCCGTGTCTGGTGGTGGTAACACGGTCGTGGAGCAGATTAAACGTATTATATTAGAATCGTGAGTTGCGATTGTTGTTGTCGAGAACTCACTCTTTTGTTGTTGATGATGTGGCACTCTGAAGACATCGCTTCCCACGAAATAACTCTTGTTTTCTACAGAAATCCACTTCTTGAGTCATTTGGTAACGCCAAGACTCTACGTAACAACAATTCGAGTCGATTCGTAAGATTGGACTTGCAAAGCCGTTCGAAAAGTCCAGTTTTTTTTGCTAAAATCTACTATTTGTAGGGAAAATACTTTGAGATCAACTTTAATCGAGGTGGTGCACCAACTGGAGGTCAAATCTTGAACTTCCTGTTAGAAAAGGTATCTTCCAAATATATGGAAAATCAATGACACAAACAGTTTGTTGTCATGCTGGACCGATTTCTCTCTTTTGTATGAAGCCGCGAACTAAAATCCTTCATATCTTTTCAAACACTAGTCACGCGTAGTCGGCCCAGGAAAAGGCGAACGAAACTTCCACGTCTTCTACCAACTAACCAAAGCAACCTCTGGTCAAGAACGAGAAAATCTCGGAATGATGGACCCTAAAAGCTTTAAATACTTGAACGTTAGCAAGGAGTACAATGCTGATGGTATAGACGATGCTCAAGAGTACAAGGAAATGAGAAATGCCATGAACGTGTGTAGTATTAATCAAGCAGATCAAGCTAATATTATGCAGATAGCGGCAGCTGTGCTGCATTTGGGCAATATTGATTTCGTTGAGGAGAAGAATAATGCGCAAGTTCGTGATCCTGGGAGTGAGTTGAAACGACAGATTTCGTTATCATGTGGTTTTATCCATATATATTTACTTTTTTTTTCTTCTCTTAGCTTTGTCATTCCCTGCGTATTTATTGGTAAGATAGATATACGGTAGCAAATATTCTATCAATATTCTGAATTATGTGCTCACTCATATTTGATTTTAGGGCGTTTCTGAAGGTATCTTTTGTCTTGCAAAGTTTACAGAACATAAATAACAGCATTGCTCATCGCTAACATATTGACTCATTAGATGTCCTTCGTGACAAAGTCACAAGTAGAATAATGACCACTGGTGGATTTGGTAAACGATCATCTAATTATCAAGTGCCTTTGAATGTCCAACAAGCTCAAGGAACTAGAGATGCTTTGGCCAAGGTATACTCAAAAGAAGCAAAAAAGGTCACCGTAAGCCGAATAATGACTTTTGTTCTTTTATCTAGGTCTTGTACAGTCGAATGTTTGATTGGATTGTACAAGCTGTAAACACAGCCATGAAGAATTTATCATCGCGGACTGGAGAAGGCAATTTGTGTTTGGGTGTCTTAGATATTTTCGGATTTGAGGTATGTGCACTTGTTGTGACACGGAATGAAATCGACAGATATTCAGCGACCATTTTTTTGCTTCTAGATTTTCGAGCAGAATGGATTTGAACAGTTTTGCATCAACTATGTATGTGCTGGTGATCCTCAGTATTTTTCTTTACATAGATTGACTCTCTTTTTTGTAATAGGTTAACGAAAAGCTGCAACAAATCTTTATTGAATTGACGCTCAAGTCTGAACAAGAAGAGTATGTGAGAGAAGGTATTCAGTGGACACCTATAGATTATTTCAACAACAAGATCGTGGTGGACCTCATTGAGAGCAAGGTAAAGCTTGATCACAGTCACTGAACAATCTGATTTTTTTTGTGGTCTAACATCATAACTACTTAACAATCTTTAGCGACCTCCCGGAATCATGGCCAGTATGAATCCTTTTTGTTCTTTATCTGTTTTTTTTGCGTCAGTTCTTATCGAATTCAAAAAACCTAGTTTTGGATGATGTTTGTTTTACTATGCATGCAGTTACCGAAGGTGCCGACCAGAAGTTTGTACAGGTATGAGCTATTGTGTTCTTAAGAAAGAACTTATCCGAAAATGTCAATTTTTGATTCTCATCGAACTTAAAACGTTTTAGAAATTGGATGAGAGTGTCGCACCTCACAAGGTATCTGGCATTTGCCAAGGCCCTTTTTTCGCTCATTTTCTGATAATTCATTTTGTCCTGGAAAATTTGCAGCACTACCAAGGTCTCCAAAACCAATTCATCATACATCACTACGCTGGATCCGTGACATACGAATGTGATGGTTTCACTGAAGCCAACAAGGACACTCTCTTCAAAGACTTGATCCAATTAATGCAATCCACAAACAACCATTTCATAAAGAATTTGTTCCCCGAACAAATTGATGATCAAGACAAAAAGAGACCTACAACAGTCAGTTTCAAGATCAAGAATCAAAGTCAAGAATTGGTTGATACTTTGATGAAGTGTACACCTTCTTATGTTCGGTATGCAAAAAAGCTACATCTGTTTATCACAATGAACCACCCTGTTGCCTGAACCATTCCTAATTTGACATTCACTTAGTACCATTAAACCCAACGAAACCAAACGGCCTAAAGACTTTGATTCAAAACGAGTTGAACATCAAGTGCGATATCTCAACTTGAAGGGTGAGTCTTTAAAATAGCACTTTGCAACTCAATGACCTGTTAAGCTAATGATTCGTGATTCCTCTATTGTTCAGAAAACATCAAAGTCCGGTATGTCGTATCTGAGGCTCATCAGTTGTGACGCATTATTTAACACAATTCCTCCATGTTTTACAGACGGGCTGGTTTCGCTTACCGTGTAACGTTTGATCGATTCATGCGTCGATTTGGTATTTTAACGGACGAGACGTTCCCACAATGGCATGGTCCAGTACATGAAGGGATAGCCCACATCATGGTACTATTTGGGATTTCCTTCAGCCGATTTTGTTGTTAATCTCTCACACTTTCGTCATATAAGCGTCACATCGAGATGGACAAGAAAGAATGGCAGGCAAGTGCTTTTGAGACTTATCAAGTCTACTTTAAAGATCTAACCGTCTGTGCAATTTTATCTAGTTGGGCAAATCTAAAATATTCATCAAATCACCGGAATCTCTCTTCTTGCTTGAAGAAGTGCGAGAACGTAAATACCATCATTATGCCAAAATCATTCAAAGAGCATATCGATCATGGAAGTCCCGTAAATACTTTATCGAGCTACGAAAGAAGGCGGCTGATGTCATGTATAATCACAAGGAGAGGAAACGTATGAGTTTGAATCGGATATTCAGGGGTGATTATGTTAATTATCTGGATAATCCAGTGTTGAAGAATTTATTAGGTTTGTGTGGTGGTGTGTTGTGTTTTTATACCTTTATTCTGAACGATCGTTGAGACTCTGAAACATCACTTTTTTTGTCTTGTAGGCAAAACAGAAAAAGTTGGTGTAAGTATATTTTTTGAACGTTTGGGCATCTCAGAAATCGACTTGCTAATGCGCAAACGATTCATCTAGTTTGGGCAAGAAGTCACCAAATATGATCGAAAATTCAAGCCATCCAAGTTGGAGCTATTGATAACAGAGACAGCTGTATATTTGATCGGTTTAGATAAAGCTAAAGATGGTCCCAACAAGGGCAAACTTGTAAAGGCTATCAAGCGGAAGATTCCACTCTCTGGTGTTGGTGGTATATCTGTCAGGTGAGCATTCATCTAGCAAGTGTATGCGTGAGGATTGCTAATGATGCCGATTTCTTTTTTCCTAGTACAAAGGCAGATGACTTTTTCGTGCTGCATGTTCCATCAGAATACGACAATGTCTTACAGAACATGTACAAGACTGAGTTGATTACTGTGTTGAGGTACAGAATTTATGTGTCATAATTTGCTTGTTTTGCTTTGCCATTCTCATGCCATTTTTTGAATTAGTGAAAAGTATGAAGCTGCGACTGGTCGCAAACTGCAAATAAACTTTGAGGACAAGTATGACTCTCGATTCCGAAATGATATACTATCAGTTATTCATCTTTCCTGCTTTCTTCAAACTTTAGAATCAAGTATTCTTTAAAGAAGACTTCATTCCAAGGTGGAGGAGCGCAAGAGCTTACATTTATTACTGACGCGGCTGCCAAGAACCCAGTACCCAAACCATCTGGCAAGGGTGCTGAAATACGAGTTCACCCTGGTTTACCAGCTGATTCTAGACCCACACAACAACAAATATCAACATCAACACGACGAACTGGTGGTGGAGGTGGAGGATACAAAGCTCCATCCAACAACAAATACAACACCAACAATAATTCGAGTGCTGGATACTCTATGCCACCACGTCCATCCGGCGGCACGACATCATCTGCAGCTCCATCAAGACCAACGACGTCATCGTCATCAGTTCCATCATCACGCCCCAATGTTGGAGGAGGAATGTATGGAGGAGGAGCACCACCTTCTGGAGGAATGTATGGAGGAGGAGCAAGACCAGGCTCGAATAGCAATATCCCATCGAGTATATCTCATAGTAATATTGCTGCTACTGCTACTCCGTACTCTTCAAACAATAATTTGGCGGCTAGTGCTAATGCTGCAGGAGCAGCAAAGAAGAAGGCTCCACCACCTGTTCCGCCAGCAAAGAAGTTGCCTACTGTTAAAGCACTTTATGTAAGTCATTATTTCTCAGCTTTTGCATTTTGTGGCCTAACACATTCCTGGATTTGTTCTAGGATTACAATGCTACCGAAGCTGGTATTTATTTGTGATGTTCGTGTATGTGTACTGAATTACTAGCTGACACAATTCTCGTCAAATTTATAGATGAGCTGAGTTTCAGAGCTGGCGAAATGATTACAGTTATCAGTAAAGGTAAATGTCTTTTCTGCAGCTTGGTTTTTGTTGGGGTCTAAGCTAAATACTCTCCTCCCCCTTCGTGTAAAGATGATGCTGGTTGGTGGACTGGAAGTTCTAAGGGAAAGAAAGGATTGTTCCCTGCCAAGTAAGACTTCAATGCATTTGTAACGCTAACAATGTTTTGTTGTCTCTACTGTCTGAATCACGCTCAATAATACTCTCTTCTCATGCTTAGTTACGTGCAAGAATGATTTGGATCTTTCTGAACAACGTTGGAAAATGGACGAACGTTTAACATGAGTTACTATCAGACTACTTTTTTGTGGATGATGATTTGGAGAACATGAAGAATATACTTGAAGTTTATACAAAGTATAACCCACACTCTCTCTTTGTTTGTGCAATAGTTGGATACTATTGCCTGTAACAAAGAGTTGATTTCATGTGCTTCTTAAGAGAAAACTACAACGCAGCAAAAGTGTCACCATTGCCAGCAGCAAAAGTGGCAACATCGTGCTTATAACCCCAGCTTTTGCAGGATCACAATTCTACTGAAGCTGGTAAATTGTATTGTTGACACTTTCATCAACTTTTCGAAAAAGTGCATTGATAGTTGTCTCTAGAGGTAAAATACTTTGGAAGGAAACGTCGAATATCCTTGGTTATATGTCTGCTCACTTCTCGCTTCATTACAAAATGCTCCATCCTCACAACCTCTATGGAAGCCCCCTAACCCTACCCCTAGTATTCGTTGAAGAAGACACCATTCCAGGGTGGAGGAGCGCAAGAGCTTACATTTATTGCAGATGCAGCTGCCAAAAATGCAGTACCCAAACCATCCGGCAAGGGTGCTGGCCTATGAGTTCATCCTGGTTTGCCAGCTGATTCGAGAGACACACTACAACAAAAATCAACATCAACACGACCAGAACAGGTGGAGGTGGAGGATACAAAGCTCCATCCAACAACAATTACAACAACACCAAAAATAGTTCGAGTACTGGATACTCTATGCTACCACGTCCATCTGGCAACACGACATCATCAGCACCTCCATCACGCTCATCGTTATCAGTACCATAATCACGGCCCTATGCTGGCGGAGGAATGTATGGAGGAGGAGCAAGACCAGGAGGCTTGAATAGCACACTCCATGTATGCAGACTTTTTTGCCCTCGTCGCTATAGATATTTTGGTTTTCAGGATTACAACGCTACCGAAGCTGGTATTTATTCATGCATGTGTACTGCCAGATCGTTTAATCGGTTTTTATCACATGTTGTAGATGAGCTAAGTTTCAGAGCTGCAGAAATGATTACCGTTATCAGTAAACGTAGTTGTTCGTTCTTTACGATGTCGGTTTTTTCGTCCAAGCTAAATAATTCTGCTTTCGTTCTTCTTAAAGATGATGCCGGCTGGTGGACTGGAAGCTCTAAGGGAAAGAAACGATTGTTCGCTGCCAAGTATGTCGGCACTGCATTCGTCAATCTTCCAATCGTGCCATTTTGTGCCTCTCGCATATGACTCACTCAAAAATACTCTCTTTTAATGCATAGTTAATTGCAAGAATGATTTGAATCTTTCTTTACAAAGTTGGAAAACGGACGAACGTTTCACTATGAGTCAATATCAGACTACTTGCTTGTGGATGATGTGCTTGTGGATCATGATATGGAGAGCATGAAGGATATACTTGGAGTTTGTTACAAAGTACTACCTCACTCTCGCCTTGTGATGCAATATCTGTTTATGATTGTTTTAACGAAAGCAGCTTTTGTCTCCTTGATTTCAGGTCCAAAAAAAACGTTTGAAAATATCTCCCCAATGCCACAGCAGCAATGGTAGCGACCCTATGTTTATGAAAGCCGGTTTTTGCAGGATTGCAATTCCACTGAAGCTCGTCAATTGTATTTGATGTATGCTTTCATCAACTTTTAGAAATGCAATGATTACATGCGCCAGTAGTGACAAAATGCTTTGAATGAAATGTCATTCTTCGTTGACCTTCAATCTGGTCTCTTTTTGCTTTGTTGGATGAATGCTGCCTAGTGGAGCGACCTCACAACCTCTGTGACCCAGGACACAATAGTTGAATGCAATGGAATGGTTCTATTGTCTTTATTATACAAGATTGGACACAGCCGCCCGTATTATCTGAGTAATATCAACGACCTTTGACGATGCGATTTGCGAGCACGAGAATATACTTGAGGTATTTATAGCGACACCACCACTCTTTTCTATAGTGCATACTTCACGATGAATGTTTAGGACTAGGGTCATTGTGCCTTGGGATACTTGTTCTTCAGAGTGTGTTGGGTCGAGTATGACTGTGTTTCTACAGATATGGACTGTGTGAGCTTTTACCTGTTTTTTTGGCATTGCAATGTATGATTGTTTTTTTCACTTACCCGTTATTTGCAACAGCGAACGTTATGCAGATAGGAAGATGATATATGCTGAGTGGTAATGGATGTCTTTCTTCAAACGAGTGCTGTTATGAACAATAGGGTAAGGACCTCGTCCACAAAAAACGAGGTGTTCTCAAAGGTGTGGCATGTTCCTTACTATCACAATCCCAGCCTCATGGACAGTAACATCATTCCTCCTATAATGCATGAGCGCACTAATAGCAGCAATACAGCTCGCATCCAACAGGTTGCCGTCATGATCCAGTATCTTGATGTCGACCCGTATCTGCCACACCTTTTCACCAGTGATGATGCATAGTCCCTCTGTGTCTATGGCGCGAGTTCGTTTGAATATTTTTTCGAGGGATCGTGATAGGAGCATGGATTCTTCGTGTGGTCTAAGAAAAGGGATTGATAAGTCTGGCCATAAGCTTGATCAACACAGCTTCTACTGCATATTCAGCCACAGTACCTTCCGGTATCGTATATAGGAGGCCCGTTCGAAGCGGCATAGGAGGTATCGAAGCGGATTGTGCCTTCATTCGCAGATGAGTTGTTTGGTTTGATGATCTCTCCACTGACATTGGCCATTACCCTAATGCATAACAACAAGGTAAGCAACAGATCAATAGAAATACTATATGCCCATATGCAATACCTTGTTCTCCCTAGCTGGACCTCGACAGTTCCATACTTTGGATATGGGGATATTCGCAAACCACGATATTCGTTCTTTGAGCGTCCATCTTCGCGTCTGCCGGATGCGAGTGCCTCGAGAATGAATTTGCGCTCGTTGGTCGACAGCTCGTCGCCTCGAAGGCCCGTAAAGACCGACGTGTTCATTGCTATGACTGTTCGTGTGTTTTGAAAAAAACTGCAAAAGAGCTGGTTCGAAGACAAGGCATTATAATAATTATAAACAGGAGTAGCAAGGCATCATCATGTCAGTCACAAGACGAGTTTACAACACTTTCATGAAGGTACGTCCTCATATACACCATACCACCATATATTCAATTCCGACAATCAACACCATTCATCACTATGAATAGAGGAGTTCGGTATTCTTGACCGTCATCTTTGCCTCGGCATTCGCTGTCGAAGTCGGATTCGATTCAGCTTCTGACTATCTCTGGAACAGTGTCAACAGAGGAGTACGTAGGAGACATCTTCATTTACGAGGGCAGAATTTGGTCGTATTTGATGTTGACTCGACATTGGTTTTAGAGGCAATGGAAGGATATCAAGGACAAGATTGCTGAATAAATTAGGATTTATATACGCTCAAGACCTTCTTTATTGTCGATGGGAAGGAGTTGATTGTCGTAGTTGCAAGTGTAGTGACAACTGTAGACAGAATTTGGAAGCATATGAAATTAAACTCTTTCCCCATCATCTATACTCGGCAAATCGCATTTTTTTTGCAAGGATGTCCCATGGTTGCAGTTGACAAAACGTCTGCAAGACTACTTGACGGTGAAGGTTGAGCTTGAGTTGGTCAAGAAGGGATTGGAACTGCAGATGATGAGGGCAGTTGGATCTGAAATACTGCTAGTGTATTCGACATGTTGTTTTAAAGTAGGTCTGAACGAGGGAAAAAAGGACCATATGTCCCTTACATCATTTCGACTAGCTGGGAAATAGACAAAAGCAACTCTTTCCTCGCTATAACTGCAACGAACGAGAATATTTATGGTTATTGTTGTCTTCGGGTAGCACTTGGAAGACAGTGCGGTCAGCCACTCTCGTTACCAACTACGAGTCGTCTTTGTCGCTTGGGCTTCTTTTGAATACTCATATTCCATCAACGAGAAGCCCGAAAAAATCCCCCATATCTTGTTCAGTTAAACAAAACAAGCTGTTGTCGTTCGTGTGAAAAAGTGACGGGCAAGCAGTCAGTACAAGAAAAGCGGTGAGGCCAAAATGTCTAATTTTTGCCCTGACGGTGGTGCTTCACAAAGACCACGAATCTATTTAAGGGAGGACATTCAGGCTTTATGTTATTGGTGTTGGCGTCTCATGGTAATCCTAGTTTGGCACTTGCAAAATAGTGATGCTTGTGGTCAAGATGATTTAAGGCATCTCAAGATATTGTCTTGTTACAGGTTTGATGCTGCCAAGGAAGCTGTGTCTCTCGCAAAGGTGGTTTCTTCTAGTTGACCAATCTCTACTGTGATCAGGCCTACGTTTTTCGTCAATTAATTCACCTGATTGCTATAGCCAATGGGAACAACTCTTCTTGGAGGACGACCGTCTCGTTAAAGTGACCAACCGTTGTGACCTTCGAGACGTGAAAGGTTGCTAGATCGCTTATAATCACGTTGGAATTTTCTAAGGCTAAGGTTGGGTCTGGGAACCACTGAATCTGAAATCACGGTAGTATGATAACAAGCTCGACGCAAACGTAGTCGAAACATAGGTTGCGAGGAGCCTAGACTGTCTGGTTTGCTTTGATTTGAGTGCAGCGCTATCACCAACAAAGGGTCCCCTTGTTCAAGTTATACCGATTCGAGCCTTCAAGAGCTATCAACACCAAACCGTTTGGACTTCTTAACACTACTGGGCATCAAAGAAGCATTTTTCAGTTGAATTAACGAATATGGTGTTTTTTTTGCCAGTTCAGAGTTTGAAGCGCGTTTGATTTCGCTCTATTACTGATTTGTATATAAAGTTCGTGCAAAAGTCCATCCTCGGTGCATGAACAAGGCTTGCCACTTTTGAAAAGCACATCTGCGTGGCATCTGCGTCCTAACTTGATATTTGTTGGCCCCTCGGGTCCAACTTGCCTCATTTCAAATCAATCTAAAAGCATATATAATTGACACGAACGCACGCGTTGTCTGACACGCAAGTCCTTCCGTTCACATGAGTTTGAGCTCCAGCTCCAGCTGCAACTAAAACCATCAACACTAATTCTTAACAAGCTAAAAACCAGCCAACAATAGAAAACATCAAACAACATGTCTATTTTTCAAGCAAAAACTCCTCAAGGACCATTAGCACACTACAAAATCTTGTCCAAGACTGCTGGAGTCCGTGTCAGTCCTCTATGCTTGGGTGCTATGAATGTAAGCTTATGTGCATCACAACAACATGGAGACGTTGTTGCACTCGCTTTTATTGCTGGACGCAGGATACAAATTCTAATCATATCTCAATTTTAATTCGTTAGTTTGGAGAAAGCTGGAGCTCATGGTTGGGTGAATGCTCCAAGGACGAAGCCTTCAAGATCATGGATACATTCTATGAAGCTGGAGGCAATTTCATCGATACTGCCAACAATTATCAAGGTGGTGAATCGGAACAGTGGGTCGGCGAATGGATGAAGGCTCGTGGAAACCGTGATGAGGTGTGGTTTGACGTGGCATGGTTGTTTTGGTTGTGTGTTCCTGATCAAACAAGTGCCGGCTGATCTGACGCTAAACTCTGTCGCATCTCAAATCAGATCGTCATTGCTACAAAGTTCACTTCTCTGTATCCCAAAAGCATCCCCAAAATCGCCGTCAATTCTACTGGAAATGCCTCAAAGAGTCTCCACTTGTCTGTTCGTGACTCTTTGGCAAAGCTGCAAACTGATTACATTGATATTCTTTACGTGCATTGGTGTATGTATCCAGAGTGTGGAGATTCTTGCTTTTTGGTGACGTGATTACTCACAGGACTCCAAATACTCTTGACAGGGGACTATACTACCAACATCCATGAACTCATGTAAGCTCAAATTTTTTGCAACATTTGTAATCACTAAAGTTATCTTTTTCTCTAACCCTCCACGTTCCTTTTTGGATTTTTGACATTGCTTTCAACCTTCAGGCAAGCACTCAACCACTTGGTCACATCTGGAAAAGTCTTGTATTTGGGCGTATCTGATACACCTGCATGGGTCGTCTCTGCCGCCAATACATATGCTCGTGAAAACGGTCTGGCTCCATTCGTCATCTACCAAGGCAAATGGAATCTCGCTGAACGAGAATTTGAACGGTAAAGAGCTTTGCGATTGTGCATTTATGATGGATCTTCCTAACAATGAATGCGCATATTTAGTGATATCCTCCCTATGGCTAAAGCGTTTGGAATGGCTTTGGCTCGTAAGTCAATTTGACACTTCCAAAAATAATGTTTTTTGTCTGCAATGCGACGAACTCATTTTCCTCATATTCTTAGCATGGTCCGTCATGATGGCAGGAGCATCAAAAACCGAAACCCAAACCGATGCTGGAAAAGGTCGTACCCCATTCCGACCCGACACTGAAATGCGAAAGAAAATCCGTGACCAGGTTCTTGCTGCTGTAGACAAGGTTGCCAAGGAACTTGGTGCAACTCGTCAGCAAAGTGAGCCATTGTTAATATTTGAGTGGCCGGTCTTTTTGCGAAGTCACTAAGACATATTTTCATCCAGTATGTATCGCATATGTGATCAAGAAGGAAACCCAGACCTTCCCAATCTTGGGTGGTCGCAAGGCAACTCACCTGGCTGACAACATCAAGGCGTTGGAGCTCGTCTCCAAGTTGACTGATGCTCAAGTTGGAGCGATGGAAGCTGCTTCCGAATTTGATATTGGGGTAAGTTTCGTAATCCCGTGTATTCAATCAGTGTGGAAGTTCAAGTAAGATGATTATACGTAAGGCTAAACTAACTGTCTTTTCTGTGTACTCTTTTAGTTCCCACATGACTTTGTTGGATCTGGCAAATTGGAAGACAACTTCTTGTTGAAATTGGCTGGCATGGTCGTACAGCCAGACACCATTCCTCAAGTCTAGGGTGTGGCCAGGATTGCATGCAAATAGCTTGTACAAAAAACATGGCAACAATACAAACATTGCGTTCCTGGTGATATGGGGGATTGAACGTTTGGGGTTTGTGCTATGGTTTTTTTTCTTTACAGACGATTTTGATTACCTACTATGAAGATACATGGCGCAATTCCTAATTCGGTTCTTGTCTTGTCCGCAGAAAATGCTTCAAAGCGTTTGCAGACGTTTACATTGCCATTACATCGCCAATTGATCAAATGCAAAGGACTAATTTCCCGCTATGTTCCGCTAGCTTAAAAGAAAACTCGCAGAAATGTTTGAAGTGCTTCCTGCAACGTGATCAACGGAATGACTTGGCAAGGCCTCATGGAACAAAAGGAATTACGACACGAAATGCTGTACCAGCTATACATACTGAATCATTTCTAGTGCACGGTCCTAAAGCATAGTTCCTCGTCAAGCCTAGTGGACATACTTGAATTTCAAAACACCATATAGGAGCAGTCTCAGTCAAGACGGACGGCAGGCGAGAGGCCATCCAGTGTAGTACGCCACTAGCACACCATACTCAAGTCATCCCCAATTAATTCCAGGAACCTGAAGGCTTCCAAGCCAGCATCCCAAAATAACAGGTTTCCAACATTCAGTCAAACTCAAGCAAGAGGAACTGTTACAAGAATGGAAGTATTCCCGATATTTATACTCGTATCCATCATGGGCGCTGCTACAATGGCTGCTTTTGGTATAAAGCTTACCGACATCAAATCTTCATCAACGTTTTAAATCCAGGATCGAAGGATGGTTCAAAGCAGCAGATACCAATCAAGGTACGCGAGTATGGATGTTTTCAAGTCTCCGAGTAAAACCTGACTAACAGAGAGCCCCGAAGCGACTAATGACTGTAGTATGAGACCCACCAACAGAGCCGTAAAAGCTTTGCAACGCAACTTGCGAGTGCAAGATCTAAGCAGCGGGGTAATTGGCTGCTCGACCCTTCAACCTTGACAGATGAACTCGCTCTTCAAGATAAAACCGTGGGCGTTGATCCATCCACGTCAGGAGATGGAAGTCTCGTCATAGTGCTTCGGGGCAGTCTGCAAATCGTTTTGGGACTTGAAGACGGTTTCTGAGCAGAGCGGAGCTGATAGTAACCATAAGAAGCTTGACTGCTACGGTGCTACGATCCCACATTGCGTAGGGTTGTTTGGTGTATTGTGTTCCAGCCGTTCACAAAAACAAGTTCGAATAACAGAGAGCCCTGAAGCAACCAATGACTGTTGTATGAGACCCATCACCTCAAGTCACAACAGACTTGCCGGAAGATCACCATAATGAACACCAAGTGAGTCAACAACTTACAAACAAGATGTGATGCCTTGAGGAGCGAGTTCATCCTTAAGTGCAAGACCACTGAGTCGAGTATACCATCTCCCTGTTGCGTTGACCGCACGGGGATTTATGAGTCTCGTCACGCTGCTTCAGGGCTGCTTCAGGGCAGTCTGCAATCAAATGACTCCCAAGATTGCCATTCTTGACAAGAACGACAACGAGAGCCACAGAGAGACAATTAAAAGGCTAGACGTTTACAGCAGCAGAATCGTGTCCTACTAGCGTCGGAGCAGAAACATCGCGCGCACTTTCCATAGTCTTACTAAACGTTCACAGATGAGTGTCTTCCGGGGCAGTCAACGTCTCGAGCGCCTAGAATGTTTGGTGAATGTGTTGTAGACTCAAACCACACAGCAACACCGAATACTTTGACTGCCGAGAGCCCTGAAGCATCCACGTCAAAGACTTGAGCTCCTCACTCCCAAAACCCGTCGGCTAGCGATGATCTTGGGCCCTCTTTAAAGGCCTGGACGATGACTCGCTCGTCAAGCATCACGTTGAACATTTCGTCCAAACACTTAGCTCAAATGAGGAGACAGTAAGACGTGGAGCTTCAGGGCATTCGGAGTCTTGTTGATGAAAGTTGACAGTCATTGCAGCATGCGACAGAGAAGACTTAACAGGAGAGTTTGCTCAGTTGGAGGATTCGTATTAGAAAAGCAAGACACAAAGAAAAACTATCATAACACACCGACGATGATGGAGAGGACCCTGAAACATCACTGACTCATGCAAGACTCAAAGCATTCTCAAATCTCTGGAAGCCCTCCGAACCGCAACAATCAACGGTGGAGGATTGGTCAGCGAGACTGCAAAACAAGTCAGTAGGAATGACTCGCTCTACACAACTTTGCCAACACACTTCGATAGCGTTTGTGGGTTGCGCCTAAGTTGGGAGATGCCGAGGCTCTCACACAAGCACATTCGAATTCTCTATCATCAGAAATGTTCACGTTGTTGATGCAAAGCGAAGCAAGACCTTTTCATGCTTGGTAGCAGCTTCATATTCATTGGGAGGTAGTTGTTGATCATCATTCGCATGCTGGAGGATGATTGTTCATTTTGCATCAGGTCCCAAAAGCAACAAATTCATCCCCAGTGACTTGGGCCATAGTTCAGGCTATCTACTCTGTAAGCTCGACGAATAGATCCATCGACGTAGAAGAAAAGAGGCGATCATTGATTAATAGAATATTTACTATCGAGGGACACGGCACAATTCCGATTTCGATGTGTGTCTTGTCTGCAGACAATAGTTTTGAACAAGATTTCAATGATGCAGATCGCATGGCGTCCAAAACATCCAAACACAAGATTCAATGTCGCGTATGAGCAATGAAAAAGGATCTCCAATTCTACAGCATTACGTATCAAGTCCATGAAGCTTGTTTCTCACAAACTCACAATTCGAAAACATCCAATAAAACAGCTATACCGCCATGGCAGCCACCATAACAGCCAAACGAATCGGAGAAGTCATCAGAGCCAACATGGACAAGACCGTCAAGGTCCGATTCGCAAAGACAAAGATGCATCCTATAGTCCTCAAGGTGCGAATCCAAAAAAACTAAGTCTTCTCACATTCAGCATACCAACCATCACGTACACCCCGTCGTTAGCCCGTAACTACACATAAAAACATTCTCGCACACGACGAAACAAACAAATGTGTGGTGGGAGACATTGTGCGAATCGAATCATGTCCACAGATATCATCAACAAAGAAATTCACGGTTACAGAGATTGTGAAGCCCGCTGTACGGGTAGTGGATCCTGATCATCCTGGGAGGGTTATATCGCAGAGGGCTGATGAGGCTTGGAATCGTATCGATGCATAGAGGAGCACGCAGGAATGATTTTTTTAGCATCGACACAAAACATGTACACACATCCAAACACACACTATAAATATCATTCTATTATTGATGTCTATCTCTGATATCCAATGGTTTCTTATCCCGGTACAAGGGCACAAGGCTTGTAGGCTCGTAAGAGATAATGGCAATGTCGTAAAGCTCGACATACAGCAGCCAGAAACACGGATTCTCCATATGTAAATCGTAAATGGATGTGGCGGCGCACCCAGTACCCCTTGAATGCTGCTTGTATACGAGTGGCAGCCTTGTGTCGGATCTTGCTCGAGTCTCGTCGCATCTTTCGTACTAGAGGCAGAGAAGAATTAGAAGAATTAGGTGTCAGTTGTCACAAAGATGCATTCCACCATTCCATAGTAGCCCTTTTTCGCCCCGGCCTTGAGCTCTGCAAATGAAACAATAAACTCACCTTTATACACCCTCCAAGCAGCCTGTAGCTGCAGAGCAGCTCTAACCCTTAACAACTCATGTCGATGCATAGCAACACTCTCTCCCAAACTCCTCAGCCGATCTCTCAAATCAGACCTCAGCAGCTTCCTGAGCTTGTATCCACGCCAGCATCTCTGTATATCAACAACGGCCTTACGAGTCTTACGTTTCAGTCTGCGCTGTCTCATCTCTCTCCACCAAACCACAATCTTTTCTTTAGCTTGCACCTTGGCCATCTTGACAACTTCTCGTCGCACATCTGGGATTCGGTTCTTGCGTGCCTTAATAGTCCTCCATACGCGTTGGATTATATGTGCAGAGTGATGTAGTACTGCAAGTGGTGCCTTATAACGACATCGTAGTATAGCCGCTTTGATAAAGAGCGTCTTGCGCCAGTTGCGTTGAATCAATGCAGCTGACTCCTCCCGTCGAGAATTAAATCCTACAAGCCATCTACGTGCCAGCCGTTGAATTATGCAAGCAGCTGCATACTGCTCGAATCGAATACGTTCTCGTAGTCGTCTTCCACAGTGGCGTCTGTATGCTCGTTGTATGATCGATGCGGCAAGCGATCTCCTGAAGACGTGCGGAGGGAATTGGGAATACGACTTCGGTACCTCCTTTATCAAATTGACCTTGAAGAATTCATTCATGACTGCATCATCTGTTGCACTGTTGTCTGATGATACTAGTTGCTGCCATTGGGATGGTACCCCGTCTTGACTACTTGCAGTGCTAGAAGAATATATTCTTGGTGCGGGTCGAGAAGCCACGGATTCGTACGGCTTGGAAATATCTTTGATAGGGAAGGAGAATCCAGTAGTCCCGAAATTAACCTTCATGTTTGGTTTCTCGTATACCGTAGCATTGTATGTCGAACTCTTGACACATTTCAAGGCAAACATCGGCAGTAATGGTTGTGTTTTCAAGAGCTCGATTTGTCCTTGTATTTGCTCTTCATTGAATGCTTCCGCTCCATTACCAAATGCTGCTGGTAGAATCGTTCCATTTTCCACCATACTATGTAAAATAATCGTTAAAATGATATAAGGATTCCGGCTTCCTGTTGTGAGCAAAAACATCAAAGGCCGAGATGGTTTAAAGCTTACTGAAGCGCAAGCCATTTCATATCCATCATGATTCCTACTACTCTCATCCCAGTATTTTGAACACCTTCAGGGCCCTCTTCTTGATATGCGACAGAACCACCATTCCAGTGTGCTTCACCGTCAGAACTGAATCCCATCGAGAAGCAATCAGCACCAGGATATTCAGGCTGCTCATTTATTTTGTTTTCCGCACATATTCCTACCAATCAGGTAAAACGTCATTGACATCAGTAACAGCTATCTTCAGCAGACATCCATCAACTTTTGAGAAGGACTTTTGGATGTAGCTTACCAACACACCACTCAGTAGTAGCAGGCACCGTAAACTCGAAATACATTCTCATATCGGATAACAACCGGGTCTGCACTTGCTCAACAATCATGAAAACATCCAATCGATCGCCTTTTCCACGTTCATCATCAGACAATTCAGGTACTTCATACCCCAAAGTGGACAACTTTTTGCGCAAAATACCAACAACGTCTTTGGGATTCAAGAGTAAACTAGCCTGTAATCCATGACCTCCATGGGCCAAATCCAAGATCCGAGCCAATAGCAGATACGACGACACTTCTTCTTGTGGTATATACAAATCTCCAATAGTATCGAGAATCAGCGACTTCATGGATATATTTGTAAACAGTAACGGCGTATTAGCATATGCACGTCCATATACCGGTGGCGGTTTAGGAGGTGCAGAAGCCACTGCTGTTGATCGACGTGTTGCAAGAAATTCCGGTGGAACAAGGACGGAGGATGTTTGACGAGTGCTGTCTTGTGGTCCATGGATGGATGATGCTCGACGGGTGGGGTCTGTCATGCCAAATACAGACGATGCTCGTGGTTCATTCACGGATGGTTGACGATTGAAAACGGATTGTTGGCGTTTTATTATTGCTTCGTCAGTTGCTTCAGTTGCAATGGAATATGTTCTCTTCTTTTCGACAACTGGAGCTGTGTCTTGTGGTTTGGTTGGTTCTTCAGCTGCTTTTGCGGCTGCTTCGTACAGTTCAAATGATAGTCCGTCGCTGCTAATTTCGATTTGTAGGTGTCCTTGGGCTGGTAAGATGGAGACCTAATGGCGTCAAAAAATAATGTTTCAAGAAATGTAATGACTACTGTCTATTCTAGTCAATTTAAAATGAATACCTTGGGATTAAACAGCGTCAGGATATCATTGTTGGTCAATAGACCCCATGATATTTCATCCTTGCACATATAAGCGATATTGTTGACGTAGAAATTTCGAATGCGTTCTGATGATGCCCACGACACTTCTTCTCCAAGACGAAATATTCGGCTATGTGTAGGAGAAGAGTTGAGAACGCTGGCAGCGAGAGCATTCAGCCAGAACTTTGGTTTTTTTGGATACCTATGCTCATAAAGCTTTCGTGTATCCTTGTCCATGCCAGCACGGCGCTTCCATATGAAGCGTTGGAAATCATCACGATGCTTCTCTACAGTCATATTTGCCTCTAGTTGAAAGAAGACATCAGCATCTTTATGCTTCAACATGCAACAAATCACATCAGATACACCATTCAATAGGTCCATCATTACCCTTATCATTCATGACTCTGGATACCAAACGAGTTCTCAGCATCTGTTTTCTCAATTGAGGATTGACTATGGCAGCTACAGCCTCGAGTCCTGTCAGCAACAGGCGATCTTGCGTCTTCCATTGATTTGTTAACACCTAGATCATGACAAGAGACTGTAGTTAGAATTGTGTGTAGGCGTCAATCATAATGTGTGATTCAAACAAAATACTTTTAACTGTTGCAGATCTTTAGCGCCTCGCTGATGAGCTTCTTGTCTTGCAGTAGTGGTCAAGTTTTTGATTGAATGGGTAGTCTTTTGCAGGGAAGCAGAGATAGTCTCTTCCCAGTCGTTGGCCTCTCCACGAGCATTCATATTGTTCCAGATTTCATTTGATTTATAGGTCCTTTATTCCCGTCGAGTGTGCTGTCCAAAAAGTCAGCAAGTCAGACCACGATCGCTTGTTAAATTCAAGGGACCTTAATAACAATTCGGAGTCGGTGATCAGTAGAGTACCTTGATATATATTGCCCAGTAGTTGCTCAAGGCCCCCTCGGTTACTTGCCTCGCTCAGCAGTCGCCCTTTCAAATCGTGTGCACCCTTACGAGCCGTGATTTCTCGACTATGGCGACCATAACTAGGTAATCTCATATACTCGATGGCATCAATCAATCTATATTTACTCAATCATATATATCTCACTTTTACACAGACTACCTCCACCAGAACAACCTGTTTTATCACCGACATCAACATCAGGCGCGAATGGAGATGACGCTGCCTTTGTCGAAATTACTGACCCGCAATCTGGAAAAGTATTCTTTGCCAACGTACTCACTGGTGACTGTACCTGGGATCGCCCTCTTGGCAAAATGTAGGTCCTTGTCCGAATCTTGGCTTGATTTGTATCAACATCTTTGTGAAGGTCAGTGTATAATTTGTACTCGCTCAACTATTAGCAAGCCAAAGGATCCATCTGGAAATGAGTGGTGGGAGTTATACGATGAGAATCACAAGTTGGTATGTTGCAAGCTACCATCATTCTCGATGTGGGCCTTTTTTGACTCAGTGCATGTTTTCTTCACTTTAGCCCTACTACTATAATACCAAGACGAAACAGACCGAGTGGGTCAAGCCAACAGAAGGCACAATCCTCCCACTGATTGCCATACAGAATTCCGCGATTGGAAAACAAGTATCTGGTTCCTTTAACAGGCCAGCATCAGCACAGAGTACCACTAGCAGCACCATGTCCATGGCTCCTACAGACAGAGATGCTCCCAGTTCGGCTGCCTTTGGCGACGTAAGGACATGTTGATTAATGGTTTTTTTTTTTCAGAGGGCAACCACATCTCATCCGTTATTTCTCACTAGGGCATTTACACACCACGAGGGGGTCCATCAAAGACTGGAACACTTCGACCACTAGACGTTCCAACTTTACCTGCCTTGAGAACAGGTGACGCAGCACAAAAGGCTAAAACGTTGGGTATTAGTGATCCAACTGCTAATCCTGGTAAAAAAGGAGAACCAATTTTCTATATGAACGAGTACTAAACGAGTACTCTTTTAGATGCACAAGCACGAATGGCAGTCCCACAATTTAGCGCTCCATCTCCTACCATACTATCCCCTCCAAGCACAACCGGCTCGTACTCCACCGCTCACGAAATCATTACACCATTCACTCCCACATTCCCTGTCGCATCTTCATCTGCAGCCAGCTCGGCACCTCCCAGCGCCTATCCTTCATCGTCAAACGCCAGTGTCCCTCAAACACCATCCAACAATGGTCCACCACCAGGATTTGCTAAACTCCCCCACGATTTAAAAGCCCACATTAATCAATTCAAGATTGAAGGGTTTGCTCAAAAATACTTTTCGGAACATCGTCGTGGTCTATTCCGTCGGAAAGTACCAATGACGAGAATGCTGAAGTACCAGAAAGTGAGTTGTGCAAAAAGAGCATTTAAACAAGGCTACCTATAACCAACGCAATATCTTTGTCTTTCCTTTCTCAGGATCCAATTAGAGCACCACTCATGGTTTTAAATAAGAACTTTCACAAGGACTCGCTCAAAACTTTTAGATATATTCAAAAGATTATGACACCAGGTCCTCAGAATCCATTGACAGAGATACAAGCAGTGTTGGATCGGGGTATTATGATTGGCGGTTTACGTGATGAGATATATGTACAGATTTGCAAGGTATCTCTTAGATGGTGTTGCTGCTCTGTTCGTTACAATGAAGAAACCTAATCTGTCTATTTTTTTTAGCAAATGACAGATAATCCAAGCATGTAAGAGGCAGTAAAAAATCCATTTAAAAACACAACCTTTAATAACTTCTTTCATTTTGTTAGTGACTCGGTCATCAAGGGCTGGATGTTACTATGTGCTATAACAATTGCCTTCCCTCCTTCAAAGAACTTTGAAGACTACATGAAGAGTTTCATTGAAGGAAACATTGGCCACAAAAATGAACGTATAGATCTACTAGCCAAACACTGTCAAAAGAAATACCTCCGAATTTGTAAAACGGGTCCTCGTGGTAAAACACCCACCATAACAGAAATTGAACGTGCTCAGGTAAAATTAAAAAATTGTTGTCGGCGTACATCTCAATCTGATCTAGTCCTTTATTTCTCACCCCAATTTATTTCTTTGACAGGAAGCACCATTCGTAAAAGCACTATTCGGTGAAACACTGGATGAAATCATGAGAACACAAGAAGAGCAATTCCCTGATTTGCCTATACCACGAGTACTACCATTTTTGGCTGATGCTATCTTGAGCATGAATGGATGCAAGACGGAGGGTATCTTCCGCGTTCCTGGTGACGCTGATGCTGTAACGGACCTTAAATGTCGTTTGGAAAAGGGGAACTATGATGTTTCTGGTATCACCGGTATGTTCACTTGTTTGAAGCAAAAAAGGACACCTTCCAGCAACGCACTGTATACTCAACAGTTTCTTTCCTCATTCTTTCCTCATCTTAGATGCCAATGTACCTGGCTCATTGCTCAAATTCTGGCTACGTGATTTAGCAGATCCTCTAATACCTTCTGAATACTATGCCGCATGTGTTGAGGTTGGTGCTGATGAAAACAAGGCAGATGCTGGTGCACGAGCTGTTGCTATTGCAGACTCGCTACCAGAATATAACCGTCGTGTTGTGTATTATGTTATTCGGTTCTTACGGGTATGTAGAAAGGAAGAGATGTTGTATTGATGCGAAAAAAGTTGAGCTAATTTCATGGAATAGGTTATCGCTGAACCACAAAACCACGCTATTACGAAAATGACACATCAGAATATTGCTATGGTGTTTGCACCCAACTTTTTACGTTGTCCAAGGTAAGAGATTGTAGTTTGGTTTGGATTGTGGCGATTGCAATACCTCATTGCTGTGAAGCAAGTATATCTTTTGTATGTGTTCTTATATTTTTGGCCTCTCCCTTCCTTAGTGAGGACCCAACTGTGATTTTCAACTCTACCAAATACGAGCAAGGATACTTACGAGTGTTGCTTACTGTCCCAAACCTTCCAACACATTAAAAAGCCAACAAGCAAGGAATTCAGTAACACTCTTGACGCATACAACGACATCGCCCCTATTTTTTAGTCCCGACCAGATCCCATTTTGTACACTATTGGACATAATCAGCTGTATTAACTCTGTTTTGGAATTTCACGTCACTGTACGAACAATCAAACTTTTTCAATAATAATATAAGACACGCTTTTTTATGTATGGCTTTCTTTATCCAAAATCCAACCTACTTGTCTTGATCGGAGAGATTTTGTCACCACACTGAAAACCTGAAGCAGCAGCATTTTGCCATATCAAGGTCAGGAACTATAATAGCAGCCATGAATGTCGAATTATCTATTCAGCGCGAGGTAGAGAACTGTCTTGATCTATGTTACTCTCTTATCTCACCACACCAAAAAAACGCTGCAAACTCTGATAGTCATTCCTTGCTTTAGATGGAGCAAAGACGCCAAGCCGTCGCCCAACGAATGAAGGAAGAAGAAGATATGGAAGCTGGAGTCGAAGCTAGACGCATTGAAATATTACGTGAAGAGAAATTGAGACAGTCGATTCGTATCCAGAGTGAAGAGTGAGTGACATTGGAGTTGCATGTGGAAGGGGCCCAGATATGATCTTATGGATAGCAATATATTGATTTTGTCATTTTATAGATTACGGACACTGGAAACGAAACTACGTGCTGGATACATGAACAAGGAACGAGCTGCTCAAATCGCTGAAAAGAGACTCAAAGTCCAGCAAGCTCGAGTAAGCTTCCTTCAAGTTCAGCTTTTCTGTTTTCCCCACTGCACATGTCACTTATTCACCCATCTATCTCTCCAGGTCGACGAAGCACAATGGACACGCGTTGGAAACAAGCGTCAGCAAGAGCTCGAAGTAGCTCAAAAGCTCAAAGAGAAAGCCAATGTAGAACGCCGTGAAAAGTACAAGACAGAGTTAGAGGATCAACTGGCGTATGCCCAAGTCGTGAAACAACGGGAATTGGAAACATTTTTGAGAGACAAGCAACAGATTGATGAGATTGTGAATCGGATTGCTGCTGAGGATGCCAGGTAAATTGCAAGTTGTGCTGAAACGGAAAGATGCAGCTTTTTCATGCATAACAAATTGGGCAAGGTTTTTTTCGCCCCTCATTCACTGACGCTTGTATTCTTTTCTAGGCAACAACAAATCAAAATGGAAAAACAACGAGAAACCAAAGAATACATTGCCAAATTCATGGTTGAACGTCAAGAATGGCAGACGGCTGAACAAGCTCGTCAAGAAGAAGAAAACAAGAGAATAGAACAGTTTGCTGTCATGCAAGATCAACGAGTGCAGGAGAAGGTGGAAAAGAAGAAGGAAGAGGAGCAAGCGCGAGATAAGATCTATAACAAGGTATTGACCAAACTATTGAGGGCTTTTTGGTACCCCTGCCACCCAATTTTGCTAAACATGACGATCGTGATAGTTGGCATCCTCGATGGCCACTCAAGAGCTACTTAGAACAGAGCTTGAAGAACTTCGAATTGACTTGTCACAGGCGGAGGGTGATGAGAGAGCCAGGAGACAAGAAGAGGTATTTGCCAAGAATTGGTATAGTCTTTTTTGCTCCCAACTCTGAGATCGTTGTTCCTATAGGCTCTACTACAAGCTCGTATTCAAAGGAGGTTGGAATTACTGGACGCATACCGTCAAAGTATTACAGCAAAGGCTGAGAAGAGAAAGCTTGACAGACAAGATGAGGATCGTCTTCGTGATATGGTATCAAATTCAATGCCTATATTTTCTTCCACGTCGACCACAATCACCAACCGTTTACTCCATTTCTTAGATGATGAAGGAACGATACGATCAAGAAAAGCTAGATCAAATGAGTCAAGCCAAACGAAGAATGAAACAATTGGAACATGCTCGTGCCATACAAACCTTGTTGGAAGAACGACGACAACGGCTTGCTGTTGAAGAGCAAGAAGAAAAGGCACAGGGTGAATTGGATGCTAAATTCGAAAAGTACAGACAGGAAGTTATCGAGGTATGGAATGGTTGTAGGAATGATGGTCCTATGTCGGCGTCTGATCAAATATTTTTTGCTAACGGCTTTTCCATGAATTTGTAGAGCGAACGCCAAAGATTGCTACGCGAGCACGCCAAGAATTTGGTCGGCTTTTTACCAAAGGGTATTCTGCGAGACAGAGACGATCTCAAGTATTTGGGAGAAGCTGGGTTACCGCAACAGATATCATACGATGACGAAGAAGACTATTAAAATGTGTAAACATATAGACAGATCGCAATCTTTGCTCTTTCTTTGCATTCCTCAAAAAGTGTATATCTTCAGAACATTGTTATTTACAAAAGTGTGTTGTGCAATGGTTGATTATATAAGTTAATGCTTCTTCTTTGAGGTCTTATTCTGAGATGGTGGTGTTGGTTTGCTTTGTGAATCTGGCTGATCAGACAATTCACGTTCCCGATCAGCGACATCCTTGTCCTCATCTTCATCACTATCACTAGTATCACTACTATATCCACTCACAACTTGAATCATACCCGACTTGTCATCCTTCGTGTTGCGAGTCAAGGGAGTAACAATATTCGGTTCTTGTTGTAGTTGTTGTGATAGTTCTGAGGTGTCTACGACGTCTAGTACTCCGACGTGTAAATCCTAGTAGGCACAATATGATTTAGATACGAATGAACAGTTTAAGCTCAAGCAAAAAAAAGGCCGAACAAGACTGAATACCAACCATTTCAACATGGGCATCATCTTCCTCAACATGCTCTATATCCACATTTTTGGCCTGATCAGGGTTACTTTCAAGGTTTTGAAAAAGATCCTTGTTTGCTTGTTGCAGTTGTGGTAGGAAGGCTGATACTTGAGCTAGCACTAGATCGCCAGAAAAGAAAAACCATCGATGTCAGTAAGTTTACTGTTTCAAACTCTTTGTGAAACAACCAGATCTGCATTCGTACGATTCGATTGTGGCAATCTAGTCGTCTTCCTCTCGGATGCGGGCGGTATCTGTACAGCTTGCTTCCTGTTTGAAATCTGTCCAACAATCAATAGAGCTATGTTTGATGAAGACGCAATGTCAGCTTAAGAATGAGTGATTGTACTCTGGACGAGAGCCTTACGATTCGGTGGCTGCTCTTTCGGAATGTCAAGCTTCTCGTTCGCTGGTTTGGTCATGATCTTGGAATTCGGTTCGCTGAAATGGGATAGACAATTCTTTCGTTTTATTTCGCTCAAGTTGGAGGCATTGAGAAACGCGTAACGTGTATTCTGATAGTTTACAACGTTTATTACACTGATACAAATTCCAACCACGTTTCGGATGAAACGAATTTACAAACAAAACTTAGACGACAACGAGAGCACCAGCGACTGCATAAAATTATCGCCAGGGCGATGGCGATTTGTGGAAATTCTTCCTTTGGTGGATAGTGCTCACGTCCTTCGAAGCATATTCGATTAATGAAGTAACCAATGACTGTCGTATGAAACCCCATCAACCTTGAGTCCTTAAAGACTTGCAAGACAATGCGAGCAAGATCTAAGCAACGGGGTAATTGCTCGCTCGACCCTTTGACCTTGAAGATGAACTCGCTCGTCAAGATCAAACCGTTGGTGCAGTGATCCACCGAACGTAAGGAGATGCAAGTCTCGTCATGGTGCCTCAGGGCAGTCTGCAATCTTGTTTGGTCTTGCAGACTGCTCACAAGACAAAAACCGTATAATGGTTATCACGAGCAGCCGAATCGGAAGAATAAAAGAAGTCAAATCAAGAGGTCCAAAAGCAATCCACAAGTAATCTCAACCATGAAGCGACAATAAAGGCCCCAAAGAGACAGCGAGTAGATTTTTTTGGTGAAATGCGTTCAGGTTTTTGCAAACGCCCAGATTCGATTAACAATGAGCCCTGAAGCAACCAATGACAGTCGAATGAGACTCATCCTCAAGTCGCAACAGTGGTCGGGACGTCCGACCACTTTGTATTTGTAAATCAAGTTGCTAGAGTGAGCCAGCAGACTTGCTTACCAGGGAAGACCTTTCCTCGAGCAAAATTACGCAAACAGGGGTACTAGTATACACGACCGAGTTGCCTTGGGATGAACTCGCTCCCAAGACAACACACCGCAGGCGAAATTCAACCCACGCGCGGCAGGAGATGAGTCTCGTCTCGTTGCTTCAGGGTAGTCTGCAATCAGGGTCCTAATAACTCGCAAGATTGCGATATACAAGAGAGACGACAAGGAGAGCCTCAGAGAGACACCGAAAGATCGCCACCCACTCGAAATGGGAGGCCTATGATGCATCGCTCACCTCCGTTCAGCTGGAGTGAAGAGGGCACAAATTGAGTGTCTTCTAGGGCATTAAAAGTCATGATTTAATGGTGCATGATACTGGCTTTTTGGTAGGGTTGTAAAGATCCAAAGAATTAAAAAGAAAACGTTTGTTTGATTGTAGAGAGCCCTGAAACAATCATGACTTTCATGAAACGAATCACCTAGCAAATCGCAAAAGCTTCAGCGGAGCCACTTAGACCTCACACGAAGCTACGCAACCTTTTTACAGTTGCTGGACTTGCTGGTCGTAATTAAAGAGGCATCGCTCCAACGTAAGACACACCCCTCGCATTGCTGCGACAGGGCCAGCTGATCAGTCTCGGCCATGAAGATTCAGGGTAGTCTACATCTGTACTTTCAAATCGGCAGCGAGAGCCCCAGAGAACTCAAGGTCGAGAAATGTTCAGCCTGCCTTCGAATCGTGGCCCCAACTAAGGAGCGAGATGCACCGCTCGCACGTTCCATTGGCCTGCTCTTTGAACATTCACGGTTGAGTGCCTCCAGGGCAGTCACAGCCTATCACAGAGAAGTGCTTTTTGGTGGAGGTGTCATAGACTCATAGAATGAAATACACAATTTTCGACTGCAGAGACCCCTGATAGCAATTCGAATTCAAGCGTTGAGCTCTCTTACCCCCAACCAATGTCGTCAGAACACCCTGGTCTCGACTGACTTTGCGACAAAAGACTCCAAAATTCTTTTCATGGTGCCCGGTTCCGGCACATCACAATAGGTGGTAATTCTGAGACGATACAAACCGTCTTGAATCATGGAGCGTTCAGGGGTATTCTGCGTCATTGTTGATGTTGACGAGAGGTTTTTGGAAGACCTTTTCAGCAGAAAATTTACCAACATCAAAGCCATAGGAGAGATTCCGGAAAGATTACAGCATAGCCCTTCCTACGAAAGATTACTGTAGTTATTCTATTAAGCAGCTCGAAATCGTACAGCGATTCGTTTCGGCCTCAGCGTGACTGGGATCAAGCAGCTGTTCTGGAAATAGCAACAATGTAGGTTCCGATGGCAGTCTAAATACCATGAAAAGGAACATCGTAGATAGTGGAGATGTTTTTGGAGGATTTCTGAGTTTCAGCTATCCGGCTCATTTTAAGGATTCAAGCTTTGGTGAATGGTTGAGACTGACAAAAAAAAGAGGCCGTGGGAGAATACACATCATTCGATACGAGAGCCCTGACTCATCCATCAGCCCATAGGACTTCCCAACACCGTCAAACCTCAGGGACTCCCCGTGAAACCACCCAAAATACTCTGCGCAAACATTTAGGGCAGCGAGGCTTCGAACAAACTGTCAGATGACTCGCTCTCCAGATGCAGACGGGGTGCTCCCATTCTGCTGCCTGGGGAGATTTGTTGAGGCCATTTCGGTTGGGCCAATGGAATCAGGGCATTCTTGATCTGATGGTTGGTTTGATGTAGAGGCAAGGCCGTATCCGTTTCAGTTTGGAAGAGACAGCATAAATCCATCAGTAAACATAGAGCACATTCTTGAAACCTATGTATTTAATCAGATGTTGATGTAAGTGTAAGTGTGAGGAAATTCAAAAAAATTCAGTTTGAGGAGGCTTATAGCCTGTATCAGCCGAATTACAGGGCAGTGCGAAAGGGCATATGATTTTCACGAGGACTTACATGGACTGCGAGTACTCCGTTGGCTTCCTCTCTTGTGTCTCTTGAGCTTAAGCTGGACACATAAAATATTTTCGAGGCAACAACTCAGAACCACCGCCGTAAGTTAATGTTGCGACTGCTTCCGCCTAAGGTTACGCGTCAAATGTGCTGCCATAAAGAAAGTATCGCGAATGCACGTCCTTCTCTGCGTGAAAAACACGTCTATATTTATCATAAGGACTTCAAGGTTTACTTTGCTTGGCTTCCTTGGCTGCCTTTTTAGCTGCTGGTGCGGCTGACGGTGCAGCTGCAGTAGCAGATGGTATGTCATCTTTGACCTGTTTACCACCGTACTTGTTTCTTAGCTTTAAGCAAAAGAATAGTGAGATGAGTTATTGCCATTAAAGATAGGACCCCAAATGTAACGTACCTCGGTCTCCTTAGCTTCATCAATACGTTGAAACAAGTATTCAGCCTTCCCAATACGATGTCCCGACAAGATATCACACCCATCCCATGTATCTGTAATCTTACGTGCAGGAGCATTCAACTGTCTCATAATACTTTCCGACGTAGTTGGCATATACGGATAGATCAAGGAGCTGATTAAATATACCAGATTGGCAGCAACTCCAACAACAGTATCACATCGTTGTCGATTGTTTGCAAACAAGGTATTATCAATCTTGTTATCTTGCAAGTATAGATTACCACGAGCTGATATATCCATGGCTAGTTTCAATCCATGTCGTAATTTCACTGCTTCTAGTGACTCTACATATTGGGCCAAGATTCCATTGACATCTTGTACGAGATTGGTCTCGGCAACACCTGCTACAGAGTATGCTGGAATCACTGAATCGTATTTGGCAATTATGAATTTCACAATTCGATTGACAAAGTTGCCGAGGTTTGCCAGTAGTTCATTGTTGTTGGCTGCAGTGAAATTGGCCCATGTGAATTGGGAATCACCGGTTTCTGGACGATTGGATAATAGATAGTACCGCCATACTTCAACTGGAACTTTCGAGTCCATGACATTATTACCAAAGACGCCAACACCCCGTGATTTCGAAAACTTGCCGTTCTCATACTGCAAGTATTCTAAAGGGAGATATGTGATGTAAAGTTGAGAACAATGGTCCGGATTCTCAGCAAAAAATGTCACCCAAAGCACTCTTACGCACCTGAGGTACTGACGTGGTGCAACAATGTGTATGGATCGCCTGTTCCGATCTGACAAGATGGGAAGATGACTGTATGGAAGGGAACATTATCTTTTCCCATAAACATGTATAGTTTCACATTAGCTGGATTCTTCCACCATTTTTCCCATTCTGGAGTGTAGTTTGCTGTTATAGACAAGTACCTTATAGAACCAAAACGTATGTAAGTACGAAACGAATTTGGATGTAAGAGCCAATACGTCACGAAGATCGAAATTAAAAAAATGATGACGAAGGTCATGCCACTACTCACCCAATAGGAGCATCATACCACACATAAAACACCTTGTTCTCGTATCCTTTTCTATATGTAGCTGGCACAGGTGTACCCCACTTCAAATCACGGGTGATACAACGTGGTTCAAGACCTTGCTTCAACCATGAATCCGTGATTGAAATACCATTTGGCGACCACTTTCCTAATCCAAACGAAAACTTTCAGGTTGATTTCACAGTAGAAAACACGAGACCTTACGGTGAGTTCATACCCTGCACGCTAGATTCATCAAAGAACTTTTGATTCAACGGCTGGAGTTTCGTCAGATTCACAAACAAATGTTTGGAATCCCTTACAACTGGAGTAGCGCCATCCAATTTACATCTTGGATTCTTGAGTTCGATTGGATTTAATAGTTTCTGGCATGAATCACATTGATCTCCGCGAGCATCCTAGTCTCGGAAGGAAATGAGTTGGTAAAGGTTCTGAGGTAGCGTTACCAATATTGCGGTACATACTTCATATCCACACAATGGACAAGTGCCTTCCACATATCGGTCTGCCAAAAACCTGGAGCAAAAAATTCGTCAAAGTCGGGTTGACAGATTCCGATTGGACCTCACTCACGATTGATGCTTTTCACAATACAGCTGAGTCATAGTGTTCTCAATAATGTAATCATTCTTTTCCAGTTTGTTATAAATATCTTGAGCAATCCTGTGGAAAAGAACCAGGGGTTAAAAAAAGAACGATTCAGTCTATGAATAGTGCCAATACCTCCGCAATAAACTCACTCTGTCTGTTGCTTAGTAGTAGTTCGACCAAAGAAGTCAAAATCAATTCCAAACCACTTGTAGACTTGATTGTGGATGGCATTGTACTTGTCACAAAGGGCTTGACATGAGACACCCTCTTCTAAGGCCTTTGTTTCTGTTGCTGTTCCATACTCGTCTGTTCCACATATGTACAGAGTGTTGTATCCACGAGCACGGCAATACCTAGAATATGAATTATGCAATGAAACAACTTCTTGGTTTGTTTTTGGTGATGCATCTGATTCTGAGTCTACCTTGCATAAACATCAGCGCTCAACACTGAACCGATAATGTTACCCAAATGAGGGACATTGTTGACATATGGAAGTGCGGATGTGATGAGAATATTTCGAGATCCTTCTTTCGGCATGCTAGAAATGTTTGAAAAAGCATAAGCGAAAAAGAACCAATTCAACGTTAAGATGAGTGAGAACTTACACCACCCTTGAATGATGATCTAACGCGATCACCACCTCAGAATTTACACCTCCTTTTCCAACAGGTAATGGTGCTTCATTAGCACCAGAAGACGAACCACATACCTATATTTCTGACAATTAGCTAAAATGCTACATAATGGATATTGCGCTCAATACCGTCTTCCAAGCAGCAACTCCTTTAGACACATCCGGCTGAGCTATACATTGATCAAACCAAGCTGTTACTGCTGAATTCTGTGATCGAACGGACTCGTCACTTGAAAATGTCGAATACAGTGCAGCAATCCAAACAGCTTGTGCAGCAGGGTGCTATAAAACAGTGTTTGATTACTGGGAACTGGAAACATTGTGTAGCATGGGAAGATTCACGTACTGTCAATAAGAAATCGTCTTTGTTTTTGAGTAAAATGGTGTGTAATTCGGAAGCGTGATCACGAACTAGCTCCGTCAACCATGTAAAGCGCACCAAGGACGGTGGATCCACATCGTTTGGCAGTAGTAGATATCTATAACGGATGTGATTGAGATTTTGGCCGTCTTTACGTAGCAAAAACCAAAAGGGGCTTCGTGTTTGACACCTTGTTGCAGCAAATGCATCAAACAGACTCTTTCCACTTGGAAGTGCCAGTGTAAACTTTGTACCAAATCCTAAATTTAAAAAATTCGTTAATACAGAGTTCAAATTTGCGTAAAATTGCAGCCACGTTTGTGTATGCCTGATGCAGAGCCCTTTGTGATTTTGTATGGAGAGTGACTGGCTTCCAGTGCCAAAAACACCAACAAGCAGTCTTTTGGCGATATTATTGACAAGGTATATGATGCGGCAGATGGAGCCATGATTCCCCTTTCTTTACACGTGGTTGTTGAATGGTGTCGTTTGATGTGACTCGTCGTTGAATTCAAACCCAATTTAGGAATCCAGCTACGAAACTGGGCTATAGGCAAGGATGAAGATTGCTGTACTGGGTATTGGTAAGACTGGAAGGCACGTAGTCGGATGTGGACTGAAAGCTGGTTATGAAGTGGTCGTGATTTCAAGAGCCGGCGCATCACACCCAAATCTAAGAGAGGTACTATCTTGTTTTTGGACACGTAAAACGCGTTTAAACGTTGGTGCTTCTCAATCTACAGTCTTGCTACCGTTGTATATACTATGTACATTGCCACTAACACAGCTCACTTCCACATTTAGGTCAAATCTCACAAAAACCTCACCGTGATTACTGGTGACTGCACGTCTACAGCTTCAGTTGTGAAGGCTTGCTCTGGTGTAGATGCTGTCGTTATCACCGTAGGATCATACACGAACGACGAATCAACCAACATCGTCACTCGAACGGTCCAAGAGGTCATCAAAGTCCTCAAAAGTGACAAGGAAGATCGTGACAATGCTCTCAAACTCGACGCTGGTGAAGTCAGTCTCGATGGTTTACGTAAACGAGGTGCAAATGTCAACAATCTGGTACGAACTGGACGTCCTAGGATCATACTTTCGTCGGAAATTGAACAATCTTGGGAGGGATATAAAAAGAATGCACCATATCCTTTTCAGTTGGGCGCTTCATGGCTACTCGAACATATGATCAAAGATCACAAACGCGGTTTGTTGCATCTTTCAAGTCGGGCAGTTAGTAGACGTGGAACTGAGAAAAATTCCTTATTATACAGGCGTAGCTTTGCTCAAGGAGAATCAAGATTGGTTGGACTATACTGTGAGGCATCTTCACAACGTTCCCCGTTACGTCAAATGACTATTCACACTTTGATATCTCGCAGATCATATCACCTGGTCTATTGAAAGAATCTCAGCCTGTTGGATACTTGGTTAAAGTCAATGACATGCCATCGCCAGGATTCAACACACACGTCACGGATTTAGCTCAATTGCTTATTGATATTGTTGGAAATGACAAATTATACAATAAGCAGCATGTCGGTTGTATATCGGATACCAAAGGCAAAACATATCCCGATGCTCAACCCTCAGCAGGTATCTTTTATCTAATAGGGCAAAACTTGTGGTCCAAATACGGCAAAACCACGCTCTTCTTGATGTTGACTGCTAGTATTCTTGTTGCCACATACAAGTACGCCCGTGTAGAAATGTAGTTTGACAAATAGAAAGTACAATTGACAACCTCCATTGTAGTGTTGCTATGATGTTTGAAATTGGTCAGAGTCGCTTAGAATCATTTGGGTTCAGAGAAGGAAAGAGATATGTTAAGCTGGAGGATTTAGTACGCGCTGATGGTACTAACCTCAAGGGACAAAGAATATTTGATGATGTTCCTGATGGAGAGCCAGTTCCAGACTATCATCCGAAAGCCGTGATCGCGAAACGAGACGAAAACAATGTTGAACTGTGAGCTTGTAAGCCTTTTTTGGGAAACAAGTGACGTTGGTCATGTCCAGATGTAGCAGAATCTTTATAATTGCTGAGAGCTTTAAATTCCGATGCTGCCATACAATTCATACGTTATCGTTTGCACGTTCTCTGCACTGCTCACTTAGTGTGACAAAATTTTCAATGTTCGCGTCAGGCCGTTCTTTTCAGATCAAATGTATTCCAAAACCTACGTGCATCTATTCAATCTTTAGCTACTCGATTCTCTATTCTGCGTTTGAGCCATAGACGTGTTTGTCTCCCATCACTCCCACCACCCACAGTTAGCGAGGAACAGCAAAGACTCGAATAGGAGAATCAGTCCTATTCATTCTTGACGACTCCAAGTATAGAAGATGACTACAGTCGAAGATGACGGCGAGGTCTGTGCTGTTTGTGGTAGGTTCGAAAGAGATGTCGTCGTTTTAACTTTTTGTAGGCAGTCAACCACTTTTGCTTTTGATTGTCTGCAAGAAGAAGGGAGTGTCCTAGTCCATTCTCACATCATTTCTATACGCAGGGTCGGAAGATGATGCCTCAGGGTGTAAGTACTATACCGCTATAGTCGCTTGTCTCTTAGAAATCTCTCTCGAAAACACAAGTTTTGTTTTGATCTTGTCGACTGTTCTTGGAACGCACTTTGGTACTAATGAGAACTCTCTGAACTTAGCATCTGAATGTACCTGGATTGCATGCGACACTTGTGAACTATGGTATGTTTATACGTCTATTAGTAGTGGACTGTTAGGAACCAAGATTTCAGTCGCTTGTGTTTGGAGTTTGGCCTTGATATACACATTCACGAGGTAACGACACTCAAAGACATTGATAACTACCAATTAGGTATCATGCGAGCTGTATCGGATTGACAACTGAACAAGTAGACAAGATAGAAAGTTATGAATGTGATGAATGCAAAAATCCTCCGAAGAAGAAGGGAAAGGTGAGCTTTGGAGATTGTTTTAATTATCATTTTGAATACGAGAGTGCAAAGCTGCGAATGAACAGATTGCTTTCGCCACCCAAACTATGCCATTCAATCCAAGCTAACTTCGCTTTCACCTACAATGATTCTAGAGAAGTGCACCTGCCTCTCGTAAACAATCAGAACCTAAAAAGCCCAAAGCCGAGAAGAAGGCTCCCAAACCTGCTAAAGCTGTAGACGTAGCTGAAGAGTCCTCAACAGCAGTGCCTGTTACTGCTAAATCAATACAAGAAGAAGATTTTCGAAAGATTACCGATATGTGGTTGACTTCTCAAATCCTTACAAATGCTGCCCCTGGAAGTAATGCAGTCGCTCCATCAATCCCAAAACCTCCATCGCCACAACACCATCAGCAACGACTCTCACCACAACCAGTACCCGTAGCAGTTGTAGAACAACCTAACGGTGGATCTCACGAGTGAAGAGGGGTTGAGAGGGAGGTGGTTTGACGATTAGTGGTATGCTGTTGTGCACATAAATAAAATATTCTAGCTTTCAACCGTTGTTGTTTGAGTATCAGTTGATTCGACGACGTGGGCGTGGAAAATAAAGTTTGGCCAAGAGTACATAAGTCATCCTTCTAAGGCGTGAAGTATCGTGTATCGTCGTCTATGTCAGGTTGCGGCCAGCGTGAAAGTCACTGCTTCTCACAACAAAGGGTCAAAGCTGTTCGATGTCGAGGACACCAACACCAGCTCCAGGTCCACCAACAGGAGTCCGCGCTCTCGTGGGAGTCATCATTGAATGGTAATTAGCTGCTGCCTTCCTCTTCCTATGTTCTCAACCAATAAACTAAAGCCTGTATGTTTTTCGGCAGTGACCCAGCAGCCAAACAGATAATAAAAAAGATCCACGACGAGAACCCTTTGAATGAGAAATTCATTGTATCGGATTTGGACGAGACCCATCTATTTGTCAAGGGTTTGTAAACTGGTTCAACCAGCGACATCAAGAATGCTGAAACTTAGCAACTTTCGGTGTGATAGGAGACATGGGCTTGTTGCAAGACGTTCAGAGGAAACTAGATCAAATATTAGAGCAGAATACAGTAAGAAACTTCTGGCCATTTCCTTGTTAAAGGATACGAAAGCTGACTCCTATTACGCTTTTTGCTCAGTATCGCATCGCAGACAACAGTCGCTGAATCACTTCCGATTGAGCATTTGTGCATCTGGGTCGCTGAATTTCGTGAATTACATTTTATAATTACTTTGCATACGTGGTTTGTAATTAACATTCTTGCCGATATAATATGGTACACTTTTCACATTGCTAGCATATACAAGTGGAAACAAGTCCCATGCTCGACCGATTGCAGAAGCTCGGAGACCATACGATGACAGTCCTGACTTATTTAGATTCTTCAATACGAGGTGCATCATGTCTTAAATATGTGTTTTGGATGAGACTGAACGCTGCAGATGCAACCCAATACAATGTCACGGCCTGGATAAAATAGGTGGTCAGCACCCACAACATGTGTCAGAAACTGAGCTTTGAAGAGAGTTTACCGAAGGAGCTTGTGCCATTAATGGAACCAACACCAACATGAGCACTCGCAGTGCAGTATTAAATCGTTGAAAGTTAACAGCGTTAGGAAAGCGCTCTGCTTGAAGCTGCAGGGAGAAACAAGTAGACAGTGAGACGGTGATGAGTCGTTTCAAACCGTGGGCCAAAAAACTGGAATTCAGCACTATATCGCGAATATCGCGACCACCGCTCATCGCTACCAACAACACTAACGCATCACACTTACCTTAAGATTGGTATTATGCAGCAACCCCAAACAAACAGGCAAAATCCAAGTTGGATCAGGTAGAGTCAAATCCGTAAACCACAATTCACCACCAGCTTTAAACCCCGGTATTGGTGCTTCGCTTGTAGTCATGAATGGTAGTGGATATGCAGACATGGACCTTAATGTCAATGACATTGTAATGAAGACTGGTATTTGAATCCATGGCAAGAGGAATGTTTTTATTGGGTGGCAGTTGTGTTGTTTGTATAGTTCAGACGCTTTTTGACGTAGCTGCAGCAGGAGAGTTTAAGTGTGGATACATCAGGATTTGTAAGTAAGAGTCTTCATGCGGTATGCGGTAGAAGACTTTTGATTTTTTTGCTTGCGACATGACAAAGTTACCTCAGTTGTAACCGCTTGAGAAACAACACCGTAATCAGCACCACTACCACCAGCATCACGTTTGATCTTTTCCCTCATGGTAAGAGCCTCCTTCCAAGCAGCAAGTATGGGCTGTATACCAGCGAGTCGCCTTGTCCTCGTGTACTGCAGTCTAGCTAATGGCAAAGTAGTGCCAGCACGTACTAGTACGGTGAACACCATGATACTAGCCCACCACGGTTGATTTAGATATGGGATCGCATGGAAAGATTCGAGAGCAAATTGACAAATTTCGATGGGAGTTGGGATTGATGACATTGTGAAATCACGTCGAGTTACGGATGGTATTCTTGATGAATTACGTGGCTGGTGGCGAGTGAGTTTCCATAGCATAGGTCGGTATCGCCTTGTTAATAGCATGTTGTCACTGTATAGAGCACGTCGATTTCCTAATTCTGTTCAAAACATCGCGAATCAGCACCTACGCAAGACAAGGATAAATAGAGGATAATACAGGAAAACAGGATGCGTACCTTGATACAATGTCTGCTAGTGCTGGCTATTGTCTCTCAATGCTCCAGTTTGTATTTCTATTTGGAAGGAGGAGAGTCGAAATGCTTTATTGAAGAATTGCCAATGCAAACGGTTGTCCTAGGTATTTGTTGAACATTCATATGGATTTTATTACTAGCTTTAGGATGTCCTTAATCCTTAATTGTGGAACTCACATTGTCACCTCTCCTTCAACATTAAAAAGGACACTTCAAGGCCGAAGAATGGAATGATCAACATCAGAGGTACATGGAAAATCCTGCTTCTGGAATCCAAATATTTGTAGAGGTAAAGTGTCGAATTTGTTTGGAATGTGGAATCTTAGGCTGGCACTCTCAAGGACGATTGAATACTATGAAATCTTGCCATCAACCACGTACACAGGACTTACGCTGTTTTGCTCCGGCAGGAATTACCAAGTCGGCACGAAGTAATGAATCAAAAAGCTGCAAGTTCAGGAAAGTTCGCCTTTACTGCTGCTGAAGCTGGTGATCATTCTATATGTTTGTGAGTTCTTGGTACAGCATGCATTACAGCACTATCAATCTCTAAGGCCTTTTTTTAGCTCATCGAATACAAGCAGTGGCTGGTTTTCAACATCACGAATTGTAAGCTTCTCGTGCATTCACTCTCGCCCAACGCTTTTCAAACAAGCTGAATTTAATTAAGTTCACCACACAACTCGTCTCAACTCATTCGACTGACTCCCTCTTTATCAAAACAGAAACTGCATCTGGATTTAACCATTGGAGATGAAGATGATGCTAAAACTACCAAACCAAAGGAAGTCATTAGTGGTGAGTCCTCAGAAGCCATTGGCATACTCAAGCAATGTCTCTTCTCGTTTTTGACATTGGTTTATGTCTCCTTTTCATCTCGAAACATTCATTTTCTACTTGTAATAGATCTGGCGCGACGAGTTCGAGAACTCAATCATCGAATCGCTGCTGTGAGGAGAGAACAGCAATATCAACGTGTACGTATACATAAAACGATAGTATTTTTTCTCCTCACTTACAGCTACTTCGTCTACAATACAAAAATAGGAACGAGAGGCAGAGTTTAGGGATACAAGTGAATCTACGAATTCTAGAGTGGTGAATTGGGCTGTCGCACAGGTACTGCAATCTCTAGTAATCTTCTAGACGAGCAAACGTTTGATGGTCGATTCCGAAGTCCAATGCGTTTAGAGACTCAATTGTGTTTTTATTCACTTCCCGTAGTTGGTGATTTTGGGATTGACTTGCTTATGGCAAGTTCGTCATCTCAAGGTGAATATCCTTTATATGTTTTTGAATGTTACTTTGACTGTTGGCTTTTGTCTAAAATATTCTTCCAACTCCCATTATCAGTCCTTCTTTATTGCTAAGAAGCTCGTATAAACTTATTATGTCCCTGTGAAATGAAATATACCTACACAACTTTTCCATATACAAGACTTTCGTTTTGTTAGAACTTTATCGTCACATTCGGCAAAAACAAAGAATCTATCCATGGAACGCAACTCACCCAGTCGTTTGAAACTTTGAACACACGAGCCACTGCGAAATCACGAAATTTCAAATCATAATTCTCATTGATGAGGATGTTGCTGGGATTCTACTGAACAAGAGACGGGCGTTTCAAATATGTGGGTTCTGTGGTGTTTCTTTTTGCCCAGTTACGATGCAATATACGTCCTAAATGCAAGAAACTTGACCACCACTATGTAAAAAGAGACCGATGAGCGAAAACTCTACAATGAGTGGTTTATTCCTTCAGGTTCGACAGTCGGAAATCGTCCAGTGGGTAGTATCATGGGTCTTTTGGGTAATGATTGTACGAACTTTCATGTGTAAGACGAGACGTTACATCATTTGTGAGATATTGATTTTCAAAGGTATTTGATTCTCAGATAAAGCCAGAAAAGGGATCAAATCCTGACTCTGAATACATTGTTACTTCAGGTAGCCTCAATCACGTCATAGGAGGTGGACCAACAGCACTGTAATCCCTGAGAATTGATGCAGGTCTAAAAGCCATTCGAAAAGCAAGAGGTGTCTAGTTCTCAAGATTCAATCATAACTCGAAGATCCAGAGTGACATGCGTCAAATTGAGTGCCAGAAAGAACTGGTGGCATTCAATCGTTCCGACGAGATGACAAGTCTGTATACACTATGGCTGTTGTCGGAAAGTATTTGAATCTTCTACATCAAAAAAGAGGATGCTTGGTGTTTCATAGATGTTTTTTTTTTGCCATTCTCCAAGCAACAATCAACAAATCATTCCAACATCTCCTTCTTACCATCATTGGATATAAAAAGCAAGGCATAAATGGCTTGACGATAGTCATTACACCAAAAAAGGATGCAACAGAGAGGTTGCATGTCACACAAAAACAAAGACAACCACCGAAAAATGTTTCCACCAGAAAAATTGTTTATATGCAAGCAAAGCAACTATCACCACTCCCCTCCTCCTCTCTGTACAAACATTACACTGGCAACACAGGCAACTTGACCACTACGAACACGATAAAATCCACCACCACCAAACATACTCATTTAATCAAAATCTTCATACGCAGTGCCTTCCTCCCATATCCTCTTCTTCCATTCCGTAACTGGTAAATCCAATTCACCAAAACTCCAATCGAATGGTAATTCAGAAATGGGTTCATCGGATGGATCATGATACATTGCCAGGTATGGATGTGATAGTGCTTGAGCAGCTGTGATGCGTTGTTTTGGGTCAAAGACGAGCATCTTTTCTAGTATGTCGAGAGCTGTTGGAATGTGGTAGAAACAGTGTGTTAAAACGATGGTGCGCCCAAAAAAACGCAGGGATGGCATAGGCCTTACCATCTGGTTCGACAGTGGGGAATCGTTCAGTGAATGGTATCTTCGGTCTTTTTGGTAATGATTGTACGAACTTCAATGTCTACGATCAGAGGAAAAGTAATTTGTTAGATATGGAGTTTCAAAGATATTCAATCAATGAAAAGCTACACAGCTTTTAATTTTCTTTGATACATACATTTTCACTGCAAATAGTCTCAATCACATCATCAGGAGGTGTACCCAACAACTCTGTGATGATTGAGAATTGATGCACATCTAAAAGCCATTAAGAAAACAAGAGGGTTGAGTTCTCCAGCTTCCATTACAGTATTTGGACAAACAATTTTTTGGCCTCGTTGCAAGCAACACTCACGATCGCGACCAGGGAAAAGTGGTTTGCCTTCCAACATTTCTAAAGGTAAGAGAATCACGTTCTGTGTGAGTTACGTTCTTCAAATATTCTTGTCCAACCTTGTCGCAATATTGTTTGTCGTCTTTGCAAAGACGTGCAAGAATCAGTGTCTTACCAGCGAATATACATCCGACACTCCAAATATCCACTTGAGCATCATACTTTTGCCATGTCAGCATGATTTCAGGTGCTCGATAGTATCGTGTTGATACGTATCTAAATTTGTGGAGCTTAAAAGTGAGTTGAGCGCCCAATTGTCCGTACCGTAACGATAGGAATCGTGGTTTTTTGTTATCAAGTAATTTTCGGTGGTGTCAAACGTTTTGGGTTATCAAAAGATTACTTCTCTATGACCATAAAGCCCAACTTGTTTGTTTCCAAGCCCAAATTTAAAACTGGCTCACAAGCGACAATTTTAAGCCCGGCTCTCAAGGCAAAGTGCACTGGATACAGAAATCCATGGAATGCAAATACTCACCCAGTCATTTGAGATTCAGTCACGCGAGCCAAACCAAAATCACAAATTTTCAAATCGCAGTTTTCATTGATGAGGATGTTGCTGGGTTTCTAGTTTAACAAACGTGGAGGCATGAAATATGTCAGTCGAGTGGCAAAAGGAAGGAGTCTGACGAAAACGACACTCGGTTACCAAGTCTCTATGGAGTACACCAGCTGAATGCAAATACTTGAGCCCCCTCTATAAGCCAGATAGTTCCAGTTATGGTACGATTTTTGATCAATATCCAACAACACTAGCACCAATGAATTATTATAACACATACTGCCTTACCAGCATTTGATATAAAAAGTATTGTATGAATTGCTTGTCGAGAGGTCTTGACACCAACAAGCGATGCAAGTCAGTTCCCAATAATTCAGTCACGAAATAACTAGAGAAGAAGAAGATTTGGTGGTGAGTAGGTGCAGGCATATCAGGGTAAAAAACGGTCTATATATTTTGGCTTACATATCTTCCGTCTGTGATATATACAAGTCGCTCAAGCTGATGATCTAAAGTGGATCAATATGGTGAGTATGAGTACTATCTGGCGCTTGGTGAGAGTTACAATCACTTGAGATGGAGTGCCAAAAGGGGGACATTAGGCGATGTGATGATATCAGCAACCGCTCTCACCAACACCACGACAACTCTACGATACAAGCTTCGAGTCAACTTACATTATCATGTCGAATGTACTTGAGTAGTTTGAGTTCTCGATAAGTTCGTTTTGCCAGGACGGCGGTAGAGCAAGGCTTGAGTATCTTTTTGATAGCGACTTGCATTCCCGTTACAGTATTCTTTGCAGATCTAGGTGGTTGAACATGGAGTCAATGGAATGAATGAGTGCATCCACTGTATAAATGGGTCTAGTATGGGTGTATAAGTGGTGTATGGTTGAGCTTACACGACGAGCCCAAATGCCCCCATTCCAACAGGTTGCAAGTCGACATATCTATGGAAGGGAAGGGAGTCAGTGCACAATCATCGATGCAATACATATCAATATCAGTCAACCTTGGAGGCAGCTGGAATACGGTTCCGAATAGATTGTATTTCTCGAATACGGATTGCGAATGTTTGTCTCGTTTCACGCTAGTTCCATTGACTGCAGCTGGAGCTGTCACGTGTTCCTCGATATGTTCATCCTCCCGGGGATTGTCCGCCGCTGCCTCCTCCTCGTTCATCTTTGCTCGCTCTCTAAACGCTGAAAAATCACAAAAATCACAGAGGGCAGAAGCTCGAATCTATAAAGCACACTTAAAACAGGAACAAGCTACATCACATACATATTTCAATTCATCATAACAGATCATGGCATTACGTGAGTCAGCTGATTGCTATGAAGAATGGGACGCCTTTTGGTTTTTTTTTGCTCACGACATTTCGGTGTTGTAGGAGCTCAATTCGAAAACAGTGGAGATATTGGTGTGTTCAGCAGACTCACTAATGCATACTGTCTCGTCGCCATCGGTGGATCAGAGAACTTTTACAGGTACAGAAGAGAGCTTATTGCACTTCATCAACGACATTTGTTGTCGAAAAAACAATTAGAAACTAGCCTTATCACTAACTTGTGCGTCTCTCCTTTTATCTAGTGTGTTTGAAAGTGAATTGGCTGATGTAATCCCTGTCGTCCATACTTCCATTGCTGGAACTAGGATTATAGGAAGGCTCTCTGCCGGGAACAGACATGGCCTCCTCCTTCCAAACACTACCACTGACCAGGTAACCATAAGCATGGAAGCTTGAGAGGGAAGCTTGAGAGCTATTGAGTGTACATTAGGACATGGAACATGCGGCGAGCCGATTTTACTAAAACACGTCTACCCATCCCTTAGGAACTACAACATATACGAAACGCACTCCCGGAAGCCGTCAAGATTCAAAGAATCGAAGAACGTTTATCTGCTCTCGGAAATGTCATTGTATGTAACGATTACGTCGCCTTGGTTCATCCTGATATCGATCGAGTAAGTGTATATTTGGACAGGTCAACAAAACAAGTCAAAGTTGTCTATTGTATCATAGCCATCATCAAGATGCATCCCAAATGGATCTCATTCGATTCATCAAATCCCTGACAAACACTTGTTCATCACAGGAAACCGAAGAAATCATTGCCGATGTATTAAAGGTCGAAGTGTTTAGGCAGACTGTGGCTCAAAACGTATTGGTGGGAAGCTTTGCTGCCATCAGCAACCAAGGTGGTCTGGTACGTGTATATCAAGTGTTTGTACTTCGTAAAATCTTACCTTTTCTTTTAAATGGTGTTGCATGGCTGTCCAGTCTAAATAATGAAATCGTGGGGTACAAAGCATTGACCTTTTCCAATCCAATAGGTTCATCCAAAAACCACCATTCAGGATCAAGATGAATTGTCCTCGCTACTACAGATTCCTCTAGTGGTATGCGTTGTTGATATAGTTGTAGCAACCATATGAATGAAGGAAGCAAGAAATTGGATTGATGTTCAACGGATATCTTTCGTTAGGCTGGAACAGTGAATCGTGGTTCAGATCTCATCGGTGCTGGTCTGGTGGTGAATGATTGGTGTGCCTTTGCTGGTCTGGACACGACAAGTACAGAATTGTCTGTCATAGGTACCAAGAGAGACCTTGCTGTCGTGCTTCCTTGGACTTTGCGGTTTTTTGCACCCTTTCTCTTACACGACGATCTGTATCTTAGAATCCATCTTCAGGTTACAAGACGCACAACCATCACAGATTGCTGGGAAAATGAGGGACAGTCTGATTGATTCCATGGCTTAAGAAGTAAAGAAGAAAAACAGTGAAGCGTCCATCTTTTTCCTTTGCATCGAACCCCCTCGCATACTATTCTTTACTGTTGATTATGTATTAACTTTGGGTCCAAAACTTGGTCCAGCAATACAATACGTCCTCTTAGCCCCACCAAAAATGTTGCTACATTCACTGATTTCATGCTTTATCTTCCAAGTTCTTCGCTAAATTTGGTAGTGATGGGTGATGATAACGATTCGAGGCTGTTCGAATGGGCATTTGTGATGGCCGATGGAGACAGCAAATCGATTTCGGATTTTGATTCTTTTTAACTATTGACCGTCTAGATCTCTCGATGCTTTAATCGAGATCTATATTTCTAGACCACCTGGTAAGGGCGCAGTTAAGCAATTAGCCAACCTGGGTGACGACTTGGAACGCAAAACCAAAAGAGAAGAGCCACTGTAGTCAACCGAGAATGAGAATTGTGACCTCATAACTAGATCCCACTATTTTAGGCTGTTAGCGAGATAAACTCCACATTGTGGCAATTGCAATGGCATGCATGCATCATTGCACGTGTCTGTGGAAGTATGTCGGGGAAATCAGTAACCTCAAAGCTTCACTTCCCGATGATAACAGCATTCCCATATCAACATAGCTTTCGACATCGTCTACGATCGACACAGCAGCACAGCACCGCACTCGTGAGTTCCCAACCTGCCAGCAAGTGACTTGTCGATTGTTACACAGTCCATTACCAGCAAAAGTCCTTTTCTTCAATCAAGATCCACGGACAGACCAATTTACGTCAACAGAATCCAACGCCGATACATCGCTTTCTACCCTCCCAACACACATATACATTGACCGTGCATCCTCTTCACGATGGGATCATGCTCATCTAGCCAAAGCGAAGAAGCACATCGCTCTGCTAATATTGACAAGTTGTTGAAGGAGCAGAGTCATGCTGCGAAACGGGAAGCAAAGATATTGTTGCTTGGTATGTATCCACATTCCATGCTTGGGCGGACATTTGTTGTCATTGACGGTTGTGCCACCGACATGTGCTCCTTGCTGACTGCTGCCAGCAAGTTGGGAATTGTTGGCGAGATTGATGTGTGGAATTGATGACTTCGGTTGTATATGCTATTGCAAACTCAATTTCACTGTGTTTTTTAGGTGGTGGTGAGAGCGGAAAGAGCACAATAGTGAAACAGATGAAGATCATACATCAGGTTGGTAAAACCTCCTTGGAGATCAAGTTATATTGGCAGTCATTATTCATCAGTCTTAACTTCATGCCATTTGCTGTAGAATGGATACTCGGTGCAGGAACTACAGGCATTTAAACCAACAATATTCAAAAACATTACCGAGTCGATATTTACATTGATTGCTGGTGTGTATGGGATGAATTTGCAGTGGGCTGCTGCTGAGAATCAGGTGTGTTGGAACAATCAGTTGAATGTATGCACCTAGACCCGACATATCCTTGTTTTCGGTGGTGCTTTGCAACAAGACGCTTTCAAGACTTTCATTTGAGCTAACCCTCGTCTCAACGTATCAGGCTGCAGCAGAACGCCTCACAAAATCACGTAAAGAAATGGAACAAAACGCGTCCTTTTCACCACAAAACCTTGACGATATGGAATCGATATGGAAGGATGGGATACGACAGTCGGTTATGGATGCTCAGAATCACGAGTATTATATTATTGATTCTGCTTCCTAGTAAGCATTTGAAAATTCACGCCGACAGCAAAAACCTATTCACTGCAAAAGTAGAAATTGACTCTTTTTCACCAAACTTAGTTTCATGGCCAACATAAGGAGGATTTCGGAAACGACATATACGCCAACGGAACAAGACGTGTTACGAGCACGTTCGAAAACGGAGGGGATGATTGATACGTTCTTCACAATGGGTCCTTTGAGGATACAGTACGTCATTCAAGCAAGAACAAAGGGTTGATCTTTCCCATCAGAACTTGTGCTCACAACTCTACCTCTTCTCTCCCTTCTCATAGTATGTTTGACGTCGGTGGTCAAAGGTCTGAGAGAAGGTTAGCAATGAAAAAAAAAAGCCATCCGTCAATTACATATTAAGACTGCCTTGCTCTGTAGGAAATGGATACACTGCTTTGAAGCCGTGACGTCTATAATATTCTGTGTTGCGCTAAGCGAGTATGATATGACGTTGATCGAAGAGCCTACACAGGTAATGCAAAAACATGCCAAACATTCAAGTGCAATACAAGCTGTGTTCTAACACTCGCCATTTCTTTACAGAATCGAATGATGGAATCTCTAACACTCTTTGAATCCGTGGTTAACTCGCGCTGGTTTTTACGAACATCAATAATTCTCTTTTTAAATAAGGTGGATGTGTTCAAGGTGAGTCAACCAAAAATACATCCCCTCTCCGTGGAATGTCTCCTATAAACTCACATCACACATCTTAACTAGGACAAACTCCCACGAATCCCTCTATCAAAACACTTTCCAGAATACACTGGCGGGTCAGACGTAAATACAGCAGCCAAATTCATTCTGTGGAGATTTTCACAAATGAATCGAGCCAATTTGAATATCTTTCCACATCTGACGCAAGCTACTGATACTGCTAATATAAGGGTTGTGTTTGCTGCTGTTAAACTTACTGTCATGCAGGTACTGGTCAACAGTGGTTGCTCTTTTTTGTTGATATTATGAAGAATTTGAGATTGTTGTTAACAATCTTCCTCTTCTTAGAATGCCTTAAAGGATACCGGAATACTCTGAACACTAAATAGTGTTGGCTCTCTCGGTCTCTCTGTCTGGTCTCTCAAACACACTTAATTAAATTGTTTCATACACTCTACCACTTGACCACTTATTTACTTGGCCAGGCCCCCTTTATTTTCACTTTCTAGTTTCAAAGCCCCCATCGTATTTTGTAATTAGTGTCTATCTCTAAATGAATTTATCGCAAAAAAAATCGTAGGCCCATTAGCAATCATAACAAGCTGCAAAAGGCTTTCGCGACACGACAGTATGCAATAACAAGCAAACCCAGCCAGATACTCATAAAGAGGTTTCGCTTTTGAATTGTAGTGCTGCATTCTTTGTTTGCGTAATTCTCAACAAAAGAAGAAGAAGACTTATAAAACGGTTCATGCATGTACACCAATATGCTGATTAGCATGGTTGGTATTGTTTGCCTCTTACGTATACTAAATTCACAAGAAAGGGACTTGTCCTTAGATCCCATGTTTCACAATTATTGCTTGCCATCCACAGAGATACCCATCTTGGATAACATTCACTCGGGAAATCCTCGGCTCCAATATGGAAATTTCCGAACATGGAAAAATGACATGCGACTGATGTCAACAACAAAATCATCAGAATCAAAGGCGTCCTCCGTATCGTTTGGAGCAGTAAAGAAGAAGTTTTGGAACCATTTTCAGCGGTCTTCACACATGACCTTAAATAATGGTAGGCACCTGTCGAATCGTGACCGTATATCGTCATCTGAACCTTCATGGTTGATGGCCGGATTCGCGTTGGTTCTACAAATAGCAAAGGACGAATTATTGTTTTGAACAGAGAAGCTCGTTCTCAGAAACACCAATTCCATGTCTTGATGTAGAGTGACTTCTTTTTGCTACTCACCACCATCAAGAAACATTTATATGAGCACAGCCTTGTATGCCACTTTCGTCAATCTGCAAGAGAGAAATAAGCTTCGGTATACGAAATAAGAGCCACGTCGGAGCAGTCTTGAGCTACCCTTGTCTGTTCTTGTCTAACAGAGAGATGGAAAGAACAAACCATGAGCTTCCAAATTCCTTCTCAACGGACGCAATATGCTTGAACACACCTGACTGATAACGAAATGATATTCTGGTAAACCCAAAGACATGATTAATCTAGCAGGTACGCTTTCGCATCAAGGACCTTCTCTGTTTCTTACTGCCATTTAGAAATTTGATCGGTTTTCTGATTGTGGGACAAAGAACCAATTGATTGCGGAGTGAATGCGAAGGAATATGGAACCCTTGCAACTTTGATTAACATTTACTACGTATGTCTTTGAGAATACGACTTTAAATTCATCCTCTGTCAAATCGTATGTAGTGGGAGAGCTGGCGGAGTCGAATATACTTTAAAAGCAAATGAAAATTATCTACCAGGTAGAGACCTAATTCAAGCTGATCAGAAACCAATGCTTTTGTTGCTGTGTCAGTCGTATTTTGCTCAGGACCTGACGTTTAGCGGGTCCATTCTTACTGCCTCAACACCAACGGTCTATCAGTTAACACAGCTTTTCCCGAGGTAAGCAAAATGCTCTCAAATTAAAGACTCTTTCAGGGTACGATGGCTTCGTCTCTGCACCTTCTTTGAATTCGAATGAAACTGACGCCTGTCAACTCTGTCACAGACTACACAAAACAAAAAACCGTGTCTGTCGTTTTAATGGCGATCAAAAGAGCCTGTTTATGCCTGCTGATCGTATCAGTTTACTTTGTCATCTAGTGCTCTGCCTTGCAATCAGCAACCTATTGCAGCGACCCATTCCATTCTCGCAGCAATGTGTCAACTCATGATTGTTTGCTGATAGCCAATAACAGTGTCTGGTGCAATGTTTTTGATCAAATTCTCATCAATAAAGTTTAGACTTTGGCTGCAACACGATGTCAAAGAACTGGTAGCAGCACTTGCTCGTATCAGATGGATAATCACGTCTGGACAACCCTTCATCATATCCATAGGGCCGGTGTGATCTGCAGCCTGTGCCATAGATTCAGGACTCGATTCAGCAAAATTTCAGCAATCATGCGAAGAGATTCCGAGATGCCGACAGCCCCAGGAATTAAGTTTTGCAACACTCGTATCCGTATCTGGTCTGTCACGGCACACCACACAGTGTTTTTACTTATAGTCATATCTATAGTCTTCCTATCCAGGCAAAGCGACCCAACTGCAGGCCCTGGGACGTGACCTGTCCATTTCAGCTATTGAGAAATCGTCAAGTCAACTGATATTATTGCGTAAACATATTCAACTTTTCCATATCACCCTACTCAAACGATGATACGTCAATGTCTTCGAATTCAACCATTTCATTCTCGGCCTTGCTAGGCCCTAAGCAGCCGTATCTTCGATACGAAGACTACGTGGAAACACTTCACATGGAAGGAGAAGGGACCCGTCCTTCGATATCATGCTCCATGATTATTAGTTGTGATCCACTGAGATACTCCAAATTGGATTGCTTTCACCTGGGAGATTCTTGGCTGCAACAAAAACCGATGTCTTCGAAAGTGGAAAGAATCATCTTCAGCACCAGCGTCTATATTTAACCATGATTCTGTATTACTTGTCTGTGCAAATCTGTACAAGAAAAGAGAGACGACTAAAATATGCCTGTATATGTATATGCGTTGTTGTTGTGTGTAGTGGTAAACGACCTTGTTCCCATATAATCTAAAGTATCAAACGCCCAATTGCTCATTTGAGAGCACTATCAACTGCATCATGACTGTTCGATAACCGTCCTTCAACAGTGTTAGGATGAGCTGCAGGTATAACCACATCCACATAATCATCCATAGCTTCTTCTCCTTCTCCAGGTACTATAACTCCATCTTCATGTGCTCCATTATCTGAATGTGACTTGCTCATCCCAACTCCGCCATTCCCAGGTAGTGCGATTGACATCGACGATGGAGACTTCATTTCAGATTTGGCGTCACCAGACATATTCCATTCGCGTCTCCGTTTCTCATACCATGAAGAAACACCGGCGAATAGCTTTTGTTGGCCTTCTTGCAGTTTGTTGGATGTGTTTGAGATGGCTCGGTCTAGTTTCATTTCGGTCATTTTGCTAAGAAAAGCGAGAGTAAAAAATCAGCCGGTCCTCATCAAGCCTTCACGCCAGCAATACACAGGCCTTTTGACAACCAGCCTCAAAACATCAAGGCCTGTTCTCTTTTAGAAACATGTCGATTCCGACACTTACTTGGCTAGAGATGCTTGCATAGCTCCCAAAGCAGTTGTACCTTGGAAGGGATGACTAGGTGGATACAATTCGCATATAGATGGACTCGTGCTTCGATCCCACGTTCCATAATTATTGGTTGCCATCCATTGAGCAACCCAAATTGGATTGAACTCACTTAAGAGATCCTTGGCTGCCAAAAAAAAACTTAGTGAGTTCGTAGCGATGACAAGATCGATCAGAAATTCGACCCGCTGTACCTTTGGGAGCAGGTGAAGAAGGTGAACCGTTTGAAGCATTATCAGCGGCCTTGACACATGACATTAATGATAGTAAATACATTTCAAATCGTGACCGTATATCCTCATCTGAACCTTCATAGTTGATTTGTTGATTCTCGTTGTTTTCTATAGTAAGAAATTTTTTGAATGCGTTAGACGTCTCGCTGTCGACGGTGAAGTATTCTATACAAGACACGGTTTTTTGTTTTTCCCTCACTCACCACCATCAGGAGACCATGATGCCAGCACAGCTTTATTTATCTCTTCCATAAATCTTTTGTCTGCTGCAGTCAATTGCAGATAACTACTTAACGTTGGATCCGCTATTTCAATTGTGCCTTGATCAACCTAACAAAAATTAACGAGTATTCAGTGAGGAAAATACAGACATGATCCCTTTTTCAAATTAGCCTCGAATTTAGCAACATCGCTCCACAACGCATACATTAATTACAGCATCAAACATGGAAGTCTTGTGTGTGAATATAATATTTGAGGTTCCAACCAAGAAAGAGTTTGTTGCTGAGGAAGTGAGGACATCCATTTGTTGCAGTGGGATGTATGGCTAAACAGTAAAATCGACAATCCATAAGAATTCCGCGCGTGATTGTACTTTCAGTATGTGTATTCCAACCGCCAAAAGTACACACAGACTCACCTGGAAGAATGCACCCTGTCCAAATAATTTCAGTGGAAGCCCAAAGGCTTTATACCTTGCAGCAGCAGTAGGTGCTGATGTATGTTCTGCATTACCATCTACTTCTACATCATCATAACCTAATTCTGGTGCTCCGACATCCTTTAAATTCCTCAGGAGCTCTAGAGATTCGAAAGTTAAAATGATTAGTCACGTTGGAGATCAACGAGAAGATAGTTCTTGGGGGTTTTTTTGCGTTTCGTATTTGATGACGACGAAATCATCACGCGAAACAAATTCGAAAGAACTCATACCTGGAATAAGCGCCACTAGCCCGTATTGATACAAACAAACTTTTTCAACTCTAGCACCGAAGAACAAGATTCGTTTTTCCAGCAGAAACAGTTTAAATAATTGGAGGGTTTTTGTACGGAATTTGTGAACCATTTCTCGTAATGATATGCCTGAGAATTGTCACAAGATCGAGATTGAGAAGTGTGCGTCAGTTTACATCCATGTCGATAATCAGTAGTGATATTTTTGTCCCTATCACACAGGCACATACCCATATATAATGAGCTATCAGATATTGGATCTCTTGTAGATACGTTGGTGATGTTGTCGTAGAGGTCATTGAGAATGTCGAGTTTGGAGAAATCACGTTGGGCTTAAAAACCAAAAGTGAGAACTGAGAAAAAAATGCTACACGAGGTGCTGTCATACCAAACAAGGCCTGTGTCGTCAACCGTAGCTTGTCACGTATTGAATTCAGTATTGGCTAGTGAATATGAAAAATACATGTTGGCCCCACTGTTCAAAAGACAACTCTTGTCCCGTCCACACAAACCTCCTTGGCTAAGACCACGACAGCTTTCTGTACACGAGATCGAGTCACATCAGCAGCCTTGACGACCAAGTCCTGTTCAAGGGAGGAAATACCATTAATCGGCGAGCCTATTGTGTGTACATAGACTTTACGTACATTGGAGTCCAGCTGTCTAAAGCACGCCAAACCAAAGAGAGTAGCTTGTGGAAACCCTGGAGCCCAAGCAGGGACTGGAGGCAAGTGAAAGTATATAAAATCCTCATCAGCACCTAGGTATGGAAACGAGTAAGAGTTGCGATCTAGGTATGTCAGTGCAACAACAGACACGTTCTGTCAATTCCATACAGATCGACAAGACAACCGTCCCTTGCGTATCTGCCCATACACACCATGTGCACCATCAGGAAGACACAAGAATGGTAGGAATGCCCACTCATTTGGTAGTTCGACAGCGGCATGAGAGAGATTTGGATCCACATGTGTTATAGTAGCAGTAGTAGTATGATTAGATGGCGACCCCACGCTGGCATCAGTAGCACCACTTTGATCTTCAGTAGATGTTGGAGATGTTCCAGGGATGGCAGGGAATGGAGGGTGAGTGAATTCCACTTGAGGGCCATTGCGATGATGAAACTGGACCAGGAGCACCGTAGTGACACTTGAGTTATGTGGGTGATCCATTGGTATCGCTGATGATGGCGGTGAAGTGGCAGACAATCTCGCCTGGAGTTTTTGGTTGATGGAAGCAAGAGACGACTGAGATGTGGCACTTGCTCTCCTTGAACCACTGCTATTGTTGCTTCCCTTCCTGGGCAGCATATTAGATATAATCTATATAATCTGTAAATTCGAAGTCTTGGCCGTTTGCTTTAATTTCTTGCACGCGTCAATACATGTCATCGTACAGATAGCCACTATCGACAGAGCTATATTTGAATTAAGCTCCCGTATATTCGCCGCTACACGTTTTCCTAGCTTGACTAGACGTCGTCATCATCGTGCTCATTTCAAACACAATTTGACTGAGTGGAGTTAATTAAGAAGGAGCACTATACAGACAAGACCCTCATAGCGCAATGTCTTCAGCTAATGAAGATACGGGTGCCAGCTCAGGCACCATTAACATAACGATTCATTGGACTGGCGGTCGAGAAAAGTTGGAAATCTCAGATTCGAGCATAGGAATAGATGAGCTCAAGGCTAGACTCGCTACAATCACGGGAATCACTGCTGAGGTATGCAAAAGAAGCTCGCAGGTGGTCGCTCTCGCATTTCATTCCGTGTTGGAGCTGCTCAAAAGCTCAACATCTCGTTATCGAATCACAATCATCAGCATTGCCCATCTCATGGCCCATATTCTCACACATGGCACGCTCTCTTCTCTTAGCAACAACGACTGGTATCCTCAGGAAGAGTCATTGCAAGTGAAGGCACTGTGGACGAACTCATAAAGGACGGCTCAATCATAACCATCGCCAAAGCTACTGTCCGTGAAGCTGTCCCTGATCCAGTAGCTCAAGCTGCTGTACTATCTCAGCCTCCACGTAAGCGCTGCTTGAACACTGTCACATCTGGCTGATCGCATCATTGATCATTAATTGCATTGACACATCTGATCACCTTATGATCACTAATCAACTGGCATCAACATACGGCTTCCTTCATCACTAATCAACCCATCATACTGTCATCACTAGCGCAGCAAAATGTCTTAGGAATACCTCCAGAGATGATGCCTATGATGCAGCCTATGCTTGATCAATTCTCGCAGAATCCTGCGTTACTCTCATCTCTCATGCAGTCAGATCCTAGAATGAGGGTATGCATGTGCTAAATTGAGATCTAACTTTTTTGATGATGATTCTGATAAACATTTTGGGGATCATTAGAATCTGATGGAAAATAATCCGGAACTACGGAGCATGATGCAAAGTCCTAGTTTTCTTCGTCAGATGGCAGAGACTATACGGAACCCAGCAGCCATGCAAAACATGATGAGATCAACAGATCGGTCAGTTGAATAAGAACATGAAGTCATAACTTTTGTTTCTTCTCCCGTCCGATACTCACGTTTTTCTCCCTTGCATAGACAATTAGCGAACATAGAAAACATACCAGGAGGATTCGCTGCATTGTCATCTCTGTATTCTCAAATGGGATCAGACGAACGACCATCAGACCCATCAACCGATGCAGCAAATCAAGCTCTAGCTCAGCAGCTAGGTGCTGACGACAGAACCCAACCACTACCAAATCCATGGCAACCTAGACCACCACCACAACAATCTGCAGCATCACGACCAAATGTGGGCTTCCCGTCAGCATTCGGTGGCCTACCTCCGTATTCTGCTTTATACAATAATCCGTATATGAATCCAGCTAGCCCAACAAATCCAACAGCAAATCCAACAGGATATCCAGGATACAATCCCGAAATGTTGAGATCGTTATTAGGTTCCATGCCTCAACAAAGCCAACCGCCATATAATAATATTTCCACACCACCAGTAAATCCATTTATGAACCCATATTCTCCCTTCTTTTACCCATCAATGGCTCAACAACAGCAGCAATCAACAACAGGAGTTACGAGCCCCACTTCTGCTACTACGACGACACCACCATCATCAACTCAAACTCTTGAAGAAGCAAGGACGCGATATCAATCTGAACTTGAGTCGCTGAATTCTATGGGATTTACAAATGAGGAAGTGAATATTAGGGCGTTGAGGATGTCTGGTGGTGTAAGTGTTAAAACAAAAGTTCCTTAGACTGTTCAAACAGTCACATATTAACTATTTACTATTTTCTTCTCACCATAGAATGTACAGGCTGCTATATCATTCCTTCTTGGAGAATGAAGTAGTGGAAATAATGGTACTACCTGCACACGTTGAGAGAAATCAAATTAGAGGACTATTATTAAGAGCAATTCTACGTTGTATGTGATACGAAAGCAACAAATGCAATCATATGGTGTACTCCTATTGTGCAAGTTCCTTTTGATGGTTTGCTGGTAGCGAGCATCGCTTTTTCATTTTCTTGATGTGAGGTTGCTTGATGCAACAATTGTTAACTTTTTTGTTGGTCTTGCATCAACCAAGATTCAATAGTTTCCAACACCAACAAGAAAGTAATTCTCGGATTCGATAAGTCATACCGATCTGCAGCACGACATGGATTTCATTACGCCTCAGTAGACAAACAAAGAGTGTCAGGGACAAGGGACTGACGAAGTGTTACCGTAACGCTTAGGGATAAGGTACAATAACTCAGAAAACACAACCAAAGAGAAAGAATCAACGACGCACTGGAAAAGAACAATTGTTTATACATTTAACAGTCTCATTTATATTGCTGAGGCATTGGCGTTGTACTTTATACATATTGTATACACCCTTTACTATCACTAATTATCTTAGTGCTTGCTATTGGGTCACATTTTATTCCTTGTTGTATCCCAACATCTCACCGACTTTAGAAGCAGCACTGCTAGCAGTATCCGCGACTGCAGTGGCAGCATCACTGACTGTACCGGTAACCCTTTCGTAGATGGTTGGGTCGGCATTTGAGCCAGCTTCGTGTAGCTTGTCACCGGCTTCGTGGGCTGTGCGACCGGCAGAGTGTTTAGCATCTGATGCCAATTCACTGGCCTTGTCACCGGCAGCGTTGGCATTGTCTTTGATTGTGTCTTTGGCGGATTTAGCCTTGTCTGAGGCTCTAGTTGAGGTGAAGATTGGAGGGTTAGGGATGACAACATGATGAGATTGCAAGACTGTATCAGGCCATTGGTAGGCAAAAGCACTTACTTTTGACTCATGTCTGAGGCGGCGTCCTTGGCATCATCGTATTTGTCCGATACAGCAGATTTGACTTCATCGTACTTCTTTGATACGGTCTTCTTGGCTGATTTGTAGTTTTCTGAAGCAGAGTCGGCTACACTTTGGGCAGTGTCCTTGACCTTGTCGGAGACGTCGCTGGCAGCGTTCTTATTGACGCAAAGATGATTGTCAGCAAGAGAGGTATAGTGAAGAGTGATGGAGTAAATATCCAACGAAATAAAAATAATAGTCGACATACCTTGGCTTCTTGTCTGGCAGATTTAGTCATGTTTGAGATTTCTGTTGTTGAGAGAGGAGTAGCTTTGTTGTTGTTGTGTTGTTGTTGTGAGCTTTTGAGTTTGAATGAATGTAGAAATGTTGAAAGGATTGTCGACTATTTATAGTGTCAAAGTATCGCCGTGATCAGCGAACCATCACTTTTGCTATCTGCGGCCAAACCGAATGATGAAACTTTATTTACACGAAAGGCCGGCTTTCACGTTCTTGCAACCCCTGACGTCGCTTCTGGATCGAGTATCAGTGATACATAAAAGACAATAAGGCCACTATGATCTGGGAGTGACGGCTCCCAGTACCTGAGGTGAAGGGATTTCCAACTGATAATCTAATTTAAGGAAAGACATAAGTAGCAGCGCGTGTGATATACAAGCTATAGCTGATTTAAGGACATACAAATCTGAACTTTACGTATTCATCCACTATGTTTGTTGTGATGGATCTAGCGGTATCACACGCATCAGAAGTGCACCAAGATAGTCATGATGTATACTTCTTTATTTATATGTAAGACACGCACGACAACATAACAGACATCTACAAGACACGTATATCCAGGTATCCAGGTTCAGCATAGGTGTGATCGTCGTGGACATCACAACGTAGAGTGCTTCCTCTTCCACCGCATCCAACTCTTGGATTTCCCAATTTCTTGGAGAACAGGACCGAACAAGTAAGCAAGAGGAAGTCATGAATCAGTTCTTAGTTGTTGAACTCGTTATTTGGCTTTTATATCTTTCCACAATCGGCGTTCTCACCCTGACGTAAATGTTCACATTAGATGGCCGAGATGACAGAAGAAGGAAGTTCGGCTGCTTATTGAACTGATTGATACGATATTGGACTATTTAAAAGCTGGAGTTATGGATATTAAGAGTCTTGCTCGAGCATCAAAACATTGGAAAGAAGCTGTAAGTATGTGATTGATGAGCAATTGGAAATGCCGTACGCTCATGCACAAGACATTTGCTAGGCTCTCCGTATTATATACCAGGAGTTATCGCCTCGTTTCTGGGCAAGAGAAAGGCCTCTCTTTTGTCATCATAAATTGGATGTGATTCTTGCCAATTCTGAGAAGCTTGGTCAAGATGCATTGATCCATGTAAAGAGGCTGATAATGATTGGCAGACCAGCTGGACATGTCGATGCAGTTCGATTATGCAGTTGATTCTCCTTGTACCTGTACGCACAACTCTTCGTGTATTATCTATAGGCCTTTTTATGAAGTTTGATCGACTACCTACATACCCAATGCCAATCCTCGAACACCTCACTTTCCCATACAATGGACGACCGATAGCCCTTCTAAGTGCGGCAGTCAACTCGAAAGCTTATATCTGAGCGATACCCGAATGGGGCTGGCCACAGATGGATATATTGGTGGAGTTTTGCCCCAATCTAGTACTCGCAGAAATTCCGACTAACTACGACGAGCTCGGTTTGGAGGTCGTGGCCACCGAACTGCAAAAACTGATGTCTTCGGGGTCTGGGCGCTGTCCCATGTCTCGTGAATTGGCAGAACGTATTGCCAGTACACGAGTCCAGACCTGTGTGATGCCATGCTTGAACATATACGCCACGAAGGACGTCCCAAGTCACATATACTCCACGAAGGACGTTCCAAGTCCTGACGTCAGATTAGCAATATGCAGTCTGTCTGGAAGTATTCGTGGAGTGAAGATGAGCAGTATAATGCTCGTGCATTCATTCGACATCTGAAGACACGACTTGTCATGGAGTCTCAGAAGTATTGAAGTATTTTAGGTTGAGAGGATGAGCACCGAAAGTGTAAAATTATGTATTTAGGTAAAAATGTGAGTGATGGAAATGTCAAAGTACGTAAAGCCCCTGAATTAGTATGCTGCTATGAGTGTTTTGCTTGTAAAGTAGTTCTTGTATTGAAATCCCCTTACAATCCTTATAACTGCAAAAATAGTAGAATAAAATGGAAGTTATTAATAACAACCCTCTTTGTTCTGATCTGTACTTTTCGTCAGTGCTGTTAGCATCATGAGTTGCCTCCTTCTTTGCATCCAATGCGAGAACGAAGATCTCATCCATCACTTTGCTGACATAGCACACCCAGTACGTTCTTGAACAGACTGGCGTACGTCCAATACATTCCTGAACACTGACTAGCTATGGAGCGATTTCACCTATCACTTTGCTGACATAGTATGCTCAGTATGGTCTATCAAGAATGACGGACATTGGTGACTCCTTTAAACGTTGCTTGCAATACCTTCATGGAGAATGGATGTAGTGAAAATCCTAGACCCTCCTTTCAAAGCAATCATTTTTCTCCCTTGTATGTGATCAACAACAACAATGCAAACATGCAGTATACTCATATTTGAAATTCGGGTTTTCTTTGCTCGAGAAAGGCACGGCCTTTTATTTTCTTGATGGGAAGTTTCCCTGATAGCACAAATAGATACACGTTAATTGATAGGAATCCCATCCCTTACAAGACCGACAAGAAAGTCGTTATTGGGATCTCTCTATATCGCAAATCGACCTGCAGCACGATCAAACATGGCTTCCTTGCTTGCGTATTCTAAAACAAAGGGATGATTTGGTGATGCGTCTCGTAGTTGGCTGTTGTAAAGAGAAGGATGCGTGGTGAGTTTGGATTACTGACAAAACTAGTACTGGTTACTCATCAGCGAGAGAAAAAATGCCCAAGTAGTATAGCAAACCCTTACTTGAGGTATCTCGACACGACATCGGATGGTTTACCAAGTGCAACAGAGCATACCATCAAGTTGGCTAACACTTCTGGGTCATTGTTGTTCTATATCAAAGAAAACGGGATAGACGTGTCGTCAGTTTGATATTTGACAAGACAAGAGCCAAAAAACGAAGCTTCTGTGTGGACCACTTGGAATTAATGCCAATTCCCAAACAAATGATATTCAACTTACTCTATTTAGAGCATCCAGCAAGAGAGTCTCTGCATCAGCAAACTTGCCAGCATGCATCCGACAAACAGCTTGTCCATTCAGTAATTTGGCAGTAATCATATGTGAGGATGCCAATTCTTCAAATATGTAGTATGCTTCTTGTTGTTTTTGTTCACCAGCCTGGATTGAAAAAAATGCAACAATGTCGTTCAATAATTTTGGATATTGATGAGAAGGAATGTTGAATGTAAAGGATTCGATTTCTGCAACCAAAAAAGCATACGGGGGAAAGCCAAGAATTCTCAACTCACAATAACGAGATTCACCCAACTTTCCACCAATTGAGCCAAAGTAGCATCATCGGCCCACGATTTGAGTGCAGCGACTTCCTTTTTGGCTAGATCTAATCTATCTAGTTTCAGATATGCTTGTACTGCCAGTGCGACACTAAGATAATTAACAAAGCAAGGTAAGCGATGACAAAAACGAAGCAATGCGGGCTTGCGCAGGAATTGCATGTACGACTACAACATACCTCTCAAGATGTCTAGGATTCTGCACAGCAGCCCTCAGCACTTCCTCATACTCTCCCAAATAAAACAAGACACTGGCAGCCAACACGCACGTCGTCGCACTCACACCTCCACCACCACCAAACACCAACTCCTTGATACTATTACTCGCATCCTCTCTCCCTTGAAGATCAGCACCACCAGTAGCCAGTAATTTCGCATATATACGAATAGCCAATAATTCAACATCAGTAGTTGATGTTGGGATTTCCGACATAATCATATTGAATTTGCCTTGAGCGAGATATGCGCGATATAGTAGGACTTGGCGAGTCTTGCGAGATGATTCGGATTTGGGCATTGTTGCTGGGTTTGTTGCATCGTTGACTACTTGTTGGAGTGATCCGAGATGATAGAGGTTGCGGAGGGCGAGGGATTCGTCAACTTCGGCCATTGGTGGATTTGGATTATTTGGGACTTGATGTATAATAGTGGAGGCTCCTTGTCCTTGTTGGATTTAGATGTCTGTTGCAGTATTGCTGCTTCAATGTGTAGTTTTCAAAGCTTTGAAGATTTTTGGACATTTGACGGAAAACACGAGCACCGGACGCGTTCTTCAATAATTGAATATGAAACATTGTTCGACTCACATTTTTATACACGTTTTGTACACGTTATATACACGCTTTAATCAAAGATCAGCAGTCCAATCTCGATTGAAATCCATTCCATGCATCTCATCAGTCTCAATCCCCAGCTTTTCCATCAATTCAGCTGGCTTGTCTGGTAAATTCTCTGTCACTGTACCCCATGCCTCACGGAACTAATTTGAGACACCGTGTTAAAAGAAGTTGCAGAAAAAGGACTGGGCGTCAGTACACGAATCGACATTTACCATGCGTCTTCTCACTTGCCAATACTTCCGATACATGTCAAAGTCCTAACATATGTGATCAATGTTACTGAGCTGCTTGTGATAAGCCAACGTGTCAGTCATTCAAACACCTACTTGATCAATCTTGCGTCGATCATCGTCATTCACCAATTTGGCACCATTCTTCAATAATTTCAATCGTTCTCCTGCTTTGCCATTCTATTGACAAGTACAAGAAATAGATCATGTAAGTTAAAAGCAAAATTACCGAAGCAAACAAGTGCTAAAGCAGCTACATAATGTGTTTACCTCCACAGCAAGCACTTTCAATCGTTCTCGAATTTGATCATCAGTCATCGAGTTGTTGAGACTTGCCAATTCTAACCAAAAAAAGGGTAAGAGCTGGCGCCACATGATTCACCATCAACTCAAACTCGCAACATTCAAATACCAGCAGTCAAAGTCTTGTTCTCCTCCTTGATAGCAAGAATCGTCTCTTTAATCTTTTCAATGTTGGCATCCATCTCTTCCATTTCTTCAGCTGATGGTGTCTCGAATTCGTCTTGTCGACATACGTAGACGAATTGTTTTCCATACTAGTAGTGAGTAGTGGTTAATTGAGAAAATGTGATGACGCAAAAACAGAAAGAAAGCATCCTTAAAAATAGGCCTACCTGTTTGCCAGATATCTTGCCTTCTTCAACTAGTGTAGTGAGGACTTTTTGGACATTGTTCTTGGCTAATAAAGGGCGATTATATGAGTCTTCATTAACGAGAGCTTGAATCTCCTTCTAGTGACAGCGATGATCAAGCTTACGAATCTAATTGTGTTGATGTTAGTTCCCACATAGATCTCATATATGAACATGATAGTTCCATATCATCATATAAAAGATACAGGCACAATAGATTATTTCCACCTACCTCCTGTTTCAAATTGTTGAATACGTCCAGTGCGCTGTATGGCCGGTTTGTTCTCCTCAAGTATTCGATGATGGTGTTGGCTACGAGGAGACATTTAATTTGAGATGCTGCTTACTGCAGTACGTAAATGATGCTACGCGATACCTTCTCCATTCTTTCCTTTGGGAGGCATGACTGCTAACTGCGATGTTTGGGATTCTAGCAGCCAGAATCAAGCTCACCAAAGCTTGTATCACGGGGTGCGAGATACAAGATACGCTATGAACAGGATACCGATCTATGTGATTGCATTTTTTTCGCTTCAGCAAACACGTAAAATCACTAAGGATGCCATTCCTCAATACGTCAATTTACAACGTCATCAACACTGGACAACTTTCAGTGTGATCTCGAAATGCTTCACGCAAGTCGCTGGTAAAATCAGCCATGATGGGCTAATATTCTGGCATTCACGCTACGAGTACGAGCTGGCCCTACGTTGCCATTATAACAACGACACTGGTTGCTATACAGCCTATACTTGCTGCTTGCAAGGAGGCTCTTACTATGAGGAAGATGACTAAGTGTGGTAGTAGTGGTAGTAGTGGTGACTCTGGTGTTGTTTTCAGTCACTTACAACTGAGGTAACTTTGTTATGTAACGTCACAAGCACCAAAGAGGGAACATTTGGAATGGTCTTATGATTTATACTTCCAAATCCGTTTGAACCCCCACACTGTCGTTCCCTTCTTAGCTACAAACAGCATAACTGCCAACCAGTTAGACATGAATTCAAATACCAGTCTATTTTCAATTTCACAAAAAATTACGATCCATGCATGCCAATTTACCATTCATGACTACACGGAAGCACCAAATACCGGGTTTAATAGTTGGAGGCGAAGTGTCGTTTACAAAGTTAATGGATCCGACTTGGATTTTGCCTGTTTGTTTGGGAGGAGTTCATTATAGGTATTTTGGAGGGCAAATGGGAATCAGTGTGGCTGCTTGAGAGGAATGGTATAGTCAAGAAATATGGTGTATCGGCTACATTGATATTTTTGTCCGTACTTTTGAAGTACCGTCTCAACTCCTTAATTTTTTTTACCTCGTAGCTTCCATCAGAGAACTAGTCAAGGTGCTGTGAATGACCCACGATTTCATACAGCACTGTCCGGTGCTCTCACCTTCGTTGTTCCTTCCACTGAGGGCACCAGCCAATACCATTCCAAGCGAGCAACGTCCAATTGAGTTACGTAGCAGAGAAGTGAATTTGCCAAGGCTGTCGGCACTTGTAGTTCGAACTCCCAACTTGAAGAATGCAAGCACACTTTGAAATGTCAAACCCTGATTTATTGTTAGCCAACGACATAAAGTTACAACCACATATGCAAAGAGTATTAGTGTAAACATCAAAAATCAAGCGACCCAAGAGTTCTCAGCGACCGGTCTCAGCGACTCGATACTAAAAAAAATTCGAAGCTAGCTCGTCCTGCTTTCACATAGCTCCGACCAAAAAAAGAGATATCCGGTCCTTACAGCAATCTGCTCCAACAGGTAATTGACCCTGTTCGAAACTTCCTGGAGCAAGCCAAGATCATCTCCTAGGATTGTTCATCATATGTGTGTGTTGGTCAAATGTTGAGCAAATGCTAGCTCAACTAACCCCTCAGGAATAGATGACGTTCATCCAAGTCGAAAATTATGAATTTCAGATCTGGATGACTGTCTTTGTCAATGTTTTGCATTATTTGTTTGGCCGCTGGATCACTATCAAAAAATTGGGGTTAGTTTGCTTATTGGTTTTGCGAATAGAAAAGGATGAATGCAGAGGGATACCACTCAACGATGACTCCTGCGAGAGCACGGACTCGGCTTGGTTGAGCTGACATCGTATAGCTGTTTTGGAAATGGTGATCGCTTCTGGAGCCTACGTTTTTGGACTTTAGAATGTTTGGATCTTTAGGAAATGAGATCTTTGACGTGCTGAAGATCTACCAAGACTTAGTAGCAGCTGCTCCTTTAGTGTGCGACAGTCCTGATCATTACTATCATGCTGTAAACTGCACGTGTTAATCACGGCGAAACTACGACTCGAAACGCTACGGCCGGTCTCTGACCTATAATTCCAGCAACAGTCTCCAGTTAATGTCTAGTTTTCACATACATCATTTATTTCAATTTTTCTCTTTCACATGCCTTGGGTACATATTGGTGGTAGGATCAAGGGAAAACGTGTTTCGCATTGGTGACATTATTTTATAACTTAGTTTCTCGAGCGTAAGAGGGGAGAAAGAGCAGACCAAAAGGTTTTTCGTCAAGCAGACTACTCTTCTCCGCTCCATGACCTTTTCAGAGCTCTGGCAGAATGCTTCTAAAGTACTCAACAGTCTCTTCAATACCTTGAGCAACAGAGAATTTGGGTTCCCATCCAAGCTTGGTTTGAGCTCCTAGATAGTATTAGATTTGTTGATTTGGTCTCGTTAGCCAACCTTAAAAAAATGGCACCTCTTATTGATGATAACATTCTTTAGCTTACGTGTAATATCAGGCCTACGACGTTGTGGATCATCAGTAGTAGCAGGCATATTTATAATTTCGGTACTATTATCCACCACATCTCGAATGATTTCAGCAAATTGCTTTATCGTGTATTCTTCAGGATTACCCAAATTGACTGGTTCAGTTGTGTCAGATTCCATTAAAGCAATCAAGCCATCAATCAAATCATGTACGTATTGGAAGGATCGGGTTTGAGCTCCATCACCGTATATGGTTAGTGGAACTCCTTTGAGGGCTTGGATTACGAAATTGGATACGACTCGTCCGTCTTCTGCATTCATTCGTGGTCCAAACTTGTTAAATCATAATGTAAGGTAACATGAGAAAGGGAAAAGAATTTACGAGGCAGAAAAAATACATCAGAAACGTCTCGATGTACGTACGGTATTGAAGATTCGTGCCACTCGTACATCGACCTTGTCTTGATTTTGATATGAATACGTTAATGTTTCTGCGACACGTTTTCCTTCATCATAGCATGCACGAGGTCCAATCTAAGAAGTGAAGTTGAGTGAGTCGATTTCAAGCGACTGGTATGATTGACTATGGTTTTCATTTGGCTTCGGTATTGGACACAGCAAAAAACAGAGTAACTAAGATCAGGGTCGATACGCAACGCAACTCAACCACGCACCGGATTTACACGACCCCAATACGACTCCTTTTGAGGATGTTCTTCAGGATCACCATAAATTTCTGATGTAGAAGTCAACAAGAATCGGGCCTTGACTCGTTTGGCCAATCCCAACATGTTGATGGTGCCCATGACGGAGGTCTTGACTGTTTTAATGGGATTGTATTGATAGTGCGGTGGAGAAGCTGGACATGCCAGATGGTAGATTTGGTCTACTTCTACCATGAAATGGTCTAGGTGCAGAGTGGGTGTAAAGTTTGTAAGCATTTAACATCAAGAACGCTGGGGCTTTTTTTGAATGAATCCCAAAATGTCATGCAAAATTCAACACATACTGATGACATCGTGTCGAATGAAATCGAAATGAGGATGACCAATCCAATGTTCTATATTCTTTTTAGACCCTAGTTGTCGGAGTGCAAAAACAGAGATTAGACTGAGTTGCAATGTTTATTTATGATTTGACACTATCATACTTCATCATACCTGTAAACAGATTATCAACCACGGTAACATCATGGCCCATCAGCATCAACCTATCAACCAGATGCGATCCCACAAATCCAGCACCCCCAGTAACCAAGATCCTCTTCTTCTCAGTCTGTTTCAATCTCCTCACAGCCGGGTAACTCTTTGTATCTTTACGATATGAGACCATTCCTCCTTCTTTCTCGCCTTTGCTTGTAGCAATGGGAGAGAATGTAGCAGGTGGGTTCAAGTACAGGTTTCGTAGTTCAGATAGCGGCATGTCTGATTTGAACTTGGCCGATCCAACTACTGTTATCAGTTCGCCAGTTGGTGCCTCGTTTGGAGAAAAGATTGCCTTCTTCTGGATTGAGGTTCGTGCAGATGGGCCTCCATCGACAGATCGTCGGACTTCAGTATCGACTTGCATTTCTGTTGATGAAGTTGATGATGGGTCGATGTTCCTTGAGGTTGAGTTTGTTGGGAATGCAAAGACAATTCGTTCAAGTAACAGCACTAATGAAAGGGAATGAATCCTGTAAGCAATGTTGTTTGTCTCCAGTACATGTGTCGGACTCCAAAAATGTTGGATGCGTCTTTACAACAAATTTACGACCACTATGATAATGAAACTGGGCTACTACATACATGATATTAAGCCAAGTATCGCAATCAGAAAGAATGTGGCCTTCACCTTCATCAACTACTCGTTATCAAACAAGACTCGACTAGTATTGGAACTTGGCAAAAGTGTGGCATTGCTGTTCAGCTGGCTGATAACAGTAAGAGGAGATTAAGTTGGCAGATCAAACTGTGTGCACTATTGACGCGTAATTACATCTTCCTCCCTCCGAAATCTGCGTGGTTCTTGTCGCTATACGACTAGAGGTTTCTTGATGCAGTTCGCAGCAAAAGCACAAAGAAAACGGCTCATCAGCTTAAATTCATTATCAGGAACTTTTCAGTATCATGCGTTTTCGACTATTGACCGCCAAGAGCCCTGAAACCCCGTGTCATCAAGCTCAAATCTTTTCGCGTTCACAAATCATTCTTCGAATCAAGATTCCGACTAATAAGATAATGGTCAGGCAGACAGCAACTCCAGTCATAAACACAGCAGTGGACTCTCCAGCTGCCGACAGTGATGAGGGAATGAGGTATGGAAAAATACGCAGCAAACACAAATTGCCTTGTTTCTTGGAGATATTTGCGGGAATGGGATTCGTGAATTCTGAGAATAGTAGCACGCCAAATTACTCGCACATCTACCTGTAGCTGCCCTACTGTCGCTGTGTAATGAATGGGCTTTTCAAAACATGAACATTAACCAACCAACGTTAGTTCTCCAGCTGCTGGTAGACCATCACCGTATCCACGTGGCTCAGAACCACCTCAACTTGATGCAAATGGCTGGAGTCCTGCTATGGAGATTGCCCTCTTCCACGCCGTGGTCAAGTACAGGCCAATAGGTACACTGCTCGTTGAACATTCAAACGGAAGAACATCACTGAATGGTTTTTTTGGCTCTATGATAGGAGCACACAAACACTTTAGAATGATCAACATCCATCGCTTCTTCAACAGCAACTCGCCAACACCACTATCAGTCGCGAAACTATGGGAACACTTGGAACGAATGTACAATCTATCTGCTCTTGATGATCGAGTAAGGCCATTTACAACATGCAAAAAAATTACTCTACTCTGGAATTACTTGACTGACTCAAACATCCTCCTACAGGTCGACGAATCAGACGACGAAGAAAGCCGAGACGCAAATTACAAGACACCATCAGACCACTGCTTTAAAGGAATAACAGATTTCGTACTCCCAGCAGACGAGTATGAAGAACTGATTAACGAGGCTCGTCGTGCTGATACTCCTACTCCAGTCCCACCACCTGTAAAACCAGAAGCGCCAGCAACGACCGGAAGGAAGAGAGGCCAAGCAGCTGCTGTCGCTGTAGAGACGAGAAACTCGACGAGGAATTCATCGCCAATGACGGATACTTCTACATTGTCGTCTGCTGAACCAGAAGAAGGTAATAGAAAGAACGAAGGGGAGAGGTTCTCTTTTTGCTCACCCAAACTCACACACTCCCTTGATTCCATAACTAGACATACACGAACGACCATCAAAACGCAAAGCAGCAGTAGCAGCAACAAAGAAAAACCAACCCGCAAACAAAAGCACTCGAAGCTCATCAAATACATCACCTACTGGTAAAGACAATCAACGAGCAGAATCCGGTTCACCTGCTCGAGGACCGTCTCCTGTAGAAGAAGAATCGGGTACGAATACTAGTAGACGTGCTACGAGGTCCTCTCTTGCAAATGAAAAAACGGGTACGCCGACTGCAAAGGCACCTGCTAAAAGGGGCAGAAAAGCACGTTAATGGAGTCACCGTCTTATAAGCGGGATGTCGTGGTAAACGGATTTTTTTTCGCTAAAAGTATGTAGATATTGTACCTAGGTTTGCAAATAGAATTTTGATATATACAATCTGAAGTGTTGTCCTTCAACGAGGTGAGATATAAAGAAATGAGACGAGATAGACGCATCCTTGATCGCTCAAGAATGTAGAAAACTATGTACAAAAAGTTCGCGTATAGAAACAAAGCGCACAACAAAACGGCCAACAATAACAGTACACCAGATTCAGTTCTTTCTGAGATACAATTACTGCAACGTCTTATTAATACGGTTTTTCTAAGGGTGTTATTTCTAAAAAAGAATAAATCAAGGTGCAGCACCACCTAACGCTCCATCTAACTGACTAACTACAAACACATTATAAAAGAACACGAACCCGATCTTAGATAAATCCATCTCTCCCTTTGATATATCTCCCACTAATATCTCCATATCTTCATCTATCTGCCTTTGACTCACCTCAAACCATGTATATATCACACATACCACCCCATCGGTATCCGAAATCCATCAAATCACTCTTACACAGTCATCAGCCTGGCCTGCTTGAAACTGCTAGGCCTATCAAACGTCGACTCTGCCTTGAGCGAAGCAGTCAATACATGTGGTGCAACAAACACAGTATCATCATCCAACAACTCTTGTGCCGTCTTGGCATCTATTCCAAGAGTCATGCCGTCTACTTGTACGATCCCACTTCCTTCATTATGTGCCATTGGGTTGATGGTCCGTTTCTGTTGATTATTGGTATTACTATTATTATTTACATTCCCATTAGCCGTTTGTGTGGAAGAGGTGGACGAGTTGGTCATTGATGGTCGTGATGCAAGCAATGATTGAAGACCTGGTGATGCTATATCTATCGGCAGTGATGTACCGAATAGTTCGGATGGTCGAGATTGTGATTTAGATGTTGTGAAATCTTCGGCATCTGAATCAGATTCGTCGTTATGTAATGGTGGTTTTATCGGTGATGAGATGTGATCTTCAAATCCATCCAGTGAAAACAGACCTAAAGGGTAAGAAGCAGATCTGTGAGATTGGTCAACGAGGCAATTCTTCGGGTGAAGTGGATTTTTTGCCATGGTCACGTAAAATGAATTGAGACCCTCTACTTTTGACTAATAAGAATCTATGTAATCAGAATCCATAACGTACCAGTAGTATCCTTATGCAAATCAAGTGGCTTCCTGCTAAACAATTCCACAGGCTGATCAGCAAACGTCACCCTCAGATTCTTAGACGACATGCCCTGTCCAGTCAGCGACGACAATGACAATGCACTTTTAATCCTTCTCGGTGGTGGCGTCAGTGCTTTTACAGGAGAACTAGGCACTGACGAATTATCACCCGGCGGCACCACATTACTAGTATTCGACACTATAGGCGGATTTGGCAGTATCGGTATGCGGACATTTGGCGGTAGAGATGGTGGGACATATGATGCTCGTTTCCTTGGATTGATGGGCCATGTCCGATCTGCTTGTAATGAGCCGTATAGAGGGTCGGACGACAATGTTGAAGTCAATGAGGATACAGACGTTCCGAATGAGTTTGGTGGGGATGTTTTGCTTGAACGGTTGCTGTTACTATTCAGTGGATCTAGTATTTGCTGTTGTTGGGTGGTGGTATTATTTACTGATTGTGGAATTACGGATGGTATCGGCTGTTGTGACAGAGCTTCTTGATTGACTAGACATATTCTAGACCAGAGGGTTTCACGTTCTGATCTAGCTGTAGCAGATTCTTTTTCGAATTTAGCGTTCTGCGATACAGTGTATTCGGCAATGAGAGCATCCGTTTCTAGTCTCTTTTGATGTATGTACGTCAGGAGGTTTGACTGAAGGCTCTCGAATGCTGTTTGGAAGGATTGTGGCATAGCTAGTGTAAAGAAATACATGTTAGTATCTATTTCTCTATTCGATTTAAACTTCAAATAACAAACCGGTAACATCAATAGGAGCAGGTTGAAGATTTAACTGAATCAAACGGATCCGGAAGGTGGGCGAATAATCTAGAGCCATTTTCTGAGCTTCTATGTCATCGGCATTCAGCAGATTGCCCTGGCTAATATATATTTCACTTGTCCGGGGCATCAAATCATCAGAGAGGATTGAAACCCCACCAATCTGATATCCATATACAGTAGTGTCACAATTAATACACCTAATCCATTTGAATCCGGATGGGGCATCACTAGATATAGCGGTAACGAGTATTCGATGTTCCTAAAAACCAAAAGGGGTTAATTTAGATAAAGTGCTAAAATTTTGACAGGACAATCACATGTCGATGGCCAAAAATGTACAAGACAAGGGAATCGGGAGAATACGGAGAGCAGTAGAGGATATCCATACGGATATGTGCTTCAAATCGACGTCATTTCATGCCTCTTTACCAATGCAAAACATCACTCACAATCGTAATTCCACCGATTCTCATGTTTGCGAGTTCAAACGATTGCAACTCGAGAGCGACAGTTTGAGAAGAATCAGCCGGTCTTGTCGATCTTATCTTGACATTCAGACACCTACAGGCTACAATCGATGCCATTCTGTGGGCTAGCAGTTTGCAGGGCAAAACTCGAAAAAATGCAAAAGGTGATGTTTGTCGTTGCAAAGTCAGCATGTGAAGATGATTATTAAATGGGCTCAAACACACAAACAAGTTATAAGCTTTTGACCCGTACTTGATGCATCCACGATACATTTCAGCTGGACGCGACCTTGTAAACCTTAATTGCTCGTGTTTTGGTCTTCAAGCCAATTCCGTCACTGCCATTTTGTGTTTCTTGCTCACGGAAGGACATTAATGGCAAGGGTGTCTTATCGCCTCGCTCAAAGAGTACCCTTTCAAAGAGTCTTCAAGCTTAACAACATTTGTTAATATCGTCACAGAATGGGCTTTAGATCTGATCCAGAGTTGTAAACTGAGATGATGACAACAGAAAATTTACAGTAACCAATTTCACGTCCGATTCAAATTGCATCGCTTCAGGCCTGTAAACTGCAACTTGGCCCAAAAGGTTCCAAAAGGTGAGATAATTTATTGTTTCAATCGTTTGTTGCTCTTTGAGCGAGGTGCTGGTTCTTGTACACATTATGCAAATTTTAGACTCTTTGAAAGCTACATCACGTTTTGTTGAGATCCTTATTTTGTCTACCAGGAGGGTCTTTCCAATTACGGAGTGCGTCCATCTTTAGAGTTTGATACCACGTCGATGAGTCTTGATAGAGAGCCTACAGCCAAGTCGGAACATTCGTTTTGTATCTTGTGCATAAGGCACAAACCCCTATAACACGACAATGGAGGAAGTGTGGTACAATTGTTGCAAATTTGTTTGAAGCATTGCAAGAACCAGCATGTAACTTACTGTTGTCTTTTGATCATAATATTCAATCATGTTTCGTTGTTGTCGTACCCATTTGGAAGCCGCATCTTCTTCATCGTCATCAGCGTCACTGTCATCATCGTCTTCGGCATATCCTTTAGCTGCTCGTTCCTCTTTAGATTTGCGATAACGTTCTCAAAGGCGATAAAGTTCTCAAAGGCGTAGTAGAGGGTGGCGGTTTAGACGTTCTTCTAGTTCACCGAATACGGTGGCGGTGGTAGTAGTAACTGTTGGTTCGGTAAAGTACATGGTTCCTCGTCAAGCCTTGTCGACAGATGTCGACATCGTTGAATTTCAAAACACACAATTCCAACATAAACGAGCAGCCCCAGTCAAGACGGACGGCAGGCGAGAGGCCATCAAGTGTAGTACGCCACTAGTACATCATACTTAAGTCATCTCCAACCAATTCCAGGAACCTCCAAGCTTCCAAACCAGCATCCCAAAGTAACCAGTTTCCAACAGTCAGTCAAACTCAAGCAAGAGGGACTATCACAAGCTTGTAAGGCAGTATTCCCGATATTCAGACTCACATCCATCATGGGCAGTGTTACAACTGCTGCTTTTGCTATTGAACTCACTGACAACAAATCTTCAACATTTTAAATCCAGTGACATGTACGGCAACGTGGAGAAACAAGCTTTGAGAGGGCCGACTCAAAGATTCTTGGCTCTCAGATGAACCAAGGGTATGTCTGCTTGCTATTGCGAGGCACTCTACTGCGGCTTATCTTGATATCTTGGACATTTGGCCTGTTTTTCCGGATATTGTGAATGGTGATAAAGAAACATGACATATATGATGTTTACTAACGAACCAAGATATTTCCAGCATTCATTAGGCACATTACAATTCCTGGCTGTGGTCATCGAGTACAAGGTCTAGCTATTGGATGTCCTCTCGACAAAGAATATGGATGGAATGCAAGTACTGCTACCTCTTGCTTTTGTTTCTTTTACTTTGTACCCCCGTTCGTTCACCGGGGCTGACCTCACACACTAGGTAGGCTTTGAGGTCCTCTGAGTCTTGTGTGAGGAAGGGAAAAGTGGATGTTGTCCTCGCCAGCGTTGGGATAACTAGGCGCTGGAGTGACCTCATATAGCCTTAGCCAGTATGCAGCCTGGTTTAGAAACACACTAGAGGTCACCAGTCAAGTGTATTAAGAACCGTTGCAGAGTTTTTTGAATTTGGTTAGTTTGTAAACATGGTGAGCATTGGAGATGGTAACTAACGCCCAGTGGTGGTGTAGTGAGTATCGTAAGTATGTAAGCTGAATGCTGTTTGGTGAGTATGTAAGCCGAATAATCTGATTCCAATGGTAGTAGCTACCACGGGTCGTCGTACCCGAGCTACCACTAGAGATATTCGTAAGCTATCAGCACTCATGGCAACATTTTAATGGGCCAACGCCGGTCCCAAGCCCGGTTACAAAATTCAGAGGGTAATGCAAACATTTCTAGTTACACTCCTTTGCAATGTAGCCGAATATGACCTTCACACATAAACAAAGTCTTCAGACAATCGGCTTTGCTTGCGATGCGACTAGACCATTTCTATTGGGTCCTTGTCTAACTTGCTTACAATAACAACACAATCCGGTATTTGTTTCTCCAGTTCGCTTTTAAGGACTTCGGTGAGATATCCACGTTCTATTGATGCATAGTCAATTCATGTTTATATCAATGTCGCAAGCAGACCACCATACCTGAATTTGAATGCTCGCAAAGAATGACGGAAGTCTTGTGTTCGATTGCAGCCAAAACATCGTGATGACTGAATTCGCCTATTGTGGGAAGAGTGATCTAGATATGAGCTTGCATTTATTTAGGGAGAAAAAAAGTACTGCAAAATCATGCCTGATAGGAACACATCAGCCTTAACTCCACTCAATACTGAATGTCCAGCACCTGCACATATAGCGATACTCGATACCAAGTCGTCTCCATGATGAGCATTAGCAAGTCTTACTATGTAAGATAGGTTTCACCGTCTGAAATTGTCTAGAACAACTGTTCAAAGCAAAAACCTACAATGCCTCAGTTTCAAAAACGCCTTCACTCTAGCTACCAAGGTCGACAATGGCACTGGCTCATCTAGCGTTACGATCCTCCCACTTCCGGCATCTTCAAATCCAGGAGGTGGCAATTTAGAAGGTGTAATGACCTTCACACTTCCTCGTCCACATCCTCTTGCAAGCCAATCGTTTATTCCGTTGGGCACATTGTCCAGAGCTGTATGTGGACTATATATAGATACTCCTAGAGCAGCGCATTTCAGTACCTTGAGAGGAAAACAAGGTCAGAGCGAGTTCTTGAAGGTTCAATGGTAACAAGGACCTTGCAACACAGCGATGCAAAGATCTCATGCCGTTTCCGTACCAATGCCAGCTTTGGATCATTCAGAGTGAGCTTTTTGACTAATCCGTGGCGTTCAGAAAATTCGAGTTAAGCAGACTGTCAATGTTTAAAGCTCAAACCAGATTTCGTGAATTTAACAGCCAAGACATCACAATGCGACACCAATAAAATACCTGATCGAAATATTGGTGGATGATAAGAGACAATGACTCCCGTTGCAGAGTTGGCAAGAGCTTCTTCCACGACAGAGCTTGTGAAATCAATTGTCAGAAATATAGAATTCGCTACGCGAGGAATTGGAGCCTCTAAAATCGTGCCAACATTGTCCCAAGATGTTTCCGCAAGGCTTAGTGGTGCTACCTTCTCAAAAGCAGTCACCACTTTAGACAGCAGCGACATAATGCGTTCAAGACAAACTCGTGGTATTTGTCGGTCGCGTCGCCATCATGATCCATCGACACGCTATATTTTTGGTGTTTGTATATATATCATATTTAATATACACAAGGAGGTTCTCTATCTATAACGTATCATCTAGCCATTCTTTAGTTCTATTTTTGGAAATTAATCTTCAAACTCGTCACCATAATGGCCAACCTCGTCAATTTCTTCCTCTTCTTCATCATCACAATGCCCACCGTGATAGTGACACTCTTCTACATCCTCTGCTTCATCACCCATCATTTCTTCATAATCAGCTCCGTATCCTTGCCCCATTTCAGCTTCACCTAGTCCAACAAAAGCAGAATATGATGACGGCTGTGACGGTCCTGATTCAGGTCTCGGTACATCTGGCTTTCTTCGAGCACCAGTGATAGTTTCTGCCGCAGAGAGTTTGGGTCTAGATGCTAATATCCTCTTCGAAACATTCTACAATTCAGCGAAAAATTTGAGATTTCAGACTATAATGCAAAAAGTGGAATCCTGAACTTACAGATTCTGGTCGATTATGAGCAGCCAAGTGTCGATCTAACACAACTTTGGAGGTGAATGCAGCGCCACAGTCTGGTAAAGTACATTTGAATGATCGTTCTTGTTCATGGGTAGTCTTTATGTGGACTTGAAGTGTTTTTTCCTGTCGCAAAAAATGGATGTTAAGATCATGAAAAATAGCAACATCAGAAGTCAGAGACACATACTGTGGTAAAGACACGAGCACAACCCGGCCAAGTACATGGTTGCATATCACGAGACGGATCATGGGTATCGTAATGTTTGACTAGAGCATCTTGTCTCGTAAATGTCTTGACACAGATTTCACATTTGATGACGTGGTTATGGTTGACGTGTTTTTGTAACAGGGACCATTTATCAAATATTTCATCACATTGATCACAGAGATATGCCTTGGATGCTGTTTTACAGGGTAAAGAAGGTAAGAATGAGCAAAAAACTTATGGCTGGAACGTCAAGATCCTTTTCAGGTTGAATTTACAGCCTCATACACACGGCACTCACCATGACTTCGCACATGTCTACTCAACTTATAATTGGACTCGAACGACTTTGCACACCCTTCAAATGTACATACAAATGGCTTTTGACCAGAGTGAGCAGCGACATGTCTTCGTAATTGCTCTCGTTTTGCAAATGCTTCTTCACAGCCATCAACGGTACACTATATTTTTTCCCAAAGGAAATGGTCAAAAAAACGTTGCATGAGAATTCCGCACGAGACCACACTCACATGAAACGGTTTTGGAGTTTGATGGGTAGCTTCATGACGAGTCAACTGATGCTTCAATCGAAACCTAGATTCACAGTCTGTATATGTACACACGAATGGCTTTTGAAGTTCTACTTCTGTAGCATGTGCTGGTGTATGAGCTCGAAGATGATCTGCACGTCGAAACGCTTTACCACATCCTGGGTGTGGACACACATGAGGCCGCTAAAATGAACGTGTAAGAAACTCATTGTGACATACGAAATCATGCTGTTTTTTACCTCATCAGAATGTGTCTTTTCATGCTGGTTCAGTTTACTACGTTTCTCAAAGACCTTGTTGCAGCCCATAACATTGCATCGAAATTCTTCTCGTGGAGTCTGGGGTGGTGTTTCTGGTTCTATAAGACGAGGTCTCTTTGATTTTGGTTGATCGTCAGAATCGTCTTCAGTTTGATGTTCAAAGTCGTCTGATGGAGGTGTTGTTGGCATGGATTCTAATATGAAAGGAGGAGATTGTGAGCGGACAATCTAGTTGAAATTCATTTTAGAACTGTACATACGTGTATCAGGATGTTGCTTTCTCTTCAAATCCTATTGAGGCAGGTTGGTCGATTTTGTTTTAGCACTAGACCAAACCTCTTCAAGCTTCGACGGTAGCTTCAAGATTCAGGCTTGAAAATATGTAAATACATACCAGCGATAACTGATGCGGCGGTTTCAAGGCTTCAGCTTCCATCTCTGCAGAGCTCTGCCGAAAAAAAATTCTGGAAAAAAAAAGGTGATTCAGGCAAGAGGATGTGAGCAGCACCAAACGCCCAACGCGACAGATCACGTCGTTCACTCCCGTCAATGAAAGTTACAAAAGTTCCAATTTCCAAGAAATTCACTATGATAAACTTTATATATTTTTTCGTCCCAAAACAATTACATTTCATTCATGTTTTTGTGATCCTTTAGTATCGTGCCATAACTTCAGCAGTAATAGCAGCACGTGGCGCATGACGTTCAGTCCACCTCTCGAATTGCTCCAGCCCTTGTTCAATCAACACTTCAATCCCTTCACAAGTCACAAAATTCCTGCTTGCTTGACTCAACAATGGGGTATCACGAGGTCGATATGCCATCTCTACTACAACTCCAGTACATCCGGCAGCAGCACTATTATACATATCGTTGAATGGGAGTTGGGATTGCGCAGGTGCAGGGATCGTTCCTACGACAAGGTACAATGGTGGTGGAGCATTAACACTACTATTGTTATATGGAGCAAGACACCAGTCTAATTGTTGCATAGCACGTCCACCAAATGCAGAGGCTAAATCTTGTGCTCGTGCACCAGTTCGATTCCATAGTCGCAATTCAGTCACATTCATGGATTTCAGGGCAAAACATGCAGCTCTAGCTGTTCCTCCTGCTCCAACCACGACTCCGATTATAGGTTGATTTGGTAGTAACGATGGCATACGGGCTTGGAGTGCTCTCTTGATACCAATCCAATCTGTGTTATCACCTACTACAATCTTGCTGCCATCACTTGTTGTTTCAACCATAAGAGTGTTGACTGCTCCAATGCTTTGAGCTGCTGCCGTAGTACGTTGCACGATACCATGTTTGACTACATCTTCTTTCAGCGGTATTGTGACACTAGCACCACCAAAAGTACCATTGGCCAATCCTTCAGTGACTATAGTCTGTACATGTCTCCAATCCGGACTTTCAGAGAGTTCATATTTATGCGGCAGACCAAGAGTATGGAAGCCTGTATTATGAATGGTGGGTGACATGGATTGCTTTATCGGAGCTCCAAACAGGTAATATTTTTTAGCATCCAATAATCCCAATAACGATCGAGCTTGATTTAGTTCTGTGATCGTCAGTTGACCTGGTGCAGCAGCAACTGCCAATGCTGAATGAGTGACCGGTGTCAAATATTCGTTAAGGACTCGTGATAATTGCCCAACTTTTCTCATATTTATGGCTATTATGGGTTTGGATGGTCGAAGCCCCAATGATGTTACAATACGGTTTAAAAATCGTTGCAAACTATAGTTGTCTTCCATATCATGGGCTGTGCCCACTAGTTTCACTATATCTCCGTATGGATGCAATTCAATATACTTGTCTCGCATAGAGACACCAGCTTTTTTATTACGGCTGCTTGAAGTAGTTCCTAGGCCAGATCCATATCCTGTCACGGCAGTCAAATCTTCCCAAGTAGCTGTTCCGGTAACATCATGGTAGGAAGCAATAATATGAGCTGGTCCCTTGTTGGCAATCAATCGTTCAGTCATGCGTTTACGAGCCGGCTGTTGCATATCTTCTACTTCTAGATCTATATATTCACATCCCCATTTGACTGCTCGATTCAATAAATCAAACATGTCTTCAGCTTTATCATTGGGAAAGGCACCATTTTGCGTTTTGGTTCGTACAGTGAAGATGATGGGTAATTCAGTCATACGTCGAAGTAATGCTACTTGCTCGGCCACATATTCGACATCAGTGGATTTCAGCAAATCTACTCGTAATTCAACGGCATCGGAACCTTCTGTTATACGGTCGATTCGATCAGCGACATCTCGTACATTACCACATGTCAAGGCAACGAAGAAGGAGGTGGTGGAAGTAGGGTGTGTTGGTGTTGATGTGATAAATCGGACGACTCGAGTCAAGTCACGTTCTACCTTTGTCCAATACGAGTCATCAGAATCAACTTCCATGCTGCCAGATGACGACGGTACTATAGGATGCTTCACAATGACGAATTCAGCACTTGAACATTCATCATACCATCCTTTACGACGATCCCACACTACCATCATATCTTCACCAATCATTGGTCGAGTCTTGTCAATATTGAGATACGCAACTACGTCACTCATATCTCGTTTTACGTGTATGACATGCCCTCGTCGGTGATTGACTGCTTGACCAGCTCCACTCCATTTCTTGAGCGTTTCTCGAGCAGCTGGTGTTTCAACTATACCACCGCCACATGCAATAACCAATCCTGTAGGCTGTTCTTCAAGAACTTGGGCCAAGAATTTGGTTTCCTGTTGTCTGAATTCAGTCCATCCTTTGTCTGCTATTAATTGAGGAATGGTGGTACCTAAAGCCGATTCCAGGTAATCGTCCATATCGATAAAACGTCGTTGTAATGATGCAGCTAAAGAGCGACCTAGATGTGTCTTTCCAGCTCCTCGCATACCAATTATGACTGTTGTGGCATGTTGAAGGTAATTATGGGAAGTACCATTTGTCAGACCATTTGCTTGTACTTTGGCCAATGCGGGAGTAGATGATTCGGTAGCTTCGTGCATGTCAATACCAACCAGTGGTACTTTCATGATATTTTCAAGAGTATCCCACCATGTAGGGTAAGTCTTTTCAACACACTTCTTTTCTTTTATGACACTTTGATGCGTTGGGTTGAGTGCACATGCCAAGACACTAAAACTCATGGCAATACGATGATCATCATAGCATTTAACTCCTGATTTAGGTGCATGTAGTAGTGTTCGATCCTTGCCATGGATTTCTATACCATCTGGTAATTCTGATGCATCGACACCGAATTCGGCAAGTTGTTCAACCATGGCGGCTATACGATTACATTCCTTGACTCGTTGATTGGCTATACCAGTTATACGAGTAACGTTCGAGCCGTAATGTGGTGCTGCTACACCGGCCAAGACACTAGCTGTCAAAAACGCATCAGTCATAGACTCCATATCGATAGATGGAATGGGCGACAGTGTTGTAGGGCCTTTCACTGTTGTTGATGAGGCTGTTTGCTTGACATGACAACCCATGGCTCCCAAAACCTTAAAATATTAATAGAGCGTGTGAGCAAAAAAGCGCTTTCGTCGACCGTATAATATTTACCTTAGTGGCAAATTCTGAATCACCCTGCAGTGACTGCGATCCCATGTTCGTCACTGTTACAGTTACACCAGTTATAGCAGCAAAAGCGAGAGGGTAAGTGGCGGATGAGGCATCAGCTTCAACTAAATAGTCGGATGGGTTTTTGTAGACTCCTTTAGGAATATAATATACATTCTTGTTGGATGGATCTCGGGTGACTTTGATACCAAAGGATTCCATCATGGCTGTCGTCATATCGATATAAGGTTGAGATACAACAGCATTACCCGTCAATATGAGTGTGACTGCGTTTTCAGCGTATGGAGCTGACATGAGAATAGACGATACATATTGCGAGCTGATTTCAGCAGACAAGTGGATGATACCGCCCTTCAGACCATGGCCATCAGGTGTGATTTCTAGTGGGAGTGAACCCTTTGATTCTAGATACTTGACATTAGCACCGTTTGCAGTCAATGCATCAAATAAAGGTCCAATAGGTCGTTGTTTCATTCGAGCATTTCCTGTGACGATGGTAGAGACACGATTGCTTCCTGGAGTTTTAACCAGTGCACATACAGTAGTGAGGAAACGAGATGCAGTTCCAGCGTTTCCTAAATATATTTCCGAGTCTGGTACTCGTAATTGACCACCACCTCCTTGAATGACCAGCGTATCACCATTATCCTCCCATACATAGGTAATGCCTACTAGCTTCTGTAGTGCATCCAGCATGACCTGCACGTCGTCTGAATGTAACAGGCCACGTAATCGACATGTGCCTTGACCTAGAGCAGCGAAGACTAATGCTCGATTTGATATAGATTTTGAGCCAGGCACAGCCAAGCTATAATGCTCTGATCCTGTTATACTAGGTGGCTGTACTCGTATGGCAGGTGATAATATTTTTCGGATGACTACATCAGGTATAAACGTGGCTCGTGGCTCCCAGCATTTACCAATACCAGCCAACATGACGATTCGCTTTTGATCTCCTTGATTCTTTTTATCGACTCTCATTATATCTAGTAGTTGATCAACACTGCAATGCTTTCCTGGGGCACGTTCAAGAACCTTTTTATCTTCCAGCGATATTGGGAGGCCGTAGGACTGTAAACATCGTACCAGTCGACCGACAGCCACTTCAGACAAATGGCCTAAATGTCTGGCAATCTCTGCTTCTCGGACCATACCCATAGAGACACATTCACCGTGTAATATATTTGGAGCAAGAATAGCTTCCATGGCGTGTCCAATCGAGTGACCGAAATTCAGGAGATTGCGGAGGCCTGTTTCTTTTTCATCTACTGTGACTACATGAGCCTTCACTTTGACTGAGCCCAAAATGACACGTTTCAGTAGTGTTGTATCCGTTTTCACTAAAACTTGAGGTTTGAGGATGTACTGTGGACAAACAAAAAGTTCCAGATTCGAATATCTGTGAGATTGCTTCAATTACCTGACGACTTGCTTGTATTAGCAAAAGCCATAACTTCTTCAGGATGATTTTCCAGCAAGTCAAAGTCTTCTTCGACCCATATAGCAGCAGTTTTGATGACTTCAGCCATGCCATTGACGAATTCTCGATGAGGTAGAGTTTTTAAATAGTCGACATCTATGAATATACGTTTGGGTTGATGGAAGGCTCCAATGAGATTTTTTCCAGCAGGGGTATCGACAGCTGTCTTTCCCCCAATAGATGAATCTACCATAGCTAATAATGTGGTTGGGATTTGTACAAATGGTATTCCTCGCATGAATGTAGCTGCGACAAAACCTAACAAACAAAGCGAATGTGTTGTTTAATTGGTGTGACTCGTCTATTCGCAGCCAAAAAAAAAGTTTGAACAGTGTACCTAGCATGTCACCAATAACACCACCTCCCAGCGCAAGAATACATGAGTCTCGTGTACATCGTTGCTCCAACATCCAGTCTTCAATCTGTGCCTTCACTTCACGAGTTTTGGCAGCTTCACCAGGAGGTAAAATGTATGTCAGGATTCGAGCAATGGCGTTTCCCTTGGCGACATTCTGATGGATGGCGGCTTGCAGCTCGTTCGTTAGTGTTGCGAGATGATATGGAGCCACGTTCTTATCGGTGACCACTATGTACGATGATGCGGGAATGGTTGTTACAACTGTTTGAGCAATATGCGACGTCAAGTGCTGTCCAACCATGATTGTCTCTGATCCAAGAATGGACACATTCGTAAAGTCAGAGCCCGTCATGATGCACTTCTCTTCTCTAGGCTTTCTGGTATTTCTCGTCAATGAATTCGGAAAAAAGAGTTTGTTGTCGGGATTCGAAAGTTTGGATTTTCATAAGGTGCAAAAACGAAGGGAAGAACGCGATGTCACGACGTAATTGGTCACTTCACGATCAGGCTCCAAGCATCTATGCATCTATGGGAATTCGGGCACAGAACAGTTTGATTGTTCGTGCGTGACAAAAAAAATCAGCTGGGTAGTGTAACTGACTCGAGTAGATGAGTATGAAATTAAAATTTACACGATGCGAATACAAAATAGATTTCCTTTACATGTGTTCCAAGCAAGAGTGTCAAATTACATATTCAAAGCTGGCTTTAAATACATTGTCATCCTTTAGGATTATTCTTTCGATATTCCAAATCCTGCAAATGCTCCTTCCATTCTTGATTTCTGATTTTCGCTTCCTTGTTCCTCTCAGCAACCTCCTGAGAAGTCGGAAAATCAGCATTGAACAACCACGGTGGAGTTGGCGGATTGGCCGGAAATACACTTCGATGTCGACTACCATGAGCTATAGGGTCTACACGTCGACCATCTACAAAGCGGGGTATATCTTTTGTAGCCTCATAGTACTAATTGAAAGAGGATAGGTCAGTTTTCTACGAAAACTTGGTCCCATAGACAAGAAAACATATGTATTCACTTGGTTACACTTACCCCAGAACAGCATTCGCAATCCACAGCATGCATCTGTTCACGGGCAACCTTTTTCCTCACTACTTCTTGGAAGGCATATTCTCCAGGTTCCAAAGTACGTCCAGCGTTATCAGTCACTGGTGCCGACTTCCTTCGTGGTGGTGAGGTTGGCGTTGACTTTCTCTGCTTTTGCTTGTTGGGCTTTGATTGTTTTGGCTGTTGTTGTGGTTGCTGCTGCTCTATCTGCCTGCTTCTATTAGGTTCACGTCTCGGCGGAGGGACCACAGGCATATCCTCTAAAAGTGTGTTTTCTACTCGTTCAATCTCACGTTCATGTACAGGTGAAGGACTATAATCATAGTATTCCTGTAAAGTGCTGTCTACTTTCTGTATAGTGTCATCATCGACGTCGTAGTCTTCAGGATCAGCACTTCCTCGTCCTTCTTCTTCTAAATCTATTACTTCTACATTCGTGATCTGTATTGGCTTGAGAGCACGATCTACATCTGCATCCCATCCTATTTCTGAGTGAATCTTTATGTTGCTGCCAGATCCGTTTGATTTACACCGTGCCACGTCATCTGATACTCGAGCATCGGCGTTAGCTGCTATTTGGGGTAGACGACCGTTCATAGGAGGAGACGGCTTATCAGGTGGTGTACTACTTATACTTATGACATCTTTGGTTTGCTTTGTGTATCGAGTTGGTGCAACTGGTGTGTCCTTGATAACATCTGGACTATCTACGACAAGGATCGGAGCGACCTTGACCATTAATTTACGAGCTGCATTATGTTCGAGTTGAGGAGTTAATTTTGGCAAAGGAAGACTTGTTCGCGCAGTGTTTGGCATCGAGAACTTGTTTGGTTGAGGTGCTTTGAATGGTGATTCTGGTGCCTCTTGACCATTATGACCACGAGAAGCGAATTCATTCGAGTATGGATTGAGTCTCGGTGGTCCAGAGGTTTCACGAGCTATGGAAAGGAATGTATGTTAAAAGAGTGCGAGAAAAAAATATTCGGCCTCGGGCCACTTTGTCAGCTCACCCTCAACAACGTCTGGTTGTTGGCCATTGGAACGTCCATACCGATCAGCTATATTAACAGAAACATGAGGCGAATTAATCATCAGAAACATACCAATTCAACTCACCTGGTGAGACAGTAGTTCTGGCAGAATGTTGACTGACTTGAGGTACCAAGTCATCTTCTGAATCATCATCTTTCAAGGTAGATTTACGTCTCATGGCTCCTGCTCGAGTGTATGTACCAGGTTTCTCTGCAGGTCGACCCAGTTCAAAATTTAGCCTTGGTGGTCTAGCAGTTTAAAATGTTGCATCTTAGTTAGGCAAAAAGACAACCACTTGGAATTTTGACTGTATCCGTACGGTATCAACAGTAAGCCAGATGTCTTATCAGATCCTATAGTATATGCAAGTTAGTTTGGAATCGATTTGACTCAAATATATCCCTCTCACCATTGTCGAGATTGCGTTTCTTGAGGGGTGGATTTTCATCAACAGAAGCTTTATCTGGTGATCTCTTTGATCCATTACGCTTTGGTCCATTGGTCAGTGACGCCAGTAACTTCACGAGGCTCGCATTCTCAGCGACTTGCTCATCCATCTGACGTTTAACGTCATCAAACATTTGCTGCCAATATATTTCACGATTAGCAGAAACTTCCCGTATTCTATTAGCAATAATCAGAGGTGATGAGCAACGGCTGGGCTATTGCCAAAAAGAAACCTGTGTATTCTGGTCAATTACCGAGACACTGTTGCTTGGCATTGTTTAAGAGTTTGCGGTTGACTAGAAATAATCAATTTGAACGAGAGCAGTCAGTCAAGGGACATTATTCCTAGAACAATAAATCAGATTTAAAATAAATACGTCTGTTTCTGTAATTCAAGTAGGTCTCTACGACATTGTGCCAATGCAGCCTCTCGCTCTTGTAACGTGGCTCTAACATCTTGAAGCTCGTCTTTATGTTCATTTTCCAGGTCCTTGATCCGAGCCGCTAGCTCTAGTATCTGTTGCTGATACTGAACAACCTCTTGTTGATGTTGAGCACTTTCTTCCTGATGTTTGGCCAATTGATCTAAGATCAAAGCGGATGTTAGTGATATCGATCCAGGGATCCATTAAATGATTTAAAAGGCAACCTCGGAAAAAATTTGCTCCCTTGTCTAGAGCTGCCCGCATTGCTTTGATCTCATCCATTTTTCAACTTCAGCAACTGACGATGATTTGTCGTATGAAAGAGAGCAAGATCATATAGAACAGATATACAGAGCAAATATGTTTAATTCAAAAGTCACGATCAGTCGTGATGGGGTGGGGAACGGAATCTGAAAGCTATATTAACCTGCGCTGCTCTGAACCCAAAAGTGTGAGTCGAGTAAGAAACCACTCATAAGCGCTCATAAGCCAGCTCGAGGCACTCAGATGAGAACGCTCATCACATCACACTGATGATCAAGCATCAAGAATCACAGACGGGTTTCGAACGCTTTGACGCGTTCCTGCCACGAAAAAAGCAAGTTCGAGTTCTGCAAAATGTTAATATACTATATTTATACACCAGCGATCCAGCGATGTTTGGTCCGTGTTTGGTTATTTACAGTCACGTTCGTCGGATGCCATAAAACAATGCCGAATTGTTGGCCACGTAATCGGTCCAGCCACGATTCCCACTGGTAGACACCAAATATCTTCCGTGTTCATCGGTCACTACGTGCAGATAAGTGTGAGTTTCCAAAATTGCACTCGACAAAAAATATCTTAGCTTACACAGACTAGACACGAAGCCTCCATGATGGCCATTTACAATTGTGAAAGGGACTCGCGGCGATGAGGAAGTACTTGTGCCGTTTGCTGCTCGACTTGATGATTCTTGTATTTGATCTAGAGTCCACAATCTAATATTGTCTTGTGAAGCACTAAATCACCACAATTAGAAATGGAATCAGTGTTTATTTCGACTTGAAGATTAGAAACCTGATAGTGAGAATCACTCGCCTCAACAAATGTCGTCCCGAAGGAAGGGCGAGAACTGAACTCACAGGACCAGAATCGGAGGGCATACGAATATTCCTTACACGTTGACCTGAGCCAATATCCCATTCATCCACTTTATGAAAACGGGGTAAGTCCATCTGTTGCAAATCTACAAAAGTAGCACCTGAGACTACCTGATCCGTTTCTCCTTCCACTGTACACTTGTTTCCCATCAGCACTCCACGAGGCAGATTGGGTCCAAGGTGAGGTATCAGGCGAAATCATTCTCTTGACCGGTGCATCTTTTCTCTGGTCGTATAAGAACAATCCACCATCTGATGACGACACAATAAAATGATGCGTTCCTTGAAGCTGTATTGACCCTATTGGCGAAGCTGGGCCGACATACTGTCGAGCAATACTGCCAGTGTTCAAATCCCACAAGACAATGACTCTATCCGAAGCACTTATCAAGCCTCGTTGATCTTGAGTAATTTTTAATGCCGAAACGGAGTTCTTGTGATGATCAAACACATGTTGGCACTAAAAATGTGGTTGATTTGAAATTTGCTGGACTTATTATTCCAAAACCGACGCCTTACATTTCCTTCGTCATGCCGAACAGTCCACAAATTGATCGTCCCACGCTGTTGATTGTATTGTTAGAATCTAATAGGTTGACTGAAATTGCTACACTTTACCTCCAAACCCGTCACACACCACACACCATCAGAATGTACATCTATGCTATGAACAGCCGATATTTTTGGTTCTTGAAGTGGACCTGATGCAGGATTAACTAAGGGAATGGAATCAGTTAGGATTTGGCCTGGTCGTAGAATTAGAGGGAATCGCGATACCTTGCTCCACATTATCCCAAGCTGACGAAAGGAGTCCAGCCTACGGTTTTGATCGTCAGAATCATCTAACTGACTTATCGACAATGTAAACTCACATTCTGTATCGTGTCGAAATGTAATTCCTTCTTCTGGGCCATAGTTAACGGCGACTTCCCGTTCATTGAGCCGAAAAAGTCATATTTTCGTATAAAACCGTCCTCCCCACCAGTGAATATCCATTTCTAAATAATAATGCGTTTGCAGTTCAGCTTCAAAACGCTGTCACAAACCCGAAGTATGAGCAGAGAGAGACAAAAAATACTTGATTAGATGTTGCAGCGAGACAGTTGATTCCGCAGGGATGAGGAGCGACAGCTTGAGGGGTGATATCATAACTATAAGTTTAAAAAAGAATTCAATTAGCTTCTGTGTAAAAAATACATCGTTGGATCTCTATGAAAAGCTGTGATGAGAACCTATTGATTTGTTGATCGTCCACCTGCATCAACATTTTTCTGAAGAAGTGTAGCTGAAGATATTTCTATAGATAGATTTTAGTTGTATGTGTATTTTTAAATACCTTCACTCGAGTCTGAAGTTTTGCTGCGATCGAATTCAAGCTTACAATCGATGCACCACGGCAACGTTTTTAGAGTGTCCTCGATTTCGCGATGTCGCGAGATTGCACGAAAATATTAAATTGTCAAGCATTTTGCGAATCGTAGCGGTCGCAATCGCGAGGACAATGAATGAGATGAGAGAAAGCAAAACTTGGCTTGTATTTCGTGTTACTCTGGAAAATATGTAGTCACATTTGGAGCACTGACCTCTTGAAATTTAGCTTTATTTGAAAAGCGAGAGCATGTCCACTCGATGCAGCTTGTAATGCACCTGACAAGGAAAATGAGCACATTTCAAGATTCTTGAGATTCACTTCACACCAGCAGGTAAAAAACGCAGCTACATAGTTACATAATGATAGATGTTGTTTCTCCAGTTGTCTTTCTGTCTTGGTTGTGCATGTGTCGAAACAAAAACGATCGAAAGAAAAGCTGCAGCCCAGTTAGAAGGAAGCGTCCAGTGGTGCGGGACGTGTATATGTGCGTAGGGAAGTGTTGAAGGATCGTGTGTGGAGGGTTAAATTGAACTCGATAGGGCTGAAAGGATATCCGCGTCAGACGTAGATTCAAAGTTTGATGTTGGTGTGGGAGCTGATAACACCTATTCGGAAGTAGGAAGTAGAGACCACTTGATGGAAAATATTTCGAAAAATGCGGATTCTATGCCTTATACACCTTCGTTCAAGAGTTCTATTGCATGTATGTGCTGAGAAACGTGAAGTTCATTTTGCTGTTGGTACTTCTAGTGACAAGTTGAATAAACACCTGTCTTGGTAGAGATCAGCCTGACGTGACTTGAAACTCCTCGCATCGGTGACTTCCTTCACTCCTCCTGCTTTGATATATATGCTTTTCAGAAACAAGTTTTCTGACTCCCTTCACGCACTTAGAGATGGAGCCATCGACAACTCCAGTGCCAAAATCTCCAGGCATACTCAAGAGCTCACGTCCCATATCTTCAGAACCATCACCGCGTCCGTTGGCACGGAAATCAAGTCTCCCTCCAACAACCAACAAGAATGCATCAACAAAGAAATCTCTGGGAGTCGCAGAGAAAAAGAAGCTCACACCAATACCACCATCAACGGCAACCAAATCTGTGAAAGGCAGCAAGAAGCCGGTTACGAAGCGAGTGGTGGTTGATGCTGACGAGTCCAGCATATTACAAGAACAAGAACATCGGCCTTTGCTACAGAGTGATTTGATATCAGTTCAGGAGCTCAAATTATCAGATCTGATACAATCTATGCTCGGGACAGCTGCTGGGTTGAAACAAGTATTGGATACAGAGCATGAACGAGCTTTGAGACTTCGTGAGGCCGAATTGGCCAAAGCTAAGAAATTGGCAAAGAAGCGGGGTTACAGTAAGCAATTGAAATTTCTTCTCTTGAAGTTTACGAGAAACCTGATCCTTTGTTTATTGTTATAGGTGTCCCACTTCGGGAATCTGTCACAGAGATACCAACACCTGCAGAACCATTGCAGGACGGCACAACAGAAGAATCAAAAGCAGACGCATCAGCATACCCAGATCAATCAGATCTCCCTGCACCGCCACCTCTTCCTGCAACTATACAACCGCCAGAGCCAAAAAGTATCGGACGAATGGAAAAGATAGTAAAACAGAGAGACGACAAAGTCACAGATCTGAGGAAGCTCAAGGAAGAGATACTAGACGCATGGAAGCGTGCTCATGAAGATGAGTCGGTACGACAGACAGAAGGTGTTGCTCTTTTTGGTGAAGGATTCAGGCAATTGTCAATACATGATGTGCCAACGTTGCTACAAGTCGATAATGATTCTATGAAGCAGAATTCTCTCGTACCCTTTGTGGAAGTTAGGGATATTGAAGATTCGCCGTCAAGACAGACAAGTCAAGCTAGTCTATCAAGTCATGAAATAATAGCTGCTGATGGACGCATGCCTCCTGCACCAGGACGAAAAGCTAGACAAACAGCAGCCGTAGCCCCACGAGCACATATGAATTCTACTACTGGGAAATTAATACCGTCGACCAACCCATTCCTTCGTAACCCACGTCTACAAGAGATGACTCCATCGATTGCACCATCAGCAGATGGACTAAGTGATATAGATAGTAATTCAACATGGCCTCAATCCAAAAAACAGCATCCATATCTGTCTGCGACGCCAGACTGTATTTTGTTCTCTGAATACGAAGCGGGCAACACGTTTTCACAAGTCGTTTCGTTTCGAAATGTGGGTAGACATCCAGCACGAATGAGAGTAACATTATCTTCAAGCAACGAATTATTTGTGGTTGAGCCTATACAACCGCCTGCTATTGCATTGGGTCTTGTCGCTCCAGGAATGTCTATATCGTACAAGGTTACATTCCATCCAGATTCACTTGCTGATAGTGAAGCATCGCTTGTTGTAAATTCAGAGGGTAATCCATATACTTTATCGGTACTGTTAAGAGCTCGCAGGACAAGACCGTCATTGACTATACCGGACTGCTTGGCATGTGGCCCTTGCCGTGCTGGACTGACTATAACAAGACAATGGAAGTTTGAAAATTCTGGTGGATCAGGCAACTTTGTGTTTTTGGGGCCAGGAGATAACATATCGCTAGCTGATACAGAGTTTGGTGAATCTGCTGGAGGCATATCTAAAACTGGGCCATTCGAAATATCACCGAGACGATTTAAATTGAATGCAGGACAATCTGGATCTGTCAATGTCAAGTATAAGCCAGGAGCTCTAGATGGATCGCATCCTTCACGTGAGGATTTCGTATTGATGAGACTGGCTTGTGATAATGGACATGTGCTTGTCTTGCCGATTACGGGAACAGTAGAAAGTGCTCTGGTATCTGTAGTTCGAATAGTAGATATACGAGGCACCCGAGTCAAGAATTCGCAATTAGACCAGAATGGATATCACTCTACTTGCTTTGGAAACCAAAATGTTGGAGCTACGACAACAAGACTAGTGACTATTGCAAATCGAACAAAATTAAAACTACCCTTCCAGTGGCATATACATGATGAAGTTACAAGAATGGAACATGGTGCTGCTCCAAGCAATAACGGAGAAACACCGTTTTATGTGTTTCCAACAGAGGGTATATTACGTCCCGAGTCTGAAACGACATTTGAGTGCAAGTTTGCTCCTGGCGCTCTTGGTGAATGTGAAGGATTTGCACAAATGATACTGCCACGTAGTGATCGATCTCGACCGGACGTAGCACTGGGTTTACGATGTGCTGGTGTAGCAGTACCATTCCGCGTGCATTCACGACCTGCCATATTACAGCCACCGACGTGCATATATGTTGGGGACTCGTGGGAATGTAATGTCCGTATATTTAACGACTCTGCGTCTGAAGCACCGTTTGAATTCCAGGTGGAGAACATAGATCCGAATATGTTGCGGGTGGTTGTACCTGAAATCAATGGGTTTGTACAGGCTGGCACATCGTTGCCTATAAATATAGAGCTGGTAGGACGGTTTCCTGGTGCAGTACATGGAAGGCTTTTGTGCTCTATTGCCGGTAGACATGGACCAGTCTTGTCAATCCCAATACGAGCTAAAGTAGAATTCCCACCTGGACAAGTCGAGTTTCGAGAGGTCGCATGTGATTTCGGTCTTATGCCTCTTGGAACCAGCAGCACGATGTATCCGATGCTAGCAAATGAATCTGATGAACGAATGTATTTCGATGCCTTCATCCCGAATGGATCTACCACTTATACCGTCAGCCCATCAGAAGGGTGGCTAGACCCTCAATCAGCGGTAGCATTCGCTGTAGATTGCAAACCACCGACTCCAGCATCCGTAACCCAAATTCTGGAAACTCGACTTATGAGTGAATGTGGTGTTTCAACTGCAGGAGCATCAATACGATTAGCTAGCACATGTACAACACCATCTGTAGTATTCGAAGGATCCTCAAGTATGTACTTCCAATGCTTTTTGGAAATAATGACATCAACGACCATAACGTTACGAAATTCCTCTCCGCTCCCTGCAACAATAAGATGGGATAGCTTCAAGTCTGACTCTGCATACATAAATACTGTACCGTCGGTTGTGACAATTGCACCAAATGATGTGGTCGACGTATCTGTAAATGCCACATTCTACAAGTCCGGAGAGTCGGAAAGTGTCATGATGCATGGATTTGTTGATGGTGCCCTATCCGAAAACCGTGAATTGAAATATGAAGTTTCCGCATACGTATCTGGAATATGTGTAGAAATCGCTTTAGATAACCAAGACACTGCCGACGAAGCTCTACGAAAGCTAGAAGTAAATTTCGATGCCACCTTATTCGAAACACAATCACGTACCCTCACAATCCGAAACACATCACCCATCCGCTCTGAATATAATATCAATGTGAACCAGTATACAACACCATCTGAATCAAGTGATAAATCGGAAGACGAACAACATCCAGGATTACTTGTGGCCTCAACAAAGGAAGGCCCAGGATTTGCTTCAGCTGCTGGACAAGCATACCTACAACGAGCAAGAGGAACAAGAGATAGTGTTGCAAAAGCTCGTAAAATGTTGCAGGCTGGTAGAGGAGCCGCATTCAAAGTCATTCCGTCGTCTGGTGTCATAGAGCCGTACGAGTCACTTACGCTGGAACTTCAGGCATTCAAGTGAGTCTTGTAGCAAGAAGAGGGTGCCTAGAACAGAATCCTATCTCCAACGATTTTCCTTTTAGCAATCTGGTTGGCAACTACAAGGATTCCTTACTAATACAAATCGGGGAATGGATTAATATGACAGTCCCCATGTCCCTTTCAGTGGTAGGTTCTCCCATAATAGTATCTGGCCCACACCTGGCAGCCAGATGCAACAGTGACATCGACTGGCTGCCATTCGGAACAAACGCTATATTGCCCAGATCTATAACAACCGCAGATCAAGCAGGATGTACACGTGTCCTGACAATAGAAAACGTCGGGCCCCGAGACGTAGCTGTGTTTTGGAAGATACCATCATCATCACCATTTAGTGTGGACGCCAACCCAACACACGTGCCATCATACCGACCCATAAAAGTCAAGATACGATTCGCTTCCGAAGTAACAGGAACATTTGATGAGATTATCCAAGCCAATTGTCTATACATCCAACCGAATGGGTCTAGGTCTCCATGGCCTGATGTTAAGAATCCGGGTAATCAGGAAGTAGCAGTGCTGCTCAAAGTCACTGGTAAAGCAGTCACACCGAATGTTTCCTTGGAGGCACTCGAAGATCGAATCATGATCGATCCAGCTACTCTTAAATCCCATGTGTGCAAACTGGTCAATCGGGGAGAAGCTAGGACTTGCTTCACACTACGTGCTGAACCAGAACCGTATTTTAGCGTGTCTACGAGCAATGGGACCATGATTGGTACGGATAGCAGCAGCAGTAATATGACAAGGCCAACTACAAGGAGCACGAACATGATGGTGTCTCAGGAGCTTCTGAGTGATTGTATACAATTAGGTGTCGGTGAATCATTCCCATTCTCAGTCAACTTTACATCCTACGAGCATCAAGTCGAAGGTGGTTTACTCAAGATTGAGCATTCGTCTGGAATAGTACAAGAGATTGTGATAGCATTTGAAGGACATTGATTATATATTATAATACATGCAATATAATTTACATCCTTCAACTCTGACTTCTACGTGTCATGTAAAACACACGATACTCTCCAGTTTGAAACTCTTTATGCAGACTTCTCGCCTCCACCATCTCGATATTCCATCTAAGAGCTTTCGCTCTTGTGAAGAACTTCTCTTCACCCATATTCCGATTCTTGTAACTCATCAACACCCGAGTTGAATGTGTACTCAAAGCATTCAATGTCCGTAGCAAATCAGCATGCAGATCTTCTAGGTACAGAATCTCTGACGCGACAATTAAATCCGGTTGGGTGACCTTCAATGCTGCTCCTGACGCTGCATCACCCCATGCAAGACTCTGCACGTGTATACGAGACAGGTGGTCAGAATCCTTGACGTTTTCAGTCACATTGAGTTGTATATGATCTAAATGTTCGGGTAGGTCGGTTGCAACTACTGTTTTAGCTCCTTTAGCTAGACTTAGGAGGCTCAACAGACCGCAACCAGCTCCCAATTCAACGGTGGATAGATCTATGAAAATGCTTGTGAGAAGCTATTACGTGTTGAAATACTGTGAACGACAAAAAACCTTTTATGTCCAAATGTTGGTCCAAATAGTCAGCCAACACGTAGGCACCATCCCAAATCACGTTGCCAGTGTTTTGATGCAAACTGATTGATTCACGATCAGCGACATTTTGGTGTATCCGTACTAAATCAGGAAGGCGTCAGTGTTTATTGAGATTGCTGCAACAAAACACAGCTAAGCTTACTGGTCGTATCTCCAAAGTAAAAGATCCGCGTAGGCTCGTATTTTAGATTTACGAATGGGTTTGTATATTTGAAGGGTACAATCTCCATCAATGCAAAGTGGCCGATGCTGATGTCTTGGATTGTGGTATTGTTAGTTGAAAAGACCTTCAGGCATTTCCTTGTGGTCAAAAGTAAGAATTGTGCCTTGCATGTCGATAGCTTCTATTGCAAAATAAAACATCCGGTTTTCTCGTAGCTGAATTTGGTCAACTCGCCGAGCTTACAATCTCTCAACCTAAAATCCAAGAAACAAGAACTTACTGGTAAGAGAGACTGATAAGAGAGAGACAGCTTCAATATGCTAGGATTCGTTAGGTCAGTACTTGCCGGAATAGGCCGCGCATTCACTCTCAAGACTCCCAAAATCCAACAAGAAGGCGAAGAAGATGACTATTTAGATTTACCACTGTCTTGTATGCCAACTCCCATCATGGAGCTCAAGAAACTCGACCATATACATTGGAACTCCCGTGTCGTACCCGAAATCTACTCGAAATTTGACAAGAAACCACCAGCATCTTCAACATCTGGCAAAAATCATCATCGAAACGTCAGCAACTCCAGCAATAGCCATCGTCGTCTCTCTACTACTAATATCAAACCCGGTGAAATCAAGAATGAAACATTTCTCCAATCTCTCACTGGTGCCAATCTCCATTTGGACCAAGTTGGTACCGCTGCCAACAATACCACTGGCACTACTACAACCAGTACTACTTCTACCGGAGCAACTGCTACTACCACTACCACCGTATTCGATGAGCTAGAACAGCGTCTAAACCGTCACCCACTTTTACGCCTTGAGAACTTTATGGCCGCCTGGAACAAATCTAAAGAGGAACGAGTAGCTAAAGGATATGCCGAAGCAGGTGATGATGATAGTGACGATGACGAGGAAGAAGATGCTACTACGAAATGGGTACGACAGCAACGCCAAATGGTTGAATATTATGATCAAAAGACAACAGTAAGTGATTTGCTAATTCTTGCAACTTTCACAAACGTTCGAAGCAAAGATGCTCAACTGCTCCGTTGTCGTCTTATAGGAGTCTGTGCTATATGCACCAGATACAAAACGAATATTCCGACTTGGCTGTAGGCTCTCTATCAAGACTCGCCGTGGTATAAACCTCTAAAAATGGACTTACACAACACTGTGCCTTTGAAGGCTTCTCATAAATTGGTAGACAAACAAGGATCTCAACATAAATGTATAGCTTGTAACGGATTTAGAATTTTCATTATTTAAGCAACAGTAACAACTCAAGTGGCAACCTCCAGCAATAAATTATCAATTTTTTGGAACTTTTGGCGTCAAGTTGCAGTTTGGAGACCTGAACCGATGCAAACGCCAGCGTACTGTAATGTGAGTGGCATGTCACGTTAGGCTACGTGATGTGTCTCCATGAGCAACAAAGTAGAAGCTGGCTTGACGAAAGAAGATGTGCTTTACGAAATAGATGAGAGCGGCTAGGTTGGCAGAAACTGAACGTGGTGTATCACGTACGGCTGATGGCAATGCTCTACGAGCAGTATTGGCAGTGCAAAATTCAGCCTTTGTCAGTACCGTTAAGAAGATCTCTGTGGGTTTCGCCTTTGAGAAGCAAAACGTCACGATACGATTACAACAAGACATCTAGTGTCACAGGCGACAGGACGGTTTCAGACGTCCTCAGATCGGTTGTGAAATGATGATTGTTGCGAATCCAAATTCTAAATCATGGGAAAGTACGATGAGAGGCTTGAGATGTCCAGTTCAGAGCTTGTTTCGTTTCAAAATACTAATTTTGAATGCAAACTGAGCTTTGTGGCGCCATGCTAGATGTTCAAGAACGCGTTTATCAACATTTAGTGAAAGCGGCGCAACAGAGCGCATTTAGATGTGAAAGAGCTTACTACCCTAGTATGTGTATTGAAATATACAAATTACATAGTGTTTATTCCGTCTCTGGTGTTCCAACCATATTTACAGCTGCGTGTGGCGTCGGTGACTTGACCTTCCTTCGTTTCCTTCATCCCAACTTCAGCAAGAACAACCACTTTATCTAGTACAAGCACCGTCACCAGACTATCTCACCACAAATACAGCTCAACATAGTAACATGAGAATCTCTTACGCTGCTCCAATATATGGTGTGCCTATAAAATCAAGTGCACAAACAGAAGACACTGCCCGAGAAGTAGCAATGATTCATCGAGGATATGTGCTATACCTTATTGCATACTGTACATTGTATACATCATTGGGTCCTGGCTTCCAAGCTCCACTTTTCGAACACTTCCCAGCTGCTGCTCTCATCAACATCAATCACACCGCAACTCTCATCCCCAACTCTGAAAACGACGAAACATCACCTACTACCCCTCTAAGCTCTGAAAACACCAGCACTTTCTCTTCTCAACTTGTCTCCAGTAACAGCCTTGATTCCTTCCAGTCAGAAGCTATCGTGGCTGCTAAAATGGTAAAATGTGCTTTCGGGTTGAGAAACAGCACCATTTAACCACACCATACCCCTTCATAGGCTCGTGAAACTGAACTGTATCTTCCAGAAGAAGCATATCCTACTGTGGTCAGTACTAAATCACTTGTTGAAAGGGCATTAGTCAGTGAAGTATCTCAAGAACCTACTGTTGTACGTACTTTTGAGCAACCTTTCGAAAGACATAACCGATACTAACATGCCAATGAATCTAATAGGTATTGAGTAACGTTATATTAGCTTTGAGTTATTGTGCTGCTGAAAATGAAGAGAATGTCATTCCATTATATGAAAAAGCTACTATCGTATGTAATCTTGAGCAGACCTTCAAACGGCATAACCAATACTAATGCCAAAGAATCTAATAGCGTCATCCAAACGCTACCTTGAATTTGAGTGATGATGCTGCTGCAAATGAAGAAATCGTCACTCCAGTGTCTAAAGAAGTTACTATGGTGTGTAATCTTGAGCAAACCTTCAAACGACATTGCAGATACTAACATGCCAATCAATTTAATAGCTTTTGAATGACGCAGCCTTGGCTTTGAGTATTGATGTTGTTGATGAAAAGATTGCTACTGTTGGTCCTACTGTCGTCGAATCTCAAACAAGTGCTGCTGTCCCCTCTGTAAGTGGAAATGTGGTCCAAGGCTATCCAAAAGGGGCTTAAATGCTAACTAGCTTCTCAATTTAGCAAATCAAGAAGAAAAGACTCACTATCAAGTCGATCAGAAACTTCTTGGGACGGTTATTCAATAAACGATCATAACCTCTCATTTGAAAGAAAACATATCTACACAAAAACATGTACAGTTAGTTTACTAATTACTTGCAAGCATTAATAAATATAAGAATATTTACAAAGGGCCTCACTCGGTATGCAGTCAAAGTGCTTTTGTTGTTTGCGTCCATCCAAGGTTTGAACTTTTAGGATTTTTTTCAAGGAAAAAACGGCGTGGTAAATAGAAGCAACGGGAAGTGGAATTCGCATCGTAGGATCTCTTTGGCAGCAAAGATTGGTGGTTCCTCGTTATACGGACTGGTTTTCTTTTAGGTTGCGAGTTCGAAGTTGAAAAAATCTCCGATTCTGTGCACAGCCAAATTTGACTTAGACCTACATACCAAGCACTCTGTATAAAACACTCTAGAGCTTATTTGCATTGGATGCCAATCTACTCGTGTGCAACTGTTGGAATAGAACAAAACGTCCACGCAGAAGGCGAAGTCATACGTCAGTTTTGTGCAATGTCAAAAACACTGAAACGAAACATCTGATCTCTTTTCCAAAATTGGATTGTTATTTGTTGTTGTGGGCAATCTTTCCCATTCATCTCACTCTAAGAAAAAAATACAAGTATAAAATATGTCACTGTTTTGGTATAGGTCGCGGGGGGGAATAGTCTGGTGTCTGATATCTGTGCGTCTTTCTAATTATTGACTTTTGGCTTCCGCCTCCTTTTCAGTACTTCGTTGTTTACTCCATTCTTGGAATCCCTTGTCGGTTCCCAAAATCCAGTCCAAGTATCGGAATGATGAGCCATAGTTGCCTACGAAATGCGAGTGCTAAAAAGAAATAATGGTTAGTAGGAGTGTTGTTTGATGGTGTCATTGCGACACTAGTTTGAAGTTGACGGTGGAGTGATGCTTGGCTAAATCAATCAGACGTACATGGTAGTCATGGAAGATGGCTCCACTCCATATAGGTACAAAGTGTCGTAACGACTAGATTGAAAACGCACATTTAGTCTCGTCAACCAAAAAAAGTGGGGGATGGAATTATCAAACTGGTACATCACTCACCCATGGGAAATCATACCCACTATGAGCATCAATAACCTGAAACAGTCTAATAGTAATCCACCACAGGACCGTAATGATATGCAAGTCGCCTGTAGCCATGACGTATAGGATTGGCCCACCAATAGTTCCGATGCCCAAAAAGACGACTTCTACGGGATGAGCGTATTCACCGGTTATACCGAAAGGGGCGTTGAATTCGTGGTGCTGTTTGTGGATGTATTTGTACATCCAGCCATAGTGGAGCAGTCTGTGTGTCTATTGGGCAGGGTGAAGGTGAAAAACGAGACGACGCATAGTAACAAGAATGGTCTTTGAGATCATGACACAAACTTGAGCTCGTCAAGTAGCTGAATAAAGAGACTTACAAAGTATTGGTAAAAGTCCTCGAATATTAAAAAGACGAGACATTGATAAGCAATCTTCCACCTGTAAAACAATGAATGTGTGAGCTGTTTTGATGAAACATCAAATCGGACCTCCTCAATCCACAATAGCAGCCCCGTGAGCAATTAAACTGTCTCGCGTACCAAGGAGGAAAAGGCACCTGTTTGATTTGCATGCCAAAGTATTCTGCGACGGGGTGGAACATGATCATTAGAGGGAGTTCGACGACAAAGTGTTGGATGAGGACAGCCCAGAAGCATTTTCTAATGTTTTCCCATGTATTGTCCTTGTTCTGCATTGAGGGTGTGAGTGATGATGGTATGGTGGACGTAAACATCAAATTTGACCAACCTGGATTTTGTACTTTCTTAGAGCAGGTACAAAGTCACAAAACCAGAATGGCAGGAAGCGAGCAAAGTATATTATCTGTTATGTATGGGTTGATTGTAAGTTTTTGTCCACCTTTTTGGTCAATGTGTGTCATTTGATGGATCGACATATTGTAATAGGTAGCATACCTCGTGGTGGATGAAGGAGACCATGGTGAATGTCCATAGTATGTTTTCATCACTAGCGAATATCTGCGACCATTTGGTTTCGAAATAACTCAGAGATCTAGATTCACATGGAAGTTAGCTTGGTATATTTTGCAAGTTTAGATATGAGCTTACGGTTCAGCAGCAGCGGTAGCATTGTAAGCGTTCAGGAATTGGGAGACATAAGGGGCGATGACCTCCATTATTAGTATCAGGGTCTATGGTCTAGTAAGCAGCGGTTTTTGAAACACAGATGAAGTGCAATCTTATTGGTCGCTGCAAAAAGGATGATACAGAGGCATCCAACTTCGCAGCTACAGTAAGGTACTATGGCACCAGGACGCGTATTGCATGTGATAATAGAATTCATGATTGCTCGTTGCTGCAACCAGAGGTCTCTAATGTAGCAAAATGACAACAGTACAAAATACTTTGCGAGCGACGAATCGATGCCAACCAAATCAATAAATATCGCCATTTCAACAATAAATCATCGTATTATTCGCTCTATCTTCTGAACTTGCCTTTAATCTCTCTTCTTCACATCTTCACGCTCGCGATTGCAAACCACATCATTCCTTTACATCGTATATTCAACATTATAGTATGATTCCAGCAGCTACTGTATTGCGAGTGTCATCTCGTCTCGCAAGGGCATCTACTACTCGCACACTCTTGGCCTCGAAGCACACGCTGCCTGACTTGCCGTATGATTACAATGCCGTAAGCTTGATGTCGTGTTATATGTTGATGTTATATTATTCGCTATATATTGGACGTGTGTCTCATTACATTTTAATCCGTCCTCTTCTAGTTGGAACCATACATCTCTGGTACACATCACATCTGCTAAGAGCTTAAACCATTTAACTTAACACCACGTCATATACAGCCGACATTATGAAGATACATCACCAAAAGCATCATCAGACTTACATCAACAATCTCAATGTCGCTGAAGAAAAGCAACACGAACTCATCAACAAGAACGACTTGGTGTCACAAATCGCACTACAAGGGGCTCTCAAATTCAATGGCGGAGGTACGTGTATACGGTTGATATATAAACGTACATGTAGTGGTTGCATGATTTCTAACACGCTGGATATTATTCATTGCATAGGACACATCAACCACAGGTTGGCCTAGACTGTATTCGTGCTCGTTTTTTGTTGTCCTCAAGCATTGTTGGTATCCAAGCTGAATCCCGTGCCTCTTCTTGTCAGCATCTTCTGGACTGTCATGGCTCCACCAAAGCAAGGAGGCGGTGAACCACCAAAGGGTAGGTTGCGAAAAATCATTCACCAAATTCTTTGTTTCCCTCCTCCAACACTCAAACCCTTATCAGGCGCCTTGTTGAATGCCATCAACAAGGACTTTGGATCATTGGAAGCATTTACAAAATCATTCAATGCTTCAACTGTTGCTGTACAAGGATCTGGTTGGGGTTGGCTGGTATGTTAGAGCGATAGATTGTTGGTGAAGCTTGTTTTTTTTTTGTGGGGAACTGACAATGTATCCTTCAATTCACTGTAGGGATACAACAAGGCGGCCAAACGTTTGGAAATTGTTACGACTGCAAACCAAGACCCATTGACGCGTGAGTCTATGCGCTTGATGTTTGGTAGCTTTTTTGTGCCTTGATCAAAGATCCGTAACTTCACCACGTTACATACACTAGAATTGGTGCCCTTGTTGGGAGTTGATGTCTGGGAACATGCTTACTATTTGCAATACAAGAATGTCCGTCCAGACTACTTGGATGCTATTTGGCACGTCATCAACTGGAAGGTAAAAACACACTACCGAGTTCAAGATAATTGCGTTGACACGAATTAACACACGTACAATGCTTTTTAGAATGTTACTGAACGATACGTCAAAGCTCAACAATAAAGCTCCTTGTCTATAGATATAAGATCAAAGAAAAATGAAAAAGTGGAAGCATCTTACTAGCACGACAAGAAAAGTTCCAGCGCGTCGTATTCTATTGCGGTTCTATAAGCATCACTGTTCTTGTTCATAACACCACGCTTTTCGCACAAAGAAGCAATTCATAGCAATGTTAGTCGTGTCGTGTACACAAGCAAGGACGGCATCAGCCCGGACCATTGTGCTCCGAGTGGTGCGTGTACCCATCAATTCCATATACACCTTTGCTTGTTTCGGAGTACCCAAAGACTGAAATTGTACCTTGTTTTATGTAGTCACGACGCGGAGCTCACGATATAGTGCAAAGAGAAGGGTCAAACAAAGGTATATTTACATGCATCATGCTGCAGTCTCCTTCTATCCATCTGCCGTGCTCTCAAAGGCCTAGTGTGCTTTGTGCATCAAATTACATCTAAGACTGACATCAACTCCTTTGACATAGTGTTTGTTCGTGCTGGACCTGGAGGACGGTCTAGTGTATCTGGTACGTATATGGGACCATGCAGTGTGAGATTGGATGGTAGTAGAGGCTTTTGTTTCTTAAGACGCAGTTCAAACCCTATAGGACACACAGCTACAGTGTTTGGAAGTACAGGTTTCCTGGGTAGATATCTCGTCAACAATCTAGGTAAAGTTTCAGCATTGCCCTGGTTTTGATTGTTGTGTGGTTGATTTCCGTGGAGGGAAAAAAAGATCACTACTATGTTATGAATGTTGAATCCTGCTCAACCACAAGGAACAACGCGTACTATAGCATTCCCTGAATTAATCATTTATTTGCATACATTTTTTGATATCACAGGCAAGAGAGGAACACAAGTCGTCGTTCCATTTCGAGGAAACGATGACAACAAGCGACATTTGAAACTTATGGGTGATTTGGGTCAGATCGTGCCATTGGTAAGTATACGGTTGATAGATATATGTGATCTTGGCAAAATATAACCATCGCTATACGTTTTTCTAGCGCTTTGACGTCCGTGATGAGAAATCAGTCGCTGAATGTGTTAGACACTCTGATGTCGTGTACAATCTCATTGGTAGAGATTATGAGACTAAGTAAGTATCAGAAATAGACGAAGAGACGAAACTCTGTACCAACGATTTGTCGGCTGGTTTTGTTTGTTTGTGGGAAATAATTTTACAGTGGAGCAAAACGTCGGAAAATCATTCACTAATGAATTTCACATTTCATCAGGAATTTCACATACGATCAAGTCAACGTCGATGCTGCCCGTACCGTCGCCAGAATCGCTAGAGAAGAGGGTGTGTCCCGGTTGATTCATGTGTCTGCTCTCAACGCTGACGTGAATTCACCTTCTAAATACCTGAGAACCAAGGTAAAAACAAAATTTCCAACTCAATTTTGAGAATCTCTCGTTCGCAAATACTTGTTCTCACACTTCATCTTAATAGGCTCTTGGTGAAGAAGCTGTATTATCTGAATTCCCAGATGCAACGATTGTTCGACCAGCAACTTGTTTTGGATATGAAGATCGATTCTTAAATAGAATTGGATGTAAGAAGAGTTCCATTGAATTGTTTGCGAGAACACTCTCATGATTTTTTTTGCTGATCTTGACTTTATTTAAGGGTACTTGGTCTGGCCACCTGCTTTACCTATTGCTGGAAACGGCATGAATAAGATTAGACCTGTTTATGTAAGTTTTGGTGTCAGTGTTGTCTGCGGAAAATGAAAACGCAGGGTCTGCCCAAAAAATCTTTGGCTATAGTGGTCAAATCATTCTTACAAAAGGTCTTATTTAGGCTCCAGATGTAACTTTGGTATTGGCACGATTGCTGAATGATAGTCAATCTATGGGACAAGTTGTTGAGCTACCAGGGTAGGCCAAGAAAGAATGCTTGACGCCTGAGTAACATCCTCCTCCTAAGCTCCTTTGTTGTTGTGTTTGTTTATTCTTAGACCTACCGAGTTCTACTATTACAGCTTCATCAAAATGTTTTGTGAAGTAACTCGTCGAAGTCCTCCAATTGTTTACATTCCAAAACAACTTGCCAAGTAAGTTCTCGTGATAGTTTAGAAACTTATCGTGCCGACTAAATTGTGAAGCAAAAACGCCAAATGCATTATGGATGAAGCTTGAGAATATTCACAAATCACTTCTATAATTGTTTTAGGATTGTTCCAACATTTATGGACAAACTCATGGCATTCCCTATTGATACTCCGGATTCAATTGAAAGGGTAAGACGAGAACCCGTGCGAAAACACACTAGCGAAAGACTTTTCCATGATTTTTTAACACAGCCACTTTCTCACACACTCTGACCTCTTCATTCCAATTTGTAGCAATGTATTGACGATCGCTTCTCAAAAGCATCTCTCTCGTTCGCCGATTACGACGTAACACCACATACCATTTACGAAACAATTGGACAATTCGCTCGACTCTTTGTTTCACAAGAGTACCAGAATGCTCCATTAAACATCCCAAGAAATTATTCTACGGATGCTATTAATGCCGCGGCTCAATGAGAAACAGGAAGGGGTGGTTAGTATAAGCGGAAGTGGTTGTTTCAATAGTTAGAGAAACGGAATTGGAGACAAAAAATATAAAGTGAAATATGAAACACAAACAAGACACATTTTTCTTTTCAACTTGTTCAGATGGGCTGTTTGGTTACTGTGAGGGACTGGATTTGCTGCACATATCAATTGGCGTGAATCGTCGAAAACTGACGATATCTTTAGCCCTTTTGTCTCAGAAAGTGGTGGATGGTGCCCGGCAGGAATAGTCGAGATTTTCATGGTTATTTTTTGTCTTATCTAGCTCTGAATTTTTGCCGGTTGGTACCACGGGACACGGCTAGAATATCTCTAAGTGCTGCTTCCTTGGTGAATACCTCGCCGACAATCTTTGTGCAAACGATTATACTCTTGCTGAAGATATGTCGGCTATGGAGACAAACTGCTTCTTGCTCATGCCACTGTACACACATACACACAAGATCGAGTGGACCAAATTGTCGTCCGGTTCGAGGAAACGATGATACTTGGAACATGTGGGTGATTTGTGTCAGATCGTGCCATGGTAAGTCATATAGAGTTGTTGAATGGATGTGATGGTCAAACTGCTGGGCAACTTGTTGGCTATCGGTGGTAAACAAGAACATTGTCTGTTGTTACTGAGATTTCTAGCATCTATGACACAATCTGTTGAATTTTTTGTTACTTTTTGTTAGATCTACCATTTCCAGCTTTATCCAAATGCTTTGTGAATTGGATTGTCAAAGTCCTACTATTGTTTAGATTTCCAAAATCTACCCAGCAGGATTTGATATGAGTCCTTTTGTGACCCCACTGCAAAACAAGGCTTTAGTTGGTATCACGCTGAGAAGCCCTTGTTGACAAGAGGATTGTTCCGACATCTGTGGACATACTTTGGATTCAGTTTTTTAAATGGTGAGAAGAGAAACTGAAATCAACATCCAAAGTAACGGAAAAACTTGACCATTTTTGCTCATATTACACTCAGTGTTTGAAAACGAATTGCTAACTTGATAATTTCATACATTAGCGAATACATTGATGAAGGCTCCTCCATCTTTGGCATGGCAGATTGTGATGTTGGCACCATACGACCAGTTCGAAAAGCTCTTGGGCCCCTCGCGCTCAGTTTTTGTTTTGTGTTTTTACAAGAATTCCACCAAAGACATGCACCAATTCACCATTCCAGGATGCTACAATGCTGTAATCAATCAAGCATGACAGGGAGCAAGATTTTGTTGTTCATGGGGTCGCTTAGAGTTTGATAAATCCTACCAAAAAAGTCCCACGACAAGAAATCCATATCGAAACAAATCGAACAAAAGCCCAGTTCGTTTGTATCAATGCAAATTCAATGTATCTTTATATGTAATGGTTGATGTGTGCAATGATGCAGTTATAAGCCAAATATGTACAACAAAATAAAATTCCTTTACAACAATACATACGTCTCTCCTCTCCTCCTCCTATGCGCCTCTTAATAAATTCCTTCTCTAAACAAGTACCTATTTTCAAAATAGAGAAATTCCCAAATTCCTCTCTCTCACATATAGCGATACACACAAATGACCAAATCAATTTGTGTCGATAGAAGCAGAGATGGCAATCTCTTCAGCGAGATCAGCCATCTCCTTACGCATTTCGGCTCTGCGGTTTCCAATATGCGTTTGGGTAAACCATGCGTCGTCATTCGCTTGGTTTGCCTAATGGGAGAAGACAAAGCAATCGTCAAATTTTGTCTCAATACCTTTGATCTTGTAGGAAGCACCCGCGCACAACAAAAGGCGAAGTGTTGAATATGATAAAGGTGCAAACCCAACAACACTCTTACCCATAGATGCTCAAGGAGATCGTCCGTCTTGTCTGGATCCAGCAGTGTTCGTATATACTCAAGGACGAAGATACCGCAATCACAAAAGTTGAGTTGCATAGGTACCTACACAATAAAGCAATCGTTGAGATCACAAACATGTCCAACGTCGTCAGGCCCACCAAGAAAGAGATGCAAGGTTGAATCTTAACAGAAAAAATCGCCTGTTCTCACCTTTGCTTTAACTGTAACTACTCTAGCCTTCACTTCCTCTTCTGTGAGTTTGACTTGCTTCTTGTTTTCTGCCTCGCGTATGAGATAGCTAGATACAGATGAAAGCAAAGGTTGGTACATAAATCTGGAAAGCCTGATTCGTTTTGCAAGAAATGGATGCAAACAGAAACGTACTCCTTGAGGCTAGTATTCAGAGTACGATGCACTCCAGCCAAAGAATCAAAGGTTATAATACTAGTCCTAAGTTTGAGAAAAGACGATTCATGATCAGAATATAACTCGTGCAACATAGCGTCGTTTTTTGCCCCAATCGAAAACGCGAAACTCACATATTCCTCTTCTTCTCAGCGACTTCCTTCCTCTTCTTCTCCTCCTTGAGCTTCCTCTCAGCATCTTTAATCTTTTGCACCTCACTCTTCTCTTTAGCTTGTTGCACCTTCTCTTCCTTCTTCTTTTTTTGTTGCAGTGTATACGTCTTTCTACGGTCTTTTGCTACTCTATATCCTGGCTCTTCTCCTATAACTTCTTGCGACTCTTGTCCTCCTCTTCTTGGCCTCTTTCCTGTCACTATTTCGCCTTCTTCTTCGGCTTCAGAGGGAGGAGAATAGTCTTCAGGGCCAATGATAGACTTGCGAGGTGAGGATAAATCTATAAAGTCTGTTCCGCTTGCGTCCTTCATTTTTACATCACCTTCATAGTCAAGAGCATCAACGGCTGCTGGGGAAGCGGTAGGTGATAATATTGCTGCTGATTGACGACGAGAGGGACCGAGTGCTGGTTTCAGTGGGAATGCTACTGGTAACATTGGAACCGTTTTCGAGGGAGTATTCTGCGTACTACGATTGATAGTACGATAGCTAGGATCAGCACCTGTTTTCTCCTCTTCGTCTTCATCGACAATGACTATAGCAGGACTCTTATTCTTTTGTTTGTCGACTACAGCAGGTTGTGGAGGTCTACTATAAAGACGAAACTCTGCTAGACCATCATCATCTGCTTCCTTTGAGGTTGCTTTACGTTTAAGGGGTGTAGTAGTAGATGTAGGAGTAGGTATTTTCGGTGGCGACGAGTCGACAATATTGATTACTTCGGCAGGCTTTATAGGAGTACTGGCCCTACTACTTGAAGCGACTTTTGGCATGGCTGATATTTGGTCGAACGGGACAGTAGCGCTCTGTCCACGATTAGCAGCATACACAGCTAAACGTTGCTGCAACATGGATGAACGAGCGACTGAAGGAGAAGCAGAGGACTCTCCCCTCAACGACACAGCCAAGTCTTTTGCTAAGCTCTTCCTTGCTTCAACTTTAACTTCAGGAGTTTTACTCGTATCTCCATTGGCTTGTGGAGGAGAAGGACGATTGTCAACACTCTTATCATTATCATCATCAATATCAGTATCGTCATCTTCCCGATCACCAATTTCGATTACGTTTTCTCTTTTCTCTGAAGAGCCACATTTCCTGTCTTCTTCCAGGCGAGGCTTCTTCGTACTAAAAGGCGGTGATGTTGGGTTTGACGGAGATATGTCCTCGGTCGTGTCGTCAACAGTCTCAACATCACCTGGTTCAGCTAATGAAGGACCCTTGTCGTGTGCAAATGGTTTGGTCAATGTTGAAATTTCTGGTGCTTCAAAAAGATTGGTTTCAGCTATAGGTTGTTCAGCGGCACTTTGTTCAAGACTTGCGACATCTACATCCATAGGGACTGCGTGACTTGCTTCCCTAGCTAGATCTGGGTCCTGACTGTCACCTACTATTTCGTGAGGCGCTGGTGCCATGACTGTAAGCTCGTCAGGTTCAGTATCATCTAAATCGATTCATGTCAGAATCTGAAAAGTTTAAAAACCCTGGAAGATTCTTACCATCAGAATGGTCGGATACATCTGAGCCATTCGCACTATCCACTGCAGTGGGTGGTGACACCAAAAGAGCTCCAGGATTATGTATGACAGCCAAAAACCAATGTAGGTTCTCATTGATAGGTATAATTAAAAACCTCTTCGAGAATATATCGACTTTCGAAGTCCATTTCTTAACACGATCGTATTGCTCTTTCTTGGCCTCAATACCAGTGCTACAAAGAATCCAGTTAAAAAATCGGTTGGCTCCTGACAAGACGAAGAAAAGCCGACAAAAAGAACATGACAACGAAACTTAAATAAGACAAGGACTTACTAGCCATGTTGACTCTTCCTCGTCAACGATTCAAAGAAGAAGGTATTATATACGTGAACCGTATCAGAGATTGGTTCCAAGGAACCCCTATTGAACATTATCCTACATTTTGAAGCAAGATTCAAAAGTAAGGATGTTGGATTCAAAAATTGCCGAAAAGAATACGTGGGCAAGGCGGATACTGACTTGATAAAGAGATCTATTATCACGTCGTTTAAAAATTCCCCTTCTTCCAATCTCTCTTCATCCTCTGTATGCACTTGTACCGAGTTTTTACCAGAAGGTGGGTACCGAAACATTCTAATATGGTAAAAAAACGTACTTTAATACGATTGTGATGTGTTTTGCACTTGACAAGATTCGAATGACGATGCAAATGGGGGTAACAACGTACGGTAGGTTTGATTTCTTTACCACGACCTTGTCGGAAGCACGACTATCAAACAAGGAAAAAATGAATCACTTCTACAATCATTGTCACACCGTTGGCATTGCTCTTTCTTCGGCTTACGTGTTGGGTTTACTCTTGGGCACTATTGAGCTAAAAGAACCGTCGTCCTCATCATCATCATCATCCAAGTTTATCGAGTGGTTACTCTTTCGAGGCTTACTATTACGCTCCTTCTTCTCGTATGCTGGAGCGCTCGAATCACCTCTACCTATAATACTCATAGAGTTTTTTGGCATAGGCAATCTACTAGATGTATCGATACCACGACCTTTGGCAATATCGTGTATTTGGAATCCATTTGTGGACGATGAGGCAGCAGTAGCATTAAAAGAAGCGTCTGTGGCACGTCGTTGTACCTTCAAAGCGTTTTCCAAGTCTTTTCTGAATTTATCGTAGTTGCCTTGCCTACAACACGGAGTAGTTTATATGGTGAGTTGGCTAGTCGCTTTTGTGTTCAGCAAGTCCAATAGAGTGAGAAATCAAAACTTGTCCTTACGATAAGGTGCTCAAAGTAGTTCGTGGCACCATAAACTGCTTCAGCATAGTACAAAAGGACGTATATTCGGCCTCGAGGACGTCGAATTTGATGATGAATTCCGTCTTGTCGTTGCCATGTTTACTCTGAATGAACATGATGTATGGCATTTTGTTTGAACACTAGGAGGAAATTTGAGAATTTTGATTATATCAATATCTGTTCCCGCTTAGCTGCCGCAAATATGAAGTTGACCCCATCACCAACATACCTCTGCAATCTGTAGACCATCAAGGGTAAATACAGCCTGATCGAAAGCGTCGACTAGTTCAACCCTTCCAAGTCCAAACCGGAGACCTTTGGCATCATAGACGTGACCATTACAAGTGGCAGCACTGACTTTGATGGGTGTGAAGTCACCAAATGATCTTGAATTACGTGACATGGATTGTGAAGGTGGTGGAGGTGCAGACGTCGGTTGGATGAGAGGAGGCTTATTGAGCTTGACAGCGAAATGGTTGGATGATGTGTCTGTTGGGTACTGTGGAGTTGGAATACTTCCGATTCGTGCTTGACCTTGTTTTCCATTACTAGGATTACTAGTATTCTGCTTCATTGGCTTCATAATGGAGTTGCCTTGACGTTTCTGATTTTGAAACGAGTCAGGATCTTCTATCTCGTCTACGACCTCACCTATTTTCACGAAAGGAGAAACAGTCAATGCCGACGAATTCTGGCCAGAAAAGCAATGTTTTTTTTACCATTTCCAGAACGAGTATTTGACTTTGCAGTGGATATGAGTTTTGGAGGCACTAGCGGACCAGGCATCTTGACCACTGACGGTGCAGTACGACCCTTTGGTTGCAATAACGAGTTCAAGTTTGGCGTACTACTGTTGTTGTTGCCACCATTCCCGCGATTTTTGAGTTTGGCAGCTTGTCCAGCAGCATAATGTGGACTATATACGTTTGACTTTCCATTTGGCTTCCTTTGCTCATCCTGTTGCGGATTTGCTGCGATATGTTTTGAGAGGTCGCCGATAGCGTTCTTGAATAATAATCGTCCTGGCTCTGCTGATAATGATGTTGCACCACTTGGAGGCCGAGATAGTGTCTAGAAATGTCATGATGCAAATGAGCTTAGAGTTGGGATCAGGTCACAATGGAAGCAGTGACTTTAAACATACGGTTCGTCCTATCAGCGCTTGATGGGATGGTGTTTTTGAGGTAGGTACAGGGTCGCTATAAGCAGGAGTAGAATATTAAAGCTTTGCATCAGCAAGACAGTATCAGTCCATGCAGCAAACGTACAGGTCAATGACTATATTAGCTGGTTTTGAAGCAGGAACGCCCATTTCGATTTGATATACTCCAGACTCGGGAATGGTGACTTTGTGAGGTTCTGGGTTCCGTCTCTGTACCTGGAGTAAAGGTAGAAAGAATCAGAAGTTGCTGATGTTTGCTGGACTCTCAAAAAAACACCAGACAAGCTTTCGATGTGTAGTAGACATACCTTTACGTTTCGATTCCTTTTCACTGCCGAGTCGATATTGGGAGAAGTAGGAAGTTCATCTTGGTCGTCATCATCCCCTCCAGCCATCATTTGGATGCAAGATGATGCTCTGAGCTGTGAGCGAGGATATGCAATCCCTTCCTTTTTGGTTGGCACGGGGAGGAAAGACTAGATCTGCTTTCAACACGCGTAATACATCCATAAATCACGAATAGAGCTTCTTAATGGCAATCTGGTCGGCGCTGAATCATGTTGAAACTGTTGCTCGCCTGAAATCAGTTGATTTCTTTGCGAAAGTTGATACGCTCAGTATGTGACGCGATACAAATATAAAATGCAAGCCTATTCATTGTAATCTTCTCTCTTCACAATCACTTCTCACCGTGCCATTTGCCATCAATCGTCAAAACACAGCAACATCCAAACTCGCCGACCATGACGACCTTAGGCGCCGTGACAACGATGGACAATCCCAACTCATCTTGGGTCAATCATAGAGGTATCTGCTACAATCGCAAGCTCCTCGTTGTCAATGGTTTTTGCCAACGTGTCGTCGTGTTGGAAGTGATGAACACTTGTTAGCTAACAACTCCACTCTCATATCACTCATAGGAGCATGGGTCACGAATGTAGCAATGATCGTCGGCTTGAAAATCGTATTCTCTTCCATACCTGGCATGTCATCTGAAGCATCATGGACATTGACCAATCTAAGCTACAATCTGGTTTGTCATAAACACAAGCCAAACACCAAAACACACCTATATCCTAACTTGTACACTCTATACAGGGAACATTCATCATGTTTCACTGGGTGTCTGGAACGCCCTTTACACTGAACCAGAACGAAAATGCCGACTTGACTCTATGGGAGCAAATGGACGGTGGTCTACAATTCACTCCTTCGAAAAAGTTCCTCTTTGGATTGCCAATAGTGCTGTATGTGCCTGTGTCTCTGATATCCTTGAATGTCTTGATCCTACAATAATCACACCTTTTTTTGTTCTAGCTTCCTACTGAGTACACACTACACACACTACGACTTTGCCACATTCATGATCAACCTAACATCATTAAGTGTCGTCTTGGTGTCGAAACTCCCATCCATGCATATGAAACGGCTATTTGGTGACGATATTATACCTGCCGATAAAGGTGACTAGAACGCCTACTCCATTACCGAGCCAATCTCTTTATATAGAATGGAAGGAATCGAAATTACGTGTGTTAAATACTCTCGGATAATGCCTCACAAACTACCTATCTCTCTCTTTTTAACACCGTCAACTATCATCCACTACAACCCAAGTCCAAATGGGGAGAGAATTTGGACTTTTGCCTTTGCATATATAGTTTTCTAGCATTCTTCTCTCATTTGTTATATTGTACCTTCGCTGTAAAATATAAAAGAGCACCCATATTGGTGGATATAACACACACAGACACACACGCAATAGTGCTGCAAGATGACAAGTTAGGTTCTAAAGACGCTTTGTTGGATGTGTGGTGCAATCACCAAAGAAAAACAGATTGCCACGAGCAGTACATAAGCTCAGGGTAACCTCTGTTCAAGAACACCATTCTTTCTGATGCTAATAAACAATATATTATCTATAAATATTTTCTTACGCCACCTGTGGCAATAGAGCCTTCAACCCTTCATAGTCCTTCCTCAAATCCTCATTCCGATAATCCAGTTTAGCAGCCACCTCATAATCCACCACAGCATCCTTAATAACATTCATCCTCAATCTTGCAGTACCACGACGAACATGCAATTTCACACGTCGTACTCGTGTCTCATCATCAACATCCTCATCTGTCTTGGTCAGCAGTCCCTGTACTCTCAATCTCTCTGCTTGAAAAGCTAGAACGTCCAGTGCTCTAGTGCAATCATTGACACAGTTCTCGAATTGGGACAGTTGGAGGTAGCATGCCGAGCGATTTGAGAGGGATCTAGAAGTAGGCAAAAAAAAATCAGATTCGGCTCTATGATTGCATTGCAACGTTTCAGTTTACTTACAAGACATCGCGATCATCTAAATCCAAAGCAGCACTATAAGCATTTATGGCAGCTTCATAGCTTTGTCCCTCATAGAATGTGTTTCCCTTTTCACGTAGGTACGTTGCTAAGACAACGGCAAAAAACTGTCAAGAAACAATATGAAAGAAGTTCCATAGAGTTTGTCACTCACGATTTCTCTCCTGAATATTAGCAGCATCATCATTCTTATCTCTCGACGCAGACTGCGTTATAGCTTCATGCTTCCTCACAGCCTCATCAATCCGGGCCTGCCACTTAGCATCCTCCTTTTCACGAGCTACAGATGTAGGTAGATTCTTACGATCTGTGAAAGCTACCGTGATGCTAGCTGACTTTCTTGGTGGTGGTGGTGCACGTGGTGCTGATGCTAAGAAATGCACCAAAAAATGAGATTGCAGATCTCGCGAAATGTCGTGATGACTTTGAATCGTGAATTACCTTCTAGCTGTTTACGAACTTTGGCCCGTATAGCTTCCATATCTAGCTCACTCTCATCGATTTCCACATCGTCCAGCGATAGTGTTGGTGCCACAGGTTGAGAGTTGGATGTGATGGTGGTCTGCACTGCTTCCGCGTCATCTAAGTCATCTCCATTGACTTCTTTAGCAGACGTCAATGTTGCTGAATCTGTACGGCTCGATATGTCAGATTGATTTAAATCTTCCTTCCAGGCTTGTACTTCATCCTATTTTTCCAGAATCAGAGTTGAAATTAGATACGACGAGTCTAGAAATAGCTTGCGGATGGGAAACTTGCATGTGCACGTTGTATGGTAGCTTTTTTTTCACTCTCAATCCGTTCACGTTCAGCTCTCTCAACATCAATTTGATTCTGCACCAGTTTTCGAGCAGCTGTCATCTTTTCTTCATTCTTTGCCTTCTTGGCCTGTATTTAAAAGTAAATTCGATAAATTTGGCTGGTTTTGATACGCTCAAAAAACAAAGAAACCTTGTACCTGATTAACTCGTTCCAACTGTTCACTTTCAGCCACCCTCCTCCGTTCCCTCACAAGATCAGCATCTGCAAATACATATTTCAGTGATTCCCATATATTTGATTGTTTCTGGGATATAGATCTAGTCAGTCTCCATCCAGAACTGTCGACAAACGGTCAGTCCCAAACCTTCATCAATGTGAAAAGAATCTGTCCATCAGCAACAGTAACAGTACTCTGATCCGGTATTATAGGATTTGATAAATCCAGTTCGAAAAAGTACGGCGCATAGTTCGCCTTTATGTATACCGAATTTACTATGTTGTGAGTAAGTGTCAGTCTTTATTCAAAACGGTGATTACATTAATGAATGCATTTACTGTAGGTGTCAACAGTCTTGGATCTAGTTGGTATGGATATAGAGATGACGCTATCGGTCTGCGACCATGAGAAGTCCTTGTCTGTAATTACAATCGGCATTTTTCAAATGTTTTACAGAAATGAGAGATCAACTGTACGGAATGAAAGACGCTTCAATGTGATTGGACTTTGACTCTTTGACATTTACAAATAGATTTACATAATTTGCGTGTTTTGAATGCGGTGCAATTTCCAAAACCAATATTCGTTGAAAATCACTACTCTCGAAGCTTTGGAGCATTTGGCGGACAATCTGGAGAGTGAAAATGGAATTGTGCCGTGTACGTTATTAGATTAGTTTATAGACTTTGAAAACACGTCATTTTCCATCCCTTGGGTGATGCACTCGTCGAGCTTACGGTGCCATAGTATCACTACCACTGACAAAAAGCGTTCATTTATACATTCATGATAGAGTGTAGTCTAGATTCAGACCTTTTCTTCTACGTCCTACCAGAACAACAAAAGCTCATTTCGTCGCCCAACAAATCCAGCATCGCAACACGTAGTTTCCTGGCGTCTTGGTTCTCTGTGGACACGCATGGAATTGTAGTTAGACTGTCGTGGTTTGCAATGCACAACTTTTTCATTCGTGCCTTTCAGAAAAGCTAACCTTGCCAGCAGCAACCAAAAAAGCAATAGTAAAATTTACAATCCCCTGTATATGGTTGTAACCCGGCCTTCAGTCACAGTCATCTCACTTCGTGCTGCTTACTCTACCATCAACCGACAATCCCAAAGCACCCGTTCGAGGATTTGTAGCCTTAGTCAAGCATTTCTGTCCGTCCTTACTTGGTTTCTCGATTCATCGCGTCCAAAAAAGCATACCGAATGTAATTAATGATCTATAGTGCTTTTATTCAGTGCTGGATTTCCTGCAGTTGAAACAACACGGCCAAGTCCACCTGATTCTAAGCACAGGGTTAAATGGTCGCAAATCGATGCTACATGTAGAATCGGGAATTTCATGAGGAGCGGATACCTTTACACAATGAAGTAATTCCGGATTAAACCCAGGCCAGTGTCTTTCTCTGAATGACACGCCACGACTAAAGCATTGAACATTTTCCAGCCAAGTTTCGGTTTTTGTTTCCAACAACATACAAACATTCGCCAATAGAAGGATACCAGAATGAAACGAAAATTCCAATTTTCAAAATCATTTACGTGCAGCCATTTTTGTACGTTCGGTTATTCTCTCGTCAGTTTTTGGAGCTGGCATCATCCAACTGTATGTGTTCTTGGAGAAGCTGGAAGAACTGGGCGGTCCAACAGTATAGTCTCCTCCTAAATCAAAATTGGAATTCAAATCAGTACCGGCCAAAATAAAGAGACAAAGGGGTACTGTTTGTCCCTACTTACTCAACATCGACCCAATTTTCTCCATCCCATAACCCGAGAGCTCTTCATGAGTTCTTTCCAGATCTTTGATCGTATCTTCCAACCCAGCCGGGTTCCGACCCAGACGCTCCCAACACACCAACAACTTCTTACACAAATCATCAAATATATCATCATTCTCATACTGTCTCATATGCTTGTCCTCCATATCAATATACCTATAGAGAGACGCAATACCACGAAAAGCATGGAATGGCGTATATGAAGCCATAATCCTGTCTGAGAGAGCTCCTACAGTACCACTGCTGGGCGACCCAGCCAGTTTGAGTTTCGAGATATCCAGAGGTCTGTTAGCATGCGTGATTTCATAGTCCGATACGACTTGGCTCATGGCTTCTGGATCTCGTTTGAGCATTAAATCGAGGAGTTTTGGAAGCGATTCATTTGATAGCTTTCGAATGACTTTTCGAGCTTGAGCAAGCTTGTCTATGGGAGGATCAATTTCTTTAGTGAGAGTCACGACATTTGAGGGATGCCGCTCCGATGGATCTACGATGTGGGTGATGTAACCTCGTGTGCGATGTAGGAATTGTGATAATTGAAAACCAAAAGATTCTGCACATCAAACCTTACCTTCATCGGTCGCTGACTCCATCCTAGGTCGTTTAGGATTACCAAGCATTTTATAATGGGCAGCTTGGTTCCGTTTCGTTGGTTTCGTCTGTGCAGCCAAAAGCCCACTGGCAAGAGACCACCATGTTTCGGGAACAAGTTTAATACGCGTTCAAGACGTGCTGTAAGCATGAATTACTACATATTTATTGTATATTCACGATTAGTCGTTGCTGATGAGTTATAACATAATGTGATGATGTTTTTTGGACCGGCATCTCAGAGCGGTCGATTGTGAATAGGTAACCAAGTACCAAAGTGACATTACAGTCCAGGCCAATGGTCAATGTATACTTCCTTGATGAGAGCGAGATGGGAATTGGGAATATTTGTGTCATTGTTTCCACATAAGTTATGACCATGAAGTATACACCATAAAAGAAACCCAGGCCAAGTAAATCTTTTGAGAGAAAATGCCGGTCAGCTCCTGCACATTGCCTATATAATGCTGGCTTTTTTAAACACAAGACAGAAAGATGAACGTACAATACAATCTCAAAACCACAGCGAAAATGGCTCTAATCAATCCTGGATTATCTGATGGAACACTGAGTAGGAATAATGCTACAATGCCCACTGGTCCGATATTCAAATTAGCAACTGACGAACCAATCACTATCGTTCGTGAGTGGACATTGGGATGATGAGATTCACGTATCCTTATAATCACGAATAGAGATATTATACAAAGCACGGCGTCGGCTATCAAGCACCATGTCAAAGAAATTGATTGCAATGTCTAGAATGAAGAGTAGGTATTAGAGACAAGTGTGGCATTGAGACTTCTTTCCTACATGACAATATCACTTACGAAGTGCAATGAATGTATGAATTCGTCTTCATATACGCCTCCTCGACAGCATGCAAGTAAAGTCAACGTTTCGAGTTGGCCATTGCTGGTTCCAAATCCCAAGCTGTGGACCCTTTACTTTCATTAGTGAGTTTACGTGCTATAGACGTGTTGTTGGCATCATATATTTTATAATTCGATTCTCTCTGCTTACCTGGCCTACGGCGTACAGGATCACGTCCAAACTCGATTCAAAACCTCAAAAACCAATAAATCACACACTTGGCCTGAAACCCAACATTTGGCAATAATGAGCACGGCAGAGCACGAAGAAGATGAATTCTTCGAGCCAGAAGAACAACAAGTTCAACACCAGGCATCATCAAAACCATCCTCAAACCCATCAAGTCCAATCATCACCAAACCAATAATTCAACAGCAGATAGACAAGGAGCCTTCTCCCACTCTTTCTGCTCAACACAACATTGTTAAATCTGCTGCAAATACGAAAGCTCTGTTCGACGACGTCTCTCCTACGCCTCAGGCTAGTAATGTCTGGGGCTCTTGGGGCTCGTCGTTGTCCTCCTTTGTTAATGTCGCCCAAAGTACACTCGCTAAGCAAGCAGACAGGTTATATGAGGTACATATACTGTATATTGCAGGTCTATCTTTTGTTTTTTCACTGGCATATTACTGACACTGACATTCACATAGTCTCTGGACCCTGAATATGAACGAGAGAAAATGTCGATACGAGATCGTGAAGCAAGGACAAAAGCTCTATCAACTCCACTAGACGCCGATGCTATAACACCAGATCCGAAAGCAGACACTCAACAACCGATAGATCCAATACACGCTGTTTCCCACGCAGCCGAAGCACTACTCTCCAAAATGGATGAAGGACTGAATTCAGTCTCTGATGCGGTGGGCAACTCCTTGTTTTCAGGGTACAAGAAGATTGAAGAGGCGAAAATCGGTGAAAAGGTGAGGGAATTTGATCTCAAATCGTTGCCTTTTTGCTAACTCTTAAATTACTGCCATAGGTTCTCGCGTTGCAAAATCATGCTGCAAATCATGAAATGTTGCAACAGAGTAGGGATTTGAGTCAAGATGCCCTCTCAAGTGGTTTGGCTGCTCTAGAAGGTCTTGGACAACAGGCCATGAATTTCTTCGGATCCGTGAGTGTCAGCGTAGTAAACAAGCATTACTGAGAAGAGCGATTATTGCAGTCACAACCACTTGAATCTTACGATTTCACCATATTGCTTAGAGACCAACTCAAGCACCAACAAAACTCACCAAGCAACAAACATCATCAACCAAAACCTTTAGCTCTGTGTTCAATGAATCTGAAGGTGGTGCCTCCTTCATAGCCATCGAATCCTTGTCTACTAGTGCATCAAGTCAAGTCACCACTCTCATATCGAAATCATCCAAAACAGCAGATATGAAGGACATTGATCAAGCATTCGATGTCGATTCTATGCTTGAAGACGCTGAAAGCATAAGTGAAAGACCGTTCTCTGATGATAAAGAGTTTGATTCACTCGTAAGTTGGACAGCCTGGTCTTGTTTTTGTCTGATACCTAAACTAATTTTTTCAACTAGGTCAACTCACTAAAAGGATTGACAGCACAAGCACCAACCATCCTCACCAAAATAAAAGAAGCAATTCGACCATGTGAATCATCCACCAGCGAAAAGCTACGATTCTTCAATGTCTTGTATGAAAAGAAACTGCCATCAGATACGACCATTGAAGAATTCATTGATGGATTGTATTTGGATGCGCTGGCTGTTCTTGTGTCGTCTGTTGAGTCTTGGTGTACATTGGTATGATTAGTAAACCGATGATTTCCGGTCTTTTTCGTTGCCTGAAAAGTTAACCCTTTTTCTCGGTTAGGTGTTGCGAGTCGCTGAATCTCAACTCATGAGTGTTTCAGAAACGTCTGACAAGCCAAAGGCTGTAGACAGTGTGTCTGAGATTATGGAGTCTTTGAGGACGGCTTCGATAGCTATGATCAATGGTAAAGAAAAAGTGCCAGCCTAACTTGCAGATTTTGAAAGAATTTCAAAAGGTTTCCTTGTGCATACCATAACTGAAACATTCATTGGTTATTTTTTTCTGAAAATAGTCATCAACGAAACTGCAGAGATTTATTCATCGGCATTTGCATCTCTTGCCAAGAAATTTCCAAGAGAATCTGTCGCTACACTTGTAAGTGTCTGTTGTAGATGTTTGACTCCAACAAACAATGGTAGGCACGGTTCATATATTTTTTCTCTTCTTAGGTGGATAAAGCCGTGACGATACTCAACAATGATGGCGAATCTGCCATAACAGTTATTCAGGAATCATTCAACAACCTATCACCCATATTTAAATTCAAGCGTTTGTAGTCGTCAGTAATGTCGATATGTATGTTTGTTGTCATTGTCGTTGTAATGCTCAGTTTATATATGCCAAGCCTCGCAAATTGTATAAAAGATGATCGTTTTGGCGAGCGCGGCGCTGCTTTTGTTTTCGATTTCTAGGCGTATGGCTATGTTGGGTAAATAACATTCTCAGGATGAGATTCATTGCCTGCACCTCGTCTCTGACTTTTGTGCTGTTGTGGTGGTTGTAATGCTCGCTATCAGGAGACGGTGGTTGCGAATGTGATGTTTTTATTTTTCTCTAATTATAGGGGGCTATGTTTTTAGCAAATACAACGATAAACAACAGTTTTAGGCACAGATTATTATTGGTTATTATTGGGATGCTCCTGGGCCTCCAGAGAGCATCGCTTGGAGATGAGGCAACGAGATCCTATCAATACCAAAAAAGCGTGAGATTGTTTTCAATGACGCAGGAAAGAACAAGTCTTGCCACACACCAGGGAGGGATGAAGCGGTCTACGTGGTCGAGAGTTCTCGGATTTGGTTTGCCGAAATCAGGAGCTTGATCTAAATCAAGTAAGAGGATATCCGACTTTTCATTCAATACTGCTCGCGTTGTGACTATTTTGAGGAGTTCAGGTGATAACTGATCGTGAAAGGGGACCAATTTAGAAGTGTTAGTATTCAAGATCGGACAACCAAACTTTTTTTTCGCAAATGATACTTACAGGTGAATCATAATCTCCAGCCAAATAAAGAGTCAATAGCTTCTTGATTTGGGTTGGGTTCAGCAAGAAACAGACCTGCAAAATAAGGATAATTAGTAAAACACCTGTGTCCTGCGACATATCGAATTTCTCTAGCAACACAAACACACAAGCTTACATCAAAAATAGTCTCAATATCTTGTGGTGATTGCTTATTCAATGTCAACAATTTAGCAGCTTGCAAGAGTTGTTGCAAATGTAATGTAGCTATGAAATCAAGGTAAAATAAAAAATCAGTCTCAGCAACAAAAACAACGCCACTGAAACATGAAGGTCCAAATCTGATTGCCAGCATCCTAAACCCATTGACATACCTTCCGAAATCCCATTACTAGTACACCACTCTTCCAACCTCGACACATTATACTGAATCTGCACGCCTCTCTTCCACGTCAAGAAATTCTTCCTCACAAGTATATGATTGAATCCACTCACTCCAATAACCCTGACCAACTCAGTCAACAACTGTCGCGCCATCGTGTCCTCCATATAATAAGATCTCATGGTCTTGGATAATTTCGACAAGAAATTCAGCAATTGCTCAATCGAGAATGTGGCAGTAGCTGGTGAATATCCCAGTCTAGCAAATATCCCTCCATTTTGTTTACAGATGTATCCCGGTAGCGACTGGTTTTCGATTACGGCGGGTACAATCATATTGTTGAGGCGTTTTTTCAGTTCTTTAACCCATCCATGGTATATTTCAATCAAGAGGTATTCGAGATCGTGACGTGCACGGTCAAGAGCACGTTCGGTTTCAGACAGTAGGGTGGTGGCCCGTCGACTTAGCATGCTGCCTCGTGCCGGTGCCTTGTTGCGGGATTGGGTTTCGCGATCTTGGGCTGTTTTGACTATACAGAGGAGCTCGTAGCAGTTGGATAGCCAGAATGCTGAGACGTAATCATCTTCGAATTTCTATAGAAATTGAAGACCAAAAAAAATCAGCAACCAACAATCAACAGACACAACAAGTCTGACTAGTTCACTCACCATAGTCAAAGTCTGAATAGCCTTCATGATATTCGCCATAAGATTCGTCATACGGACATTCAAATCATTCGAAATCATCTTCAGCATACAACTACCAATTAAATGTGCAGGGAAGAATATCTCCTTTCGAGAGGCTTGCGTTTGGGAATTAGGTAATGGCAAATTGAGGTTGGTGATTAGCGAATCCAATATCTCTTCTTCCACCAATTTGTCTTCTACTAGTTTATCACCAGACACATCACTACCAGCTATTTCAGTTCGAATGTCTCGTGTAGCACCTGGATCTTCTCCAACTGCAAACGAGTGGCGTCTCGATCGGGTGCCTCGACTGGGTGACAGATTAGGTGATAGGGATAACATGGAGTCTTCCTTTGTTGGTGAATATCCGTTCACTTCACCATTCATTACACGACCAGGAGATGTTGGTGATGACATTAAAGCATCGGCTTTACGATCGGGTTTATACTTGGCTGCTACATATACTTCAATCTGAGCCTTCAATGCTTGAATCTCCTTTTGATACTTGGCTTCAGCAGCCTCATCTAAGCCTCTCCCACCAGAACCTGATAATGCAACCTTTTTGGTCTCTTCCTTGGCTTTCTTGGCTTCTTCCTTATGCACTGTCATCTCCGCTGTGAGACGAGCCACTTCATCTTCTTTACGTTTCATGGCAGCCTGTAGTTTATCAGCCTCTTTTTGTAGAGCCGTATTACTTTCTCGCAAATGAGTAACTTCTACTTTGAGTGCTTGAGTGCCTTCATTCGAAGAGTCAGCAACAGCTTTTGATTTCTGTTCTGAATGTAGTAACTGATCTCGAAGTTTGGTTACTGCAGCATCTAGTAATGCAACCTTTTCTGCCAAGGCCTTGTTTTCGAGTTCTTTACGTTGCACAGATTGTGATAATTCAATGACCTTGTTGTCCAATTGGTATTTGACTTCCATAAGTTTACCAACTGAGCGAGCTTCTTCTTTAGCCTTTTTGAATTCTCGTCTAGCCAATTTACGACGCCACAAGGATTGTACGAGGACAATCTTGCGACGGTATGCGTTTCTCTCCTTTTCTTCTTTGGCTCGTTGGATTTGCACGGCATTGAGTTTTTGATACAGGACCTTCCTCTCTTTGATTGCTTGGTGCATTCTCCAAGCTATTTTTTGCCGAGCGCAAAAAATAGAGCATTAGTATGAATAAAAAACGAGGCTAAAACCAAGGAAATAAGATTCGTGCTCTAAATAAACTCACCACTTTGGACAGTAATAACATCCTTTCGCATTTTGTTGTACTTGGACCTAGCCAAATAACCACGAGCAGTCCGTTGAATCTTTGTAGCAGCTTGATCTTCCCGCATACTTTGTAACAACCTTCTCCCTCTCCATCTCCTAACCGCTACCTGTATAACTATTGCAGCAGTACGCATCTGGAGATATCTACGATGATAAACATATCGTCTCATATTGGACTGAATCAGTACGACAGCTTCCCGCAATCGTGCTGATCTCAGGTTCTCCAAATAGGCCAATTGGCCAGCTCGGAAGAATATCTTGGTCAATCCAACTTGGAATCGATCTTCATTCGTTATCCGTGCTTTTACGATACGTTCGGTAAGGACTTTGGCCTTCTTGTCCCATTGCGATGAGCGGATTAGGAGGTAGTATCGATCAGCGAATTCTTGGAAGGTCCAACGAGATGGATATCCTGCACATGATATACGAATGGTTTCGAGGACACCACAAGCTCGTAATTGAGCCAGGACCATTTGTGGTTCGAATTGGAAGGCGGCTTTGGCCATGTTGGGTTTAATACATCTTATATAGTGAACTTCGGTAGAGTTGATAGTCGCCATGAGTTGGACTAGAGAGGCTTTGAAGATGGCACCTAATGTGGGCTTCTTCAAAACACCACCAGCTCCACCACGTGAGAGCGTTCCTTTGGATTGTTTCTAAATGACGAAAACAAATGATGAGGCTCGATCCTTCGTAAAGGGAAAAAAGTAGAGACAGAACTCTCTCCAATACAATTGCCATTTAAACTCACCACCTCTTCAACAGCAGCAACAGCAGCTGGATCAGGCTCCAATACATCCTTCAAGAATGTATTTTCTGTCTTGAGCAAACAAGCCATATGCTCATCAGACACAGTATCCTTGTTCTTATCCAAGAATCCTTCAATATCATATGTGACATCAGTAGCATAATGTTTTATGGTAAAAGCAGTTTGACCAAATCGAGGCTTTTCATAAAAGTCCTTGAATTCAGGAGTAGCGAATCTCGAATGCAACTTGGTGATGAGAGTTCCGTCTGCACCTGATGGCAAACGCGATTCTTCATCTAGTAAATCGAGAATACCCAATTTGCCTTCAATCATTGTAATACATGGCTGATTGTCGTTAAAGTCAATAAATGACTACAGGGAAAAATAGTCAGCAACGAAGAACTAGATAATATGAAGGGAGGCAAGAATTTACCCAATTGATCTTCTCAGCAATATATTCTTCTTGCTCAAGTTTGAACACATGCTGGTTGAATTCTTGCTGTAGCTTTTCATTGGCGTAATTGATACAGAATTGTTCAAAGGAATTCTTCTTAAAGTGTTCAAACCTAATTGGGCAACAAAATGTCAGTGATGCAAAAAAAAACTACAGTATTTAATCGTATCATACCCGTAGATATCCAATACACCAATAAACGTCGTATTCTGAACTGCAGTCTCTTTGTATAAACACTTGTTTGTGACTCGCACAATCCAGTCAAACAGAGTAGAGTACAAGAATTTAGCGACAGAGTCTCTACCAGTTGTAGCAGCCACTTGATTTACATTTGATACAATCTTTTCACTTCTCAGAATGATTTGCTTCTTGACAATCCACTTTTTGAATTCACTTTGGTCAATACCTAGTAGTCTACAAGCTTGCTGAAGAGCTGGATCTTCGTCTTGGACGAATGCTTCATCACGTATGGCTGATATTTTAATGTTTCCGATATGGAGGAGAGCGGCACATACTCTGAATATGTCCCATTGTTGGGCGATTGGGATACCAATGGTTGATAGTGCTTCTTGCGTTGCTTTAAAATCTGCTATGTCATCTATACCAGGCACTACACCTGCAGCACCTTGTTTTAAATAGTGAAAGTCCTGCCATATCGTAACACCAAATTCTTTACGTTCTGCGGCAGGCATTGCCGCGCACATTTGGTAAAAGACGTGATAGTTTCGTTCTAGTTGGAACAGAAGGGAAAAAAAAATCAGCTAGGCAGTGGAGATTCTCGATTCATTACGAACTTACCTTGGGAAGGCTGAAAGACGAGACGTGATCGTTCCAGCAAGTACGTCCGTATCTTAGCACCCATGATACGTGGTGATGCAGTGTTTCGTGATGGTTTTGTGAAGAGAATTTCTATATATTTACCAAATCGTGACGAGTTGTCATTTCTCGTAGTTTTCGCATTACCGAAAGCCTAAAAAACATCATATTCTCATTTAGAATCTCCCATTCAAAACAAACGCTGAATCTTGCAATAGAGAGGAGTAGGTTCGAATGCGTCCCGTACCTCCATAATGGGATTGGTTGATAAAACAGCTTCCTCGATTTCAGTAGCTCCACCACTCAGACTACTATTACTTCTATGCATCACTTTGGTACCGTCCAAGTCATCGACGGCTGCAAAGTATCTCATAATGTATTTGGCACTGGCAGTCTTTCCAGCACCAGATTCACCAGAAACTATGATTGACTGATTCTTGGATTCACGGAGCATTGTTCTATATGCTTCTTCTGCCACAGCGAACTAGATTTGGTTGAATTGTTAGAGAGGATGTGGAATCGCGAGGTGTCAATTCACTTACCAAATGTGGTTCTAGCTCTCCACGCCGTTTACCAGAATACTCTCTATGGACAGCGAATGATTGAGTAACGTATTCCGATGATTGAGAAACACATTAGGATCAGTACCTCATTGTGTCTGGAGTGTAGATAGGCATTGGGCGAAAAGGGTTCATTGCAATCAAAACAATTCCTGAATAGGTGTAGATCTGTTCAGCAGCATATCTGATCTTGACATTATTCAATACGGCAGGTCTAGAATGATAATAATGTGTAAATTGGCGAGGCTGGTGCGTCCCTTCCATCAGCAACAACGAATATTTACTCGTGCAAATATGACAGATTGGCCAAATCGTCAAGACCCTCCTACAACGATTACAAGATCGAACGATCAGAAAAAATACGATGAAAGCAAGAGATTTTACAAGTAAAGAGGGCATACCAGCATGGGAGGGTTTTTAAGTGGCGGAAGGTCGACATACTTGGTAGCGGCAAGTTTTGTCAAGGTGGTGTCTAGTACAATGTCCTGAAAACAGAGCGTGGTGCGTCAATAGATGCAGGTGTTGGTGCTTGTTTCTATTTGAAATCAGCATACCTTCCGACCAGGTACGGCAAAGGTGAGTTTCAGATTTTCGCCAGCCAGAGTCCTAGCTGTTGTGGTGCCTTCAATCCAGCCCTCGTCTTCATCTGGAAAGTAGACTTGGGTACCCTATGAATGGATCAGGACAAGCATCAGTTTGCTAGCTCAAGTTTGCACAGTGGGGACGCCCCTTCCGAAACAGATTGTTTTTGCAACTAGATTACAGGAATATGAAGATAGGCAGTACCTTCTGATAAATGTCTATAGTGCTATCGTCTGCCATGTTATCTTTTCCCAGCATGAGCACACCAAAGGGTATCAGGCTCTCTCCTTGCTCTTCGACTTAGTAAAGAACGAAAGGTGATTCGGTGCCTGAAACAGCTTGTGGAGGAGAACGTTTGAAAAGGGAGAACGGTGGATACATTCGATTGTCGCGATAAATCACGTTCTGCTATTTCTAGAATCGCCAAATCTGTTCCTCAACTCGTCTGCTTGGAATTTGCCAAAACGCGTTCAAACCAATATTCACGTTTTTCATGATCTGAAGCTCGATTCCAACTATCGGAATACGGGAAGCCGCGTATCAGACTATCAGATATAACGTAAGTAAATACGTCTTCTTGATCAGCACAGTTCTTCCATCCATCAACAACGGCAAACACTTTATCTTAAGATTTTTACCCCCTATTAGAATGTTCTTCAACTAATTCCCATATATAAATATGGCTTCTCAAGTACTGCCAGCGGCCGCCGTGATTCCTGGCATCAGATTGCCCCCAAAATCAATATACCCAGATGCCGTTCCAAGTAGTGATGTCCCTGTGGTCAAGCTTGAGCGTATAGGCAAGATTCCTGCTGTTATTTCCCAACGAGCATGTCATTTACTGTAATTTTTATTATATTGTCAGGCAAAGGTTCATTTGGAGAAGTCTTCAAGGGGTAAACACCATCCAGAACCCACATCGGCGTGTATTCACGCACCCATTCACCTAGATTGAACAAGATCACTGGTGAAATCGTCGCCATAAAGATGCTGGATTTGGATTCGGACGATGATGACATATCCGACGTCCAAAAGGAAATCACGTTATTGTCCACTTGTGAATCGGAACATATTACTCGCTACCATGGTTCTTATCTCGTCGGCACTCGCTTATGGGTCATCATGGATTATGCTGCTGGTGGCTCCATGAGGAGTCTGGTCAGTAGCTCTGCCGTACTCTTACGGCATTCCTCGAATAGCGGTGTCGTTTTTTTTGTTGGCACTGACGGATTCGTATCTTTCTAGCTGAAATCTGGTGTTATTGATGAAGTCAAAATCTCAGTCATCGCACGTGAAGTTTTATTGGCTCTGGTTTATCTTCACAAGTCACCGGGTATCATACATCGAGACATCAAAGGTATGCAGCAGTAGAACGCGATGGCTTTTTGCCGCTTCCGCTGCTAAAACTCGTTTCGAACCTAGCTGCAAACATATTGCTGACTGAAGATGGACACGTCAAACTATGTGATTTCGGTGTTGCTGGCCAAATCACAATGACCAGTGTTAGACGAAACTCATTCGTCGGAACACCATATTGGATGGCTCCTGAAATCATAAAGAGATCTCAATATGACTTCAAGGTACAGCGATCAACAAAAAACAAGTTTGTACCTCTGATTCCCAATGCCTAATAAAAACGTTGATAGGCTGATATATGGTCACTTGGAATCACCGTCATCGAGTTGGCTACAGGAAACCCTCCATTTGCTGAGCTAGATCCTAGACGTGCCATATTTATGATTCCACGATCCAAGCCTCCAAAATTGGATGGTCGATTCTCTGTTGCCATGAAGGAATTCATATCACTTTGTCTCAAGGAAGAACCGGAGGAGGTACAAACGGATTAAAAAAGAAGACCGCACAGGTTCTGGATTACCGACTTAAATTTAACATGACGCCTGCTTTTTAGAGACCGGCTGCTGAGGAGCTACTCAAATGCAGGTTCATTCGAAGTGCTCCTAGAGGAACCGCCATACTGCAAGAGTTGATTGCTAGGCATGAGGCATGGAGAGAATCAGTAGATCACGCCAACGAAGAGAATGACGCTCCAGGGTAAGAAAAAGAAAGATTCATCGTATAAATAGAGTATATCAGCGTTGCTAACTCTTTTTCTACAAATCAGGGAAGCGGGAGAGAGTGATGAAGAAACAGACGAAGTCGACGAATGGGTGTTTGAGACACTGAAGGCTTCTGGTGATTCAGGAGCTGTAGCTGCTGCAGCTGCGGCTAGTAGACGACTATCTCATCTGCCGAAAGATGACGAGGAAGACTTTGGAACAGTAAAACAGCCAAAGAGTCAACGGTCCTCTTTCGATAGGGAACCGGCCAAAACATTATTGGATATAGATGATGTGGGAACCGTGAGACAAAAATCTGCAACGGCCACCCCGATATCTGTTGCTGCAACTCCGACACCATCTAGGCCGGCGAGTACAGTAATAGCCAGTCTATCCACATCACCACCGCCGCAAAGCATCCCATCTAAAGCGCCATCTGTGATGGGCAGTACGAATGCCGGTCCCAATAATAAAGCAAAAGAGGGAGAACCTGCCAAGATATCACCACCACAGACTCCACAGCAATCTCTAGCCGTTAGCGGAACACCTCCCAGGCAGCCTAGTCCACGGTCGTCAACGACTAGTCCACCTACATCCACTCAACCGTCCGCTATAGTAGCTGGTCCCACAGTAAAGCCGAGTGCTCCAACTGCACCTCGTCACTCACCATCCAGATCCACGTCTGGACCTATAAGTATTGCTACTAGTTCGAGTCCACCACGAGGAGATGCTTCACTTTCAAAATCACCAACGTCAGCATCAACCATGACTAGAACATTAGCACCATCTGCATCGTCATCAGCACCATCAGCGCAACCGCAAAGTAGTACTACCCCAACACCACATAGACCACCAGTATCATCACGCTCGCCAGCCTTTTTAGCGGATTCTGCTCATAAAACAGCTTTATCGCCAGTGCCGAGTGCAATGTCATCACCCACCCCATCACTTCCCACCACGTTGCCATTCACTGTCGCAACATCTGCTGTCGTTGGCAGTAGTGTTGGTAGTATTCTAGTCGTGAATCAAACTCCATTGTCACCAACAATTACAACACCAACACCAACCGCAACAAGTTTCGAGTCGAGCATATCGTCATCGGACAAAGCTGATAAATCAATAGATAAATCTAGTAAGTCAAAGACAAGTCCGCCATCATCAACGAAACCATTGCAACCCGTATCGAATTCGAATGACTCGTCATCGACAACTACTACAACAACAGCTAAACCATCGCTTGTATCAAATAATACAACAGCAACAGTATTTGGTGGCACATCAGTAGTACCTCAAGCTTCCGATAGTCTCGTTGCAGCACCATCAACAACATCAGCAGCAAGCAACAACAACGCCAATAAAGCATCCACCGTATCCTTTTCCTCGTCATCATCAAACCAAGCATTCTCCCGCCCAGACTTTTTAGCCTCAACATCATCATCCTCAACAAACACCCTCGTAACAAACTCGCTCCCACTACGCATGCGCCGATCGCGTGCACTCCTCCAACAACAATCCACATCATCAAATAGACGTGGAATGTATGGACGCAACACAATGAATTCCGGTGGTAGCCTAAACAGCTCGTATAGTAAAGGTATGATGGGAGGTATGTCTATCTCGAATAAGAGAGGTGGTGGTAATGGATACATGATGGGGTTGGGTGTTTCACCGTTGGATCTTGCTGGTATGTCGTTTGAGGATGTGCAGGGGGAGATACTTGTTAGAGTGGATGAGACGGCAAAGTTATTGGAGATGTTGGAAAAGGCTATGAACTCCTTATAGAGTTGGGTGATAGAACCACCAGTAGATGTAATGGATTTGTTTGTACAGTGTACCAAATGGCTTTTACCTATACATTCTATTCTCAATCCATACCAAGCACTACACAAACACAATTCTTTTTAATCATGTTTGGTTCGTGATACGAGGTCAATCTACTCAAGCATAAATTAGACACAAAAAAAGGCATACCTCCTGAATGGACAAATGTATCTCGTTGTGGTGTTTAAATATCTATATACTATGAATGATAGCTACACTTGTAAAATCTCAAACTATGCAACCTCCTTAAACTCTCTCCCTCTCCTTTCAACCTAATCTCTACTCCTTTTTGCCCATCTACACCAATCCAAAACCACGAGCATTCTCTATAGCAGTAACCAACCTCTCCTTCATCTTTTCACGATCAGAATACTCTGGAAGCAGCAATCTACCAAAGCAAGTCAAAGCAGTCGGTAGACGTTCAGTGTCTGGTCCATTTCGTTGGATTACGAATTTCACATGCCCCAATCCTTTCACGGGGACTCGGTCAGAGGCCGTTACAAAGGTCAAGAGGAGACGCTTTTGTAGGAGACTGAATGAATGAACTATTGACCAGAATGCTCTACAAGTTACGACGAGTAATGTTAATATCCATTGTTGAAGGGTGGCTTTTTGGCTCTCAAACATCCATTCACTCACTCGATAGTGGGATGCTTTGGATGATACCCATCATCGTACTCCGCAGCATTTTCCAAATCAGTAAAGTCCAGTTCTGTAGTCTCAGACCCACAAACAAGCAATTCCAATTCTTCAGCTCGACACATTCGTAGTGCATCTCCACCACAGACTTTCAAGAATCCTCGTTTGAACGCACCAAATTGTCTCTTGACTGATTCGCCAATCAGGTGTCGTATGTACAAATCAACGTATTCTAATAGTTTTGGAAGGAGACAAAACACAATCAGCACTTAGACCAAACGCATGTTTCTCCAACTGCTTTGGAAGGATTACTCACTTTGACGATTCTCATTGGTGACTAGAATATCAACTCCTCCATCAACCAATGGAATATTCCTGACTTGGCCATAGACGTCATATGATATCTCAAATGTTCGTAAAAAGACGTCACCGACATCACCATCAGACCAATCCAACAATTGTTGAAGACCACGACCCAATGCCTAATTTGAGAAAAGGTAAAAGTATTAGGAAGACATCTGCAGTGCAAAAAACTTGGGTCTAGTAAACGTACAGGAAAAGCTTGCTTGATATCCTCCAATCCCACACTCTCATCCAACAGCTTTTTATACAAGAAGGTAGGAAACGACACTCCCAAAATAACACCATTATACAGAGCCAATCCAATAACGGTTCCAACAAGCTCAAACTGTGCTTCAGATTCCAAAGACGAGCCGTTAATCCAAACCAGCCTCGTCTCTTCATCTTGAGTAAACATGCCATACGCTGGATCGAGTAACTGACTGCATAGCACTTGGAAGAATTCCTTTTGGACTCCTCCTTGATCCATTCCTTCTTCTCCACCATTGACGAATTTTATTCGGAAAGGTCTCTTTAGATGAGCTTCGTTTTTACGAATCTGTTGCATCGCGTGAAATGTTAGATTTTGAAGACACTGCTGGGCAAAAAAAATTGAGGATTGTCTGCTATGCTATACCTGATCCAGTGCATCCTGTACCAGCTTCTCCCTTCTAACTTCCAGCACCAAATACGGATTAGTGGCTTGCTTCAACCCCTGCTCTCTACTAGCATCCGTCGACGAATCCTGCAAGAATCGTTGCGTATGAAGCACAAGCGCCTGATTCACAAACGCGTCTTCAAATTCAGCAGACATTTGCACCATGGCATCAATATGAAGTATCCGAGTCTTTGAAGCGGGATCAAACAATATCGAATGATCAAAGTAACAAAACTCTGATGCCGTGGGAGCAAATGGCAGTTTTGTGGATGTGACGGCGAATGGGCTGACACCGATTGGGCCTCTAGTAGTCGATACAGGTGTTGTTGAGTGATTATTTGACCACGTGGATTGTTGGCCGTGGTATTGGAAGTGTTGGCGAGAATGGAAGTTGTGAGTTACTCCCGATTTCCTAAACCATCCTTTTTCCCATAGCTTGTACTCTTCTTTATAGTTGAGTTTACGCGCCAGTGTGTCGGAGTAGAATGTCGACATGGGTACGAGACATGAGGTACTGTTGGCTTGAGATAGCAAATCTAGACATTTTATACATCCGACTAAAGCCTCGTCTGGTCTGGAGGCAGAGACAAAATGACACTCAATGTATTTGTGGAAGACTGCTGCTAAAGCAATCAGGCCTTCAGCATCGTACCTAGTTCAAAAGCACTGTTAAGATTTGCTCGCATTTTTTATACGACACGGCGTTTTTTTGCTTACTTTGAGAGCCATTGAGTCAACACGCTCCTCACTCCACTTCTGAGTCTACCAAAAATGATACAGAGCTTCTTCAGCAAGGTCTCGTGATAATTTTGATCTGAGATAAGAGGATTCTATAGGAGGAAACGAGTCAATAATTATACATCTATCATCTTTTCATGCTGTTTTTTGCCCAACACACCTCAAGAACGATAATCAGCTGCCGTAAAGTTGAAGGTATGGATGAGGATAAACGCTTCGAATTCAACTCAATCTTGGCCAGGAGCAATTCTGTAGCATTGACCAAAACCATAGCGAAGGATTCACTAGGTGCCTAAAAAAATTTGAAAGTGTGTTAGACTAACTGAAGCTAATCAGTCATTTTATCTTCGACAACAATTTACCAATTCCAAAATCTCCTTGTATGCTACTCGAATTGACAGTATGTCCAATCCTGATGGGTGTGGATTCGTTGATGTTGTTTCAACCTGTATAGCAGGAATAGTAATGAGTATCAATTTGTTAATCACCACTTGCTGTTTCTTTGCCTACCAGAAACGACTTTGATAAAGCCGTACTACTTGAAAACACTGTTCTCACAGTATTCAGCACTAACTGATAATCGATTTCTACATCTTCCTGGCGTTCTGTTGATACACAAGCAGCAATAGCTTGTCTCAACAAGGGCAACGTCAGGTACCCCAAACTGACTTGTCGTTCAGGTACAGGCCTGTCTAATTCTAATATTTGATCGTCGTCGTCTATATATAAGGACTCCATGGAGGTAAACGATCGCAATGGCGACTTGCCACTTATCGATCTATACATTCCTGCGCGTGACACTGGTGTACAAGCACCGGACTCTGGTGGAGATATCGAATCTATTATGGGTGCGGCTTGTTCTAGACCGTTTGATGAGGTTATGAATCCGACTGTTGCAGAAAAGAGGGATGGTAAATCCATGAGAGATTTGCTTTTCCCGGATGATTCAGTAGTGCCCGTTGCGTATTTGGTCAATGCTCGTATACCACTCATGAATCCTGAAGTGATTGCAGATTCTTCTGATATCTGTGATACTTCAGATATTCTTCGTTGACGTGTTATAGGAGACATGGGCGACATAGGTGATATTGGTGACATGGCACTATTATTTTCATCGTCAAAGTCACCAAACAAGTCTTGGCTTGTTTTTGGTAGTGATGATAAGGAGTGTGCTGCTGCTGAGGATTTCCTCAGAGTGGCTGGTTCTGGTGCAAACAGGGATTGGAAGGGCGATGATGATAATAACGAATATAAAAACGGTCTTGTTGCAGATGCACTCCCTATTCCACCAACACTACTACCGCTACTACTACTATTACTGTGATTATGGATCATGCCCGGCATTGTTGTCATACCACTGGCTCCGTCAGTAGAGAATACTCGACGTCCTGGTTTTGGACTGGCTGCTGGACTATTTGTTGTACTGGGTGACGGGGAAGCGAGTATGGAGGCATCGAGAGTTATATCGGGTTCCGTAGGACACCGTGGACAAAAGAATCTACGTGGTCTCGAAGCCAGTTGCACAGCGAGAATAGCAGCAGCATCTGAGTTTAGTCGGGCACCATTTCGACATGAGGCACATAGTCGATGAGGACATGTTGGATCTCCACATCCGATCGTTAATTGATAATAATATCTAGATTATTTTAAGAAAAGGAGGGGGGTATTGTTGGTGATATGAGCAAACAAACAATCAAAACGAGCTGGACGACGGTTCTTTGTGGATTTTACCTCTTTACGAGTTTCTGGAATTTGGTTTTTGCGGTAGCAGAGGGCGATCCCGGCGCATCGTAAGGACGTCGAGGCATAGCATCCTTCAAATCATTCGCGAAATCTGGATTTTGCAAGGCGGCAAGAAATGATGATCCCGATACAGCCGAGGAGCCCACGCTCTTTCTGAAGGAAGGAGAGTTTGCCGTCCTGTCCATGATATCAGGAGTACTCGGCATCCTCTGTCGTGTAGTCATTGTCTAAGAAAGGAAGGGTGTCGGTCGATGTCGAAGGAATGAGTGTTTGGTGCCCTTGTTTTGTTCCGGACGTGACTTGGCAACGTACCTTGGAGACTATTGCGCACTAGCAAAACTGGTAATTGATATCGGCATTGCCTCCCACTACTAGTTGACCAGGTGGCCTAGATTCATTCCTAAGGGTTGACTCAACCGAAATCCTGTAAAACTCAACGTTTGGCTACATTTCGAATCCGCCACAACGACAGGATGGATTCGGGACTGAAATACGTGTCTTTACCAACTGGCGTACGTTTGGCTTACAAGATCATAAATGAAACCAAGTTAGGGACACCTGCTTTCATCGTACCATCGCTACTTGCGACAATTCAAGACTATGAGCCATTTGCACAAGGTGAAACACGTGAATTGGTTGATTTCCATTTCAGATACATGTTATTTGTTCTTGATTTGATTTCCGATACATGTTACTTTGGTCGCTCATGTTATTTTCACCATGCATTTGGCACAGAATTGGCAAGGCCCGTATGTATTATGGACTTGCGTGGAATGGGTTCTTCAACACTTCCCGATGGCTGGAGGAGACCATCAACTATGGTCGAACTGGCGTCAGACGTGTTTGATGTAGTCGAGCATACAACGTGGAAGGAATTCTACCTTATAGGCCACGGTCTCGTTGGTGGGATGGCTGTGCTCGTACGTTTAGTCTTTGCAAGAAGCTCAAAAGCTTGAGGCAATCTGGCTTACCTATTCTCCTTTAGCAACTAGCCCTACTACTTCGGGGTCGCGACGACGTGAAGCTGAAGGGCTTAATCTGCATGTCAACGGCTTCACACGAAATACCATCACCACTATCCGACCTAATAGAAAACGCTCACGATGAAGCTTCTCCCACGTATAAAGCAACATTGACACCATCAGAAGACAAGAAAATAATATCAAACATGATTGCTCTCAAATATCCCGTAGAATTCAGAGACACGGCGGAATACCGCAAGATCATTGACGAAAGCTTGAGATCAAGTCGGCCTAGACGTGCGCAACTTGACCTGATGCAAGCAATGCAAGAATGGACTGTGTTTTATCAGCTAAACTTGATTGAGACACCTACATGTATAATCCATGGTGCCAATGATGCCGTTGTGAATGCTGAATATGGATTGGAGATAGCAGATCAGATCAAGAATTCTGTGGTGACTGTGATACCTAAGGCAGGCCATAATTTTTTTGATGTCGATTACGGTGTTGGAATCAGGGCGATCAACGACTTTATGGGCGTCAAGAAGAGTAAATTATAATTTACATATAACTTGGTATAGATAATAATTTACACATATTGCGTAGCATATATACAGTCTGTTTCCTCACTACGTATTGATTGACTTGATGACTTTAGTTGGTTTGACACTGTTTGCTAGTATGAACTCGCCATTCGGTCCATCGTTACTGTCAAACCGTTCATATCCAGCCTTTACAGTGGAGACCAAGCCACTAGCAAGATGCCGCTGAGCAACGCGTTCCCTTGCAACCCCAACATCACAATCAAGAAACCACAGCTCGTCCATAGCATGTGCTATATCCGCCCACACTGGCAACGACAATTGTAGATAAAGACCCTCAAACAATATGATTTTATGACTGGGTAGAATTGTAATGTCATCTTCTTTCGGGTCCTTCAGCGCGTGATTAAAACTGGGAGCCTTTGTTATCACTGATGGCTGTTCCTTGAGCCGATTCACGAGTGATGCCAGTAGCTCAGGAGCGAATGTGAATGGAGCACCTCGCCGTTTGTGTGCCAGTTCAGGGTCTGGCATTTGACTCAACTGAGCTAGTGAGAAATGCAATTGTGTCAGGTTCAAGCTCGAACAAGAATGACAAAGAAAAAGCCCTGACTTGCATCGATAAACGTGAAAGCCATCCATAGGAACCACTATTGAGATTGGTTGACCGCATATTCGATTTACACGTTGACACACTTGGTCACTTAATGTCGATTTGCCAGATCCAGGAATTCCTAATGTCAATGGTGTTAATAATGCTCAAAATTTCAAGATATTATGGTAGAATGAAGCACTGTGCATTGCTGGTAAACTCGTTCTTGGTTTGAGATGAGCATGTAACACATCAACCACAAAACACTCCTTACCGGCAATCGCTATAAGGAACCTGCTCTGCCTAGGTCTTCTAGAAACCTCAAGCGCCAGCTCTTCGTATACCTCATCCATCGTGTATGTCTTCTTTGTAAGGCACCTCCACTTTTTCGTGTTCACCGCATTCAGACTCCGTTGCTTGTTCTTTCGTTCCTTCAGGGAGGTGCCCACCTAACGCTTGTCAATCCTACAAGGCAGTGCAGTTCGCAAATAGCGAAGACTACTATGTCGAGACGAGATGTCAATCTCGGCTTCAAAGCTCAGATTGAATCAAATTTGAAGATTCTTCAGTCTGCCGCAACGAACGCAACACCAGCAAGTTTGCAAGGAAGGAGAATAGTTGAACGATGCGTTGCTGTTTCTAGTGCTATACAGACGGGAACTGATTTTCAACCTACGAGCTTGACGGCTTTCAACCTGTACGAACTTGGCAGTAATAGCTTGTTTCGTCAAAAAATCTCGACCAAGTTTTTCTCACATCGTTATGATTCATAGCCTCCTACAAGATACCTCCAGTTTCTTCAAATCAAAAGGCAGTACGCTGCAATTGAAAGCCTTGGGGAATAGGTTGGCTGCTGTTACTCGGCAGTTGGAGGTAAGCGCATCGTGCAACCACAATATCGGGGTGTTGGAAGCTAACCAAATTCAAAGTTACAATCAATAACGAATTTATCTGAATGGCCGAACGAAGATGCTGATGATCTCATAGACGATTCGTCAAACGTCATGGCTGATACTGGATCAAAAGGGAAACTGCCAGTGACACCGACAACCACATCGTATAGTTCATCAACCACAACACCGGCATTATCACTACCTGCATTATCGACATTCTCGGCGCTCGGAGACTCTTGGTCGCCATCTCTAGATTTAAATTTTGGAGACGACTTTAGCACGGATTTCTTTAGCACGTTTAAGACAGAGGGTACTGAAGAAAAGGAAATAATACCAGAGCCATGTATGTCTTTATAATCCTTCAACTTTTGTACTGGACCTCACTCGCATTTTTTGTACTTAGCAACGGCGCTCAAACCAGAAGATGACGAGGTTGCGGTGTTTGATGATTACCTACACGATGAACCAACAACACCACAGTCTCAACAATCAGAACCATCTCCGCTACTCCACTACTACGAAGATGATGAAGTGTATATAGATTCAGCGGAAGATTTTCCTGACGATGTGCCTGTGATGCCAACACCCCCATCAACACCAGTCAAATCATCACTAAAATCATATACGCCTGTCGTTATGCCACCGATACCGTCGCTCTTGGATGACAAGAGAGAAGAAAGCAGGCTAGCGATAATAGAGAGGACGATACCAACCACTCCACACTCAACTAGTTTGTCACCAGTGCAGCAAATCTCTGAACCTGAATTCATGAGACTGCCAGAGCCAATTCCAATGTCTTATAATGAATCAATACCGCAGAAATCACTGAATATACCAGATTCAGACATAGCTGGTGCCCAAAAGCCAATAGTGCCAATAAACACAATTTACCAGTCTACAATTCCACCCCAGCCATCAGACGAACAGCTCATTGATGACATAAATAGCACACATTTCGTACCAATCGCACCAGCACATACAACAATAGCAGTACCCAAAGCAACAATGCCTAAGGGATCCTCCTTCTTCGACACGTGGTCTCTATCACGCAATGCATCATCAGCAACAGCAATAGTAGCAAACGCAATCATGCCGAAATCACATATTAAAAAGACAGTGAGGTTCAATGTGCCTGAAGATGAGGAGGGTGTATCTGCAGAGAGCCATTTGGAGAGACTGAGAGTGTTGAATGAGAGCAAGAAGTTTTCTACGTATCAGACTGCTATGGATCCGTTCACGCCGTCGCCCACGAGACGGTATCGGATAATGATTATTGCAGGCTGTATCGGTATTATACTGCTTATAGCAATTGTTGCTGGCGTCATGCTTGCCAACAAGAATAATAGTAGTGGCAGCAGTACTAGTAGTAGCACTGGGTCAACAAGTAATGGTGGTGGTAACAATAGCTCACAGTATTCATTGATACGTCGATTAAGTGGACACAGTCAAGCAGTCAATGCTTTAATCAGTCTACCGACACAACAGAAACTCTTCTCGGCATCTTCCGACAAGACTATAAAACAGTGGAGTACCAACGATGGTAGTTTGACTGCAACGCTTACCGGACACACATCAGCTGTACAAGCATTATCGGTATTGACGGGAGCAAACTACTTGTTTAGTGGTGGAAACGACACGTTTTGTATCCAGTGGTTATTGACGGATCGCACCATCGTGCGAACGTATACTCTGCAGGCCGGAGTAACTGCAGTAATAGCTCTTGAATCAGTGCCATACGTCTTCATCGGGACGAGTGACTCCCTCATAACACAGTATAACTACACAGATGGCAACTATGTCGCAACGTTAATCGGACACGGTGCAGCAATAACAGCTCTTTCAGCATCCCAAACACAACCATACCTAATCTCATCATCACTGGATGGCAGCATACGAGTATGGAACTACAACACAGGAGCATCTATATCAGGAGTCGAGCTGGGATCTACAATCCTGTCGCTAGCCATTCTGGACACACCCACTTACGTCTTTGCAGGATCCAACGACCACAGTATCAAGGTATACGACTATGCTGCATCGGCACTGGTAACATCCCTAGCAGGACATTCGACCGACGTTGTATCGGTGGCCGTGACGAGTAGTGTGCCCCACATCTTGGTATCTGGATCGCTTGATGGGACGATCATACAATGGAATTACACGAATGCTGCGACTCCAATGGTGCATACGTACTCGGCTGATAATGCAGCTATTAGGGATCTGTATATAGTTAACAGCGTGTTTTTTGCTGCGTCTGATGACGACAATATCTACGAATTCAATCTATAGTGTATCATATAATATCACATATATAATTAACGTTTGATAAGACGTGTTTGGTTGATCTGCGGCAACTCTGATTTAGACTAGTAGTAGTCGCAACAAACCACGTATCACTACGCACACGATGAACAATCAAATATCGACTCCAGCATATCCATCGCAACAACACCTAAGCACTTTCCACGCTCGTCACTATAATGACTCCATAAAGGCCCAGTTCCGTAAAGCTCTACGTGGAGAAGTGATCGCACCCATACATCCCACTCCTTACAAACGCATACCGTCAAAACAATCAAAAGATGACGCAGAATTTTCATCAATATGCACGAAATGCAAAACTTATTATGCTTATTCGGGGTGGTATGAGGCCGGCCAACATCAACATCAGGCATTTGATGGTGTTGGGCAAAGAGATGTAATGAAGGAGGAAGCAGCAACGAATAATGGAAGTCATGAAGATGATGGGCGTGTACATATGGAGCTGACTGATGGGATGATTGCCATATTCAGGCATTCGGAAGCTTGGAAGCGTGAACGTATGTTGGCAAGACCATTCATCGTTTTTTTTGTTGGCTGAATTTGTTTGCTGCGTCCAATTATCTAACTCGATTATATTTATTCAGGGGCTGAAGAAGAGCGTCAAAGGGAGCAAGAAGAAATAGAACAAGAACGTCTTGCTGCGGAAACAGAATCAAAGACTACAATCAAGGAATCAGTGGAAGAGAATTAAGAGTGCCTCATTTCGAATGGTATATTGCTATACGACAATCATGCACGTTCTTATAAAAGAGGTGAGTTGCATGTGAACAAACAAATGACAAGGCTACGAGACACATGCTTGCTCAAACAACGCAATGATGACACCCATTCTTTCGCTTGGATTGGCAAAGAGATTGAGATCTTTTTTGGGAGGATTTTCGAAATGTGTTGTATTCTCCTTGTGAGAATGCAATGCTTGCCGAAGTTTCTCTTTAAATTGATTTTTGGTTTTCGAGCTGATGATGATAACCTGTTGGGAGCAAAACATATACAACTGATCTGAGCGTTGATTGTTTTGAGCAAGCATTTTGTTTATGCCAATGTTGAGAAGAACTGGTGTGATGGTGTAGTGGGCTAACATTGAATATGTCTTCATGATAGGTATTTTTTTGTGCCGCGATGGAGAGGTCTTAAAACGTTTGTCATGCTCCATATCATCAAAACCCAAACATGTCAACAATATTGCTTTGAACAACATAATGTATTTTTCGTCTGTCATATAGACCTTCATTGCAATACAACATAAACCTCATTCCATACTACAACTCCTCCTTCTCAGCCCCACCACTCTTGAAATGACTCAAAATGTTTTTACGAATAGAAAACGAGTCAGCTTGTTCGGCCACAGCCGATTTGGCGAGTTTCTCGAGCCTCTTATATTCAGTCTCGATATGTTTCTCTCCTGACTTGACGACCTTCTCCATTGTTTTTACATAGTATGCTGCATGGTCTTTAACAGCACCAGTGAGTTTACCGGCTGCTGTTTTAACTTCTTCAATTACTGATTCACGGGTTTCTTTGCTTGAGATGAATTTCTTGACCAACTCATTCAGACCGGATACTCTTCCAACCTATTTTTTGTAGAGATACCCATTAGACAAGAAACACGTTCGGCGCCAAAAACGCCACGAAGCTGTTATATAATGCACCACATAACCTACAGAGTCAGACAATCCACCACCGGCAGTCCTTTGAGTCCCGCACTTGTCGTTCAAAAAGGTCAAAAAGTCTTCTTCAGTCCTACCACCATTGTACTCGGTTGCTTCACTGGATCCTTTAGGGAAGAATTTAATTGTTGGATATCCAGTGACTCCATACCTTTGAAATAAGTACCAGTGAGTAATCCACATTCGGCTCCATTCAATTTTTTTGTGTTGGGCTTACTTTTCAGCCAAATCAGCAGACGCAGTAGCATCCACATTAGCAACAACACAATCCTTTTCTTGTGCGAAATCTTTGGCCACCTTTTCATAAATGGGAGCCAATGTCTTACAATGTCCGCACCATGGTGCGTAGAATTCCACAAGCACGTTCTTGTTCTGAGTGCCGACGAATTCATTAAAGTTGCCACTGGTAAGGACAGTGACGGATGTTTGAGGAGCCTTTATCTTTGGCTTCAATCCTGTGCATGACAAAGAAATATCAGCAAGATAGATTTAGGGTGACTCAAGCACAGCATGTACATAATATTGTCAAGCACATCTCGTAATATACACATTAGCCAAAAAAAAGGTTAAAGATTCACGCATAGGAACATACCAGTCTTTTGACCAATAAAGGTTATGAAATCCTCGAGACTTCGTCCACCGCTATAATCTTCAGGCGACGAAACACCTTTAGGAAACCACTTGATGGTTGGGAAACCATTCACTCCGTATTTCTGGCCCAATGATTTATGAGCGTCTGCGTCGACTTTTGCTATGACAACAGAGTCTTTAAAGGGTGCATAGGCTTCACCCAGTTGATCATACGTCTGGAGAAGAGGCGGTTGAGTTAGACTTGATGAAGGTGGAAGTGAAGGGTGTAATGATCACGAACGTACTGGTGCCAGGTTCTAAATGGAATTCCAAAAGTGGGAGGGAAAAGAGGGGCCAGTCAGCTAAGCGAAATGCGGCATATTTCATGTAAACGTTTGCGTCAAACCTTGCAATGTCCACACCTAAAAATTCAGATTTGAGTAAATTTCACATTATTGCACACAAATGTTGTTGTGCCTACCAAGGTGCATAGAACTCTACGAGGGCATCTTTTCCTCCAACATACTAGATAAAAAGCCAATGATTCCATGAGGCTTGTATCAAAAAACAAACACGAAATCAATGTGAAATGAGCTCACATCGTCGAAATTGTCAGGATCAAGGGCGATTACTGGCTCGCTGGCTTTGACCGTGGAGACATATAGCGATGCTACGAGGGCTGCTGCAAGTGCTAAAACCTTCATTGTTGCTGGCTTATGTGTTGGAGTGTTGTAGGGTTGGTTGACTTGGTTGGCGCAAACGAAAAGGATTGAAGAGGTGGAAGTGGCGCGATGGATTACTGTGTTCAAGGGCTTGATCTACACCAGCTTTCAAAGTTCTTTACAGCCGCATTATAAATGGCCAAGTGATTGACAAGATCCAGAATTACAAATCATGAACAAACACTAAAGCGTACCATATTTAACGTGTCTATGCAAAAAATGTAAACGGTATTTTATCACTACAACGATGCGGCTTTATCTTGAGTTTTGATCGAGCTAAACAGAGAATTTATGTTCTGATCAGCAAAAAAGTAGCTGCACAAAAGTGTTAACCACAACGTATAAACACGGCTCACCCGTCAGCCATTCCAAAGTACGCCTTCTCAGCCATATCAGTAAAGAGCCCAGATACAACCATTCCAGGGATCTTGATCAATGAAGCTTCCAATTTGGATGGATCATCAATAGTGCCAAAGATTGCATCCACCACGAAGTTCCCATTGTCTGTTACAACTGGACCAGCTTTTCGTACTGCCATTCGTAGTGTGGGGATACCGCCTAGAGCTCGAACACGCTAGTTTTTTGGGTGTTTGTTAGTTGAAATGTTAATAGAAGGAGCAAAAACGACGTTACCTCCATTATAGGCACATATGCTAATGGCACAACTTCCAATGGTACACCTTGCTTCCACTAAATTATTAAAAAAATCAGTGAAAAGGGGCGCAAAACGAACTGTTGAGTATGATTCAAGGCATTTACATTTTCACCCAATTTAGTCGAGTTCTTGCGATAATCAGCCACCACGACAAACTTTTTAGCATTTGAAGCAACAAGCTTTTCTTGTAGCATGCATGCTCCTCCACCCTTGATGAGATTTAGTCGAGAATCCACTTCATCAGCTCCATCGAATGCAATATCAATAGCTGGAGTTCCAACGAAGGCGTTAGTTCTCAGAGCTAGTGTCAACGAGACTAGAGCTCTTACATGGGTATTGATTCAGTTCGGCCTAAAAACAGAGAGGCAAAAAATAGAGGTGTCAACATACACGAGGGAGTGCATCACACTCCACCCACATACCAATGGTAAACCAGCCTCAATAATCAACTGCCTAGCTTGAAATGAAGTAGGAATGCAAGCTTTGACATTCAAGCCTCCTTCAGCGACTCGTTGTTTGAGTCGATCAACACAAAACACAATCGTTGATCCAGAACCTAAATGTTTAATGTTTAAGCAAGGCCCAACATAAGCGAAACCGGGGTTAATATTTGTAGCCATACCTATTCCAATGACTTTGGTATTGGGCGTGACGTGAGAGTCAATAGCTGCATATGAAGCTCGTCGTTTTGCTGGTTTGAGAAAGGGTGTAAAAAGCTAGTTAGTCAAGGAGCACCACATAACCTTCAAAGGAAATAGGCGGCATACCTTCATTTACTAGAGCCTCTTGAGCTGCATCTGATGCCATTTTCGCTGTACTGAAAGAGGATTTGATGCCTCGAATGGAATTCTGGACGTTTAGTAACATGTGAAGATGTGTGGACAGTCCAGATAAAATGTATTTTATAACTGACCAGTAATTAATAGTCACGCTCAATTTTCTACGAGCAGGGATCGTGACAATTCTCGAGAGCGACCGCAAATGTACTTAATGTCGCGAAAAAAGGCTACTACCATAAGTCCCAAATTATTGAAAGAAAACTAGTTACATTACAAATATTGAAGCAAAAGATTAAGTATTAGAGTAACGAGTCCCATCCAAAGTGGTATTCTATTCCTCAGACTTGTACTGGAGGCTGGAGTAACTGTTGAGACAAGTGGTTGTGTTGCATTAGCAAATCCCACGCGCCGATTCTGGTAGTCTGATTGAGGTTGAAACGTAAGAAATCCCGTCTCATAATTGCCATTCAATCTTACTCGACACTCACCATGAATCACGTAAGCGAGCCTCATGAATGCCCAGCCCAGTATTACACCATTGGGAGGAGCGGCGTTTCCCGAATCCAATATAAAGGTGAGATAGCACTTTCCCGACGACGCGTCCTGGTATATATAGTTGGCAGCTGTTATCGAAAAGTATATCCCATTTATGATGATTGTTACATTTGGTCGTGATGTGATGGTGCATGAAGTGGAATAAAGCTGTCCACTAGACACGGCCACATCTGGCACAGAATTAGTCGAGTTTGCTATAGCAGTCATTATACTCGACGGAAGGGTTATGAAGGAAGTACCGGTATCCAGTTGTCCAGGCACTGTTGTCGTGTTTTTTATAAGGTTGGTTGTGGCATTGGTGCCAATAAAGTCAATTTTTATCAGCCATGCGAGGTTATAGCTCAGGCCGGTTGCTGAAGAGATGTTTGACAGCAGCGGTACATAACTTATGCTGCCGGTATACCTTGACGACACAGGTGACCCAAAGTCAAGGTAGGCGTCCGCCAGTCCACTTTTTGATGATGCTCTATACCATATAGAGAATGCCTGTTGATCTAGTCCCGTCGAGTTCATAATGTTTGGAAATGTCAGCAGCGAGTTATCCGATTCGACGGGAGACCTCGAAGGCAGTCCCATAACACCATCACCGCTCTGTGCAGGATTCCAATTGACGACCTGATACGCCGTTCCAATGATCGTTGGTGTTGTTACGTGTATATCCTGGATGCTAACATCGGCCGTGGTGCGTTAGAGGCTGGACAGTCGTATCAAACACCCAATTCAACAAGCATACCTAAAGATATCCCATATATAGTCACAATAAGCGGAAGTGCCGCTTCCGTACGTTTCCTGAAACCCCAACAAGTCCTGCAGTATTGCACTAGTTGACGACTTCGCAGGATTGTATTGGTTTGCGCCACTGCAACCAGCTGAACGGCAATCATTGGATATAATCCACGTGTAAGGACTACCAGTGTCTAGCAGAAGACTGAAGAGCTTTGCAGGTGTACCAACGGAAATGGTTGCCCTTAACAGTCCGATGTATCCTATGGCATTCGATGCATTCAAACTTGAGGAGATCTTTACATTCTGAGTGGGTTTTGAGCTGATGACGGTTCCAAATACCGTCAATGGTATACTATGTTGATGTTTGTGAGGCTCGATCAAATGACACAAAAAACCGTGTAGTGTGCGTTCTCTTACCTAGCGGTCGCACCTACAAGACCTATTGAAATGCTTACAATCAGGCTTACACTCAACAATATGGCGGATCTCGTCCGCCCTCGAGGCGTCATTGACTACGGCAACTCTGCTTCCGTTTGTGGAAAATGCTGACCAAACTTGTGACGGAAAACCTGGGGGTGATACCAAAGTACGATTACTTTCACTTCGTTAGATTATAAGAGCATGATCCATAACGTTTGGATGTACATCCGTGTATCAGATCTATTTAAGCAAAGTCGACAAGTTGAAATCTGACGCGTGGTTTTGCTGAGATGCCAGATGACCATAGAAGCACGCTGAGCTAACCGTGCGGTAAGTAACTTGGCCTAGCTTCTGGCGTACTTTCGCCTGGATCTTCTCACTTGCTCTCGTTCCTTTGTCTGTTTTTCTCTACCTTTGTCCAATCACCAAAAGCAATTTCGAGAAAAACCGCAAGTCATATCCCAGAGCAAGGTAAGCCTCCTCAGTTTCGACAAGAGCTGCCACAGACCTAGTCCCGTATTCGAAAGACACGCAAAATCGTCCTCGAACGGTGACCAACAAGTCTCTATTGTCCAAAGCTTGAATTTTGGGTTTTCCAGAGATTTTTGTTATTTGGAAGCTTTGAGGAAGAATGGGTCACTTACAGTCTCCCATAGTATCCAATATGGTCACTACCGATCCCGACTTTGGCACTGATGCTGCTATTGCCGTACGAAGAGTCTACCCTACTCTACTCCCCGACGATGTATTGCTAGAAACGCCCACATTTAGAGCTGGGTCTGTCTGGGACCGTGCCGATGAATTCCGTCCTCCTACCGCTACCACTCGTAACTACATATATAGTCAAGAAGAATTCCGCGCTGGTGGTGATCTGGGCCCACGTACAAGTCTCCATCTAAACCTCGCTCACTCCATGTGGGCTTTTGACTCCTTGGAACAGGCTCTGAGATTCCATCGTGACTATGCTGATACCAATGCCGGTAATGATGCTGAACGACTAGATGAACTCACCGCTGTCATTGTATCGCCTGCCGCAAAACTGACTCCACAAGGTGTACCCCCCAACCTGCGTGTTGGTGAAGAATCTAAATTATATGTCGGCCTTTCTACTTCCACTGACGACGTGCCACGAAGACAACGAGCTTCTATATGGAGTCTGGTCTATCTCTTTGTATGTGAAAACACTGTACATCGACTCGAGCTCACCAAGATTGGACGAGGAGCTGCTGTTGCCAAGGGCAATGATACTCATGGATCTGTAGCTGCTCTGCAATACTTGCATTCGGAAGATGGAAGAACGGATTTGGCTCTAGTTGGTAGACTTGTACGTGTATTGGAAGGTCGTACTGTAGAAATGGCTGAAATGGGTCTGGTGCATGGTTCACGACGATTCTCTGATGCTGTTCGAGAATGTGTTCCATCTATGAGAAAATGGGCTAATGATTGGGAACGACATGTTACCAAGGTATTGTGTGTTTTGAGTCTTGGTAATGAGAAGCTTGTTTCTTGTAAATCTAAACACTTTCTTTGTCATCCTATTTCTTGTAGTTGGCTCCAAAGCCAACCAACCCAGCGATCTTGTCTGCTAAGGCTAGGAAGATTATTGATGATTTAAAGTCGGGCAAGGTATGCAAGCCTATGCTTCAATTGTGTACTGGACTTTTGTTTGCTCACGATTTACAATTTTTTTATAGGCTGCTATGATGGTTGCTGCTTTACACTGGGAAGAGATTGATCCGGTCATGGAGCAGTTCGTTCGTCACGGTATGAGTCGCAACTTTGCATTCACAACGAAAGCGTCATTCTGACATACAACTTCTTCATCTCAGGTGGTATTGAAGCCGTAGTAGATCTACTCCTGTCACATCCTCTAAACAGTGAACGACCCAAAGACTTGCAACGTGTGCTCGGTGCTCGTGGTGGTATCTGCATGCAAGCATCTATAGTCCTTGGGCTAGCTCTTCGCGAACCGGCAGGTTCTAAATACTACCCAGGTCGAGCAGTCTTGTCCAAACTCGTCACCATGTTTTGCCGCGGTGATGTAGGGGAGACCATGGCAGCCCTCCACGTATTAGCTGATTTGTGTGCTGGTCCACCACCAGGCGATATGGAAGGCACTAGTAAGAATGGCGGTAATTCAGCACCTGCCCCTCCTAAAAAGGATCCATCAGTCATGACCAAGATTGCTGAATCCGTGTGGGTGTTGGCTGGCATGTCTATAATGTGTCGTATGGGTGACTTGTATCGTACATTTGGTGACTTGGAGAACCTAAGAGATGATCATGGATTCTATGCTGCTATGGAAGATTTATTGGCTTCCTTCTCTCCAGCTCTCATCTCTTGGGATCCAGAACCGGGTGTAGCGGATGATTTCGCTTGTCACGGTGACCAAACATATGTATTAGGCCATTGTGTATCTGGTGGACTAGATGCTGCCTACCATCTCTTCCAACTCTGGGCTACCGCAAACGATGATACAGGACGAGCGTCAAAGATTCCACCAATGACTGAAATCTGCTCTCGAGTCGCACTCTTGTGTGAAGGTCTGCCCTCTGTCGCTGAACAATTACGAGGATATAAACGTTGGCAAGATGTTCGTCGTCTAGTAACAGCTGCTACTTCACCTGAACTGGCTGCCGTGCATGGCTGGAATGATTTGTGGAAGGCATTCACTGATCTAGTCACTCGATGTGGTGGATTGCCGAGAGGTGGCGTAGAAGAGGCTAGACGATTGAGGGGTATTGGTGTTAAGGGACGTCCAATTAAAGAAGCGAAACTGGTAGAAACTGCACCTGCACCTGAGCCGCAGAATGGCTCTAAAAGGACTACCACCAAGGCTCCTGCCAAACAACCCATCCGTATATATAAAAATGGTGATCAAGAAGACGAAGACGATAGTGATGAGCATGAAGCCGTAGTGGTGCAAAAGCCAAAACGAGGTGATAAAGTAGCTGCTGTTGCTGACAAGGGTAAAAAGGTGGCAAAAAAGCCTGTTTACGTACAAGAAGAGGATGATGACGAAGAGGAAGAAAAACCTGTAGTCCAGAACTTTGACAATGACGAGGACGATGAAGAAGAAGAGCGAGCCATTGCAACCAAGTCTGGTCGTAAAGCTAGAAAGGACGAAGCGCTGGTATCTCTTGCTACAGATGTGCCTAAAGCCAAAGTCCGAATCTCGCAGACTGCTTTGGAATTAGCCAATGTCTTTGGTGGTCACGACGTTGAGCTCGACCACTTGGAAGTCCTAGACAAGCATGGCCGACCAATGGATAAAGCTACCATATTAAAAACCGCTGGTAAAAAGACCATTGATACTAGCAGTAGCAGTCCTAGTAGTAGAGCATCAGCAGGTCCTACATCACCTACATCACCCATTGCCATGCCTCTATCACCCTCATCACCAGCTCCGTCAAACAGGTCTAAAGCTAGCAGTAAAAAGGAAGCAGTCATGCCAGCGTCTCCTCAGTCGACCAGATCATTTAATAAGATAATTGAAGAAGTTGTCGTTGATGATGACGAACAGTGGGAGGAAGACACACCACAACTCCGAGCAAAAACTACCAAGAAGTCGAAACGCTTCCCTGCTAGAACCACCAGTATTGCAGCTGTAAATTTCACCAAATCTAAAAAGGGTGCTGTAGTAGGTCGTAAATCAGCAGTATCTAGTGCCACTAAAGGCGTCAAGATGATGACACCACCTTTAACGCCGCCAGACCACGAACGAGTAGAAGAAGAGCAGCCAGAAGAAGAAGAGGCAGAACCTGCTGAAGACGATGACGACACACCACATGTAGAGCTCACCGAAAAGGCAGAGTCCTTGATGGACTTTGATCCTCTTTTCGCCACCGAAAGTCGCAAAAGGGATAGAATACGCAAAGCGCAATCTAATAAGGCTGCTGAAGAACGACGTGCTCAGGAAGCACTTGAACGTGAAGAACAGGAAGCTAAGAAAGAGCAAGAGGATCGGATCAAGAGAGTGTTGAACTCTAGTATTGATGAATCTGCCTTTGCCTTTTGAGAATAATGTAGACCTACTTTTTTTGAAGTGTAAATAATTTCACAACGACGGTCGGGTTTCAAATATAAGAAGATTTATTTGGTAAATGTGTTCTATGCAGGGTCCGTGTTTGGCTTCTTTATTGCTCTGATCCACGATGATTAAAAGAACCTAACTGCTTTGGAAAGTCAACCTGGGTTGGCAATGAATCAGAATTGGCTCTCTAGCCTTTGTGAGTGAACTTGAACGGTAACAGCGACTATGAAGCTTTGCACAAAAACCACAACGGAACCAAACGCATCGTTACTGAAATTAATCCACACTGTATTTTGAAACTCGTATAAAGGGTAGTCTTCATCATCCCAACAAATTAAGCCTTGTTGATGATTGTGATCAAAAGATCACGATAGTTAGATCCGGTTTCGGTTTGAACACGGGCACTATTTAAATAGATTAGGTTGATACATAATATAGTCTTTTTTTGTTAAAACAAAAATCACTGGAGGGCTCACGACAAAGTCTTTCCATAGCTACGTTCGAATGCAGACTTAATTGGAGCCAGAACTCGAGGATCGCGACAGAGAGCAATTAAACGAGTAAGTTTTTTCTCGTTGCAGCCTAAGACGAGTTTGGTATGAGCATAGGAACGTGGTTGAGTTTGCTTTTGCGGCCTATCCGTCCATACCAATTCCAGACATGGCTGATTCGATCGATTCTGCAATATAAGCGGGATGATCGCGAATGGATTTAACTATTGAAATGGAAAACGATTTAGTTGGTTAAACGAAAAGTGACAAAAGACAGGATGCGTCAAGTCACCAATGGCCAACAGAACATGTTCTAGATCAGAGCCTGTTTCAGACTTGATGACTCTGGCAATGTCCTTGTTGTGAGTACGGGTATATCCTTCAAATACTGCACGTAAATGACCCCCAGGACGAGTACACAGTACCGAGATGAATTCGCCAACGTCGCAACCTATTCTAGGCGCGTCAGCAAAAGCCGACCGAACGACAGTTAACGTGAATTGCATTCTGCTTACCAATGCGACCTTCCCCACTGCGGTAAAGGAGATCAACATCATCTTGTACATTCCATTCACCACCTTCGTTACGTTGTCCTTGCAATAAAGCAATCAGAGCCTTGCCAAAATTACCATCTATGGAATAAACAGTGGGAAAAATGGTCAAGGTGACAAAAAATGGAAGACACGGTATAGATAATTCCTTACGAGTCTCTTTAGCAACCTGATGCTCCAAGTTCTGACTATAGAGTGCCTGGAAAGCTGCCTTGATTTCAGCCATTTCGGCATTGTTGCATCCAACAAGGACATCAATCAAAGCACTTTCGTCAGTTCCAGCTCCCTTCATGGCAGCCTTTAATTCTATAGCAGCGCACTCAGCGACTGGAAGACAGCATAATTCTGCCAATTTCCCGTAATTGCCACTGGTTTCATTACCAACGGCTTCGTAAAGGGATTTGGCATAGTTGGCCTTGTATGCGTGATTTAACTGTCCGGCATTAGAGGCATGCAAGTTACCGAGGATGTTGATTAGTGAGGCGTTGTCTATGAGAAATAAGATTTGTGGTCAGGAAAAAACCATTGCATCGGGCACTCAAGCAATGTTGTACTTACCACAACCAAGACCCTTCATAGCTGTATGTGCTCTAAGAACCAAATCAGCGACTTCTTGAGAGCTCAATGGTTGAACAGTGGTCTCGAAAACACTAAGAGCAGCCATGGCTGGCACGAGGTCGACAACAAGTGCAGCAGCAACTGGGGCTTGTTCGACAACAGGTTCAGGAGCTCTCTCAACAATTGGAGCTGGAGCTTCAACCACCACTGGAGCTTGAACTTGCTCAACAATAGGAGCAGGCGCTTGATAAACTACAGGAGCAGGTACTTCCTGAAACATTTGAGGTGGAGGGTAGAACACTTGTTGTTCTTGATGTTGAGGATGGTGGTGGTGATGATTGTGGTGTTGTTCTTGGTGATGTTCTTGTTTGATTTGATTTGGCATCTGGAATATGGGCATGGCCATCTGCTGCATTGGTTGCATGGGATGATGGTTTTGGTGAATTTGTTGGTTTCCGATTTGGTTGAACATGGGGAGTTGGCCATTGTTTGGGCCGCTATTGATCTGACATGTAGACGAAAACAAGTGACGTTACTATTGACATCAACCACACGAAATAGACTCATCTGCGTCAACTTTCCAACAAAAGAAACTTACATCGATTTCAATGTTGATTCCACCAATCTTTATATCGAAAGCGAAGGGCATTTTAATTTTTCTGAGAAAGAGAGGAGCTTGTGTGTGTTGTATTTGTTGGTTGTGATAGGTGTTCAAAAGTTGCTTTGTTCAGCAATCAGCAACCAACCCTTTCGTGGTTTGGACGTCGGCGTTACGCAGCTGCATAGCAACTGACGCCTTTCAAATTAGCGACAAGAGGCATTGAAGTGTGGTTTGAGTCACCTAGTGTTGTCGTCTTCAGGTTTGCTGGAAATGCGGCAAACGCAAAACTTGGGTTCTCGGAAAGCAGAGACTCCACCAAAACTCGTGTCGCGTAGGAAGTACAGTATATCACATCTTTCTATTTTACAATATATTTGACTTGCACCTACTTAATTAGAAGCGTCTCGGGGTTTCTGCTCTCGCGTCATTTTCAAAAAAAAAGTCCTAAACTACGCGACGGTACAGTTACCATTTTGAAGACACGACACAGAATTTCCAGCCTTCCCTGTGAGGGGTTGTGTTTAGCCAATCGGTTTGTTTCACGACTAGGGTGTGGGATCATTCCAACCACATCGAACGACTCCTAAATAACTTTCCCCTTGTTGCTTCCTTACGCTGTCCTTACTTGTTTGAACGAGAACTTGCTCCTATGGCAATAAACCGTCTAGAAGAAGAACATAAGCCCAAAGCTCTCACTCTACCAAGGCAACGATACAATGCCGGTCAAAACTCGGCATCAGTAGACTCGCCAACAACCAAATCAAAAACAGCGACACTCGCACATAAACTATCTACAGATGAGTCCCCCACGTCACCTGCTGTAAATGGAAAATCTAGATGTTGGATCTGTTGGGAAAAGCAGGAATCGTCGAAGAACCGGCTGATTAAAGTATGCAATGGGTGCAAAGACGTTGATTTAAAATGGGTGCATCAAGTAAGGGCAGTTGTAAATTATGTATCCAGGATTGAATTGTAGCTGATTAGTGGCTTTTGACGTATAGGACTGTATCGATCAATTTATTGGTAAACTGCCACCAACTCCCTTAACACCACGAATACCTCAATTGGAAATGGTGGAAGCTGAACCAGAAGGTATTGAGAAGCAATGCTGAAGATGCTTCATCTAAATTACTTACGAGAAACGTGCTTCTAGGACATGTCTTTGTCAATGGCCGAAAGAAACGTAAGCTTCGTAGCCTTGAAAGTTTCGTCGTAGTTGTTTTTATGGCCTAACACTCGATATTACTGCCGAAATCTAAGAGATCCAATATCGATATAACTGCTCTCGCTGTAATGACCCATACATCATCACAAAGCAGCAAATCCACCCTTTAGTCGCACTTTGGACAGAAGACGTTCAGCTCAAAGCCAGTGTTGCGGTATGAATATCAGTGAGAAACACATTTGACACGTTTCTCACCCCGTCTTTCATATAGCTGATGAGCTTGTGTATATTGATAATCACGTATTCATGTGCCAAAATGTTGTTGGAGGCCCGAGTCCGTGATGAGGTCGTGTTTAGGATAGGGTGGGGAATGGTTGCTGTTCACAAATCTACATTTGCTGTAGCTATGTTTATCTTGTGCCATGCAGTAAATGCTGTGACGTGGAAGGTTGTGATTTCATTCTGCAGTGGAAGGTCCATAAAACGTGTAACAAGCGTGTCTCATATAAGTTAGAGGCCAATTGCAATAATTAGTTTAATCAATACCACGTAAACATTGAATTGTCTGTGTTCGTCCTCATTTTTCTAATTGCAAACAAGTCAACCCAATTTGCTGCGTGAGGAAACTCAATAATCAAGATGAGAGTAGTCATTAAGGGCGGTGTCTGGAAGGTACAGTGGCACATATCTGGCTTGCTGGCGTTCTCCTTTTATTCCATGGTTGAGAAAACTAACTCGAATTCCCAATTTTGAAACCCCTCTTCTAGAATACCGAAGATGAGATATTAAAGGCTGCCGTAATGAAGTATGGCAAAAACCAATGGGCCAGAATATCATCTCTACTTGTCCGAAAGACGCCAAAGCAATGTAAAGCTCGTTGGTATGAATGGCTGGACCCTTCCATCAAAAAGACAGAATGGTCTAAAGAAGAAGATGAAAAGCTACTACATTTGGCCAAATTGATGCCAACCCAATGGAGAACTATTGCTCCTATAGTAGGACGTACTTCTGCTCAATGTCTCGAGAGATATCAAAAGCTGTTGGATGAAGCTGAAGCCAAGGACGGCGAAGATGATGGTCCAAATGCTGATGATGTTAGGAAGCTCAGGCCTGGTGAAATAGATCCAGAACCTGAGGCCAAACCTGCAAGGCCAGATCCAGTGGATATGGACGAGGATGGTACGTCTTAATGTGTTTTTTTCTGGCTGCCTGTTAATTTACGTCAAGCATTCGCGTTCAACTCGCATTTTCGATCAAATAACCGTGAGCCAACCTCTTTATTCACAAATTATTAGAGAAGGAAATGTTGTCTGAAGCTCGAGCTAGGTTGGCAAACACTCAGGGCAAAAAAGCAAAGAGAAAGGCCCGTGAAAAGCAACTAGAAGAAGCTAGACGACTCGCCAGTCTTCAAAAGAGACGAGAACTCAAAGCCGCAGGGATAGATATGAGGAAGAAGAAACAAAAGACTGGAATGGATTATAATGCAGACATACCGTTCTATACTCCAGCTGCAGCAGGCTTTTGGGATACTTCAGACGAACGAGATCGAGAATCTAAAGCTGCTCCTAGTCGAGTAAATGTATTATTATCGACTCTGGAAGGCAAACGCCGATCTGAAGTTGAAGATGGTGAACGTAAAAAAGATGCTAAACGACAAAAGACGCAAAAGGAAGCCGGTACTTATGTGCCCCCTTCTGCTGTAAAGGCCGCAGCTATGGCTCAACAAATGTCTCAACGAAACAGGTTGGTATTGCCTGCTCCTCAAATGGGTGAAGCCGATTTAGAAGAGTTGGTGAAGTTGGGCTATGAAGGTGAAGCCGTCAAGGCCATAGTAGGTGACGATGGTGATGCTTCCAAGAGCCTGTTGGGTGACTACTCATTGATTCGGACCAACCAACCCACTCGAACGCCTCGAGCAACCGCAACGAATGATAATATACGTGTAGAAGCCCGTAATTTAAGAGCCATGACTGAAGCCCAAACACCATTGCTTGGAGGATCTATTGATGTAACTCCATTTGCTGAAGGCGGTACTGGATTCGAAGGTATCACTCCACGACGTGCTATAATGCAAACACCGAATCCATTAGCTGCTCAATTGACTCCACGGGCTGGAGGTCCAGGTGTATCCATGACTCCTCGTGATTTTGGAACTCCAAGATCTGTAGCTGGTAGTACCGTTAGCAGTAGCATGGGTAGCAGTCGTGTTGGTGGTGGTAGGACGCCGTTACGTGATGAAATGGGTATAAACACACCACGAGATGATTATGGAGGCTCATTTGAAGACACTCCACGTAGCGTATCTAGTAGAGGCCGACAAAACTTGATACGAGAGCAACTAGCATCACACTTTGCCTCGTTGCCCAAGCCAAAGAATGACTTTGAAATAGTATTGCCAGATCGTCCATCCGCCAACGACGATGACTCTTCCGAACCAACTGTGCAGACAGAAGATGCAGCAGATATCTTAGCACAACGAGATTCAGTAAAACGAGCTGAAGAAACATCTAGGTTGGAACGAAGGTCCAGTGCTGTGAAACGAGACCTGCCTCGTCCTGTCATGTCTAGCACATCTAGTACTGACATAGACGAGAATGAAACCGATCCAGAACGCCTCATCCAGAGCGAAGTAGAACGTCGTCTTGGATATGATGCTGTATATTATCCAGCAGCAGGTCAATCACGTCTGACAAATGGAATAGCACATGTAGCAGACGAATCATATACCGATGATGACTATGTTGCAGCCTGTCAATTACTCAAAGACGAAGTAGCAGCCACGGAACCTTTGGATGATACTTTATATGACAGTATCACCTCAAAGTATACGTATTTGAGAACCGAATCGGCCTATGTAGAAACATCCAAAGTCACTGATGATATGCTTATATCTCATTATGAAGCCGAACTGAATGCAGCACGACTGCAAATGTCTCGAGATGCAACAGCGGCTGGTAAATTAGAAAAGAAATTAAGTGTCATGTTGGGAGGGTATCAATCTCGAGCAGCCAATCTACACAAGACTCTAACTTCCAAGTTTGAAGAATTGATGGACGCTCGTGCTGAATTGAATGCATTTAGCAAGTTGAGGCAATTAGAATTGGATGCAGCTGAATCTCGTATGGATAAATTGAAGCAGGAAGTCGTGGGTTTGGAACGACAAGAAACGGATGGACAAGAACGTTATAAGCAGCTGCTTGAGGAACGTGAAGCTCTTATTGAGCAAGGCCTATAAAGCTCAAAACAATGTAAAGTGCGAACAGTAATACAACGACGACGACGAGTCTTTCTGTAGTTCTATCTGATCTCCTGCGTTCTTGCGAAATACTACGTCTAAGCTTAAGATAATGTAAAGGGAGTTCGATAATAGACGAATTATAACAAGGTTTCCTGCAGGTTTCGTTCATCGCACTTGTTGATCCACAGCATCACGCACCTTAAGCATTCCTTTAAACGAAATGAGTAAGTGTGGCAGTCGGAGCTGCGAAAATGCCGTTCAGGATGGTCAAAAGTTCTGCTCCAGTCGCTGCGAGACAATTGAAAAGGACTACCAAAGTCTGTGGACTGGAGTCAAGACAACAACCAAGACCACCACCAAAGTACCACTACCAAGGCAGACCTTAAGTCTCTCTTCATCTTTAAAGTCTTCATTAGCTCCGGATGCATCTCCTGTCAGGTATGACTTGAATGCATGGCGAAGCTCGGCAAACATTTGAACATATTTGGTCCAAAAGTTGATGCGCATGGATTTGCATTGATCTGACAATCATCATGTACATAGGAGTGCACCTTCAAGGTATATAACACGTTTGGAACATTGTTTTCTATTGAAAATCAAAAAGAGATTGCTTACACAATGACACCACACAAACACTCAACCTCGGAATGTCTGTACAGCTCTGCTTCTCAAGTATGAATGCCGAGATATCGTATGCGTAACGGTGGGACTAATCAGAATACAATATGCTTCTTGATCTGTAGAACTCTACTGTCGCTCCTACCTTGTCAGCAACACCGAATCTCTGGCAAAATCCTCCACAACAGCAAACACGACAACCATCGCCATCGTCAACACGTACAACACCAGCTCCGATCGTAGAGGATACAGCCATGGATGTAGACACTGGATCTATTACAGGACAAGCATCACCACAGCAACAACCAAAGGCTGCCAAAGGCGTGACAGAAAGCATCAACAGCAACAGCCCGTCACTAAACAGCAATAGCAATATACCCACCAATGGAGCACTCACGAATCAAAAACCACCATTCACCACTAACCCACCAACAGAAGACGACGGAGACAGTAGCACCAACAGTGGCGAAGGACCATCAACTCCATCATCCATAAACAATAACAACTCGGCGTCATCTACTACAACTCGCAAACACGATGTCCTTGACACAGATAATCTGATTGATAATCGCACGAAACGAGTCAGGGCTGTACGACCACCTGCTGGGGTATTGAGTAAAGCAAATGCATGTCAGTGGTGTCAGGAAAGGTTTCCGTCTGCTGTCGATCTTGTTGTGCATCGTCAGCAAGCGCATGTTATTGGTGGGTTGGGGAAGGGTGGTGATCCAGATGGGAGGTGGTTTTGTGGTGTGTTGGCGTGTACGCATGACTTTGGAGATGCGAAGGCTATAGGTAACTACTGTGGACGGCCTTGTTTGGTGTGTTGTTGGATTCTCAAACTACTTTTTGTTGTTTTAGCTTTGCATCGAGAGGCTGCTCATCCCGAGCTATTCGGAGCACATGGTATTGCTGTTATACCAATCTCGTTCAAGAATGAAGAAGAAGGCCAACAGCAGGATGCTACAAAGGAAGCGTGAATATGTACGACCAACAGCTTGCACATGATATGCTAGAAAGGAAGCTTGACAACAACCAACAGCACACAGCACACGTAAATCACTGCATCACACGCAAGTCCTAATAGCGCAATGTTTTATATTTTGGCTCGAATCTGTACACAAACACCCCTTTTATATGAAGTGCTTCCTGTTCCTGAATATATGATCTATGACAAAACCAGAATACCGCTCGTTCCATTCATATCTTGTTTATTGATTTGGTTGGGCTGGTTGAGCTGGTATGTTGTTCGTGGGTTGTTGTTGATGTTGTTGTTGATGATGATTTTGTTGCTTTTGTTGATGTTGTTGGTTTTGTTGTGGTCCAGCCAAAACACCTTCGCCCTTTGTAGCAGCAAGACGAATGACGAGTTCTACATCAAATTCACCTTTGGTTCCCCAGCCCGGTCTGCCAGGAGGGACGACTGGTCTGAATGCTTCATATAATTTGTATGCGACACCTTCAATCACTTCGAGTTCGAATACGTTTGCCAAGTAGGACAGAGCTCTACGAGCGTCATCGTATCTGTTTCCTCCAAAAGCGTTTCGGAGATAGAATTCAGTGTCGACTGGTTCGGCTGTGTTTGTATGTGAATATATATTTTTTGTGATTAGATGTTTCAGTAATGCGGAATGGTGAATCGACACTCGCATGCAAGCATACATACCAGGCTTTCCATCAACAATAGCACGAACCTTGCCTTCGACCATCTTCACTTGAATCTCAAAATTCATAAAGTGAATTTCAAAGAGATCGGCAGCAGCTTTACCCTTCTGTTTCTTCTTTGAGTTTGCATTGTTTTTCTGGTTTGGATTATTGTTGGATATGCCAATGCTCTTGCCCTTTTGCGCTGCCATTGTACACATAACCTAAAAGCGAGGGAAAAGGAGTGTGGGTGTTGGCTTCACAAGCATGATAAGATGCATCGGGACGATGCAGCGATACACGAGGCAATGAGTACAAGTTCTGAGATTCGCAACTAGTACTTACAGCTTTCCCGAGAGACAGAGATTCCAACCAGTCATAGCCCTTCTTGTGAGCAATGATGGCGGCCCATAGCAAGCTGACAGGGGCTCTGTTGATGCGTACAGGTTCGATATTTATTTCGACAGTTTCTTCTTCCTTGGGTAGTTCGTCCTTGAGTTGTTCGTCTTCCTGGTTGAGTTCTGTGGCAGGAGCACTAATGTCTTCAGATTTCAGTTTTTTGGCAACAGATGGGTCTACGGGGTCACTACTGTCTTCAGATAATGGTCTCTTTAATGAAGCTTCACTGACGGGTTCATTTGCTGGTTCTTGGCCTGATGGTGCATCTGTTGCCAAATTGTCAGTAACTGCGGCAGCTTCTACTTTGGCCTCCATCCAGTAAGAGATACTCTATATATTGTATAAAGGTGGCACTATTGTTATATACCTCTACGGGCGTCCTACTTCGCTAACTTGGTCGAGTCCTTCTGCTTGTAATAAATTGGCTGTCGGAGCAAGAAACCGAGAAACGAAAGAAAGGACACTCAGCTGAGGTATGTCTGGACGCTTCCAGAGTTTGTTATATCGCTGAATCTTTGCCGTTGAGACCTAATCTGACTTCAATATGTCGTAGAACGAACGCTTCGCCACATCATCAAACACAACATTCTGTGTTGAACGCTTTTGAGACAACTAGACCCTAGACTGCTTTAGATCTCACTAGACCTCATCAAATGCCCGGCCAAGTTCAAGCCAATGCCTCCATAGTGTGGCATTTGAGAGGTATGAAATCCCTGCTGCGTTTCCTCACTCCCAAAGATCACTTTGATGAATACGTTTTTCTGACCCCGTTTCCCATTCAAGATTTCAGAGATATGGATCCACTCACGGTCTATTCTCCAGAATTCGGGCCCACGAGCTTCAGGTGGCAGATCATACTGTATCCTAGAGGTCAGAATGTGGACTGTGATTTGACTGGTCGCAAGAAATGCTCATGAGCTCTCTTGAAAATAGGGCAAGATGGATATGCATCCTCATACGCTACGTGTGGAGTCAGGCCCGTAATAGATCAAGCTTCAATACCGAGGAATGCTAAACGTGCTATAACATCCGTCTCAATCAGCATTATCAGCAAGACAGATGTCGTGTATGCTACCAAGACAGAAAAACGAGATGAATGGCATTTCCTATCAGCCGGCAATATAGGGCCTTTATTAAAACTGTCTGATCTAGACAGTTGTTTAGATGATGACGGTAGTTTGACGCTCTCAGCACAAGTCGAATGGTCTGAATCTGAAATAATGGATAAGAAGACGCTCGCCATGATGTCGACTGTAAGACGCTCATCTTTATCCTTGTCGACTGTACGAAGGCCGTCGATATCTAGTAGTAGTGTGAGTGGAAGCGTTATGAATCATATCCCAAATGGAGCAGACCAGAGTACACCAACAACACCTGTAACACCTGTAAATATGAAGGCAGCTCCACCAGCGAAAAGTCATCCCGATATGTTGCCAGATAGTGCTAGGACGTCTATTGTCACTATGGTTGGTGGTCAACCGAATAGTCCTGACCAGTCAACTATCGAGTTGCCTGTTATAACTGCACCGCCACAGCCGGCATCATCAACAGGTGTCGAGAATACAGATGAAGAACTGGAAATTGATTTAGGGCAGCCTCCGTATGCGATTGAAGAGATACCCTTAGGTGAGTGTGGACGTATCTGCGACTCATGTTGGCAATTAATTTGTGTTGAATACTTGTTTTTTAGCACGTGTCGAATCAATCCGTGCCATGAACCAATACTTATTCTACGAGACAGTAGAAGATCCATATAGACCAACCACATTCGAAACCCGTCGTGGATTACTGCAGTTAGCTAAATGTTATGGAATAGACGCGCTACAAACAATAGCTTGGAATGATATTATAGAGAAAGACCTATCTCCCAAAACAGTATTCACGATATACCAGATGGCCAAAAAGCTATCATTGTCTGACGACGATTTACACCAAGTCTGGGAATACATTAAAGGAAATTTAGATGACGTGTTGGAGCAATCCCGAATATCGGAATGGGCAGTCGGGCCAGATGGAGATCAGTTGGTACTAGCTGAGATACTGGAACGAGTCATGAAGTGGTTAATTCAAGTTAGATCTGAATTGGCTCTGGCCAACAAAGCCTTGGCTAAGATACCACAGCATGACTCTGCTGTCTCTGACCTAGGCAATGAAACATCTAGGTTAGTAGAAGACAAAAAGGTATCGCCTCTACCAGATTCTGTGAATCACAGTACAGAATCGCTTGAAGGTGTAAAACCGGTTATAGAAGAGGAACTCGATCCGCAAAATATACCAGCAGACACCGCCTCACAACCATTATCAAGTGATGCACCGTATACTGACGCAGACGAAGAATTTGGAGCATTTGAGGATATACCGATAACACCACCATCAACTGATAGCAAGGAATCTGCTGCCGATCACGCACCAATAATACCACAACCAACCGAAGAGCCATCTGTGGGTTGAGATTCAAAGTAGAATAGAGAGAGAAAGAGAAATACTATAATTTCGTTTGCATATCATTAAAATCATCGTCTAGTTCTTGTGCTGTCTTTCACTGAAATGCTTTCTATATTTTGTAAGTACATAAAGAATTCACTACTATATTATATTACGTTGACCTCACCAGGAGATCGAATTGATTCAGAAACTGTCCGTGTTTTAAGCTACTAGTTTGGTTTACCACTACTAACGGGGTGTTACATAATAATGGCAGCAGCGAGTATTAGTGTTATGAGCCAGCCTATAGGAACAGAAGCTCGTTTTGAAGCAGCACCAAAGAATGCTCTATCACTATACAGAGTAGCGAGGTGAACCCCCGGATTAGCAACCGGTGTGGTTGTTGGTGCGGTATAGTTGGCCCAAATCAAGGACACACTGGTAGATGCTAAATCAGCTTTGAATGCCGCCAGGGTGGGATTGCTACCGTTTAGGATTTGGAAGTCTCGATATGTCTGATCCTCTATGAATGGAGAAGTAGAAAAGCGTCAAGCCACGAATTTGGATATTTTATGTTCAAGCACATACCAAACTTTCTCCATTCAAACAATCCCCATAACTTGATTCTTGGGTATTTAGACGCAGCAGCGGCAGATAATATGGTTTGGCTCCACCATGATCGTTTGATGGCAACCTGTTTTGAAGAGACAAAAAACGCGTCAGTTTCTTGGCATTACACACAAGATCTGTGACAGCTTTTGTCTACCTCCCCATCACCAGGTGGTACAGCAACATATGGCGACGGTAGCGGCCCGTCAGCGTAGAATGTCCCACTGCATTCTGAACACTAACGGAAACAAAAGGGTCAGTTACGCTGGATCTGAATTGGAAGCAACACTGACAAAATACACACCGAGAAAGGTTTATCCCTTTTGACGCAGAACGTGTCGTAGAAATCGAAAGCGCCAAATGAATCGAAACTTCCGTCAAACCATCCGGAAGGTGCGACCACATTGTGTACGAAAGGTGCCGACGTTCCGTAAAAGTAGAGTGAGAGTCCCACTATACAAGTAACAAGTGTTTTAGCACACCAGAACAGGTCCGAACGGGAATAATGCCACTTACCCCAATCCACATATTGATCACCAGGATAGACTAAAACGAGAAGGGAAAAAATGGCTGTTGGATGCGATTTCTCACATATCACAAGCGTATTGCCAGGTCCTTACATGGTGTGTATGGATCATCAGCCATGGTAACTGCTCCATCGTTGTTCGTATCTTGTAGCTTGAAATCGGTACTGTTTGCAGCAGCGGTCTGCGCGAATTCCCCGTCCTTGACATTTGGACTCCACACAAAAGCAACGTTGGGAGCTTTGGCTTTTACGGCGGTGTAAATTCGTCTCCAGAATGGGATATATGTTGATGGTTCTAGACGTGTGTGAACGATAAGGACCAAAAATATGTAATTTGTGGCCCGTGGCTCCAAAATACTCACTTTGTCCCCATGAATACCATCCGCCATTCATTTCTGGCGCTAACCTCAGCATCACTCGTCTCCCTATTGCATTATAGTACCCCATCTGGAATGCGAGACTCTGTACATCAGCTTCCGTTATTTGATCCATGGACACCAGGAATGGGTAAATTGTTATAAATAGTATCGCGTCAGTGTTGGTTGCCTCGATGAAGCGGTATGGTATCTCGGTATTGTTTCCATCTGGGAGGATTTTTGGAATGTTTTGTGCGAATCTATGTATTTAGACCAGGGAAATTTGAATATGAAGCACGGAATTGGTACGTAATCGTGCAGGTAGCATAATATGTGACTTACTGGAAGACTGAGATGTTCTTGCCCAATCTTTGGTTTGTTGCGACACACGAGTCGTTGTGATATAGATCTTGACTGGTATCAACCTAATGTATACACGAACGTTAGGAAATGATTGAATTGTAGCTGGACAAAGATACAGATCATCTGGTAATTTGCTGAGTGTATGTGTGTGGTCTGCCAAGTTATCAAACCACCAAGGGTTCAAAACATGAATCCTGACAACCATGTGCGAGGAGCGATACGGTAACATCTTCCAGCTGCTTATCATTCCACTGCCAGCTCTCTACTTTCCACGTTGTACGTTTGACAATCTTGGTCCACACAATTGACAATTCCAAGCAGCATTTGCCAGATAATCAGCAATGACTACCACTTTACTCACCCAAACTTGAACGTATGCTCCCTTACTAGGCTCAAACATTCCTAACGCGGCCAGTGCAGGCGATGCGACTAGTATCAGAAATATCAGCAATCTAGTCAAGGACTGCGGAGTGCTCCTGCACAGTGTTTGTGAAGGCTCCATCATTAACATAAGGAGGCACAGGGACAAAGCAATGAATGGGTCAAGTTCCAGCCTCGCCCTCAAATATTACAAGGGGCCTCTCTCCGTTGCGAATTGTTATCCTCTTGCTCCGTGGTAAAGAACAAAATGTGTGGACCTTCCTGGAGGAAAAGAAAGATGTGACACAGGCGTTTCCCAGCAAGCGGCCGCTTGGGAGAAGTTGATCCATGTTGGTTCTAGGCATGATTTTCTAGTGTTTTGAGGCGAGTTTCGCGTGCCGAATAACAGTGTTGGCATTCTTTGTATAGTTGGAGAACGTTAAATGACTTTTTTTTTTTTTCATGCAAACCACACGTCTATTATATACTAACTACTACAACATAGTTTCTACTAATCTCTCCATCTCTCGTAAGACTTTCTACTCTTCTCCCCGTATAGGTATAACCATGTCAGCGAAGCTTGCCCCACTAGGGCTAAGAACGCAAGCAGTGTGTAGAGCCATCCATAGCCCATGGAGTCTACAGCTGGTTGTACGAATGCCGATCCACTACCACTTATTATGAATTGTATGGCCATTGTAGGAGCCAAGACTGAGGCTGGAGCGAAGGGGAAAATGTCAACCACATAAGTGGTCACACCTCCGAATACAAACGACATTGCAACACCCAAAAAGAATCCTCCAAGCAGGGGAATCACTATTTGTTCGAGATGGTGGTGACGGATTAGTAAACCTGAAATTTGGAGGTCTCTAATCAACCATGAAAAACATTGTAGCCTCCAAGACATGAGGCCATCCAAGAGACGTCCACTTCTGACCGACGATTCGTTTAAACTTTACCTGGATGTGCTGCATACTGGATACCCCAGCCGTACATTAGCATACCCAGCGTTGCCAACCATCCAAATTGTAGCGCACTGAGTAATCTAGATTCAGGCACAGGTTTCGTATGTTCTCCTGCCTTCTTGCGAGCCTTTTCTAATAGACGGTCTACATTGTAGCCTCTAATTACAATCATGAGAAGTTAGACGCAACATCCATGACATCTTTCGTTGCAAACACAAACATACCCTAACAGAGAACCAAGAAGCTGGCCTCCACCACTGGCCATGTAACAAGCACCTGCAGTGGTTTATGTCGCGTAAATGGCAGAGACGTATGAATTGTCAGTGACAAAAACGAGGATAAAACTTGCCTGATCCGAGCACACTGAATCCATACAACCGTATGAAATCTCGTGATAACGTGGTAGTCATCGTTACTAGACCCAAAAACGTCACGCATCGTGCAAATAGTGTAATGTAAATGGATGGATATCGAAGGAAGGCGAGTGATCCAACTGGGTTATATGAGCGTTTAGGAACTCCTGGTATGCCCCGTATTAATGCCATGGTGGTAATCTTTGGCATTGTGTCTGGGTTATAGCCGTATGGGACTAGCGTTTCGGGTAGCAGGAAGAGGAATCCGATTAATAGAGCACTTCCTACAGCGGTAAGTAGGAGGAAGGTGTTTCTCCATGAGGAGAATTGTGTGATTATAGATCCAAGTAGTGGTCTAAAGACAGCGATGCAATCAGTGGTTGCGAAGTAGATTCCTGTAACTCCTGCGAGTTCTTACCCAATTGAAGGACCCAACAGTGTACCGAGCGAAGCCCAACCAATAGCACGGCCTCGTTCATGTATAGCTGTTATTTGCAAGTTATCTGGTTAGTCCATCTAGGATGCTTTCAGAATATTCACACTCGAAAACATACCAAACAAGTCAGAAATCGTGCCGCTTCCAATGGGCAAGACACTGCTTCCCATAGCCTGCAGCGCCCTCAGAAAGAATAGGACAGATATGGAAGGAACAAAGTATGATCCGATAGTTGCAGATATAAAGATAATCATTGACACAATGTATATGCCACGTCGGCCATAAATGTCACTAGCTGTAAAAATGGGTGATCTTGGTCAGTGACGAACGGAAATCAAAGCAAGTTGCAAGTATGAAACTGTACCAGGAGATGTAAACAGTGGGATGACGCCGATAAAAGCCATGTAAACGAAAATCGTATTATTAACTTGCGTGGCCGAGGCTGAGAGATCTTGTTCTATCAGGGCTAGTGTTGGGAGATACACACTCCCGCCAAGAGGAACGAGAAAAGAACCCATTGAGACAATGAATGTTGCCAGATTCTTTTGAAATATAGAGAAACGACTGTATTTCCACTAGAAGGAGGTGTAGAATGTTAGCAACGCTTGAACGAATGCTCCAACTGAATATTAACGGCTTGCTGAAGAACAAAGTACGAGTATTGAGGGCTCGATGGACTCCTTTCCACCTGGAGCGAACAATTACGAAACCCCAGTGAACGTTAAGGGCTCGATGGAGGTTGTGGAAACTTTAAAATCCAACCAAACTCCCTCGCAAGCCGACATGCACCATCAAAATGCACAAAACGATTTGACAATGCAAGCGATACACCCTTCCTCTCTCTGTCCAAAACCCGTTGATGATCAATGCTCTCAGCTTGACAAAACTCATGGAAAATGGATGCAACCCGTTTACAACCACCACAACGACCCAATCAAGCATTACAAACAATCTAACGTAAACATACTGCACTAATATCCTTTGCCTTCTCGTCTTGCACGATGAGATCCGAGGAGGATGCTTCCAAATTCACTGACGAGGTTTCAGGGTGCTGGTTTTGGCCTATGTAGTCCAGGACGGACGACGGTCTTGGCACAGGCTCTACTGACAACTGATAGTCGACACTGAGGTCTCCCGTCCCTGGTTCTTTATGCTCCATGGCTGTGAATGACCTGGTTTTTGTGGTTTGAGAAGACGAAGGGCAAGTCACAGGTACAGCTTGCCAACTAAGGTCAAAGGCACCGCAACGTACCGGTATTGAATTAGTGATCTAGAATTTAACAATTTTGCAGAGCGATCGCGTCTGAGAATTGTCCTCTTTTCGTAAAAGTTCCCTTTTTACCATTTTACTGAAAATAGCCATGTCATCAGCTATGGAAGTTCGATTTTAACTATGAACGACATCTAATTATTCAGGTCTAGATTTTCTATTATGTCTGGAAATGTATCTGTTTTGGTTTCGTCCATTACGACGGTGTGCCTCAGGCGGATTTCCTACATGATTGGTCGAACAGGGCAAGAGACACTTAAACAACACTTCACAATTCCTGTTTACATGATCTCCATTACTTTATTCTATTGTTTGGTGATCTATACCAACGATATCACTCCATTTTTTACCATCCAGTTTAGCGACTAAATCATCTTTAATGGATGCAACAAGGCCCGGGCCTTGATATCCCAGACTTGTATAGGTCTGTACTGCAGATGCACCTGCTTTTGCAAACTTGATGGCGTCGTCAGCAGTGGATATTCCACCACACCCGATAATGGGAATGTCTTTTGGAAGCAGTTTATACATTTTCTTGACCATTGATAGAGCTAGTGGTTGTACTGGTGCTCCCGATAGTCCTCCTTGTTCGTTTACCAATTGACGGGCTGGTCGGAACAAAATATGTGTAAGAGTATGGGCAAAAAAAGGAACCACGGGATGGTGAGATTGTCGAGGAATTTCACACTGCAAACGTACGTGATTTGAGAGAGCCAGGACGTGAGATTGTAGTGTTTGATATAATTACACCGTCAATCCCCACCTTTTTGATACAATCAGCTACATCTTGCACCTCCTCATCACTCAAATCGGGAGCAATCTTTACGAGTATGGGTGGCCCCTGTTTACTGAATGAATCATCGCGAGCCTTTTTAACATCCGACAAGAGCGTTTCCAGTATCTCTCTCTTTTGAAGAGCTCGTAGTCCAGGAGTGTTTGGCGACGAGACGTTAACTACAAGATAATCTGCATATTGTCCTAGCTGCTGTACACCATCAATATAATCCTGGTTTGAATCGGCTGGTGATAGTTTGTTTTTGCCGAGGTTGATACCCAACAAGTGACCTGGTCTTAGAGATTTCGGGACTGATGTATCGGATTTAGGATGTCTATACCATCTCATACGGGCTCGTAAGTGTTCTATAACAGCGAGCATCCCCTCTGAATTAAATCCATATCGATTGATTACCGCCTGATCGTTTGGCAATCTAAACATTCTAGGTTTTGCATTCCCGTTCTGTGGTAGCGGAGTGACTGATCCAATCTCGACCATTCCAAATCCCAGATTTAACATTCCATCTATAGCCTCCCCATTCTTGTCAAATCCAGCCGCGAGTCCTATTGGGTTACTCACCAGCATCTTTTTACCAAACAGCGAAGTGGACAGACTTGGATGGTCTGCTTTCGTATCACGTGGCGATATTCCATGGTGTGCGAGCCATATGGCTAGTTTATGCGAGTCCTCGGCATCGGGGATTGCGAAATGGATGATTGGCATCCAAACATGTTTGTGAATGTTTGCTCTTGGGTCGAGAGAGTAGGATATAAAGAAAGTGCCAGCTATTATAAATGCAGCATATCGTAGTGGGGTGGTAATGGATGACAGGTCGGGAGCTCCTGATGAGGTCGATTGATGGCGTCTACTCGCTTTTATTATTGGTTGTAGTGCTGTTCGTGGGTTTATCGGTGTTGGGCTTGATAAAAGGTGCTTGCTAGACTGGCATGCCACCCCTAAAATACGGCCCCTTAATATGGCATGCATCCCTCTCTCCAGATTTCTGAATGTCCGCTGTGTGTTTTGAGATTTGAAGTGTTTTGACGCTTAACCGCAACTATCGCCACTGCTCTAAACCAGTAAAGTAGACGCGATCTCGACTTTTAAAATTCAGTGCCACTATATTACGAATATTACGAATTTACCAGAGTGAACTCTATGTAAAAGAAACGGGGCAACAGTGCTGTCTCCCTTCAGATTTAAATCACGTTCAGTTGTATTCTGAGCGAGAACTCCAGGGATCGTTGCGGCAAGAAAATAGCCTAACTAGTAACTGTCACGTTCCTGGCTCTCACTACGTCGTGCTCGCAAACAGTGTCCTAATCACCACTTTTCTGAGCGAAGCTTGCACGAGCTAAAAACCATCATCCTTCAACCTATGGACGAGCTAGACGTTTCCCGCCTGCAAGGAAGAGGCTTAGGTATATCGAGAGTTCACTAACGCGACTGCATGCCGTGGTTTCTGCAAGTTACAGTGGCCACATTTTTTCAATGACAACTAACAACACACATTCATGAATGTGCATAGAATGGGCGATGATATCTATGATACTCTATTGGATCCAAGGCAAGCTCATCGTGATCATGTCTTTCTGACGGCATCAGTTTGATGTTTTTATCACTCGTTTTCAACCACCATCTCCCTCATTCATCAGTCGCTCTCATCGGCTCATTCCAAGGATTCATCTTATTCGAAGGTATATCTGCTTGATTCTGCGTCGTTTCTTGATCTGGAGCTCAATTCTGTCGTGTTTTGCGGCGTTTGCAGTGTACTGGTTTACGATACCGTCGTGGAATACAGGACTGGGGTAAGTACTTGTAGTTCATTTGAAGATCGTAGCGGTACGCTCAACACTCTTGAAACTATATTAGGTCTGGCGGGGTCGTCATAGTGTAAGTGCCCAAGGATGGCAGGTTTGGACCAAAAGATGCTCGTAATCTGATCAGTATTTCAACCACTTCGTAGATACTGCTCATTACTGATCATTGCTCAATTCTTTGCTGCTGCATTTGCTTGGGATGCTGTAAGTGTTTGCAATGGATTAACTTCCAAGTTGCCAGAACTTCTAAACTCTAAACGTTCCACCCCTTTCCAATAAGCAAATCCATAAAAACGCATTACAAGTCATATTCAACGTCGGAGTCTTCAACTTGGGATCATTTGTCTATTCCCTGATCCAGCTTAAGCAGCTAACCGATTTGAGAACGGGACTGACTGGTAACAGTGGCAATGTGCAATACATTGACGCTGCGCTGCCAGTATTATATGCTCAGATCGCCTTCACCTTTGTCTTCTTTGTCGCTCAGAGTTACATAGCGTATTTAGTATGGCAGGAATACGGATGGAGCATATGGATGGCACATGGCGCCTCTCTGAGGAAAAGAGGTGAGAGTGCTATGTCAGAACCACATAAATCCTCTATGATTTCTAGCCATTTGATCTCACCCGTTTTTGGTTGCTCCACATAGCCACTCTACAAAGATACCACTTCTTCATCTTGTTTTTGAAGCTCAATATCTTCTTCCTACTGGGCATTGTCCTCCAGGTGTTTGTAGCTGAATATTGGCAAGCAAAGTGGAAGAACTCGACTACGTTTTCCCTCAGGACTGTTCTCATTCCAACATTGGTAAAAAAGCCAGACGAATTGACTCGACATTCGATCAGATCCGAGTTCATTCTGCTCATTAGCTCATCCTCGCTTTTCTAAACCCAGGTTATTCTGTTTCTGGGAATGATACTTTGGTATATTCTAGGATATTACTCAACGCACACACAATCACCGGTGAACTATGCTCTGATGGGTAGCTACCTCTTCTTGTGTGCTATAAACTTTGTAGCTATCGGGATCATGCTGGTACTCTTCAACACTTCCACCGACTTTGTCATAACACGGGATTTCCTGAACTTCTTTGCTGTCGTATCATGCCTGTTTTCCATCGCAACGATTGCTTGGGGCGCTTTGCTGGTGATTCTAGACTTTGAAGGCGATTGGCTCTTCTCTGTCTTGAGAGGGTTAGATTACTCGAGAACCCCAACAAGCTTTGTTCGGGTGGATCCTGAGAAACGGGATGGAGTATCGGTGGAGTTGAAACGAAGCAGGACTGTATTAGATTGATAGCACCCAGCGATATCTTTATTTCAGTAACAGTAATAAGACAAGTAAACATATAATTAAAAGATAGCACAGTCTGTATTGTACTACTTCTTACAAGACAAATCAAAGTGATTTTTCTCTATTTCATTTGGAAGGTTTGATAAATATCAAACGCTTGATTCTTTGGAGGATCAACAGTACTATGTAACGAGTGCTCTTGAACCGCAGCAGGGTTTCTGAGAAACGAGATGGAATGAAAACGTACAAGCTATCTTTATTGCAACAGTAATAATCAGAGTCAGAAATTACAATGGCACAGACCACACAGAAGCGACAAACCATTCCCATCGCTCATTTTGCCTGGGCCGCCCTCCATTGGAAGGCGAGCGACAACACATAAAGAATCACGAAGGTGAAGGCAAAGATAAATATGATGATGCCTGCTATGAGAGTGAACAAAGCTCGTCCAAGCACCAGAGTTCCCGCAAACATGAAGACTACAGGATGCATGATCAGGATATGAATTGCAGCATCCTGACCATGCAACACTTACAGAATACATGACCATGAGGAAAATAAAGAGGATAAAGCAACGAGACAATCCAAATTGGTCGCCAGCCCAATTCCAGAACAGTCAGCCCAAAAGCTACCAGACTAGAAAGTAGAGAAATCAGCGTGAGTCCTAGCAGCAGTATGAAGGTCAAACCGGACGTACGTCATGAGGAGCCCCAACATGAAATTCTGAAATGAACCTCCTTGAAACGCCCAAGCAAACGACATTCCACTGTATATGAACAGCAGTAAAGCTATCAAGACGTGTAAGATCTTGAGTGATAGAGCTGGGAACTGAGATACCAGCTCTCCTCCCAGGATGTTCGTGCTGGCAAAAAGAGAGGTGCGTAAGCTTGCCGGATCTCTTTGCAGATTTTGGCGTACTTGATTCACCTGTAGTACCCAACGATGGCTATAGAAGGAGCGTCATATTCATCGTCAGGAGAAATAAAGAGGCTATCTCTTTGGTTGTTTGGCATTTGCACAGAGTTTGGACACTTGAGAGTTTTTAGATATTACAACCACTGGGCACGAGGCAGATAGTTGATTGATCCACTTGGAGTTTGGCAAAGAATGCTTTCAAGAGCTAACAATTCCAGGAGTTTCAAAGTTGTTCCAAAGCGAGCTTGCACAACTCGAATGGTTGACGACTGAGTGAGATGCAATTGGCAAACAGGATTAAATACACGTGAATTCCGATTAAAATACAAAGAAAAGAAGATGTTGGCTCCTGCCTTGGTTTGGTTCACGTGCTGCCTCCAAAAGCTTCACACAGCTTGCTCTTACAGATTCGCTGATAACCCAGACTAGACTTATAACTTTGTCGGCTAGAGTCACGTAGATTACAGAACCAGTCAACACAGAGAGTACTGCTTGCTTCTATCTGTTGTCTATGACTTAGCTTGGATTAGAAAATTGGAAACGAACGAGCTCAATCGATTTGTTGCAAGATGTCTGGCGCTGGACAGGCCAAGAAGAAGCAAAAGACGACTAGCATCAATACTAATCCTCCGAAACTGGATGACGACTTTCAATGGTGAGTTATCTCGTGTTTTCGACGTGGTTTAAACCTTGCAGAATACTCAACATTTGGCCTCTGTTTTGGGAAACGTGATTCTTGAGTTTCATGATTCTTCTTACTGATACGCCTTTTATATATACCTAGTCCAATATGTAGAGAAATCATCACTGAAGCATTCATGACTAAATGTGGGCATTCTTTTTGGTATGGCATGGCATTCAGCTTTTTAAAGTTTGGTTTGCTGAGCTTGGATTTAGAGAAACTCTGTCCGTTTCGTTACCCACATTTTGAACCAGTCTGGGTTTGCCATTTACTCTGATCGCTTACTTTTTTCTTGGTTCAAACCATTCAGCTATTCGTGCTTGTCAAAGCACTTGGAATACAAAAAAGATTGCCCAACATGTCGAAACAGTTTGAACAAGGACCAGATATTTCCAAACTTTTTGTGTACGTGGATCCATTTGACTGTCAACATTCCTCCGTTTGCCATACGGATCTTGCTCAGTTTTTTGCCCGTACTTAGTGAGCAAGCTAATTGAAAAGCATCTTGCTGGTACTCGAAACATGATTGGATCGTCGTCTCCAGCTGCTACGAAATCATTACGTGGAACACTAGCTCCTACTGCAGAATCGCATTGGAGTGTTAACGGTGAGCTAAAAAAAATCGCTACTGCATCAGGCCAAATGCATGAACTCACCATGCACTACTGTATCACTTCCGTTCAGATATCAACAACATCCTCTCGTCACTTCTTGATCGTAAACGCCAACTGGAAACAACTCAGAAAGAAATCGAACTGGAACTCGTATCTGAGTTCTTGAAAAAGGCCAAACAGGTCAAGGAAGATGAATTAACTCGAGTTACCAGAGAATTGGAAATCATTCAAACTGACTTGGATGTCGTGTCGACTCAATATAGTAGCACGTCGTTTCGTCGTCCTGATGCTCTGTCAGCAATGCCAATGTCAAGTGGTGGGAGTATTGGTAGTAATGGTGAGGTGGCACAGGTTCCTGATGGTTCTGGTGATGCTATTGTTGCTGATGCTGATGGAAGGACGAGGAGGAAAAGACGACATTCTGTATGTATTATGATGTCCTTTACTGTCGTGTTTGCTGGATCCCATCGTTGATCTGACACTCGTTCGATCATATAGGATATTGACGACAATGAAGATGAGTCGGAGACTGCATCTGTAGCATCATATCCGACCGACACCACTCCAAATCGTATTGGAATTGATTTGGAATCATCGACGAGTACGTTGAAGCTTGCCAAAAAGCAAAAGGAGAGAGTCTTTCGTCACTTTGATGAGCTGGTACATACGTACTTTGATTCCAGGATGGCGAATTTACCAACTTGTGAGTTAGTCGTGTTACGACGTTCATACACCCTTTCAATTTTTTGCTACCATCGATTGACCTTTGCTCGGTCCAACGCTAAATCTGACACACTCTCATGTAGCTGTAAATAAAAAATCAAAAGACTTGACACCATTATCTCGCTTCAGCACAGACTTATATAATTTTTCTCGACCGTCCCGTCTCACAGTCCTAGCCAAAATATATTACGCCGACAACTTCCATAATCCAGGTTCAGCTATTGTATCATCCATCGATTATGATCGAGACGATGAATTCTTTGCAACAGCTGGGGTCTTGAAACGAATCAAGATTTTCGAGTTTGCCAGTATCGTGTCTGATTATCGAGACACTGTATCTTCTCGAGATCACGTCAATGACCAAACAGATGAACGAAGGAGGTCAAGAGCCGGGTTTATAACTTCTGCAAGTAATAATAGCAGTCCGAGTTCGAGTAGTCATACTGCTACGAGTCCACGAGCACGAGGTTTGTTGGGATCTACAACTGTTGACGATGGTGTGAGTCGATTACGACGTGTGCTGAGTCGTATAGCGCCTAGAAATCCAGGCGGAGGTGGTAATGATGATCAGGATGATATTGCTGGTGGAGCTAGTAGTACGGCTGCAGCAGAAGATGATGATCAACAGCAAGCTGCAGCTATAGAAACAGACAATAGTAGTGCTGTAGATGATGAAGAGGAAGATGATGACGATGACGATGGTGCTTCAGGAAGTAGTAGAAGGCCGGCTAGACCGTCGCAACCGGCGGCGTTTGCTGTAGAGGATGAAGATGATGATGACGTAGACCTGGATCGTAATGATGGGCTTGATAATGTTCCGCGGTATCCTGTTCGAGAGGTTGCTTGTAGGTCTAAGATCAGGTATAATGCTTATCCACAAGGTTCCTTTTTTGCGCATCATATTGCCCCCAAACTACAATATCTTACATACCCTACCACAATAGTTGCCTATCATGGAACTCCTACATCAAAGCACAACTAGCCTCATCAGATTATGAAGGTCTAGTGAGTCTCTGGGATGTCCAAAATGGATCACTGCTGACATCTTATGATGAACATGAGAAACGAACATGGTCGTGTGATTTCTCACGAGTAGATCCAACTCGACTTGCGTCAGGTGGTGATGATTCTAGAATCAAGATATGGAGTACCAATCAGGCTCGTAGTGTAATGACTATTGATTCCAAGGCTAATATCTGTGCTGTGAAATTCAATCCTGAGGTTGGACATCAGTTGGCTTTTGGTAGTGCAGGTATGTGCTATAAAATTGGTGACTGTTTTGCGAGTAAGGAGTGCGATGACAGCCGGAGGTGGCGCTTCTTGCTTCTGTATTTCATTTTTTTTGCATGCGTTTCTAAATCAAACTCGAAATCAAAAGTCCGAGTTCTCATCGTCCTTCTATTTTAGATCACAATATACATTATTATGACTTGAGGAACACAGCTCAAGCCTTGTATGTATTCAAGGGTCATCGAAAGGCAGTATCCTATGTGAAATTCCCACATCGAGATACCATGCTGACAGCATCAACAGACTGCACACTTCGATTATGGTCCCTCTCTCAAGTCGGAATCTCATCTCAGCCGTCTATGGGTCCTCCCTCGTATCTATCAAACACGACCCGTCATCCGGGAACATCAGCAGCCTCTGCACCACCTCCATCTAGCTTACTAGTGCCGCCCATGACCAGCAGTAATAGCAACTCGATGGGACCAACAGGAATCCTCAATGATCCATCAATGTCAAATCTTAAACACATTCCAGGAATCCCAGCCGGTTTAGATCCGTTACCGCCTGGATGTATACGGGCGTTCGTTGGACATACCAATGAAAAGAATTTTGTGGGGCTGTCTGTGAACAGTGATTCACAGTTTGTAGCGTGTGGGTCGGAGACGAATTCAGTGTTTGTGTATTGGTTGCATGTTGGATCACCTGTTGTGGTGTACAAGTTTGGAAATGGGGTTGATCCTGTTACGGTGAGTTTTAAACGTCTGTTGATCGAGTGTTGAATGCATTTGGACTGCAAAAACAGTATTCCGTCTGACCTATTATATTTGCAAGAATTTTTTGATGCTCACACTAATTTCTTTCTCACAATAGGGAGAAGAATTGGCAGATGAAGATCCCGCACAATTTGTGTCATCAGTTGCGTATCGTCGAACACATCCCAATGTGTTGATTGCAGCAAATTCACAAGGACGTGTAAAGGTCCTTGAAATGGTGTAGAAACGGTTTGATTCCTTTAAAACTCATTAAATAAGCATTTCTTTGTACACATAACACGTAAAAGTCAAGTTCACGTATACAGTCTTTTTTTTCGTGACGTCAGTGATCAATCGCACCAAGACACAAGCTTCTCGTTTAAGCTCACAACACAAACCCAACAAGCTTTGAGAGCAAACATGCTGAAGACACCCTCAAACACGACATCGGCTCAAGCAGCTCATCAGCCGCTATTACCGCAAATACCGTCTCTATCATCCATTACAACGACACAATCTACTTCCAACACCGTGACAGCTACTCAAATGGGCAAGAGGAAACGCAAGCTGGAAAAGCAGAGTCTAGACTATATAGGGAAGAGTATGCTCGCAGGTGGAATAGCTGGCTGTGCGGCTAAAACCGTCATTGCTCCATTGGATCGAGTCAAGATACTCTTTCAGACTGCAAATCCGCATTTTGAACGGTATGCTGGTAAGTTGGAATCGGGAGATTAGATTGTCATTGTTGGAGTTAGAGTAGTGTTGTCTACTGGTGTTCACCTTTGGAGTGGGAGGGGTTGATTTTGGTTCACAATCATCGATTGCTGGTTACACTTTGCATGAGCTTGCACTGAACTTGCTCTAAAGCTGCTTGTATCAACTTTATCTGTAGGATCGATGAGAGGAGCAGGCCAAGCAATGCGCGAAATTGTCCGCAACAACGGGTATCTTGCACTCTTCCAAGGCCATTCAGCAACCCTATTACGAATCTTCCCCTACGCCGCCGTGAAATACATGGCATACGAGCAATACAAGGCAATACTAATGCCAACACCAGCCGATAAATCCCACATCCGTAACATGATTGCCGGCAGTATGGCTGGCGTCACTTCTGTATTTGTATCCTACCCACTAGATCTGCTACGAGTCCGATTAGCCTTCCAGTCTTCATCGCAACGAACCAGTATAGTGGACACCATGTCGAGTATATACCATGAACCAAACCCGTTTTTTAGATGGAAGATGCTTGGTGGGGTTTCGAATTTCTATAGAGGGTTTTTCCCAACAGTGTATGGAATGATACCGTATGCGGGTGTGAGTTTCTTGACGTACGAGTCGCTCAAGACGTGGTGTATGGACTCGGTTATAGGACCATGGGCTGTTATAAACTGGGACGAGTTCAATAATCAGCCAAAGGAAAACACGAATGGGGCCGAGTATGTTAAGCCGCAGCTGCGAGTATGGGCATACCTGTCGTCTGGTGCTTTGAGTGGGATGGTGGCTCAAGCTAGTAGTTATCCATTAGAGGTTATTAGACGAAATATGCAGGTTGATGGTGTCAGACATACTGCTGAGGCTCGTAGTAATAGTGGTAATCGCATACCGAGTAGTAGTAGCAGTAGTGCAAGTATAAATAGGACGACACTGCAAACTGCCAAGTGGATTTATGCTAGGAAGGGTATACCTGGCTTCTTTGTTGGACTGTCGATTGGCTTTGTCAAAGTTGGGCCCATGTTTGCTGTTAGCTTTTACGTGTATGAGTACATGAAGCACATGCTGGACATTGATTAAATAAGAGTAGAGTAATTCGGAAGTGGACTATGTCTGGGGAATCTGTAAGTTGATATAATAGTATTATCATCGATTATTCTTTTAGATGGTTTGTCAATATATATAAGTGATTTGAACGTGACTGGTCGTTATGAAAGCGTAATTCAATTTCTATGATCTTTTCGAGTTCTACTTGGACGTGAGTTTTAGTGTTTGGTCAGTCGCCGTTCTTCGTATTTGCACAAAACATACAAAGAGACAAGCAAACATGGCCCATATCTCAAAGAAGAGGAAGGTGAGTATCCGCTAACGATAATGCATGCCATTTCATTACGATTAGCTGTCTCGTGGGAAGTTGTTTGAAGCTGGAGGTCAGAATTGTAACAGAGATGTTGACAGAGTGGACGCAATGACATTGATCAAGCAGACAAGGGTCAAAGAGTAGATTTATGGATGTCTAGGATATGGATTTATATGAATCTGCCCACTTTTGCTCTGCATCGCCTTGATTTCAGATGGATGGATGGGGATGTCCTTGTCAACATTTGGTCACCCATTTGCACTACAGACATATTCAAACAACTGGAAGGGACAGACACCAACTTAGCAACGCCAATATTCCCAATATCCCCAAAATCACATCTTTGATCAAATTACTGACTGTCTTCTCCATCACAAACAACTAGTTCGTCGCAGACGGTGTCTTCTACGCAGAACTCAACGAATTCCTCACCCGTGAACTCGCAGAAGAAGGATACTCTGGTGTAGAAGTCCGAGTAACTCCATCTCGTACCGAAATCATTATAAGAGCTACCCAAACCCAAAAAGTCCTGGGTGAAAAGGGACGACGAATCCGTGAATTAACATCTGTAGTATCAAAGAGATTCAACTTCCCTGATGGCACTGTTGAATTGTATGCTGAGAGAATTCAGTCTCGTGGTTTGTCTGCTATTGCTCAGGCCGAGTCTTTGAAGTTTAAGCTGATTCAAGGGTGAGTAATTCTGTTTCGAGATTTGGGAGTGGAGCAGATGATATGACGAGAAAATCATCGGTTAACTGATGACCAGTATCATAACGTCGTCAGTTGTTTTTGTCGTTGCCTAGCGCAAACTGCAACTCGTTTAATTAATCGCTTTCTTCTCAAACACAGATTGGCAGTCCGTCGTGCTTGCTACGGTGTGGTCCGCTTCATCATGGAAGCCGGTGCCAAAGGTTGTGAAGTTGTCGTATCAGGAAAATTACGTGGTGCTCGTGCAAAATCAATGAAGTTCATTGATGGATTTATGGTCCACTCTGGTCGTCCAGCTGTAGACTTTATTGATTACGCTGTCAGACACGTCTTATTGCGTCAAGGTAAACATTTCGCAAATGATGACTATGATGTCTCTTGTTTTTTTGGCACCTGCATCGCGTTGATAAGTTTTCTAAATTTCTTATTTCTTAATAGGTGTATTGGGTATCAAGGTCAAGATCATGTTGGATTCTGACCCTACCGGAAAGACCGGTCCACAAAAACCACTACCAGATAATGTCACCATTCTTGAACCAAAAGATGAAGAACCACCACGTGTTGTTGCTCCAGTCGTTCCAGTGGCACCAGCGCCAGTAGTAGAGCAAATGTAGTAGTAGTAGGAAATTCTATTACCGCACAAACAACGACCTTGTATTTTTCGCAAAACACATATTGGTGCAAAATAATACTCGTTTCTTGTTTGCTTATGAGGTGTCTCACAGGAAGGACCCCATTTGTTTTCACAATCACATAGGTGGAGACATATGGTATTCGACAGCACTGGTCCTTGCTTTGTTGTCCTTTCATCAAGCCAAAACATGAAGATAAATGTCAGTAAGTTCAATACCAAAAGCAGTAATTGCGACGGTATCCTCGGTGAATGCGATACCGTGGATACTGCATTACCAGGTATACTAGTCTATCTTGTTTGAGATTGGCCCTCTCGGTCTGTATATTATAAACTTCACTTGTTTCAAAGTTTAGAGCTTGCTGGAACTGGCTGCAGATAACTTGCAAATAGCGACGTAGTGGCGCGCGATGCCGGGTGGCCTCTCGGTTGCCTTCCTTCTTGACTGGGACTTCGGACTGCCCGTCTATGTGGGAGTTGTGATGGACTGAGTTTGAAGTATGCCGACAAGAGTTGACGAGCAACCAAGCGCTTCAAGGCCTGTAAAAGATTTCTTACCGCTCCGATGCTATGTAGAGCATCACTATTTGCTGGTCCTGTGTGTTGTTTAGCTGTATTGGACGTACTAAGCCAAACTGTTAACTGTTGGCGAAAGTATTTTGAAGAGCTCTGCGCCTTTGCTCTCAAAGCAGATGCTTTTCGACCTTTCACTATCTCACCATGCACGGAGCTTCCATTGCTATGCTTTTCTCCAGCAGAATTACGGAGTTGGCAGTGTGATGACAATGTAGATGTTTTTCGACGACTCTGTGAACCAGCTGTAGTATTACTTCTAACTTGCGCCGTGTACTTCGACGGTATATATGCAATATATCAAGAATTTTACCTTTGTTCTCTCTCGAAATCATCTATTTGTTGAGCTTTGCTGCTCAAAACCATTTACAACAAGCATCCACTTATAAGCTCGTCTTTAAGGCAAAACGCACGTTAGCGAAGGACTACTATAACATGCTAGGATTTATTAGGTCAGTTATCTCCAGTCTAGGCCGTGCCTTTATCCTCAAGACTCCCGAAATCCAACAAGAAAAAGACGACGAAGGTTACCCATCATCAATTATGCCAACTCCAGTATTGGAACTAAAGAAACTCGATAATATTACATGGACTACCCGCATCATACCCGAAATCTACTCCAAAATCGACAAGAAACAACCTACATCAGCAGCATCTGGCAAACCACATCGAAACATCACCAACAACGGTCGTCGTCTCTCTGCCATTATAATCAAACCTGGCCAACTCATGAAATACAAATATTTGAAAGCTTTCACTGCTGCTAATCCAACTATGGTCCAAGTCTCCGTCACCAATACCAACAATACTACTACAACTACTACTGCTACCAACAACACTACTTCTACCACTACGACCGATGCAACTACCAGTACCGTCTTGCCTTCAGTCGAAAACAATACAATCTTCCCCTTCAGCCAATTATTCAACTTTGTCGCCTGCCGAAACCGCTGCAAGAAACAAGCCGCACCCAAAGGATGTCAAGCTGATGATGTTAGTGATTATAGTGCTGATAGTGATGATGAAGAAGAAAAGGAATATGCTACTACAAGCTGGGTACGACAACAGCGAAAATTCAAAGGAAATTAAATTACTGCTAAACATGTAAGCAATCAACATTATTAACCTTGCAATTCTCATCCTTCCGCACAGAAGTACTAACACACACTCTCTTTCTCTTCATCCTTTAGAAATTCGTCCGATATACTCCAGACACAAAGCGACAATTTCGACTCGGCTCCCGGCTCTCCATCAAGACTAGACGTGGCATCAAGCTCGCATAAGGACGGTCTTGTTTGCCAGTACTCGATGGGACAGCTCTCATTCAAACGGGCCTCAACCAAACAAATCAAAACAGTAACAATTGTAAGTAGCATTTTGGAAATCGCGTATACAATGAGTCGCTACACAATAGCTTGTATGAATGCCCCAAAAAATAAACCAAACACTTTTGCAAAATGGAAACTTTGCGTCAGACTCCTTATGGCAAACATGGAACATGGAATCCTTCAAGACTAGATATATGCAAAACAAGTATTATTTTAAAATTTAGAGACTAGAGGAAGCAGCGCCAGCAGCACCACGTCGTTCGTTACGTTCAGCTGGTGTCAATAGACTCATCTCTCTAGCCAGCAAAACTAGAGTTCCGGAATTATCAAAGCATTCAACATCAGTCTCGAATCGTCCGTTTATCAGATGCCGGCATTTAACGACTACGAATGATGAGTGATGAGGTTGAGAGTCAGCGGTACAGTTTAACACCAAAAGACAGTGACGGAGCGAGAGCAGAACCAGCAAGAGGGTGTAATATTGAACTACCTTGCCGTATGTAACCATCAACTGGGCGAGCTCGATACTGTATCGTCAACTCCATAGTGGCAGCCCTGCATTCATCAGTATTCGTCATTAGATATTCAGTCAGATAGCGTTCAAAGTTCACCACTTACCAAGCAGCACCACCACTAAGTCGCCTTCCATACTTATGTACAGGACTCGGATAGTAATCGCTGGCAAATGTCAAAAATTTAGCATCTGGAGGTGCATTGTCTACACTTCGAATGGCCCCAATATGATCAGCTCTACTATGCACAGGCTCATCACCGGACCCTCTAAACGGTACAGGAGGAGACTGTTCTGCATCAACAAGAGTGTTGATATACCTCCTAATCAGTGGATCTTCGGTCGTGTACTTGGGCAGCGGTATCATGTTTGATAATGATGGTCGAGTAGTTTCGTCCATAATTTTCGTAGCACCGCTCTCTTTACTCAGATCTCCGAAGGACATTGTGGCGAATAAGCTTGTTGGTGTGTCTCCTTTTGCATCCTCTTGCTTTAGTTCCAGATTTGCGGTAGAGACGGTTCGTCCACTGCCAGAGAAGAGAGAGTGAATAAGCACTGTAAGAGATTCCAAGTTCTAGAAAGGCACTTCCAACCTCTTAAGAAGAGTGATGTGTATTGTGCACTCTTTACCAGCAATCGGACTCCGTAAGAAGATAAAATGGGCCGAGAGGACGTCAGGATGCTTTTCTCTAAAGAACTGAGTGGCTGGCATTGTACACGTTGCGTAAATTCAATATACATGACGTTCTTGACAAAATCGATCACAAACGAATCAATTCCAAAGCTCACCTGCATCAACCATGACAGATGCAGAATATCCTCCAGAGGGTACAGCGCCAGATCTCCACTAATAATGCACGAAGGCATTAGACAACGTGCTGCTTCAACATCAAAACCCTCACATTGTAAGCTCAAGTTCAAAAGCCAGACAGGAATTTACCTCGTTGTGTAGTTTGCCTCGGTAAGTAGCTCCGTCCTTGGACCTGTTTAACAGAATTGTAGTCGTCGCATCATCAAAAGTCCCCATCCTCCTCCTTTGCTAACTCTTATATTTTTACAAACCCAGCACTGCAGGTGCAAAACATCCGACATACTTCCACGTTGGGAACGATGGGCACAACATACAGATCTCCAATATCATGGGCTCAAGCAAAGAAACACACTTCTTTATTCGATTCAGACTCGGATTCTGACGTGGAGATCAACATTGGTCCCTGCGCCAATGCCATTGACTACCATAACCAGCACATCATATCACACTGTATACCAGAACATAAGGATCGGGAGCTCAAGGACTTGCCCGACGAACTCATATTACAAATCATGGAATCCATGGCTGGACGGGAACTGATACGATTATCTGCAACCTGCCGTCGTTTTCAGTACGCTGCTGCTGAAGTCTTGTTGCCAGGAATCACTTTATTTCCTACAGATATCCCTGATAATGGAACAATACCCAGCAATTCCACTGATACCAGTGACGTGGAGTGTGCGTTGCCACAACGATTAGCTAGAATTAGGCACGTCGCTCTTGTGGGACTGTCTAATGACAAGATGGAAGTCCTTTCAAAGCATTTACGACGGATCGAGGCTCTAATCATTGACGGCAAACGAGACAACAGGTTGGACGCACGTGGCATCCAAAGCGTGTTACAAGCTGGTGATGTCGCGCTGGAGATACTAGGACTGTATGATTGCAGTTCAATAGATGCTGAGGTTGTACGTGATATTGCCTCTTGTGCAAGGCTTACTGTGCTTGATCTCGATGGGTAAAGCTATTCACTCTTACCTGTTTACTGTTTGACGTTTTTAGCTGACAACACTAATTTTGCTGGATATCAGATTGTTTTGGCTTGAGGATTGGACTGCTAATGTATTAGCTCTGGCTCACTTACCTCTCAAATTTTTGGCTGTATCTGGTGCTAATCTTCATGAGGGTTTAGCTGGTCGTAAGTGTGCTAACGACACATTTAAAGATCACACAAGCCATTTGAACAGTTTTTGTCATCAATATTAGTGGTATCATCAAGTGCTAAAACTTTGCAATCCCTATCTGTCGCTCAATGCTCAAACCAGGAATATCCGCTGCTAAACGCCGTCTCACAATGCAAGTCGCTACGAGACTTACGACTTAATGGAGCAGAGCTCTCACAATATGCATGGAGTAAATTCTTTAAATTCTCGACTCAAAATTTACGCCGACTCGCACTCGTGGGAGCGCGAGAGTTGCAAAATCAGACAATCCAGAACTGGGCAAGTAGTGGGCTAGCTTCTGACATTGAATTCTTGGATCTGGATGATTGTTGCTGTCTAATGGATCAGTGTCTGTTTACCATTTTTCAGTCTTGTCGTAATTTGGTAAGTGTACTGTTTGGCTGCGCAATCTACGACAAAAAAAAGCCGAACCACAGTTTTCCATGATACCATCATATAGGCTCAACTGTCACTCGCCTATGTCCCAGAAATGACGGCAGGATGCCTCTTAAAAGCCTCAGACCTTGGCCTGTTAGATCAACTACGAATCCTCAACATACCCTTCAACAGACAACTACGACCGGACGAGATTTGTGAATTCTCTCATGCCAGACCATCCTCAGCTATCATCTTTGATCATCGAACAGTCATGAAATCTAGACGTATATATAGAGATGTTGATGAGTGGGATAATCGGAGAGAGTTTCTCAAAGGCATTGCTTATTTGCCTGGACCATTACGTGATGATGGTATTAGCAATGGGTTTGCTATGTTTGCTGAGAGTGTCGCGTATGATGCAAAGTAGATCTGGTTGTATTTTTGCTTGTTGCATGTAGCAATACCAGAATATTGAATACAAAACAAAGTCAAAGTAGTCGAAAACTGAAAACACCAATTGTTTCCACTCTGGTAGCGTTTAGCTTTACGCAGTCAAGACCTTCAAGTTGTCAGAAAAGTCCAAATATATTCAGACAGTTTACCAACACTTTACAACTTGAGATGACGAGACCAAATCGGTGGAGGCTGAAGACCACCAAGAGCTTCGGATTGCTTGAGCCCATTCACATCGTGAATGGGCTTCTCACCAACAACTGTGACCCGTCTCCCCTTTCGAGCATGTGGGTAGTAGTCCCAGACAGCTTGATGTTGGACTGCACGGTTGCTATGTTTAAGAATGTGATTGTTTCAGTTAGCATATCGACAAAAGGAAACGGAACCACCCCGCACTTACTCCCATATTGCCACGCTGTTTGCCTCCCACTTGAATCGGATTTGGATATCAGCGCCTTTGGAGATGACGTCAAAGAGGTGGTTTAATATTGCTGTTGACCTTTGGAGAAAAACATCAGACGCTGACGTGAATTTTGAATGAGCGTCCAGCAACACATACTCTTCCTTGTGAAGTCCCACAATACTGGTTGTGAAACCTTGGTTTACAAACAAGGCCTTCAGACCACTGACTGCGTGTGTCCTCACTATGTGTATGATTTGCAAGAGTCGGTTAAGGAGGATTGCCAAAAAACACGGTGCCGATTTTGAATTACCAATGGGATGTCGAGAGTACTCAAATTCCCGTTGCACGTTAGCCCCTGACAATTTAGCAATCGATGCGTGTGCTACTGCATTGGTGTGGATTGCGTATTTGTCCTCCAACTAAAAAACAACCAATGAGATGATGGGTCATTCCGTATCAGACAGTACTGAGGAAGGCTTACGATATTTTGCATAGTATCAGAGAGCTTTTCATATGCTGCATAAGCACTGGCAAAACAAGTGTCGCCGCCTGTTATTTAGTTGAATGAGGTGTGAGGCGAAAAAAAATTCAAACGGGATATTGTATTGAATCATACCAGCCGGTGGGACCTTCTCCATATACAAGATGGAGTATGCTGGTGGTGCTGGCTCACTGCTTACGTCGCTGTGCCAAACCTCCCCGGCAACATTCTTTGAACTACGATTGAACCTGTTATGAGTATCTTGCTTACAGTCGTGTACCTAAGCAGCTCTTACTTCTCATTACTGACGATCGGCACGACAGCAGGATGAGTATCTTTTTTCCCATAGTTCAGAGGGTGAACATGTAAAGGACCCAATCTACTACCAAAAGCCAGATGTTCTTGCTCAGTCAGCTCTTGATCTCTGAAGAACACGACACCACGATCAGCAACGAATCGAGCTAGATCTTCCAATTGCTACCAAGAAATCGTAAGTTGAGTTTCGAGAGTTTCGCAACGAGTTTGCTTACCTGGTCGTTCAAGTTCTTGAGCTGCACTCCATGTAATTCACTACCGAGACGGATTGTGTAGTCTTTTCTAGCTGTACAGGCGTCCAAAAGTGCTCTACAGCCTGGAGTTGCTTTCAAACCTGACGCGTGAAGGTCCATGGTTAGTGAGGATCGTTTTGTGATCACACAAGCAAAGGCCCATAAGGACAATCACGATCTGCATGAATGAACGCATTTTAAATCCAAAAGCATTACAAGTCGTCTCGTGGAGAGCTGAAATTCTTCTCTTCCATAGATCCACGAAATGTTTTGATACAGAATGCTCCAACGTACCTGCAAGAGTGTTTGCCGCAGTAGGAGCGGACTTGCTGTCATTGGCAATGTTGATTTGAGCTTGAGTTGTCATCTCTTGTGGTTGATCTGTAGCTTGAGTTGGAAGTTTTGAAAATCGGCAGCAGAGTTGTTAGCGTTGCGCGATTCAATTGCGTATGCGTGACAAAGTTGAACACCTTGAAGAGGTAGATAAGGACGGGAATTTCGGTACGTTTTGGCGTCGTTGGCTTCCCAACTATCTCTAATTCAGGTCAATCGTTGTAACAAACTGCATTTTCTTCAAAGACGACTTTGTCTGATATGTGATGTGGTGTTTTGGGGACTTTCCAAACTATCGCAGTCAAGGACTGCAACGCAAAGTCGATAATTTGGGATGTGTCATAACTGTTGGAACACCTCCAAGTTGTACAGCACGGTAATCCAGCAACTGATGATAACGGTGATGTACGCAAACAGAGTAAAGCGAGCCATGAAAGTAGGTTGAGACTTACTTAAAGTTGCGACTGTATGGATCACATGCTATCGTATCGATTGGACACCTCCGAATTGTCATTAAACTACCGACACGATTTCTCATCTTCTAAAACTCCCAATCATTGTCTTGCAACGACGGTTACTACGCAAAAGCTGAAATGCTTAAGACTCAGGAAGAGTAAGATGTATTTTGTAATGAAAGCAATGTATTATGTGGCGTCCGCTAATATACAGTAAAGATAGACGGTGTTGTTCGTTCAGTTTTGCTAATGGTTGTTCAACGCTGCATGAAACTGCTGTTACGGAACCGGTTTCTGGCGAGTAAAGATAGAAAAGAAAATAAGAAGGATCTCTCACATCTTTCTTTCCGAAGGGATATGGTCGCTTTCGTCCTAGCAATTTTTTTCGTTTTTCTTCATGATTGACCGTCATCACCGAGAAAGAATCCGTAAAAACGCCCACTTGAGCCATCCTAACGTTTCAAATTCACGTCGAAATACGTTTAAGCTTGTGTAGACACCGCTCCGTTCGCTCTACGACGATTTCATCCCACACACACGAAAGCAGACAACGGTTGACTGAGAGAAACGGCTTGGGCTTTGCAACTTCATTACAAGGCAATTCAGCGACTAGAACAACGTCAGTCCACGTATAAAGGTGAGTACGCCATTGCTATTCATGTCAAGTCAGAAGTCTGGCATTAGTGCTGCTCATGTTCGTTTGAATTGACATGTGTCGTTGAAAAGTGTCTTTTTGGCATAATATGCATTGGTGCCTAGTTCTCCATGTACTATAAATGTATTTCATACTCGGAAACTGATACATTTACCGTCATCCTAGCTAGCCACAAACCTCATATAGTATAGCTGTCACAACCCAACATCAACCAACTCATTACAAAAACATGAGATTTGTCCGTGCTAAAATTGGCGAGTTCAACGGAGCTCCATTCTATCTCTACACATGTAAATCCAACTCGACACACTACCTCAACCAGAACGATGTAGACACGATCTTCTTAAAGAGAGCTGAGGGTGTTGCTGCACATATATTGCCAGCATGGAAGAACGCATCACGTTACATGTTCCAAACACCAACAGACACAATATTTCTATCATTCGAAGCATTGGCTAACATCGCAAACAAGCTGCAAGTCAAGGAATTGCAGTCGCTGGTAAATTGTAGTAGAGATGAGATATGTAGTGGAAAGGCCAACCCATCATTAGTCAAGACGGGCTTGCAAGCATATAAACGGGCTATGGAAATAGTAGAAGAGGATTTGGAAGTCATTGATACGGATATTGAAAATGTTCAAACAGAGGCGAGTATCAATGATGCCTGTGTTGGTTCAAGTCAAACATGATGCTAATCAATCATTTCTGTTTTAGGCTGTACCACAAACTGCAGAGCCTGATTCTGATGAAACGTATGCCATGTTCAATAAGTTGTCATTTATTCTCCGTTTTTTCTTTGCTAATACACTCATTGGCAAAATAGGCCATCCGAATCATCAGCCACTAAAAGAACCCGTGCAGGTGACGCAGCAGTAGGCGAAGAAGACTCGAAATCAAAACGTAAACGTCTTTCCATCAACACCACTGTCGCCAGCCCAAAGGACGACCACATGACCTCCCCACCATCAGAAACCAATCGCAGGAACAGTCGTAATTCAGCTGGATTGTCTATCCAGACCAGCCAAACACTCCCATCTACCGCTATTGCTGCTCAGACATTAGCACAACTAGCTACCGGCAATTCTGCAGGGGATTTACCAACCAATGCGCCAACTCACCAAACTAGCTCAGTTGTAAAACCACCCGTATCTATGGCTCCTCCACCACCAACTCGTGCACCAGGCGCAGGAGCTACAACACGACCAGTTAGTAAATTAGCGCCACGACCATTACCACCTGTAGGATCTCATCCATCACTCGTTTCACCAAAAACAGAGTTTGGGCATTCTATAAATAGCAACGCTCCCAGCGATAACATGGCTCCTCCTCCAAGATCACCACTCCACATGCATCCACCACCATCCCCATTATACGCCAACAGTAATAGTAGCACCAGCAACCCTCATAGTCAATCAGGAGTACCGATGACACCTACAACAACAACAGCAGCAACAGGGTTCCCTGTCTCTCGCCAAAACTTTATGTCTATATTCGAAACCATGTATGACCAGGTTGAATCTAATGCTAGACTCAGAGTCACTCTAGAAGAACAATTACGATCATCTGCCCGCTTGCTTGCTACATTGCAAGCTTCTGGTGCCATGATTGAAACGCTTGTCCGAACACAGTTTCGAGAAATGCAGCTGATTTATGGGGAGAGGTTTGGGTCTGCGTTGACCGATTTGAATAGGAGGATGGTGGCTATTGAACAACTTGTTGGGATGGATACTACCGCTGGTGGTAGCAGTAATGGTACTACTGCTCCTGCTCCCGCCACGACAACCCCAGCTGCTACAACTAGTAATAATAATGTCATCCGCATTCCAGTGACTCCAGGCACAGATGGACCATTGACTGCTGGATTAGGTGGATTGGTTGGCAGTGCAAGCTCGTCTCATATGGAAGCTGGTATTAAGGCCTTGTCGGAACGATTAGAAACTGCCACGGAAAAGGCATCGTCGTCGTCATCGTCATCTGAAAAAAAGGTTGCCGACGCATAAGAGGAATAAATAACCCTATATGGAATGGCTGTTTGTTTACTTGGAGAGTGAGACGTAAAAAGTTAGAGGTCTCAATGATTGTCTGTATAAATTCCTGCACTTTGCCACATTACAATAAAATACACGAAGATTTGACTAGTAATTCTTTTTACTTGTGGTAAAGAAAAGAAGATTTGACTAGTGACTTTGTTCACCAGCGGTTCTGATCTCTTCTCGCGTTTCGCTCAATTCTTGTGCCTATATCCTATAGCGCCAACTGCGCCAATAAAACTTGGCAAGTTATCCTATGAAGGTACCGCTCCTAGACGGCTCTGAACAAGCAGGGGGCAGCATCAAGTCATGGATGTCAAAGCAGAATCCAGCCAAAATAGCAGCCATTGCTATATCGGTTTTCGCGGTCCTTCTGTACCTTTCTGAATTCGCGTCCTTGTTTTCGATATCAGTTATCGAGCCAGTGAGTCTTCCAGGCAGCCAAATGGAATCTATAGACACGTAAGCCTATAAGACATATCTAATAATTAACTTCTGCCGTTGCTCTCTTTGGTTTTCTCCACACATCAAACTAATCTGTATTTTTCGTAGCAATAGCACGAGTCTCGTCAGAAAGCAAGTTCTGATTGTGACCCTGTATTCATCGCGAGAGCATCCTGAATATGTCGACATGAAGAATCTCACGTGGCCGAATAAAGTCGCTTATGCTGAACGACATGGGTACAATAAAAATCGACCCCAACGTTGCCAAATTGCCGTCATGACTAAGACTTTTTCTCGCATGTAACACTTAGATATGGAATAGTGGACGCGTACGACTATCCACTCGTACAGAAGTTCAATGGACCTGATATCGGATCAAGTAAGAACTGTCAACGAGACCCACCCAACTGAACGCGAAGACGAGGCAGACACAAACCTGGCACCATTGATTTCCAGCATTTTCGAAACACTGAGCACTCTTTTCCTGCTAGACAGACAGTACCTGAAACTCGTCAGTATCATATCCGCACTAGAAGACACGTCACGACCAGACTGGATCTTATGGACGGACTCTGACTCCATCTTCTTAAACTTTTCGAAAACTGTGGACGAGCATTTAGATGAACGCTATAATTTGATTCTGAATGGGTGTGGGAAGCCTCCGCTTTTCTGGTAAACGATGTTGAGCTGCTTGACAATAGAGGGGGGTTTTTTTCGCCCAATCTCACATAACCATCATTATTAGGAAGGTGATAAATTCCGGTGTGATGTTCATCAAAAACACACCCTTCTCGCGTGATTTCTTCACATACCTATGGCAGCACGCGCTGATACACCCAAACGAGTGCCCAAAAGACAAGAATGGACATAGCGTCGACGACACGCATCCGTTGGGAGTCATGAATGGGTGGCTGCACTTCTGTAACGGTGGGAATGTATGGCTGAATGATCAGGGGCTGATTATGCTGACGTTGCGTGTTTCGCCGAGAGAGTTGTTATGGTATGATGCTGCAAGGACGTCTTGTTTTTTTGGCCACGCTGGAGACACGATGTTATACATTTTAGGCATTATCCAAGTAGAAATGACTCATTGGACTGTCATGTGAAATATGTTGGGAATAGAGGTACGGGTTGTTGCAACCAGTGTTTAAAATTCTAGAAGCATTGACCATAATGTTGCGCTCGTTTTTCTCTCACTAAATTCGAATTCGTTGCGCGTCTAGATTTCAATAGTGTGCCAGGCTGGTACCTGCCAGGAGACTTTATAATACATCTGGTATGTCTCTACTACCAACATTTGAATCTTTGACCACCATCGACTCCACGAGTATAAATCACTCTTAAACCCCCTTTTTGCCTCATTCAACCAAAATAGCCAGGAAAACAACACGAGGAACGAGTAAAAATATTCAAAGAATTCCTCCGACTCACGGACTTTAACAATGGATCTCTGGACTACATGCTGTCACAAGATTTGATTCTGAAACCGAACTTCTTTTATGCTGCTGATGTTACTCCTGATCCAAGTGATTGGACTGACGATTGGGAAGGGAAGCATGGATGGAATTATACTGAAGCGCCTTGTCAGGAAAATCTGGTCTAATTGCTTATATATTGTAATATGTGCACTGCATGCATCGTCTGTAACTTAACATTAATGTCAACAACTGTAACAGATTTGATTAATCCTCAACCACATTTTCTGCATGTACATTTATTCTGTCAGCATAGAACATCTTCATAAACTACACGTTATTTCAATACATCAATCGGACGCAAATGGACAGGGATTATTGTTTTACTTTCCTGTTTTGAATAAAGGAGAGAGATCAGACACCAACAAAAAATCATCATCAGAAGTGTTGATACTTACTACTTCCCAAAGGGCTTGAACCATTTAGGCCTTTTAGTGGTATCTGTGGTACGTCTAGACCTCATTGACTGAGAATCCACATCATCATCATCTGTACCAGGAACTCTTGATGGTGGTTCACCAAGTGTTCTTCCCCCACCCCAGGTGGTAGCAGTATTTGACGACGATCCACTACCCCATCCTATATCTCCTGATGGCGGTGGAGTAACATCAGGCCATCCATTGCCGTTGTTGGTGTTGGCAGTAGCAGAATTATCGGATGTGGGTTGAGACCATGATGGTGCTGAACCTGATGTGCCATTTTCTGTTGATGTTGCTGCTGGTGTTGTATTTGATTCAGCAGGTGGTTTCTGATCGACATCCATAGGCACTACAACATTCACGTCCTTTGGTAATGGGTAATCCTGTAATTTCATAGCCGATGCAGACGAGAGACATGGACCACCGACTAATCACCAAAAATAAAATTAATCCAAGTGAGGCAAAAAACTGCGGATTATTCTAGAAGCATATGCTGAACGCTGACTAGTACTTTAACTTACTCGTGGTAGCTCCATCTCTCCATGCAAAGTAGACAAGAGTTGCTGGAGCCAATCCAGACTTCCAGAATGATTCGTCGTGATCAGACAGGATTTTCATAGGAGGGGTGACGTGCAGAGTGAATTCACGTTCTGGAGAAGCGACGGCATCTCGAACAGTCGAATACAGAGCTGACACTAAGAGTAGTTACGTGTGTTAGACTCATATGTACGGTGAACATGAGCTTTTTTGGTGCGTAAGCTCACATTTTTCTGACGAAAAGAATTGAGCTTGTAGTGTAGTCCTATCCGGGAACCTGACTCGAATCATAGTCTAAAAGTTTGTTTAAGTATTGTGAGCATTCAAACATTACCAATGGGTAAAAACCGGGCCAAAAGATATCGAAACACACTTTAGGCCATTTTTGAGTTTTCAGCTGTGTTTCCTTTTCTCTCATAGCACGAGTTCTTAGAACCTGAGTCTCTTCCTTGATACGACGATTCTTGGCTGAATCAAGTAATAGTTTCAGCTCGACGGCAGTAAGCTCATAGAAACTGTCAGGGAGCTCGACTGTTTTTCAAAAGTAGCACGTGTTAGAACTGCGTGCTGGTGCTTGAAAATCATGAGAGGATTCACATACTTCGACCAGGACCAATGATATTGTCTGGTGGAGGTTTGAAGAACCTTATGTCTCGTTCCAAAGTGCCCTAATTGATGGTGGGTGAATGGCAGCTAACAAAGCAAAAACGCTAATGGTATACTTTAATTGTCGAACTTACAGTTGACTCTGGAGTCTCCGATAATTGAGAGACAGTCTCAACCTCAGGAGCTGTCTTGACTGCTTCAGGGACTGTATCGACTTCCATCATATTACCCATTGTATCTGGCGAAGCTGGTGGTTGGGCGATGTCGACTTGACTCTCTGTTGGAGCTGATGGTTGAACAATTTCGAGTTGACTCTCTATTGGAGCTGATGGTTGAGCGATTTCGACTTGTCTCTCTGTTGGAGCTGACGGTTGCACCACAGGTTGGGACATTGGCTGTGCAACTATTGGTGATCTAGGAGTGGGCACAGACTCGGATGGATGTGGTATTATAGAAGGTGTAGATAGTATTGAGGGTATTGGTGTAACTGCGACTGGTGGTGGTATGAATGCTGTAGTGCTGGAAGATGATGGTTGTGGTAGTGGTATTGCTGCTGATGTTGATCGTGCAGGTATGACAGCTGGCGCTGGCACAACGGCAACAGGTTTTGGTTGTTTAGGAGCTTCAATCTCTTTCTGTGCTTGTGCTAACGTCATGACACTGTACCGATAAAGCAATCGAATCACTCCATTTCCAGAAGTCAATCCAGCAGAAGCCAAGGTGTTTGTTTTGAGGTCTTGTATGGTAGCATATTCCTTATTCATGAATATGCAGACGGGCATCATATATACAGGAGTGTTTTTCTTTGCCAATTCCAATACAGCTCCAAGAAGCGTTCCGTGTTTTTCTTTTGGTGGTATTTCGGATTTCTGAGTTAGGTTCAACGATCTACGTCAGAGAGATGTCATGTTACAATCAATGCGAGCTTAGGGGAGAAAAAAGGCCACCTGCAAGCTACCGTACCCATTGGATGTGGATTCAAAGTTGACCAAGATATGCCAGAAGGTGACATTGGGCGAGAACTTGGCCATGAGTCTGCCTCCATCTTCGACTTGGAGAGCAATGCTGACTTCTGAAGCTACAGCACCTGTTTGAAAAGGGAATTAAAGCAGCAATGACAAAAACGGTTGCAGCAAGTATTGTCGAATTACCAGGAGCACTTGCAGTCTTAATCAAGGTCAACTTTGCGCCAGCAGCCAGATTTGCAAATCTCACAGATAAAGACAAGTCCAAAGTATTCTTTTGGTATCTAGAGTAGCGTAATGTACGGGTGAGCAAGCTTCATCCAAATAAGTATCAAATGTTGCAGCAAATGCAAACACGACATGTGGCTTACTTGAGACCATAAGTTCCCGGATCCTGCAGCTTCAATTTGTCGACAGCCTGGTCAGCAATTTGACGCAAAGACATGGTAGGCGTTGTCTTGATTGCGACCTTTTTATATGGGGCACCGTCTAACTCAACGTTGACCATGGATGCCATGATGACAAGGCAAGAATGAAAATATAGTAAACAAACTGCTGTATATGTGATCTTGCTCTCTCAAGACCTATAGGTTGTTTGTTGCTACGATGGAAGCCAAGAGCTGACGTGTTCCAAGCAGTCTGTCAATGACGAAGAAAGTCATGGAAGAACATCAAGCAGCCAAAAGAATTGATTTGTTGTGTCAATGCGGTGAAATCTACCACGTCAAATCGCGTCGAAACCTTATTCTGACTTGAAAATGTTGTCACAAAACATGCGAACTTTGACGACAATGGCGAAGACCAAAATCTCGCGTCCGCCTATAGCCCCATAGGTGTAGGCTGTCTACTCAGCGATGTTACGCGTTATACCTGATTATCAACAGATACTTGGTCTCTTTCACCACTCCTTCACCTCTGATCTCGGCTCAAACCGAAATTTCAAGTTAATAATCATACAGGAAAAGGACGCTCATGGCTTCTGGACGAGATATTACTGCCATAATCCAGGAAGACTGGGAGAACAGAGATCTTGTCGAGAACGTGACTCTCGGAATCAAACAAATGACGGACTTTTTAAACAAATTTGGTATGTGTAAAGAAACATGATTGTCAAGCGGCACTGGAGAGAAGGCGCATCTCGTAGCGTTTGGCCTCCTTGTACTATTCGTATATCTTCCTTCGCCCGCTATGCCTTAACAACTCAACACTTACCCACATCAATCAACCTGAATCTCAGACATACACGCGCGACACAATTTGGCCAAACTGAATGAGAAATTGTCGGTAATCGAACGTCGATTGACTTTGCTAGAGACTCGGGTACGTATATCAACACATCGAGATCTACTCTGTAACTACATAGAACGGCTGTCATTTATCCTCGACTTGAATTGATTCGTGCTTTCATAGGCTGTCAGTGCTCTAGATGCCAAGCAACTACACACTGAGAATACAGAAAATATCGAAAATGGTGGAAGTGCAGAATTGTCGCCCTGATCAATCTCGTTATCAGACTAGCCGTATATCACACATATGTACCCACACACACAGTAGTAAAAGAATGGATCGTTTAATCTCTAGATCTATAATTATATCAAATCAATCATAAACGACACCAGGGCCCGTTTATGTTCTCGTGGAAAAACTTCCGTAACAGGTTCAATCACAGGTGTTTTTCACACCAACTCAGCAGCAAAGTTCTCGTCAAACCAAGACCGTGAGCTAGTTCCAAAAACAAACGACGTGATTTCAAGCTCGACTAGACTCTAATAATGTCAGCTGACGAAATCCTACGTCACATAATCCGTGACGTCTCTGCACGTGCAACACGAATCCTTCGAACCCAACGAGCTCAACATCCACCACTCGTAACCGCCATATCAGCCGCCACACTACCAACCACTTTATTCGCTACGACACCATCAAATCCATATGCCGGTGGTGTTTCAGATCGTTTGTCTGCCTTTGTTATTCGCAGTATTGTTATGGATGAACGTGAAGGATTTAGAATTGAAGCTGAAATGACGAAAGAGCAGGTTGAAAAGCTGGTGAAACGCGCTTCTGATTTGACGGGTGGGGCTGTTGGTGGGATTGTGTGGGAGACTGTTAGGATGCAGGTTGAGTTTGATGGCGGATTTGGAAATCAAGGTTGGTTACATAGAAGCTGCAAAATAGTTGATTTATTTGCATAGAGGTTGAGTTGAAAATCCCTTTTTTGCTAGCCGAGTTTCTGTCCAAGGAGAAACAAGCTCGAATTCAAAGTGTGTCGAATGTCGCAAAGGAGATTTTGGAGGCTAAGACCAAGTCGATCGCTGCTTACGACGGTATGCATCTGTTTCAATGTTTCAAATCCAACATGTTGATGTTGCTAATACATCAACTTTTGCAGCTCTCTATGGCAAAATCATAACGTATTTACTGGCAAGATCATACATTGGATCACCTACAGATTTGAAGGCCGTTCGTGAAACTACAGGTACCAATTCAATCAGAAGAATTTGATTCTCATCATTCTCAACTTGTTCATGTTTCTTTATAGCTGCTCTTGAATCTGTCTTCCCACCATCAGAATTGGGAGCCTTCATTGCTCTCGGCAGACAAGAACGAGAGGCACAATTAACAGGTCTCATGCAACTCGTCATGGGAATTAGATTGTTCAATATGAAGCTTGGAAAGGGTGGTGATTCTATTGAAAAATGTGAGAAGCTCTTCCCTTATCATTTCTTCTTTGCCCATAACCGATGAGCAGCTTAACACGAATTTGACTCTTAGTGCCCGATCTGTGTAATCGCGAATTACGAGAACTTTCCGACCTAGTTAAGACAATGATGACCTCTTCCGAAAATCTCGTGCAAGTTTATTCAGGTACTCGTGTTGGAGGAATTCATTCCAACAAAAAAGGCATTTATTGACCGTTTTATGGTTTCCATCATTACAGCCGCAATTCAATTCCTCTCACAGCAAGAATATGCACCCGAAACACCATCAATCACTCAGCTGAAATCAGGCCTAATTTTTCAACGACAACTGTTAACCTACTTGGACGCTCTTGAAGATACGTGCCAAAGATCAAATACGGCATTGACGGCTCTCAGCGCTCGTTTCGAGTCAAGTATCCAGGAATTGAAATCCACGTGTCGGGCCAAGACTGCTGTGCCTGTTGATCAAGTTTACGTGAGTAACCTGAATGGCTCACCTCGTTTCCATTGTGTCTCACTGTGTTTAACGCTTTTTCGATTTCCTAGCCACAATTCATTGCTATCTCAGCCTTATGGATGGCATGGCTAGATGAACTGTACTTGCTAGCATTTAGACAAGGACTCGTATCACAATTAGAAGCTCATTCCCGGAATGCCTTTGTGGAAATTCCAGAATCGTTGATGAATTCTCTTGATCCATTGAAACGGGACATTGAACCTGAGATTCTTAATGGTATGTCAAGAGCGTGCCATCCTTACGACTTTGATTAAGCTCGTTTTTTTAATTTTTCTCGCTGATATGTATTTCTCTGGATAGATCAATCAATCATTGCACGTGCAACAGAAGTCATGGTTGCCATACCACCTTTGAATCGTGCTATAGAAGTCATTCATCCTGGAAACTCGACACAGTATTGGAAGTTGCCTGTTGAATACGGCGTATGTATTGCCATATCTCCTTCCACACTTCGTGCCATCACTAACATCCCTACGGTCAAACAGGGATACTGCCCAGTAACGCTAGTCCAACAACAAGGCCTTCTTGTACCCGGCGACAAATCGATCTGCCTCTTGAAATACCGATCACGGTTGTTTGCTGTAGCTAGTAAAGCATGCGCTCTAGCATTTGCCAGAAACCCAGACGGAATCATGGAACAAGTGCTGGAATGGGGTCGCCAAAGTCCTGACTTGGTGGGAGTCTTGTGTTTGGCCGGGTGGTTTCCTACTGTGGAAGTCTTAGATAATGTGAGTTTGTGGATTATTCGTGACGAGAACAAAAAAACGACTGTCTCAACCTCATCATTACGTAGGCAAAATTCTTCCCCAAGAACAAGCTCTTTACAAGACCACCGCTATGTGCTGATGCTGCAAGCCAAGTCGATACGCATATCGTGGACCAACATGTGGATCCAAAGTACCAGTGGAATGAATGGGAGCTTCGAAGGCAGGCTTTGATGCTGGTAAGTGAAACTTTGAAATGTTTGGAAACATGAGACAAAAAAACAATGTAATTGGATTTTGTAGGTCGCACTGAAAACCAAACTGACACATTCAGCACAAACGGATGTTTCACACTTCCGACGCGATTCTGAGACTCAGCACTACCAGCCAAAGTAAGTGCTTTGAAGAATGATTGAGATTTTTGTGTCATCAGTGATGTCTAATTTTGCCCTTTGTTTTGCAAATTACCAGAGTCCAAGAAACGCAAACAAGACGTGACGCAGGAACAACCATACCCAAGAAAGTCAACTATATGGCTGGTCTACGTGGAAGCACTCAACCAGGAAAGTTCAAGATACTGGATTTGACAATAGAACGGAAGTAATAGCAGTAGTAGTGGTTTCTTGGATTGTTCTTCTTTCTTAAGATGATACATTTTAGTCAAGATTACAACGTTTGGTTTGTTTTCGAGTGGTTTTGGTTTCGGTTTTCAACACAAGCTGCTTGGTTCACTGCTAAGTAGATTTATACACTTTGAAGCTCAACTGGTTCTTCTCAGCCTTAGTAGTAGACTTTCTGTCGAAAGGAGGAACAAGCTAGAATTTGAGTATACCTGCCATAGGATACATTTCGCTGTCGCATTGATTGAAACAACGACGTTTGACTACATCAATCCATGTTGGCTTCCATGGACATTGGCAAGATCGTGGAAAGGATCACCTACAGCTTTGAATCCTCGTAAATTTGGAGGAACTACCTGTAGATGTACAGAATTTGGAAATTTACCTTTAATGCTGACTTTTGTGTTTTTAGCTGCTTTCAATCCTGTCTTTCCACCATGAGAATTGGAAGCTGTTATTGCAGGCGTTTGACAAGAACGAGTGGCACAATTAGCAGGACTCGTGGAGCTTGTCATGAAGAACTGGATTATTGGTATAAGGCTTAGCCGTGGTGATAATGCGATTGAAAAATATTGGAGCAGTACACTATTCGATTTTTCGTTCCACCATAGACGTTGAAACTTACAGCACTTTTGATTTATTAGTGTCTGATCTGTTCGATTGAGAATGACGAGGAATTTCCGACCTACTCAAGAAGATGACGTCCGGTTCTGAAATCATGTACATTTTGCACTCAGCTAACACTCTAGTACTGGGTCAGTTTGCTCTCACCCTTTGGCAAAAAACATTGATATCAGCGCTCGAGCCCTGCATCATTATAGCCCGCCATTTGAGCAAGTTTACACGTCTAAAACACCGTCAATCACTCTACTGATATCAGGCTAACCTTCTACGTTGAGAATTCCCTTTTTTGTGCGCATTGATGCACTTGACCAAGGAGAAATTCAGCATCAACTATTCCCGAAACAAGTCAATTGTATGGCTGATCTTTGTGGAAAGACTGTGCCAGTGTAAATTCAAGATACTGGAGAACCACAATGGAACAAAACTAGTAGCAGTCTTCTCAGCGTTTTCATTTCATAAGATGATATATTTTACTCAGCATCCTCTTTTTAAATTGTTTTCCAAGTGTTTTGATTCGACTAGCAGCTCCTTTCTTTACTTCATACACACCAAAAAAGGTGTGTTCCATATCAAGCCTCTCCAACTGCAGACCTCCTTTTTAATCTCGAGTAAGAGCCTCAATAATCTCATCCACATCATCATCGAATAGAGCTTCATCGACCTCAGCTTCAACAAGGAGATCATCTTCATCGTCATCTTCCTTCTTGGGTGGAATCAAGACGTCGTTTACGACATGAATGGTACCCTGGCTAGTGAAGGCATCTGGGAAGACGACTGTAGTGTTGCCGTTGACTTTAACCTAATTTAAAAATCAGTGTGTTAATATCTATGCTTGACCAGCCCAAAAAACCCTCAAAACATACCAATTCAAAGGTATGGTTCTTCCACTCCCTCTTGACAGAAGTAAGAGTAATCTCAGCACCATTCAAGGTTGGAACGACGACGGGCTTGTCTGCGTCGAATACAGCGTTACTGTAGGCTATGGCTGGGACAACGTGGTAGAGCAGGATAGCCTTGAGTTCTTCCTTGTGCAAGAAGAGGTATCGGAGCGTGGGCATTCCGAGCTAAAAAAAAGGGCAATTGACGGCTTAGGATAGACTGGAGGCACAGTCATACTCAAACATATGCAATACCTTTCGGAAAGCACGGTTGGGAGGTGCAAAGACAGTGATACCCTTGGCTTCCTTGATGGTATCAATCAAATCTACATGCTTCAATGCAGCCAGTAATAGAGCGAATTCACGTTTAAAGTACCAGAAGACTGCGAGAGTTGGTGGTGGTGGACGTAAGATACGGGTGATGCCGTGGACTACACCGTTGCTAGCTTCAATATCGGCGTCAAAGACTTTGGCAAAGTTGACGAACTGGATTGGGTAGATTGGGTTTGGGAGTTGAGTGTGAGTTTACTTTGTACAAAAAGACCCCACAACAGAAGATGGCACTGAATCACAAATACTCACGACTTTTCCATGGAAAGCAAAGACCTTGACGACTTGTGGCTTGTCGTTAAGGGTAGGCAAGACTAGGGAGGTTTCGAGGATGTCGCCGAATTCCAAGTCTTTGGATGGTAGTTTCTCTTGAATGACATGGTATAAGAGAACCTTGGTGATGAACTCGGGAGAAGGCATTGGGTGACCTGGAGGCAGACGTTTTCGTGCTGAAAGAAAGATTAACAATGGCGAATCTTACGCTTATTAGCAATGAAGGTTTGTTGCAACCACTATGTATTACACACACCATTTCTGAATGCCCAGTTTCCAGGAGCAAAGACAGTCAACTCCAGAGTTTCGTCTTTAAGAGTGTCGACTAGCTCAGGACGTTCAGTTACGAGGTGGGCCAAGATCTTGAATCGTTCATCCCCGGCTACAACGTCCAAAACGCTGGCTGAAGCATTGCCTGTTTGTTTCGAAGAATGATAAGCGTGCAAAACGAGTATACGGTCTAGATATTCACACATACCAGGGTTATGGTGAGGTGGTGGATGAGGTGGGTGTGGTTCATCAGAGTCGCTGGGCATGGGATATTTAGGGTATTTTGGAATTGGAAGTCCAGTTGGAGCGCCTGGAGTACCTGTTGGCTTTCCTGTATAGAAACTATATTGTTAGAAACATAGAAAGTCGATACACGACGCAAAATAGTCAACCAACCTGGAAACTTTCCAGGTGGACCGGGATGTTTGGGTGGGCCAGGCTTCTTGGGACCACCAGGATGCTTGGGGATTGGCTTCTTTGGAGGGCCGCCAGGTAGATCGGTGGGCTTTCCTGGGAAACCAGTAGGAGCACCGGGTATCTTTGTAGGAGCACCCTTTAGAAAAGAACATTCAAGTCAGTACACTGCGAATGAGCTGGAATGGTCGAGAGCATTCAACTTACTGGGTATCCGGTAGGCATTCCAGGATAAGCAGGATCCTGTATAGGCATGGAATGCGTTAGAAGTCACAGTTGATTGCAAACCCAAATCTTCCAGTTTACCTTTGCTTCGACTTCGACTTCATCGTCGTCACATTCATCGTCATCATCCTTCCAGTTGCTTGGAGGGAAGATACCCTTGAATTCCTTTCCGATTTCAGTTTGTCCCTACAATGACAAACCGGTCAGCACATATGCATCGTGACGTGATGCTATGTCTTTATGGAGACGAATGCTGCATTGAGACTAATGTTCAGCGACTCACCAAATGCTTGATAAACTTGTAGAATGGGACTTCGAGAGCATCTTCGACTTCATCGATGAGCGATGCCAATTTCTTTTCGACCTCGACAATAGGCTTTTCCTGGCCAAAGAATGGAATCCATAGTGCGTTAACGGCACTAAAGTAGACCAGTAAGATGCTCAATAATGTGAGCGAACGCATGGTGCTGTTGGGTGATAATTTGAAAATTGTCAGTATTGACCAAGGAGACAAACGCAATAGGCAATGCAGGAAAGAGGGGGGCGATAACCGACAAAGGAGTACTACACAAACGTACCAGACAATAATATGCACTTGTTCACGATACTAGATAGTTTGGGTTTTGTGGTGATGACGCTTGACGAGAAGATTCCTGAACAGCAACGGGTGATTAGTGGATATGAGCAAAACAGTTTCAGAAGATGGAATTGTTCGCTCTTATGCCGGACGTGACGTGTCAAATGACAATTAATTTGGATGTAATTTTGCTTTGCTTTTAAATCTGTCGTGGTCGTGCTCTGCCACGTTGAAGCAATGGGCTTGGAGCATCGTGCGGAAGAACTGGGACGAACTGTGTATAACAACAAGGAATATATATTTAGATTTCATGGACTGTTATGCGCGCATCTGTCCATCCGATACACATATTGTGTTGCCTCAATGCTGAAATGTTTGGACAGCTTGAAAATCACAAGTTTAACGAGTGTGTTTTATGTGTTTGATACGTGTTGATCTAGATTGATCTTGCTACTGTGAGATTGATCAAATGATCGCTTGCCTGTGTTCTTACAAGATCACGTCTCAATGTCGCTGTACGTTCGTCTCTCTCAAACATTCAACAAACCAAGCACACAGTCAAGGAAGGCAATCGCCGTGCCGTAAAGCAGAAGAGTTGATATGAACTGATCAAATGACAGGATCTGAATCAGTCCGGAAGTCGCTGTATACAAGGGTAGGCACAATCGAGCAAAGTCAGGCTTTTTTTGGTCACGACCCTGGCCTATACTGCGGGGAGAGAAGCCACTTGTTAGAATGACAGATTGAATAGATCAGTCGCAACATATCTGATCACATGCACTTGGCTCACCGCCTCCTATTCTTCATTTCATTAGAACACATCGACATCAAGTGTTTGCATCGCATCAATCAAAACACACCGTCACTTCAACCTGCTTGCTTGACAACAAGATCACACCACGAGAACTGTATACTAGTTACTATGAACGGATCAAAAAGACCTTCCACTACGATAGAGTTTGCCAAAGATATCTCTGTTCCAGCTCCAAAAGTCAGGGAACTCGCACAGTCTGAGAGGTTTAAAGGATATGTCCAGTATACGAAGGCCGCTGCTACTGATCTCTTTAGGAAGTGGTGCCATGAATTTTGTATTGCTACTACCCAAGGCCTATACTTTTTCAAGTCGTCAGACATAAATGAATATGCAACACTATATATTGCCATGAACTCCACCACAAAGGTATACTCGTCAACACCCAATTCGAGACCGACCATGGCTATACTGAATGGCAAGACGGTGTTGTACTTTGTCCCAGACAGGTAAGTCTTGGGGAAGACTTACAAGTAGGGTGAAGTGGTTGACATTCTGCTTTCCATAGTGGCAATCTGACACCGTGGAAGGATGCCTTCAAGGAAATCATGGCAATGGACAAGTTCTCGAGAATGTCTTTACCAAGGTTCGATTTGCACATTTGTTACAATCAGTAGACACTGCCACTAACATCTTCTCACATTAGCATACCACCACCTCCGCCGATTCAGATGCAACCTAGTATACAAACGCCACAATCACCATCGCAGCAGCCTGCACCACAACGCAGCCTCCCATCTAAACCATTACCGCCAATACCAACGAATGTACTTGTAGACCGCGCTTCACCATTATCCCCACCACCAACGCCCACAGACGACATTCATGGTATGGGTGAACTACCAATACCTAGCAGACCGAGGTCCGGATCAGTCGACTCTACGAGATCCACAGGCAGCCAAGAAAATAAGCTACATCCAACAAAGAGGCACGGAAACTCCTTCTCGTCTGGATCATCATCGCCAGTGCCGCTGAGACCACTCAGGAACTCGGTCCTTTCTGATAAAAGCGTAGATTCCTTCCACACAATTAGTAGTACCACGAGTAAACGGGCATCGAATGATATGATGTCGCCAATACCTGCCGCACTCGAGTTGCTGGATGCTATGCAGGCGGCTCATGCTAATCAGAGTGATCGTCATAGTAATAGTAGTAGCAGCAGTGGTGCTAGTGCTGTTGGTAGTGCTGATGGTAACTCTGTAGATCAGGAAGTTAGTGGTTGGTCTATGCTCTGGAAGCATTCGAAGGATATGCCTGCAGGGGCGGATGATTTGGTAGATGCACTGGATCGTGTCACCGTAAACGATGAGGAGGAAGGATCTGTGTTGTCGTGGCATAGCCTAACAACCTCTGACACCTGATTTTACTTTTGTACATTGTAGTTTCGATCTGACACGTTTTTCTGTAATTTGACACGATTGATATATAGTATATATTCACAGACACGCTCGGGTTACGGTGTTGTTGAGTTTCTATATTCAATTATTGTGATCAGGAGTGTACCATTTTTTTCGATTAAATATGACTTCTATGGAGATGGACGACGACTGGTTGCAGAGGTCAATGGTAGCCTTGCAAGAGAGGCGGAACACTAAATCATCATCAGCAGTGAAGCCTGTTCCGGAACTGGACGTTATTCAAATGTAAATGTCGTTTTTTTTCTGCAAGCTTTCTTGACTTTACTCTCACCGTATAGGCTAAACCACCTACATAAATTACATAGGCCCGTACAAATCAACTCTGGAATCCCAACCGCGCACCCTTATTTCGATAAAGATCAACACGGTGTCGCTCGCATCAAAACATCAAAACTGAATCCATCGTCGGCACCAACAACCCAAACCACCAATATACCCTTCAACGTATCTCAGCTCCCCGATTCGAAAACCAAATCAACCACAGCAGGTCCTGAAACAGCTGGCCCCAAATGGTTTGATATGCCAGCAACAGACATCACCCCCGAAATCAAACGAGATTTACAGATATTAAAGAATCGACATGTGCTAGATCCAAAGAGGTTTTATAAGAGGCAGGATAAGAAGACGGCGAAGGACTTGCCAAAGTTCTTTCAGGTATTTGCGTTCGAGTGTGTTGTATTGACTGACCAAAAAACACTGAATCAAACACGATTGAACTAGATCGGAACGATTGTAGAAGGTCCTGCAGAATTTTATTCAGCTAGAATACCACGTAAACAACGAAAACAGAATCTGGTGGAAGAGTTGTTGCAAGATGCTGAAAAGTCCCAATACCTGAAAAAGAAGTTTGATGAGATTCAGGCAAAGAAGGCTGACTTTACGAGACGTAGGAGGCCTCAAAAGAAAAAGTAATTTGGAGCTGATATAGTAGTAGCAGTAGTAGTAGTGGTAGTGTTTATTATTGGCATTTTGTAATATAGACAAACAGTAATCAAAAAGGTACAAAACGTTAGGCAAAAACAGTCCAATGATCTATTTGATTATTTACAAGCTGCAAGAGCAATTGTGACGGTACACCGAGTGTCCGGCCAGACATTCGAATGGACCGGCGGCACGAATCAGACGGGCTGACCGGTTGGGACGAAAATCTGCACGCAGAAGTTCGGAAAGAGAAGGGCATGACTCGCTGCATTCCCTTTGCATCCTGATAGAGTGTTGTCTTTAAGAGACAAGCGCTCATCAAGACCCGTCAAAACGACACGTACGAGTGGTGCCAGGATAAACTCGAAAGCTGGCCGTTCAGTCGATACCTATCAGTTGAAATGAGAATATGGAAATGCCCAAAAAAACCAGACACATATTGAAACTATACTCAAAGGCTGATACACATTCAACATTTCACAAGCTCTAGGAGCGATTGTGACGGCAATCGAGTGCCCGACCAGACTTTCGAACTGGACGTCCACCACGACTCAGACAAGCTACTCTTGACAGACAAAAATCTGTAGTAATACAGATTTTCGGGAAGAGACAACCATGAAACTCGCTGGTGGCTCTTCGCGCCCCGATGGCGAACCATTAGGACCCGTCAAAAAGTGCCGCAATAATGTCTCGAGAGGTGGCGACCCCTCCAATTCGAAGCTGGCCGGGCAGTCAATGCCTTGGTTGATTGAGAGAATGAAGCCATAAAACAAGACAATTCCAATACCACCAGTTTGTTTTGGACTAGTGGTGGCCATTTGAGACCCCAGGCTGCCAATAACAATGGTTAGACGCTCCACCGACGCCAGTTGAGAAGCTACTCGAATATCCAAAGCTGCTATGAGCGAAAAAGCATCCATGACGACAACATTAATTATGTTCAAAGTACTTTGAAATCAAACTAATCTGTTATGACAGAGCTACCAAGCTCCAAATGAAGGCACACATGCACCGCTGTGTGTATCCATAACCCCGAGACTTTCTGAGTTCATGATCTCGTTCAACATCAAAAGCTTCCGTCACACTCAAATAATCAAAAGCTTGGAGAGCAAATATGACGGTCCATCGAGTGCCCGACCAGTCATTCGAATAGACGCTCCCCACAATCCAGCCCGGGATTCGGCGAACGAAAACTCTGCATAACAGAATCTTCGAAGAAGGTGAACAACCATGAGCTCGCTGGTTTCTCCCTCTTGCCTCAATGGCGAACCATCAAGACCCGACAAACCTGCCAAATGCTATCTTGTGGGTGACCATTTTCTTCAAAGCTGGCCGGGCAGTCGACATGAGACACACAAGTCGTTTCAATGACACTAGTTTGATGGAGTAGTGCCAGTCTTTGAGATTTCAGAAGGACAATGATGGCAGTTTGGAGGATGTGTATATCGTCTTGTAATGCAAGCAGACAAAAGCTGAAATTGGGCTGTAGATGTTGGCAGAAGGCACCAAACCACAGGAATTCCTGAGAGAGGCACCTGTAGAGTGATGAGCACAATCAATAATGGTGGATTTACGATAAATTCTTGTGTAAACAACGAATGGTTGGTGAAGCTTTGAGTGATTTGACAATAAAAGGAGCAAAGCAAGTCCATAGTGCACCATGATGAACAAGCAAGAAATACTCAAATTATCTACGTACAGTCCTTAGAAGAGAGGGGAGCTCCTGCGAGGTCCGAATGCTGCGTCTCGTGCATACACTGGCCATATGCGACCGAGCGATGGACAGTACGTACCATAGACCAGAGAGGCGTAACCATAACGAACAAGATAAGAGAGCGATTTCCTTCCGTCAATTACCGACTCAATTAAATCAAACAAGTCCCTTGCCGTCGGTGCCTCGTGAACTAGTTGAGATAATAGCACGTGCGATTCTATCTCGTATATGTTTCTTAATTTAAAAAAGATATCTATATATATCTATCTATTATCTACAGTCCAACAATAGTCCCAGAAGCAGCACCACCAGCACCTACTCTAGTACCATCCAACACCACTTCAACTTCAAGGCCCCGTGATAAGAAATTCACGTCAATACAACTGAGCTTGACGTTGCGGCACCCTCTCAAATAGACACGTCGCAAAGATCCATATTTTGTCTCACAAAAGTGTACCAGTCCCTTTGACGATATCGACCCAATCTGTTCAACAAACAACGTATGTACTTGTTTCAAACCAGATAGCTGAACCAGAGTATCATCATTCAATCCTACATTACCACTCAAGTCAAAGACTCGCAGCTTTTGACCGTAGGTTTTAGCGAAATGTACTAGAGCTTTTGAGCCTGATTTTGGTGGTTTGGCACGATCGGATTCCCGTAAAGCGGCCCATTGGATGTTGGATAGGCGTTCATCGTCACCTGGGGTAGCTACTATAGCGGCATCTAGATTGTTATTGGGTGTTGCGGTTACCATTCCGCCAGCTGGTCGAGAAGCTGCTGCTGTAGATGGCCGTGGAGTCACGGGAGGTGGATAACGTGCTAGACGGAGATACAGTAGTCCAGTACAGGTAGTTCCGAGAGCGTCAAGGGTCTTTATATACACAAAAGCAAAAGATAAATCGGCCCATTGTAGCGTTGGCAATGACGAGACAAGCTTAGCCAAATCGTGATCGGAGAATCCTCGATGAGCACTCAATTCTAATTTACGTAGTGTTTTCGTCATTGGTGTTCCTGCTAGTGGAGCTAAATACGACAATCGGGTACTGCCACCATTTGATAATCGAGATGACAGATTCGAGATGGCCAATTCCCGGAGAGTAGTGAATCCAGCTGCTAGCTGTTTGCATGTTTCGGGAGCTATAGCCGCATGGTGCAGTAGCAACGAAGTCAATTTGGGTGCAGTTGCTGTGGCTAGTGGTGATAATCCAGTGGGAGACAGCTCGGAAGCATTGAGTTCCAAGTACTCCAATTTCGATGTTGTCTCAATCAGATTCGAGAAGGTTGCATCGTTTGCTACTACACTGGTGTGTTTGGAATGGAATTTCAAGGCGGTGAGTTTCGTCAGGGCCTATGGTACCAGGTAGCAGGTCAGTTTTTTGCTGTCACACAGCTGTGGCTTGAGGCAAAACATACCTTGGAGTCCACCAAACTCGTCACCAAGTCTGCACTAACTCCAATGTGGACTGTGACTTCGAGGGTGTCTAGTTTCTTCATACGTTCTGCATGCTCTACTAATATGGGAATGGATGCTCGATCAACGACCAAACTCAATTGCTTGAGCTTCTGGCAGCCAGCGAATAACAGAGATAGCGCGTTGGGTTCACTGTCGAATATTACACAATTAAGTTTGAGTACTTCCTGAGACATGAAGACTTATTAGATCACGTTTTAGTCGTTTTTTTGCCAAACACCATCGCTCTATGACTTACAAGATGCGGACAGATTTGGCTGAGTGTCGAAAACGAGAATGTAAAGACACACCAAACTAGCCAGTATCCGCGACCTTGCACTTTAGCATCTTCACCAATCTGAAGCTCTCTCAATGGGAGTATGGCTTTAGAAGATCTTTCTAGGCCCCATGGATATGTTTTTACTCGTGGCGATCCCATAATGTTTATTGATTCTATAGGTAAACGGAAGAGTCGATTGATCCCAAAGGCAGTAATTCGGAAGAGGTATGACAGGTTAATTTGTGTTAGGTTTGGGCAGCTATACGACACGACTTCGAGCGCTGTATCATCGACTTGTTCACAGTGGCTTAGATCCAGACTTGTCAGTGAAGGTAGATGTTGCAAGTACATTAGAGAGCCAGGTTCTACACTTGAGCTAATTCAAAAGAAAAGGGTGTGTTTAGCCAAAAAAACAACAACATACATCAAGAATCACTCGATTGCGCTGCACTAGAAAGCTTACCATCCGTTCAGAGACAAGTGCGTCAATGACTTGAATGCAGGACAACTAAACTGTGACAAGCCAAAGACTTCTAAATCCACATTCGTACACGACAAGGACAAGTGCTTGAGTTTTGCAAATCGTGGAGCGGATGGTCCTGCAGTCAGCAGTAATTCCAACGTCCTTTCAATTGGTGAAGTAATAACAGGCTTCTCACTTCCCATAGCAAACCGATTCGATAGATCGAGCCTCGTCCAGAACTCTGGAGCTGCATATAACAGCTCACACCATAACTGACATATTTGCGTAGATCGTGTTATGGATTTGTAGTCCAGATGTGAGAATATTTTGAGAAGCAACTCGACTGGTAAGCTGTGAATAGGCGTGGAGTCGGAGATCGGAATTGTTTGATAAGATTTCGAGCGTGATACGACTGAAACCGGGGTGGTAGGAGTGCCTGGCGAGCTTCCACTATAATTTATAGATCCTGTAGCCGCGTGGGTTGTGGGAGTTTGTGGTGTTTCACAAATGGAAGATGCTGCTGCAGCTGAGTTTAAAACAATGTTATCAATGTGTTGCAAAGCTTGAAATCAGCAACAGGTACATTAAAAAAGTAACCAAAAAAGTCTCTCTTGCTTATACGTACTTGGTGATTCCATGTTGTAGACTGCTGGTGGTGGCCGTGTTGTTGGGCAGCTTGTTCTTTGGGTGTTTCGCGTTTCGCAAAATCCAGACACCAACTCCAGAAATCGAAGTGAATTACAACGCGGTCGGTGATGGCGGTGGTATCGATTTATGCTGATTTTCTAAGCGAATTCAACTTGCAAAACCTAGATGTTGGCTGGATCACGATTTACACACGGATCGGGGTTGCGTCGAAACCGAAAACCACACGAGGAGCTGTCGCAAGCGGCTTGTTATCAAAACGTAGCACATAACACATATTTACAATTAACTACACGTAATAAATTTCCAAATCCTCAGTGATATCGACCAGGCTTTTCGTTCGTCGCCCTTCTTTTCTCCAACATTCTTCATGGCCATAGCACTCACACAGCAAACAGCGGAGCAAACCATCATGTAGAGGAAGGTTGACGTTGTGGCGTTCGCCCAAATTTGTACGCTAAAGATGCGAATGCAATGGGTTTTTGTGAAGAAAAGTCAACCTTGTTGACCACATGTAAATTTCACTTACGCTTGATCACGGAGAGGCTGAGGTAGATCCGGTATTGAATCGTATGGAATGACTGGATATAAAGCTAGTTGGGCCTATTCCAAAAAAATGTTAGTGTTAGTAAAGCCGTGAACTCTCTCTACATCAACACACAAAAAATCTAGACTACGAACGCAGTATACTCACAGAGTAGGTTGGATTAGCCATCAAATTGCCAAACCCAGACTGAGCAGTTCTACTCATTACAGAAGACATGATACTGAGTAGCACTCCAGTAAAGCAAGTGGCGAGTCCACCAGCGGCACTGGCGCCTCCATGAGTCAACTGCTTCGGTAAAATGACCGTATACACAAAGTTCGTGATAGAAGACACTCCAAGACCCAAGCCAATAACAATTCCAACGAACGCGATAGACACATCAGATGATGACGGGTGGAGAAGCGTAAAGCAGCCAAGACCAATGGTGCCCAAAACACCAGCGATGACCATAAGAAATTGCAAGTAGCCGTCTTTCTTGGCAATGGCATTTGCGACGGCGCTACCTAATATGACTCCGGTTGCCATAGGTGCTACAAGGAGGCCTGATACGAGCACATTATTGTTCCTATCGTACACCCACAAGTCAGGTTTTTTTGGTTTCTGGCTTGTCGCAGATGGAAAAAATTCATACCGAACAATTTGCACGAAAATGGGCAGGAAGACAAAAGCCCTAAAAGATTTGATTGTTAGGGACCTCTGTAACTTGGACATGATCTGAGATTGAGGACGCGAATAAACTTACGCTCCAAATATTCCACGCATCCCTTGTAGGTATATGAAACTCGTATTGTAATTTCTGTATGCGAATACTTGCTTGGGTATAATAGGGTTCTTGGCAACATTGAGTTCAACCTAATCAAGCCCGCGTTAGTGTTTTCAAAAGTGGCTAGCACGAACCAAAAAGTGCATTACCGAAAAATCGACATATGCTTACCAGTACTAGTAGCAAGAAGAGCGACACAGAACCAGCACACAGTCCTACAGTTATGGCCGACGTCCAACCAAATATCGGCGACGTATAACTGAACACCATTTGAACACAAAGGGCAAATGCAATGGTAACTCCAGTACCAAGCCAATCCAGAGTAGTCAACTTGCGCACGAAAGCTATGAATTTCGCCAATGGTTTCTGAATCCAGTCATTGGCGGTAGCTTGAGCACTCTTCAGTTGAGATATGTCACCGTCAATGTTGGTATTGTGTAGACCGATAGCAAATCCAGGCATGATGATACAGAGCACGACGGGCAAGGACCAATAGTATACACTTCTCCATCCAACTTGGGAGATGAGTGCACCAGCAATGATTGGACCAGTGAAATTGCCAATATTGGAACACACCGACATGATCGCGAATAATCGTGTGATTTCGTCTTTGGAAGGTGCGATTTCTGTTTGATGGTGCAAAAAAAAGTCACGTTCAGAAATGACAATGTCGGAGGACAAATCTACAAGTGAGGGACTTACTGATTAAAATCAGGTATGGCAAAAGCATACATCCACCAAAGGCAGCTCCAGCTAGCCCTCTTCCAAGACAAAATATAGGGAAATTTGTAGCCAACGCGGACAATAGGTTGCCAAAAATCCACACTAGACCAGATAAAACACACAGATTCCTAGTTCCGAGAATTGCTGACAGAGTAGGTAATATTGGTTGCAAACCTCCAGCTGTGGGCAGAAACGCAACAGAGACCCACACGAATTGTGAGCCGGCTTTTAACTCTTTAGACACGGCTTGATTTGATACTGGCGCTGATGAAGACACCAACGTAAACAGGAGGTTTGCAGCCATGATGGCCATGATCGTGATGTACTTTTGAGCGGAAGTCATGGTGATTTTTCTAGGTGGTGACGGTTGTTGAGTGGTCGTGGGGGGTTTCACTGAATACGGTTGGGCTACGTTATCATTGGGCTGAGGTTCCGGCACTTGAACTCCTTTCTCCAATGCAGCGATTGCAGCAAGTCGAGCTTGTTCTTCCTGTTCCTCTTGGTCGACATCGTACTTTAGAGCTGCTCCTTTCACGGCGATTACACGTAGTTGGTACTCTAGGATAGTTTCCAGCTGCATTTCGGCCATTCTTGGAGTATGAAAGATGGTAACGACTTTTAATTCAGTCGATTTAATCCTTTTGAAAAAGGAAACGGGAATGTGAGAAGTTTGGTCTTGCTTGATTGGCAACTAACATGCGAGGTTTTAGCCGAATTGTGCCTAGTGACTGCATTCCCAAGATGAATTGAGCAATTTAACATGTACCTCGCCTGTCACTTCTACTGAAAATGTGACGAATGTCGACAAGCTAGCCCAACCAAAGCTCCAAATTACTTTCAGTCAGGATTCAGTCAGGAAAGTCCTGCAGGCAATTAAGTTCTAAAGCACGAAAATATACATTCAAAATGGTTTGAATTTGAAGTTTCTTAGTCGCCTTACAGACGGATGCGTCACTAATTGCAACAAACGTCACCAGCAATGAAAAACAAGGAAGAAGCTGCACCTGCGGCCATTTCGCATGAGAAGGCGTCCATACCGATGTCACATCATCAAGGTGACGACGATGGAGAGAACTATGGCAAGCTCATTGCTTTGAGCAGGCTCGTTTCAGATGTTGTCTTACATAAGAAGCCCAACATGTCCAAGAGGCCGAGTGGCATTCTCATAGGACGCAACCTAGAATGTGATGTTGTCATAAATGAAGCTCAAATCAGTAATAGGCATTGCCTTGTATTCTTCAAAAAGATGTTTGATGAGGAAAAGGGAAGAAGTGAAGATTGCTGTTTCCTAGAAGATACAAGGTATGCGTCTTTCTTTACTTGTTATTTATTTATGTTTTGAAATGAATCTGACTGGTCTATCTTTAGCTCGAATGGAACATATGTGAACGGCACCAAGATTGGAAAGTCGAATGTGGTCAAGCTTCAGGATGGAGACACAATTCAATTGTTCAAGCTTGCCCAAGGCGGCCCTGAAGGCAAGTTCTTCAAATATGAAGCACCTCCGCCACCTGCATCAGCTGTGTCTGTCAGGAATGCCAACACGATAGCGGATGCATACACATTTGATAAGGAACTCGGCAGGTACGATTGTTTTCGACGCCCTATTGACTCGCTTGTACAATCTTTACCAATGCCTGTTTCTTTAGCGGAAACTTTGCGTCGGTTCGGCTTGCCACCGACAACGAAACAGGCGACCACGTTGCCATTAAAGTCATAGACAAACGACGCTTTCACCTAAAGCCAAAGTTTGTGACTAATTTGAAGGATGAGATATCAATCATGTTTGGTGTGAAACATGACAATATCGTATCGATTATTGATGTATATGAAGATGCAGAGCAAGTGTATATAGTATTGGAGCTCGTGAGTTTATATTTGGACTTGTAGTATCAAAAGGCATTGCAATCTGAAACTTTTCTATGTATAGGTGCCCGGTGGAGAAATGTTTGACAGGATTACGCAACTTACAAAGTTCACAGAAGAGCAGACTCGTCAAGTGATGATACAGATGCTGTCTGCCATCAAATATCTACACGAACGTGGCATTGTACATAGGTCAGTAAAATCTGCCCGAACTGGTTCATTTCGTGTTGGTATTGAAGCACACCCGACTCCAATAGAGATTTGAAACCTGAGAACGTATTGATGGTATCAAAGGACCTTGGTGACATGACTGTAAAGATATCAGATTTCGGGCTTGCGAGGTTGGTAATCGGAGACGAAACCGTGATGCAAACGCTCTGTGGGACGTATGTACACTCCTTGCTCACCCTCCACATATAAGAATACTGACTTAAATTTCACTCGGCACCTCTCGTTTCGCAGGCCCAACTATGCGGCTCCTGAAGTATTGGCAAAAGGAGAACGTGCATATACAGAAGCGATTGATTTGTGGTCTTTAGGAGTTGTGCTATATATATGTCTATGTGGCTATCCCCCTTTCTCTGATGATCTCGCACCGCCCAGTATGATTGAACAGATTCGACGTGGAAAGTTTGCATTTCAGAATCCATGGTAAGTCTGAAGAAATTGTTGCTACTGATTTTAACGGTTAAATTCACTTACACATTCATTTCCTGCTCAGGTGGAGGGGCATCTCTCATGATGGTAAAAATGGCACCTTGGGACCTGGTGATATGTATTCAACTCGTTTTTGTTACTAGCCAAAGATATGATATGCAAGCTGCTCAAAGTAGATCCAAATGAACGACTTACAGCAGGACAAGCTCTTCAGCACCCTTGGATGAAGGTATACGCTTTTCTGGTTGCAGTGCAGTATTCTCGGCACAAAGTGCTATTGTTGTTGAAATCGCTCACATTGCTTTTTTAGATAAACGCAGCAGAATTTTCGTCACAGCCAATACCGAAAAGCTTGCCAGTCTCAATGCCAGTCTCTGTATTCACGAGAGGCGACACGCTCTTGAGTCCAAGCAAGCTTGATCGAACTATAATAAGAGTGAAGACGCCTGAACTTGATACAAATGGATTACAACGGAAACGACCAGGGAAGAGGAAGAACGCCACGACCAATTCTGCTGAAATGGCTCGTCAGACTGCTGCAATGGAGGAGAGTGAAGAAGAGGTGGATCGCAAACGTCAAAAACGAGAAACCACACCGCCACTTATGAGTGATGGCAGTCCCAGAAAAGCAAAGCAGAAGAAGAAGGCCAATAAAGCTGTAAAATAGATAAATAGTTGTGTTTTATTGTTGTCCGGATAAATATATGCATATGGCTGCCTGAACTAAATTTGGCTCCAGGTAAAATGTCTTTGCCGAAATGTCACGCCCCCAAAGCCACCGTGCAAAGTGGTGGGGAGCTTCTCTTTTTTTCTCGCAAACATAGATCAACCAGACCAACGATCAACCAAGAGCACCATCCAAAGGAGACGTAGAGTCGTTTCGGTGCAGTTATGTCTGGTCCAGGGTAAGTCATTGAACCTTGTCCGCAGTACCCGAAATTCGCTTACCAACTCACGCTCCACTAGTCCAATTGGTACAGCTATTATAGGGTACGTCGTCAATTCCAGCTTGCCTTCAGTACGGAAACAGTTTGTAACCCTACCCTTCTGTCCATTAGTGTAGGAATAGTAATCGCTGTTGGTATTTGTGTCGTCGGGTGAGAGACTTTGTTAGTTGTGGGCATGATTGATCGGTGAAAGCATACCGCTAGTAGTGTTTAAGCGGGGTTGGTTGTGTGGGCCACGCTGTATGGACTACAGGCCCCACATCACTACTAATGCCTTCCCACTGAAACCTGCCTTCTTTGGTTTGTAGAGCTATTTTCTATCAACGCCAACAAGCTAGAGATTTAATCGCACAGTAAGGCAGTATTTAGTCGGTTGGCTTACAGTTGAGGTTACTAAGAAAGTTCTTTTTACTTTTTACCTAGATATGAGGAAAACAGTCGGAATAATGTATACGCTGCTGTGAGACTCGAACCAACTAATGCATCCGTGGTCTTGCCCAAGTATGCGCCGTATCCAGCGGCATCGGAAGGGCTTAATGCATCTGAGGTGCCCGTGGCGGACGAGCCTCCAAAAATCGTAGAATCAACCGTGTTAGTCGTAGAACCCGTTACCGAAGCAGCCAAGTAACTTTAAATATGGAAGAGAGTAATTGTGTGGTGGCCTGTTTAGCTTTAGACTGATTTCGAGCCTGTGACTTCTTTTTGCAATTTAGTTTGATAATGCCTTTATGTGTGATATATAAAAAACCACGGGAGATTGCACCATTGACGTAGTTGCCTTGATTGTTTTCATTGAGAGAAGATGATCTGCTGTTGGAGGCGTTGGGCCTCGTTGTTGTGAAGTAGCCGATCCAAAAAAGAAAAACGACCCAAAGTCACTGTTCCAATACACATATAGAAGAATCCGTCAAAGCGACAAGTGAGTTCATTCAGCAGCATTTATGGCATCCATAGTACGGCATACTGGTGGCAAGAGTCATCTACATGACAACGGTTAAAGTCGGTGTTTGAATATCCTGACGACTCGAACGAATTGCCGTACCGAGAGGCTGAACGTGTCGCATAAACCGTTTTAATAGATTGATACGAATGCGTATTCAGCCTATTGAATGGTGACGACACGATCATGAGGGTGGCAGGACACCATCTCACTGTTTTTTTGGTGCGCACGTGATACTTTTCTGTATGCTGAGTTTGGGAGTACGTTTTTGCGCTCATTAGATCATCGACATCAAGGAAACGATCCATCGTTAGATCCTAGGTATTCCTTTGTAAATTGAGACCACGGAGATCTACCAGTACTTTATCATCGCGGGACTGTTTGGATCATTTGTCCTTTTCATGTAAGCCCAATTCGTAGAATTTCAGTTTCAGATTTGGCCTCGAATGACGTCCAGCAATTCTTAAATATTTCAACTTCAAATTGCTAGTTTCGTAGCCCACATTGTACAGGGCTTGCGACTTTATCAGGCCCGTGGTCGAAACATGGGTGCAGGTGACGGTGCGGTAATCCCAATAGGTAGTCTGCCATCGTACAGTCCGTATCCGCAGGTATCACACCAATCTACCCCGGCGCCGCATCATCATAATCACCACCTTCACGATGGTCATCATCTTAGCCTTCACCATCATATGATTCATTCATCGGAGGCGGCTGCTGGGCATTCACATGCACATCACCATCACGACATGACTATGAATACAATGCCATGAGTAGTACCGTGTAAATGCTTGTGAGTGGGCAAAACGTGGACTGGCCAGGGCTGGCATTTTGAGAATCAGGATAAGGAAGACGGAAACCAACGAGTAGAACAGCACCTCATATCATATCGTCATATAGACCTAAAGCATAAAATATCACCCATTGTCAAAAACTAGAAAAACCAGCAGGCACATTGTGTTTCGTGTCGTCCACCTTGGAAAGTCGTCAAGGCAATTTCGCGATTCCAAGCGTACATTGAAATCACGAAGGAAGGTAGCATTTGTATTATTTCTCCCTCGTTTGATATTGCGTCTTGCTGGTAAAATTCAGTTCGTCCAAAAATCACATAGAGAATAGGATGGAAGGAGAAGCAGCTCCTAAACCAGTTGGTCCCACTGACAGACTATCGCAATTGCAAGCATGCTTGGATCGAGTAAGCTTCTATTTGGTTCAGGAGTTTTAGCTGCAGGTGAGTTTCAAAACATTAACTGTTCCTTTAGGTCGTGGAAATGATGTATATAGCAGTGGGAGCATTGCAACGTGATGCTCCATTGGTTGCATTAGATGCAGATATACCTGTTACGGCCTTTACTGGTGTGTTTCTCAGTTGCTCGTCGACACCAAACGCATTGCATTGAGTTAAATGATTTCTATGTATTCAGAGGAGCAGAATCATAATTTGGAGCTTGGTGGTCGAGGTAAAGGAAGCCAAATTTATTTGATATGAATGCTTCAATAAGGACAAGGAATACGCTCTGAGTCTCGGTGCTAAAATACAAAACTGACTTTAGAGCTGGCAACCAAAATGGGAAGAGATATTGTCAGAACATTCAAAGTCACTGAATTCCTCATCAATTCATTGCCTGGAATTGATAAATCAGAAGAGGAGCAGGTTAGATCGATGTTTCATGGCGAGCTTCAAGTACTGTCTTACACCATTTTTTTTAGCTCGACCAATTACGAGTACTTGAAGAAGAGAACAGGATTGCTGGACGTGATATGGAAGCTGCAGTTGAACGAGCAGGTCAGGCAGCGTATGATTGAAGACCTTGATTTTCAATTAACATATGTGTTTGTTAGAGCAACTGCTTTCCAAGCTCAGAACCACTCTGCGGCATATCGCCAACGATCAAACTCTGTTCTTGCAAGGTGCAAATTATCCTTAATTTATTGTAGAAAGTCGTGATTGAGTTGTACAAAGATTGCATCATTCTTCCATGTCAATACATACCAGCAGCAGTTTAAAACTCAACGCGTTTGCGCGACGCTGAAACTACCCGAATATGCGTGCCAAATATATAAGATTTTTCGAAGCCCTTTGCGTTGATCAAGTTCTCCGAAATCACGTTCATGCAGATTTTACAAACTTGATAGCAGCTCAAGTACCAGTTCATTTCACAAGGCAAGAGAGCTGCAAAAGTACGTGATGAGGCATGATCAGAGCGCGATTCTTCCTGTTTAAGCATTGTATTCCTACGACAGTTTCACGTCTGAATGAAAACTAAAAATCACTTTCGACGAATTCAGTAGGATGTCAGCAACACGTTTATTCTCAAGGTCTCTCTCTCAAATTGGAGGAATCTCCTATGTTAGGCCTGCCAGCACATGGTCCAAAGTGCCAATGTAATTATCTGTAGTTGATGAATGAATCGTAACTTCCTAAACATTGACTGCACTGTTTCTTCTCGAATTAAAGGGGACCTCCGGATCCAATTCTTGGAGTATCAGAAGCATTTAAGGCTGACAGCAATCCCAAAAAGATGAATTTGGGGGTAGGAGCCTACCGAGACGATAAAGGAAAGCCATACGTCTTGAACTGTGTGAAAAAGGTAGAATGCAACTACGCCGATGCTGGCAAAAACAATGTTTGATCCCACTTTTGACTGTAATTTTAGGCAGAAGAAATCATCTTCAATTCCAAGATGGATCACGAGTATCTCCCAATCTCTGGACTTGCTGAATTCAACAAGTTATCAATCGGATTGGCATATGGTGACGATTCAGCACCATTAAAGGCTGGTAACATTGTGGCTGCTCAATCTCTGTCAGGAACTGGTGCTCTTCGTATGGGAGGCATCTTCTTATCTCGTTTCTGGCCAGGAACGAAGAAGATTTTTGTTCCAAGTCCTACGTGAGCATTTCGAGTAATGCAATTCAGATAGTCAAGAGGAACTCATGTATTCTCGTGTAGATGGGGCAACCACAACAATGTCTTCAAGGACTCTGGTTTGGAAGTTGGTACATACAAGTACTTTGACAAGAAAACCAATGGACTTGATTTTGATGGCATGCTTGGTGATTTCAAGGTACATATCTGTTGCTACACGTTGAGGAATATATGTATTTTCGTATCAATAACACGCTTTACCTGTAGGCAATGCCCAATAACTCTCTCATTCTGTTACACGCTTGTGCACATAATCCTACGGGTGTTGATCCTACTAAACAACAATGGGCAGCAATCTCTGATGTTTGCAAGCAAAAGTCACACTTTGTCTTTTTCGATATGGTGCGTGAACGCAACCTGACTTGACGGACGAGAATTTCAGTAGATATCCATTCCGATTTCGTTGTTGTAGGCATACCAAGGTTTTGCTTCAGGTGATCCAACAATCGATGCATTCGCATTACGCCACTTTGTGGCTGAGGGACACAAGCCCATTCTGGCGCAATCGTATGCCAAGAACTTGGTAAAATTTTGAATCATTCCAGTTCACTTTTCCGGTTTCTTCCGATTAACGACATTTGCTTTCTTCGCTCTTTTAAGGGATTGTATGGTGAACGTGTGAGTATAGAAACTTTGAAAATAAAATGTATTCGAAGTTTGAGAACTAGTAGCCTCACGCTTCTCGTCTTAGGTTGGTTGCTTCTCCATCGTCACTGATTCCCCAACTGAAGCAAAGGCCGTGGATTCTCAAGTCAAGATCTCTGTTCGTCCTGTAAGTCTCATGTGTGAGTTGGTAGCAGCTGGGGAAAGGAATCCCGACTTAGGGGTCAATCGCTACTGTAGATTTACTCAAATCCACCTCTTGCTGGAGCTCGAATCGTAAAAGAAGTCCTTGGCCGACCAGAATTACGAACTGAATGGTACAAGGAAGTGAAGATGATGGCTGATCGCATTATCAGCATGAGTAGGTTCTCCATTCGTCGAACTTGTGGCAAAACATTGACAATGTCTCCGCATCTGCTAGGGGCTGCCCTGAAAAAGGGATTGGTGGAAACAAACAAGTCCAAGAAGAATTGGGACCATGTCACAGCACAGATTGGAATGTTTGCCTTCACAGGACTTACACCAGACCAAGTTGCTCGACTCAGGTCTGAATTCTCCATATACATGACAGGAGATGGACGTATTTCCATTGCTGGAATCAATACTGGTAATGTTGACTACCTGGCTTCAGCAATTCACAATGTCACCAAGTAATAAAAGTGTTGTAAAACGCGTAATATATGCTGGTATACCTTTGGTGAGCATTGGTGAGATAGTATTCGATATTTTTATAGGGTTTCTCATGTGTTCAATGCTAGTTTGAAGAAGAACTCTTACCTCGCTCCTCAGTCGCGTCCAAAAACGTTTTTTGGTTGTCACTCAGACACACTCCATGGTGCGAGGCCTTGATCGATTCTTTATTTAGTGCTATCTCTTTAACTAGATGTTTTCGTATTAGGCCGGCAATAGGGCAAGATCTCCTTCCTCCATGTCTGAATTTTCGAGTGAAGACGATCATCCGCCTCCAGTTTCGTCAACAATTCGTGGCGGTAGGCCTACCTCCAACGAAAATAGGTCTATCATGCACTCTACCGTGCCTCTCGATGGTGTTGTCTAATCGTGTCATCGACATTTTGTCTGAAAGATTTTAACACCAAAATCGTGTTTTCAGGAAATGGAGGAAATGTCGATGGATCCAGGCAATCATCGTCTGCGACTATTATTCCAGGCCTAGGAAATGCTCCAAAATTCGGACGAAGGTCTGGTGGTGGTGCAGACACATCTGCCCCTCGTTTTATACCGTCAGTGGTCAACGAAATCTCAAGCTCTGAGGAAGAAGATGAAGAGTCGGTATGAATCTTCTCACAATTCGCACAAACTTTTGATGCCGGTGGTTGTGTGTCGACGTTTATTGAAATCTTAAAATTTGTAGAGCCCAGTTGTTTCGCTTTCGGCTACTGATGAGACTAGTTCGTCAAATGACGACTATCAGGATCCCATGTCTCCAACAAGTCAACACTCCAAAAAATCGGAACGACCTGTATCAATACGGTTGAGTCAACAGTCAAAAACCGATTCTCCACAACGACTTTCCAGGCAATCAAGAGCTTCAGAACATACAAGAATATCTACAGGAACACATCAATCTACGCTGACAAGACCCTCAGTGTTGACGAAACCATCAGTCAGACAAACAAGTCAACAGTCAGCAACAACAAGTCAACAGGCAGCAACATCTGCTTCGTCATCACGAGTTGCAGAATTGATTGCTCCAAGAAATCGTCAACAATCACGTTCGTTTTTGAAGACGTCTGCAAGCTCACCTAATGTGCCATTGTCCAGTCTACCTGGTCCTGAAGAAGACGGCAGAGTGGTCCAAGTCTCAAACGACTCATCAACCACGAGCCCGCAATCATCGAGCCCTAAACCTGCCATACTACAAATCAATACTAGCATGTCTAGATTACCGGATAGTAAATCAAACTTACATCATCAAAGCCCAGCCACGAAACGTAGAGCCAGTGCTGATGCAAATCCAGGATCGCCAACAAGATCACATCAAAACCTTTCGCCATCGATTTTGGACTCTCCTGGTCGCACTGATTCTCCTAGTAGAGCAGATCCTTTGAATTCTAGTTCTGGGACAATGCAGCGTGCCCTTGGAATCTTTTCAAAATTGGGGAAGTCGCAGAGAGAATCGTCTCATGGATCTGTTACTAGCTTGTTGTTGGACACCAAAGTCAAGGTTCGTTTATGATTTATATTTAGCATTTTCGGGTGGAGAATTTTGTTAAAGATCTAGTTCGTCTAGGCACAGAAGGAGAAGAGTGATTTTTCAGAGTTTGATCAGATATTGTCGTCGAACGATACGCGGCATGTTACCCTTACGCCTATGGAACTTGTGGCAATAGATAACAGGAATCCCAAGGTGTTTGCGAATAACTACAAGGGTTCTTCTGATCGCTTCTAATTTCGTTTATCTTTACAGTCTGAGATGTCTTCCACCACTGATTTGTTCAAGGGGATTACCACAGCAGATGGGCAGCCTTTGACAAGACGAGCTTCAAGACCTATTGATTTCAAAGCGCGAGAGCTACCGCCTGATGGTACACGAGAGTTACCTTCTGTACAAGCCACTAGAGAATTGCCTTCAGAAGGCACAAGTACGCGAGAATTACCAGCCAGCAACTCTCAAGTCCGGGATCCACCAACCGACGAAGAAGATGAAGACGACGGAACACGAGATTTGCCACCACATCGACGCATATCAGACCAAAGCTACTTATATCACACTGGTGGACAATTACGAAGCTTGCCACATCCACACATGACACGTTCGTCCAAGTCTGTTCGATCAAATCGGATGGACCATGAGTTTGGATCTACACCCAGCGTTTCTGGAACAATCACGTCTCATAATGTGTTGAATGAAGTGAATGAACAGTATGCGGCTTTGATCGAGACTTTGCGAGGGGAAATTTCGCAGTTAAAAAAGAATATGCAAGATGAGATATTGTATCATGATAGAGAGATGGCTAATGTCACTTCGACTTATCAATCGAAGGTAGTTTTAGACGCTTTCCTCTCTTTTCCCTCCCTTGTCTCACGACTGACAAGAGTGTGAAACAATTAGGTATCAGCTTTGGACCGTGAATTATCCGATGCTCGAGAAGCATTAAGAAAATTGACATTGTATCTCAACGACATTCAATCCAAGGTAAGAAACCACGTTTTCTGGCAAAAAAGAAGTGTATCAATATATCATTTCTTAGTTTGTCGAACAACGAAGAGTCACGTCTGAAATGGAGCAAGCTGACCGTGCAAGATGGGAAGAAGCCAAGTCAGCGGAAGTTGCGTCGCTACGTGCAAGATGGCAACTAGAGACTGATGCAGCCAAGGAACAAGTTCGACTTGAGGTAGGCAAATAATCGTATATATATCGCCATACCATGCTCAAACAAAACAATTTATGTAACTAGATATCTCGGCTTGCTTCGTCTGAGGTTTCGAGGTTGAAAACCGAGCATATACAGGAATTAAATGCCCTGCGACAAACTCATGCTGAGGAGGTATGTAGACGAGAAAAGGTTAAATGCTCTCAGCAGCTTGCTCATATTTTTTTTTAGCTTTCCAGGACCATCTCAACCAAACTCCAGCAAATGACAACCAATACGACAACCAAGTTTGCGGCAGAGTTAGAAACTATGGCAGAGCGTGTGGAATCCCGGTTACGCGCCGCTGAAATCATGAGAGATAAGACTGATGTGGGGCTATTCGAGTCTTTGCAGGTAACCCGCTTATAGTGCAATTGCTCGTTATTTTCTACAGGTGTAACTTTGTTTTGCTCCTAGACAAGAGAGAAGGACCTCATACACAAAGAATCAAAATTGACTGCTCAACTAGAAGCCATCTCGCAACGAGAAAGAGAGCATGAAAATGAAAGGTCTCGTGTTTTGTCTCTTGTCGCTGCTCTTGAACACTCGTTACGACTTGAGCAAACAGCCCGTGAAGCTGAACGGCAATCTTCATCTCGTAATGTGCAAAATACCGAGTCTGAAATGGTAATTCGTATTCTTATGTAAATTTCATTCGATTTACTCGCTGACCTTCTCATTGATCTCTTTAGACTGATCTGCGTAAATCCTTGCAATTGGCAAATGAACGTCTTATTCAAGATCGCGATGATTTGATTCGTATACGAGAAGACTTTATTACGGAAAGGAGACGATTGACAAACTCTCTGGACGATGAGAAACGAAATCTGACACTTGAAAAGGCTCAGTTTGAGCTCAGAGTTCTGCAACTGAAGGAGCATGAAGAAGATAGTCGCAGTGCACTTTTACGTGAATTTGAGGGTGCCAATGAAGGTATTTTCATCTAAAGAGGACTTAGATTCTGTTTTTTTGTGTCACATCTAAAAAAATTCGATCCACATAGAACGAGCATGGGTTGAATCAGAACTCAAGCAACTACGGAAGCGAGAAATTGAACTCTCATCAGAGTCAGCGAGACTTCACTCTGTGGAATTAACACTCGAAAACGGATTTGCCAAACTCGAAGCTGAACGAGAATCATTTGAATCTTTCCGTGCTGCTTTAGAATCAGATGCTGCCGAAGCTCGCAAGGCTCGTGACGTGCTACGAGAAGCCGAAAGTGCAAGAGCTCAAGCCGATCAAATGAGAGAGGAGGTCGAAGTGATGATGGTGGAAGCTTATAGTGAACGTGAACAAGCTGAATCGTCTATGAAGAGGTTTATTGAAGAGCGATTGAGACTTGCTCAAGAACGAGAGGAGTTGCAGAGGATGGCTGTACGAGTAGAGAGGCAGTCACAGAGTTACAACATTTCTACTCCTCAGTACGGGATGCCTCAAAAAGCTCGGGATAGTACTTCTACGGTGAAGAATGTGACGAATATCGATTTTGACTTGCTCACACGTCGGCTGAACAAGGCTGTTGGTGGACTTTCAATGGTGAGAAAGAAGAAACTTAAAGAGAGGCTGTTCACATATGCTGATACTCGGGTGATTTTCTTTTAGGATCGTCGATACTTGACTGATCAGATGGAATTTTTGGCGGCTGCAGAATGCTCATAAATCTTTGTGGTTGTATTCCTTGTAGATATGGATATCCTATAATTAGACGGGATCTCCTCTGTAGCGGAAGCTCATTGTGTTAGCGGTGTTCCAAGTTCCAAACAATGGATGGACGCAAACAAGATAAACTCTCCAGATTCAAGTCTGCTGGTTATCTCTTTAACACTGTGCCATCCATCAAGTAGTTCACTTCAAATCGCTAGGCGACTACTAACTCTGATCACTATCAACGGTGGCGATATCGTACAGGGGAGTTTCGTTTCAAACTTGTATGAATCTATCTGAGCCGTGCTATACCGTATAAGCACAAATCCCTTAGTGCTTATGTGCTTACTGTATTTACCGCAACACGCTTTTCCACCCGATTCACAATTCAAAACGACTAGCGGCATTGGTCTCGCGCTTGTCAAACATTCTCTGGGAAAATCTCCTACTGCTCAGGTTGTTGCTGGTGCTCGTACACCTTCTCAAGCAACTGAGTTATCTGAATTGGCAGAAGAGTACTCTGGACGTCTTCACATCTTGCCTCTCGATGTTAATAATGACGAATCCATCAAAGGCGTTGTGGATGCTGTGACAAGGATCTTCCCAGATGGTTTCGATGTCTTGCTCAACAATGCT